CAGCCCCAGACCCAGGGCATCTGCCAGCTGCAGATTCTCTCCAATTTCCCCCTGCTTGGACTGTATACCATCGAAAGTCAGCAATGTGTTCGATGAACTAGGAGGGTCCAAGGAGATGTTGCATATCAGGGGCAAGAGTGAATAACATTTGCATCCAGGATATGCGCAAAAAAGGACCTCCCATCTCGTCTTACCAACCGTCTTTATCTTGCTCCGAGCAGGTCACGGATCAGTTGAGAAGGCGAAATGTTCAAACATAGCGGTCTCCCTGGGGATCGAACCCAGTGCATGATGCTAATGGCAAGCCATTGCGCCAACGGACCGCTACATGAAATAAACCAATTCCGTGGTTTGTCAACCTTCAAGTAAGGCAGTTGTCTTGGCGACATAGCGGATATTTTGATCGGGACTCCGTGACCGCCAGAGACAACAAAGCAATGGATCCTAGGATGAATTGGCCAGATGTTGTTGGTCGTGGATAGCTCTTTCGACACCAATACTGTAGTTGTCCATCCGTCTGCGCAGATACTTCTTTGTCGACATCATCCAGTTCTTTGTAGCGATATTTCGGTGGCCGTATCACCTCTCTTGAGCAACAAGCCACTGTAAGAGCCGAGAGGGTTATAGTTCTGTATGCCAAAGACATCAATCAACATCAATGTATCAGCAGCCAGGCCTGACTAGCACCAGACAACAACGTCTATGACCGAAGACGGTTCCCCAATGACGTCGTCGAATTTGACACCAGCAGGCAAGTCCAATACGATCGAGTTACCAGGGCAGAGCTAGTCGGGTGTGGTTGGTTGAGAGACGTTCTCATGATGCAACTGATGTGTTTCGTCTTATTTTCGATTAGAACTACATCCCATAGCTGGTTGCTCGGATTGACGAATCGGTATGAGTTTTGAGAAGGTATGATATCCAGACACCGGACACCAAAGTAGCTCGCACGCTTTGGCATATTCCCAATCTAGGGTATTGTCACGAGATTCAGCTGGACAGACCAAAGGATCCCAAAGGTTTCCATCTTCCAATAGACGTTTCCAGCAACATCGGCAGCGACCAGACTCTAGGTGATTTAGCAATGGCCGGGAAGATGATGATAGACGAGAAGATACATGATTGGAAATGCGGACTGGCTTCTGAAGATCTCAAGTGCAGGGAAGACGAAGTTGGATCAGGCAGGAGCCATCGACACTGTTTTCTTTCTGTATCGGGACATGATAGGAGAGGGAAGCAATATGAAGAAGAACACCAGAAGATCGTGCAATAGAAGATTGAAGGTAAAATGAACTTTTTCTGAGATGGTATAGGTCTGTACAATACCTACATCTCCCCTACCTTTATCAAACGCCAAAATTCCCAGCGCCCCAAGAAGAAAACCAACAGCTATGCAATTACAAACGTGCAGTATGATACATCAGCGTTTCGTTCATGCATCCGTGATGCAACCATGGCTGGCATCCTGGACAATCTTGGCGTACTTGTAAAGAGTACCCTTCTGGTACTTGAGAGGAGGAGCCTTCCAGCTGAGCTTTCTTTGCTGCATCTCCTCCTCGGTAACATCGGTGTCAATGACTCTCTTCTCGGCATCGATGGTGATGGTATCACCGTCCTTGATGAGAGCGATAGGACCACCATCCTGAGCTTCAGGGACGATGTGACCAATGAGGAAACCGTGACTGCCGCCACTGAAGCGACCATCAGTCAGCATGGCAACATCGTTACCGAGACCGGCACCCATGATGGCGGAAGAAGGTCTCAACATCTCGACCATACCGGGGCCACCNCTGGGACCCTCGTAACGGATGACGATGACGGTCTTCTCGCCCTTCTTGAATGAGCCACCCTCGATGGCCTCGATCAGACCATCCTCTCCGTCGAAGACTCTGGCCTTGCCTGTGAATTGAGTACCCTCCTTTCCAGTGATCTTGGCGACACTGCCACCAGGGGCGATCTTGCCATACAGGATCTGAATGTGACCGGTCTTCTTGATGGGGTTGCTGAAAGGACGGATGATCTTTTGGCTCTCGGGCATGTCACGGACGTTCTCGAGGTTCTCTGCCATGGTCTTGCCAGTAACGGTCATACCGCTGCCGTCAATAGCACCCTCCTTCAGGAGGAACTTGAGGATAGCGGGGGTGCCGCCAATGTCGTAGAGGTCAGCCATAACATACTTGCCAGAAGGCTTAAGGTCGGCAAGAAGAGGAGTGCGATCACTGACAGCTTGCATGTCGTCAGGAGTAAGAGTGATGCCGACGGAGTGGGCCATGGCGATCAAGTGGAGGACGGCGTTGGTAGAACCACCAGTGATGTTGACAACAGTCATGGCGTTCTCGAAAGCCTTGCGAGTCATGATGTCTGAGGGACGAATGTCCTCCTTGAGGAGGTTCTTAATGGCGCCACCGGCAGCCAAACATTCAAGCTGCTTGGCCTTGGACATGGCAGGGTTGGAGGAAGATCCAGGAAGAGACATACCCATGGCCTCGATGACGGAAGCCATGGTGTTGGCAGTGTACATACCACCACAAGCACCACCGCCAGGGCAAGCGTGCTTGATGATGTCCTTGCGCTCATCCTCGTTGATCTCACCAGTGATGAACTGGCCGTAAGCCTGGAAGGCCGAGATAATGTCGAGTCTCTCGTCGGACATCTGACCACATCCGGCAGCAATGGTACCTCCGTAGACCATGATGGAAGGTCTGTTGACTCTTCCCATGGCCATGATGACACCGGGCATGTTCTTGTCGCAACCAGGGAGCGAAATGTTGGCGTCGTACCATTGACCGCCCATGACGGTCTCGACCGAGTCTGCAATGATGTCGCGGGACTGCAACGAGTAGCGCATACCAGTGGTACCGTTGGACATGCCGTCACTGACACCAATGGTGTTGAACTGCATACCCTTGAGTCCGGCTCTTTGCACACCCTCGTTGACCTTGTGGCTGAGGTCCATCAAGTGCATGTTGCAGGGATTTCCAGAGTACCAAACGGACGAGATACCGACCTGGGCCTTGTTCATATCCTCGTCGGTGAAGCCAGTGGCGTACAGCATGGCCTGAGAGGCACCGTGGGCCTTGGGCTGGGTAATGATGGCACTCGTCTTGTTGAGGGCATCCTTGTCCAGCTTGATGTGTTGGAAGATCTTGTCCTCGCCAGGGCCAGTGGCGGCATACTGTCTGGAGGCGAGAGTCTGGGCGACAGAAGGGNNCTATGACGAGCGTGTCAGTTTATTGTTGGCTGGTCGAGGCTTCGGTCGTCAAACAACGTACGCAACACGCAGTTGTGCGCGCGAGGTCCACGACGACCTCGCGGCTTTTGCTCCAATACGCGACGACAACATGATTGTCACCTGCTAGATTCAATGCTTGGATGGAAAAGAACGAGGAGGCGGCGACGGTCGAGGTGACTGGCAGCTCTCCAGATCAACTTTCCCGTATGTGCGCGAGTCAGTCTCCGCAATCAATTTATCTGCCGTCTGATTGGCCTGCCGTCGGCTGCTCGCCGATGTCGGGTAGGAGCGATGGTGCGGAAAACATCATCGCTTCTGCCCGCAAAGCAGCTGCAGAGAAAATGGTCAAGCATTCGAGCTAAATACATCTTGTTTGATACTTGTTTTTGTTTGACATACATCTCTTGTCAGTTCGAGAGAACTTGAGTAGTCAATGGCCACTCCTTTGTCCGAAGATGAGATTCGTCAAATTACCTTGAATGGTGCGAGTCTGGTCCCTCGTCAAGTTGATCAGAATATTTTGCACGAGGAAGTTACGAGGTAAGATAGCTACTACTTCAACACTTGCCCACCTCTCTTTCCTTGATTGTTGGTCATCTCATCTTCTACCCAAGCTAATACAACAAAGGGTAACCAATCTTTTCATCGAGTCTTTTCAACTTTGCGGACAGACATCACCAATCAACACAGAACAGCTGCATGCAATTTACTTTCCAATCTGACTGAGAAATGTACTCAATCCCAGGAACATGGCTTTCTTCTTCTACTCTGGCAAATCGAAAAATTCTGGCGCCATGCTTTTGGGGTCTATCTGGATCAGCATCATGCTCTGAATGTCAAGCCGTCACGCCTGTTACTAACCTCCCTGACCTCCGCTTTCACCAAATGTCCGGACAAATCCATCTGTGAACCCGAAAAGACCAACATGCTAGAATCTCTGGTCCGACACATCGCCACTCCATCCGAAAACGCTCCTACTAGGCCTGCCATACAAGCCCTGGCCCACTGGCTTTCGAAGAACATAGTGTCTATCGATGAGCTGTGCAACATCTTTGGCAGAACCTTGACAGGAAGTGACAAACAATCCTTGCCTTGTTCGGTTGAAGACATGCTTGCTATCGTCTTAGGCCTTGCATCATACGAAGACTTCGCCTCTTCCGCTGGTTCGCTAGCTGCTTTGATACTCCAAAAGTCACAACCCGCAACCAGAGGTTCATCACCGTTGGGTTTCGGCAATCATCACTCATTGTGGTCTTCCACTGTTTTGAACATCCTCAAGCAGAAGCCACAGTCTCTCGGCATCTTTCGACTATATGTGTTCCCAGAGATATTCCAGCAGGACAAACCAAGCTTTGTTGCTTTTCTAAGCCGGCTAGGCATACAAAGTACTCTCGGGAGAGTCCGATCTTCTGAAGTTTCGTTGCCGCTTCCAATAACACAATGCGAGGAAATTCTGTTCTGTGCTTTGTCCATAGGAAGCAAACTTGGACTGGTCAAGGTTGCAGATGTCGGTCAACTCACCGAAAGTATTGAGTTGTTCTTCGAGAAAGATGTGCTACGCATCCCAGATGTCCTACTCGGAGATCTGCTGCTACGCACGTCTGACACTGTGAAGATAGCCGGGCTTGCCATGCTTACCACGTCCACAACGACAACCCAGCCTTTATCTATCGGGTCAATGGGTGCTTTGCAGAAAGGTTTACCTTTTCTCCACGCAGATGCAGACGCAGGATTTCGCAGCGAGCTATTCAGTCTGATCCGACATCTAATGGAGCGCATCAAGGCTGCAACAGCGACCTTGACAAAGGCGCCAAGCAAGACGAAGAAGATTAACGCAAATGAGACTGTCGATTCCTTGTCAGCATCTATCGGGTCCTCTGACCTAGTTACAGCCCACAAATCCTTCGTTGAGTGGTACATCTCATTCCTCAAAGCCGAATTGCGGCCGACAGCTAGCTACCAGAGACATATATCAGCACTTAGGTGTATCTCCATTATTGTCAGGTCCGGAGTCGATGCTCGAATCACTGGCACTCTGTTCCCAAAGTCCACAGGTGGCACGGTGGCGTGGCCTTTCACATTGATTGTGATTGACAGAGAGATGACTGATCTATTGATTGATCTGCTCCTCAACGCGTTTGACGATGTCAGATCTACGGCTGCAGATATTCTGAGTCTCTTGGACTCTAGTTCACAGCAGCAAGATAGTTTAGGAAGAACCCCTATATTGGTCAAAGTCCTCGCGCAAGCGGAGGATATGTTGGTCCTTAGTGGACGTGCTGACCATGCAGACGGTGTTGCGCAGCTTTACAGCATCTTGTTCAGTCAATGTTCAGAACTGACCAGTGATCGTGAGCAGTGGTGGGCGTCCAAATGTGCAATGCTGGAATACCTCGTTCGTAACGTCGAACAAACGGTCCAAACCGCCATTGTAGACATCAGCAGAGCAATCAGCGAGCATCCTCTACATGGCCTGTTTATCAGTCTGAGGTACCATAGTTATTCGCAATCTGCTGTACCACATGCTGACACTTCCAGATACATCATTGAAAAGTCTGGCTTCTATCAGGTTATGTCTTCTGATCTTACTGCGTTGTCCCATCTACAGAAGCTCTACACTCGACTTTACGACATCTTTGAGGCTCTCTGGAACTGTGTACACGACACCCTGTGTAATGATACTACCGAAGGTGTTGCCGCTGAAGAGCTTGAGGAAGAAGATATCGGAACCAAGGATGTTCTGAGTTACTCATGGCGAGCCCTCAAGGAATCTAGGTAAGCTTCATTTTGCGACATTGAGGTTGAGATCGCGCTGACTATGTNNAGTCTGCTATTGCGAGCTATCGTGAAAAGTTGTCCCTTTAGTTCCCTCGACCACGAACTTCTCTCGCCCCAGCAACTTCGCCAGCTAGGTGATCTCACTTTCACACAGCTTGCAGAGCTGCGTCATCGTGGTGCCTTCTCGACAGTCGCTCAAACCTTTGTCGTCTGCTGCATACGCTCCAACAGTGGTGCAGACACCGTTAGCCAAGATCTCGAGGACTGGTACAAGGTACATCAGATCTGTTGTCATCAACACATGATACAACAACTGACAAATTTTAGCNGTGCAATCCTTTGCATCCAAAATCAGACCGCGATCAATACCCGTCGCTCCGCAGGGTTGCCGTCTTTGATGATCGGCATAGTTGTTGCAGATACAAAGGGACTTCTGTTTGGCAGAGCCATGGCAGAGCTTACTACAGAAGGCACTAGACCTGTCGAGAAAAATGGCGAAAGTGCCGGTGGTCTTTCTCAAGTCCATGCTCTAAATTGCATCAAGGATATCTTCAAGAACTCGAGGTTGGGTGAGCGATCAGAGGCACATGTGCCACAAGCACTCAGTCTTGCAGCTGAGTGCTTGTCTTCGGACACGTACGTTGAACGTCGTTTGTGCACACAATGGACTATGCTAACTCTCATGTCAGATNGGGCTGTCCGAAACTCCGGATTGATGCTCTTCAGAGCCCTCATGGACAGACTGATTGGTACTAATGATGCATTTTCGGAGGAGGATACACACATACAGAGTCGTGTCTCGGATGAGGCAATCACGAGTTTGATGCACGTTGTTCTCCAGTTGCTGTCGACTGATACCGACGTCAACCAAGTCAAGGCCGAAGTGGTTTTTCCTGCTTTGCAGCTCCTTCAACGTGTGCAGCCGCCTTCTGACATGTCAGAAAGGATCCAGTTTTCAGTCTTGAGGCTTGCTTCAAACCGGCAATGGCTTGTTCGCGATAAAGCAGCTAAGACATACTCCACTTTGGTGCCCGTCAGAGACCGAGTAAGTCGTGTCGTAGAGCTGCTCCAACATGAAACTCGTAGTCAGAATGAGGCACATGGCACTTTACTTGCAGTCAAGTACCTTATCGAAAGACAAGGAAAGAACTTCAGCACCGAAGGTCAGTCAGGTTGAAACTGCTCGTTCAACAAGTTGCTGACAAGTGTAGATTTGGACACAGTGGTAACTGTCATCCAATCAAGAATTGATAATCTTCTCTACGACAATGTATGTGCACTTACACAAGCGGCATTTGTGGACGTGCAAACCGTTTTCTTCTACTCGGCTATTCAGAAGCAGCGATATCTGTTCGGTATGTGTTGTCTCGCTTACTAACGGACTACAAGACTGATATTCGCAANNGTACCAGGCACAAGATGGGCTACTGTTGAGGATTTGAACACGGTCCTGGATCTCNCTCCAGATCATTTTGCAGCATGTTCGTTCCTCCGACAGTCTTTGGCGCTATCCCTGATCCACGAGCACGCCCTATTCAGCGGACTTTTTAAGGACAATTCATCAGCGGATATGACAGCAAGGATCCAAACCTTTGAATTGCTGGCCACGCGCGACCCTGACGCTTGCACGACTGCATTACGAGAAGCTGCCAAAATTGGATCTACTGATTTTGTTTATGCCACAGAAACTACAGAGCTTCTGATCAACGTCTCTACCAAGCTTTTATTTGGCGAAAGCGTGGATATTGAGGTTCAAGATGCTGCTCAGGAAGTCCTGGTCAGCTTGTTGTCCCAAGGTGTTGTGGAGAAGAATGCCATCTTCACTAGCTTCAAGGAGTCGTACCTGCCTTCAAGTGCTACCACACCGCTTTTCGGTGACAAGCGACTTATCTTGCAGGGAGCACTACTGAACTTCCGCGCGCAAGATGACTCGCTGAACGATGATCAACTCACGAAAGATTTCAGACGGTGGGTTTCGCAGGTTCGTCATGCTCTGCAAGACTCGANNACGTAAGTTGGACCATATCTCCAAGCCAGGAATAACCCGCTGACAGTCCTATAGCCATTTGATACTAGATATGCGGCTGCGACAGCAACGCAACAGCTTGAAGAGAAGTCTCTAGCATACTTTAACTCTGTTGATTCGAGCAACACTGTTCTAGAATTATGTCTTGCTGTCTATGACCTCTGCAACGACGATGATGTCGAGATCCGAACACTCGCCGCTCCAGTCGGCATCAATGTTCTCAATGCAGGTAGCGAGAAGAAACAGGCTAACATGGTGCCATTAGCCGCGAATCAAGGCCTAGCAGAGTTCATATCATCGGCTTTCGAGAGTAACGCCTTAGCAGCCTCAACAGCTATCAGCAGAGCCACCGGAAATGCCGTCAACACCTCTTTCCCAGAGTCTGTCAAACAATCGCTAGCCGAGAAGAGCAAATCAGGTTCTTCTCTCTTCGCACAAGAAAAGCACAATCTCTTCATCGACGAGACCAGAGAAGCACGAGTGTGGGCTTCTGTCGCTGCTCGACTTCGACCAGACGCCTTCTCCTTCCGTCTACTCATGAACCTTTGCACGTGGGTCGTCGACGGTCTCGACGTCTTGATTGCTGAGATTGAAGATAAGCCTGATACACCGCTTGGTTGGAGCAGGAAATCGGAGGTTTTCGTCCTGGGCATGCAGATCCTATATTCTGCTCAGCTTTTGTTGGGTTTGAATAAGAGAGGCGTTGAGATGCCGGTTCAGGCAAGCGCCGTCGTCAAAAGATTGGATGTGTTTGTGACAAAGGGTCAGGAGAATGGAGTGAACAGTCTGTGGTTACAGACTTGCAAGGAAGTTCTGGAACAGCAGGGTTGATGCTAGAGTGTAGGTCTAGCTAGCGACATAGAGTCACGAAGTGTGACAACACAAAAAGTCATATAGCATTTGTTGATCAGCCGTGTGACGCATACTAGGTCGTTACTTCCCTCAATGAGTTTCTCTGACAAAACGGATTATTGGCCATTGCGATTTGAACTGCAAGCACAAAATCTTGAACGGGAAATGGTAAGTACAGGAGACATTAATGATTCTTTGCGAATATGCATACTTTGGATAGACAATCGACTCAGCGAGGCAGCCATCTACCTTGGCTCCAATACAGGAATCTTGTTGACTTCCACCCGAGCTTCTTCCCAGGTCTCTAGACTGCGTTGCGCCCATTCAATATGACAACGTGCAAATGCCAGCTGAAATAAATTCGTCAGCCAAAATACTGTAAGATGTTTTGTGTAGAGGCAAGGACTTACCATGTATTTCCTCAAGTCTTCTTCCTTGTCGCTTTGGAAGCGTTTTAGATCTTTGAGTACAGCACCACTGGCATCCTTGACGTCCTTTTCCGAGACTTCTAGAGCTTGCTCGAGCTGCAATGGGTGTTAGCATGATACAGCGATTACGTTGTATCTGACCAATCTTACCTGTGTCAGACTCTCCTTCGTCTTGCCGATCTGATCTCTCCTCACGCGCTCAGGATCAGTATCGACGACATTGTGATAAGCATGAGTGAGTCGCCCAAAGATTTTGTTAGTCACGAAATTGCCGCTAGCGCCTCTCTTATGTTGCGTAGGGCTGGTATGATGGTCTTGGTGNGGAGAGCCTTGGGCAGCGCTGGGAGCACTGCCCATGGTGGGAGGGAAGTCTGAGTCGATGCTCGCTGTGTCATCTTCTGCGCGCCTAGGCAGTTGATCTCTGGCAGGGTTGCGTCTAGCAGCGTTACTGCCAGTGCTCATACTACGTTGAGGTGGTGAAGAACCAGAGTTGTGGAGGTATTGCTCGATACGCTTAGCCTCGGCTTCGCTTCTTTCGAGCGAGTCAAGGGACGCCCTCTTCTTGTCAAGTTCCTCGCGAGTCATCTCCTGCTGTACACGCTTCAAGACTCTGTATCTTAGAACGCCCTTGACGATCCCAGCGAACTGAGCGCTCTCGCGCATGGGTTCAGCAAATTGGGCCGACAAACCGCTGGACAAGTCACGGGTTTGAATGTATGTAAAGTCGCAAGCCTGGCCAATCTTCTCAATGGCAGCGGCAACCTCGGCAGACTGTTCGGATAGAGAGAAAGCATTGTAACGGCCGCCTAGTTCCATAAGATCGTCTCCAAGCTTGTATAGATGCTGAAGCGTTCGCTGGTTGACCTTCTCCATAGAACCTTGCAGCAAGGATTCCAGCTCGCGCGACGAGTTTTCAAACTGGACAAAGTAGGGGTCGAGATCTTCTTCCGAGAGGGGTTGCGAGTCGGGAGGGAAACGACCAAAGACTTGAGGACCAGGAGCAGAGTGGGCGGCAACTGATGGTTGTGGCATGGGCGGTGAGCTGGGTGTACCAGAAGCGGAAGCGTTGGCAGACGAGCGTAGTCTGGCCGAGGATGAAGGTACAGGCAGGAAGTTGTGGCCAGGAGAAGGGTTGGCAGGATCGAGTGGAGGAGCCTTGAGGTTGTTCTTGGGAATGTTTACGACGGGATGAGAGTGCAGGACCTCGTTCCAGCTGGCGTTGGGATCGAGGAAGCGCCACCAGACATTGTCGTCGCGCACGTCTTGCATGCGACGGCAGCGATTGAGGAAGGTTGTCAACATGCGCTGGCGCAACTCGATGATGCCTAGGTCCTCCTTTGCTTTTGTGGGTTTGGAAGCGTAGTCGGTGATGGAGTGTTTCTCGGGGATAGGTGGAATGATGAGGGTTGGGTGGAGGGCGACCAGGGTGGCTCTTAGTGATGCGAACTCGCTGTAGCGTCTTCGTACTTCGATATCNCTAGAGCAGTCAGCAATCGTGGTGGCAGGTTGGGTGGCAGAATGGTCTACTCCGGTGCGAATGGTGTAGGTAATGTAGCTGCCTCCGCCCTCGGTGTTCTTGCCAGCGTGAACAATCTGGATGTCGAGGTCGGGGTTCTCATAGAGGATCTGCTCAATGCGACTGTGGTAGCCGCCCTTCTTGGGTTCGATCCTACGCGACTGCGACACGTCCTCGTCGTCATCGTCGTGGTGGTCGCTGTCTTGTTGGTCGTGGTCGAAGGGCTCATCGTGGTAGGTAGACTCTGGTCGGTGGTACTCGGGTGTGGACTGCTGAGGGCTGCTCGAGCCGGAGGGCGGTGTCGACGGGGCTTGACGGAAGNNGCTGATGCGACAGTTAGACGGAGGGTAGAGAGTGGTGGGGAGAGGTGAGGGTCGTGTACCGGGAGCGTCGGACGTCTCCGAGTCGCGCCTGTTGAACGAGCCGTAGGGGTTGTTGTCCTCGTCGTCCCACATTGCGGCGAGTGGTCAAGCTATGGCAGGAGGGTAGAGCGGTATAGATGCTTGGATGTGTGTGTCTGGGGAAGCTGCGTGTTGCACCTGCCCACCCTCGACCCTCCGCCCAACTGGTGGTGAATCTTCGGCTATCACCTACGTCACCGCCAAGCCCTGTCAATGCTTCCAGGCCCTCTGATTCCCTTGACCTTCTCCTTCCTAGTACTGACACCACTCTATACCATGGAACTTTTCTCTAAACAACGCTTCACCATCCTTTCTTTGAGGCCCAGAATTCCCTTACTCTCGCGAAGCTTGACTGCTATGTGTTGTTTCTGGTAATCCGGCAGACTGCTCGAATAGGCAAGTCAGCCGCCGTCCGTGAAGCTTCGAGGCAGGTGGGCCGAAGCAAACTAACCTCATGTCGTGGTCGGCATTTGCCCTTGGTTGATGACTCTTTTGTACAAATTGGCCCCTTTCTCTTCTTCCCTACTCCCAATCAACTTGGTCACTCAGACATTGCCATTCGACGCTTTCACTCAACAGTCCACGGATCAATTCTGATAAACTCGTTTCATATTCTACTCGAATCATGGCACCAACAATTTATGTCGTTCGCCATGCTCAGGGCCACCACAACGTCAACGTATATCTGGTCTTTCTTACCGCTTGTATTTCCACCATCTGATCATTTCTCAGANACCAACATCATCTCCGTGATCCAAATGTCACAGATCTCGGCCGCACTCAATGTACAAACCTCAGCAACACTTTTCCCAAATCTTCCCTTCCAACCTCTCTCACCATCATGGCATCGCCTCTGATTCGCACAATTCAAACCGCTTGTCTCGGCTTCGGTGATGTGTTGAACACGAGACCAGACGTCAAGTTCATACTCGTGCCCTTCGCACAGGAAATCGCCAACCAGCCCTGTGACATCGGATATCCACAAGCAGAACTCAAGCAGAAGATCGCAGCCTGGCTGGCCCAAGAGAACCTTGGCTTTGGAATCGGGAGAATGGACTGGAGTCTGGTCGAGGATGGTTGGAACTCAAAGGCTGGTCCTTACGCCGCCACTCTCGAAGCCGTGAACGCACGCGCTGCTGTTCTTCGCGCAACCCTGTATGCTCATCCCTCTGAGGCCGTGGTACTGGTCACCCATGGCGCATTCCTGCACTTCTTCACTGCCGACTGGGCTTCTTTCGATGGTTCCAAAGGAACTGGCTATGAGAACTGCGAGTTCAGAAAGTTCACTTGGGAGGCTGAAAACGGAGATGGATATCATCTGAAAGAAGTTGGTGGTGCAAAGATCAAGATGGGCAGACCTCCTGGTGTCTATGCTCACGTTCTCGAGGGCATCGAGATGGTGGAAGGGCAGAATCCTAGGCAGATTAAGGTCGGCAACGGCAAGATCTGAGTGTGACTACCGGTATGATACACGAACGCTCTGCGTGGGCGTTGCTACACATTCTGACACATGGCGAAATGGGTTATTCACTTCAGCTTTTAGAATCACACTCGCGATGCTTCTTTACAGATACCGGTTTTCTCTATTAGACATTATAGGCGGGGTGTACTTTGCGGTAGGAAATCTCCGACTTCCACGCTTTGTTGCCATTCAAGGTCTTTCCTCGTCCAGAATCTTCTGTGCTACCAAGAGGACAAACATCTCATGTCTTGTCTTTTTCCTCCCCAGTGGCTTCTCGTTTGTCTGCTCCGCCATTGTTTATATTCTCGGCAGAATACATGCTGTTTGGCTGCACTATCGTTGAACGTGCAAGTCTGTCTTGACGGCCCTTCTGACGACTTCATGCGGTGAAGCTCAAGCTTTACCCGCCGATCTGCTGTCATGTCTGCTTGCCCCTCCACCCTTACTGCCCGATTTCTTGCTGGCAGCCTCGTTATCATGCTTGCTTCCTACACCAGACTTCTTACTGCCCTCACCCCCAGACTTCTTGCTAGCAGCCTTACTAGCAGCCTTGCTTCCTCCTCCAGCACCTCCTCTTCCCATCTCCAAGTCGATAGACGGTAAGTCAAGCTCGCGCTCCTGGCGATGCTGAACAGTGTGACGGTACCAGATGGCTAGTTCCCATTCGAAAGCCTTGATCCAAAGGTACCAGAAGAACATGACGCCGAAGGTTGTTAGGAAGAGGGCAAGTGCGATTGAGCCGGCGGGAGTCATTGTGAATTTGTTGTGGGGGTTGAAAATGAAGTTGTTGAGAGGATTTTGATTGCTGCAAGTCGAGGTTTAATGGTTTAAGTTGGGTTCTACTGCTTGTTTTGGCGGTTTCTTCTCAGTATCGAGAATTGGTGGTAGGGCTTGTTGGTTGTAAAAGCTGATAGTAATTTTCTGTTTTCTTGATATAATGCTCTTCTGCGTTGGTCGATAAGGTAGGATTCCTAATGCCAGATTCTTGTTGTGAAAGATCTGGCGTGTAATGATGCTGTCCAAGTCTGTGTTCGTCGTTGTTTTCTTTGGTGTGCCTCCGAAGTGTAGCGCCCTTGATGAATAGGTAACGAACGGTTGTGAGAATAATTCGCTGTTAGAGAGTGTGTATTCTGATGAGATGATCTGGCGTGGAACAAGCAGTGGCTCAAAAGGAGTGTGATTCGTGGACTCGAATGCGTGAGAGGGAAAGCGATTGTGGATGAAGGAGAAAACTTCAAGCTGTTAATGTTTGTTGTGACGGATTTCTTGTCGAATTCAGTCAACATCGCTCTCCCAGCCACTTTTTCCGGCCATTCATGATCGATGCTCCTCAGCTCTGCAGTCGACCGTGTGAGAGTTTGAGACGATTATCCATCTACACCGGACTGACACAAACATCACACTCACCCGCATAACTATGTCTAGATCACCCTGGATTTCCATAGAGATACAAAATTCTGTATACCGATCCAGTGGCTATCATGTAGTAACTCCTACAGGAGTGAGAAACAAGATTACACATATTACCCTCAATCCACCACTTTCGATGCCTGAAGTCAGTCGTTAGTCAAACGCTGTACCCAAAGCTTTCCAGGGCATCGGACGGTGGCAGTTACAAGCTATCCTCGGGTTGAACTTGTCTAATTTTCGGCTTCCATTGGGAACTTTCTCGTGTTCCCTCGATGATTTTCATTACATGCAGAAGGATTAATACATGTAGATCGATGTTAGTGATATTCACAGGTGCAACGCGCCATGAGTGAACTCAAATCAACCATGGCACCAAATCACCATGGAAAGGTCTATCGACTTGTTCGGCCTTCTCATTACCTACCCAACGCCAGACCCCTTGAGCACCACCCATCTCTGCATCTCCATGTGCCAGTCTCTTCAAGTTCTCAAGTCTTGGTTCGCTCTGCACTTTTTGGAAAAACAGAGGAGTCCAAGTCTTGCCTTCGCTCTCCTCTTGCTTTCTCATCTCGCGTTGACCTTGCTCGACCTTGCTTTTCGCATCGGCGGCTGCTTGCATGTTCCCAGAGTTCAAAGCTGATATAGTTGGACCCCAAGCCTTCCTACTCTCGTAAGGGTCGAGAGTGGACTCGTCTGGGACTTGGACAGGAAGTGGTGGGTGGGCGTTGGTGTCGAACTCTTCAATCACAGAACCAGCCTTTTCGTCGCGGATCGTGAAGAGATCGTTCCAAGTACCGTCTAGCGTGTAGATTGGATGTTTGCGACCGCTATCCTCAGCAGCGTAGACTGCCGCATGTAGACCGTTCTTTTTGCCAGCCAAACCCAGTAGGCGCTTGCCAGAGAAGTCCACCGTGGCGACATAGCCGGATGATGAGACGATGTCGTAGCTGCCGACCAGTTCCGGGTATGGCGTTCCGGTAATCAATCCAGAGACTTTCACAGATGGTAGAGGGATAAGGTAGTCTTCGTCCCACTTGTCGAGGTGGATAATTGCATGGCCAATTTGCTTGATGTTGACGGTGCCAGAGAAGGTGATGTTCTGGCAAGCGTATCCTTCAGCNCTGGTTCCTGTGTTAGTGGCGGGGAGCACTGGGAAATATTCGAGACATACTCTGACGCCTTTTTCATCGTTCCAAAGGTAGCAGGCCGTGACCGGCGGATGATGGCTGNNCTTGGCATCAGCACCTTACCGCTGATTTATTTTTCTCAATAGCTCGACTGACCTGACTTGCTCGGAGATCAGACACGTCCGCCCTTCTCCATCCGCACCGCCCCAAGCTCCCATGAACACTTCACCCAGAAAAGCATTTAATGGCTTCTTGACTCCCGCGCTCTCATCCCTGCCTGCATATTGCTGACGCTTCAGACTTGCCAGGAACCACTTCAGTACAAGTAAACAGCGTTTTTGAGCATCAGGCTCTGATGCTGGAGCACATAAGAGCTGAGGTCTCTCACACCAGTAGGAAGGAAATTCGACAGTAGATTGAGACGCCAATAGGAACGGGGGCGCGGTGATGTTCGAGACGTCGCCTTTGATTGTCGATATACTTGCAACGAACTCCTTCAACGTTGATCTGTTGCCGTCGGCCATGGCTGCCTCTGCTATCTTTGCTGGTGATCTGTTTACGGGGTGTCGATCAGGGTTCAGGGTCTAGGTGGTTGCTTCGTTCTTTTTGTCTTGGTGTGACTTTGACAACGATTACTGCGATTTCTTTCGAATCTCGGAGTAGGCGAATGCGACCAACGATAGAACAAAGATCTATCAGTAGTCGTCCTCGTCCTCGAGATCTTGGTGATGACGACATGGAAACGACTCTTGGCAAAAACGTCTTGCGGAACTCCCGGCTAGATTATCAGCAACTTCCCTTCCTGTAAAAACGCAACAAACAATGTTCATAGTTTCGGTTGTCTACCGAGAGCCCTTTATGTTTCGTACCCCTCGGGCGTTCACTGGGTACACAGCATTCCGAGACTTCATTGTGTATTTGTATAGTACTCCTTGTTCGAAGTCACGGCCGCAGAGAGCTTATTACATAGCTGTGTTTGACGAACGATTTGGTCTCAAAGGGGTCAAGTCAAATCATAGACTATGGTGATGTATAGCAGATACACGAAAAGAGGTTACATTTTGGGAGCGCGGTTCTAAATGAGGCCCTGGGCCGCACTTGATACACGGCCTTCAGGGCTCTACATCAGCACCTAATCCTTCTCGCTCTCATCAGGAGTCTTCTCCTGGGCTCGCACTTATCTTTGCCTTGGCCTCGTCGATTGTCTTTGGAGACCCACGTCACCCCGAACACTTCTGTGATGGCGTCCAGGACACGGTTCTCTTCTTGTTGACGCTGCATTGCAGCGATTGCCTGTGCCTCTTCTCGTTCGAATACTTGAAGGAATAGCTGTGAGGCGGAGAGGCCGTCCATTGCTATACTCAAGGGTCAGTATTCTTCGTATAGAAATCCACAACTCAAACCTTCACCCACCAGGTGAGACAATACAGAAATCTTTCCTATATGGAGGAATCGTGGAGGGAGAGGCCAGACTGTTAGCGAGATGTCGCAGACCCGCCAACGTCTGATGCAGTTTACCTGTTGTAGACTTACGGGATGCGTTGCGGTAGGTCGTCGTGAAAAGGAAGTTGCGTTCCAGCAGGAGTTTCCATCTCTGTACACGGCATCTCGAGTGCTCACTTCCATCGCACCCTCCACCGTTCTCCTATTCCTATCTGGCCACAACCACAACAGGGCCACTGAATCTTCGCAGCTCTCACCACCATCCACACCATTGTCACCATCAAGAAGTCTCCTCCTCCTCCTCCACCACCCACCACAATGCCACCACGCTTCCATAAGAAGCTCAAGACTACGGTCAAAGATCTGGTCACCAAGATCAAGGGCGCTCTTGGTGACAGCAGCAGTAAGTACTCTCGCATCACGTTTCAGTCTTTCTTCTCACTCAAACGATTGCACAGGANNGACAGCATCAGGGCGTCGTCAACGGCCTCACCAACCACTGAACTCGAGCAAGACGCAAAGGCGCGCGCACGGCTCCCTTCCACCGTCCCTGCCACGGAGCGCATGACCCTTGACAAGTGATAGGGCGTGTAATTTCAGGTGGAAGGGAGGCCGTAAGAGCGCAGCGGTATTCGAATTAGTGCCGGGTCGAAGAGCAGGTTGAGCATGAATACACGAACACGACGATAATGAACCAAGACCACTGCAACACTCATCTTTGCCCTATCACATGGCCAACTTTGAGACGTAGAAGTTATTCCAGCGTTCTTCGTTGTCTTGCTATCTTTTCTTATAATCCTCCTGTTCGACCTGGTCTATTCTATGGCTCATTCATTCTTTTGGAATTGAAACTGAACTCGGTAAGTTCACTCAAAAGTTGCTTAGTGGGGAACATAGCAGAAGATTAAGAGACAGTCACGACCTAGCGGGAAGAAGTTAAGAAAAATGGCGGTAGTGTTTGAACATAGTCTGAAGCTGTAGATCATCTCAATTCTTCCGAGAAAGCGAAAGACGATGCCACCTGAGAAGCAGGAGTGTGGTATAGGAGGTGGAATAAGTTCGGCTAGCACAATTCTCGTTGGCGCTTCCAGGCATTGGGAAGATGCAGCTGTAGTCGGTGAGTTGTCCTCCACATCAGGCTTCGAGGAAGCTTTCGAGTCAAGGAACTTTGCCTTCTCCACGAAGCCGAAAGACGTTCTCCATCAAGCGGCGGCAAAGTCGAGCTCACCGGTGTGAGATCTGCTCCATGTCAGGAATGACCATACTCTTTACAAGAAGTGGATCAGGATTACTGCACAAGAAGGGGCCTTTGAGAGTGTGGCAAGTGTGATCTGTTCGCCATAGATGTGATGTGGCTCCCAATGGCTCATCAAAGGTGTTAGTGGTCAATTGGAGGGAAGATGAATGTGAGACGATGAAAAGAGGACGAGGCTGTGGCACTTATGAGTGAGAACCAAAGATCTTTGACGGAAGAACACCCTATACTGAAGAAGCGGAAGGTACGATGAAGTCTTGTGGACGATTTTGCGACACTAGCACAGACTTCCAGCAACAGCGCAGACTCCGGGTTGGTCACGGTGAGTGGGAAGGCACGATGCGCTAGAGTTGAAGAAGGAGCGGTTGCGGGTGATGAAAGATGGCGATGTACTTTTCTGTTGGTGAAACTGGAGCGTACAAACTGTGTTTACACACTGTCTAAAGAAGGTTGACGGCAGTAGTATCCATTAATGCCGCTGGCGCTTGAGCATCCATATGCATCAAGACCTCTATGAACAAGAAAGGTTAAGGTGTTGATATCGCTTCCTATATCAAGTTACTTGTCACCAATTAACGTACTACTCAGTTGCCTCCTTGACCATAGGAGCTGAGACTGAGCCAGATAGGCCGCCAATAACTTTCTCTGTCCAACTCATCCATCCGCTCTTTCTGCCCGATCTAGCCTTGATACCAAACTTCTGCCTGATGTCTTCCTCGGTGAATGCCTTTGTCTTTGTGCGCAACATATCCGCAAGCTCTTGTTTCGACATCTTGGTCTGATCACCAATTGGAATCAAGCAGTTTTCGGCTAGGTAGAGATATTGCTTCTTGAGCACTCTGATGGTCAACATCATGTAATCAATATTGTGGAAGACGAGCGCGCGACCGTTGCTGTATGCTTCCTTACTTTGGAGGAAGTGCACCGGCGCGTCTCTCCAGTGGCGGCGAGGGTTGAGATGGTGAGCAGTGTGATAGCCGTCGTTGAAGCAGAAGCGGTTGCTGGGAACATCGATAAGGGTGATGCTGCTTCTGAAATCCGAGTCGGGGTCCACTTCATCGACAAGAGCATGCTGGCCCCAGTTTCCGATCATGAGTCCAAGGCGCATGATACCAAAAGGAAGTAGAAGGACAAACATGGAGGCACCGAAGTGGACTCTGGTTGCCATGAAGTAGAAAAAGGCGTAGTTGGCCATCTCCGACACACAAGACTGGAGTGCCAGTCTTGACTTGCCCTTACGGAGGAAGTACAAAGGTAGCTCGGCCCAGATAAANAGGAGGAAGCGTCCAACATAGCATGCAAAGTCAAAGGGCGAGTCGCGCTGGTAACGAATTGTCGAGGAGAGGTCGTCCGGTCCGTTGCCCTCGACGTGGTGGTGCTTGACATGGTGGTAGTAGTAAGAGTCCCAAGTGTGACCCATCAGCGGCTCCAGTAGGTAAGGAAAGCTAAGATCGAACCATGCATATTCCTTCTTCAGAACACCTCCGTTGTGGATATGATTGTGCATGAGCAGAGTAAAAGCACCGGCGCACCAAACAGTATACACGGTGTGGATCACACCATGATACCAATGGAAGTCATAGTAGAGGTAAGCGGCGCTTGCCAAATTGATCGTCATGTACAGGATGATATGTGTCAGGAAAACAACATCAGTCGGGTGGCGCACGATTCTCATGGCAATTTTGGTGTAAGGCTTGACCAGATACTTGTCAATGGTGGGATTGAGATCTTTGTCGTCCCATGTTGTGAAGACAGTTGGCACAAAGTCTGGGCTTTTTGGGTCATTTATTGCAAGTAGGTGCTTGATGTCCTTTGCATCGTCTGCTGGGTCCTGGCCTGCGGGNGTTGCCAATGCTTGCAAATCCTGGAGGAGGTTCTTAGAGACCACCAAATCCGGTCCGGTTAGGTAAGGGTCGACATTGCGAGCCATTCTGAATGATTTAGTATTGCAGATAATTGGCCAGTGAGATCGAGTCAGAATTGTGAGTTTGGTGATATCCCGCTCGAGTTCAGTCGAGATGATACAATCCTAATGAGTTGCGGTATGCAAGAAAGGGTGCCAGTTTTCAAGTCCAAAGATTCGTATTGACAATACGGCTAGAGGGTGATGGGCAGGCTTCGCGCCGCGACAGATACGAGAGGCGAAAGAGCGTCGAGCTTGCGGGTCTAAGGAGAGTGAAAGCGCCTGTAACGAGCGCACGGTTTTTAGAGGATGCAAGAGGCAAATCGCAGAGCAATGGACCTTGTATGTGTGATAGAAAAGAACAAACCCGACAAGATCAAGGAGGAAGGCATGATGTTGAATGGTCAAGGAGAGATTTACGGGTCTGGCCGCGTCAGGGTTCAACGCCCGAGCCGCCCCTCGAACTCTGGAGTCTGCTCATGTTTCAAATATGAAAATGCTGGGGTGGTCGAGTCCAAAGGGTTCGCTGTTATTGGACAAACGTGTGCATGGTGGCTACCTGGCGGAAGCAATATACAAATGGGAGGGTTGACTATGGCCTGGCAGAGGTGGCCAAAAGACAAGCGCTGTGGTGGAACCTCTGGAGCAAAAAAGGATCTCCTCTCTCTGAGTCGAACAAAGGACCTTCTGATGACAATCGTACAATTACAGTCAGACGCTCTAAACCAACTGAGCTAAGAAGAGATGATAATTTAATACAAAATTTGCCGTATATAATCTATACATAATCTACAGCCCAGGACGCGACCCAGGGCTCGATCGGCTCAATCCTGGTGCTACAATAGTAACTCTGAGGGCTGGAGAGGGTTATCTAAGCTTTCGCAATGGATTAATCGCTTGTCAAGCTCAGAGAATGAGGCTCTAACAAAAGCACAGTTCCAAGGACATAGTTGTTGTGAGGAGGCAATGGACTGAGTGCGGTTTCTGAGCGAAGCAATTTCCTAGACTGTAAAAGCGCGATAACTCCTGCAAAGTGTGGATCTACAGGGTATAGCTATCGTATACCACCAAGTAACTTGTTGAATATCATACAGTCAACTTTGAGAAGTAGAAAGTCAGATGTGGATGGTGTTATGGACGAAAGAAGACGAGAAGATGGTCATAATTATTGTAAGGAGTGAGACCCTGGCAATGGCGGAGATGTGGAGAAAGTTCGTCGGCCATGACGCCAAGGCGGCGGTAGCAAAGAGAATTGGAGCATTTCGAGCACCTTCACCATGTCATTACCAACATCATGGCAGACTCGAGTGAGACCAAGCCGGTTACGGCGCCTGTCGTCGACGATGCGACCAACACAACCTCAGCTGAGGGAAGTGCAGAGCCCAAGGGCGAGTCCCACAGCGACCGCAAGCGAAAGCGATTTCAAGACGACGGACTCAAATTTGGTCGCGGTGGTAAGAAGAGAGATATGGGCAGGAACGCGTGGTCGTAGGTATTGCTGATGGTTGATGTTGTTATATCGAAATACTAACCACTCCTTAGACGAGAGCAGCCAGACCGAAGATCTCGCAATGACGAAGAAAAGAAGAAGCCGCGTCCAGAAAACTCGGTCCTGCCTGCACCTTTCGCTCAGGATGAGATTGCCGCAGAGGAGCGCAAGCCCAAGCGCAAGGTCGCCGTCTTGATTGGATACAGCGGCACTGGCTACAAGGGCATGCAGATCAACACGACCGAGAAGACGATTGAAGGCGACCTGTTCACAGCCTTCGTCCAAGCTGGTGCCATCTCAAAGGCCAACGCCGACGACCCCAAGAAGTCAGCACTTGTCAGATGTGCCCGTACCGACAAGGGCGTCCACGCCGCAGGCAACATGATCTCGCTCAAGTTGATCGTAGAAGACCCCGACATTGTCCAGAAGATCAACTCGCACCTATCACCACAAATCAGAGTCTGGGGAATCGAGAGGACAATCGGTAGCTTCAGCTGCTACCAAGTCTGCGACAGCCGTTGGTACGAATACCTGATCCCCTCGCACGCCTTCTTGCCGCCACACCCGAGCAGCTGGATGGCGAGAAACCTGGAGGAGGCTGCCGACGAGGTTGGTGACCGTGAAGGTTACGAATCTCGTCAAGCCGAGGTCAAGGACTTCTGGAAGACGGTAGAAGAGCGCGACATCAAGCCAATTGTTGATGCTCTGGATGACGACATTCGCGATTTGGTCCTACAAGCCATTCACGAGCCTTCTGACTTCAATCCTGATGGAGAGCAGCAAGAGAAGCAGGAGGACCAGGTCAAGAAGACGGCCGACCTCAATACATCGACACCTGCAGATGCTGAGGCCAAGCCCGAAGCTGCTGCTGAGGCTGCTGGCACAACTGACACTCCTATGCCTGATGAGTCTGCCACTCTTGAGTCGACAAACATGCCCACGGAACAGAAGAAACGTATCGAGGCTGCTGTCAAACAGCTCAAGATCGCTTACAACGCTGCTCGTCGCGCATACCGCATTCCCGATGTGCGTATCGCTCGTGTCCAAGCTGCACTGGACTCTTATGTCGGAACTCGCAACTACCACAACTTTACCATTCAGAAGACATACAAGGATCCTTCAGCTAAACGTAATATCAAGTCGTTTGTCTGCAACCCGAAACCTATTATCATCAACGGAACTGAGTGGTTGTCCCTCAAGGTCCACGGTCAATCTTTTATGATGCACCAAATTCGCAAGATGGTCGGTATGGTTGCATTGACTATTCGCTGTGGTGCTCCTATCGAACGCATCGTCGAGGCCCAGGGCGACCAGAAGATCAGTATACCCAAGGTCCCTGGTTTGGGTCTGTTGCTAGAGCGCCCTGTATTTGACAGCTACAACGATATTCAAGCTGTCAAGCACGACAAGGAGAAGCTTGATTTCGGCAAGTACGAGAAGGAGCTCGAGGAGTTCAAACAAAGGGAGATTTACCAGAGAATCTTTGCCGAAGAAGAAAGAGACAACACGTAAGTTTTGCACGATGTCGGCAACAAGTACTGGTGTGCTAACAAGACATTCTAGANNTTCCACCTCTTCTTCAACCAGATTGACAACTACAAGGAGCGCCACTTCTTGTACTTGACATCAAAGGGTCTCGAGGCTATCAAGGGTGCGGGCAAGCTGGATGAGCAGAGAGCAGCAAAGTCAAAGAACGACGGCGCCGATGCTGAGGAGATGCAGTAAATATTCGTCTCGTGAGGAGCGAAAACAACGTTAGACTCGCACTCAATGTGTGGTTGAAACGAGCAGCATCGTGACTGTAGATACAAAAGTTATCCAAAAGCTTCAACATACTCGCAATGTTGATATAGCACTTTCGACTACCTTTCCACCTTCCGTTTTCGATCTAAGTTGAGGTCGTGGCTTGAAGGAGCCGACTTGAGTTTACCCGAGGCTCCAGGCAACAACGACTGCTTGTTCAGATAAAGCATCAATTCATCGGATACCACGTAGACACCTCATTCTATCCAAATTAATCTTTCGCTCTGCAGCAATCATGGACACCTCGATACTTGCCAGACTCGAACAACTAATTGCAAATAACAATCGCCATCCATCCCACACAACCGCGAAAACTGTGCTCCAGGACCTAGGGGTACCATGCATCTCTCTCGCCATGAAANATGAAGATACAACCACCTCCCACTGTATAAGCTCTGGCAGCGATGACCTTTCTACTCTCTTCCAGGCCTGCTCGATTTCGAAATCTGTCTGTTCGCTTCTTACTTTCAGATTGATCGATACCGGTCGTCTATCTCTATACACCTCTATATCCGCATATTTGAGCCAGACAGAAGTAGAAAAGCTGGAAACACCCGCAACAAGAGGCATGGCAAAGTTCATCACGATCTCCATGTTACTGTCTCACACTTCCGGACTCGAAACCAGCAGTACCCAAGGCTTTCCTGGATACGATGTTAGCCGTAACGCGAATGGGCATTTTCGCGCCGCTTTGCCAGATTTGGCAGAAGCATTAGAAGGCAATTGGCCGAGTAACACTTTACCTATCCGATTGAAGGATTGGCCCGGCCATGTGTTCAATTACTCTGGGGGTGGGTATGGTATTCTCCAGCTCATCATCGAAGCAGTGACAAACCATTCCTTTGCCGGAGCCATGCAAGAGTACGTCTTCCAGCCACTAGGCATGCAGCGGTCGACTTTCGCCATTCCTGACGATGAAGATTTGAACACTGAAAAACAGCTGGGAAAGGGCAACTATGCGAGAGCCTACTATAACGGCTACACTGCTTGTGAAGCTCCTCACCGCGTGAACCCAGAGCAATCGGCCGCGGGCTTGTGGACTACACCTTCTGATCTCCTGACTCTAGCCTCTGCGATTCAGAAATCTTTGCACAACAAGGACGGATTTATACCGACAGAGCTTGCGAAGCAGATGCTAGAGGAAGTGCAGGCGGACATGGCTCATGGTTGGCGTGTCACTGATACTCACTTTAGCCACAATGGTAGCAATGTGCCTGGCTGGAGGTGCAATCTCCTGGCCAGCTTGGGCGGCAATGAAGCGATATCTTTCATGACAAACTCGGCTGAGGGGTATATGGTTGGGTGCCAAGTTCAAGCTGCTTTGTTTTATCTGCTTGGTTGGAGTAAGCCGAAAATAAGGAGTTGTGTGATTCCTTTTGCCGATATCTCTGCTACTCTGCCTGAGACAGAGGTTATGCAAAGATGGACCGGAACGTGGAAAGAGCAGGGAAACAGGTTTCAAATCGATTTTGTTATCGAGGAGGGGGTGCCATGGTTGAAATTTGGGCAGATGCCGAACCAGAGGTTGTGGGTTGCTGCTCAAGGAAAAGAGGAATACCAGGATGGACACAAAGTTGTTGCAGATCTGGTTTGTAAGGGTGGTATCGAAATTCTGGTGAGAATAACGGAGGACAAGGAGGGTAAACCATTGATGGAGATGTGGAATGGCGCTACAGGAGAGGCAGTGGCGATGGAGAGAGTGCTATAGAAAAGCACAGTGATTTCGAGCATTCGGGCAGTATCCACTGAGAGACCTGGCCCGGATAGGCTTTCTCTGGACACACCTCCAATCTTGATAGCACTTTTGTACCTTGACAGCTAAGCACTCAAAAGTTGAGAACCATGGAAAGGCGTAGTGAAGTCTTATGTTGATCATCCGGTCAGGGTTTCATTCGATATCGCATCAAAACACGTGGCACAGCGTGCTCCAACTGTGGCTTCTCGCGCCGCTTTGGTGTGCCCCATCAGTTCACTATCCGGGAGCACCGTCATGTCTGCCTCTACGTCATGAAGCAGAACGAACGCTAGGGAAAGGGCAAGACTCTGTTTCACGGCCGTCAGACAAGGAGGCGAAAGGGGTTGAGAGAGTGTATGCAGGTGTATTACGGATGATGTCTCAAGGAGGGCAGGTTGACGGAAAAGGCACTATGAGAACACAGAGAATTGTTTGATGACCACGGTTTTTCCATCGAAAGCTCAAGTGAACGACAGTCGAGGAGAAACACTAGTGACGGAAAAAGTGCAGTGAAAAATCTTCCATGGTTGGAGAGTTCCTGTTGTATCTTCACCTCCACACCTACATCTCATTTCTCAACTGATATCTTCTTCCTCACGTACTTCTACATCGCCTCGAGAGCCATGAAGAAACCAAAGGATACCGTCAGTAATGCTTCCGCGCGAAAGAAGATTCGCGCTGTTTTTGAGATAATCAAGAACCTTGACATCAGGGGCGTCCCAAAGCGTAAGTTGACAGATGAGCCACAAGACAAGCAATAAGCTGACAAGTAAGCAGTCACAAAGACTAAGAAGATACTGTACTACCACCGATCATCACGAGAGCTCCTCGAAAGCATGCGCAAGAAGCCGGAAGATCCCAAACAGTTCCTCGACCTTCCGAACGAGATCTTGCTCATGATCGTCGCAGCCGCCGACAAAGAAGATCTGACCAACCTGAGGCTCGTTTGCCGAAGACTGCTTGAAGTTGTCGAAACCAGATTTGCCGACGCTTTTTTCTCGCACCGTATACATGTTGCCTCGATGCACAGCATGGAAGGTCTCCTCAATATTGTCAAGCATCCCTGGTTTAGTCATCACGTCAAGAGGATTATTATCAGCACTCTGAGCACCGATAGCAGCTGCAACTTCATCGGAGAGGAACTACGCAACCCAATCATGGAAGAAGCATTCAACGGCATCAAAGGACATGGCCATGTGATCGATGTCGCGTTTTGCACCGACAACGAGTCTCCAAAAAGATCAGAAGCCCTGGATTTAGAGAATATGTCGGCAGAAACAGAGCCGTCCAGCAAGACTCTATAGGTCCGATCTTTGAGCATACCATGACGAGACTGGTTAACTCAGGCGGCATGTTTGGCAACGTCTTGATTACCATGAGCTCTTATCTAGACCCAGACGAATATGGTTGCCTCTTCGCCGCGATCAGGAAATCACTCGGATCTCTTCGCCGCGGCAAACAATTCGAAATCATCGATAATGCGTTAAAATACTACATTGGATGGCAAGGCAACACCGGCAACCAGCTGGTCATAAGAGAAGCCAGCTTGCGGAAGACCTTGCGCTGGCCCTATCGTCTGATCGATGCGCTTATGCCCTCTTCAATTGCTTATCTCCACCTCAAACACATCGCTATCAACCATCTCACCCTCGAAAGTACTGACATCCGTGACGTACAGTGGCTGGGTGATCTATTTGTGCAGCACTTCGGCTCAGTCACCCGCCTGAATTTGGACCGGGTTGTGATAGTCCAGAGACTCGGAGAGCCAAGTACAGTCTTCAAACAAATCTTGAGAATGCTGAAACTGAACAATTGCAAAATCAAAGACCTTCGAATTGTCGGACAAAGGGATCCCATGGCTTATGTGGTTGCAGTGCACCCTATCTCCCTGGAGGGCTCAGACGTATCAGCAAGATTGGAACAACTGGGTGACGCTCTGGAGATCGATGTGAGGGCCTGGACCCAACAGGTGGGTATCTATGAAGCAGGTGATTGGCAATGTAAGGTGGAACCTCTTGGGGAGACGTGGTCGGACGTAAACCGTTGGTACATGAAGCACCTACGTGCTGAGCATCAGAATCAGCGGCGTCCAAAATCTTTCTGGGAATTGATGTGGGAATTGGTGGTATGACGGGCATTCATTGGCGTTGAAGAACTAAACGGTAGCGCATAATCTGCGTCAAATTCACAGTGGCTTGCTTCTTCTTTTTAAGCTAGTTTGAATACCAACCTCTGTCGTAATAGTCTTTCCGTATTGTCCACCAATGTCCTAAGAACATGATCAGACGTATTATGACAAACAATCTTAAGTTCTGTAGGTAAGATGTTCGATTTGGCGATGCCGGAGTAAGTAATCGAGTGTGAACATGATGACCAGATTCCTGCAGTCGCTGCAACAATGACATGGCCAAAGTGTCTGCCCTGTTTCGACAAGTCAGTCTGCTCTCTGACGAAAACTTCTTACATTGCCTCTTTGGCTCTGCCGAGCTTGACTGGATCGGTCACGCTTCAGTCAGAAGATTCCACAGAGTTTTCGACATGGTTATAGGATCAAATAGTACCTTGGGACAGTTACGGGTTCCTCTAACAAGCTGGGACGTAGTTGAAATCACATATACTAGGCGATTCAGGGAGCCTTGAACAAGGTTGCTTCCGAGAAGTTGAAGTTCCGACTGATGTTGTATGATGTCCATGAGAACTGCATGCGACTGAGAACTTCTTGCTTTACGACGGGTGTTATGTTGGGTCCGCTCGAGGAAGGCACCACCTGTTCCAGTCGTTCAGGGTGACTTCTAACGTAAACCGAAGCACGACGCCAAACATACAAAATACTTCAGAACCTTTCAACTCGACTCACATACAACATTTATTGATCGTCCATCGCCGGTGAAGAATTGCATCCAATCGAACGATCGTCTATCTATGTATTCAGTCGTCGAACGCTTCAGAGCAATCCACATGGAGAAACCACCAAGAATCTTCCTATCACTCAAACTCAGGAGTCGCCAACATCAATCTAACAACTCAAACACGAAGCAAAACCATTCAAGCTGCTAGAAACTGCATCTGCAGTTTTCGAGATGCGTTACAATAGACATTTCCGAATTTCAGTTCCTCGATACTAGTCGTACGAGAGATTGTTACATAGATGTCGTACCTACCGGATCCCAGGGGGAAGCAGATACCTCAAACACTCGGCAACGAAACAAACACTCATGCTCTTTACGGCCGGGGAGTTTCTCCATATTCCTCCACTACTCTGTGGAGAGAAATAGATTGTGGAGAGACACGGAGAAAAGAAAGTCAGTGGAGCGATGTCAGTTGATGGTAGGATATCTTTGGTTATTGTAGCACTTCTCCTCTACCCTCGGGTCAGCATGGGTGAGTTGTCTTCCTGTACACAACAGACTAGAAACGTAGACAGAGATCCAGGCATGCAAGTACCAGAAGAGGATCGTGTGCACTGTGCAGCATGATCGACCGGCAACGTCGTCAAGACTGGTTGTCGGGGCTATGTCGTGCATCTTAGCTTGATACAGGATGATGAAAGTGACACGAGGAGTGATAGATGAAGATCATATTTCGTAGATCTGAGCCTGGCTGTTCCTGTTCTGGATGCAAAAATCTGTTGTCGTGGTTGATTGTTGAGGCACGGATCCCACTACTTGCCTCGACAATCTCAACGTCGTAACGCTGCATCTTTCAGCACCAGGCTGGAGGAAGCGAAGTCCGAACGGGTGTGACAGATGACAGTGGCTGTTCAACCGATGAACCTGTCTCCAGCGTCGATCTGCGAATGAGGAGCGACGATGTTGTTTGTTGAATGCATCCTAGTAACGACTTTGGTCGCCGTATCGTTTGTTAAAAGTCTTAGCAGAATTCCTTGCATGCATGAAGAGAAGATAGTATCATAAAAAACATAAATTCATACACTAAATACAAAAGAGGCATGCTCAATTTCTTGCAGATTCGGGACTCTATCTGCGCTCGACCAGCTCGACCTCGACGTTGTCGTTCAAGGTAGGAATGTGAACGGTTGCGTGGTCTGCCTCCAATGCTTGTTCCTTGGCGGAGAGTGCATCAGCCTTTGTCTCGAGAGGGGCATCGACAACCCAATTCATTCTCTCGCTCGAGTTGTGCATGAAGAGGCAAATAGCGCTTGCGAGTATACAGCCGGGTAAGAAGGAAAACCAGACAACGCGGTATGCGTGAGCCTCTGTCTTATGAAGCGCTGCAAGGCCAGCACCGAGGATTTGTCCGTTGATTCCTGGGATCTTGTCGAGGCCCTGGCCAGAAAAGTAGAATACGATGAGCTGGCCGATGTGGGCTGGGTTGAAGCCGAGGGGAGCGACGGCAGCGACTGCGAATATCTTGTTAGTACTATTCGTCAGTGCATAAAATGATACTGTGAACTTACTGATAGACTCAGGAATCTGAGTGTTTGTGAGAGATCCGTAGATTGCATTCGCGATACCCAGGCCGACAGTACCACCAAGAGTGCGAGAGGAGATGGTAAGAGCTGAAGCGGTACCGATGAAGAGTGGAGGGGTTGAGTTCNNTATAAGTGATGTTGTCAGCTTGTTGCTAGGCAATTCAAGAAAACGCCTGTTGCTTACCTGAACCCAGACCATGATCAGGATCAGGACGGGAGCAAAACCCAAGCCCCCAATACCGTTAAATACAAGGCCCATTTTGCCACTGGTGCCAGCAAGAGCGAGCCCGATGACAGAAGCACTGAAAGAAATGAAGCCAACGAAGATGGGCCACTTGACATCTCTGAATTTGGTAACGTAGATGGAGAGGAAGGGCGAGACAACGGTGATAACCATGAAGAAGGGGAGGAGATATGCGTTGGCCTTGATGGTTCCCGGCTGCTCCCAGAGTCCGTTGACTTGAGACGGGTAGATATTGTTCATCAGGTAGAAGAGCGAACCTTCGACAGCGATGAGCACCATGCAGAGGGGGAAGTTGCGTCCATTTTGGAAGAGGCGGTGGTCCAGGAAACCCGTCTTGGTTCCCTTCCATTCTGTGATAGACAAGTTAGTGGAAGTCTGACCGAGTGATTATCAAGACGTACCATAGATTAAGCAGACGATGAAGAGGACACCACCAACAACAACAGGAACAACGGTGTGAGTCTTGTTTGCCCAACCATAATTGGAATCACCACTCCAAGCAAAGCCCATCAAGAACGGAACAAGAGCGCCCAGGAGTAGGATGTAACCGATCCAGTCGAGAGCCTTGAGCTTTTGACCAAGCGACTGCTTACTAGCGGCAGTACGAGGAGGGGGCNNTGCATCATGCATGGTCAGCGCAGTAAACAAGTTCAATAACAGATAACTTACGAAGTATAGAGCCGCAATACCGATGACGACGAGGCATTCAAGTATGAGTTTGATCCGGAAGACCCATCTCCAGCCATTTACGGGGTCGGCAGTTGTGGCGGCTCCGATGGGGAGAAGGGCAACGAGGGATGAAAGACCTGAAACCCAACTGACGATAGTTTGACCGTAAGCGCGGTAAGCTCCGGGAAGGACTTCAGATGCAACTGCAAACATGATACCAGAGATACCAGATGCAATACCAGAGAGGGCCTGACCAGCAATGACAGCAGTCATACCACTGGCAGTCATAGACACGATAGAGCCAATAGCGAAAAGACTCCAGACGACGAGAATGAGATATCTGCGGCCGTAGACATCCGAGATGATGGCAAAGATCGGGCCGAAAGCGATAGCAGGAACGGCAGCAGCCTGGACGATCCAGATTCTTTGACTTGCAGTGCCCTGTAGAGCTCCAGCGATGGCGTATTGGTTCGCAGCAGGGGCGATACCGTAGTATGTGTTCTGGAACGTAGCCAGGGCGCAGATGGCAACGATGGCCCATGCTCTCCAGGTCACTGGTTGTTTATGATCAGGGTCCTGGCCCATGGTACCGATGACTGTGACTTGTTCATCCTTGTTGTCGACAGCGTACGAGTCGACTACGTGAGAGTCTGGGAAGGCCGACACTTCCATGTGGGTGGCATTCGACTTGTCCATGCTGGGAGCCGAGGTCAAGAACAAGGAGAGAAGAGTAAGAAGACGTCGTGCTGCCTTTACAAAGTACTGCAAGGTGCTCGAGGTGGAAGACTGATGCTGACACGAATGGCCGTGGGGTACAGAAATTCTGGGGAGGTGCAACGTGGGATCTTTATGGGGTTGATGTCTCCGCAACTGGCCCGGTCCAATATATGGTCTATCTCTGAGCCCTACCGTTGGTCGGTAGTGGGCAAGAACTGGGGAAGGATGGTATCTTGTGGGCGCGTCCGACACCGAAAGTCTGGGGGATATGAGAGGCAAGCAGCCACCCGCTGCTCTAAAGGAGCATCGTCGGTGTCGCAGAGAGCAATTCAAAAACAGACTTTGCTCTTCCTGGCCAGTCGTCCTGTAGAGAAGCGACATTCAAGCCATTGTTGTTTAGCTTACCGTGTATCGTTGGCATGTTGTTCGAGACACCCCACATCTTCTGTAGTGATGCGGGATGTGGACGCGGGTGAGTTCGGTGTATGCACAAAGGTCAGCAAGAAGTGCTGCTCTAGACTGGCCAGAAGTCATGAGTTCTCCTTCTCAACCTGTACAGGCCACGAGTTTTGTCAATGAGAGTCAACTCCACGTCTGGACCCCGCGTTGAGCGATGGCGTGGAGGAAGCCAGGAACATTATCTCGATGTCCGATCTCGTCTTTGTCGTCCATGTCGAACGCAGAGAGAAGACGATCATGCTAGGCTCTCGGAGATGGGTGTAAGGCAGTAATGAGCCTCGCACCTGCTGGGATTATAGAGCGACGGTTCGGAGGGCCTTTTGCTCCGAATGCGGGGAAGACTCGCTCGGTTCGGCGCAGTCGAGCTCGGCGAGTCGAGCCTTCCTGAGCGTTCGAACTCGCACGCGATAGAGCATGCACTTTCCATTCTCTGCTGTGTTTGGTGTCTTCTTCACACGAAGCATACTGTTACTCGTGAGTTCCATGAGCTCTCGTGTGTCCACTTCTGCCAATCAAACAAGCCCTAAATCGTTCTCGATGGTCGATCCTGGCCTTGCAACCGGAGTCTGATCCGCAGAACGGAGCACTTCCCCAGTCTCCCTCGGCGAGGCCACCGGCTGAGCTCGGGCGAGTCTGTAACCTTCCCACGAGGCAACGGACCTCCATCGGGTGAGTGCGAACCACAATCATAAGAGCAGCCATAATCATCCCTAAAAGAGCCCCTCCTCTTCTCCAGATTCAATCTCAAGAGTATTCACCAAACAACATCTCACCTTCACATCAGTCAAACTCACAATGGCCACTGTTACCATGACCCAGACTAAGACGGTCCAGCGCGAGTTCAACGAAGCTCCCAAACTCGACCCCAAGACTACTATTCACGCCATTCCTCCTTGCGTTGTTCACGACACTCCTATTCTGAATGTTCTCGATGAGTCAGTGCACTATGGCGACTTCCGTGATGGTAAGCTCCTGATACTGTCAAGAGATTGTCATTGCATTCACTAATACTTTTTCTAGNACCTTGCCCGTGATGGATTCTGTGTTGTCAAGGGAGTCGTTGAGAAGGAAAAGGCGCTCAAATATGCCGACGACATCAAGGACTGGCTTGAAGGTTTCGGACTTGGCTACGACCGCAATGACCCTTCCACCATCCGCGAAGAGTGCCTGCCCATCATTCACCAAAAGGGTCTCCTTCAAGCATACGGTGCTACTCACGAATCTTTCACATGGGCAGTTCGCTCTGAGCCTGCTGTCATCGATACCTTTGCAAAGCTCTACCAGGATGAGGATCTTATCTGTTCCTTCGATGCTGTCAACGTCTCGCTGGCCAATCGTAAAGATCTGCCCGCCAACGGTGCATGGCCTCACCAAGATCAGGACCCAGAGCGTGGTGGTCTGCGCTGCGTCCAGGGTTTCGTCAACCTCTTGCCTAACGGCCCTGAAGATGGTGGTCTCCTGGTGCTGAAGGGTGGCCACAAGGTCAGCGAGGAGTATCACAACGTTTTCCGAAACGAGCCCCGCGAATTCAGATGGACAAACGAGATGTACCTCTTCAAGGAGACTGGTCTCAAGTGGTTGGCAGACAGAGGTCACGAATGGGTCAAGGTTGACGCTGAGCCTGGTGACCTTGTTCTTTGGGACTCTCGCTGCCCTCACTACAACGCATCGCCCAAGAAGGACACTGACAGATTTGTTGTCTACGTTTGCATGTTGCCAGTCTCAACAGCAACACAGGAAGATCTGAAGCGCAAGAAGGAACTTTTCGAAGAGCAACACGGTCACAGCCACTGGCCTATGGCTCTTCAGCCCTTCATCAAGGCTTACTTGGAGCCAATGCGCGATGGCAAGCCCGATCCCCACAACACATGGAAGCCTCGCCAGGCACCACAACTTAGCGAGAGAGGATACAAGCTCACTGGTATTCCTTACATCAAGGCTTGATCTTGCGGTTCAGGAGGAGTTTCGGTTTCTATTTCATCATGCACATATTCCCACACCTTTCTGTAGCTCATGTCTCTTAGCATTCATTCAAAATCATGATTACCATCTACTTTTCTGCATGACTTCCGCTATACATGTCTTGATGTGCAAAAATCATCAACCTTATGCAAAAAGGAAGAGATAGAAGCATTGAGAATCGATGCCATCGACGGCATGCTGGTCTCCTAAACGTGCACAGTCTTCTCTCTGACTCCTGCGTCAATGGCTTCTGCAGAGCCAAACACATTTCGACGCAATTTACTTGTCAATACGCACTTAACACTCCAGACGAACTTTCTTTACTGACGGACGTTTATCCTTGTTTTTGAGAAGAAGGGAAGAAGGAAGTAGGAGCTGACCATATGTTCTCGTTTGGACAAATCTCCTCCTCTCAAACGTGCGACCTCATGCTGAACGCTTCCAAGTTTCAACGCTCCTAATCTATTTAGTTGCCACTTACTCGACATAGTCTTGACACTGCAGAGATCTTTCGCTCCTAAGGATGCCTCATACTCTAGTTTAAGTCCTAGATGAGCTTACCAGATCCATTATGGACCTCTTCGACCGAGATAGTTTTATTGAATTTCGCATCACCTGCATGAGGAATCTGGACGTGGTCGGCGTAAACTCTCACAAGACGTCTGTCAGCAGTCGTTATCATGCTGTCTCTTATAGACATACCGGAACATGATCTGGACAAGAAGGTACTCGAGGCATACACTCATTGGCAAAGATACGAGGTTGTGCATGAGAAGTCTAGATTTGCAGAGGTGCTTGCAAGTGGAAAGGATCTGCCTGGGTTGATCAAAAGGTTCGAGTTTGATGAGTTGCCTAAGGATAATAGGGGATTCCTTGGAGCCTTCCAGGCTTTGCTTGCGGATGGAGAGGACTGAAGGATATGCGTGTTACAAGTTAGGAGGTTGAGCTTGGTAGAATTGTACGGGGTCAAGTTTGGATGCAAGGGTCTGGTATTGAGCTGAATTTTCTTGAAACAAAGCTTTTTCGATCCGGACTGCTGGAGCAACTTTCTTTGTGCATTCTCGACTGATGATATAAATCCAAACTGTGATACTCAATGGTCCGGACTCAAGACATGCCATGTCTCTCGAGTCTTCATGATATTGCATAGAATACACTTTTGTCTTCAAAGAAAGATTGTTCTTGGCCCTCATAATAGTATCAAGCCGCGAGTCCTCGTGTTCCTAGACTTTGGACCTGTCAGGGTTGTTGAGCCGTCTTGGAATTCGGCCGATATCTGCCTTCTGGAACGTCGTCTTACAGTCTCGTGTTTGATATGACCGGTAAGCGTTGTTCAACGCATGAGCGATATAGTTGACCCAGAAGAACACGAGAGTCATCCTGACGCCCTCGTGCTTTCTGATATTCTGGTTCTGACCTGGAGAACCGCTGTGACACCAGACTCCAGAAGCCGCCGAATGAGGACTGTGTAAACTTGATCACGTTACTGGGCACGAGCTCAGGATCGGTATTCTGAGATTCCTTAGATTGGCGCAGGAGATACTGCCAATATAACAGAACGAGCTACAACCAAGGCGTGAAAATTTTGGGAGACTTGAAGAGACTGTCTAAGGATTCAAGAGGGTGCTTGGAGAAGGTTGTACCGGACATATTCATGGCTGATGGAAGAAACATCTCATTTTACAACCTCTATACGACTAGGGATAGCAAGAGGATAAAGGATCTGCTACCACCTGCAATGGAGTCTGGAGGAGTCAATCTATTAACCTGATGTGGTCTCAGGGGCATCAATGACCATGAACTTCGAACACGAGTAATAATAAGTAAGTTTACCTCCAGTAGTACAAGCTCCCTCGGCGACTTGACTGTGATGTCGATTAATAACAGTATGACTGTGTTATCTTGGCGGGAGTGTCGATTGTCGTTGTTATGGTTGCCGAGACGGAAAATTGAGCAGGCCATCGAGCGTTTGCTCGGCATCAAAACAAGTTCTTCCTCGACGGATAGATTCTGCATTCAACATCCTTTCTCTACAACCTACCCGTGCTTAAGTCGTTCATCATTCAATTACACTCACCATCACTTCCAAAACCATAACATCGCCCATGATACCGTCCGCAACATCGCCCACCACTTGAGCTCTGTTGACACAAAGCAGACTTCTCGGATCTTCCACAGGAGATTCTGGAGCGTGTGGTCTACTTTACATGTCCCGAGGACCTCGTCTCCTTTCGTTTGACATGCAGAAGATTTGAGGGGGCCGCCACGACCTCCTTCATCAGGCATTTCATCAAATGCCGCCGACATGTAATCAGTATTCACAGCCTCAAGGCTTTGATCAACATTACTGCACATCCATACTTCGGAAAATTTGTCAAGATGGTCGTTCTCGACACTACGTGCCCCTTCGAATACGTTGGTGGGAAGTATGCCGGCAATCCCGACGAGGCTTTGAGCTATAGGGGTTACCAAAATCTCCTCTGTGAAGCATTCGGCCAACTGAAGATGCATGGACATGCTGTCACCTTGGACGTGACTGATCGCAACCCTGCTAGCTTCGGTGTGAAAGAACTACTATTGCGACCCACAGCCCATCTCTTCAAGCAGGAAAGGAGCGGCATCCGCTACGATCTGTACACAGAAGCCGAAATCGCCAAACTCGACATCAGCAGCTTCGACGTCGAACCAATTGAAGTTCATGGGAGCGACCATAATGGTTTATGCGCGCCTTTCTTCGCACAATCAGTTGTCCGCGATGTGACAAGGTACACGACCCCAATCTCGCTCAAGGTCCAAGTGAAGATGACAAACACGAACGACATGGGTTGGTCTTGGTCAATGAAGGGAGTAAAGTGATGTTCTTGACGTTATTAGTCAGTACTTGTCCCAAGACGATCATTTCTTACACATACTTGTTGTGGCCAAGACACTGTTTGGACTAAAGCATTCCAAGGACCTGTTTGCCGCCAGTCAGTCTAGTAAGGTAATTGTCTTTCCTCGCAAGCTCACCATCAGGACCAACAGTCGTATCAAAACGGAGTGATCTTGGAACACCTGCATAAGTCCCGAGGTAGAAGAAGCCAATCAAAAGCACGGGAAGCATCTTGGGCCACCGAGTAGTTGCTGACGATGGACTCTAACAGTGGAAAAATGATTAGAACTTCAGTTCGATGCTGGCAGATCTCATGAGTTATATCCAGTCGAAGACGGAGGTCGTCCCATCCTGGTGACCCGATATGCTGTTCCGATTAATGCATGCGTGAGGTAGGTCCCAGACATATTAACAGACTGCCAGTGGCCTCGGTCGTGCCAACCCGTGTTCATCGCTCGGCGCATCGCCTAAGCGCCCGATTTTCGACTAGATTAATCAGCCGCCATGTCTTCGCGCCGGGGCTTCCAGACTGGGATTGGGTAATGTGCCGAGCGAATAGTAGAGAGCTCCATCAAGGAGGCGCGGGGAGAAACAGCAGAGAACACGTGGAATTGAGTGGTCCAGAAAGGGAAAGGAAGCTCTAGGTTGGCAGGCGGGATGGAGACCCGCCGAGAGCGGAAAAAAAAAGAAAAGAAGAAGAAAGAAGCAAAAAAAGAAAAGAAGAAAGACAAACCACACCGGAGCGTACAAGGTTTCGCGAGTGCTCAAAAGGGGACCTAGATAGATGAAGCAGATTTTCAGAGGTCAAACTGGTATTTGATACAAAAGAGGCCTGATATCAGACTATAGAATAGGTAAATCGTATATACAAAGGATAAAGAATAGAGAAAGGAAAAGTGGTGGTAGAGAATATTAAACGCAGCGCCTCAAGTCGACAAATCTCGTACAAGATTATTAACACTTCTTACAGAAGGAAAGCAGCGAAAGCGGCGACACCAGCCAGACCAGCGGCACCGACCTTGTTGGCGGCACCAGTGTACTGGGAAGGCGAGTAGGTTGAGGTGGTCTTGCTGCCAGAGCCAGTTCCTACAATACCGGTTCCCTTGGGACCACCAACAGACTTCATGGTGCTGTTGGTGACGGCATAGGGAGCGGAGGTAGGAACAATAGGGGCAGGGGCAGAAACAGCAGGAGCCGAGTCCTGGGGAACACCGCTGGAGTACTCAATGGGAACCCAAGATGACGAAACCACGCTGGTAACGGCGTAACTGGTGGGAACAACTTGAACGATAGTCGAGGTTCCCGAAACAGTCACGGTCGAACTGCTGTAGTAGAACATCGTGGAGGGTACGATAGTGACAGGAGCCGAGGTGGTCTCAGGGCTGACGGGGGATGATCCGGCAGGGGCTGATCCAGCAGGCGAGGAGGCGGCGGGGACAGACGAGGTACGAGACCAAACACTAGAGACAGTGATGGCAGTGGGGAAAATAGTAGTCGACTCGTGAGCCGGGCAATCAGTAACTTCAGGGGCACAGCTGATGATGGTGGCGATCTTAGTGCTGTAAAGAGTGACGGTCGAAGGGACAGCAACGTGGCCATCAACCGAGGCAGGGGTGGTCTGCTCAGGGCTGACGGGAGATGATTGAGGAACCATGGTGTGGGTCAAAACAGCGGTTACGGTGCTCTTGGAAGTGACTTGAGTAGTGATCACAGAGGGAGCAGTTAGAACAGTGGTGGAACCAGAAGCAGTGACACTAGGAACTGTTAGTCGGGTTGGGCAAAAGCACGGAAAGGAAATATCTCACGTTTGTCCAGCAGGGCATGTAGTGACTGTCTCCTTGACGACATCAGTCACATAGACAGTGCTCTCGAGCGAACTAGGAGCCTGAGAAGGAACGGCGTTGTTTCCAGCGGCAAGAGTGATGGTGTGGACTTGGGTAGTCGAAACAGTGCTCTTTACCGTAATGGCGGTGGTCATGACAGAGGGAGCGGTCAAAACAGTGGTAGAGCCGGCGGACGTGATGCTGAGATATTGTTAGGAAACTCAAAAGAAGAAAAAATATGGATATGGATAGATCTTACGTTTGACCAACAGGGCACGTAGTAACGGTAGTCTTGACGACGTCAGTGATGTAAACCGTGCTTTCAGTCGATGTTGCGACAGAGACGGCGCCAGATTGAGCATCAGCAGTGGAAGCGCTGCCGTTGTTGTAAGGGCCGGAAACGAAGGCAGCTCCAGTAGAGAAAGCACCAGATGCGGGACCAGTAGTCAGAGCAGCAGTGGCCTTGGTAGTGGCGTTGACGGAGGGGATGCTGACGGTAGGCTTCAGGCTGGCGGGAATGCTGGTGACCTTGAACGCACTCTTATCGAGACATAGCATGTAAAGGTGGTTGCAAGAAGTGTAATCAGCAGTAGTGCTTGTTTCACACAGGTCCAGGGTGATTCCACAGTCGTTACGGCAATCGGCGTTCTTCTGATCACACTGTGCTGATGTCGCGTTGGTCATCTGGCATGCTTGGTTACGGCCAGCACAGTCCAAAGGCTGGTAGTCGACCAGGCTCGTAGCGAGGCTTCCAAGACAGCCGTTGTAAACACCTAAAGTGCTGTCAGCATCTCAAAGCTTTCGTTAATTACTCCCTTGGTTTTAATCATACCTTGACACTGAGCGGAGGTCGAAGCATTTTGCGAAGAACTGGCGCAGCTATCCAAAAGTTGCGAGCATGTGTTTTTGCCTAAGATAGGGTCAGCGATGGGAGGTACAGAGGGGGAGGTACAGAGGATTTCGTTTTTGACCAACACCACGGAAGGAGATTGGGCCGATCAAAAGCTACTCGTACGTGGTACCACTCACATTGGGCCGCTTGGCTGTTACATTCGGCATCGGAAAAGAGTCCTGAGGACGAGCATGCAGTGTATCTCTTGATGCAGTTGATGTTTTGAGCAGCCTGCTCAGCTTCGGGCGAGGCACCCAAGCAGTTCTCATATCTCTTTTGGCATCCGAGTTCGGCCGAGGCGTCTCCACTAGAAAGGCAGACATCGTTCTATAGTCAGATATGTCAGCCTGAGTCGAGAGTACACATGCAAGGAACGTACCATGCGAGAACATTCGGACTTGCAGACGGCAGTCTTTGCAGAGCAGTTGGCCGATGAATCGCCTCCGATAAAGCAGTCCGTGGCATCCTTTACACAATCAATCGTCGAAACGGGAGAGACTTCGTAGCTTCCAAGACACTGCTGGTAGTGGGTCGAGCAGGCAGCGTGGATGCTGGAAGAGTTTCCACCGCTGGTACATGTGTCCATCTAAGATACGGGTCAGTGACAAGAAAACAGATGTAATGAGTACTGAGATACTAACCGAACGGCTGCAAGTTGTCTTACAGATAGCTGGTACACGCGTCAATACTAAGTAGAATTCGTATAAGGCTTCAGGTCTTACCATTTTGGGCATCACACTCGGCGTCAGTGAATTTTCCGCTAGTGTAGCAAGACTCGGTGCGAGTGACGCAATCAACGACGGATGTCTGCAATTTTGAACTCCCGAGACATGATTGGTAACGGGCAGAGCAAGTAGAGGAGACACTGGGGTCTCCGCTGCCTGAATAGTTGTTAGCAAGGGCAAAAAATATAGACAGGTATCTCATACTTGTGCATGCACTGAAGTCTCTCGTGCATTCGTTCTTGCCTAACAAGCTGTTAGCAAGAGTCATCGAGATAATGTATTGGGCACCAACATTGAGCATTCGACGAGTCGCACTCCTGATCTGATTTGCCGTCGAGGTAACACTTTTCGACGTCTGCGACGCAGTCAAGATCAGAGGTAGTAGAGTTACTTCCCGAGGTACATTCAGAGTAGAAGGAAAGGCATCCACTCTCAACGCTAGAATCTCCGCTCGCTAAGCATGTAGAATAAAGCATTGAGCATTGGGTCTTGCAGTCTGCAAGGTCCATGTCTTGCACGTTGTCTCCCGAAGTGGCGTTGAGGTAAGAAGATTCGCTGTTGGAGACGCAGTTGGAGGTCAGAGTAGGGAGGTCTTTGGCTCCAAGACAGCTCGAGTACCAAGACAGAGCGGTTGCGTTCTTTGAGCTATCACCACTGCCAGAAAGCACATCAAACCCTCTAGCGCAGAAATCTTTGCACTGAGCGTTGTGGGCCTGGATGTCGTTCTGAGTGGAGTTCCCTGCCTGGATCAAAGCCTCGACCTCGGAGACACAGTGGACGTCGCTGGTCGAGACCTGGCCGACTCCCAGGCATTGTTCGTAAGAATCCTGGCATTGCGAAGACTTGCCGTTTGCCTGACAAGCATCTAGCAAGACACCGCAGGTTTGCTTGCAGGTAGCTGTAAGGGCGGCGGCCTAAAGGGATAAATCAGCTCAAGTCAATGTCTCTGTCCTCAAATATACTTACATCGTTGTCAGCGACGTTGTCGAGGTAGGCTTGCTCCGCTTGGGCGATACAAGATGAAGAGGGGGCGGTAGCGTTGTTCGAACCCAAGCATGCCTCGTATCTCTTTTGGCAAGATTCACTCGAGCCACAAACATCGAGGACGGCGCTGCACATTTGCTTGCAATTTGCGACTTTACTATCGCATGCGTTGGTAGAATCATGCGAGGCAGATGCATAGCAGGGAATGACTTGGGCCAAGCATGAACCCTGGAGGTTGCTAGTGGAATCCACGCCAATGCAGGCATCGTAGCGTGAGTTGCACACTGCGTCAGAGGAACCACTGGATCTGCAGTTGCTGCGAGCGGTACTGCATGAGTCCTTGCAAGAACTGGCTTTTGACGAGCATACATTGTCGTTGGAGAGGTTGAAGTCGTAGCAGGAAGTGTAAGCCGAGATGCAGCTTTCCGTAACGTTTTGTGCAACGGCGACCGTTGCGAGGCCGATGAGGGCCGGGATAAAGGATCTCATAACGAGTGGAAGCCGAATAGTCGGCAAAGGTTGGTATTAACGAAAGACAGCCCCGTGAGTACAACGGGAAGAAGGTTCGATAAAGGGAAGAAGAAAGAAGACGAAGGGTAAAGTAGAGCTGTCTGAGCAGCAGGGACGTCGCATGTTTATGGACGAGACTGATCTGCAGCCAATTCGCCCGAGGAACCGTACCTGCGCTAGCATGGACGGATCCGCGTGGAAACATAATTAGACCCGTATCCGCACACCTCTGACGCATGAGGGCCAGATAGGCCCGCCCTGAACGGAAGGCGGACAAAATTACCCACGATGCGAGTTACAAAGGATTCGTATCGTGGTGGTAGCTATGTGGGGTATGAAAATTTTGTCTCAACTTGAGACGTCGGCGCCTGAGCCAGGTGAGGTTTGACAGCTTCGACTCACACAGGAGACGTATCTGTATATTAGATGCGGCTTCCGTTGCTCAATCCGTGCACTTCCAGTATTCGTTCTCTTTCCCGTTCGATGTGTTCGAGGAGGTATCTGGAGTATTAATTCGACCGCCTCCGCACCCTTCGCGATGTACCTGACGATCACTTGGTGCAGGGTTCCGCTGTCCCGCCTGCAAATTGGATTTTACGAAACCCTAACAATCTTTAGCGACGCATCCTGCCGCAAATTTGGAGCAGGCCCGCACTGGCACTTGGCGTCTCGTATCAATCGCCGCGAATTTAAATGGAAGGAGAGATAGAGTGGCCTCGAATTGGCCTTGTACCCATGTCAGGGACTCATCGAATTGCGATAAACAAATGAAGACAAGATGATGTCGTCGAGAGAAGACGTTGTTGGAAGTTGCACTGCACTCCACGATCGCAACTGTCGTCCAACGAGGAGGATACGTTGAAACGTGGAAGCAGGCAAGAGCGTTGGGCCGGCTTGGCCGAGACATCGACGTCGTCCAACGTTCCTCCCAGAAAATATCTTTCAACCTTCCCAAACATGACAACAGCCTGTGGGCACGTTGAACTGGTTATTGAAAACTCTCCGCGACACTGCTAAATAAAGAGTGAGATCGAGATATACGACATCATTTCCAGGCACACAAACCATCCGCGAGCGCTTCCACAACGGTCGACAAGCATTGGCGACCTCTGTCCATAGGCTTGGTTGATGACTGTCGCTGTCGCTTTCCACATGCGGTATTGCGACGGCATTTTCGTCTATCTCTGCACTCAGGATCAGAGTCGATGGTCTGTCAATGAGAGAATCCGATGATAATTTCTGTACTCATATTCAATTTTCTTCAATCTTCACCAGTCTCTACAGCAAGTAAACCGGGCAATTGACCCATCGAATACTCATGGAACACTTAGCATCACAAATGGTAATACCGGCCTTGGTCACAGTCTCTTGGTCGGTTTAGATATTTTCTTTTGAGCAACAGTCGACAGTCTGAGCAATTCGTTGCAAGCTTCTCAAGGGCTGAAGCTTGGGTAATCTCACGTCGCTCTTGTCTTGATGAGGATCCTCCACGCCTTGGCCTGGCCAGTGAATTGTCTTGACTATACACAGCTGTGGAGTATTGACGAATTGAAGGTCTCTCCTCTGTAGCGGTCAAGGTCACAGACATAGACCGGCGCTCCTTTGTTAGGGCTATAGTTCTCAGAGTTCGGCAAGACTTGAAGGTTATTCCGTGTTGCCGCAGTAAAGCGATTGAGGTTATCAGTCCGGTGAGTCGATGCTAGAGCGGGTATCTCGAGATCATGCTCAGGACTGATGTCCACAGCTGGTGGGTGCATGCTAGAATGAGGAGACTCGTCGAGCTGCATTTGACGAGGCAGTCTCATGCCATTGGCGGCTTTAGCGAACCTGTTTCGGTCTCTGGCATTGAGCTCGGGGGCATTGCGTTTGACGCCAGAGCGATATTGACATGTGGATGGCGCGTGTTGCACGATTTTGACTTTGCCCTCGTCATCCGGGGCGTAGTCACTATCAGACATGGCTGCTGAGTAGCGAGAGCAACAAGCTGAAAGTTGACTTTGGTTGAAACTAGCAAAGTTGCTGGAGGTAGGTTGACAACACTGAACAAAAACTCGCAGACGGCAGGTAGAGATAGATATGTTATTCAACGCAAGTGGGATAGTGTTGAGGTCGAATGCATGACCTTCTGCAACTCGAGAGCAGGAAACACGGAAAGAAGGGGTGTTATTGTTGAGGTGATTGAATGATCACTTACGTTACAATGGCTCGCTTATTCCCCAGATTTCCTCCGCTTCGGTTGGCAAACATCATCTTCTTCATCAACGACAAACCCATCTACCCACGACGCAATGGACAATCATGAAACCAACAGAACCTACGTCAACGGCTATGTTTACAATATTCTGGTCAGGGCAGACGAGCTTTACGACAAAGGCGCACTCGAAGAGTGTATGAGACTCCTGCAACGCCTCGTTGATGACTACGACATGGGCATGTTGCCAAAGACCAAGACTCTGATATTGCCGTGCATGCTCGTCGACGACTGAGACTACGCACAGAGCTGTCGTCTCGAGGCCGAAGACTTGTGTAACCAGTATCGTAAGATCCTTGAAGAAAGTAAGGTCACGATCAGGGAATCATGGCCGACTTCCGCGCTTCTCTGGACCACCTCAAAGACTTCCAAGCAAACGAGCGCCTTGAGATCGATGGCAGTGCCGAGCCCAATGAAGAAGACATCTCAGAAAATTCCGTGGAAGAGATGACCGACAGAGAAGTCGACTCTGGACCTAGCACAAATCGCGGCATCCAAGTAAGTGACACTACTCAATCATGCGCTTCACTTCCACCGACGTTTCGTCTCTGGCCTCGGTCCGACCATGCGCGTTGCTGTCAAACTACACGATACCTTTGAGGACACTGAGACTTCCAATGAGAGCTGTTATCTTGCCGACTCTCACTGGACAGATTTCTGAGCCTAGAAGCTATCGTGCATTGTTAATGCCGATTTATCGCCATACCGTACCGTGTAGGATAATGCTAACACTCACTTATAGGTCAAATTCCAAGTTGAGCACCGCTGAATATTAGGCGCTTGAAGATTACTATACCATCAGCATGCTTTGCTGAATAGCACTTTACACAAATGAAGAAAACCACCCATCCTCAGCCACTCGAGACAACCTTCAACACAGAAAGAAACAACCAACAAGTGTGAACAGCGTGACTTTTCCGTCCTCGCCCTGGCGCAACCGAGTTCAAGCCCAAGGACGCGGTCGAATCAGCCGCTAGAGAAGGGAATAGCCCCAAGAACACACCTTCTTCCTCTCCTAGTGGTGACGTTCGAAAGTTCCCAACTTTTCTCATGTGCCAAAACCATTCAAAACGTGCAGCTATAGAAAAGCATCACACTGACAAGAAACAGAACGGTACCCATTCAAAGGAGACATGTTGGAGGCTTTCTATGGCTACATCTTCAAGTTGCAAGCCTTTGTACAAAGTCTTTCTATACTCGAAAAATCGCCCTGTATTACTGTGTGAGGATGTGGGGGAGAATGCAGCGGTTGATAATGGCTGAATTGATGGAGTCAGAGGTGCAGTATGTCAGCTTTGAATGACATTTGAAAGTTCATACAAAGTCGACAATGAAGGAGGCCAGCACTGAGTGAGCTGCTCTCATGCGAACAGGCTAAGCATCACAACGATTCACTTTCTCAGATTTCTTCCGAAGATTGCTATTCTCGCCTTCAAGAAATTTTTCTGGCCACGACGCAGCATTTAGATTGGCCTCTTCAGTAGTGCGCTTCTCCCAAGTTTGGTTCCTTCTTGTCCTTCGCAACTTGTGCAGTACATATGGAACCCATCTTTTGGAGACCGAGACTAATCAGACATATCATCATACCGAGAACAACAAGAGCCCGTCATGTCAGTCACTCAAGACACCACACCTGCTTCTCAACTCGACACTTCTGCATCTGACACTTCCGAGAATGCTACAAGTACAACAATGACAACAGAAGACATATTGAGAGTCAGCTCCAGGCTTGTCAGGAAGAAAATGCGCGCCTCAAGAAAGCTATGAAGCCAGATCAAGCAGAACGCAAGAGAGATCAGCGAATTGTAGAAGAACTGAAAGCAAAGATGCGTGAAGCTTTTGAGGAGCATAGAAAGGAACACCCTTAGGGGTTACAAAAAGCCTCCAAACTTCAGAATGTGGAACAAGAACGAGCTCGACAACATCAAGCGTCTGATCAAGCAGGCTCAAGCGCCAAATTACAATTTCCACCGTCTGAAGCTCCCTGAAAGCTCGGACAGATCGTCTTGCTTCTTGCGCAAGCACAGTACACCCGAAGACTCTTGTTAAGAGTCTGTGTTCCTGGAAATGAGAGCTCACCTCTGGACCTGGTGGTACGATTGCGATTGGGAAAACGACCCACGGGGTCACCAACAACCATCATCACCTTCCTTGTCCTACAGTGGCTCAAGCATGGTGGCAAGTACCACATATTCGGTTTCAAGTTTGTGCCTTTTGCAGGACACACGCAAGGTATTCATTCGGTAGAGGCGTGTACATTTACAATGAACATGGTGGTATTGTAAGACCAATCGTGCCTGGAGAAGCGTTGTCGACTGAGATAACTACTACGACCCCTACTGATCTTGATCTCGATTGGAACCCTTACGCTGGAGTCCCCCAAGGGAGATTTCTGGAGACATGACTATCCCGTCAGTGCTTTGCCTCTTTGCCTGGACGCTGTCGGAATAACAGTGGACAATGCTGACACCGAGTTCTTTGGTGCGCCCAAGCCAAGAACCAGTTATTGTCCCATTGAGTTCCCAAAGTTCTGGAAAGACACCACTCTACCGATCAACGTGGCGGCACTTTTACTGAGTCGGAGTATGTTGGCTGGGACGAGGAAGTCCCTTCTCGGATCTCTCGTGACGAGACGGAAGAGAACCTCTCGGTCTTCACGGAACATATGTGCATGGTGTGTTTTGATCAATAAGCACAAGAAGGTAGGATGTGTTATCAACCCTTCGTCTGTCCCGCACATGAGAGAACCATTCAGTTTCTTGCAGAAGGGGACAGAAGACCGTGCTATGATACTCGGACATACCTCTGCCAAAGCTGTATCGAAGCAAGAGTTAGTGGAGAGTTCAAGGGTCTTGAGACTGGTGCGAACCCAAGAATCAGCCACTTGTGAGTTACCAGCCTCGTGAAGATCTACTAAACCCTGTTCAACCACCTCGAGAACAAGGAATGTGGATGTACCTGGTCGCAGAGGATAAGCGCACTGCTTCTCGCTTGTTTGCCAAGTGTTCCAATCCCAGATATCTCCTTGACATTGCCTATTGCCAAAGAACTGTGGAAGGTGAAGTGCAGGCGTTCAGATGAGGCTGCAGACAAATTTCAAGTCGTCATGAACACTATCAATATTGCTTGGGCATGCCGACTGAAGATGACAGCAGTACCAGAGACATCATCTACCAGCGAATGGAGCTTTTCGGAAAGGAAGGGAACATTAAGAACCGGTCCCTGTCTATAGGAAATGCTCGGAAGGGGCTGCATTTCTAACGCTACGTACTCTAGTAATAGTGTCTAATGCAGAAGGTTTATTTTGGAGTAAAAGAACTTCATTGTGAAGAAAAGAAGAGGTTTAGCTAAACTTGTGAGGAGGTTCTGTTGATGTTTCTTTGGGGTCGGAGGTTCGATCGAAGGAGTCCCTGGCTCGGAGCGCTGGAGTCTTGTTTCCTCTGTGTTCTCGGCTTCGGCGGCAGCGATATCTTGGTGGCCTACGAGAAGCGAATCCAGTTCGCAGCGCGTGGCTTGCATGAAAGAGTAGACATCGGAAGGCATCCGCAGATCCCACTCGCTCTTCTGCTCTTGCCAGATTTCTTCAGCTCTCTCACGGTTGATCATAGCCCGAGCCTGATCAGTCGTAACATGAGAGATGAGAATGTGTAATCTCAGAGCGATGAGAGGTGCAATGGCGTCGCGATCGTCAAGGATCTGCTGGAGAGCATTTTCGTATGCAGCAAGATCATTGTCGTAATGAAACTCGTCAGTATCCTCGCACTCCTCGATGAGATACTGGACACGCTGGAGTTCTTCTTGTGTGCTGTCTCTGGCAATCATCGCTTTGAGGCTGGGCATAACAAGACGGTCCGGGAGTGGTTCAGATCTCTCTTCGCCCTCAATGGCCGGCTCGTTTTCGATTTGGTAAGTCGCTAGTGTATCGAATTCGCTGCGTATGTTCATCACGTCCTCGTTGACCTTCGTAATCACCGGCAAGTGGTTGTCGAATGGCCAAAGCCACCAGACGCTACAACCGAGAGGAGTACGATCAAGTCATTTTGGTTTTGAATGATCTGCTCGATACGGTGCAATGCGGTCTCACGGTGCGCCTGAAGGCGCAAATCATGCTGATGCTATCGCATGATGAGTGGAGCTCTGCAGAAAAACACAGACTTCTGACCGAGGCACTGGTGACTCGCATTCATGTTATTGTGGCACATGACGAGGACGAACACATCAACTCTGCGCTCAAATTGACTCGCGAGCTGCTCGACGAGTTCAAAGCCGAGCAAGATCAAAAGCGACCCATCGAATCTATAAAGACGACTACGATAATGATGACGGCAACTATCTCAGTGACCTCTATGACGATTCTGACCTGGAAGACGTCTCCGGTGACGCTGCAGCTTCTCCTGCCGCTGCCACTACTCCTGCCGCTACTACCACTCACGCGCCGTTAAGTGCTGAGGAGATCCAGCGTCTTGTTGAGAATAACCAAGCTCTCATCAATCCCACAGATCACATAGTCGCTGTGGAGATTATTGCTATCCTGCGGCTATTGATGTCGAACGAGCACGGAAATACAACTGCAGCGATCCAAAAGCAGCCGCTGTACACCGCATGGGTTGCACAGATGTCCCAGACGACGCTCCAAACGTTGTGTTTGTTCCCGACCAGCAGCTTCTGAATTCTGCCAAGCAGCCTGAAGTCGATGGCAGACGGGGCTAGCTCACTCCCGCCGATTAGGTTGAGGCCAACAAGTCTTACTCTGGGTACACGTTTCAAGGCATCGCGAATGCTCGACGCAATGGCTCGACAGACATCAACATTGTCTGGCTCCCGTCAGAAACTCCATCACAGATTCCATCACAGACTTCATACAAGACCGAGTATGCTGAATTCAGTAGGAGATTTGATACACACGATAGACCCAAGATCCATGAAAACATTCTTCAGATCATGGACAAGTATCTCGCTCAAGCCAAGAAACAGCTCCCTGCAGAAGGCTCCGCGGTCGATCACAACGTTGAAAAGGACGCGCTGGACACATTCACGATCAAAGGCTACTTCCTACAAGACTTCGTCTGTCTTGCAAAGACGGCTGAAGATGGTGAGTCGGCCTTTACTCGGACATGACCATTGAGTTCGTCGTGCAAGCCATTTCAGCTACAATGAACACACCCGTGGAGACTGGTGTGTTTCTCATCAAGCCTGCCTGGTCATCAGCGGTCTACAAAATGTTGATGTGCCCTCCGCAAGTGCTAAAGACTCCCATGTTGTATCCATCTGAATACACAAAGCTTTACGGAAAGGAGCAATGTCCAATGAGATTCGTGATCTTAACAGCTGTCCTCGGATCTGGTCTCTTTCCTGGAAACAATGTCCACAGAGTCAAGGTTGTCATCTGGTATCTTTATGCCACGTCTCAGTTCAGAAGGTAACTGTGCATTTTGATAGCATATTCTCGCAGGAAGTGTGGTCGATGGAGGAGAGAGGAAAAAAAGCCTCCGAAGGAGGTTAAAGCAGGAGGTCGAAGATGACGTTGCGCGCCGAATTCGCGTTGTGGAAATCGCGTCACCCTGGGGATTGGGCCGTTGATCAACAAGTCGATATATTTACACAACGCACCTTGCTCGGTCACTCATTCCTCCATCGCAAAGACACAATGGCATCGACAGCTCCCTTCAAACGCAAGCGCTCTGGCGAAGACGTAATTTCGACTGTATCCAAACGAGTACTCCGCCCAAGATCTGCTCCCGAAATGACCACAATAGTCATTCAGCCAGCTTCAATTTCGAAGACTCGGGTCAAGAGATCTATCGCAAAGAGAACAGCACCTACCCTACCAACGACCACAAATCCAAGCTCCAACCTCCTTCTCCAGAAGGACCAGATCATCGAACAACTGCGACTCGAACTTGCCGAAGCACACAATGAACTCGCCAAAACACAAAGAAGGCTGGAAGAGGTCGAGAAACGGCTTCCAAAGCCAGCCACCGCTGTATAAGTCAGCCGGATCGCTCGCGGAGTCGTCAACAAGGCGTATGTTATGGTGCTCGAGAAAGTCTTCATGAATTCGATCCGCGGCAGTTTCGCGCGTGCCTTCGCGTGCCCCTCAATCCCAGCCACCCCTCCTCGAGTCTTGTACAACATCTGCTCTCTCCTTTTCCTTTCTCCAACTTGTCTTCACTCAGATCATCGACACAAATATGCCACCCAAGAGAGCAGCCACCAAACGCCAATACTCGGCCGTCGACGTCGAGTCGGATGCGGATTCCTCAACTTTGGAAGGCACCGCCCACGCCGCTCCCAAAAGGAAGACATCCACAACAACAAAGCCTACCGCTACCAAGAAAGGTCCAGCAGCCAAAGGTCTTACGGTCAACTAATTGTACAAAGACAGCGTCAAGGCCGTCGAAGCCCACCTCAAAGTCCTCGATGGGAAAGTCCGCAAGATGAGCCCCAACAGCCGCGCGATCTCGACAGATACATATACGTAGACGTCGCTCAAACACCTCAAGCCTGTACAAGTGTTGGAGAAGATGGATGGCGGTCTGGTTGCTGCATTCAACCTCACAATGTATATCGCCGATGCTTCGCACACCGCCTGCGACACTACATCCAAAATGTCTGGCTATGGCGACAGCGAAGCTCCCTTTGCCGAATTGGACGAGCAGCTGTTGGACTTGATTGAGAAGAGGAATACACGATCGCCAGCTACACGGCAAGATGGGCTACCTGCTGTGCCAAAGCGATGGACAAGAGCAGACGCCGATGTAGGCGTGTTTGAGACTGGGAGGCCAAACAAACAACAATACGGTCAAATGGAAAGACAAAAGCTGGAATGGGAGGAAGACAGAAGGGAGAAGAGGAGGGAGAGAAGAGAGACTGTCAATAACTGTGCTGCTGCTGCGCTGCAAGATCTTGAAGAGGAGAGGGATTATTTTGAACAATATGGTGTTGAGAAGTATTTTCCCAAGAGTATTGTCAGGCTGAAGGGGTTGTCAAGGTCTGAGGATATGATCACTGCTGGAGGTGATGCTGCTTGGATACAGACATCGTTGTCCTACTACACAAACCCTCAATACTTCTTCCCAGTCTCCTTCTTTGACTTCTATATCAGCAGACTCTTTCCTGGGCTTCCCATCTTCTCCTTCATCCCAGTCTTCAACTTCTTCACGTCTTTCACAACGAACGCCTTTGCCAGTTCATCCATACAAACCTCTTCTGCCGTTTTCACTTCTCTCGCTATCTCTTTATCACTGGAACAATCAATCACTTTGTCGCGATAGACAATTCCTGGCTCTATCACATCCGGCATCCATTCATCCGCCTCAAGCTCTAGTCCAATCGTCTTGATACGCTTTTGCTTGTGGACGTTTGAATCGTTCTTATCTGAATCGGTATATCGTATACCTACTGCTGCGAAATCTGACAAGGCTTTACTTCCGAATCCCAAGTATCGTTGATTCCAGAAATCGTCACTGAAGAATTGCCGGATATACTGGATGTTTGTCAGCACTTGACGAATGCATCTCTCGATGGTACGTTTACTTACCTTCATTCTCATCGTGTACCAGGTATGGTGGAAACCACCCTCTTCTTGGACAAAAGTACTTCATGTCATGAGCTCCTGGCCATTTCCATGCTACTATACCGAAGGGTGTTGTTTTCAGACTTGTATTCGCGTTATTCGGCTCCACTATCGCACCTTTCTAGAGTGCAAAATACAATCAGCAAAATTTTGTCCAAGCTTGATCATGTTCCTCCTCCACAGTGAGCTATTCCTCCACTTCTTTCTGGTCATTTCGGACGCCATACTCAAGTCTGGCTCGCATGCAGGTCGATATCTCGAGAATACGTACATGGAGTGCAGATTCTAAGTCACTTCCTTCCTCTGCCAGGCGGTTGTCATTGCAGAAGGGTACGCGACCAGAGGGCAGTTTGTTCGTATTGGCCCTAATTTCGAAGACTCGATCAGCACTTGTTCTGGAGTGAGCATGGTGTTTAGACATGTGCTTATTACCGCCAAACATGAGCAAGTTCATGGACGATGGTTGTCGCCAGCCACAACTGCGTGCGCAAGAATGAAGAAGCGTTCGAGGCATGAGGGTTGTAAAGACTTGCAAGCACCGCACTACCATCTGTGATGATGTATCGCCATATATGATCAATTAAGTCTTTACATGCACGTCTGGTGTACATCTCAACATTAACATATTAAATCATCGAAGAACGTCTAGTACATGTAACTCACGTGTAATCACCACCTCTCAGCCCTGGCTTGCCATCTGAGGGAACGCTATTCCATGAGCATTGTTCCACGTCATTNGTCTCTCCCCATTCAAAGTATATATAGTTTGACAGTTGTTCTAGCTCCCAAGCTGTTTGCATTCTTTGCAGACGTGTGGATCGACCAGTATAATAGACATAGATATCCTTCATCACCTTCGTGGGGACTGGATGATGTTAGTCGAAAGAAAAGTGTCGAATGCACACAGGTGTCACACTACCTTCTTGAGTCCATCGTTCACCAAGAGCCCAAAGCATATCAAGAACACTGTCCATTTCCAGCATCTTGGTCACAATCCTCAAGGTAGGCTTTAGACAATCGTATTCGTGGTCGGATGTAAGGCGGAACTGGTTACGGCCTACAACGGGATGTATGCCATCATGATTGCCTATATAGAGTCTTGGGACAGTTCTTTGTATGCTCGCTCTTGCCGCAACTTCTCTATCAATACAGAACTGAGGGGATATAGGTGAAAGAAGACCAGTGCCTATATTGATACAACTTTCTTCAAGCAGTTTCGAAGGTGTGAGACATTTCAGAATGAAACTGTCTCCAAACCATGGTTTGCAGAAATCATAGGCTGGAGTGTCTTTGTTCAAATCCGGTATTGGGCGAGAGACCTTCAACCCAGGGTAAGGGTTGTTGCCCAAAGCCAGTACAGAAGGGAATACGTCGATCGTCTTTGTTCTTCTAACCCAATCATGTTTTGAAGTCGCGAGCTTGGGGTCAGGTCTTTGGTGGAGTAAACACAGGTCTGGATCTCGGGCGNNGCGTTCCTCGCTCAGCGTGCTACCATCGAAAGTCGATGCATCGAAAGGGAGTGACAGTGGTGCGGGTGTGGGAAAGTGGAACATTTTCGAAATTCGAGATTGATAAATCGGCTGTATGCAAGAGATGTGATGAGCATAAGTGTTGGATCAGATATTATTCGAAGATCAACAAGACAAAAAGCAGATGAGGGTCAGATAGTGATGTGTCTGTCGCTCGGCTTCAAGGGCCTCTGTTGACCGGATTCGGCAGTCAACCACAAAGGAAGATGTCAACCCGCGAAGTGTGCCTTCTTTGTTTGCCAAATCCGATTCAAAGCAAGCCTACGTAGAACAGGTACACAAACTCACGACACGCTTGCTGTCTTTTAGTGAAAGGTTCAGGGCAGATTGTAAGATTGATCAAGAAGGAAGCTGCGAAGCGTGACATAATCGAGTATCCACTTGCCTCAAAATTTAGATGTTCCTCTCAGATCTACTGATCAACAGAAGGAGAACTTCAGAGGCGGGATCCGTCCACTTATTGGATCCCCCAATTTGGTATCTCCAAATAAGATCTCACTGAAGTTATAAAGCTCCTCCAGGAGATGTTCCACGAATAAGCAAGCAACGTACCCATTCTGTCATACAGATGCCTACAAAATCCGGTGTCGAGTTTCCACAGAGAAATGCATCATCGACTCCCATTGTTCTGGCTAGTCTTCGTCGTCGCCCTCCTCTCCATCTTTCATTTCGACATCGGAGTCATATATTTCTGCACCCAGAAGACTCAAAGCTTTGTCCTCAGGATAGATAATTCCTTCCTCCACATCCGGGAACTCGGCGTCAGAGTCAATCTCAGGATCATCCTCCCATAATCCAGTCAGAGGGTTCTGCTTCTGTTTGACCGTCGGACTTTCCAAATCGTCGAATTCAGACTCGCCATATTGAGACTCTCGCACACCCACAGCTTTGTAGTGTCTCAAGGCTCCATCGCCATACCTCACCATCCGGTTGTCCCAGAAGTCGTCTAGGAAGAACTGTCGTACATANCTGAGAAACTGATTAGTAGGAGACCTCCTGTTCGCCACCATCGAAGAACTCACACTCATTGAAATAGCATACGTAGTATGAGACTTGATGCCATACTTTGCTGTACTGGCTTTGATGGCAAGACCTTCATCAACACGATGCTCTAATCCAGGCCATTCAATTGCGGCCATTCCGAAAGGCATTGTGTCCACGCTAAAGTTTGCTTCATTGTCGATGAGGGCAACGTTATTGTGTATCACGGCTTCCAAGGCGAAACCTTCTTCTCCTGCTCTATCGTCGTTACGGAACGGACATGTCTCGACATTCTCTGTCGTTACATTTTTCTGATGAGTTCAAATTGGATCAGCGTGATTCTTTGTGAGAAAATGCGGCTAATCTCGAATTAACCTGGAGGAGAAACTTACAAACCAAACATGGGTCAACTCATGGAGTATGAGATTTGCTAGGAAGAGTTGCGTTCGCATGTACGCACTCGCGTCTGATGCTGCTGGGTAATAGTGAGAAGCCTTTAGCCAAAAGTTAGTCACAAGCCACAAGATCAGTGTAGAGCGTCACTTTACATTCAATTGTGTTCCACCAGATATGATATAAAGAAGGTGGGTATCAAATTCAGTGTCGCACGCATGGCTGATATCAAAGTGTCAGCAGTCGTTCTCAAAAAGTATGATTCATTGGGATCCACTTACCGGTTGTTACCTGGACGAAGTCCTGGCTTGGTAATATCTGCGATTGTTGAACCATGCACATCTTCGTGAGTCCAACTGAACTTTACGTAATCCTGGAGCCCCCTCATCTCACTCTTTGTATGCACTCTTTGTCCCACTGTAGATCTGCCTGTATAGTATATTCGATGTTTTTGCTTTTGAGCTTTTAGCATCTTGGTCTGAGGTAACTTCTGCATCGGCTGTCCTAAAGCAAACCATAAATCCAAGACACTGTCCATGCCCATCATCTCTGTCACAATCCGCAACACAGGTTTGAGGTATTCGTACTCGCCATCTGAGGTCTCTTTCCAATTACTTCTTCGGAAGCAGGGATGTATATCTTTATTATTGGCAATAATATTCATGACTCTTTTGTCTGTACTTGCGGTCGCTAACGTTGCTTCATCGACTTTGAATCGAGGTGATATTTCTATCTCGGGATAGTCATCGGTTTCATAGTTGATGCATCCTAAGCGCATCAGCTCGTCGGGTGCTAAAAGGAACAACAAACATCAGCATATCTCTTCTTATACTACATAGTCAATTACCCACTTATATGCCGCAAAATCATGCTTTCTCCCATCCAAGGGTCGCATGTTTTGTATTCGGGTGTATACTTCTGCAACTCTGGGATATATCTTCTAATGTGCAATCCAGGATATGGATTCTTCCCAAGAGCAAATACTGCAGGAGAAACGTATGTTGTGATTTTCCTTCGATACCATTCCTTCGCGGATGTCGCGTCTTCTATAAGTGGTTCGGTACCGTCGCATATTGCTATAGGTGGGTCGCGGCCCCACTCAGAGCGTGTTTTTCAGGTATGTTGCTCGATTTGAAGGTCAAAGGGTCGAATGGAGGTGGTGGTTGTGATGAGGAGCTTGACCAGCACCAGAAGGTGATGTCTGATCAATCTCCGTAGGTGAGCCATTTGACATTTTGGCACGTCAGGTAAGATTCTGCTGTAAATCAGGAGATACGATAACACACCTTCACACTTTATCGCAGTATTCAATACGTCTTTACACAGACCCCGAAGCCTTTGTGTTCCGGATTGGTAGCCCACCACAAAGAAATGTATGGCTTCTATGTGCATTGGCATGCTGCAAGAATCGAGGCCGGATTTCTTTGTTGCCGAACAAAACTCACACATCTTGACAAGCCGAACTGAGCTCACGCATCTTGACAGACCAGCGAAGAGAAAAGAAAATCTGAAAGACAGGGATGATAACAATGAAGCAAAAATGGTCGGCCTCCCACGTAACAAGCAAAATCGGCTACTCACCAACACCGGGAGGCCTCAAGCAAGGACTTCGACTAAAAATCTGGCATGAAGTTCTCGCTTGTTGTTCGTAGGATAGACCGGCAAAAACAGCAAAGAATATGCTCTCCATCAGGGAATCGAACCCTGGTCTCCCGCGCTTGACGAGATGTTACTCTTGACAAGCGGAAATCATGACCACTAGACCAATGAAGATGAGCCAGCTGTGCTGGTATTGGTTGATGGATCGTTTTCCGGCGGGTCGGTATATATCCCTCTGTTCAAGATCAAAATTGATGATGAAGGTTGCGTTCTTGCGACCGCGAAGCATCGTGTCTGTCTGTGCCTGTTGACACGAGAGTACCAGGAGCGGTGCGACTTCTATAGGCTTCACTGTATCATTACCAAATCATCGGAGTGTGCGATGCTATTGCCATAGTATTGATGGTTGCAGTTCGTGGGTTGCTGCTCGTCGACTGATTGTGCGTGGCGATCCACGTCGCGACGAGTTCAGACGGAGGAAGACTACGCGACCAGAGTATTCTTGTTGATCTTGTACTTTCCAGCTGGGCTCTTCGGTGGATGCAAATCAAGGCGAGCGCATGCGGTGTGAAATCGGCGGGATTAAGATGGAGGTTAGAGTGCAGGTGGTGGATCAGCAACGCACACTCGGGCATGAAGCCTGGACCAGAAATTCTGCCAAGTTCTTTCTGTTGATGATCAAACCCTGCCTTTATATGGAACTGACTGTTGCAACACGACAACACAGAACGAGCAACATTTGTTCTGGTGGACGGCATCTCATCGATATAGGTCATCGATTGTATCGTTATTTGGTATCCGAAATGCTGCGTGGCATGGATAAGCACTAATATCAAAGCACGTCTGTGAAGTCCACCTACAACCACTGAGATCACTGACGTGTTTCGATTGGACCCGAGAGAGATACAGAGAGACGTTGTCCTGGTAACTACAGGCTCGATCTGCTTGCCGATCCTCCTTCTGTGTCCGAGTCCAGTATTGGAAAGTGCAACTGATTCTTTGCCATCCTCATCGCCGTTTCCTCGCCGCTATTTTGTGAGATGATAGGATTATTATTGATCTCGGCTACACCTTCTTCATCCGGGCGCTTTGGCTGAGTGGTTATAGCGATAGACTAGAAATCTATTTCCTTCGGGAGCAAGAGTTCGAATCTCTTAGGCGTCGTATCTTTTGTTCGTTCACGATGGACGAATTTTCCTTTTGCTTCCTTGCATGCTGAGAAAGAGAATTGGTCGTCAATTTCGACGCGTGAATGCAAAGTTCGCTTGAAAAATTAAAGACTTGGCGAAGTTATGATTTTTCTGGAGATAAACTGTAGAGGTGAGGGAAGGCAGGTATTCTCGTGTTAGCATGTGATGCAGGTTTTGCTCGTTGATATCGGCAAAGTTTAGTGGATGATACTCGAGAAAGATTGGCTTGGAAGGTTCTTTTCTCGTAGCGGACGACGTTTGATAGTTATGTTAGATAGCCCAAATTGATCCCTGGATTGCCTCTCCGACGAACCAAATGTCTCTCTGCAGCCCTTGACAGTCTTATCAAGTCTCCTTTTGAGCTCTGTCAACTCGCTTGTACAACAAATCACTCCTCGTTGTATACTTCACACCTTGAACCACATCATCACCGGAATGCCAGAGATTTCTGTGTTGAGATATGAGAACCCGACCTGTCTTGGGCAAAATATCATATCTCCTCTTCATGTTGTGTGAGTGGAAGTTAGTCGCACCTCCCTGTAGCTTGTCANNTCTTCGGGAGTTGGACAACTTTCAGTCTCACCGTGACCATTGAGATATAGATAGAATGTGAAGAACGATCTTTCGCTTNCCGTCAGGTGTTTGGTAAACGCCATCTTCATGTACNTGTGCAGTTGTCAGTCACAGAACTGCGCTCTTAGTCATGGAAGAAAACAAACCTCGAAAGTATTCACCGCCCTCTTGTCTCAAGAATCTCAGCCTCTCATTTAGCCTACTTATCTTCCACACTTCGCCTCTCATGACAGAACCCCCACCTGTAAGCTCCGCTTGCCTGTCCAGTCTTTTGATTTCCGGAACAAAGTCTTTGACCCTGTTCCATATCTTCTGATCCACTTCTGGAGAGTCCCAAATTAGGCGTCCGCATTTGCGTTGGACATCTTCTTGTCTTTGGCGGCCACCTCCAACTTGTATCGTGGCTCATTGCCAGGGACCGCTTGCTTCTGCTGCTGAGAGAAGAGTGGCACATTCGTATGAGCTCAGGACATTGTCAATAACATAAGCTTGTAGGTCAGCATATTCTGGTAGTGGTGTATTGGCGAAGTTGATGCGTGTCACTTTAGTGCCAGACACTGCCGTCGAAAGGAAGTCTGTAGGAAGTGATGCCATTGTTGCTGTCTGTGGTTGATCAAGAATGTACACGAGGATTTAAATATACTCGTGGCTCGAATGCTGCTGCCTGGTCCGTCTAGACTGTTGCCTTGTGTATATCACTGCTCTGCATTCGGTCCTGTTAATAGTCCTGGGTCTCGGTTGCATGTAAGAAACCACTGCGTGCTATTATATCCTGAACTGTACAGTTAGAGGCTACCCAATCTCGGTATTCCGTGACTACTGCAAAAGTTGATATATCATCACAGAAGAATTGCGGATTGGGAGCAAGATATCTCAAGCGAACGAGATTGCTGTCGCTGCCAGTGATGGACATACAGAAACAGACAGTTCCTGCCGTGTCTTTGCCAGGAGCTGTGGTCGTTGTCCAAGCCACCTGCCAAGTCTGCAGCCGAGGTTCTTGTCGCGTGACCCGGTTTCAAGAGTTCGTGCCAGATTGCAAAGCCTCTTGAAGCGGCACGTTCGAGTCGAAACAGGGAGCTCAGGAGCACTTCAATCATCGAAAGTCGAGTGAGACTTCCAATTCAGTCGAGCGCTCGAAGTCGGGATGGATTGTTGAATTCATCAGCCGCTGACCTGCCACCATCCGTCGCGTCGCCATGGAGTCGGGTCCGAATGTTTACCCTGTTTGCTTAGGTGTCCTTTGCTGTGTGAGGTAGAAAGGGGATGCTACTGGAGCTGATGCAGGTACGCGCTAGACTGCAATTTGGCTAACAATCGACAAACTTGATAGACTTGGTGACTGTCAAGACGAGTGTGCTCATATCCAACGCGACCGACCATAACTAGCCAGTGCGACAATATCCAGAGCGACCATACCCATCCATAGCGACCATATCCGTCCAGAGCGACCATACGTACCCAGCGCGCCCATTCTTTTCCCTCGAGTCAAACATTCAATACATCATGCCCTGCTCCGAAGCGTCAAGTCTACTTGGCATTGCTCTCAAGCGTAAAAACAACATGGTCGACTTGTGTCGCCAGCATGAACAAAAGAGTCGGACATATTCTCGGTCTACAACTCAGCCGCTTTCGACCGTCGTTCAGTGTGCAGGTGCAGCGTTTATGCCGACAATGTCTGGCAGCACAAGAGCATTGAAACACACCTCCCTCGAGCTTCACCATGACTCTTCAGGTTCCTGCGACACACCGTCTCTACCCTGACAAGCCCCTCGCAAGCATCAATTCATCGCGTGGCTCTGCTTTGCCGGATGAACGGGTTGATCATGCTTCCCCAGCTTGCAATCGTATACCGCACGCGAATCCTTCAGCCGCTGTGCATGCGCTTTACACTGGATTCCTTTCCCTCCTTCTGACATGTTCTCCAGCAGTGTTGATCAAAGGAGATTGGCCAAGCACGTTGTAACTTTCCTATCTCCGACGATCCCTAGCGCGGAGAGGTGCTGTAATCTCCTGTCAAGATTGGAGCTTCAGCTCGCGCGCAACTCACCATCCTGGAAGTCGTTTGAACTACTACGTAACAACTATATTGGGCTCGGAAATCTGGAGCAGGCTTGAAGTAGGGCGCGCGACAGGTAGGTGTGACACAGTGGTGGCACTCCCCGAGGTCTGAGCTGCAGCCTGCTTGGTACGGCATTGACCAGCTTCCGAGGAGGCACAGCGCGCGCAAAACGGCATCGCGTATGGATCCTACAACTCCCTGGAGTCCGAATCCTACTCCCCGGCAGACTCTATGCGGATGTTACTTCCTCGACTTTTTCGACTTCAATTACTGGCAGATCAATCGAAGATCGTGTATCTCGAGTTCACCACCGATACTCGACCGTTCTACCCTTGAATAAATTAATATCTTAGCCAAAACACGTGAGGTGCAATTAACATTACGGTTCCGTTGCTTAGCAGAAGCCAGCCGCTCAGCCAATCGGTTCGGCAAAATTTTCATGTCGGTCAGTAGCTTCTTTCCTATTCCTACACGACTCGGCCCAACACCACCTGCCTCTCATGATTTTATCGCTGTTGCAATACATAAACAATCCTGTATCTACGGGAGGGACCGAGTTCCATGCAAGCTGATCTTTCCCACCACTAGTAAATCAGCCCCAGATAATACCCCAGGCAATTGATGTGTCAAGGTATCGAAGCACCGAGGGAAGGAGTTGCCTTGAAAGGTAAAGAACATAAATCGTGCCTGAATGACGAACGCCAAGACTACCAGAGGAAGGATTCTAAACCACGCCGCCGTCACGCGACGCCTTCCGACATGCTTGATCCACTCGGACGCTTTTCTCACTCGGCCTGGTATTGGTCAAACGATTGGCCGTACTCCATCAAAATCCTGCCTTCTTGGCGATCCACAGCGTGAGTTGCTAGTTTGGAGAGGTCGTCCTCAACGACGTCGTCGTATTGCCGCATGGGTGAAAAAAGACTGTCACCCTCGATCCGCCGCATAAGAACTTCGTTGTACCCATTTTCATCCCATATTCTTTTCTTCCTTTTTCCAACCGACTTTACCTCTATTTCGACTACCTTCGAAGAGTGTCTTGGATATAATCAAGGAAAACTCATACTCCAACAACATCCAAGCATCGTCCACTGTTGCTACGTGGTGATAAGACTCATCTCCGCCTCTGTACGACCTATACCCAAGCGACTTTGAAGATTCATACTCTTCTCCCGAGCAACCTCAACAACATCTATTCTTCCTCGCACCTCTCTCGACTCGAAATTACAACCCCTCGCGACTCGACAGCTCACCTCAAGCCTGAAAATTATCCCTTGCAACATCACATCTCGAAGTGAAACATTAACACAGCTTTCGCCTGTGCATTGCATGCAACTGACTTTCTGAGTGCCAAAGCGACTTGTTATATAACTCGAAGATCCCTAGCGACTCCAACCACCGCAGCAACCACCTACCCTCAGCAACAAACTTCCGCACGTAGGCTTGTATCTACTTACAATCAGCCAAAATGGATTACGTCAAGCGAACATTCTTCAACAAGGACGAGAGAGACTTCTCACATGTCGTTGTACCACTACACCAGAGCGACACATGTCCGAAGCCAAGACAGAAGACATCAAGCCCGATGGCGAAGACACGAAGACCGACCGCGCCTCTATTGGAGAGAAGTCAACACACAGCCAGAACTCGGGCAAGTCCTCAACCTCCCTCGAATCTCTCAGAGCCGAGGTAGACTCGGATGTCGAATCTGAAGGCCACAACACCGCCTATGATCGTATGTACATGCTGCTGAAGAAGTTGCTTCAACTCAACGAGAAAAGCCTTTTCCGCTTGACCCCCTCATGTGTTCCGTCAACTAACGGCTGGTAGGCANAATCAAAAGTTATCAACAGAGCTATCCAAGACATGGGCATGGGCAGATACCAATGGGAACTGTTTGTTCTCTGTGGTTTCGGCTGGATGGCTGATAACCTTTGGCTACAAGGTATCGCCCTGACTCTGGATCCTATCGCTGCCGAGTTCGGTGTCGATACCAATCAAGTTCGCTACACCACCCTCGCCCTCTTCGTCGGTCTCTGCATTGGTGCCAGTTTCTGGGGTGTCATTTCAGACATCATCGGTCGCCGCTATGCATTCAACACAACTCTTTTCCTTGCCGGTTCCTTCGGTCTCGCCGCCGGTGGTGCCAACAGCTGGATTGCCGTATGCGCCCTGTACTCCTGTATCGGTCTTGGTGTTGGTGGCAACCTTCCTGTCGACGGTGCCTTGTTCCTCGAATTCCTGCCTGGCGAGTCCAACTACCTTCTCACTCTTCTGTCCATCTGGTGGCCGGTCGGTCAGCTGATCTCCTCCCTGCTGGCCTGGGCTTTCATCCCCAACTTTTCCTGTGCTGCCGGTGCTGCTGTCTGCACCAAGGCTGACAACTGGGGCTGGCGTTACTTCATCCTGACTTTGGGAGCCATTACCTTCTGCATGTTCATGTTGAGATTCTTCGTCTTCGACCTGTTCGAGTCTCCCAAGTTCCTGCTTTCCCGTGGTCGCCAGGCCGAGGCCATTCGCGTCGTTCAAGGAATTGCTGCTCACAACAAGACTACAACTTGGTTGACCGAGGAGATCCTCAACCAAATTGGCGGTGATCCCGATGTCACTGAAGACGCCAAGCTCAGCACTATTGACATTGTCAAGCGTGCCGCCGGTAAATTCTCTACTCAGCGCATTGCTCCTCTCTTCCATGGATGGAAGCTTGGTGCCACCACTGTCCTCATCTGGTTTGCATGGACCGCCATCGGTATGGGTTACCCTCTGTTCAACGCCTTCCTTCCCCAGTACCTTGCAAACAGCGGTGGTGGTGCTGCCAACTCTGTCTCGACTACCTACCGCAACTACGCCATTACTTCGATTGTCGGTGTCCCTGGATCTTTCCTCGGCTGCTACACTGTCAACCTGAAGTACATTGGCCGCAAGGGAACGATGGCTATCGCAACTGCCATTTCGGGCATGTTCTTGTTCCTCTTCACTACTAGCACCAACTCCGGCACTCAGCTCGCATTCTCCTCCCTCGAGGCATTCTTCCAGAACATCATGTATGGTGTGCTGTATGCCTACACTCCTGAGGTGTTCCCTGCCCCCAACCGCGGAACAGGCACTGGTATCTCTAGTTTCTTCAACCGTCTCGCCGGACTCTGCGCACCCATTGTGGCCGTCAACGCCGCCGGTGCCAACCCCAACGCACCCATCTACGCATCAGGTGGCTTGTTCTTTGCCGCATTCGTCGCCCTTGTCTTGCTACCAATCGAGACAAGAGGAAAGGCAACTTTGTAAACAACACAAAAGTTTGTGTTTACCTAGCATGGCTGTTGGAGTGCTCGGCAGCCCACTTATTCACGAAGAAAGGCCCTGGAGGCCAATTATGGCATTATTATACCCCCTGAATGTTGATATAGATAACAATGAAGTTCTTACGTTTCAAATCCTTTGAGTATGTATATTCAATGTGTTGTGATTTGCGTCGTGAGATTGTCTGACTGGTCGAGATAGGAGCGAGTCATCCACCGAACTTTCATCGGTTTGTGGACGAATACGCAATTGACTCGCTGATTGATGACTTACACTGCAAGAGCCTCTAGATGATGTTGAGAGGAGGAAGGAGCACGGAGGTCGTCCCGACGAGAGCTTGGACCTGCGAAACGGGATGACGTTCTTGATGCTCTCTTCAAACGACTATCTCGTTGCCATCTCGTTCTGCCTTTACATCTTTCATTATCTTCTTTCTTTCCCATCCAATTGATACCCTCGATTCTCGTCAAAAGAACATCGAAAGCCGCTTCAAAATAAAATAGATCAAACTCCTGGACCAGGACTTTCTGACATACCAACCACCCAACCTTCCCTCAACACCAACAATTCAATTCAGCTCTTACACTCAAAGATGGACGACTCCTGGCAAGAAAACGCATTCAACTCCCGCCACATGCACAACCGTNGTAAACCGCAACGGCAAATCCAGCAACGGTGGCAGCGGCAAATCAAAAGAACCACCTTCGACGTGCGCAAAACCTTTGGAAGCTATACTGTAAAGTGTCCTGCATGGCATAAACTTCAAACCTCCGATGGTGGAACAAAAGGCGATGGGAATGCAGTTTTGGAATTATATAGACTGACGGAGTGTGGGAAGGGGATCGTGNGGGAAATGTCGTTGGAGGGGGTGTTGAGGGCTGCGGTGTTGTTGGCGGCTAGTAGGAAGAGTTTGCAGGGGATTTTGGAGAGGTTGGAGCCTGTCGAGGAAACGGCAGAGGAGCAAGTCGACAAAGAGGCTGAAAAAGGAGAACAGAAGAGTGATGGAGACAGCGATGAGGAAGAAGAGGAAGAGGAAGAGTCAGAAGAAGAATCCGAACCTGACCGTTTCGAAACTTTCGAAAAGAACAGTTTCAGAGAGCCAAAGTTTTGGCTAAGATGGAATGGTGTGCTCGAATCACCAGCAGTGGGAGAAGAAAAGGCCGAGTCAGGGCTCGGCTATATTATCTTCCCAAGCAACGATTGTCGCAAGTTCAAGGGGACGCTGAACTGTGCTTCTCTGGAGTGGAAGGATGTTGCTTTCTCTGGTCACAAGATTGCTCCGAGATCAGAGTCTGATATACCCGTTGCATGGGGTCTGAATGAGGTGCAGATGTGAGCTTCGATTGCTCGACTCACTAAACAGAGCGATGGGTTTCAATACGGCTGAAGTCAGTCGTAGAAGTTTTGAAGGGAATCCAACAATCTTCTCGTCAAGATGAAAGCGACGGCTCTGATCTGTTTTTAATTCGCGTCTATGTATGCTCGCTCCAAATGGTTTGTCCTTTCTGACAATCCATGAGCCGATGACGAAACGACCTCTTAGTCCAAGTCCTGCAAGACTTTGTGTAAATTACTCCTCTACTCCATGGCCCTTAGGGCTCTACCCTCGCCATATCGAGCTTTTCGTGAATTGCAACTACCCCTCCAATGTCAGTTCGCCCCTCACTTCCTTCCACACCATATCCCAAGAACGTCGCTTCATGATCCAGATATTAAGATACCTCGTAAGTCCATGACTTCTTCGTGACCTGAAGGCCAAGCTCAACCACAAGCGCATTTAGGTCGCCATGTTTGGCACATCTACGTCTCGCACGCTCATGCGGTCAGCTACTCTCAAACTCTAGTCTCTTGCAGACAAAGTAGAGTTTGTTCAAGCCCATACATCCCAATAATACATAACAGTAAGCCGCTCCAATCATAGTGTCGTTTCTCTTCTCCCAAATGCTTTGTATGGTAAGTGATTTGTCGAAGTCAGTCTAACCAACCCCAAGACGTCCGATACCAATTGAGGACTCTTCCCTAGAAGGTGACCAACTTCTGGCTACCTCCAGTCATGAAACCACGAACGTTCTTCTGCACGTCGGCGAACTTAGTGTAACCACAGCTCTCACTCTCCAGGTGCNNTAAAGTTGAATATAGAATCAGCATATGCTTGAATATGCAAAAGCCATAGGTTGAGTTGTGAATGCTGCCTGTAATTACATTGAACAAAGCTGCAAGTGTAGGATAACGCTTGCCACATCTGCCGGTTCTATTGGGACAGTGGTAGAGAGGGGCTTGGTGAGTAGGGCTACGGATGTGCTGATCAAGGCTCTTGGAGCTGCCGAACTCGCGGTGGCAGATGTAGCACTCGTAGCCGCGGCCATTGTAGGCAGAGTTGGGGTCCCAGGACGAGTTGACAGTGTTGCCGTCGTGCCATTCGAGCAGGCGTTCAGTGATGACACCGTTGGGGTCGCGCTGACGAAGAGCACGATGAATGGCGCTGCTGGAAAGGTTCTTGGCTTTGGGGCAGGACGAGGTCTCGAGATGATGAGAGACTCCAGAGGCTGTAACGAACGCAGCTTGACAGAATGGGCACTTGATCGAGGTGCCTTGGTGGACACGGCTTCTCAGGTGCTGAGCCAAGTTGTTGGCGTTCTGAAAGTAACAATCACAGTCGGAACAGTGGAGGTGCTTGTAGTGGCCCTCGTCATCCTGGTGTTCATCACGATCGTCTTCGGAACGAAAGGTGAGGTTGCAAGTCTCACAAGGATAGGGGTAAGATCAGTGATTCTCTTCCTCCATGTGGTCGTCTGCCATCCATTCGTCCTTGGAACGCGTATTGCAAGTTTCGCACTCAAAAGGCCATATCCAGTGGTCCAATGCGTCCATGTGCTGGCGGCAAGCCTGCCAGGAGTTGAAACGGCGAGTACACGAATCACACTCGTACCTGCCCATGGTTTCCTGACGTCTGGACTGGAAGAGGTTGTGTAAGTCAGACGGGTTGAGGATGGAAAAGAAGATGTGAGGGACTGAAGAGGAAAGAAGAGAAGAGTGCAAGTAGAGCTATCAAACTGTCAAAGAACCTATCACAAACGAAGGAAGGAGCTTGATCATCAACAAACGGGCAAGGAAGGTCCCAGAGGTGGTCCCATCACTCTGGATTTGAGCTCCACTTCCATTTATGGATCTTGGCAGATACATATATCACACTTGTTCCAAGAGCACGTGGCTGTGAAGTGGACAAGCCTGTGTTTGCAGAAGACTCAATGTTGTCGCCGGATATTTGCTCAAAGAGATCGGAGGGCCCAATTCTCAATAAGCGGATTGTTTCTATCGTCCGGCATCTGGAGGCTGCCATCGCTACCTCAATGACAGTCGATCGCTCTGCAATACTCGCCGAGCATGCGAGAAGCCGCCTTACAAACAAGGAATTTCAAGCATGGAAAGCAAAAAGGACCCGGAGATTTCCAGACTGCTTGCTTGATTTGCGTCTGGCTGGTCGACATGCAGCAGTGATTGTGGCATACATATTGATGGAGTCGATGTTGTTTATATATCTTCTCACGCTTTGAGCGACTTCGAGTGGTTCTCACTCAGGTCTGCACTGCGGCAGAGAGGCACGGAAATGTGCAGCTGTGGCTCACATTTTCGGATAACTCATACATATCGCTGTTAGTTGCTCACGTCTCAGAAGCTCCTGCAGGTCCATCCAGTAGCTCAGGTCGCGATTCATCCGTGCGACGATGCGAATGTGCATATCTTGCTATCATCTCTATGGTTGGATTCGAGGGAAGATGCGCTGTTGAGAGAGCCGTCAGGATGTCAAGTCGAACGAGAGTTCACAAACAAGCTTTGACCACGATGCAGTGTCGTCTCCACAAGCGCAATACAAATTCGTGCTGTGATCTCCTGAAAGTAGTAGCACAAGCTACCTTGTAAGCGGATGAACATAAAGAAAGATGGGACATTGAAGGAAGTGAAAAGCACGACAGACCTGGATTTCATCCAGGCAATCGTTGCCGAGAGCATTTTCCCTTGACTTGACTGTAATCGAGTTGGCAGCAAGACTCCGGTGAATTTTGTGCGTTTTTTGTGGATTCTATAAACAAGGCTGTCAATACAAGATGAGCAAGGAAAGCGCTGAAGACGCGATATACAATGAGAAACAAGAATGCAAAAAGCAGAAAACCACCAACGCCTCCATATTTTTTTGGTTCACAATCCTCCTCAAGGTCCGGTTGTAGAATCACCATGACTCTTACGGTTCCTTTCTTTGATTCTCTCACCAACAGTAATGTTGTAGTTCGAACCAGAATTCATAGCGGCTGCAGGCAAGGGAGTGTCAACCTTCTAAGCGTCACCACCGACACTCTTGCGACCCTTTCTCTTCTCCTTCTTGTCCTTCTTTGCGCTGGCGGGAACCTCGGCAGGGGTAGAGACAGGAGCCTCCTCCTCCTTGGCCTTGCGACCACGCTTCTTCTTGGGCTCCTCGGCGACGGCTTCGGCGTCGGTGGTCTTGCTCTTGCGCTTGTTGGAGCCGTTGACGGCGGTAAAAGCACCCTTCTTGGTGGGGCTGGAGGTGGGAAGGGGAGGGGATGAGGCAGGGGCAGCAGCCTTCTTACGACCACCCTTCAAGGCGGACTTGGGGGTCTTGACTGGGGGAGGAGTGGGCTCCTTCTCTTCCTCATCCGAGGTGTTGTCATCCTCAGAGTCGTCATCAGACTCGGCGCCAGCAGGGGCAGCGACTTGAACGTGCTCCTCGGCCTCAGCATCTTCGTCGTCCTCGTCGTCATCAGCATCAGGGCTGGTAGCAGCAGCGGGAGCGCCGTTGGCCTTGTAGTCTGCGAGCTCCTTGTTGTAGACGTCACGCGAGGCTACGTATGCGTCCTTGTATTTCTGATGCTGAAGTTAGCGATTGCGCAAGCGTGGGCTGTTTGGAGGTAACACACCTGCTTGACCTCCTCGGGCAACAGCTTCCATCTCTTGGTGCCCTCTGACGAGATCTCGCCTCTCTTCTGCTCAGGGCCAAGTTCGGAGTGAATCTTCTCGCGGTTCTCGCCCAGCCACAAGAGGTAGGCGGTGAGGGGACGCTTGGGCTGGTTGGGGTCTCTGGGCTCAGCCTTCTTTCTCTGCTTCTTCTCGGGAGCTGCAGGAGGGCCTCCACCGATAGTGACAAGTGCACCAGCCTGGAGGAATGCGCCGAGGTCCATCATGCTGGGATCGAGGTCGACGGTGCCTCCAAGCCAAGCATTGGAGTGATCAATGTAGGCGGTGGTGGCATTCTTGAGGGCGTTTGCGAGGGAGACCCATGAGGTGACGAGCTGTTGTTGCTGTCAGTGTCGAGTCTTGGAGCTTGGGTGTGGTCGACGCGTTCGAGGTGGGTCGAGACGCGTCTGTCGCATCATGACACAATTGCGCACAACATGCAACACGCTCAATATCTGGATAGATCGAGTCGCGGACATGGGCGCATCATGAAAGACACGCGACGATCAGGAAAAACGTACCGCGTCGCGAGTGCGAGTGAATTCGGCCTTCTCAACCATGACTTGCTGGAGATCGGGCTCAGGCTTGGGCGCCGCCTCGGGTTTGACCGACTTTGCGCGAGGCATGGTCGCGTCGATGTCAATGAGGTTGATGGAATAGAAAAAAAGGTGAAACAAAAAGTTGGAAGAGGAAGGAGGAAAGAGAGAGGAGGAAAGCTGGATAGCGCGTGCGCAGGAGCGATCAAGCGTGATTTTTGCTTGGGGATTAACCGTCTTCTGACCAGCATTGACCAACTTTGCTTAAACCCAACCCGCACTCTGCACTCTGCACCCCTGTCCATTCTGTCATTACAAAAGTCACCCTGCTCGCCCAAAAATCAAAGTGGTATCATCGCGACTGTACCTGACCCTTTCCCGAACGCCAGCCATTCTCCCAGCATCTCTCAACTGACGGCAGAAGTCGAAAACTTGTCGCTCAGACGTATTGAGGAGGTCCTTGCGGTGCCTTGTATTGCTGAGGTGGAGCTCCGTAAGGCTGCTGCGGTTGCATCGGAATTGATTGTGGATTGTTCATCATTTGTTGCACATCTGGTCGATGCCTGCATATCATCAGCGTCCTGTTGTCTAAACTCAAGACACAAACATACATGACGTCTTGGTAGAAGTGGCAGATGTGGCAGCCAACTTCATGGTGGGGCTTGAGTGAGAAGGGGATGAGAGGNCTATCAAGTCGTGTCAGTGCTAAAGACGCCAAATATTTCGTGAAAAAACTCACAACAAAGCAGAAGGTGAACCATTCCCATCTCTTGTACACTCTGGCACTGAAGTTGCCACAGTTCTGTTTGTTCATCAGTAGTTGCTAGTGTTTGTTGACAAGACCGTGACACACCTGGCATTGCGCCGTAATGTTCTCGTAGCCTTGTAGCAGCGAGTTGAAAGTGTGCGTTCCACAGGTAAAAATGAATGCCATTTTGCGCCGAGTCTACTTGCGGTTTTGTTGATATAGATAGAAAGAGTAGAGGAAAGGTCGTTGTCGCTCGTGTTACATAGGATATTGGATTGCGTCGCGCGCTTGTTTCGTCGTCATCACATGCTCGCTGAGCCATTCTTGGTGGCCAAGCGCCCAGACTCGATCAGAGAGTCAATCATGTCTAGCACCTCATATCTGTCTAGCAGGACATATCATTAAATCACCTGAAAGACACACAATCCTCTGCAGATACGTTCAAATGCTCAGAGTCATGGAGCACCCAATGACCCGGCAACCCTCGGCCAGTCAAACAAAAGACGCTTTGACTTTGACCCAATTGCGGCTTGCAGCGGTCTCCCAAGATGCCTCTCCACACAAGCCACTGCCGACCGAGACCACAATATTTTTCTGAAGCCGCGTCTCGTGCCATCATCGCATACACACAATGTCGGCCTCGCTTCCTGGTAATCGCGCCTTGCCGGCTTCGCAGTATGACCTGACCACGTACTGGGGTCGTGTTAGACATGCTGCCGACTTGTCTGATCCGAGGTAAGGAAATTGACGTGCACTTTGTTACCATGATTGCTTTTCCATCTCCTTTGTCATGATCATGCTATGAATTCTCATACAACTTTCTGATCATGTTCGAGAAGCAACATATTATTGTCAAAACACATTAAACGAATGCAATTAGCTAATCGTTCTTGTTTGACNNAGAACCTTGTTCACCTCTCCTGCCGGTCTCGAGCATGCAAAAGATTTGGTCACTTCATACAAGCAGGGCAAGACCCAATCCATGACTCCCGACTTGTGGACAGCAAAGAAGGTCATTGATGCAACTCTTCACCCTGGTATGTTGAGAAGCACATCCGACCTACTGGACATCGCTAATGTAGAAACTAATANNGACACCGGCGAGAAGGTCCTCCTCCCCTTCCGCATGTCTGCCTACATCTTCTCCAACCTGGTCGTCACAGCCGGCATGCTCACCNCCGGTCTCAGCACAGCCGGTACCTTGGGCTGGCAAGTCGCCAACCAGTCTCTAAACGTGGCCATTAACTCCTCAAACGCCAACAAATCAATCNCCCTATCCACCTCCACAATGGTGCAATCCTATTTCCTCGCTGTCGGCGCGAGTTGCGGTGTTGCTCTTGGTCTCAACTCAATTGTCCCTCGCCTGAAGCGTGTGAGTCCAAACACCAAGATGCTCTTGGGACGATTGGTGCCTTTTGCTGCTGTGGCTAGTGCGGGTGTGTTGAACGTGTTCCTTATGCGTGGAGAAGAGATTCGCAAGGGTATCGATGTTTTCCCCACCGAGACCGAAGCCCAAAAGCTCAAGCGTGAAGAAGCCGGTCAACCTCTGCAGTCGCTAGGAAAGTCGAAGAAGGCTGCTACTCTTGCTGTTGGCGAGACTGCCATTTCCAGAGTCATCAACGCTACACCTATTATGGTGTTGCCTCCTCTCTTGTTGGTTCGTCTGCAAAAGACTCAGTGGTTGCAGCAGAGACCGAGAATGGTCACGCCTGTCAACCTTGGCTTGATCTTCACAACCAGCATTTTCGCATTGCCTTTGGCTTTGGCTATTTTCCCTCAGAGACAGGCTGTTAAGGTCGATACTTTGGAGGCCGAGTTCCACGGCCGTGCTGGCGATGACGGATGTGTTGAGTTCAACAGAGGTATCTAGAGAGTATCTCTTTTTCCAGGTTTCTTTGTTCGGAATTTGGGAGTAAATTGGTCGCGCAAATTGCGCAGGATTCAGATAGACTTGGGTGGTATTGAACATTTACGTCCGAGTTGATTTAGTGTTGAATATCTCCGCGGTATGGATCGCATGGTGTTAGGTCATACTCGGTAGTTCGAGATGTCCGTGACTTAATCGTGCCAGTCTAGTGACACGACATAGTACTTTCTGCCTAGAGAGTCGATCGGATCTTGGTTGCACAATTTCACCTGGAACAACCCTTACAGAGAGTTGGATTGGTTATGTTTACAAGTGGCCAGATAGTAGATTTGCTATAGCAAGGCCTACTAACACGTTAAGGGGTACTCCTGCTACTTATATACTCTTCATGGGCACAAAGAAGGCGAGATTTCTTTGTTCGTATGATAAGCTTTTTAATAAAACCGTAAATAAGTACGCATCTACAACAAAGAAGCTTGCTAAAGGATGATATATCTAAGAGGGGAGGGTCGCAGTATAGTAGTCTGATGTATGTAATAGCAGACCAAGAGAATAGAAAGCAGATACGATTAAAGATACTGTTTAGAGCCGTTGTTCACCAAAGCCGACTCGACTGGTCATTCAATCAAAAGTCCGGCTTCCCAACCGCAATTTCTCAGCCATCTTCTTTCCGATTCACTTGATCAGTACGCCAAAATGTGCAGCGCAACCGGGGCTGTTTTATCTTGAGGTAAATGCGCGCAATAATCGAACTTTTGTCCGCGCAAAAGAGAAACCGACCTCCAACCTTAGCAATTGATCCCAGAGGCTATACCAGACGCCCTGAACATTCCTGAGGGGTTAGAAGTGCAAAAAGAATCGACGAACTAGGGACTCGAACCCTAAACCTTCAGTGGTGTTTGAATTCGGTGGACCGAAAACTGGGAGGATGTTAGAAGCTGCAGCGAGAGGAGATGTAGTGGAGTTACTTGCCTGACGCGCTACCATTGCGCCAGCCCGCCGCTGGTTGAAGCAGACGCAAATCTTGCCCAATACCAAGTCCGCAAATTTATTGCACCATCAACACGGTGTAGCAGCGATGTTCTTCCAACCAGCACCTTTTTAAAAACACGTTTGTCATTCAACACGTTGGACGATGAAAAACACGACAATACCTAGAGGCGGGCCTAATTCATGAACGTCTATCGATCGATCGTTAAACTCCATCAACACCGTGTTGACAGTGTTGGAAAAAATTGAACGTGTCGAAGGTATCAACCGTGTTGCAGGATTTGATCGCATAGAGGATCACTGGATCCTTTGTCTTCTCCTTCTCCTTCTCCCAACACGGTTCACCCGTAGCCAACACAGATAGTTCTCATGTCAGAAAGCTCGCACTGCACTCGTTTTGAAGCTACAGAGGCATTTGTTACAGGCAGGTGTGTAAACCCAGACAATTGTCACCCAGAGAGCTAAAACTTGTGACGCGACGCGATTCACATTCACCATGGAAGAACATGTCTTTAGAAGCATAGCATTCAAGATGTTATAGACTGTTTTCAACTCGTATGTACTAGCGTATCTTTCTGTTTCCGTACATCGCGAAGTTACACTGTGCGTCTATGACACCACTGATTCTCCGAAAAGTAGTAGTTTACGTGGTATGGAAATCAGTGGACCTCGCTGCGGATGTTCAGCATCAAACAAGAAACCCAATCTATGAGACAACAACATAACCCATCGACAAGAGACTTGCAGAGAGGTTGACAGAGGAGCTTTATATCGAATTACTGCCAACCAAGAGTCGTCCTTGGGCTGCTATCTTCGCATAAGGATATATCTCATTGGAAGGACAGGGTCATACTAGCAGCGGTGGGATGACCCTGTCTGTAACGAGAATCCCAGCAGCGAGCGAATTGGGACCCTCGAAACCAATTTCTTTGAGCTATGTTCGACGGCTACCAACAGTCACTTGCGCATCAATCGGGAAAATAAGTAAGATGGAAGACGAGTACTATGTGCTGTCGATCATGTCGTATCATGACAATGTTGGCCCGGCAATGCCAGTAAGTGATATTTCTACCTTCGTATGAGAATCTTGAGATTGCCCTGTTGTCTGGTTTCACGTTGGCCTTCCAATGTCGAGATAGCCAAGCTCTCGCTAAGCATGTTTAGGGGCCCGAGTTTAGGACCAACAAGCAGTGTGGGCAGTGTCTGTCCGTCGGCCATTCAAACGGATTTGCCCTCCACATTACTCGGAGGCCATCCAGCACTCTTTTGGAGTGATCAAGAAGCCTTGATCTTGCACTCCAACCCCTCGACCAGTCGCAATTGGAGCCTGAATCAGCCTGCTTTGGGTACGACGGTCGCCGGTAAACCACGGCCTGGACTCGTCACGCAGCGCACTCGCTTGCGTTGGTTATGTTTGTAGACTCGACGACCCTGCAGCCTCACTTCTTTGACGACTTCTTGTCCTTCTTGTTCTTCTTCTCTTTCTTCTTGTCGTCCTTTGCGGAATCTTCGGAGGCAGGTTCGGTGGCAGGCGTCGTGGTACCGCTTCGTCGGGCTTCTTTTGCTTCGAGGTTCTTCGCTAGTCGTTGTGAGAAGTATTGTTCTAATGTGACGCCCTTGGCTGCGGCGCGTTCTTCGTATTGCTTGCGCTTGTCTTCGGGTAGACCATCCAAAGACTTGTCCTTCTTGCTTTTGCTCTTCTTGGTGGCCACAGCGTCGGAAGTATCGTCGTCGGTGGTTGTGGACTTCTTCGCTTTTTTTGCAGCACGGCGGGCCTTCTTGTCGTCGTCAGACGAAGAGCCGGATGTAGATCTTGATCGCTTCTTCTCTTTCTTGTCCTTCTTCACCTTCTTCTTTCCCGTCTTGTCCTCGCCCTCGTCGTCTCCAGCCTTCCTCTTCACGCCCACAGCCGGACCAACGGCAGATGCAAGCGCAGCAACCTTGGGATCGACAACACCTATCGTACCAGCCACACCCTCTCCTTGCACAAAACGTCCATACAAGCCACCCCTCTTGATTCCATGATCCTTGACGTTTGCCAGAATGCTCTTCTTGCCGGTTCCAAAATCCTTCAAACTGCTGTCGAACGCTTTCAACCACCACTGACCCTGGATAACATCTGCCTTGTTGATTCCGACACCTAGTACGTCGACTTTTTTGCTGACCAGGAGCGGTTTTCGGAGACCCTTGTTGTTGTCGTCCAGCGAGTGGCCGAGGCCGCGCCAGCCTTGTTTTTTGAGGAGTCCAGCGGCATCCATGATATGCTGTTTTCTTTCGTCCAATAGGTAGCAAGAGTCTCGGGCGTCCAGAAAAGATATGTGTGTATGTTTGCGTGCAAAGATAGACGGTAGAGAAAAGCGTCGGGATTATTTTTCTGCCGCTTGTGATTCCGGGCTTCTGGCTTGACCGCCTGAGCAGCGGGCCGAGCCCTGCCTGACAACCCGAACGCGCTTTCCTTACGCGTGCTTTGCATGTGACGACCCTTTGCTTTCCTTCCACACCGATATCTCTAATCAGATATCTAATCCAATGTCGACGATACTCTCCAATTTACTGCGACCCTATAGGCCTGCAGACTTTTTGTAAGTGCGATATAAGGTAGTAGCGTAAAGTCCAAGTACAAACTACGACTCCTTTCGGAATACGCTCAAGCATAACGACAAGATTGGCATTGACATTGACATACTCAAAACTGTCTGTCGTCGTCTGATTCTCATACTGATTCATAAAAGTCTCAGGTCTGCACCTCTAAAATCCTTTTCTCATTCTCGTCGACTTGATGCGTCTGCAGAAAGATCGAGAGAACGTTACGCAAATGAGCCCGAACGTCGCGAGAGATTGAAAGAATCGTTTCGTAAACGCTGGCATTCACTAGACTCAGAACAAAAAAGAAAGTGAATGAAAGTAATAGCGCAATGATACGTCAATCCCGGCAAAATAATCCTCTGATCAGGCTGAAACACAACCTAAACATATGGATTCACAGGAATCTGAGAACCAATGTCGAATGGAGCACACACTTTCCCATATCTCATCCGGAGAAAGTCGGCCTTTGTTGTGAAGATTGCACTCGCGAGTCTTACAAACAGAAAAAGTTATTGGTATGTCCCCGGACAGCTATAAGCCTGTTTTGAGTCTTTCGCAAGAAGGATGCTGACTACTTGCTCTATAGTGGCACGACGTACATGATCCCACAAAACAGCTTTGCGAAATGTGTTTCGTCAAGAGATGGCCTGAGGGCATGCCTCATGATTTTGAATATCGCGTCGACAAGAATGGCACAAAGCGGCTTTCGAGGAAGCTTAAATGAAAGTTGGGAAGGTAGTTGATGTGAACTGAAGGCTTCCGAATCGTATATACTGACTACATTCGCGAAGGTAGGCTTCTTCTCTTTCATCATCGGACTGCAACAGCGGTATTCACACGTGTCGCCTTCTTGATTGGTCGATGTTGCTCATGTGGTTCTTTCGCAAGAAACATAATTTCTTCCAACATGGTGTTGCTAATTCTTAATTTGCCCTCTTTTACAGACTGCCATCACCATATTGTTTGCCATGTTCTCCTTCACCTTCCTTCCTGCAGATCATCCCTGCCAAGTATTGCTGACCGATGCAGTCGTCACACCACAGCTCGCAGGAACCGTATAACTATGATTTCTTTGCAATCAAAGAACGTTAGTACACGACGAACGTAGAGACAAGGTTGCGATCACTTACGGATCAGACTCCCAAGTCACGCTTCCATCCGTGTTCACCTTGATGAATTTATAGCTGAAAGCTTGGCCTGCGGGAAGATTGACGGTGCCGGACCTGTTCTATCGTCAGCGACCTCAAGCGAACCCTTATTGATGCGGGTGATCTTACCAGACAGGATTGCTAGCAGTGTACCCAGCCGAAGACAAGGTAACCGCATTTGCAGTGTTCCAAGAACCGAGCTGCGGGATTGAGCCTGCGAGTTTGATGGTTTGACCATACTGAGTAGTCACTTTATTGGTAAAAGTCACGGCGACTGCGGTGGGTGTGCTGCAGCCACCAGCGATCGTCGACGTCTTGATTGTGGTCGGTGTGACTGAAGTAGAGCTTGAGTCACTACAGAGGCCACTGCCAGTGAGTTTTGCCGTAGGATAGAGGACTCTGGGTGCACCGGCATTGATACTGATGGCGATGTTACCGCTGGAGTCTGCAGTGTAGGAAGTGCAAGATAAAATGTCAGTGACAGATTGACCACCCGTAAAGCCACTCGCCGAAGACGAAAGGGTAAATGAACTACTTCCTGAAGAACCCTTGTTGGTGAAGACACCGATAACTTGAGAACCGGTTGTGCCCTTTCTCATAACGATTGTCGACGCATCAGAGTAGATACCATAGGCTTTGTATGTAACGTATCCTGAATCTTGCTTGATGGCTTGCTTTCTAATCTTGTTGAGTGTGGTGATGAAGGGGTACAGCTGCGAAGAAGTCGAGTAGCCAGACTGCCAAAGTGCTTCTCTGTTGTTTGGCACACTGGAGCCCGAGAAATGCTGTTCTTGGCCCTGGTAGATGATCGGTACACCGTCTGCTAGCATTGTAAAAGCTATGGCATTCTTCGCGAGTGCGTAGTCGGAAGTCAACGAGGGGAAGCGTGCGACATCATGATTCTCCATGAATGAGCCTAGGAGTGTTGTGTCTTTGCATGTGGATTTTAGAGTGTTGATCCCGTTGTAGAGGTTACTGATACTACCAGAGGTGGACTGGAAGGCTTGTGTGATCCAGTAGTANTCTGCAGAACGGTCAGTACCAGGTCTATCTCCCAGGAGACAGCATATGTCTTACGAAGGGAAGTTGAGCATGCCATCCAGATAGTTCTGGTAATCGCAGAAAGTGGTCGGGTTACCGTCGTAGACTTCACCAACCGCGTATACTCCGGCGGCCTGTTCGAACGGAGGGTAGAAGGCTTTGTCAACAGACTTGGCAGAATCGATTCGAAGACCATCAACTGAANNGAATATTAGTAAAGCTTCATCCTTGAGATTGAACATTGACATACTGATGTAATTTGACACAAGCTGTTTGATCCAGGTGTTCCACATAGAAAGCACATTGGAGTCTTCAGTCCTCAAGTCCGGCAGAGCTACGGTGTTGTCACCAGCCCAGCANCTAGCATCATGAGCACTTTCAAAATAGTGTATCAAGAGTAAATAACGTACTTGCTCAACACTGGTCTGGTTGTTGTAGTCAATCAGGCAGAACGGATGATAGTACGATCGCTGATTGAAGGGGTTGTATATGGAGTAGTCGACGCAATTACCACAGCCATCGTATCCCATATGGTTTGTGACAATGTCAACCATCAAATANCTATGCAGTGTAAGTCTATTTCAAAAGGCCAAATGTTGTCTCAAACTTCATCTCACCATGCCACGAGAATGGAGGGCCTTAGAGAGCGACACCAAATCGGCAGCAGAGCCAAAATTAGTGTTGACTTGGTATATGTCCTGAGCCCAGTAGCCATGGTACGAATCACCATCTGGGCCTGAACTATGTATGTTCTTCACAACAGGGCTGATCCAAATCTATGATAAAAATCAGTGCTGTTGTGATTTTGGATCAGTTACGTGAATACGAACCGCAGTGAAGCCCATGTTCTGGATATAATCCAACTGCTTGATGATGCCCTGGAACGTACCGCCACAATACTTGTTGACATCACAAGAAGCAGTTGTCGACCCATCAGTCCTTGCAAAACGATCGGTAAAGACTTGATAAATTGATTGGCTTCTCCATTGTGCCGGAGTAAGGCACTGCACCAATCCTGTCAAGTACAAGAGAGCGAACAACAGTTGAGACACGTAGTTGGCTACCATGTTTCCGGACTGTGACATTTCTCTCCAGATTGGTGAATGGAGTATGAAATGGTTGGGAAATGGCGTGTGTTATGACCATACTCTTATGTTGGTTGTCTTGACCGCGGCACAATGCTCTTTGCAATAAACATGAGTAGGTCTTGTTTCGAAAAGTGATGTATACTTTGATACCATTGACCGGTGAGGCTAGCAGCTTCGAGCGGCATGATAGCTTCTTGTCCGTCGTAGTTGGTCTCTCAACCTCATTATTGAAAAGTGCCCACCTACGTTGCTCGGCTCCCGAAATAGGGAGTCGGACTTGGTCTCTGACCAGAGGACTGTGTCAAGAAAGAAGCTATGAGCGCGTAGTACATGCTGTGGTCACTCACCAGTAGCACAGATGGCTTGCTTTGCCGATCGGTCTATTCGGGTACAGAGGCTCAGGCACAGAACATTTCGCTTCAAGAAGAAGGCTGTCTAGTGTGAGACGGAAAAGCCTCCATCATGCAGTATTCGGCGCGACTGCCATGTGGCATAAGGGGAATCAAGCATATTCTAGGAACTGATTGGCAGGTCGTTGAACAACTGACTTTTTGCCCCCTCCTTTCCCCAGCTTTTAGTTGTCTCGTGCTTGGTCATGGTATACGATGATGAGATATAACGGCGGCAGCACAGACGTGACAGGTCAAATTACTCGGTTGCTATCCGTATAGAGCAGGTCGCGGACTTTAGCTCTTTGGCGAGGCCGTAGATCGTGCTTTGCTGGAGGCCTTTAGAGTTTAGCGATATCCAATCTAGACATGTGAAATTCTCCTGCACAACACACTTCGGTGTCATTCTCGACAACGAAGTTCGGCTGAATACCAAGGCTGATATACTCGGCCACTTCCTTGCGAATACGCAGATCGCGAGTATGCTCAGTGCACGATGGAATGCTATAAGCGAGAACGATCGCACCTTCCTCATAGAGCTCAGAGTTGGACCAAGTGAATTAGATGCTTATACTGTACTACTGCGAGTTACGCCATGACTCCTGAGCGAAATAAAGCTTACGCACGAGAGCCCGACTCGAAGTGCAACCGTTCGAATGGGCATGGGGATACTCGAATCCTGTCAAAGCAGAGAGGAGGGGAGAAGTCAGCGTGATATCGTCGCATGACAAACTTTTGGTGTCAGGGGGCGCCTTAGGATGACCTCCATGCCATGTGTTCTATATTGGATGGCCTGCACTGCATAAAAGCACCGCTGATTGGCAAAGTGCGTTGTTGATCACCATGTGAAGTGCAGGGAGAAAGGGCAGAGTCTGCGAGGTGCAGCTTCCCAAGGTTTCCGTGCGGGAGACGGGTGTGGGGTGTGGGGTTCGTGGCAGGCTCGCGTTTTCTCCCAGCCTCGGCACAAAACCTTGTTGCTTCATGTGCCAACAACCTCATCACATCTGACAAGCGAGCTCAGGAAGGCGCTGGTCTTCGCTTCATGTAACCTTCACTCTTCGGACAATGGTCAGAACAGATCGACCTGATGACAGTCGCTACTTCTTTGCAGCCTTACCGCAATACGCCACTGTGGATATGCACAGACGGATAGCTTGAGCAGAAGCGAACGTGCTTTGAGAAGCATCGACAGAGTCTAAGTCTATTGGTTTCTGCCTGGCTATTGCTCTAGTCTGCAGGAACGGTCCGATCATGCTGTTCCTGCAGAAGTCGGACTCCTCCATTCTGGACAGGCAATCTTGGTGAAGATATATAAATCGTCCTTCGACCTGAACAAATCCATTATTAAAAGCACTGCTTTCTTCACCATGCGTTTCCTTTCAACTCTGCCCGTACTCCTCGGAGCTGCTTTCGCTCTACCCTCGACCGAGAGCATCCAAGAGCGAGCAACTGACTCCCTCGCTTCTTGGCTCTCGTCTGAGAACACTGTTGCTCTGCAGGGTGTTCTTGCCAACATTGGTGCCAGTGGCTCCAAGGCTTCTGGTGCTAGTGCTGGTGTTGTGGTCGCTTCTCCTTCGAAGTCAAACCCTGACNTGTGAGTAACCTGTATCATCTGCTACGATATAAGTACCACTAACATCAGTCAAGACTTCTACACCTGGACTCGTGACTCGGCTCTCGTGTTCAAGGCACTTGTGGACCAACTCATTGCTGGTAACAAGTCTCTGGAGCCTCTCATCCAGCAGTATATCAGTGCTCAGGCCAAGCTGCAAACCGTCAGCAACCCCAGCGGTGGTCTTTGTTCCGGAGGTCTTGCTGAGCCCAAGTTCGAAGTCGACCTCACATCTTTCACTGGTGCTTGGGGTAGACCTCAGCGTGATGGCCCTGCTCTCCGCGCCACTGCCATGATTGCTTACTCTCGCTACCTTATTGTAAGTCGACAATCTTCATCTCTATTGCTATACGCTCATCCTCTCTACAGGNCCAATGGTAACACCACAACCGTCAACAATATCATCTGGCCTATCGTACAAAACGATCTTTCTTATGTCACCCAATATTGGAACCAGACTGGCTTCGACTTGTGGGAGGAGATCAATAGCTCTTCCTTCTTCACCACTGCTGTTCAATACCGTGCTCTTATCGAGGGCAACAACCTCGCTACCCAGCTTGGAAAGTCGTGCCCCAATTGTGTTTCTCAGGCTCCCCTTGTCCTTTGCTTCCTTCAGTCTTATTGGACTGGCTCATATGCACTTTCCAACACTGGAGGAGGTGGTAGATCTGGCAAGGATGCAAACTCGATCCTGACCAGCATTCACATCTTCGACCCTGCTGCTTCTTGCGATGCGACCACTTTCCAACCTTGCAGTGACAAGGCTCTTGCCAACCACAAGGTCGTCACTGATTCTTTCCGCTCCATTTACAACATCAACAAGGGCATTGCTCAAGGCTCTGGTGTTGCTGTTGGCAGATATCCCGAGGACTCTTACTACAACGGCAACCCTTGGTGAGTCGGGTCATTGAACAAAGTATGGATCAAGCTAACTTGATAGGNNTACCTCAACACTTTTGCTGCAGCTGAACAACTCTATGATGCTGTCTATCAGTGGAAGAAGATTGGCTCAATTTCGATCACTTCGATTTCTCTTCCTTTCTTCAAAGATGTCTACTCTTCTGCTGCTGTCGGCACCTACGCATCTTCGACTACCACTTTCACTTCCATTGTCAACGCTGTCCAGACCTACGCTGACAGCTACATGTCTATTGCTGTATGTTCTGGATGCCTCATTGTGTATGCACACTCACTGACCTGATCTACAGNNCAAAAATACACCCCATCAAACGGAGCTCTTGCTGAGCAGTACAATCGTGCCGACGGTACTCCCCTCTCAGCAGTCGACTTGACCTGGTCCTACGCCGCTTTCTTGACTGCCTACAATGCCCGCGCCAACATCATCCCTGCCTCCTGGGGTGCCGCATCTGTAAGTTTGGTTACACACACAATATCTCACATATCCACTGACAAACTTCACCAGGCCAAGCTGCCCAACTCCTGCTCCAGCGGCTCTGCCACAGGCCCCTGTGCCGCAGCCACAAACACCAACTGGGGCAACCCCGGCTCTCCCTCCACCGGAACACCCACCACAACCGGCGGCGGCTCCTGCGCGACCCCCTCTTCCATTGCTGTAACCTTTAACGAGCAAAAGACCACTGCTTACGGTGAGAATATCTACATTGTTGGCAGCATCCCCGCGCTTGGAAACTGGAATACTGCAAATGCGGTCGCGCTATCTGCTTCTGGATACACTAGCTCCAACCCTCTGTGGAGTGTTACTATCAACTTTTCTACTGGAACTAGCTTCAACTACAAGTACATCAAGAAGGCGCAGGATGGTAGTGTCACTTGGGAAAGTGATCCTAACCGCAGCTACACTGTCAGTGGAAACTGCGCTGGTACTGCCACCCAGAACGACAGCTGGAGGTAGAAGATTTCGCCCCCAGAGTGGTGGAAGGCTTGTGTAGTGCGAAAGTTGCAATTGTATGATTAATGGATTTCATACAGTCAGAATTCGCGACTGCATCTATTTACGACAAAATTGACACAGCATGCAAGACAGATGAACAAGTAGATGAAGAAGACAGAAGACATAGAACAATTTTTGCCGTTGCATCAACACTTCAACGTCGTTATCAAACCACCATTCGACTTTCCCGTAGTTTGTCCTCTTAATCTCTAACACAGCTACACATACTGAGTAATTGCGAATACTTGCATTCCACAGATCGTCTTCAACCTCCAGCAGTCATCTCGAGATTCAGTTTCTCTCTCTTCATGAGCAATCCACTAACAAGAGCGACTGCACCTGCAACGATAGTCAAGATCCAAATATCTCTCAGCGTAGCAGCGATGGCCTCGAGAACCAAGCGTTGCAGTGCCAAGTCTCCACTAGCCAAAATGGCAGAATGGGCACCTCCAAGTGCAGCTCTGATCTCGGTGTCCGAAAAGTTATATGCTGACAGGGCACTCTTGATATTGTCAAAACCAAGGTTCTGATACAAGCAACCAGCGATACTGAGGCCGATGGATAGACTGCCGATCTGAGCCACGTTGATAAATCCGACCGCGTTCAGAGTGTCGATTTTGTCGGCAATGGCCACAGCGACTGAGTAGGCCACTTGCATGCTCGTTCCTGCTCCAAGGGCCATCAAGACCTCGTAGCCGTATATGCTCGTCGTGGAGGTATCTAGATGGACAGTGTGCATCAAGGCGCCACCAAAGACCAGCAAAACACCACTGACGATGTAGAAAGGCTGGTAGCGACCGAGGACTGGTAAGAGACCACCACTAAGCATCACCGCTGTGACAAAGACACAGATATACGGAAGCAGTCGTACGGCAGCTTTGATTGGGGAGTCGCCCTTGGTGAATTGGAAGAAGATTGGGATGTAGTAGACGCCAAGACCGAGTCCGGTTGACGATGCCGCAGTTCCAGTGTAGAGTAGTACCATGGTCCTGCTTTTGAGGAAGTGGACCAGGAACAGACGGTGCGATGGTGTGGTGGCAATACTAAAGTCCTGTTGCAAAATGAAGGCGAGAAGAAAGACAGCAAACACAACCCAAAGTGAGATTGGACCAGCATTGTTCCACTTCCACAGTGAACCGCTGAATGTTAGAGCAACCTGCAAGATAGCGAATATGCCAGCGAACAAGAAAGCGCCTAGCCAGTCGATTGTAGCGAGCTTTTGCATAGTACCAATGTCCGGCTTGGGGTTGTGAGTCGGCAAAAGGAAGAGGTAGACTGGAGAGATGAGACCGGCCAAGGGTAGGTTGATGTAGAAGGCCCATCTCCAAGTTGCAGAACTAACGGCAAAGCCTCCACCAATAACGGGACCCAATATACAGCCTGTACCCCAGCACAGACCGATTAAGGCGTTGTAGATGGGCTGCTCTCTCTTGCTTGTGAAGGTCGTGATGTATGTCAATGCTCTATCGGACTGTAAGCACATAATGGCCATGAGAAGAGTGTCAGACTTTTAACTCACCCCNAGATACATGCCGGCTCCACCCATACCAGCTATGACCCTGCCAACGATCAGAGCATTCATACTGGGTGCAGCTCCACAGAGAGCGGAGCCAATTTCGAACAACACGAGACTGCTGATAAATATCCACTTGATTTCGAACAGCGCGTAGAGGGCTCCAACCAACAGAACGATCGACACGGATGCCATAGGGAAGCCAATACCGACCCAAGAAAGCTTTTCGATATCGCCGAATGCTTCGAGAATTGGTCCTTGGACATCTGCCGCAATTGTCGTATCGAGACCNTTCAAAACAATTATCAGCGAACGTGTCAAGGCATGACAGAAGATGCCTGATCTTGTACCGTATAAAAGGGCGCCAGTATAGATGCCAACGCAGACCAGATACCATTTCCAGTCGGGCATGCCCCTGTCGAACTTGGCTTCTTGCTGATCTGAAATACTTGAGCGTTGATCTTCTACATCTCTGTGGCGAGACGACTCGGGCTTGTCGGATATCGTAGACATGATCGATGTTGCTTGTACTGATGACAGTCTGCTGAGTGAAATATGGAGATTTGATGAACTTGAGTTTCCCAGATACCACGGATTTCTATTGATTAAGTATTGATAGCCCTAGCAGGCAGCCGCAAAGTCGGATGCATAATCACAACGATATGTTCATCCGTTAGCTAGCACGTGTTAACCATGCAAGCAAGCAAGATAGGACGTCAGCCGTAAGTTTGTGGATGTGAGCGGTATAGACTTTTTCCCGGCATGACGTTTTCTCCGAGTCGGATGGAAGTCAGGTAAAGTATACAGCGGTAAAGAAAAGCTCGCGATCAATCTTCTTGTATAGGGTCATCATCATGAATGTGATGATCAATCAACAAACGCTCAAATATCCAAAAATGTCCGTGCGGAGCTCGAGAGCAGTCCTTGAAAGGGCGGCCGTTCAAGAACCGGCGAGTTCGATTCATGCGACTCTGATGAGTCAACGGCCGTAGTAGTCAACACGGGATAGGGTCTCAGATATACTGGAGCGATACATGTATCCATGTAGGTGAACAAGAGAAGAATGTGCTGGAAAATGGCAGGGCATGTGCGGGGAGGCATTCCACCGATCGGCCACGCGTCATGCCGAAGGCTTCATCGCCCATTGGACCTTTGCAGTGACTTCTTCTTTTGCGAGAAATACATTGAGACGACTCGGATTACGCCTGCCGCTTGCGCCCAATGGAGTTGACAATGCGAGCTTTGCAGGTAACTGCGAGGGGTGTAATGGTCCTATCTTGCCGGTGCCTTGACCTTTGACAGTTATCGACAGAAGGTAGGTATATAAGGTCAGCTGCATGCTGGAGTAGCTTGGTATCACACGAATATAATCTCAACAGCTCTCGACAACTACACTTAGAGTCACTTCTCTACCCGCCTAGGCTTCGACAGTACCCCGACAAGGAAACCATCAAGGACACCATTATCGATATGCTCTTCAATCCAGCAAAGGACATCCCTGACCTCTCAGGGAAAGTCATCGTTGTGACTGGCGGCAGCAGCGGTCTCGGCAAAGAGAGTGTACATCAGTTTGTCAAACACAACCCCGACAAAGTGTACCTCGCTGCCCGAACAAGCCAGCGAGGCAATGCCGCAATCGAAGAGATCGAAAAAGACGTCCCATCCGCAAGAGGAAAGATCCACTATCTCGAGGTTGACATGGCCTCTTTCGCGTCTGTCAACCGAGCCGCTGCTCGTATTGTTTCCGAAAACGACCGACTGGACATCTTGATGAACAACTCTGGTATAGCAGATGCACCTCCAAGCTCAACCACCGATGGCTATGAAATCCAATTCGGCACCAATTACATGGGACCCACACTCTTTACACAGCTTTTGCTACCTCTACTGCAAAAGACAGCAGAACAACCCAACAGCGATGTCCGCATCATAAACCTCAGCTCTGAACTGTTCAAACAAGCTCCTAGCCAAGGCATCATGTTCGCCGACTTGAAATCGCCAATGCAAAAGGCTGGCTCTGTAACCAAATACGGGCAATCTAAACTCGCAAACTATCTGTTTACCAAGGTGTGCGCTGAGAGGTACCCTGCCATTAAATCTGTTGCTCTTCATCCTGGTATGGTCAACACTTCTGTCTGGGACAACACGTTCAATAGACCGTATGTGGGCCGGATGATGGGGATGGTTATGAGGCCCTTCCTGACCAACGTACACGACGGTGCAAAGAGGCAGCTATGGGCAAGCACAGCAAAGAAGAGCGAGGTCAGAAACGGTGCTNTTTACACAGCCAATGGCGGCGAGTATACCCAGGCGATACTCAAGAACGATAAACTTGCGAAAGAGCTGTGGGCATGGACTGAGAAAGAGTTCGCAAAGCACGGGTTCTGAAACAATTCTGATGGGTCGTGAGCTGGAGTCTGGCGCGGGTCTCTTGTATTTTTTTTTCAATGAATAATGACATGTTGCCATTTCCTGGTCTCGAAGCAAGACAAGATGCCAGAAACGAAGATTGATCCAATGATTGAATTGCAGAGGTTGTTGAGTTGGGAGAGTTGAGCAGTCAAACCAAGTGTTCATCTACAGCCGAGCCCGTCTTTTGATAGCATATGGTCGTGGTTAAAGGTCCGTATACACATTGTGAAGATGGTGTCTAGTTAGAGGCAACTCTTCTCGACCAGTCCTCGCCCATGCGTCCTATATCAACAACTTCGACGTCTTTTCCAAGGCCGACGAGATCTGACGTCTCCCACCACTTGTCATTCCTGTCCTCTCGCGCCTTACCTCTTCGCGAACCTTCGTCCTCGGTCTCGGTCTCAGTATCGATCAAGCCGCCAGCGCCATCATCGCCAACTACGAGGATTGTTTGGCCAACCCAGCCTTTGAGCTGTTGGACGTGTTCGCCGTTGTGGCCGGAGAGAGAGGAGTTGTCGGGTAAATAGACCAGCGAGGGAGAGAGATGGCGCAGAATGTGGATGTAGCCTGTAGGTGTTGAGAAGGGCATGACTTGTGAAGGCTTGTCTACCAGAGACAGGGACTTTTGCCAGAGGGAGTCAAATAGCGTCTTGGGAGATGATGCAGGGTATGAGACAGATGCATATGAGGATGAGAGGGTGGTCGAGGCGGATGTGGATGTAGGGAGTTCGGGAAGAGAAGATTGATCGGGGGCGTAGATTAGTACGAAGAGGTTCGTGAGTGCTGGGTCGATGTGGTCAGGGAGGTAAGAGAGGATGGACTGGGTCATGTTAGTCAGGCATGTTGCGATTGCCTTGGTTCGGGGTGCTGTACTCACAGCATGCTCGGTATAGTGTGTGGATTCAAAGCCCTGGTCTTCGCCGTTCAACACGACAACGACTGATCTCTTAGGCTTGTTGATCGCCGGGTGCGACGAGGTGGGTCTTTGCGAGCGCTTGGTTTCTGCTTCTTCGTTCCAGTGTTCGTTGTCGGAGAAGGCAGGATCAGCACTTTCTTGCTGTCTGCCTGCAGTATTTGATCCAGAGAGGCCAACAGCAGAGCGTATACGTTGTCCAGCACTGTCGAAGAATTGCTGTGGTGAAGGAGTGCGGCCAGTCATGCGTGCTAGGAAGCCTCGGTCCTGGGATTCAGAGAGCTGATCTTGGGCTTGTGGTATATCGTCTGGGTAGTCCAGAGGATGATCATATTTGTCGTCTTCATGATTGTCGTTGTCATCATCGTCGTTGTCTTGTTGACGCTCGCTCCAGATCCAGGCGGCCAAACCGGCAGTCGCGATAGTCACAGTGACCGCCAGAGGCAGCCAGTATCCTAATGCTGATCTGCCGGGGCGGGCCTGCCTTCGCCGGGCAGCATCATATCGATCCATTGCATTGAGAGTCACACCACACGGTCCAGTGTCACATGAAAGAGTCGCGGTCGCGTCAAAGTGGTATACACCTACCCCACGTTTCTTGGCGTGTTCGAGGTGCGGGAGGCTTCAATCCGTTCGCGAAATTCTGTTTGCGATGCGTCACATACACTTTTGTTCAAGCGTTCAGACAAGGAGGAAACACACAGGACATGCCGCACGCCACCAACATGCCCTACGCCGGCTTCCAGGCCTTCATCCTGTGCGGGCCCGGCCTGTCGCTCAACACCTTCACCTCGAATGTCGCAGACTACCCCAAGGCCCTCGTGCCCATCGCCAATCGCCCCATGGTGTGGTACCCTCTGGACTGGTGCTACCGCATGGGCGTCACAAATATCACCCTGATCACACCTCCCGAAAGCGCTGCACCTCTGGAATCCGCCCTCGCCCAAAACCCTCACCTCACCAGCCTCCCTGCTCCCAAGCCCGAACTACTGTGTCCCAAAGACTTGACCCAGACCACTGGAACCGCCGAGATCTTCCGCACTCCTGAAGTCCAGAAGGCCATCATCTCCGACTTTATCGTCCTGCCCTGTGACTTGATCTGCGACCTCGAGGGTTCTGCTCTGCTGCAGTCATGGATGGTGCTCGAGGCCGGTCTTGGAGGCGCTACTGGTGGCATGGTCGACGGTCAGGCTGTACCTATGACCATGGGTGGTGAAAAGAGCGGTCGCAGAGGAGGTCTGGCTGTGTGGTACCCTACAAAAGGTCTCGAGGGCGTCAGCCAGAAGGGCGACGAGACCGACTTGGTCGCAACAACCNCCCTACCACGTCCCGCTGTTCCTGCTCCCGAGGGTCATCTCCGTCCTCATGTCGAGAAACTCGTCTTGAGCATCCCCACCAGTACCGTCAAGGACATTACAGAAGAACAAAAGAGCTTCCCTCTGCGCCACGCCCTACTACGCCAGCACGGAAAGGTCAAGATCAAGACTTCACATAGAGATGCTCACGTCTACTTCCTGCCTTTCTGGGTCAAGGACATGATCAAGGAGAACGAGGCCTTCGATTCCTTATCCGAGGATGTCATTGGCTGGTGGGCAAAGGCTGGCTGGCAGCAGGGTTTGGCCGACAAATTGAACCTTCGCAAAGTACTGAGCGACGCTCCCTCTACACAAGACGCCGATGATATGATGATGGCGAGCAGCATGCAACTCGACGAAGAGGTCGACTTGGCTGCCATGAGCACAACATCAATGACCCAGCCCACTTCATCTGCTTTCAAACGCTCACCAGACACTTTCGCATCACGCGTGCCTGGAAACCTCCAAACAGACAACGAGCCCCAAGATCCGTTAATAGTCCCTCCCATCTTGGCTTACGTCCAGCCTCCTCTTACCGACCCTACTAACCAACCACTCATTCGTCGCGTCGACACTTCCTCCCTCCTCCTTAGCATCTCTCTTCGTCTCGCCAAACTACCCTCCGTTGCAGAAGCCACAGCCACTGGCGTTGCACCATCACCCNTTGCACATGCCGCAAAGGTTGCACATCCAGACATGATTCAACAGCAAACACGAGTCAGCGAAGTTGATTCACTGGTGGCCGAGAATGTCACGATCGGCAGCAGAGTTAACATCAAAGAGTCTGTCATTGGTGTGGGCTGCAGCATTGGTAATGGCGCAAGATTGACGAGGTGTCTGCTCATGGAAGGATGCACTGTTGGGGAGAACGTCACACTCACCGGCTGTATTGTGGGCAAGAGGTGTAAGATCGAGGGAGGTGGTCCCAAGGACGAGGACAAGACTCGTCTGACAGATTGCGAAGTACAGCCTGGTTATGTCGTCAAGTGGGGAAGTGAGNTTTTCTGCCTTTTGCTTTTCTATGCCTGAAAGATTGCTGACTTTAGTATCACAGCCGAGATGAAGAACGAAAAGTTCATGGTCTTCGAGGGTTTGGGCGAAGACGATGGAGATATGGATATGGATGATGACGATATGGCGTCCGGAGACGACGACGATGCTGCATTTGCATAAAACCATCGACGGATGCAACTTGAATGAACACGAACATGAACATTTCTTCTCTTCCGCTATAGTCATAGATGTCGATGCTCTGATGCCTGATCGGTCTTATCTCGGAAGGCTTCAGGGCGGAGTCGGCCAAGTCGGCAACCACGAAGGCTGTGCCTTAGCGGCGCAGTTGCTGCGCCTTCCCGACCAGTAGACCTCGCACTGTTTGGTCAAGCCTCAACGCTTGAACCTGTCCATCGCTCTTTCTCTGTATAACAACAATCAAAACAAGGAGCTGAGGATTGTCTGAATGCGGTGTGCAATGTAAGAAGGCGCGCGGCTATGCTGAAGACAGGCGGGTTGCTCTGCTGCGGAGAGCAAGGTGAGCAAGAACCAAGATATAATGCCAACGGTGCAGCGTAGACCAAGACAAAGAACTACCTCAAGTGAACAGACTCACTCCGAATATCCGTCTTATTACCTGAGTCCTCTAGTCAGCACCTGCTCTCAGCTGAATCACTACATCACAAGACCAAGCTCAAGCTCTTGGACCTTCTCGTACATAAGACCTTTTCTCCTCTTCTAGTTTACACACTTTCGCAATTCTTGCAACGACTTGAAACCAACCACCCATCCATCAACAATCACATATCATCATAACAGACGAAATGCGCAATCTTCTAGGCAGCATCAAGCGCAAGGTCTCGACCAGCAGTGGAGGAGGCACCCAGCAAAACTCACGTGCCTATCCTACCATCCAAGATCCCTATGGCACACCCTCAAGAACAGGCACGATGAAGAGTCAGTACTATGTACCAGCTTCAGCTCCTTTGAACCCAGGCGCCGCACCACCCGCCTACTCACCAGTCTCCAACGCCGCGCCCGTCCCCTCAATCGCGATATCATCACCACAAGGCCAAACAGCCGACGACCCCTATGCCTTCCTGAGCACCTTCGACACCATCTTCCTGATCGACGACTCAGGCTCCATGGCAGGTAGCCGCTGGCGCGAAACCCAAGAAGCTCTTGAGTCCATCACGCCCATCTGTGTTTCCCACGACGCAGACGGAATCGACATACTCTTCCTCAACTACCCCGAAAACCCTTACCACAAAAACGTCACCTCGCCAGCCACCGTCCGCGAAATCTTTTCTAGCGTCAGGCCCAGGGGCGGTACACCGACTGGCCAACGTCTGGACTCTATCCTCCGACCTTATATCCGACAGTGCGAGCAAAGAGGCCCCGAAGCAGTCAAACCACTAAATCTGATCGTCATCACTGACGGCGAGCCCAGCGATGATGTGGAAGCTCCGCTCATCAGCTGTGCGAAGAAACTCGATAAGATGGATGCTCCAGCTTGGCAAATCGGCATTCAGTTCTTCCAGGTCGGCAGAGACGAAGCTGCACGCGCACATTTGCGCGCCTTGGATGACGAGTTGGCAGAGATTGCAGGTGTGGAGTTGAGGGATATGGTTGATACGGTGCCGTTCAAGGGTGCTGATGGAGAACACTTGACTGCAGATGGAATCCTCAAGGTTGTGCTGGGAGCGGTGAACAGAAGACTTGACAGGAAGAGGAGTAAGGACCTCCACCGTTGAACAGCCTGGAGCGACGCTAAGGAGGTTTCGATTGTACTTGGGAGATTGTGGGAAATAAGCAGGGGACGTGATTAGCTGAGAGCGCGAACATTGATACCCAGTCCTGCGTGATAACCACTAGCGAGAGGCTTATAATAAAAATCTTCGATATCAAAAGCCGTTGCCAGGAAACCCTCGAGGCTGTGAAGTCGATGTAAGTACCATTGCATCTATCTTCAACATCCACCTCTACATCACCATACTGACTTCATGTGCTGGTCAGAAGGTGTTCCAATACCACGATTTTCTTCATGACTTGCCTCAACGCCCTTCTTCATCCCCTTGGTTCGCCATATTTTCTATACCAGTGCTCCCTCGCGCAGCTCGTCGCTATTCATGCAGTCACATGCCTTTGCACCTTCATCAGAGACGTTTCTGCCTGTTTCCAACAACTTCTCACCACATTCATCCTCCCTTTACTTTGCCTTTGACTCCCTTCGCTTATTCCATCATACGGCGTTTTGTACCACAGCTCTACATTTGCATGGCTAGATCGAAGTCTCCCTGGTCACTCGACGAGGTCTTACTATTTGTCCAACCTCAGCTTCCAGCCGACATCCGTTACGTCGCACATGCTGTCCTCAAGTAAATCGTCCAAAGTCTGCCAGGCCAGCAGATGTCTGACAAGACTGATCTTGATGTTGAAGATACACAACAGCCAGAGCATAACTTTTTGTATGGAGCATGCGGTTTGGATTCACTTCCCTCTGCCCAGCCGCGCGAGTCTCTAGTTGTACCAAGACAAAGGAAACTCCAGTCTCAACATTTCGACTTTGATGGGGCTGCCGGTACTCTCGGTTCTAATTTCAGCGATTGGGAGGATGTTGACATGTTCTCAGGTTCATCCGACGAGCATGATTCTGTACCATTCGAAAGGGAGCTTTACGATGATGCAGACCTCCACGAGGACGCGGATTCTTTTGATCAGCCCGACTTTGACGATGAACCAGGCTTAATCGATGAGGAAGGCTTCAATCTACCCGAGGTTACCGACGAGGCCTTTACCGGTGTTGAGACAAGTATCATGCCAATACAATGGCTTGCAGTGGTCTCTCAAGTCTCCAAGAGTGCTATTGAATATTTATTGTAATGGAGTCTGCTCTACAAAAGGCCATGAACGTCAACATAATCGAAGACTACCAGCAGACAGCCAAGGCAGCAAAACCAAAAGAGCAAGCATCTACAGTTGTCTCGTCTGCCATTCTCGATTCCTCAAGCGCTCCACCTGATAGATCGACAGCCAAACGGTCTCGTCATATCAGATATACCAACTCGGCTATTGTCAGATGCCTTGCAAGATACACGCTTGCACGAACGGTGTCTACATCCAAAAGCAATCAGAAGCCAACCAGTGCCGGAACAGTTAGTGCAGTGGATATTCTTAGCCAGCAAGGAATCGTATCTGTTCGCTGTAACGTTCAGTGCACCGCTCCTTGTTGCGGCCATACGCTTTCAACAGATGCAACACTCAGCCTTTTCCTTCTCCATATGGGAGGACCAGCTCCAGCACTCTGGCTTTCTCGGCAGCCCGATGCGTTTCCATGTCGTTCTGGATGTCCTTTTGGTTTCATTAGCGGGCATTCTCGGTGGCGCCATGAAGCATGACAACTCTGTGCAGACTAGCCGCATGATATACAGATAGCCATGGTTCGCTGTCCATACAAGACATCCCATACGTGGTATATGCGAACAGATACGAAGACGGCATCATGACCAACCCCTGTAGCTTGGCAGGGATATGACGTGGATGAGAACGAGCGAGCAGTGAGGGAACGACGACTAGAACAAGCAGGACTAACACTCAAGTTTCTTGATCGGAGGCATGGAAGGAAAGAACGAACCAAAGCGAAACAATCATCTCTTAGACACCTTCCTCGTATCTCGGTCTTGCAGACGCACATCTTCCATTTGATCTCCAGTCGTCCTTTCTTCACTGACCGAAACGCTTTGCGACAGTTTCCAACACAGCCTCGACTTCAGACTCAGTAGCGACATACTTCTGCATGTCCTCGTGCTCTGACTCCTTGTGACCATTGCTACTGATCTTGATCTTGATCTCCTTCTCGTTCTCATTGTCCTTGGGAATCTTGGAGTTGAGAGCGCTGGAATCAGAGGTACAGTCGCCAGTGTTGGAAGAACGAGTGGACTCAGGGGCAAGGGTTTTGTTCTGGGCTTGCTTGGCCTTCTTGAGCAAAGTCTTCTTCTGGCGCTTCGAGAGCTTGGGTTGAGTAGGAGTTGGAATTCCAGTGGTGTTGGCATCGGCGCCGCTCGACCTGTGATCCTCGTCCATGCTAGGGGTAGCATCGTCCTGAACAGACAAGCCAGCAAGACCGCTTGCGACATCCTCCTTCGTACCGGCCTTTTGCTGCTCGAGCTCAGCCTTCTCAGCTTGAGCCCTCTCCTTCTTGCGCAAGTACTTTTTCTTGTTCTTTGCCTTTTTCTTTTGCTTCTCGTCTTCGGTGGGAGATTCTTCCTCGCTGTCGAGTTCCCAGATGCGCTGTTCTTGCTGCTCGGGCGAGTTTCTTTCGGTTTGGAAGAGGACGCCGGAGTGGCCGTCAATGACATCGGCGATCATGGAGGAGAACATTTCGTTTCTGTAGCCGTCTCGCATCNNTGGATTTGATCAGTATTGATTGCAGAGGAGAAGGGGTTATGCAGAACTCACGTAGTGCTCGCGCAGGCTTGAGATGGGGATGCCACGGAATGATGCCATGTTGGAAAATCTGGCGGGAGCGACAACTTGTGATGATGGAGAAACGATGATGTGATGGCTCGAGTGGTGGATTGGTGAATGTAACAGTGACGATTGGGCATGCAAACGACAACACAAACGAGCAAACGCCGAGGAACAACACGATCAACTCACGGAATTTGATAGTCAGATGAAATTTTGCAACACTTGATAGTTGATGGCGACCATAATGTCTTCATTCAAAGGTCTTGGTTGAGAGCGTTGTGTCGCAAATAAATACCAAGTGAGACAAATGGAGTAACCCGCAACACCACTCAGCAGACCACCACCAGCATCTCATACCTCCCTTGTATCATTTTCACCAGCTTGATTGTTGCTCCAAGGGCCATTCATCAAGACCTTGAAGGTTTCTAGAGTTCCATCGTTATCCACTGTCTGCATTTAACTGCTGAGAGATCCTTATGGGGCTTCATCATTCTTTGGGTGCCTGATTGTTCTCCTGCGCTTCATCGTTGTCCTGTGCCTCATCATTCTGATGTGCTTCGCTATCCTCCTGAGCCTTGGCCTTCTCCTGAGCCACGTTGTTGTCCTGGGCCTCGTTCTTCTCCTGAGCTCTCCTGGGCCTCGTTGCTTCCTTGTGCTCCGTCATTCTTTTAAGTCTGAGCATTACTCTGCGCGTCGTCATTGATATCCGTGCGACTGTTTGGGTCCTCATCGTTGTGCTGCTGCAAGTCTGCATTATTGCCCTGCTGCGTATCTTCGTTGTTCTGCTGCAGACCTTGGTTGCTACTCTGCTGCATCTTTCTCCTCATGGCCCTATTCTTGTTCTTGTTCTTGTTCTTGTTCTTGTTCTTGTTCTTGTTCTTGTTCTTGTTCTTGTTCTTGTTCTTGTTCTTGTTCTTGTTATTGGGCTTCTTCTTGACGCCCAGCAGCTTTCTCAGACGTCCTGTGGTGATGAGGGTTGACTGCCTCTCAGTGTCGAGACGGCGCCACATCTCCATGTCATCTTTTGCTCCAGCTTGTGCAAACCTGATGAGCTTGATTGCGACTTCTAGGTCTTCGATCGTGTAGATTGCGGTCTCCGCGTGCGTGGAAGATTCGATGGCGCTGTCGATCTTCTCGCAGTAAGCATCAATGTCCTCTTCTCTCTGCTTGATCCTTCTGCCGAAGGTGGAAAGAGAACATTCCAGAATGGCGTCTTCTTCTCCAAGTCGTTGGAAATGCACCGAAGTTTCGAGCTCAATACGAGATATTTCGTTTGCCTAATGAGCAGTCAGAAGCAGATTATGGTATCCGTTCGCGTGTTACTCGCCTGTGTGGATGAAGTTGGTCGATCTGCTAGTCGTGGCACGAAGCGTGGTAGGATTTTCCAAGGCCAAGTGGTCATGCGAAAAAGATCATGGTGATCAACACCAGTTTCGTACCAACTCTCCAAAGTTCTTATCCTGGCAAATAGGTCGAGATACACACGTTCCGGTGTTCGCTTCGCAGTGCATCTGCACAGGATATGCAGCCAGTGGAAGATAACAGCATCAGGTCCTCCGCCGCGGGACGGATGCAGCAAATATTCTTGAGAGGCCAACCATTTGAGAACCTGTGATTGTATTAGCAAGAATGGCGCTATCCTGTCAACGCAAGCTTGTACCTCTGCCTCTTCCCAGTGGGGCGTAAGAATACCCAGCCAGATAGTCAAGCAAATCCGGTCAAGTGCATGTGTGTTCTTGCTGTTCGCGAGCATGGTCCGTATTTTGCAGATAACTACGCCGATGGAGAAGTCGGGCTCGTCGTCCTCCTGCACAGGGCGTACAAGTCGTTCTACCCAGAATCTTCAGCATCAGAAAGGGCAGTGCTAACAATATACCAAAGAATCATTCTTCGAGGGCCTTACGAATTTCCAAAACTATCTGGACACCCTTCCCACAACCTCCTCATTCGACGGCGCTAAGCTTGTCGCTATCATGGACACCTTCCAAGAACCTTTCGTACATCATTTCCACCATGAGATTTCCACTATCGCCTCCTTTGCGAGCCTGCCTAACGCTCCTTCCGCCGACTCTCCAGAAGCCTCTGCTGCCGCTGCGACGTTCAAGGCTTGGGGAAAGAAGACTCTCACCAAGGCCGGCATGATTGATGTCGTACCCTTCGCTCTCCTCAATCTAGACAGAACATTTGAAGATGGCATATGGACTGCTTGGCCACCTATGCCTGGTCCTGTCAGATGGATGATGGTCAACATGTTCGGCAGCTGGAATTGGTCTTGGTGGAAGTTTGCAAGCTGCGATGCTCAAGGCAATCCCAAACCACTGTATGCACACAAAGGTCAAGAGATCTAGTGAAAAACATGACTAATTCTCGGCCTCGAGGCAATACAACAACGCTCATATCACAGTTATGAGCCATTCTTCAAGACCCATCGCGTCCATGTGCGAGGTGTATGCTTCCTCTACGACAGCTTTGCAAGAGCTGCAAGGTCGTCCAGGCGGGCACCGTCGAGCAGGGCAATTAAACCGAAGTCTAAGCACAGCTCCTCTGTCGTCTGCTTGTGAATTGAACTTGGCCAGCTTCTTTGCAAGCACCCAGTGGCAGATGCTGGAACCAGGTGATTTGATGCTGTGCTGGTTGCAAGGAGGGTAACAGCCTCCTATTTCAGCCACTGCAGTGATTGTGCAGAATTTATAGATTTCACAAGTGATCCATGGATGAGTACGCAGTATCGGCAGTAAAACTTCGTGCTCAAGGAGATGCTGGTTGACTGTATAGCAGACTTCGCCCGTTGTGATATCCTTGTAGATAATTAGTCGGAGCTCCAGTGGTAAGTCCAGAAAGCCTGTTGGCCGCGAGCTGCTGGACTCTGAGGCTGACGATAATACTGTTTGAGAAGCCATGGTATGTGTTCGTTTTCGATGTCGCTGTCTGTTATGGAACACGTATCGCGAATGTGAAAAACTTCTAAAACTGAAGAACGAAAGGGAAGGAGCAGACTTCCCAAAGGACGAAATTTTTTAGTGAGTGGTTGCTGCCTGTTTTCTGATGACTCCACGAATCGGCTGCATCTCACGCTTTCCCACGGTTCTGAGAGTCATAAACTAACTCAGTAATGACTCAGCGGCGGAATTGCGGTATACGTATCACACAAGACTCCTGTTCCTTCCTCCAACGAGACATAATCCTGTTCGAGACCAAACATAGCCTCTCTGGCTTATCATGAATTCAGAACCTGATCGGATGCCTCTATCAGAGACACAGAGCAACATAACTTCTGAGAAGATGGTCGATGAATCCTACAGTAGTGAGACGCTGGCCGCGTCCGAAGTGCAAAGCGTATCATCACGACTCGAGGCTTCGAATATGGACAATCCATGCGATGAGTGTGTTCAGGTTACAGCGGACACCGTCACTCCAGACCACCACATCTTCTCCAAACTCTTGGAACAAGTCTCAACTTTGACACAACAGCTCAAAGAGCGCGACGTCAAGATAGAGAACCTCACCCAAACCCTCAAACGTCTCGAAGAGTCCAGACGATCCTTTACCTGCGGTTGTAAGCGCGTGTCTAATTACACCGATGACAAACGCAATACACCGCCAGCTGGGATGCAAGAACCTCTGAAGTACGAGGAACCAATCAACCCTCTTCTCCCGCCACATTTTAGCGAGACCTGGGAATGGGATTGGAGGTACAACGACGATTTTGATTGGTACAAGTGGGCAGATCCATTCGTCGTGCTTGCCAAAAAAAAAACATTGGAGGCGGCACTGGCTGCCGATCCACTTACCTCTGGTCTAAAGATTGAGCTTTATTCTGTCGGAGACGAAATGCGACCGCACGGGAACTTGGCCTTCTATGCAATTTTCCTGCAGGATCAGGCTTACTCTAAAGAGCTGGATACCAGGTTGCATGAAATGATGGATACCTGTGCAGTGAGGTGGAAAGTCGAGAAAGTGGAAATCAGGTATCTGGTCTGGAACGATGAGATCGAAGATGCTATTTCCGATGATGAACAAACCGAGGACCTGATGGAAACGATGATCGGTGATATTCGAATGAAGATCTTCAGAGAAGCGCATGATGCGGGTTTATTCAAATCCGAGTCTGAATTTTGAAGAGAACATAGCTATTCAGAAATCACACTTGAACAGACCTCCTTAATCGTGGTCAAGGTCTTGATGTATCGTATCTTCCATCTTCCAGAAAGTGTGACCTCCCTCCTCTCCCTATGCTCAACTGTTAACATGTAACGAACGCATAATACCTTCAAAGAAAAAGAGGCATAGTCATTAAGACATGTTTTCATAAGGTTTCTCAGTCGGGAAACCTCTGCGAAATCCTATGAACAACACTCGTGTTGTGTTGCTATAGGGCGATCGAAGGTTAATTGTTGGCCTGCTCTCAATACTGTTTTATCTCCCAACAATGTTCGTCTTGAAAGCGCGATATATAGAAAAGTTGTAACTCACGAGTTGTGAATGCTTAGCGAACTAGTGTGGTAATCAGTTTGAAACAGCTCTTGCGTATAATTGTTATCATATTCAAAGGCCACTGTATACGCTTGGCATCTGCTCAACACAGTCCTTGAAATATCTGTTCTGTAGACTATCTAGTTAAACGAATTCAAAGCACTTTCTCCGCCTCTCCTGGCCTCTTCATCCTTTTTCGTCAAGCACCAAAACAACTTTCCTCAACCATCCATCACTAATGAGACTGTCTGTTACCTCCCATTTCCTCGATACCTTGCTCCTGAAATATTTCCTGTAGAAGACATCTTCTTGTGTAGCTCTCAGTTGTGACCAGTAAGAGCGCTCACGGCAGTGCTCATGAGCTGCTCAGAGTTTTCCCGAGTCAAAAGCCACTCGAAGCCCTTGTCGGCGACCATCTCCCATAAGTCGCTGTACTCAGCTGCAGATGTCTTCAACCATGCCAGCACCAACGTGGTAGCCAGCGTCGGATCCTCTTTGGGCCCAGTGTTTCTCATCTTGACGATGACTGAGGCAAAGAGGGTGTAAAGAGCCCCGTTCCAGTCCCAGTGACCATCGAACGACTGAAGGTCAACGAGAGCTCGGACTGCTGCCAAAGTGTCATGGTTAGGAATGACAGGAGCGTTCTCAGTACAAGGGGAACTCTGCCAGGAAGGGGAGGGGNNCAACGGAAGATCCCAAGATAGAAGTGTTGAACATGATAGCAGCTGAACACGAGATAGAAGGAGCGCCGTGGGGAAAGAAGGAGCTGCCGGCGCATATGCACGCGGAGCGGGAGGAGGAGAGGAGCTNGCGAAGGAAGGAGCAGCTCTCAGCATTCCCCTGGAGCCGAAGAAATCATGGCCCATTTGCGTGCAAAGCGCCGGCTTCATAGCGATTTGAGATTGGCCCATGGACATAGAAGCCTGAGACTGCCGGAACTGAGGTGGTAATGATGACATTAAAGCTATACCGCCGCGACCACCGCCGCGACCAGCTGACGACGCTCCATCACGGCCTCCACCACCGAACAAGCCTCCACCCACAAGACAGTGTGAAGAAGACACGCTACCGTAGACGCCCCGCATTGAGCAATGACCCACACCAGACTCCGGGCTAATGTCCTCTTGAACTCTGGTTTCAGTAGCGCTCTTGCCCTTCTGATTGGATTCAACAGCGACAAACGAGCACCATTTGTTGGCAACTTGGTAGTCAACACCAAGGCGGACGACTTCCTTTTCAACCAATTCGTCGAAGCGGGAGGAATTTTTATCCTTGATCGGCTTGGTACCCTCCTTTGCGGTTGTTAACCAGCCCCTGCCTTCTTCAAGCTCTTGGATAACTCTCTTAGCTGTCAGAGTGTTGATGGTGTAGTTGGGATTATCGATCCTCTTGAGGGGTATCTCCAATGTCAATGGGCCCTCCGGACAGGTACCGTGCAGAACAACAGACTTGGGGGTCTTGCTCGTTTCCCGTAAGAGCAGATACACAGTAGTGCGGTTGAAGGGCAACAGAGCAGGAATAACATTGGGTGCTTGGATGGATTCGGGTACAGCAACGTCAGGAAGATGAGCATAGCGATCAGAACTCTCATCGGGAGCATCAGTGAGGTCAATGGACTTGTCGAACAGCGATATGGACGTCTTGGGGTGGTTTGCGGGGGTAGACGCATCTACCGCCTGCGTGGAAACTACACTCTCGACCATCTCAAAGTCCTCGGTCTCACCATACTTGACCTCCAAGCGGTAATCCTTGACATGGGGATACAAAGCAGCTTTGAGCATACGGACAACTTTGAAGTCCATAACTTCGCCGTCAGTAATGAACTGTGCAATACCGTTACCAGCACGAGCAAATCCTTCGACCAAAGTGTGAGAGACGTCACGGCCAACACCGAGCACAAAGCAACGGGCATCGATTTTCTTGTCGTGGACCTGGCTGGTGACATAATCAAACAGCTGAGACTCTGCATAGATCTCGCCATCGGTTAGGACAACGAGTTCGAGGGGCATATCGTGGAGGTGCGACTCGAAGGCGGCCTTGACAGGTCGCAAGAGTTCTGTACCACCATAGTTGGCGCCAAAGCCTTGCACGAAATGAAGAGCATGGCTGAAGTTTTCCTGGTTGTACGGAACGCCCTTCTCCCAAAGGAACTTGTGATGTGATCCGAAAGCGCAGATATTGAAGCGGACTCCAGCTGGCAAAGACTTGAGGAATGTCTTTAGAGCGGCAACAAGAGCAGTGTTCTTGGTGCCTGACATACTGCCACTTTGATCTGCGATGAAGATAATCTCGGGTCTGATGGGTTTGAGGTTGAAGCGCGGCACGAATGTTGCCATGAGAGCTTGACGACCAGGCAGGGAGTGCTTCTCGAGGATGGCCTTTGGAGAACCGATGTCGTCAACCAGGATTTGCAAGACGAAATCTGAACCGAGTTCGGTTGTGTTGTGAGTCAAGGAGACAGATGCCTTTGACATGTCGAAGGTAGAGTCAGGAGCGGTCGACAAGGTTCCAATATCTAAGGCGATGGAGTGGCTGGAGGGACACTGGACTTTGCGGATGTTGGAGCTTGCCATGTTGATATCGACAGTGATCTTCATGTTCTTGGGGGTGGCTGAATCAATTTTGAGGAGTTCGCCAGGGTAGTTGCCGTAATGAGGAGCGATCGAGGTTGGAAGGATGTAGCGCAAGCCATCGATCTGAGCATCGTGCTTGAGCTCGCCCCCATAGGTGATGTCGACTTGGATTGAAGCGTCGACAGGGATGTTTCCAAGGGTGACTCCGAAGATGCCGGTAGGAAGGGACTCGAGAAGACCAGCAGTTTCACTTCTGCTGACAGCGTCATCAAAGGTCTTGCGGGCTTGCTCTTTTTGCTCAACATGGCCCTTGATGATCTTGTCACCAATAGTGCAGGTGAAGGCAGTCACGGCGACACCGTCGTACAGNGGAAACGTGTAGCGAGTCTCCGGGAGTTGGCGTCCAGAGGGATTCTGAAAAGTCTGCGAGAGTTTGGTGGTGAAATAAAGAGGAGTGATGGTGGTGTGGGAGTCCAGGTGGACTTGGGGAAGGTAGCTGCGATTGTAGTAGGAGGACGTGTAGTAACAGCCACAGATGTGATTGCCGAAGAGAAGCATAATGATCAAGTCTCGGTGGGAGATGAATTGGGAAGAGAAAGAGAAACTTGTGGATTTTGATAGGTATTTAAGTTGGACGAAGGAGTTGGGAGATGGGGTATGAGGTGTTTGCTATCTGAGCCTGCCAAAGGTAGATACAAAGTTATGTGAGAAGTGTCTGGAAGCTGGACGAAAAGAAACAAAGAGATGGGAGGAAGCGCTAGACCTACGTTGCAGGTGGATGCTTTTATAGGCAGACAGTGGCATTTATGTGTGAGCATGTCACGGGATGCTGCCTAGATTGTGAACACGAATGCGTTTGTTTTCAATGACCTCGTTTCACGTGTGTACACTTGGAGCAAATCCTTCAGAGATGGCCCGAATGGCAGAATACATGATGACGGCAATGCTGGAAAGTGAGTAGCTTTCGGAAGACATGGTTTGGGCAATCACGAAAGCCGTGCAGGAACCGGTCCGGAGGCGACTGCAGAAGACTGACAGCGACAAAGCAGGCAGCTGCGGTGTCTCGGAACGAGCAGAGGTCGGCAGCGGATGAGTCAGCAACCTGTGCCAAGCCACTTCTCCGCAGGTTGAACCAGGTCCGAGCTTCGGACCTTCACATGCGAGTGACGAACAAGGAGCGACGGTGACCGACTCACAGCACAAAGACACAGCAACATGGCGCCGGCACTCGTCAAGGACGAGGCTGCGTCTACAGCCAAGCGCAAAGCCGAGTCACCCGACGACGAGGTGGCCGACAGCAAGCGCTTCAAGTCTTCAACATCACCCACACCCACACTCGCACACGACACCGGAGACGCCATCCAGTCGACAGCACCACGCGTCGTGCCCTTCCCCGAGAAGCCCGCCGTCATAGAGGAGCGCAATGGCGAGATCGAGTTCCGAGCAGTCAACAACGACGGTGACCACGAAAGCTACATCATCCTGACGGGGCTCAAATGTATCTTCCAGAAACAACTGCCTAAGATGCCCAAAGACTACATTGCCCGCCTCGTCTACGACCGCACCCACCTGTCCATGGCCATCGTCAAGAAACCACTGGAAGTTGTGGGTGGCATCACCTACCGCCCCTTCAAGGGCCGCCAGTTCGCCGAAATCGTCTTCTGCGCTATAAGCAGCGATCAGCAAGTCAAGGGTTACGGCGCACACCTCATGTCGCATCTGAAAGACTACGTCAAGGCCACCTCGGACGTCATGCACTTCCTGACCTACGCCGACAACTACGCCATCGGCTACTTCAAANAGCAAGGCTTCACAAAGGAGATTACTCTCGAACGCCCGCGCTGGATGGGCTACATCAAGGATTACGAGGGAGGCACAATCATGCAGTGCACCATGCTCCCCAAGATCCGCTATCTCGAGTCTGGTCGTCTGCTTCTCAAACAAAAGGCCGCCGTTCACGCAAAGATCAAGGCTGTGTCAAAGTCCTTCGAGGTCCACNCCCCACCAGCTCAATGGAAGGGTCTGAAGAAAGGCGATGCCCTTCCTTCCATCGACCCCCTTACAATAGCTGCAATCAAAGAAACCGGCTGGAGTCTGGACATGGACGCCCTCGCCCGTCAACCCCGTCACAACCCCAACCACTCTCAACTCATGCACCTCCTCTCCGCCCTCCAGAACAGCACTCACGCATGGCCATTCCTCCAGCCCGTCAACAAAGACGAAGTCCTCGACTACTACGAAGTCATCAAACAGCCCATGGACCTCAGCACCATGGAACAAAAACTCGAAAACGACGCTTACGAAACTCCCGAAGACTTTATCAGAGACGCCACTCTCATCTGCGTCAACTGCAGACGCTACAATGCCGAGCAAACTCCATACCATAAAGCTGCCATCAAGCTGGAAAAGGAGTTGTGGAAGAAGGTCAAGGATGTGCCCGAATGGAGTTATATCGAACAGGAACATTTTGCCGAGGTTGGCAAGTAAAAAGCACAGCTTTTGAATCATGTCTTGTGTCCTTTTACAAGGATTGCTTTGGACTGGCGTTGTGGCTTTGTTGGTATTTCCTCTCTTTCTTGGCTTTGGCTCGTGCTTCCATTCTTGCGATACCCCCTCCTTGTTTTCTTCTGTCCTTATATTATGACCACAAATTCATCGGCACGAAATCGAAATACTACTCTGAACATGCCTCTCGTCTGCGTCGGTCGTCTCGACTTGCTGTCCTGGGGTCCCTGTCAAAGAAGGGGCCACTCGTGCTCCCAGTGTGCCTAAACTTGTCGCCTTGTCAGCCATCTAAATGCACGATGTCGTTGAGAAAAGGAGCAATGTCCACTGAGAGCCATCACTTCAGAAGGCTCTCTCCGGACAGTTCTCCTATCCTGGAAATGAGTGCGCATTTTAATAGCCTAACCATCACTCTGCTGTTGCCGTGGGAGGTCTGAAAGGTTCATCATGATTCAACAGGTAGGTTGCTTCCATCTGTGTACTTCCATGTGCCTTCTAGAAGACCGTTTAAGGACTGTGACAATGCACACAATGTTTTCCAGGACAGGTTGAATTCCTTGATGAACATCCTCACACTTTCGGGGATAGACTCTATAGTCCTCAAAGTTATGATGTTCCACTGCTTCCTCGGCTGCACTTCCNCCTGGCACAATCAATCAGACCCTTCAGCCCAAACTACCTGCCTTCTCTCCTCGTTTGAAGACGACTTGACTGCAGACACAACCAACATCAACGACAAAGACGTCAAGATCTNNGACGAGACAAAGAGAAGCAACAATAACAAGGATACTGTTGCTACAGAAGACAGAATGGATGGAATCTTGAATGCCATCGAGNAAGGAGTGTGAGAAGTTGTTTGGTGAGTACCCTTCTTTTGCCCCTTTCCTCCCTCTTTGACTTGTCTCCCACTACAACATACACCAACATGATCAGCTATAAAAAGTCACAATAGCATCAACACTCCAAGCCATGGCCAGAGAAACCCAACAAAAACCAAGCCTCTCACTGGACATCATCCCACTTCTCAACACTATCCTGCATATCTAAAATACGACTAACACAATAATGCAGGCCACACAACCGACCGCATCTTCTACACCAACTCCAATGACGCCGTCAACGATACAACTACACCTCCCGCAGCAGGCGCCCACATCTTCGGCAATCCCACCGACAAGATGAAGAGCCTTCCTTCTGGCTATGCGCTGATGCACAGAAGTCGCGGCAACGACACCAACCGCAAGGGAGACTTGCATCTCTGGGNNAGTCATCCGTCGGGCTTGGACTTCAACTTGGCCACAAAATTTGTCAAGCATCTCAAGTGGCTGATTGGGGGACAAGTGGGTAACTGTGATTGCCCTCCTTGCAAGAACCAGCGTTGATGACGGACATGAGAGGTCGGTCGAAGGGAAGGAACTTTGCATAGCCGAAAGAATGGAGCAACACATGGCGAGAGAATGGAGCATCACATGGGGAAGGGTATCACAGAACACGGGATCAGAACAGCGTCATACACTCCGAACAATCAAAGAGTTTTGAGACATTAACCAAGTTTTTATTTTTGCTAGAACGACTAAGAAAAAGAGTTCGAACTTTGGAAACCCCTGTCCTTGTTCCAGACCCAGATCAACAGAAAACGCCACGCCTGCAGAGAAATGAAAGAAAGAAGAAAAGAGGTATCGAGGAAAAAAGGGTATGAAGAAGAAGAGACTGAAGAATAATGACATGAAGAAGAGTGATGAAGTGTCGGAGGGCATAACAATGGTCGGTAACAGCGAGAGAATAGAAAGTAGATGGGGCCATCCATCACCTCAAGCGATGGGTTTCTGGTCGTTCAATGAATCACAGTCTCTTGCCAGGGACGAAGATGAAGAGACAACAGACGGCAGCATCGATGATGGCAATCCACATAAGACACATCATGGTACGACGTGTAAGTAGGCGGTGGACAAAGTTTTCCTTGACCTTGAAGTAATTGGCAAAAGTGTACTCCGAGTAGCCCAGAAGCGCCTGGATGGGATCGAGCATGTACTGGTGTGAGACGAGGAAGTAGATGGCGACGGTGAATGGCAAGATGATCTGAAATTGAATTAGTAGGGGGCATAAATGGGAGAAAGAAAGTCGACATACCCAGCATCTTGTGCTTCTGCTCATGTCGAGGAAGATGAGGACAAAAGCAGTCCAGATGGCAGCAAACAAAGCCACCAGACCAATGACCAGTCTCAACATCATGCTGGGCTGTACTATGTTGCCCAGAGCCTTTGCGCGGAGGAAGCCCGGGAAGGCATCACGCTCCATGGCTTGGAAGACGTAGTCCTTTGCATTGTCAAAGACTTCTGGGTCGTCGCGGCCTTGGTTCTCGATGGAGTCGGTGACCTGCTCAAGGATGCCGACGGGGATGATAATCTCACGTTCCGAGCCTTGCAGCAGGTACGTGTACAGGATCTTCTCAGCGCTGGCACGGATGTCTTGTCTGGAAACGGTAGTACCGGTAGGAGACTGATCCTGGGTGTATGGGCTGGTGTCTTGAGTGCTGTCGACCATGCTCCGGCGATTGTTTTGTTGATCAAAGTTGTTGCTACCAAGAGATTGGCTCGGCGAGTGCATGCTGCCGTTGTCGCCGCGCAAAAAGGCAGACACGCGAGTGTCCTTGTCAGCGCTGGGGCCGGCCATGACGCTATCATCGTAGTGGTCCAGGGCTTGCGAACTACGCTTGCTGCCACTCTTCTCCAGCTCGGGTGTTTCTGCTAGCACACTACGGTGAAGACCGCGGACATAGTGTCGGCATAGCGACATGTGTTGTGATACGTCCAGNCCTGTGAGTTTGGGTTAGTTCTGGTATGATTTTAAGGCGGCCAAGGAAGTTGTTGTGTACCAGAAATCGAGGTAGTCGACGCTGCGTTGAGCATCGCGCATGTAAATGTAGAAACTGAACAGATCGACGGGTGGTTTTGTCTGACGACTTAGGACTTCGTACAGATTGGGCAGGCGATTGCGCTGGATAGTAATGTCGGGCGTGGACATTCGGTGCGCCATTGTTGTGTTTAGTGATGCTGAGTTGACGTGTCGCACGCCTGGATATCGTTGGCGACGAGTCTTTTCGCGCCTTGGGTAATTGAATGGGCTATAGCGAATTGATGTTGTTGAGATGTACTGAGATTGAGCGAATGTTGCGGTCGGAAGAAAATAGCGGCGTCGAAAAGGAAGGTGAAGAGTGTCGGGAGTGAAATGAATTGTCGTTTGTTCGTTGGCCGCCTTCACTCGTTCCTTCCCTGTCAAGGGAGTTCGCGCCCTCCCCAGAGCTGGTCCGAGCGCCCATCACCTGCATGACATACACATGCACATCATCCCCTGACTGTGGAGACGCATAAACAAACACAAAGTAGTCGGTATAATTTTGTTCAGCATTATTACTCGTCTGATCTAAACATTACTAAGGGCCGCCTTGATATATACAAGATTACATCTTTTCACCTTCGAACCACCTAAGGGCTACCAGCCAACTTGGCGGTCAGCGGCGGCAGAGGGCAAGTCTCTCCATCTTCCTCGGTACCGTACACGACGTAGTTCTGCTGCATGCCAAACAGGTTATGACTGCTGACATGGCACAACAACTGCCACACACCAGGCAGCTGGGCATTCATGTTGAAGGTGAACATCTCACCAGCATTAATGCTCTGACTAGCTTGCCAGATGTCGTTGTACTGGAAGTTGTTTCCGTGCAAGTGGAACACATGGGATGCTCCACCAAATGCCATCACGTACCAGATGACAGGGTCGTTACGGCACATCTCGTAAGGTGCGCCGTTACCAAACACATAACCATTCATCGTGTAGAAGTTGGGTCCTTGAGCATCGCTGAGCTGAATAGCAGGGAAGTTGGTCATCTGCGGCACCCAGAAGGACTCGTTGCCGATGTAAGGTTGGACGAGCTGGTTGGTAGCACGTAGACTGCTGGTGTCAACACCGGCATTCTTTGCGTTGGTGCCGGCCATGAACGAACGGGCCTCATAGTGAGTGTTGGTTGTCACGACAAACTCACGATGAGCCGACATCGTGCTATTCATCTCACCACTGTTATACACAATAAGAGGTCCGGAAAGACCAGCAGACAGATCAGCAGGCATGTTGACGAAACTGTGATATGACCAGAGACGACTGCTCTGACCAGGTGCTGGGGCTTGCGAGTCTGAGATGATCCATTTGTAAACTGCACAGCCACCAGGAGGCACAGCATCCTGCTCTTGCACCTTGGGCGAGCCGCCATCAGTTGTGTTGGGGTACAGAGAACCCTCATACTGCTTGCCGTAGTAGAGACCCATGCTGTGCATCGACGCGTAGTGGTTGGAAAGATTGTTGACGAACATGATCTGGATCATGTCGCCGACTTCACCTCGCAGGATAGGACCGTTGATGCCATTGTGGGCAGGCTGTTCGGTCTGGTTGGTGAAGCTGTTATCTGTGTAGCCCTTGTACACAGCCTTCTGGAATTCCATACCCCAGCTTGCACCGATGGATCCAGTAAGGTTGAGGTAGCCAGCTGCTGCGGCGTGGGGAGAGTTCTGCACAGGCACGCCGAGCCAGTTGTCCCAACCACTGGGTGCATAGTTCCAAGCCACCTCCTCGGCAGCGACGTAGTAGGTTCTAACATTGCCAGAGAACTTGAAGTCGGTAGGAACGCTGCTCTTTCCAGGTAGTTGGCTATCCATAAGAGCCTCACATTCGTTTCGTGCCGCTAGCTTGGATTGATCAGGTGTGGTGCTGTTCGGTGCGATGTATAGGATGCCTCCATTAGGGCTGATGGAAGCTGCAGCGGCATCGACGGTAGATGTTGCGTTGGAAGATACGACGCCAGGTGTGGCACTCAAGGTGCCATTTGGCAAAGCAGTGGAGAGAGCCGGTGATTGGATCTGGCCATCAGATATTTGGGTGACAGGCTGAGCTGCACTCGATGTGGCAGATCCTGATGAAGCAGGGCTGGCACTGAGGATCACCGAAGTGGTAGCAGAAGCAACAGTGACTTCAGCGTTGACATTGTCTGACAATGACTGGGCGAAGGAACGAGTGACAAAACCACCTAAAGTGGCCAAGATGAGTGTAGAAGAAACCATCTCTGAAAAACGAGTGAAGAGATGCTATGAGGGAGCTTAGTGGAACAAGCCCGGATTCAGGCAGAGATGCGCGTTGCTGATATAGGCACAGCAACTCCTAGCCACCACAGAAAATCTCTCTCATGGGTTACATCTATGGGTCGCGTGGGAAGGCAGGGATTACGATGAACCTGCATGGTTGGGAAAAGAAATCATACCCACCTTAGCACACACACAACCCACAAACAGTCGACACGAGATCAAGGAACCTAGGGACGGGATGATGTACTCACGACCATGTTCACACGCTTCTGACGCATTGAGTGGGCTGGTAAAGGCATCTTAACAACAAGCGACGTGCGAGTAGTGGTGTAGCAATGCTCGACTCGGCCCGCGGCTCTGCGAATTAGACAACCCGTGGGGGAGCCGAAGAAGTTTGTCCCAGCCCGGCGTTTCTTGTTCTGGATAGAATTGTAGATCCAGGGAGAGTGGGCAGAAGAAATGCAGTGGTGATACCCTTCGTGGCTGGTGGAAAGCTGGGAATATTGGGTGGTTGCTTGGGCGGGAATAATAGAGTTTGATGCATGCATATGCACTGTGGCTGGCCGCCAGCCACAGGCCGCTGGCGACAGGCACAACAAAGGTGCCGTGCAACCTTGTCAAAACTCAGGCCAAAACTCAGGCTTGCCAGTAACCACTGTGCGCGTCATGTTGTCGTACGTGGTCGACCTGCGATAAACCTCCTTCTCACCGTGGGAGAGGAGAAAGGGTATCGTCGCCCACCTCTTTCTCTGGGGAGGGAAGAACGGAACGCTATCCATGTCGATGATGCTCTCTTCGGCGGAGCACGGTCAAGCAGTAATTCGGCATGTCCATCCGAGCAGGAAGAGAGTGGGAACGTTGAGGGCAAGTTCAGTGGAGAATCGAGAGTCGCAAGGCAGGAAGCATGGACTCTTTTGGTAGAGCGTTTTGTTCTTGGCACTTGCTTCGACTTCATGTCACGAATCGATCTTGCTTCTTCCCGTCAGATCACACTCTGCTTTCTACCATTCTCGCTTGTGGCTTTTCGCCGAGCACGTCTGCCGTGCTTAACTACAGAGATAGACCCACCCACTGACTGACGAAGTGAAATTCAAGGAGTCACTGATTCTTCAAGGCAAGATCTTATTAAGCAAATGGAGAGGTAGAAACCAGTGAACAATAACGTCTTGGAGACTCTTTGTACCTCATGTTCTTGCCCAAGCACCGGCAACGCTAGTCTCGTTCACTCTTCGATACTGCGCACGAATTCATGATTACCTCACTAAGCGTTTTCACAACATCAACACTTCTTCCGGCCAATCTGATCTGTCCTTTCATCTCTACAACTCAACGTCAGCAGAGATGACGGACATCGCTGAACGCGGTGACAGCCCAAGGCAGAACAGCGTGCATGCAGTTGTCCCAGATCACTTGCATACTGACAAAGTACAACATAAAGTTCCAGCTTCAGAAGATCAGGTGTGTTCTGATCTTTCTTTTGACTGGCCAAATAACCCGAGTCAGGAGAGCTCGGATATCTCAGCCTTCCCGGTGTCATCAGACCCGCAGCCATCTTCACAGGACATGGAGGTGCCTACGTTGACTGACCAAGAATAGCTGAACTCTATAGACGATCGCTCTTTGACGACACACAATGACACTCAGGGTCTTCGGAAGGATTATTTCGAATAGAGACTACGACTGTACGACCTGTTCGATGCCGCACGTCGTTACAAGGACAACCGCCCACAGAGGTTAAGTGAAAGAGAGATCACAACTTTGACTCCAGCTGAATTGGGTCGTTTGAGCGAAGAGCTGAGATATCAGACAGATGTGCTGATCCCATCGCCATTTGCCAATGCCAGGCAAGTGTATGATGCTTTGGCCGCGCACAAGCTGGTCCTCGAAGATCTCGTACACGAGATGAATCTCCTTAAGCTAAAGTTTCGTCACGAATGGAAGCCATGGAAGAAGATTCTCTATCTCGAATACGACGTCCGATACACCGATCGCCTTCTTGACCGTATACTTAGGACCATCAGACGGGCTTTTGAATTCTACTTCTAAAGGATCGTATGGATTGGCTGTTTAGAGCTTGCACAGCACACCATCACCCTTCAGCACTGCAAGATGCCCTCGATTTATCTCCTTCACAGTCCGACANTCTAGCATCATATCAGCATCGTCGCAATTCAACGTTCAGACATTCACTTACCCAGCAAATGCCATGGTCATACGCAACTCGGCCATCAGGATCTTGACCGCAAGTTCAACACCTTGCTGCCCCTTGTACTACCCAAATCATCAGCTCTTCTCACCACTTCTTCTTTTGTTGCAACTTACAGCAAGACCCCATATCGGCACTCTGCCCATGAACACAAAATCTGCACCCAACGCCAATGCTTTGAAGATATCGCTGCCCCTTCTCACGCCACCATCAAACGCAATCGGAATCTTGCCTTTGGCGACAGAAGCACAGTCTCGAAGGCTATCAAGTGTTGCGGGTACTCCCNNTAAATCAAACATCATAATCAGTAAGTCATCAACTACAGATAAGTCATGCGTGGCTTACATCAAGCTGACGACCACCTAGTGAGAAATCGTACAATTAGCTCGTATTCCACAAACACTGCAATCCTCTAATTTGATCTTACCATGGTTAGAGATCATGATACCATCAACCTTGTGTTGTATCGCTAGAGCGACATCTTCAGGCGATGCGATACCTTTGAGCCATATCTCTAGTTTGGTCTGTGATCGCATCCATGGTATCGCAGTGTGCCATTCAATTGTTGCGTCTACCNNACAGTCAGCGGATGAAGGACAAACAGAAAAGACAGCTTGCTCACCATATTCGAGCCCTTCACCAATAGCGGTCAAATTCGGCCACCGAAGTTCTTCAGGTAGCTCGAATTTATTCTTATGCTCATTCAATCTTTGCCCAAGTACCGGTACATCCACCGAGAGAAAGATGGCTTTGTACCCAGCAGCTGTGTACGCGTCAGCCAAAGACTCGGTAGCCAGTCTATTCGTTCACTGACACTCAGCACGTTTGATAGTATTCGCACACGCCACCTTGTCTTTGATCATCGAGATGTGCATAAAGTACGGATTTCCACTGCTCTGAGCTATCACGTCTTCAAGACCTTGTGTTGCAAAGACTGACAGACCCATGCAAATGTTTGAGTTCGCTGCAGCGCGCGAGGTTGCGAGTTCGCCATCTGGATGAGCTAGTCCATGCATTGCTGCTGGGCTAAATCCGAAAGGTCCTGCAGTCTGATCAAGCGAGTCAGTATCATTCAAGTTTCTCTGGCTGGATGGTCCTCGGTACTTTNNTACACCAAACATCTCTGTCTCGAGATCAATGTTGGCCACATTGATCAATACTCGAGGTCGGATCTTGTAACGATTGAAGGCTGCCTCATTGTCCTTTAGNACTGTTCAGACTGAGATGAGCGAGGTTCTTGTCCATGTCTTGAGAGAATCATACGTGATCAAATCCATGGCTCCTTCATTGTAATAGTCTTAATTTTCGTCAGTCGAGTAATCTATGAGATTAATGGTAACGGCATCACCTCTGTACATTGCCGGCATATCACGGCATGCTGCCTCCTTGAGGTCTGCAATGGTAAGGACATGAGGATCAAGTGTTGGCAAGCGATTCATGGTTTCTTGCAATACGATGGGCTTCCAGAATGTGTACAGTATAATGTAGAGAAGAGATACTGAAATACAAGTCGTCGTTCTGCAGCTCCTTATCGCCTCTGTACGGATACATGTAGATACTTCTTCTCGGCGTTCGCTTTCCTCCTTCCGAATTCTTGCTAACAAGGTAACTCGATGCCGATAACGTCGGTCTATCTCAATGTTTTGATCTCTACATGGGACGTGGAAGATGGCAATTGCATCTACTCATTTCGACTCGCGATGATTTTATCGTCGATTCTCGCTGCTGCCAAAACCTATCAATGCATTCGTTCGTCGATTTCCACCTTCCACCATCTACACACGACGGTCTTGCCGTCTATCATTCCCGCTGAACTGGCATCAGAGATATCTGCTCCTAATTTGGACGGCATATCACAATTCTATCGACTATCCACACGGTCTGACGAACATATCTCCACCTGCCATTTCATGGAGCTGGCTTCCAAACACATTTAGGATCTGAAAACATAAACATACGTTTGGTGCAAGCTGTTACAACATTACTCTACACGAACGCGCGCTATACTTTGCGACACTTGCGACCTTGACTGTGTATCATCGACGAATTTCACCATGCTTCTACAACATCTTGGTGATACCATCAATCCTTCCCAGATCTCAACACTCACGGTCCTGGCCGCCAAGCCGGCTACTGTCGGCCAGCGTCGGCAATCACGACTCATCCGACTACATCTGCCAAGCTTTCTCGAATCCTCCCCAACGCCACCAAAAAGAATTGCTTTTTGTTCGCAAACCGATCTGGAACCACATTCCTTTCGTCCCCCTCTTGTATACTGTCAACATGATGCAAAAGAAAAGCTCCACGTGGGGCTCGAACCCACAGCCTCAAGATCTCGGTTCATCGAGAAGATGATTAGAAGTCTTGCGCGCTACCATTGCGCCAGCAGAGCTGGTTTGTTGAAGACCGCATGAGAAATTTCACAATATGTACCTTACAACTAAGGCTGAGCAAAGCAGAAGTGCTGCTGCATGCGAGCACAGATCTACATCTCAGCCATCAAGGAATAGGTTATACCCAGACATACCAACGCTAAGCTAGTCATTCTCGATTTTGAAGGCCTTCCACACTCAATACGGCTGACCAATCGACCGGATGCTTTCCCAAGCCGTGTTGGCCACACCATTGGTTCTATTAGTGGTCATTCTCAATGGCTCTATGAAGCCTCGCGGCTCTGTCTAAACCAACTGCATAACCTTCAGGTGGCTATGATTTGCTGTTCTTATAAGGCAAAAACATGTCCGTGATGTATGCAAAAGATACGAGAAAGAGCCCGAGACCAAGCTTTTATGATTTTATACTCTCATTGGAGCTTCGAGCACGCCAGGTCTGAGTAGATAAAGGACGAAGTCAAGACATACGTCTAGCTTCTTGGCAGATCTCTCTGGAGATGACTTTGGTAGACAAAGACCTCATTTAAATGTACTACGCTAGTAGCGTGATGGGAACACTCCTAGTGTGTGCTCGTACTGCTACAACCATACATCCCACAGTTCACACGAGTCGCACAAAATACAAGAAGGGCATGGTCAGAAGTAGTTTCCACAAGAGACCCACACAATTCTCATTGCTATCTCATCCTCAAACTCAAAAAGAGGTCCTAGACATCAAAGTAACCCATCCACAAAATCTTCCTCCATCAGAATATAAACTGCGCTCAAACATCAGAACCAAAGCAATCTAAAACGCTTACTTAAGAGCGTTGACAATGGCAGTGTAAGCAGCCTTCTTCTGGAAACTGCCGTCGAAGAGAAGAGGGCTGTCGCTCTTTCTCCACGACTGGCTGTCAGAAACACCCCACTCGGTGATACCAACACAGTTGGAGGTCTGCACACAGGCATTGACAACCTTGACATAACTGTTGGCATCAGCGCCAGCAAGATCCAGTTCAGTCATGGCACACTCGGGAGCAGCAGCGCAAACAGCCTTGAAAGCAGCAGGGACATTGTCAGGGTTGTTGAAGGAGCCAGACTTGCCCAAGTGGGTCTGGGAACCGACACCGTCGATGGGCACGCCGGCGGCTCTCCACTTCTTGACGTGGGCGATGAAGCCGGTGGTCTTTGCGTAGCTGGCAGAGTCGAGGTTGTAGTCGTTGATGTAGAGCTTGGCGGCGGGGTCGGCGGCGCGGGCGGTCTCGAAGGCGATGCGGATGTAGTCTTCGCCAATGACCTTCATGAAGACGTTTTGGCGGAGGGTGCCGTCCTCGTTGAAGGCCTCGTTGACAACGTCCCAGGCGTAGATCTTGCCCTTGAAGTGGGTCATGACCTGGGTGATGTGGTTCTTCATCACGTTGGTGAGGGTGGTCTTGTCGTTGATGTTCTGGACCCACTGGGGAAGCTGGGAGTACCAGACAAGGGTGTGGCCACGGACGAGTTCGCCGTTCTGGCTGGCAAAGTTGACGAGGTAGTCACCGCCAGCGAAGTTAAATTTGCCCTGAGTGCTTTCGGTTGCGTCCCATTTCATGCTGTTTTCGGGAGTAACCTGACCGAAATCGGCCTTGACGATAGCAGCAGTCTGGACGTTACCGAGAGTGCCCTGGTCAGCAGCAGTACCGAAGTACTTCTTGCCCTTTGCCTGGAAGAGTCTGTTGAGGCTGTCGGAGGGCTGAGAAGAGCTGGCCTTGTTGGTGATGGAGACAGGGGCCTTGGTAGCAGCAGAGGTGGTCTGAACGGTAGCGGATTGGGAGGTTACAGCGGGAGCAGAGCTGGCGGCACCGGGAACACACTGGGAGTAGTAGGGGTTCGACTCGGCACAGTGGTAGCCAGCAACGCAAGTAGTAGAGCCGGTGAAGCCTTGGCCACCACACTGAGCGTAGGCATCGGCTCTCTTGACGTGAACAGGGCCAGCAGAGGCCAGAGATGCCGCAAGGACAATGGAGGAGAAAGTGGCGGTAGAGATATACATCTTGGACAGATAGTTGTGTGGTAAAGAAGGAGAAAGGTCTTAGCGAATGACTTTGTTGCTGGTAGCAATCAAGGGTAAAGAACTTGTTGGTAAAAAGCGACTGCCAGAGCCTGCTGTAGAGTAGAGAAAGTGTTGTAGATGAAGGTGATGAAAAAGAATCGATTCCATATAGGATGAACCTCACCTCTTATATATCCATTCTCACACCTGAGCTTGCCTTCTAGATTCATCGCTTCGCCTGCTATATCCATACTCGATTGAATGCACTTACATTGGAGTATGCCCTTGACGGGTTCCGCTATTGAACAAGCGATGTTTCGTTGCGAGAAGCGATGGCTTGGCTGTGGTTAAAGTGTTTGAGGTTGACAGAAAAGAGGGTTACCGAAGCGAACGGGTCCGTGCTGTGTGAGATGAGACATGGAACTTGAGCCTCGCTGGTGATCACCCTGACCTTTTGCGTACTTTTGCTCCAAGCGTTCGTCCTTAGCATGTTAGCATCTCGCCCGAGTCCGGACGAGATGTCATTATTGCGACGGAAGCTGCACATCACCCGTAATGAAGTAGCGCCATCAATCGAACACCTGGAGCATCCAGAATGAACTACTGTGCACGATTCTGAAACCATCACTATACTAGCCATCACGAAGCATAAACCAAGCGACACCAAGCATTGCATACAAAGAAGCATAAACAAGTCACTTAGGCAAAAGTCGAATCAAGTAAAAGTGCGGAGTCAATGGAGCAAAGAAGCGAACGAGCATATGCAATTATATTGTGGCTAAATCACCTCAAGCCTGTTTTTCCAGAGTATGTGGAAAGAAACTCAAGATCCAGAGTTATGAACGTAATGGGGGTATCGATGAAACAACAAGGAAAAAGTCTCCATCCTAGTAAGGTCCGCAGTACAAAGGAGAATGATTAAAGGTAAATGGTAGGACAGGCATGTGGATACAGCCGTCAGGAGAGAAGGAAAACAGATCAAGGAAGTGCGTAAAGACTTGGAACGTGGGAGTGAGGATCATTCGTTCAAGCATTGCCACAGCTCCTCTTCGTTCAGCGTCTTGAGAACTGGCTCGCGAGGAAGTTGTGGCTCTGGCCCGAATCCAAATATGGGTCCAGCCTGATTGATGCCTGGTGGTCGTAGTGTTGACATGCGCTTCTTGTCAATCTTGATTTGGTCCATTGGTGCAGACACGGTGACTGTAGGGGTAGGGGTTGATCCCCACTTGCCAAACACCCACCCGCCCACCCTTTGGCCAAGACCTCTAGGCGATGTACTAGAAGCCTTATGTTCAGCCGCCACTCCTTCCAATATACTACGGCTACTGCTTGATGTACGTGACGTTAATGCAGGCCTAGCAGCATGTGCCAAGGATAGAGTGGCTGTGACAGAGGCTTGTGATGAGAAGGACCTCGAACTTTGTGCTGTCCACAACTGTGACGGACGAGATTGNAGAGTGTGAATATCCATGCCAGACACGGATATTAAGGATTCATGCGAAGCAGCCCGGCGATGCCGAGGGCGCGTGTAAATGGTCTCGTCCAGGATTGTTGGCCTGGTATGAGCCGAGATCTCAGTGTCGTCAATGAAAGAAGACATATGAGCACGACCCCTATCAGCTGCTGGCATAGAAGAATCCAGATGATTCCCTTCGTCTTCTTCAAGAATTGCACCATGACCTGCTGTAATTGCTTGGTCATCAGCCCGTCCTTGACCTTCAGCAGAAAATTCGTAGGGTGACTGATCATAATCTTCAAAACGATCTGAAGCGCCATCGCGAAAGGCCGGTTGTGGTAAGGCACGAAAATACGACCCTGATGATGATCTTTTAGACTGGTGAATGAAGTAAGGCGAGGTTGGCGCCTCGCTATCTGGCGTCGTTGGTCGAGACGAGTCTATGAGAGAATCGTCACGGTCCCAAATAGACGATGGTGGATAAATCGATTGGGGTGAACTGAGCATGGAGCTGGCTGTCATGTGAGACTGCATGGACCAACGGTTGACGTTTCGATGTGGGATGCTTGCGGCCGTTTGTGACAGTATAGCGGCAGTCGATGAGGGGTTATACGGGCTGGTTGCAGATATTGATGAACGAGGTGTACGCGAGCCTGTAGAAGGTGTAAAGGCACCAGAAGCGAGAGAAATGCGCTTCTTCCTAGGACGGCGGAGCGTCAGACTTGCTTTCCGTGAATGTTCGGCAGGGGCGTGGTAGTGGTGGTGGACATGAACTTCTTGCTGCAAGCTAGCCCTGTTGATTTCCTTTTCCAAGTTGGATGGGCGTGTAGACGGTGCTGTTGATTCAACGTCGGAAGTCATGTCTGTGGGTGTATACTGGGCGAGCTGATCTCTCAGGACTTCGACTTGTTCGTTTGAGTTGTCGAGCATCTCACGCAGCTCGGCGATTCCAGCTTGCAGATTGACGTTGTCCTGGAGAATGTCTTTGACGAAATGCGAGACGACAGTGCTACCATGCTTTGATGTCTTCGCAGCTGCAGCACCCCTGAGTCGACCAGGAGCAGTTTCCAGTTCCTTCTCAACCACTCGTTGCCTCTCCATACGTCCAACAATCTCGACATGTCTTTCCTTGTCGTCTCTGGCTTCTCGTTCTATTCTTTCCAGCTGATTCTCCATGGCAGCCAGCTTTCTCTCTGCGTCCTGCCATCGCAAGGTGGCTGTCTTCTCTGACTCTGTCTTGTGTGCGAGGGATGCGTGGAGAATGGCCTGTTCTTGTTCGTACTCCTCAACCTCCCGTTCGAGCCTTTCAGTGCGGGCGGCAAGTGTGTTCAGTCGGTGTAATTCGGCTTGAGTTTGATGTAGTGTTGCAGTAAGTGACTGAGTATGGGCGTCCGACTCGACGGCAGCATTGTTGAGACCTTCGAGTTGATCGAGCAGGTTGCGGTTCTCTTCGATCAGTGTAGAGTTGTTGGCTTCGAGTTCCTTCTTTTCCTCGATCATTCGGATGATCTCAGCATCCATCTGAGCCTTTTGCTCTTCGGCCTCGGCCACATAGGCTTCATGGCGGACGAGGAGAGCNCTGTAATGACCAGGTCAGCGACATGGTGGCCGTGTTGACGTTGGACAACAATGTTGGTGGATATGTCAAAACACAGCAAGACAACAGGCATGCAGGGTGGGGAGGAGCCGATACAGGCTTGGTTATATCTCAGGGCATGTGTGTGTATTTTGGATTATTCGACGGTGTAGAATGGCTTGAACTGCCATAGCAAAAGAGATTGAGCGGGGAAACGGTTTTTGCCTGCAACAAGGCCGAAGGAAGATAGGGTAGGGTAGGGTGGGCACCGTCGGGATCAGAAGACTCGAAAGCAAACACCAAAAACAGCAGACTGGAGATTGCGAACTGCCTTACTGGGGCGCGACGCACAAAACACTGACCTTGCCCAGCCTTCCGGCTTTGCGCAGATTCTCGTCCAATGAAGCAAAGGCGTCGCTGTTCTCTTGCTGGAATGCGCAGTCGTCGTTCCCACAGCAGCACATGGTTGGAATGCAAGGGAGAGAGTCGGTCGAATCGTCGTGCTCACAAGATGTATCCTCCAACCGCTGATGACCGTTGTCATCCATCATGTGCAATCAAAGAGAGTCCAAGTCTAATATTCCGGCAATATCCAGTCATGAGATTTGAGCGCAATCCGTCGTGCATGCGCTGGCGTTGTCAATGTATGAAAGAAATCGAAGGCTCCCGACGGAGCGCGTCTTCATTGTTTTGATGTCCTGGTGGCAGAGGGCTTGAATGAGTGAGATGATGATGTGGGGGACGGGCGGCATCGTGCATGCGGCCTTATGTGCACACGGCCCTTGCTCCAGTCACCCAATCATCATGTCCAAACCTGCTTTAGCTTCAGGTACAACTCTGCTTCGGGCCCTTCCGTTTGCGACAGCATCCGAGGCAGGCCAGTAAACAACGGCCAGCACTTTCCGATACCGTTGTAGGAATCTTCCTCATCTTGCATCTTTTCCAAGCGTGCCGACTATTGGATCCTCGAATCCTTCTCGATCCTTCATAACGAGCCTCTACAAGCCGAGTCACTGTAGCAGTGTCAAACATTACAAGAAAATTCTTCGCGTTTCATTATTAACATTGGTAAGAAAGTGACTATTTATTTCGTCTTGGCGTTACATGTCGCGTTCTGCACGCGATACGGTCGTGTTATGTCTTGCAAAAGGCTTCATTCAAATCTTGATCTCTGAGGGGATTGAGATTTCGAGAATGTCAACACCCTTCTGGATCTCGCTCTTGCTNGGCATCTTCTTGCGCCTCATCAATTCGGCGCTCTGTGTCATGTAAGGGTCCTTCATCATGCTGGCGACAGCGACGATCTCTTCTCCCTTGTGGAAGTATGCGACAAAACTGGGACCCTTCTGTGCATCGGTCTCGCCTTGGATGATGACATCGTCGTAGCCATTGGGTGTGTTGCCGCAGTATCTGAGTTGAGCACCGAGAGCAGACCAGAAGACGGGGATGAAAGACTTGGGCGCTGCTGAGGGGTCGTTGATTGTGCCGGCGACCGAGCGACCAGCGTTCTGAGCGACATCCCAGTGCTCGATGCGAACAGGCTTGCCGTTACCTCCGGGTCCGTGGTAGGGGTATGTGGCAATGTCACCAATAGCGAAGACGTCCTTGAGACCTTCGACCTGGAATGACTCGTTGACATTTACTGAGCCGTCATCGTTGAGCTTGATCTCCTTGACATCCTGGAGGTAGTCGGTTGAAGGTCTGACACCGACACCCTCAATGACAAGGTCTGCGGGTAGATTGGTGCCGTCCTTGAGTTGCACTGAACCGACCATCTTGGAATTGGACTCGGAAGGCTTAGCGCCCTCGACCTCTGCGCTGAGCTTGAACTTGACGCCGTTCTTCTCGAGCAGACCTCTGAAGGTCTTTCCGAGCTGCTTACCCATGACAGTCATCATAGGCTCCTCCTCCATGCCGACAATGGTGACGTCGTGCTTCATGCTGGCGAGGCAGTTGCCGACCTCCATTCCGATGAAGGAGCTACCAACGACAACAACCTTCTTGCCACCATTCTCACCAGCGGCCTTCATGATGCCCTGAGCGTGGGGCAGGGCACGAAGGACGAAGACGTTCTCAAGGTCACCCTTCAAACCATCCATGGGAAGCCACTTGGGAGTGCCACCGGAAGCCATGATGAGCTTGGTGTAGTTGACCTTCTTGCCGTCATCAGTCTCGACGGAACGGTTGTTGAAGTCGACCTTGGTAACATTGCCCCAGGTGAACTCGACCGAGGCCTCCTTGTAGAACTCCATTGAGCGCCACTCGATCTTAGATTGGTCTGTGATGAGAGCCTTGGAGAGCTTGGTGCGGTCCAGGGGCTGAGCATTCTCGCGCGAGACGACGGTGATCTTGCCCTGGTAGCCGCCGCCACGGAGGCCTTCGATGGCACCGAGGGCGCCACTTCCGCTTCCAATGACGACAACGTGGTCCTTGTCTTTTACACTGCGGCACTTGATGTTGAGCTGGCGTCTGTTGGCCTTGATGGTCTTCTCCTCGCCCTTGATGTAGACTGCACCGTCACGCTCGTAAACTTCGAACTTGGCCAGAGGGTCAAGAGCAGGAGCGTCCTCGACGTCACCAGTGGAAACCTTGAAGCAGGCNTGCGGAGTCGTGTTAGTTAAGCTGTGACAAACAAACGAGAGTAAGTTGTCGGGCTTACCTCCGTGCCACGGGCACGTGATTCTGCCCTCGCCAGTAAGAACACCCTTGACCAGAGGTGCACCGTAGTGGGTGCAGTTGGCACTCATGGCGTGGACTTCGTCCCTGACCTTGGCTAGCAGGATCTTGCCGCCCTCAATGCCGTCCACCTCGACCTCCTGCTTCTGACCATTCTTCAGGTCGATGCTCGTGAGCCCCTTGAGCTTGTATTCGGTGGCCATGGCGCGTAGTGTGGTGGAGAATGAAGCTGTGCTTGTTGCAATTGGTATTCTTAGAGACGATGGTCGTGAGATTTGACGAAACTGAGCAGATGCGGTCGTCAAGAGAGGTCGTAAAGAAAGCATAGGCTGGGTATGGAGAGGGAAGAGAGAGAAACAGAGAGGAAACACGAGAGCGTGCAGATACAGAGAGGGCAGCACCCAGTTAATCGAACGGAAGCGGTCATCCTAGCCGTGTTGATTGGTGATTCGCTGCATTTCATCATCATCTTTGCTCGATCCTGCACGCTTCGTTGCGATCTGCTCGTCATCACGCTGTTGCCCCGCTAAACAGGGCTCGACCCGCCGACAACCTGGGAGCTATGGCCAGAACGTGGTCCTCGACCTCGGCTCAGTACATCAAGGTCGAGAAACACAACATCGACCCCATACATTGATACATATACTGTTGACGAGAACACAGAGACTATCCTCTAGCTAGCATGTCTCGTGAGTCATGTCGGTGGTATACATACTATCAAGCAACTGACCCTGACCCAAGACACAACTTTTCCCTCCGACATTCCCATTCCTACAGACGATGGAGCCTGCGATCATCTCCCAGGCATGACCATACCACCCCTCTCCCTCCCAGCCACCAACGACACTTCCATCAAAATCTCCTCTCTCCAAAGCCTAGTCATCATCTTCTGCTACCCTCGCACCGGCGCTCCCGGCGAAACAATCCCAGACGCTTGGAACTCCATCCCCGGAGCCCGTGGCTGCACACCCCAAGCCTGCTCATTCAGAGACACACAAAGAGAATTCATGACAGCAGGTGTAAACAAAATCTTCGGTCTGAGCACGCAATCTACAGCCTACCAACAAGAAGTAAAGACGAGATTGAATCTGCCATTCGAGTTGCTTAGTGATGAGAAGCTAGACTTTGTGGAGGCTCTGAGTTTGCCGACTATTGATTGGGAAGGAAAGAAACTTACCAAGAGAATCACTTTGGCCATGGTTGAAGGCAAGATTGTCAAAGTTTGGTATCCTGTGTTCCCTCCGGACCAGAGCGCCCAACAAGTCTTGGACTGGTTGACAGAAGAGAAAACTGCTGGTCAGAAGTTTGTCGGCAATCGTCGTATGTGGGGCACATAAGATACTCAATCCACATACAACCACCTTTGCGCTATTGCGGAAGACCGTTGGTATACTCGTTCTGATTTTGGTCCAAATTGAACAAATACTGAGTTGAGGCTCGCGTCGCTGTCACAGAACAGGGTTACCAGCTCGACGTTAGTGGTCACTCTGATCTCTCTCCTTGAGACGCTTGCAACTCCATGAAGAAAGCATGCGTGGGTTGATACTGAAGCACGAAGGGGCACTACGAGTGCATCCCTTAAGCCTTTGAATCCACATGTTGGCGACTAACCCCAAGCCTTTAGATGTACAGAGTGCAGGAGATGGTTGACCATGATATTATGAAGATGATACTGTTGTACAACGGATAGAATCTAGGCCCGTGTAAATAGACAAACAAGAAGAGAGTAGTTGCCAAAACCTGCTGTGCAATTTACGCCGTCGAAGCTCTAGATGCAGATGCTAACCGAATGGGAAGATCTTTCTCATCAAATCCTTCTTCATCCTGGTCGCTTTCTTCGTCGTCCTCATAAATCTCTCCGTCGTCATCTTCTTCTTCGTCTCTGTCTCCACCTTCCACAGACTCGAGGACAGAGTGATACATGGCGTTGTCCTCGTCTTCGATACTGTGTCGAGCTTCCGAGAGATAGCTCTCGTTCATGTCATTGTCTTCTTCGCTGAATCGCCGCGTGTTGGCACGAGATCTGTTGTTTCCTCGCAGACCTCCGCATATTGATCCTTCATGACTGGAGTCATCGTCGCTTTCGGAAGCAGAGAAATCGGCAAGTTCGAGCGGCTTCTCGCGCCAGTAGTTGAAGTCTGTAAACTCTTCACCGCCACCTTTGACAAGTAGTCCCACAGGTGGGAAATAGTGATCCACAATCTCGCGCATGCTTACATAACCTGTCTTGTATGTGTTGAGTGATAGCAGATCTAACGAGACTTCTGCGTTCGAGTTGATGGTGAAGATCCTTGTGCTGGGGATGTTGACAGAGCGATACGATAGCGCATCTGTTAGACGATTTCCAAAGCCCGCGTAGAATGGCGAGCCGCCCTTTCCACTTGACTTTCCGACAAGTCCGTTGCTGCTTTCGGCCGAGGTTGTAGGTCCTGCTTTGTCCGCGTTATTGCTACCTCCCGATCCAGTAAATAGCGCCATGATGTCGCGCAGGCAAGCCATCTTGAAGACTTCTGGCTTTCGGAGGTAGACTTCTCGTCTCAAAGCGGCAATTGTTCGATCAGGACTCATGATTGTCGGACCTCTTGGTAGTTTGAATCCTCCATCTTGGACCACATTGGCGAGGTAATTTCTCGTCGTATCGGCCTGGCCTACTCCACGAGAGGTGAGATACATTATGTTATAGCCGTTGGCTGAGATATCCGAGAACAACTTGGCTACACCAAGATGAGTCCAGTCACGACCGATCATGTTGAGGACGTGGCCTAGAGCGTCTGACTTTGTGATTGTGCCGTCGATGTCTGAAATAACGATAGGCACATCCCAACGCCAGCGGTAGATGACAGCAGTGCAGGTTGCACGATTGACGCTGAAGCTCATGGGGTTGGGCCCTGGTTTTAGATCCAGAGACTTGAGCTGGTCACTACTCAGACGGAGTGTCTTTGCATAGTTGCGGTTGGGATCGCCAACAGCTTGGGGAGACGCAGGACCAGATGACAGACCTACAGCGCTGTCAGAGTCTCGTCGCATGTGCGAAGCATTGAACGTGGCGCTAGTTTCGCTGCGAGAATCGTCCGAGTGGTAGCCCGGATCTGACAGAGCGTCGGCGGAGGTGAAGCCTGCAGGGTTCAAAACGTTCAAGCCCTGGGCAACTTTCCTGTTGGCCTGCTCTTTTGCTTCCTCGCTACTATAGATCCAAAGGTTGCCCTTTTCGTCTGCCCCAATCAACGAACCAATGTCATAATTTCCTTCAAGTTCTTCGGACAGAATCTTTCTAGCCAAAACCTCTGCGCGCAAGCCTTCATCTTCACTGCTCTTGTAACCCGTCATGTCCAGCATGATGTCACCTTTGTCGGTGACTTGGGAAGGAATGTTGGAACTCCATAGCTTTTTGGAAAGATTGATGGCTCTTGTAATGGCTTCTTCGCCAGTGACAGGCGGCGGGCTTGTGGATCGTTCGGTCCTCGAACGTGTAGACTCGGAACGGAGGGGTTGTGTTATGGGGTCGCTTGCCTTGATGGAGGCGTTGATGGTAGCTTTCGCAGCGGGAACGGCATCGTCGGTGGCAGAGCGATGGAGGTGGGCGGGCAGAGGTCTAGGGTGTTCGGTAGCGACGGACTGGTCGGCGTGGTCGTCTTGAGACACAGCTTGGCCGTTGTCACTCTGTGCGCGTCTCTCGTCAGGATGAAGAGGGTTGAAGTTGATTGCAGCGACGGATCTGGCGTGCTCCCTCCTGTTGTATGTGGGGGTAGCTGGCAGGGTGGCAGACAAGGAGTTGAGGTCGAAGGAGTCAGGTTCGGCCAAAGCGGTTGAGTCGGTAGATGTGAAGTCGGGGCTCTGGGCGGGTGAGACGAGGGGAGATGTCTGGAGAGCTTCGGGCACGCTGGACGAAGTCTCGAAGACAAAGAAGGCCTCACCCCCNTCTCCCAGCTTCATGGGAAAGTCGCGACGCTCATCGTTGACCTTGAACTCGACCTTCTTCTCATACGGTCGTAGCAGGGAGAACTTGCCGAAGCGGACGTGGAAGGGCGAGCAGGCCAGAGAGCCGTCTTCCTGCTCGACGACAATGACGTCGATCGCGCCGCTGAGGGTGGCTGGGTTGATCGAGTTCCAGGTCTTGGACACTGAGCCGGACAAGGAGCGCACGTATTGCATGGCGCCGACAGAAAGACGAGCGGTCAAACACGAACTAGGGGCATGTGGAGCAGGAAGTCAAGGATGTTTGAGTAAGAAATGAAGTATAAAGAACAAAGCAGCAACTCGGGTCCGAGAGCAGGCAGAGCAGCTGATGCGGGAAACGCGGAGTCAGAAAGCACTTGGACTCTCTTCGTACTCGTACGACTGCCTCTCTTAAGTACTCGTACGACTGACTGTATGCTGCATCCGTGCTCAGGTTCCAGCAGAGATATTGTGCAGAGCTGCATGTGATAGGGATTACTTTGGTGCCTATTCGCATGTGACAAGCATCGAGTCCGAAGCTCTCTCTTTCTACACGAGGAAGGAGGCGCGGGCCGCTGGCTGTCAAATCGATCATCTCTCCGCCAAGCACATGCATGGCAATTCGGAAAGAGTCCACTTTCCTATGGGCTATGTACCCGTTCCCATCAAGCATCAAGGACATATAGTATACACAACGCTTTAGACGGTTATCGCTATAATATACATGGAAGCGGGCGGGCTGGTCTTGACGCGACCGAGTGGACTTGGACTTTCTCTGCAAGTCGATCAGGCTTTCTGGGCGGGCGACAGCGACACGGCTTTTGCAAGTCACCACGTTCCCGCTGCTCCTTCCTCGTCCTTCCCAGCCATGCGCCTGCTCATGTTGCTGGACAACGCATACCTGCTCTTCAGCTCCACCTTCAACACGCTGTGTGTCGGTGCCGCTCTTGTCTGGTTAGATCCCTCTCTCGCTCCCTGACGCCCTTCTCCCTGAATCGGGAACAGGTCATCGTCGTCTGTCTACAAGCACGTGCTGACTGCCGCAGGCNTCACATACCGTGCCTATCTTGTTATCCATAAACCTCTAGACGAACTCGTCGGCCTTCTCGGTTGCGAGATCNCCCAAGACCCTCATGTCGACCTCGCTGGTATCAAGGCCGATGGCTTCGTTCTGCACTGGAAGCCTGCCGACGAGCGCAAATCTATGCACCGCTATGAAATTCAACTCAACGGCTCTATAATCGGTCACGTCTCACACTCCAACACGTCTATTGTCATCTCCAATCTGCGCCCAAGCCAACTGTACATTGTGCGCGTCATCACCGTCAACGCTGTCGACTTTCGCGCCGCCAGCAGCCCAATCCGCCTCTGTACAAAGTCGCCCGATTCCCAAGACTTCTTCGACACACCCAACAGCTCCCTGCCATCGTCTTCCGGCCCTGCCATACGTCCGCTGCACGTCTTTCCGCCAGATGTCTCGACTGTCCCCGCCACACCGCCTCCTCTTGTTCGCGAGACAAGCAACGGTCCTCTTCAGGCCAAGAAAAGTCTTTTCAGCAGACGTCCATCACCCCTGCCTGGTCTCGACACTCAACTTTCCTCTTTTGATGAAATCAATGACCAGGACGGCCCGGGAGACAACCAACAAGCCTTGACTGAGAAGCTGGATGAAATTGGTCGCGAGACGGCTGAGGTTGAGAAGCAAATCCAGGACGAGGAACAAGAAGCTATAGCCGCGAAGGCCAGCCTGGTCAAGGAACGTGATGAGTTGAGAGGCGAGTTGAAAGAGAAGGATGACACCAGCAGGGATCTTCGCAAGCAGGTCAATTCTCTGGAACGAAACAATCAAGCTGCACAGAACAAAAAGAACGCCCAGGAAAGAGCTCTCCAGCAGAAACAGAATGAAAGACAGAAGCTCAAGGACGATGCTGCGAGGTGGCAGAAAGAGATGGCGCAGATGCAGGAAGACATGGGCAGCATTACGGATCAGAGAAAGGCACTGCTTGAAGACACGGAGCGTGAAAAGATCGAATTGATGGAGAAACAGGCACAAGAAATACAGACGCTCAAGAGCATGGAAGACGAGAACAAGGAAGTCGGTGGCCAGATCAAGAAACTCGAGAGGGACACGACAAACTCGCCCAGTGGATCCGAACCCAACGACCACAACGACGCTCTTGCTGCCATGGAGGCCGAGGAAGACCGTGCATGGGCTGACAAACTCAGACGATTGGAGGAACAGTATGTGATTGCTCACCAAAACATGGACGCCGCGCGCCGCTTCTTCGACACTGCCTACAGCCAACTGGCCATGGTCAAACAACGCCAGTCCGAACTGTCGCAGATGGCTTCGGCTGTTCCGCCCATGTTCGATGCTCCAATCTCGCGTGCCAGCAGTCTACGCCAAAGACGTCCCNCGAGCGGTCCTTCTGCAAACAACTCGACCGCTTCTCCTTTCGCTTCTTCCACTGCTCCTGCCTTCAGCAGTGCCCTGGCAACTTCTGGTCCAACAACCATTTCTCCAAGTTTTACCACCTCAGCATCCTCCTTCTTTAACATCAACAACGGCATGACCCTGGATCGTCCCATGAGCGACTTCTCTCCTGCAGAAATCGACAAGCTGACTGGAGGTGCTCCCATGAGTCCGAGTGCAGGTGCTGAACTTTTGCCTGCAGGCTTACTCAGTAATGCTGACGAAGATCCGCCCGACCGTTNNTTTCTTGGTCCAGCCGCCCACATTCATGCAAAGGAGGACGACGATACAGGTTCCGAGGGCAGACAAGCTTCAAACCACATGTTGCCTGGTCTTGGTGTTCTTCCAGGCTTAGGTGCTCTACCTGGTCTGGGCGCCTCAAGGCCTTTTGATCAACATCAAGGTCCGACAAGCCCAAACTCTGCCAGCAGCAGATCGCCTAGTCTGTTTGCCAGCCCACGCGCTAGTGCAAGCAATCTAATGTTCAATTCTCCCGACGTTACTGTCGACAGTGACCGCCGCTCCATCAGGTCTAGCACATCTGGTCGTGCAGCAAGCGGTAGTGCACCTCACACTAGTGGTAGTCGTTTCGGTCAGATCCTTGGGCTCGATAAGCTCAACCGTCAGCGCGGTAAGACGCTGTCTGAGCAAGGTCCAGCTTTGGGCTCCTTGAGCAAGTCACAAAGCCAATCGTTACCACGCAATGATGAGGGAGATGAGGCTACCGGATCGGGACGCCGTAGGAACAGCAGTCACTCGGGTAATTTCTTTGGCATCAACCTGGGAAGAACAACTGGCCATACTAAGAGTATGGGAGCTGAAGGCATTCCTAGCCAGAAACACATTGCTGTGCGTAGGAGACCTTTCAATATGTTCGGCTCCAAGACTGATGGATGGGCCGCAATCTTGGGTCAAGACAGAGCGACTGCTTTGAACGAGAGGAGCAATGTTCTAAGCAACTTGGGCAAAGATGACGGCAGATCATCTCCTCGTCCTATCTCTGTTCACTCCAATGAGCTCCCTCGACCTTCTCAAGACAGTTCCTCGTGGGGTCTCTGGTCATCGAACGAACCTTTCAACCAAAGGAGTAGCCCACTCAGCTCCGATTGGATGGCTGCGCCGGCAATGACACACAATATGTGGGGTTCTAGACAACCATCCAGGCGTCCTTCAATCCAGCACGGGCAATCTGGTGGTAGCCTGTCATATGATATGCTTGACGACGGCATCGACAACAACAGCTCTTACGCCTTCAGCCCACCGCAATCGACAGCCAGTTTGGCCCCGATTGGCACGAAGCCGGCTCACATGCTCAAGCGCAACGTTCCTGACCCCAAGCTCAACCCAGCAGCCAAAGACTTCCGCTCGCTGTTTTCACGTCCTAGCTCGACTTCTTCGGATGCTGAAGACGAGGAGGATGACAAGATCAACCTGATCGGTGCAACACCACTCACCTCTCCCTCTAAGGCGCCTCATCAGCCTCTTCCTTTGAATCTGGACCCGGAGTCTTCACCAGAGATTGGCCGCCAGTCTAGAGACGCTCATTCGATCAACACAGCCTCGTCTGTCCTCTCCGACTCCCGCGATAGCCTCGACCGCAGCATCAGCTACACAGCCTCCGACTCTGCACCCTCAACCTCGGTCACCTCCAACAAAGGTTCCTCGCTCATGTCGAAACTCACCCGCAAGCACAGCAGCGGCAAGTTCCAGTTCCCAACCTTCTCTCGCTCCACCACTGAGAAGGGCAAACGTGAGTCAACACAACTATTAGACGTTGAAGACGAGGAAAGCATGAGCAAGAGTATGGAAAGCGAAAAAGGAAAGGGCAGTGTGAGGTCTTGGAGTAGTGTGTTTGGTGTAGGCAAGAAGAAGGATAAAGTGCCACAGACACCCAAGGAGGAAACGCCTAGTTTGTCTGGTGCCAGTTTCGCCAGTACAGACCATGGGGAGGAGGACTAGACGTGTGATACTTTCGTTTAACCCCAAAAAATCTCATTCGTTCTTTATTCTTTTTCAAAATTTGTATCTCCTATCATGCCTGATGCAGTTTTTGTTCTTCCTATTGTGAAGGGCGATGATTGAGAGTGATACTGTGTGCTAGCAATTCTTGCCAATCTTTACGCTGGATCATATTACGCTCTTCATATGCTGAGGACAATATACCCTTCTCAAATTAGCATATAGATCGAAAGTTACAAAGGCGCACAATTCTTCTCCAAGCCGGCGTGGTCATGCATTTGTCCTGTACAAATACACGGTCGCTTCGAGATTCAGGGAGGTGTTCATTGAGAGTCGGCGAAATGACGTCTCTCTGTGGATAGCACTCTTTTCTGGATACTACTGTGCATTTCCATAGCTTTATGTCGATAGTGCTTGGGAAAAGGAGAGAGGTGGTGATATATATGTGTTGTTGATTGGTAGCGAACAGGGGAATACTATCTTCGTAGGAAGAAACTATGATCTCCTCGGGTATAGCAACGTTACATGCAGGTTTCCCCATCTCAGATTCTCAGAATGAGCCTTTGGCTCTGGTTCTGGCTTAGTTATCTCTCGAGGGTGACGTTGGCCCATGGAACAGAGCTTTCCATCTGGATGCTCATGGTAATGACAGAGGTCCAGAGTCGACATCTTGTTTGCAAAACCATCATGACCATGGCGTTCAAGAAAAGCAGTCGACAGGTCCGAAAGGAAGGCGTTATGGTTAACGAGAGCCTTCAGCCAGTCCTTGTGTCCGTAACAAGCATAGAGGTCAACCAGTAGCCTTCTGATAGGCGCCGAGGCAGAAGTCTCGTTGAAGATGAGCGTAGGTAGGGTAAGGTCCAGACTACCTGTGGCAACGACTGTCTCAAGAAGGAAGTCAACGACGGCGTTTCTGAATGTGTGATCAAGTAGCTTCTCACCAAGGATGTATGCTTGGCCGATAAAGGCAAGATCCGTGTCTTTGGCCCTGGCGGTTGAGGCGCCCTTACAGATACGACCTGAGTACACCCACTCCGTATAGAGTTCAAAGGCGGCTGCATCTACTCCAAGCCCAATATAAGTCTCACGTTCCCTCAAATTAAACTTCTCTGCCGTAAGTTCTGCCTCGGATCTGTTGCCTTCACTGAACAAGGCGTTGAAAAAGGGACTGCAGTGTTCAAGGATATTTTGATGAATCCCGAATTTCGTAGTGTCGTATCCTTTGCCAACATGGATTATGGCAATCGGGAGCGATGGCCTGATGATGGTTAGATAGGAAGATGCTAAATAACAAACCGATATTTACTTGCTTGAGGAGATCGGCACCGTGATCCATTGGGGTTTTCGAATGGGTGTAGGCCGCTCTCAGAGATATATGAGCGCTTGCAGTCAGGTGACCAACGGTTCCAGTGACGGTAGGTGGAGGTGGGCCCATGTCCTTGGGTCGCTGTTCTTCGAAAAGAGATGTTTTGGTACTCAGGACGAAACGAGAATGATTAATGGGCATCTGGAAGGGCATCCGACACATAAGGCAAGGCACTGAAGGCTGGTCGGTATTCCAGGACGTTTGGAGGGTCTGCGCTAGCAGACATGATGTGGTTGATGCAATGACTCAAGTCACGATGAGGTACGGTTTGGTGTTGGTGGATGGTGGAGGATGGAGGATGGTAGAGGCAGTTGCGAAGTTGAAGATTGTTGACGCGTTACTCAATTGAAAGCGCAGCCGGTGATTCTTGCAGAGTGAATAAGCAGATGTTGACGAAGTGATGACTTCCTTTCCAGTGAGGAAGTCGCGTTCAATCGTACGTGCTGGAACACAGATCGCTCAGTCCTTGAGACGGTTCCTTCACTTCGAGTGAATCACAGTCATGGTTACACTTTCTATTCTCTCCATGCGCAAAACACTGTCAGATCATAGCTATAAAAATGCACGATACTTTTCAGAAAGGAAGTAATGCCCACAGAGAGACCTAGACTACTCCCTATGGCCTCTGACTCAGAAAATAACTGTGCGTCTGACGAGCCTTATTACTGAATGATATGCCGGTACGGGAGAGATGCCAATTATGACTCTGTTCAATCGTCCCTTATAGAGATGCCAGCTTCCATGAAGGCGTGAGAGATGCTGCCATCGGTACAGAGATGAACCCCAGGGTGTCAAGAATCCAGATCAGATAGGGCTATCCTCAGAGCCATGATATCTAGTATGTGCATCAGGAGATGGTGGTATCCAAACCGGACAAGCATAACACCCCTTCCCAACTCTCTGTGGCGGATCGTAAAACAGTGCTTCGCAACCCATGGGGTAATTCTCAAGCGTGCTATTGACGATGATGAGAGCAATCCTGCAAGAATAGGCCAGACCTGAATACTCGGATGGTGTAGCCATGTAAGCCAAAATGCGATAGATTAGCTCTCTTCGGAAGATGATAGAGAAGATGTTTGCTTTGCCAGATTTGATTGATGCGAGATTGGGCGGTGATAGCGGTGTGTCTTTGTTAACCTTCCTCCTGGCAGAGCACGGCAAGCGGCAGGTCATCATCTTCGTCGTCCGTCAAGTTCTTGGTTGTCTGAGCGATTTGTATGAAGTCGAGCTCATTCTTGTCTGTATATCTGGTCTCATCAGGTTGATGAGCGGCCGCCATCGTGTTGCATGGAGAAGACTTGGAGGTTCGTCCTGCAGTGCGCAGTTGATGTACTGGTAGACACGGAGGGAGTGTGGTGGGCAGACGATATTCAAATCAAAGCAGTGACACAGGCTGATTACCAAATCAGTCGTATACCGTATGGCGCCAGAGGCCTGCAGAAGAGAACAAAAGTGGTATTAAGCCTTCATAAGAACGCAAGCCAATCCATCAAATACTATCATAATACAACAGACCCATTATGTACAACCTTGACACCCATCCTCCATTTCCTCGCTAATCCCAACGCCTTGTCATGATGCACGATACTCAAAGCTCTCTCGGACTTGGGCTTGCAGCACCTTGTCCCTCACCCTTGCTCAAGATGGCGAATCGTAGAATCACTTCTGAGCAGGTAACCAGAATGGAAATGACAATCAGCACAATGACGATCCAAGTGATCTTGGTCATCTTTGTGTCGGCGATGGCATCAGAGAGGATTTCGGCGAGGTCCAAGAAGACCTTGCAGCGTTCGTTCAAAACTTGAATGCGAGGCTTGATTTCGAGATATTCGCGGACGGCAGCGTAGAGTGGCAGTAACGTGGGCTCGCTGTCCCAGAAGAAGTTTGGCGTGTCGAGCATGTTTGAGCTGAGGTTGACATCGACACGACCTTGGAAGAGCTTGCCGACAAGACTAACAACTTGACTGCGGCTCATGCCCAGCTGTCCTTCCAGGGCTAACTTGCGAGGGACGTATTGCGCTTCAGACATGGTACGCTGCATGCGTTCTTCAAAGTAGCTGAGTTTGGTAGATTGTGAAATGGCATGGCTCATGGCCAGCTTGATCATATGATCGTTGGTGCGTAATGTGATCATGTCGTTGAATATGCGCGGCTTGTCGATTTCGTCATTGTACTCGAAGTGAAAGTCTTCGGTTTCGAAGTCAGCCTCGCTGAGCGGCCGTGAAACCAGACCCAAAGTATTCGTCAATGCCGGCGAAGAAGTAGTGCTGAGCTTTGTGGGGATATTCGAAGAGCTGCTGAAAGTCAAGTCGGCCAGGATGTCCTTCTCTTGATGTGCAGTAAAGTTCCAGAAGACGGCGACACCATAGCTGAAGACGTAGAGTTCGGCGACAGACAAGGCATCGGCAATGGTGCCGTGTCCTCCACTTGATAAATCGCTCGAGTGGCTGTGACGGCGGAAATTTGGTTCTTCGTGGTCTCTGGCATTACCATGGACCGTGTACTCATCACTCTCCTCCATCCAGCCTTCTCGGTGGTCGCGGCGCTCGTTGGCCTCGATCTGCTCGTCCAGAATGCTTCTACCGCCAGGGTTCTTCAGGACAGGACTACTGCGGATACGATAGCCATCGCTACCGCCAAGAAGAGGGAGCTGGTAGACAGCATATAGACAATCGTCGTAGAGTTTTGTGCGTGCGCCGTGTTGCTCTCGTACAAAGTCGGCCGTGGCACGTAGACGGTAGCTCTGGGCGGTGCAGTAAGCCGTCACTCTGGCCAGCTTGTCCGCACGACTTGCTTTTGGAAGACGCTCGGCATAACTCTTGTCGCCAATCCTGGGAGACTTTCGGCGGCGGATTTGTTCGTCTGATGGTGGGGCGTCGTCTTCGTCGTCTTCGTCCTCCTCTGACGGAGTCTTCTCACTTGTTTCGGGCAGCAGAACGAGCTTCTCACTGACTTTAGAGCTTCGGGCTGGGATGTGAGGACCGCCGACGGGAATGGCGAAAGAGCGACCTGCTAATTTGGGGTCCAGAGGGTGTCGGCCGCTGGGAGTGCGCGTATGTTGTGCAGGCCTGAGACCGCCTGGAGGACCACGTCTTTGGGCCGAGGGAATGTCCGAGGAGAATTGCAAGACATTGTCGACGGATATGAGCTTGGTGGTACCAGTCCGAGGCAGAGTGCTGGGCCGCTGAGGCTGCTGTTCGCGCGCATCCGTGACCNNTGGACGAGCGTGGTTAGTTTGTGTTGGCGGTCAGACAGGATGATTCCAACAAACCAGCACGGTCGGGCCTCGCTTCTTCACTGGGGCAGCCATTGTTTGCTTGGGTTGAATCGATGGTTGTCGAGTCTCCAAGAGACGAACCTTCAACAATAATCTCGTTCCGACTTTGCCAAGTGCTTGTCGTCCTCTCTCCTTCCCCACACACGCGACGTCACCGCGCATCTGCCTGCACATGCAACTTGCACCTGTCATCTGCGACTGCCGTTGCTCCATCTCTCTTACAATACCCATCGCTCTGGCTCTCTGCCCGACGACAGCCTCCACAAATCGATTATGGGACAGATCCCTCCAAGCAGTCATCAAAAGCTACAAGCTCGAGAGGCTCTGCAATTCATGGCTCAAACCTGACCACGCCGCTGGCAATAGCACTGTAACGACCCACTACGCTTCCTTCCAGCAAAAGCATCAAACAAAATATCTATACTCTCCAAGCCGGAACGACTTTTCCAACCCTGTTATCTGGCAAAAAGGACAAAAGGATGTGCTCTCCATCAGGGAATCGAACCCTGGTCTCCCGCGCTTGACGAGATGTTACTCTTGACAAGCGGAAATCATGACCACTAGACCAATGAAGATGGACCAGCTGTGCTGGTATTGGGTGATGGAGGACTTGCTGGGCAGTACGCATCATGTTTTGGCCATCCTCATTCTCTCGAGGTCGCTGTTCTACTCGTACAGCCAGATTGATACTGGGTGTTTGCATTAACAGAGTCACGATTGCGAAGGCTTCAACAGTCCTCCCTCTCCGGACCACATCCGACGCTTGCTGTCACAAACTCATCTCAATTGGAACCACTCAATCACAAGAGACAAACAGTTACACAGAGTGTACAGTCCACAATGCATTTGTTTTAGAAGCAAGCTTATTATAGACAAGGTAAGAATCGGAGTAACATTGCTCGAAAGTTTGCATATTCACATTATACGACTATCAATTGTATATCTCGCTGCGCGATACAGAATGCTAAATGGACTTCTGGACAGAAAGGAAAATCGAGCAACTATATCTTGCTCTTATGTGATATTGAGGGGCGACGATTGATTTCGACCACCAGACTTATAGGTGATTGGCCTTGATGACATCAGCAGCTCTCTCAGCAAGAGCGTACAGAGTTGAAGCCAGATGACCCGACACTTGAAAAGGAATTACTGAAGCGTCAACCACACGGACATTGGCCGTGCCGTAAACGAGATGGTTGTCATCGACTACACCACCCAGCTCCTTGCACATCATGGCAGCAGTGGAAATGTAGTGGTAGTTGGAGCGGTACACCGACTTCAGCCAGTCACCCCAAACAGCATCAGTAGCGTTCAGAGGGACTACATCGAAGCCGGGTGTGGTCTCGGAAGTGAGAATATCACTCAAAGGAGCAGTCATGGCAACATTTCTTGCAGTTCTTGCGGTGCCGATCTGCTGCTTGATGTCATAGTCCAGCATGAAGTAGTTGGGGTTGATGGCGGCAGGAGCAGAGGCGTTGGCGCTTCTGATGTGCACTCCACCGCGAGAGAAAGGCATAAGACCCCAGTACTCGATGAGGCCGCTGCCGGACGAAGGTGCGTTGACAACGACCTCCGAGATAACGACCTCATCTTCGAAGATGAGCTCGTGCTGGATCTTGAACAACTTCAGGAGAGTCTCGCGGTCAGTGATACCACCAGTGGCCCGCACAGTCTTATTTGCGTATTGCTCGAGAGATGCCTTGACGGTCTTGCTGAATGCAGCAGTGTTGTTTCCCNNCCAAACGTCAGTGGCATTGAAGTATCCGATGAAGCCACCAGCGCCAGTGAAGTTGGCCGTTGCCTTGTAATCCGTGTCGACAGTGGTCTGGTCCTGGAGGTTCTCGCCGACAAAAGGAGAGTTGACCTTGACTTCGATGCCGAGCTTCTCGAGTACNGCTATTGCACACACCGTTAGCATATGTCGTTTGCACTGACGCACGATATTGGCTCACTTGGGGTTGCCGACACCAGAAAGCTCAAGCAAAAGCGGCGATCTCAAAGATCCGGCAGACAGAATAACTTCCTTGGTGGCCAGCAGACTTCGTTCCGTGCCTGACTTGTCGGTGAAGATAACACCATTGGCGAATGGGACCGAGGAGTTGTCGTTGGACCATGTCATATGTTGGGCAAAAGAGTTGAGATAGACGTCGAGGTTGGGTCTGTTGGCGAAAGGATAGTAGTAAGCACGAGCAGCATCCTCACGGAGATCCAGCGATCGGTCAAAGGTCTTGGGGAAGACGTTGTATCCACGCATGTATCCGCTGTTTGCTTCTCCATTCCAAGGTAGGTCCATGGCCTTGAACGTAGCATTCAAAGTGGCCGAGAAGTTGTTGCCGACCATCTCAGTGGGCCAGCTGACGGAAAGAGGCCCTTCGGTACCGTGGTATCCAGGCAGATAGGATGCTCCCATGGAGAGCTGAGCCTCGGTAGGGTACTCAAAGTACTCGCTCTTCTTGTAGTACGGCAACAGCGAGTCCCAAGAGACGTTGTTGCCAACCTTTTTCCAGCTGTCGATCTGGCTGCTCTCGGCACGCATGTAAGTCATACCTGTGTGTTGGATCATATTAGTTCTTGTTTCCTTGCGAATCTCTTTTCTGCAAACGATTGCATTCGAGATCAAAGTCTCAGTGCCTTACTTACCATTAATCGTACTGGTACCTCCCAGCGCTTTGCCAGCTCTTAAGATCTGAGTCTTGTTGCCAACGTAGACCTGAGCTTCACTCTCATAAGCCCAGTCAATCTGTGTGCCAAAGGCTTTGCCGTATCCAGAGGCACTTGTGACGTTCGTGTTGTTAAACACTTGATCACCTGCCTCAATGATTGCGACCGAAACCGTAGGGTCTTCGCTCAATCGGTTGGCAAGAACAAGACCCGAAGTGCCTCCNCCNACTATGACATATTGATACCGAGGCGTTGACTTGGGGAGGGTGTTCGGGATAGCAAAGGCAGTGGATGCAAGGGCGAGAGTAGCAAGTCCCAACATGGTCGCGGATCGTATTCGAAACACTGGAGGATATCAAGGCGAAAGAAATGAAATGGTTTGGAAGGAGCAATGGACAGACGGCGGATCCCCAACTTATACTGATCTAAACTTTTAGGCAGGAGCTCTTGTTTACAATGATTACCTTGCAGCACATCGAGCAACAGCGAGAGAATCGCAGTCATCTTACCTTGATCTCTACACATTATATCAGAGAGCAGATGATGGGTTTGTTACTTTTGCAAGGTTAACCAAGATTTGGTGATCGCATTTGATCCGTGCGAGACTGTCAAATTGGCCCGTCCCCTGGCAGGTGTCAATAACAAGACTTTTTCTTCTTTTCCATGACAATCTTAACTGTCTTAACAGGATTTTGTCTGCTTATCGGAAGGACATAACAGGATTTAAAGGTTGTAAGCTTGGTTGATCGCTTCAAAAGTCTGTAGCCTTGCCTGCTCCCATTGCAACGTAAAGGCACTTTGGGACTGTAGAAAGGCACAGTGTTTTTCCAACATCGAGGGTATAGCCACAGAAAGTTGATGAGACTTTGACTCTCAATGGGTGCTGCCCTAGTTCTCAATACTATTATGTATCTCTATAGCTATGCGCGTTACATGCTTTAGTATACGGGGAGGTTACTTCTGAAACCTGACGAGCTTAAACATTAAGTATTTTTCATCTGGCAATTTTTCTGCATCTCTTCTTGACACACCCCCGACCAATAACCAGCTCATCCTCTGTCGATTCTAGTGCATACCGAAGTTTGTACCAACACAAGTGTGGCGATTGAAGACTGACGAAAATGTCTGAGGCCACTCTCCTTCCAGAACAGGAGTGGAGGCCGTCTCCCTCTCTTCCATGTAATCGCCTATGTCTTCAAAAACTCCCTGGTCATAACCTGATACTCTCAAATACATGACAGGCAGCGTGGCGGACACATCCATGTCTCTAGCCACTCTTCGCATAATGGTCGTGAGATCTCTGTGATAAGAGTCCAAGCAACGCGCACGTCCGTGACCAAGGGGAACCGCATAGAAGGGTGTGTAAAGGCCAGCACCAAGAGGCATCAAAAGAGGCACCGGAGTCCCCGAGACACCATAAGCTCTGGTCATCTCATCCGCAAAAGCCTCATCGGCCTCGCGTAGAAAGTGGTTGATGGAACCATAATCGCGGGCAGCCTCGCGAAGACGTCTAAGTGTTGACCGGGAGATGGTGGTTGTCAAGGGCTCGATGCTGGGATGTGGTCCTCGTACTGAGTTGTCATGATAATGTGAAGCACCATGTCTTCTACGCAACCACTGGCCGGATGATACAGAGGCATGCCCTCCACGTCGTCTCGAAGCTCTGTCGTTTATCTCTTGTGCCATTTGACTCAAAACATGATATACTGGCGAAGTGTGTAAGATCGCTGTTGGCAAGGTCTAAGTTAGTTGAATAGATGCAGAAGAATGGTAGGAAAGCAGGTCTTTTATGACTGTTCACAGTCATACAACTTAGCAGAGGAAGAATCAGAGGGCTGCGATCTCAGTAAAACTCGCTATAAGGCACGCAACCAGAGTGCCATAACTTGAGATGCATTCTTTTCTGCACTGAAGATGAGTCAAGGTCAACGGAATGTCTACAACGCCGTGGTCTATCATCTTGTATGAAGGCCAATCATGCTCATACCGGGATACCTGAGGCAGACAAGAGTCAAGAGCTATGATCGCTGTCTTGGTCATAACATCGAATGTGGTGGCGAACCTTGGCTTGGACGCGAAGGTGCAGGCAGCATGTTATTCACAAACAAGAGAAGCGATCAAGACGACTAGGACTGAATTCAAGAGGGGGACGAAAAGGCTTCCGTTTGAAGACGCGACCGACTGTCTGATGGCGTATCTCATCATGTAGAGATGCACGAGTGACAAATTTCCAAGAATGGTTTCCAGAGTGTCATGTTAACAGAAGAAGAGGTTGAGATTTGGACGGCGACAAGCGACGTGGTAAGTGTTGGCGTTTTTGCCGCCTCCCCATTTGCGATAGACAGTCACAGTGTAGTTGTAGAAATGTACAATCTTTTGTATAGCAGAGCGATGTCCACGGAGAGAAGGTTGTGTTCAGACATCTCCATGGTGGCACCCCTATTTTGAAATTCAATTGTGCATTTCTATAGCTTATGATGGCATAATGGATCAGTGAAGGAGAGGGGCCGACTGTTGTAGGCTGTGACTGTCTCTCGCACACGGGGAGGCGAGGATCGCAAGAAAGAACCAACAAGATTGACTGCCCTATTGAAACATCAAACAACAGCATCCCTCTTCCTACATGTGTCAAGTCGATAACATTATGTGGCTTTGTTGCATAGATGAAGAGGTAACATAGACAAAAAGCGTTCGATCAGAGCAGCTTCTGCATCACTGTCTAGCCATTGATCAAAACATAAAAGACACCCTGACTACATGGCAACGAAAGCATGCAGACAGACACTAGACGATGATTTTGGTTTTGGATGAGCATGTTTTGAGTATTGCATTTGTTCTCGTTTCTTCATGATACTGTTCTTTTCTAATGCTGACCGACCGATGCAGTGTTTCGATAAAAGGTGCAACCAGAATGCCTCGACAAAGCTGATCCGGTTTACCATCTACGACCCTCATAGCCGCCATTGTAGCCATTGCCGCCTTCATGACGACCGCCATGGTGTCTACGTTCACGTCCATCGTCATCGGGGAAGCCGCCAGGCATTTCATCCTCATCACGACGACCGTAACCCTGTTCTTGACGACCATAGCTGTTGTTATCTTCGCGGCCATATTCTTGTCTTCCACTGCCATACTCTTGTCGTCCACCACCATACTCTTGTCTGCCATAACCCTCGTTGCGGCCACCGAAGTTATCGTTGCCGTAGCTGGGACGTTCGTCTTGACGTTCTTGGTGCTGAGCGTGGTAGGAGGCACCAGGGAAGCCACCACTGTTATCGGGGCGGGAGTAGGAGGGTTGTTGCTCGCTCTCGTAATCGTTGCGATGATTAGATCCATGTTTTCTGTGGGAACGGCGCTCGTTGTCGTCGTCATCATCGTCATGTCTTCTGCCATGGTGCTTTTCCTCGATCTGGTAGTACTCTCCAGCAGCACCAACTCTTTGCTCCTGCACTTCACTCTCCCAGCGACCACCAGGTCGCTCTTGGCGACGCTCACTACGCTGTTCGTAGCCGCCACCTTGTGTAGGGCGAACTTCGGTGCTTTGCTGGTAACCGTACCCAGAGTTACCTTCCTGTTCATAGCGGTTGTACTCCGTTCTGTGGCCACCGCCGGGGTATTGAGTAGTCTTGTACTCAGCCTGTGCAGTGTGCTCTTGGCCATAGGGTCTAGAAGAGGGACGCTCGCCAGTCTGCATGTAGCTCTGGGTATGAGACCCGTCTTGGCCGTAACTTGACTGCTGGTACGTCTGGGTCTGACCCTGGGACTCGAAAGCGCCGCTCAAAAGACTACCTCCAACGCTACCGACTAGACCACCAAGAATAGAGCCAAGAGCACCACCGCCGACAGCCTCGCCGACAAAGTTTCCGGCCTGCTGCTCGAAGCTACTGGTAGGACGACTGCTGGGGCGTCCATAGTTGCCAGAGCTATTGTGCTGTTGACCACCACTGACAAAGTCGCTGATGCCCTCCATAACAGCTGCGTGAGCTGCAGCAGCAGGAGCGTTGCTGTGCTGCTTTTGCTGGAAGAGAGGCTTGCAGCAGCCATGTCCCGAGTCTTGGACTCCTTCCTTGTGGTTCTGACCAGTCTCGACACCGCGTCTGCTGAGCTTGAGACGGAGATCATCACGCTCGCGCTCGGACTTCTCCTGCCACCACTGCTCAACAACGCCAAACATAATGTGACGGCCGTCAGCAGCACCGTCGTTGCCAAACTGACGCAAGGCAGGGTGGTGGAAGACACCGCCGATGATACGGTCAAGAGTTCTGGCGATATCGACATTCTCGTTGTCCCAGCACTGGACGATTTGAGGAACAACCCATTTGAGGACGGCACATCCAATCTTCCCGGCGGGCTCGTTGAGAATGTTGGAGAAATGGTCCTTGGAGAGCATAGAGTGGGTGGGGTTGGACGAATCGTCGTCGTGGAAGACGATCAATTGCTTGTCGCGACTGCTCTGAATGACCTCGGAAGAACCAGTGGCGAGCTCTTCCTTGACCTGGCTGATGATGGGCAGGACGAAAGGAGCAAGCAATGAGAAGACGAAGATGTTGAGCTGCTCGGTGAGCTGCTCCAGAAGATCGGGCAAGATGGGGATCTTCTCGATAGCCTCGTTGATGCCCATCATAAGCCCGTCGTGGAACTCAAGGATGGGGTAGATTTGGTTCTGAACTTCTTGAAGCTGTTTGGCCCACTCTTCGGGTTGGCGAGGCGAGAGCTTCATGTTGCCCATCTGGGCGGCGGCAGCGTTGCTCTGCAGCTCGTCAACCTTACCAGCCTGGTCCTTGCCGCCGAGCAGGCCGGAAGGAAGGGCCTTGAGAAGCTTCTTGAGCAGACTGGTGTTCTGGTTCTGCGAACTATCGATGACGCCCTCCAGCTCTTGAATCTCGGACTGAGTGGCCTTGTCGTCTAACTCGCCCATGACCGAGTGGAGGAAGTCGACACCACCGAAGGTGCCCGTCACGATGGGGTAGACCTGGTGGCGGGCTCCCTGGACACGGACTTGGGTGTTGCGGCCAACATGAGGAAAAACGTCGCGCTCGCCCAGCTCGATGAGGGCGAGCTCGGTGTAGTTTGAATGTGCACTGTAATCTTCGAGACAATGTGTTGCCGTACCGAGGAGGCGTAAAGCCTCGTAAAATTGCTTCTTGTCTCTACTCCTGTTGTACTCTCTTCCGAGATCGATGCAGCGGCCGAACAGGTTGCGTACTAGCTGGGCGGACGTTGTAATTCTCATGTCTTCCGAGGCGATGTAGTTCTTAAGGCCTGTCCTCTCATCGATGCTCAACTCCCTCTCTTCGTCTACGGGGCCGCGTAGTCGGCGATCGTACTGGCGGGCGTCTTCTCCTTCAGCGTACCCCTGAGGATTGTCGATGTGCTCTTCGGGGCGGTAGCAGCCTAGTCTCTCGGTGGTGACTTCGAACTCGCCGGTGCCATACCCAAAGGTGAGGAAGCCAAGAACCCATAGCAGGATACGAATGGCCTCAGCCGAGACGTGCTTGGTAGTACCGACATCGACAGCCTGCGAGTAGTCGCGGAGCCAGTTGCCAAAGTAGACACGCTTGACATCGATCTTGCTGAACTTGGCGCCCTTGGCGTAGGCGTACGAGCTGACGAGGGTAAGGAGAGTGTCTTCGATGTCTCCATGGCGGAAATTGACGCCCTCGACATTGGACACAGAGGCAATGTTGCCGGCGCCGAAAGCATGAGCTGGGCGAGCATGCAGCAGGAACAGCAAGAAGACAGCCGTCACAGCAAAGCTGCCGCTGAATGCCGAGAAGACAGCCATGGTTGTCGATCTTCAGGTAGGTGGTATAGCAGCAACAAGAGATGTTGTCGGTGAAGGGATCCACGAGGGGTTCGATGCTTCAGTTGGGAGCTGAATGTCCGCCAAGGGCCAAGACGTTTCAGACAGGCTGGCCAAGACACAGCCACTGTGTCATTGTCGTGCACAAAATGGTTTGAGCAAAGGTTGTGTCCATTGTGAAGCCAGAGCTAGCGATTCGAACAAGACCATGTCTCTTGTGGTGAGGTTTGTGACTTCTGACATGTGCAATATCAATCAACAAGTTGCTCTTGCCAAAATCTTGTGCCTCCAACCCCGCCAAACATGGTCCAAGCTCCCAACCAGAATCCTTCCAGGTGCATTTTCCCTTCTCTCTGGGCCCTGTCGTTGACCACATCACCAGAGTCCACGAGCCAGGTGGTTATCGCTGCTTGAGAAGTGCGTTGTTTTCTGAAAGATATTGGACCTCTTTTTGTGATTATTGATCAGCAGCCAGCTCCGTGTTTCAACTCTTGATAAGCGATGAGGCTTGCGCAGACAAAATATCTGGACCCGACAGTCTGTTGTTCAGCAATATGTTTGATATCAGAAATCGCTTGTCTCTCGCTTGCGTGCCGCTTCTATGTTGTGTGAGAGCCTACCGTAAACCATGACTGCCGACAGATGGTATAATGCAGACACTCTTATTATAATAAACTTTGCTCGACCCCGTCGATCCTCCGACGCGAGGGATATCATTGCCTGTATTCTTGGGCTTCTTCGCTTCTACCTCCACCACAAGGTATAACGAATGCAGCAACTGTCTTGCCCTGCAGATGTCCATCACAGGGAACAGTACCAATGCTCTTGTCGATCCCAATCATTTCATCACTCTCTACTCTACCCATCCTCTATCAGCTTGCACTAGTTGCGCTCGAGCAATGTGCAAGGACCCGCCTTCCAAATTGATAACCCCATCTGCCTGCCGAACTTGACCGTCCCTGTGCCATCGCTCGGCCTCGATATAGATGACTAAATCGATTCTTACCACCTGCCTGAATCCTTCTAGGTCTATCGTGAGACCATCTCGACTCGTGTCTCAGCAAGCTTCAACCTTGGGGTGATAACACGCTTGATATGTCTACACAGGAGGAATCGTCTGTCTATCGTCTTTACGCTAGCAACCACATATGACTCGCGATTACTCACTATAGTCGCCAGTCTTCTGATCATCATCCTCTACGTCCTTATAATATTCGACCAAGCAACTACAGCTATGTCAAATCGACGGAGCAGCATCCACTATACCTACTATCGCTTGAGAATCTTGTTAGGGGCTTCGTCGTACTCTACGTAGTTCGTATACAGTCGATCATCAGGTGCTCGTACAGTACCTGAAGATCGTCTGTTCGAGTGCGCCACCCTCGTATAAGTGGTGCCAACTTCTTCTCGTAAGACAATTAATAAGAGCCTTCTATGGTACACTGGAGGCTACAATTCAATGTTACCTTCTGCATTGGCACGATGAGACAGATGGCCTTTCGGAGAGATTTTCCGACGAGAACCTTTGACACTGTCGTTTCAACCTCTCTTGGCGCCTCACGTGGGCCTTCAACTGTTGGGTTGAGCCACGATTCGAGCGCTGAGCAAGAACGGTAGGTGTCGCTCGCGGCGGAAAGTGTCAGGGTCATGTCAGATTCTAGGCATTCCTAGTGTCTGCCAACGACGGAGATGCCGTCAAGCGTCCATTAACGACCCTTGTGGAGAATGAACGAATGAGTCGTGCACCATCGTGAGCAGAAGTATTGTAGATGCCCTAAGACCGTCGAGTGATTCCGATTGGCATACCGGCTTCCGAGAATCTCCCAATCGGCTGAACAAGCATACTTCTGCACGGGATGGTACGTGTTTTGATTCCCAAGAACCCGAGACAGCAGTGTTCGGCTTTCAGCCCTTCACCATGTTCTTCTTCCAAAAGTGCAGCCAAGATATGCCTGCCTCTGCTGGTGATCCGGTCGATAGGTAACTCGGGCGGCTGGAGCGAGGAAGGTACTGTTGTTGGGAATACATTGAGAATTCACGCGCAAGCAAAAGAGAACAGAGAACAAAGGGCAGAAACACAAGGTTCACGACGGACAAGACTCATGAGTCAAGAGCCAGCGCTGTAGGCAACCAATCACGCTTGGTTAGGAACGCCTGGCTGACCCAGTCGTTTGGACGGGAAGAGACCCACAAGCCGTTGACTCGGGGTCTTCTGTGCCACATCGAAGCACGCTAAATTGGGAGACCCGGATAGCTGCTGTTCTTTTGCACACCACGATTCTGGACGTCTTCTCCTGACTCGAGACGATGTGCTCACATCGGCCTTGTCCAGTGTAAAACAGCTTCTATACTCAAGCACTGTTGCAGCATCGGTCACGCAATTGTAGTATCGTGGAGCCGTACAAGAACCAAGTTATATTCCAGCGCTGTTGCGACATTAATCCTCATCAAAGCGAGCAACACAATCTATTCTGTCGGTCGGCCCTCTGGATGAAGGCCCCTGCACATGCAAAAAGCCGGGATGCAGGGGCGACGAGAGTCATTGCGCTTTGACCCGCACACCACAACCACAACTGAAACTGGAACATCCCCCCGAAAAGAATTGGGATTGACCACTATCACTCATCCGTCTTCGTTCATTCGGCAGTCGGCTGCAATCCGCGGGTTGGGTTCATCAACTTGATGTGGACTGCGATTTGACAAATTCATTCATTACTCCACCTCTTCGTCCTTCTGTTGATACCACAACCTTCTCCCTTCTCGATACTTGAGGCCTCCAGATCATTGCCACCTGCGACCAGCTTACGAGTCACGACTACGATACATCTGTGTTAGACACCTTGGGTACCTAGTCTACATTCACCCACGCCTTCGACGCCATCAGCTAACGGTTTTGATCCTTCTCAAGAAAAACAAAGGCGCACGCACTACACAAGCCTAGGCAAACTTCGGCCACCGGCAAGGGTCAACGGGTTCTGAACGGGAGATGTGCCTCGAGTCTAACACTCTTTAAGTTTTCGAGCTCCCCTGACCTCCACATCTTCGCTGTGCACCTACGAGTCACTTTTACATACATATTGTTTTCCCTCCAACGCATCACTGTCTCAACTTGCCAGGCGTCCCACACTCCAGTCAAGGAAAGGAGTTCTGCAGCAACTCTCCACCTTGTCATTGTCATTGTATCGCCACTACATCTCTGCCTGGACCTCTGGTCGAAACAGTTCTCCGCTTCATCATGTCGACAGATACTGGACCACGCTTAGCTGCGACGGTCATCGTCCTGTCTGTAATGGCCTACCCATTACTGGCGTTGCGAATCTACATCAGATTGAGCACCCGAGCATGGGGTGCCGACGACTGGTCGATGCTATTCGCTGCCGTACCGTTTACTGCCTTGACGATAGCATGTCTTGGTGGTGCTTTCAACGGCATCGGTGGGCACGAAGCTGAGTTGGGCGAAAAGCAGGTCTCTGAGGGTCTTCATGTAAGCCATCGTCAATTGTACCATATATCCCGTGGAGAGCTGACCATTATCAGTNGGTTCTTTTTCTTCGAAGTCTTTTACTGCATTGCAATTGTGCCCATCAAGCTCAGTATCTCATTGATGGAGATGCGAATTGCGAGCAGCAAGAAAAGCTTTGTCATCTCGCTTTGGGTCACCTCTGCCATGTTCATCGTGATGAACGTTATTTCTCTATTCGTCATCATCTTCCACTGCAATCCCATCTCATGGGCGTGGGACACATCAACTCCTGGAGGAAGCTGTAATTCTCCAACCACCCTTACCAACATCTATTATGCCGACACTGCCGTCAACATTTTCACTGACTGGTTCTGCGCATTACTGTAAGCCTCACGGATTGCTAATTGTCTCTCTTGTCACTGACTTCTCTGCTAGGNNCCTGTTCCTCTGCTGTGGTCAATCCAATTGAACCGCAACTCGAAAGTCTCAGTCGTCTTCCTTTTGAGCTTGGGTGTTCTGGCCAGTCTTTCTGCTTGCATTCGTCTCAAATACACCGTCAACCTGAACAACTCCACAGACTACATCCATGGCGTTGGCGATATCGTCATTTGGGGCTACGCCGAGAACGGTATCGGTATGGTGGTCGGCTGCCTGAGTACCTTACGCCCTCTGTTCCGTCGCGTCTTCCATCTCGGCAGCTCAGCACCAGATGCTTCCTCCAAGATGAACGGAACCCGCTCAAAGGTTGGCCGCCGCAACTACGTCAACTGCGAGGCTGGATACGAACTTCCTGAGGGCGTGCGCCCTGTAGATAGAGACGTCATTGTCAAGGGAGGCACCGTCAAGGAGAACAGCATCCGCGACTCTGATTCCGAGGAACACATTCTCTCGGACTACCCTGGCATCAAGATGACAAGGAGTGTCTTGCAAGAGACAAGTTTTGCCACCACATCTACTACTGGAACCAGTCCGTAAAAAAACAAATGGGTTCACCCATGTCAGGAAGAGATGGAAGCATAATGACTGGGTTTAGGGAGGAGGCTGGAACCGCCTCCGATGAGCACATATGTTTTTTTTCCTTTTTGTTTTCACATTCTATATTGACCCTCTATACCCAATTTTCTTTCTCGTCTTTATATAATCATCTGCTCATATGAGCCTTGAGTGGTCGGAGAGACGTTCTGTTGTACATACTCGCTGCAGGAAAGAGCTGTCCATACACAATGTACAAACCATCCCTCAACACTCCTGGTCATACGATCATGTCTACTCCAGTATCTCGTACTGCACCTGCCACTCCGGAATGACTTGTCATGCGCTCAAGCATTTTCCAAGATCTGCCGTCGCAACAACCGGTTACGATCTCGCTTGGGACTTGCGGAATGCGACCATGATCTCCAACTCTATCGTCGCCTCATCATCATCAATAGACTTTTTCTGACTTTGTCTCGATCAACACAAAAGTCAAAAAGTCATGTTTTTTGTGCTTTGGCCGTCGGCCATGAAAACAACCGTTTTTTTCGCTGGACGATCGTCTAAGCATAAATACAAACATCAACGAGACAGAAATTCAAATTCCTATGCCGCCCAAAGTCAAAAGCTACACCGTTTTCGGAAACATCGGGCGTAAAGTTTAAAAGCGATGATACAACGTTGCAGTTTGGTCTTTGCAGAATAGTAATCGAATAATATGATGATGCGCTGTGGATAAACACGAGATGCGATTTCCTGCTTGGACAGTATTTGCCGTGGTCGTTATGACGGAAAGGTGGGTACTCTGAATTTGAGATGTTGGTATAGAGAAATTGGTATGTTAGGGCTGAGTTATGGGGTTTGGTATGGGCTGTGGATTTCAAAAAGTCTGGATCATACGGATATGGCATTTCCCATTCGCGGCAATTCGTGCACTCTGCCTTGAATGCGCGTGATGGGCGTGCGGTAGGCAATGCTTGTACTGCAAGCAGCTTCTTGCTCTGAGGACAGTCTCTCACACCGAGTTGCACGTCTTCGGATCTTTGGCAGGCCCAACTTTTGGCTCTCAGTCGCCCTTGCCGCTTGTCCATCCTTTGACATCGTGGAAGTCCATGATTTTTCCTTCACCACCATGTCTGTCTTGAACTGCANNAAGTCACGATCAGCAATCTTCCTTGGCTCACACGATGAGACGATACTTACTGGCTTGCCAATCCCTCCCAATCGCCTGCTCGGGTCGCCATCTCAACCCTTTCTGCAATTTCTCCTCCAACACACCTTCCATACGGTCCACAATCAGCTGTCCAACTACCGGCATCATCATGAATCCCATACCCGAACCACCGGCCGCAACTACCAATCCCGTCTTGCCCTTTGGCCTGTCAATCAAGAACTGACGATCCACAGTATCCGCATCCCAGCAGATTCTCGCAAAACTAAAGTCGCGATCCGCGATTTGGGGCATCGCTTCTTGCAAAAACTTGCGCATGCGGGTCTCGCTCTCCACCGGGATTTGATGGCGGGCGAAAGGTTGAGAGTGGGCGGTCCCTTCGCGGTACCCAGGGGTCGCGGTCTTGACCATGTTGATGTATCCCGGATGCTCATCGCAGAATTTGAGCTCCCGTTTCTCGGCATCTGGCTCAACGAAGAAACCGCGCTCGGGGTTGTACAGCACGGGTAGATTGTTGAAGAGTGCTGCTTCTTCGATGGACAGCGGTATGTGGGCCAATGTCCATGCGGTCGGTCGCAATTGCTGCTCGAAATTGAAGAGCAGGTCGCCATTGGCTCCTGCGCAGAGAATGGTCTGGTCGGCATGATGAGAGGTGCCATCCGCTGTTTGTGCACCTGTGATGGTATCCTTGGAGTCTGAAAAGAGAAGCGATGTCACCTTTCCTGCTGGATCGCCGGCGATGAACTTGACGCCTAACTTCAAGGCTTCCTCATATGCGGATACCATGGCACCGCGAGCGAACAACCAGCCGGCGCCGTGATCTTTCCAGAACCCTTTCCAACCGGGGAAGTCACCTTGCAACACACCCTCCGGCATGGTCTTCTTGAAGTCTTCAGGTGAGTTCAGCGCCACCCACTCGCTCTCTGTACCCTTAGTGTATCCTTTGACGTGCCCATACACATCATCCGATATGGCGCTGAAGATTATACCAGTGGGGTGGTAGAATGACTTGAACACGTGGTCCTCTTTCCAGTATCTTGTTGTGAGCTGGTGCATACGGTTCCAAACATATTGCTCTTCGGTATCAGTCTCCGATGGCTCGCCTTCTTCCATGATTTTGTTGACATCGTTACCAGCAGAGATGGGTGAGGGAATGGGATGGGCCTCCAATACAATGACATTTTTGTATCCGCGACGAGCGAGATGCAGTGCTGTAGAACAGCCCCACGTACCGCCTCCTACAATTAGAATACTACTATCTTTCGTTAGAGAGCCCATGGTGATGATTCAGTGTCACTAATTGTCGCTGAATCTCGCCAAAAAAAACTGTTCGAAGTCGCAAACACTGGGTGTCGACACGCTTTTTGTTCGACCGCCTCTCGGCTTTTGTCTGATGCCTACGTACCCACCTCAATCGCGTGACTACACGAAACAACAGTATCGCTACCGGAGTGTGACAAACGAGAACTGGCCAGAGGCGCTCTGCAGACGGTTGTCTAGATACCAAGTTGCTTGTTCAGGTCAAGCCTCACAATCATTGTCAAGGTCGAGGAAGGTCCAAGCGTGAGTATGTTCTCAACGTGTCTGCTGTGTCTGCAGCATCAGCAGCCGCCGCTCATCTGTTAGTCACATTCGTCACCAACGCTTCTTCTTTCTACAGTTCCTCGTCGAATGTCTCCGGACATGCAATACTGCTCGTCCCCTGTACCTGTTGACCCTGTGCCAGCGTTTTCGGGGCCGCGTACGATTGGAATCAACGAGAGAGTGAACAAATCTCTTCGCTTCTGTGGAAAGTGTCTGTTGTCCTCAAGAGTGCTGATAATCTTGTAAACGTCCCATGCCGTATCTCAAAATCAATGCTTTGAACCCAAACATATGCCTATATCTCAACACATATAGCTGCAATATACCTCAAAACTACACAACTGCTACTATATACACTTATGAGATAGATCGCAAGCTACTTGAGTGCCAAAGACCAGGCGTCGGCGCATGAGTGCAAAAAGGCGGTCATAAATGCTAGTTGTGGGTACCACCCTGGTCTCTTCACCGAGTTCTCGGACGTGAGAATGAGGGTGCCCACCTCTCAGGTCGACACCGAAAACATATTGGTTCCTGTTGTGCCATCGCTTGGACGTATCGATCATAGACCGAACGTGTGCCATCGAATGCTTCCTACGACGACTGCGCATACCAACCACGATACAGAGCAACATCACAGGTAATCTTCATGTGACTGCACATGTGTAGTGCCACAGGTACAAGCCCTATATACCATATCTTACAGCTGCTCGTGCAGTGGGTGTTGTGTGTCATGACATGACTCTTCTTGTAGCAGGTCGGCAATGATGTGAACGACTCTCTCGCTTGCAGCATCGCAAGGAAAGGAACAAACGCTGTCGCATCGAAACAGGATATCGTCGGGTAAGCATGTTGGGTCGTGAAGTCGAAGCTCATACGTCTAGGATGGGAGTTGAAGTACGTGATCAAAGAATGGCCGGCGAGGGTAGACTGGCATGACGAAGGTGTCGCTGTGGAAGGACAGATGCTGCTGGACAATCAGTAGACTACAAGTGCTTGCTGGCCTGTTCTGATGCCATGGCAGATCGAAGCAGTAGATGGCGAATTTGTAGCAGCATTGAGTCATGCACAGATGAATGTCTGTCTTGCTGGAAGCTTGTCGTTGGCGCTGCTCGAAAGACGCAATCTAGGTTTCGCCAGAGACTGCTTGAGCAGATATCATCGACAGCAAATCAACCTACATGCTAAGATGATCAAGCACACGCATATCATCTCTCATCATCGAAGCCTCAACAAGAGCATGGCCGTCTTGCTCGTCCAACCAGAAAGGCAAGTCTCTCGATGGAGCTCACCAGCGCCCCCTGCTGCCTGCCTCCAAGCTTGGCACCAATCAATCCTCGAAGCCTCCTTCCCCAACCATATCACCTGCCCAGTGCATCCTCCCAACCACTGCTGAGTCATCCCTGTCCCATCTTCTATCTATAAAGCGCCGCTCTACCTCGCCCTCCGTCTTTCTTCCTTCATACTTACCTTGGAGGGAAGGCGGCGATCAAGAAGAGCTGCTCTTCTGAAGAGACTCCGTGCATTGCACAGCGCGCAGGAGACTCTTCATGGATGTCCTTCGGGGCCTCCACTTCTGCAATTTTTCATTTCACACACTTTGTGTTCATCACATTGTACACTCTTTTCATTGATGCATCAGCTTTGAGCTGGTCGTTGAAGAAGAGACCAAGGAAGAATATGATTGATGTCGAGGCTTGTATGTCTTATCGACAAAGCTGATGGAACACTAAAGGACGGGGCATAATTGTTAATTAAGTGCGTGATGGATAGAGATAGGTTGCAAGACTGGATGGAAATTGATGGAATTTGGGGTGTGGATGCAGTGGATGTGGGGGTGCAGCTCAGCTCTCGAGAACTCCGCAAATGCTTTCTTGCAGCATCGACGCCAGCACGACCAACTTGCTGGCTGTACTTGTTTGTGACTTGGTAGTTTGGCCTCCCATCATGAGAAAACGATAGTATGGCGACAGCATTTCAACGAATCGGTCTTATCCAGTAAACACAAAATCCTGTGATGCGTGTGCATCGCGTGATGTTCTGAAGACCTACCTGAGCACCTCTCCATACCATATGCTGTTAGAGAATGTACATGCAGTCGAACGATTGAGCCAGGTGTTCTAATGTAAATGCAATATTGCAGCTTGGAGTAGAGCGAAAGCGTAAAGTGACGAGGAAGTCATCATGTTCTTACAAAAAGTATCAATCGCGCTATCCTAGTGTGGTATCAGGTAGAAGAAAGCAAAAACGCCAGCCCATGCCATCCATATCTCGTAAGAAGTGATTACCCATGCTTACATGGCGTAGACGAAAGCACCAACACCAGCGGCAATCATCCACAGGCCAGCAGACTCGGGTACTCTCATGGCGGTCGCGGCGCTAGTAGAGCCTGAGCTCGTGGCGTCTTCGGGAAGAGTGCCATTGAGGATTAAAGTGTTGGTGCCGTTGACGTTGGCGATGCGAGCGACAGTCGAGTTGATGTCGGAAGATGAGCCGTTGCCGACAATCGAAGCCAGGTAAGAATCATCTCCNTGATCGTCACATCCACACTCGGCGTTCTGAGCGCAGACACACTGGACTGGAAGTGTGGTGTTTGTGTTATTGCCATAAGTCTGGTTTTGAGCGGCCTCGGTGCGGTTGTGGAAGTAGTAAGGATGAGCGTAGGGGTAGGCATATGCGCCGGCACCATAAAGGGCGAACACTCCAACACCAAGCGCCGCACCTCCAAGAGCATATGGCGCAATACCACCGGGCGAACGGCCGCCAGATCTGTATGCGGTGGTTGCACCGCCAGCGTAGTAGTTGCCTCCAGCGCCGTACGACGGTCTTACGCTTGTACCGCCTGAACCGCTAGAGCCTCGACTACCAGAGCTGCCCGAAGAACCTGATGAAGAAGAGCCAGAGCTGCCAGATGAGCCCGATGAAGACGAGCCAGAACGACCACTACCAGAGCTGCCGCCGCCACCTCTTCCGCCACCACCGCCGCCCTTGCGCTTCTCAAGAGTGTTGCTTGTTTCGGGCGATGTAGCGATGTCGTGACTCGAACGGATGGCGAGCGAGTTTGCTTCTTCGGGGATGACGGCTGCGTTGACTGCGCTGCCCACGCCGAGCGCCGAGATGATGACATGTGAGAACTTCATGTTTGTGTGTAGTTGTAGTTGTAGAATTTCGAGTGAATTGTAGTCGAGAATAGGTCGTGCTTATGACGATGATAGGTATGAAAGTCGTATGGATTCCAATGGATGAGACGCGAGGATTGGTACACAAGTATCAGTTGGCAAAGTAGAGAGCTGGTCATGTAGGCACACCGACGCCATTATATCCAATACAAGACCAACACTTCCAAGCCTCCAGCCCCGTATTATCCGTTGCCGCACTAAAGTCGAATTAGGTCATTGAGGCGTATTGCAAAGGATTTCGAGGTTGTTTCTTCCTAAGCCTTCGATCCTTCCGACTCCTTCACACAAGCTGCGCCTTGTCTCGTCTTGACATCACAGCAGGGGCGATGCATCGACTTGACAGGGTCCACCCGGCGGAGGCTTGGCAAGATGCGCCCGCGGCCTCGAGCCAATCTGCACATCTTCTTTATCCCCACCACTTGCGAGCCGCCATCTCCAATAAAGCGACATCATTATTCACGTGGTTCGAAGGCATGTGGTCATCCATTGAGGAATGCTTCAACGTCGAAGCCACAATTCCTTCCGCAGACCATCATCAACTCAGCAAGTCATATCTGCTTCTTCCTCTGCCTGAAATTTTCGTCAAACGTTAGCCTATTCATGTAAAACCTTCTCGGTCTTTAATCAGGCGGCCTGCGGGCTTGGAAACATGTTGGCCACAAAGTCTTCGCAGAAAATAGTTTATAAGGAGTGAGTCCGAGATGTGCTTCAATAATTGGTTGCGTGGCCCAATGGCAAGGCGCTTGACTACGAATCAAGAGATTCCAGGTTCGACCCCTGGCGTGATCATTTTTGTTTTGCCATTCCCTCGAGCTCATCTGTATGTTCGATACAGCAACTAGCTGTCATTCAGTTACTCTTTTGTCTACCGTCTTGAACCAAAACCTTCATTGGCATGGTATGCCTACCTACAGATAGAAGAATCAATACAAGGTAATCATAAGCAACGGAGATGGTACCAGCGTTATCATTCCAAGTAGGGCAGTTGGGAGATTCTGGGAAGACATGGTACTACCTATTCATCAGCTTCCTGGCAAACGCGTACTGATGCCTAAGCACCATGATTGTTCCATCACACTTTTTACTCGACGGGGCTCAGATCTCTCCTATCCCTGCAGCGTCATGTTAACATGGGATGATGGACGAGACATTAGAATCATAGACCTGATTATCTTCCTTTGCTTGCTCTTTCTGCATTAACTTGAGCCCTCTGTAGAGTATCCAAGGTTATCGTACTCGTGTCCGGTGATCTTGCTTATCAGAGTTGTCCTCTAAGGTTGGGCCTAAATTGTGAAATAGAAGTTGTCTTTCTCTTCGTAAGGCATCTTATCCCAACTCTCCAGAGTCGGAATTGAGACCTAGTGATTCAAACATGCGAATACGGGAAAAGAAATGTGAACAAAGATCTAGTAGTATGATTGAAACTTTCTCCTTTCCTCATTGACCTTACGAGTAAGGCTTTCTGCTAACTTGTGTTGTGTTAACTTCCTCCTCCGCAAGAGTTTAGCGAAGGTATCCAAGTCCAAAGACGCAAGCACAGAGTACAATGATGTGCCGGGATTTGTACACCTTCAAAAACATCGAATCTATGGTGCAAAAACCATCATAATGGTTGTATACCAACTCTCGATCTTATTTCAGCAGGGGATACCCAAGAGATAGGCATAAACACGATTGCACTACTGACCAAAAGGGGTCTCAATGTTACTGCTACTAAAACACAAAAGCCACCGTGTGTATCTTCGTCTCTCGGGAAGGAGAGGTCAATCTCAACACAGTTTCATGAAGGCAGACTCATTGCAAATAAATGCATAACCGGAGAGGGAGCGATGCTAAATCGTAGCTTTAGAAATGCTTAACATGGTTCTATCTAGAAGTTCGTCAAGTGGCATGTAATATACGTAAAATACCAGTTTACAACCAGCATTGAGGCGTAAGTCAAAGCAAAGACAATAGAGAACCATTGCTATAGGACGTGGTCATGTCATAAACTCATATTGTCTGTATATAGAACGATCTATACTATCTGTGGAATAAGAACTCTTTTGTGCCTCCACATGTACTGAAATTCGTAAGGCGTGTATCTTGTGGAGATGAATGGTGTTTTCGAGAAACAGAATACTATGATACCTGAAGTGCATCAAAGATATCGGCGATCTGCGTGGTGTTGTATCCAACCGCCAGAGCGCACTGAAGCAAAATTCTAGCTTTCTGAGGATCAAGGTTGCCACTAGCGATGGACCAGTCATTGCTTTCGGGCGAAACAAAGCCGTTCATGGTACGAGTGGAAAAGACCATAGGGATACCGGTCTCATTGTAGACGGCCTGGGCAACCTTTCTGCCCGCTGATGTCCAACCACCGGCACCAGTGCCAGCAAAGACGATGGCTTCAGCACCTGATTCGGCAGAGGCGCGGATGAGTTCTGGGTTGCTGTCTTGATGGCCATATAGAATGTCGACATGAGGTAAAGATGTCAGGTTCAGTGCTGCAAGATCGAAGAAAGGTTTACCGGGNGGTGTGGCAGCTGAGTAGTAGAATTGAGGGATTGAGTCCAGGAAGAAACCAAGATGGCCTTGTTCAATGGCTTTGAATGTATCCAAGGAGTTTGCGTTGTTTTTGACCACATAGAAGGCACTGTCAATGCGATCGTTGAGTGTAACCATCGTGCCACGGCCTTTAGCCTCGGGAGTGACAGCCAGCGTGACAGCCTGATACAGGTTGAGAGGGCCATCCGCCGAGGTAGCGGTAGAGGGACGCATTGCACCGACGACTGCGACGGGCTTCTCGGATCCGATGGTGAGATCCAANAAGAAAGCAGTCTCCTCAAGGGTATCTGTACCATGAGTCACCACAGCACCACTCGAGGTGTTTTTGGCGAGCTCGGCTGTGATTTGACGATTGAGTTCCAGGAGAATAGTGGCGTTTATGTTTCCCGAGTCTACGTTTGCGACTTGGACGCCATTGATATTTGAGATGTTGAGTAATTCGGGCACGGCATCAATCAGAGTCTGGATTGCTACAGCACCAGCAGTGTAGCCAGTCGTTTGAACGCCAGAGCCTGCAGAGCCTGCGATAGTGCCACCTNNGGGAACTGTTAGAGAACTGACAGAGCCATGATTGAAGTTGATCAACATACCGGTGCCGAAGATGGTAACGTTCCCTAAGCTGGCGTTGACACTGGCTACCGACTGGCGTACTTCGAGCTGTGGGATGGCAGGTAGGGCAGCGACATGGCTAAGAGAGCCCAGCGTGGCGAGAAGGGATAGGGTTGTGAGCATGTTGTAGAACAACAAGATAGTTTTCTTTCGAGTACAGGACAGAAAATCGGATTGAGCGAGAGACGAATGAGACGAATGGAACGAGAGTGTAATGGAGTGATCTATGATCGAGCAGACTTACAAGTACGACAGACCCATAATTTATATAGCCTCAGGTCTGAACCCTTCTATCCCAATGATACGAACCGGAAAGCCTGATCTCAACGCAGAGACGGTCCACTATCGGCGAGGGTGATGCAGGTTCTCGCACTATCATGCTTGACCGTGGCTTAGATCGCGGTGAGCAGAAGGTTTTGGTGAGTGATTTTGACATGGTCGAGTTATCGAGGGGTAATGGTTTCTCTCGTAGAAACCTTGCCGGTTAACTATTACGCCTTCAAAATGACCGAAGTGGATAGATGCACGCCTATCACGATACCGATGAAGTTGGACTCTTGGCTTTGACCCCAGCGGCCTTGGGGTCGACTGGGCACCCCAGGTAGATGTTGTGAAGAAGTGGACGTGCAGCGATATCGCTTCCGAAACCTGCCGATGATGGGCACTGAGAACAGTGTTGATAAGGATACCGTGATGGGAGGTTGAATGAAGAAGCAAGGTCAAGGCGTGCTTTGCTGAGCAATAGAGGTTCAACCTGATCCACACGGCCAATTGCAACTTAGCCGACAAAGATAGGCGTGCATCGTGGGGTCTGGTGGAGAAAAAGCAGTGTTGACTGATGATAAGACACGATCAAGATTGAGATGAACAAAACATTTACTAAAGATATATGCTGCCGTGCAGTTCATCATACTTGCTATAGCTCTCATGCCTGGGAGACATGTACTTTTGGTCACACTTGTGCACATGGTTGGAGTTGAGAGAAAAAAAAGACGTGAGTTTCATGAGGCGATTCATTGCGGCCTACGGATATATTGAAGCACTGTATGCCAGCGCCAGACAACAATGAATCTATTCCCAAACTTTTGTTGACCGTAGCATCTTCGAGTACATGTCCCGCTTACTTGAGGGGAATGAAACGGGAAGAGTGGGTGGCACCAATACCGGGGCGACCGTGCTTGACGGGCTTGNNCTGGAGGGGTGTTAGAGAGCCGATCGAGACAGTCTGACTGAGTAGCGGAGAAACTTACTATGAGATGGAGAATTCACCAAGGTAGTGACCGACCATCTCGGCCTTGACTTCGACCTGGTTGAACTCCTTACCGGAGTAGACACCGACGACGGAGCCGATCATCTCGGGGACAATGATCATGTCACGGAGGTGGGTCTTGACGAGGTCGGGCTTCTCGTTGGGCTTGGCCTCCTGCTTGGCCTTGCGGAGCTTCTTGATCAGACCCATGGGCTTGCGCTTGAGACCACGGTTGAAGCGTCTGCGGGCACGGGCGTGGACGACATCGCGGAGCTGCTCGGAGGAGAGGTCGAGGAGCTGGTCAAGGTCGATACCACGGTAGGTGAACTTCTTGAAGGATCTCTTGGCCTTGAGGGCTGTTGCGACGGCTCAGTCAGTCCATGTTCCATCTTCCTGCACCCCTTTCGTGGCCTGTCCACAGGGTTTTATGCCATTGCGCGGTGTCGCGAAGGGGTGCGGTGCGTAAAGAGTCATCTCATACCGGCAGCCTCCTCGGCGTTCTGTGAAGAGCAAGTCAGCAACTGTTCATGGTGCGCAGAGAGATGAGCTGGCGCAGACGTACGTATTCAGAGTCGGCCATTGTGTCGATGTGTCGGTGGTCGAAGTTGTCGGACGCAAGCTGGTTTCGAAGGCGCTGGGGAGCAAATTCGAACAAAAATCGAGTGCCTCTCGCTTCGCCCGTCCGTGCGTCTCACGTGACCTTGTCCGGCGCGACAGTGAATCCCCAAGCACCTTGATAAAAGCCATCTTCAAAGTGATTGCGAGTCGCTACAAAATGGCATGTAGTTGTCCTTGTATTCATCATTCTATGTGTTGATTTGCGGGTTCTCAAGAGTCGCAAAGCGTTCTTCCAAGTCATAGTCACGAGCATAAATGTCACATGCGAACAGGAACGGAACAAGATGGTCATGGAGGTAATGTAGAGTTCTCCATTCGGGGCCCTGGCAACAAATAAAGCATTCAGAGTATGGCCGTGCCTTTTGCGGCTGTAGCGTAGAGACCTTTTCCCATGCGCCCGACTGCTCCCACAAACAGAACCACCCTTTCGCACCAGTTTTTTCAACAGAGGTTGCGAGACGCTTAGTCGAAGAGACCGAAGCCCATGTCGTCGTCGGACTCCTCCTTCTCCTCGGCCTTCTCCTCGGCGGGGGCGGCCTCGGCGGCGCCACCAGCGGCAGGGGCAGCACCACCAGCGGCGGCGGCACCACCGGAGGGAACGGAGGCGAGCTTGGCGGAACCCTCGGTGATCAGCNNTGTAGGGTGTGTGAGTATTGCGCGTGCGAACGAGAAGAATTTGCGTGTCGGCGGACGTATGCGTACCTCCTGGATGTTCTTGCCGGAGAGCTCAGAGATGAGCTTCTCGAGACGGTCACCCTCAGCGTCGACACCGACGGAGGAGAGGACGGACTTGACGTCCTCGGCAGAGGGCTGCTCGTTGCCGGCGAGGTTGAGGAGGAGGTAGGCTGCGAGGTACTTCATTTTGAATTTCTGGATGCGCGCAAAATCGTCAGTCCGGCTGTGCGATGCGAAAGGCGATTGCGAAGAAGTGGGTGTCGATGGTGTGCGAGAGAGAGAGACTCACGGTGGGAGTTGATAAAACAGCTGAGAATCAATCGATTTAACCGCGGTTCTTGAGCGGAGACTGAGACTTCCTGTTCGTGAGAGTCGTGGTAGGGATCTGAGAAGTTCGGCGAGCGAAAAAGGTGCTGAGTGTGAATTTGCCAAGAAGCCGTCTTGGCGACAGCCTCTCGAGTGCACAGACCAAGGCTGCTTGCGGTCACCCTGGCCGCGCTGGGTGATACTTAAGTCGACAGTCGGAAGGCTGTCTTCACTTCTCATCAGCCCCGTCTGCCTGTCGCCCCTCGTCCGTCGCATCTCTGTCACTCTGCGACTCTCCAGCATCGGCTGCGACCATCACAGCATGCCTGCTTCTGGCTCGACGACAATTTGCTATCTCTGAAGACATCCGTAGCCATGAGCGTGAGTCTTCTGCTTCTGGCCTGACCGCACGTCGCTCTGTTCAACCTGGCTGACGCGACCGACAGCTCCTCAACTCCATCCTGTCGTCCATCAACGGCGACCAGCCCGCTCCTCCTCGCTCACAAACACTCNCCTCCACCNGCCCGATCGAATCCGCCGTCACGCAATCCCACCCCCAGCAAGTGCCACCAAAACGGAAAGCCGACGACGCTGCCGGCGACTTCAAACCAAAGGTCGCCAGAACTGAGACCAACACTTCGAGATTCGAACAAAATGCCTCTCTTGCTCCCCCTCCTTCGCGCAGCACTACTTCCTCCCCAGCTCAAAGATCCGCCGCACCGCCACCCAAGGCTACTATTCCCTATCGAGGCAGTGGCCCCTCTGCAAAAGTACAACCATCAACAAAACCTGCCGCTACTCCATCTGCCCCTGTGAGACCATCTCCGGTCTCCACTGCTTCTTCAGCTGCACCTGCGTCCGCCAAAGGAGGTTACCTGGCTGTGCTGGAACGCGCAAAACAAAATGCTGAAGCCTCCAAACTAGCCGGTCAGATCAAGCACAAACCAGTCGAGAAGCTCACCAAGAAGGATCGCCAACGTCTTGTCGAGGAAGCTCGTGCTGCGCAAAAGGGCAAACCCCTGCCGAACAAGGACGCAAAAACTGGTCTGAAAGCCAGGGGCAAGAGTGCCGAGCCTTTGGTTGACTTGAAGACTGGTATATCGGCCAAGGATAAGAGGAAACCTGTCGAGGTCGCATACAAAGGCACTATGCGTCCAAATGCTCCTGCTGCTCCTGTCTATCGTGGTACCATGGGAGGCCCTGGTGGTGCTGCCGCTCGGAAACCACTTCCCAAGGCACCAGCACCCAGCAGGTCTGGTTATGGCGCCGGTCGTCGCTACGCTTCCTACTCTGATGAAGAAGATGAGGAAGAAGGCGATGAGCCAGAAGACGACTATGAATCAGGATCCGATATGGAGGCTGGTGTCGATGAGATGTACGAGGAAGAAGAAGCATCTACGCGCATCGCAAAGCGTGAGGACGCCATAGCCTTGGCCGAGGAGAACGAACTCAAGCGCCAGAAACTTGAGCGCAAACGCAAGCTCGAAGAACTTGCGTCGAAGCAGAAGAAACGCACGTACTGAAAGCTCGACGCACCCTCGCTCTATACATACCTCGCTCGATATTTTCTTCTCTTACAAACTGGTCTGGAGTAAATTGATCCCATTGGAGGCGTTTCTATCTTTAATCTTGCTTTTCTTGTCTTCGGTTTCTGGGAGCGAAGGGAATGCATTGGGCCGGACTCTTAGCAATATTGCTACGAATTGCATGATATCATTCCATCAGGGTGCTTGCGGGCACCCTTCTACACACTTTACCTTCTTTCTGCCTTGCTTGACTTTGAGCGCTTGATCCCTGTACGAAATGTCGACTCATAACGTACCTTTTCGTAAGACTCCAATCGTGATGAATCAAACATTAGCTTGCTGCAATATCCACTTGTCGCAAATGTGATCATATAGCATCAGGGTAGATATCTCCTTCATTGTGAAACTCGTGTCGACAGCATCTGCGCTACAAGTACGACTTTGACCAATTCAGTCCTATGTAAAGATATATGTGGAAAGATGTATACATGAGCTTACCGTGCAAGGTTCAAGCAATACTGCCTTATATGTATTGCCTTCCTGCTTTGAAATTGTGTCTTCCATCACGCGTATAGACTGGCATTGGGATATGTGTTACCAGGTAATGGATCCTCTAGCGATATATTATGCGCATCAAGACCGACTTGCATAATTTGCCATCCATTTCCCGTACTGGCAACATCCTCCTTCCCCGCGATTGAAGGGCCGTATACAGAAAAAGGTTTGATTTCTCGTTGTCAAGTTTTGGTCTTAGACTGTCAAAGATGACTGAGATACGCCGAAGTCTCCGAATACGCCGAGCAGCCAGGGCGCCGTACAACAGGCGCCCTGTAAGAATCTATTGCTCATCGAACCAATCCTAATTTTTTTCTTGCAGCGCAAAAGTTTATTGCATCTGCAGGAACTGTTTCGCCATCCTTCGTACCTACCTAAAGAACATCGTGCTACATTCTTTCGTTACAAATCCACTTTCGAGAAACTCCTTCTCCCGGACAAAGGAAGTCAGTTATTCTTGCGCAGGCGAAGGATTGCGTGATTCGACAACATAACAACGCCCTCGAGCAATAGAAAGGACTAGGACTTCTTTCAATCTCTCCTTTCCGCCTCCTTCTCCTACTTGAAGATTTTCAAAGGTCTACGATATCTTCCAGACGATCAATATGCAGCCCTCGGAACATGGACAACACGGCTTCGGCACGCTCGCCGTACACGCCGGATCGCCGCATGACCCTACTACTGGTGCTGTGATTGAGCCCGTAAGTTTTGTTTTTCAAGTAAAAGCCTACCTATCTGCAGTCTGTCGAATATTATTCCTTGATATCCGATGATCCCAGGCTGGATCTATGTTAGGATCCTGGATATGACAATGTCTTACAATATTGTGGCTGGATGTTAGAGACGGAGGACTGCTCAAGTCACCGAGATATATTGACTGACACAATCATCAGATCTCTCTTTCGACAACATATGCTCAGACTGCTGTCGGTCAACCCGTTGGCGCATACGAGTACACTCGTAGTTCAAACCCCAACCGTGACAACTTCGAGAACTGCATTGCAGCACTTGAGAAGGCAAAGTATGCTCTGGCTTTCAGCTCTGGTTCCGCAACCACGGCCATCATCCTCCAATCTCTGGCTACTGGCTCCCACGTCGTCAGTGTATCTGATGTGTACGGTGGCACTCACCGTTACTTCACCAAGGTCGCCAAGGCTCACGGCGTCCATGTCACATTCACCCCTAGCATCGAATTGGATGTCGAGGCTTTGATCAAGCCCGAAACTAAGCTCGTTTGGATCGAGACACCATCAAACCCTACTCTTTCTTTAGTCGACATCTCAGCCGTGGCCGCAGTCGCTCACAAGCACGGTATTCTCGTGGTTGTCGACAACACCTTCATGAGCCCTTACATCCAGAACCCTCTCGAACACGGTGCAGACATCGTGGTGCACAGTGTGACCAAGTACATCAACGGCCACAGTGACGTTCTTATGGGTGTTGCAGCCTTCAACAGCGACGACCTCAAGGAGCGCCTCGGCTTCCTCCAAAACGCCATCGGTGCAGTACCTGGAGCCTTTGACTGCTGGCTCGCACACCGTGGTGTCAAGACCCTCCATCTCCGTGCTCGCGAGGCCAGCCGTAACGGCAAGATGGTCGCAGAGGCATTGGCCGCATCTCCTCTTGTTCGCGCCGTCAACTACCCTGGTCTCGACTCTCATCCTCAGCGCAAGATCGCTCTCAAGCAGCACAGAGACGGTCTCGGCGGTGGTATGCTTTCTTTCCGCATCCAGGGCGGTAAGTCCGCTGCCGAGCGCTTCTGTGCAGCAACCAAGATTTTCACTCTGGCCGAGAGTCTGGGTGGTGTTGAGAGTTTGGTCGAGTTGCCTGCTAGCATGACACATATGGGTATTCCCAAGGAGCAGAGAGAAGCCGCCGGTGTATTTGACGACTTGGTCAGAATCAGCTGTGGTGTTGAGGAGGGAGAGGACTTGGTCAAGGATGTCATGGCAGCCTTGAAGAAGGTTGCAGGAGAGACCAATGGTGTTGTCAACGGTAATGGAAGCGCTTAGATATAGAGCATATGAGATATGCCTTTTGTATAGACGACTTTGTCTAGAGTCCGTTGCATCAATTATCGATGTCTGCAAACTACTGATACCCCACCTGCCATGTTCATCAGACATTTCTATTCACAGCGTCGCTCCTGCCCACAGTGTCCCTTCAACTCGCCGCATCATCTCTTCCCTTTGCACCGACCTCACTCGCTTGATCAACTCTACCAGCAGAATTGACACCACTCGCTGAATCACTTCCGATCGCTGCTTGCTGTATAGCTACTGACGCATACGCATAATCACCTTCTCTCTACCATCTACCGCCCTCAATCGCCACGGCTGTGACTTCACGGTCTGTGACATCCGTGGCTGCATCCTCTCAGCCTTCGTTCTCTCGCTCCAAGCCTCTTCCGGACAACTCGAGCGTAGATCTTTCCCATTCCAATATCTTACTGAAGGATGGGGATGAAAGGCCTGCGATAAACACACCGGACGTCCAACAAGTCAATCCAAATCACAATCTACAATCGACTCCAAATCGCAAGAGCGCCAAAAAGGCCTGGTCCCTTACCCTTCGTCACGATCACAGAAGCGAAATCACGAGAAAATGCGGTCATGGAGCTTGCAAGTACAGTGAATACATCACGTCCCGCGATGAAAGTTTCTGGAGTTACAAATGTGAAGATGGGCGCGGTCATCCTACCAATCCGGATCAAGCGTGCAAAGGGTATGTGACCAACTCTACGTTCATTCGGATTCATGCTTACACCCACGGCTAGTGTGGCAAGGATCGAGTGTGGTCTCTGCGGCGGTCTGATTTGCAAACCCTGCTACAATGCCCACAGCCCTCATTCTCGCAGACACTGGAATCAGAACGACATTCGTTCCGTCCGCAGACGTGCCTAGCGACAGAGACAGACTTCCAAGTCGCCCCACTATGTAGCCGTACACATCCATTGCTCTGCCTTCTGGATCGCGTCGGGGACAAATTGCGGTCAACTTTAGTATAGGTTCGTAAATTCTTGAAAGGCACCATAAATCAGTTATTGCCCGACGTCCAAGCGTGTTTATGTCTTTCCAATCAGCCCTTGAGATGTCCTCTTTCCTGCTTCGAGATAAAAAGCTTGCAGCAGTTTGATAGGTGGTGAACATGTGATGAGTAAGCTAGGAAAACTGTAGTGTATGTCGCTGATGAGATCCGATGTCCGACTAACACGATAAGGATGTTGGCACAGCGGCTGAGCCAGGGCAATGACCGATGTGATGGCAGAAAACTTGACTACAGCGTTGACGCTTTGCTTGTTCAGGTTCATCAGATGTGAACGAACCAGAGTAAGTGCAGCGTTCTGGTGTGCACAGGCTCGTTCTAGAAGCCCTGTCCTTGCAGGTTGTTTGGAGAATAGGAGCAGTGCTGACAAGCTTAGAATACTGTGCAGCACGTATGGAAAAGCAAATCCGAGTTGAATGTCGTCACTGTCTCGTCCGGTGGCATGGTTGCATCGCACTTGATGATGCAGCAGTTCCAGATCGGCAAGAGGCAACTGTTGAAGATGGGGAGGGCTTAAAGACGCTGGGAGAGTCATGCCCAACCGAGGCATGCAGTCGACTGAAACTGTAGGAGAGAGGAACCTGAAGCTCAGACTCGTTTGACCAAACGTGGGAGAAGCATTGCTGGGCAAGATAAAGTCGTCTCGAGGTATTGTGGTAGACTCTCCAGACTCCAGGCATGCAAAACTGCACTTCTTGCCAACCCTCTTGCAAAGACCACATATCGGTTTCTGTTCGTCGCACTGCTCGTTGTCAAGAGGGAAAGTCGTTCTGAAGTTGGACCACTGTACCTTTACGTGTCTGGTTCTACACTGCAGACAACCATTTCGAGACTTTTCATGAACTCGTCTTTGCCTGTCACGGCTCGCAAGTGCGTCTGCTTCCATTGATGGAACGTATAGGAAATGCGTGTTCTAGACGTTGTACGGCAGCGTATTCCACACAAGCATCACAAAGTACAGGAAGACACGGCTGGCCATTGGAAAAATGCCATGTTGACTACTCTGGATAATGCCATGCTACCTTCTAGGCAGGGCGTACATGGCCTGTGTAGGGAGCAAGAAAGCAATTTCACGATGCTTATTCTCCACATTAGCTGTTCATTGGTCTTGTTCTTGCCCCCAAGAGACAGGTCGATAATTCAGGAGAATTGACGAGGGCAATAAGTCTAGACAGTGGAAGGAAGGAGCGTTTCGGCAGATGGGTCCCGCACGCGACGAACCTCGTGTTCGATCTCACGCCTCCACCTCACCTCCTGTGTTTATACAATCTCATCGTCTTTCGCGTGTTATGCGGCTGTCCAAACAGCGCTCTTGCTCCAGATTTGTCTGTTGTCGTGATGGACGTCGTGACAGCAGGAGGTATGATCGATCGTGACGCGAGAACCCTCCGCTCCCGAAGAGTCCTACAACTGCTTGACCCTTTCCTACCGAGCATCAAACAGTCAAAATATCAGGCCAGCTGCGCATGTTGAGCCTCAGCATGTCAGAGAATGACGATCAGTTGTCATTCAGGAGAACAACTGCAGCAGTTTCAAGGGCCGGCAGCGTTTGTCGGCTTTGTCGCGTCCGACCTCGCGGACATCGTCGTCACACTGCCAATCCTTGTTTCGCCGTGGGTCCCGAATAAATAAGAATCGATCACCATCGCAAGGCAGGTTGTTTCATAGCCCTCTCACCTTTTCCCACTGCTGCTCCAGTCCTTCCGTGCCGTCTAACATCTCCTCCCTCCAACCCTCGCAAACATGGCTAGCCGTCAATTCGTCGACCCAGTTCAACTTCTCAGAATCACACCTCTGATCGCCGCAACCTTGACCCTCGACCATGCCTTTGACAGCAACCTCTTCCTGTCGGCGCTCAACCAGCCCGAAACGCGCTCGAAAAGCAACGCTGCTCTCTCCACCTACTTTCCCGTCGTCTCTCACGCTGGCTTCTACCGTCGCCTGACTTCAATCTCCTTGACTGTTGTTGCTTCTGTCGCAAACCTCTATTCTCGTGGTAGCCCGGCACGACCCTGGTACCGCGCTGGAGCCATACTCGCAGTCGCACATTTCATCTTCATGCCCTTCATGATCGCGTCCAAGGAGGCTATTCGTACAAACCACCCTGCAAGAGACGCAAATATCGCTCTAGATGAGTGGCTCTGGTTCAACAGGCTGAGGNGTGTGACCGTTGATCTGGCTGCTTTCCTGACTCTAGGCGTCGCTGTTGTCAAGAGCTTGGGCAATTGAACATGTTCAGACTGCAGGCCCCACATCGCGGTCGCTATCAAGCAAATATCACCCTGGAAAGGGAAACACATACAGATACGACGATTCCATGCTCGAACTGGATATCGGTCGCATGTTCACGCCAGCCTTTCTCAAGGCTCTGCTCCGCATCTGAAAGTCCAAGTCAGCTGCTTTTGCAAGTCGAGATCTTTATTAGGCGTGAAGATGGAAGCGCTCACTGAGACCTAGCTGTAAATAGACAACGAGATCGAGATTGAACTTGAGACGCCTATGTCTCTGAACGACAGAGGTGTGGAAATGGTTGTAAATAGAATACTATATGATGTAGTTGGGTATCATCGTCAAGAAATGTAAAGCAGTCCTGTCCGCCCGCAGTAACAAAAGAAATAGATGTGTACAAGTCTAGTAGCGGCCCCAGACCTTTGTGTTGAGACCCATGTTGTTTGTAGGTTTGCGCAAGGGCGCCTCATCACTGTCGGAGGTATGTCTCCTCGAGTCAAAGTTCTCGCCTTGGCCGTCGGTAGTCTTTTCAGATCGCTCCGAGGTNGCGCTCTCGACTTCGACTGTGATTTCGTTACGTCTGTGCACCACAAAGCCCTCAGCGATATCCTCGGATTCGTGGTTGCGCACAGATTCTTCCTCTTCGATAATTCCGAAGTGGCTGTGCATTTCTGGCGTCTGCGGTCTAACGTGGCCGAGCTCGACGTCGNNTTGGGTGATGGAGGATTTCTGTATGGATGCTCGTTTGCTTTGGCTGGTCTGGGTGTTGAAGGTGTAGCCTTTGGCGCTGATTGTGCCGTTTGAGCTCTCGGGGTTGTTGAAGCGTATTTGGCCATTATCTTGGTTTCCTCGAGCAACGATGGCGATGAGCTCGGCCATTGAAAGCTCGATCTTGAGCTTGACAATGTACGCCAGAGGATGGAACNNTGTTGTTGTGTTAGCTAGATATTATGAGGAATGAAATCGACAAAATTCACTTACCATCAGATACACCAACGGGTTCTTCAAGGACAGCATGCCAATAATCAAACAATCCATCGCCAGCGAGAGCAAAATCATGTAGTTGTTGAACTTGACAAGCGGCTTGTACTTGGTAAGACCAGGTTTGATAAGTTGCTTCTTGACCACGCGGATAAAGTAGTAGTTAAGCCCAGCATCGACAATGAGGATGATGACCTTCTCAATTCGGTCCCAAACAACGTTGAGCTTCTCGTACGTCTCGTTGACTTGTAGTTTCGCAGGGATCCAGATACAGAAGACACTGATGTTGAGACATAGGATGCCGACTGTGGTAGCGATCTTGAGTTGTTTTGCTCGCCTCCGATTGATCATCAAGATTGAGACACGGTTGATGATGATTTGGAATAGACAATGCACCTGTACTACCCAGAAGGATAGAATACTGAAAAGAACGTAGACGCTNGATTCGGTTAGTTGTGATGTCGTTGTGCTGGGTCTTGTGGTAGCTTACTTGAGAGGAAGAGGTCCTTGTAAGACAAGCCAACACACGATACTCAGTCCAAGACTTGACTATAGGTAAAGGTACAATTAGCATGTTTCTTGTGTTTGAGCGTGGAACAGATATCAGCCGAAACCTACTGCAAGCTCAGCCCATACCATCCAGATATAAGGATGATTAAGGTGTCCGTTGCGCCTCTTCCACATGTGTCTTGTCTGCTTGATGGCAGTCCATGTCGTCAAGAAGCCGAATCCGAGTGTGAAGCCCCAGGTGATTGATATTATTGACAAATCTGTCTCGCTAGAGACCTGACTCCTCTTCTCAAGGAGATCTCTAACAACAAGAAGAGATGCCATGACAAGCAATGTCCAGCTTCAAGGAGTGTGACGAGTAAGAAATGTATAAAGTCAGCTAGCGATGATAGAATTCACCACGCGGAAGGGTCTTTCTAGGGTTATGAAGTAGTCCACCATCTCCTCTGGGGGCGATAAATAACATGAGGGAAGACGATCGCTGTGTAGGACGTGCTCGAAGAGTTCAAGCATTGACTCGCCCACCACACGATACGACTCGCTTTCTTTCGGCCCATACGTGCGTGAGAGCGAGACTGAATTGAGGTACTGGTACTTGCGACATCATGCTTGGCCACTGAGCCCTAAACACAGCTCAGGGTAATTCTTCACATGGTTTCATGCTTCATACTCGAGCACTTTGCATAGACTCTGGGAGCACCAGACCGAGAAGGCGAGTGATACGTCTAAACTTCGCAGATTGGCAGGTGTTGTGCGTTGTCGCACGTGGATGACTGGTGGATGGTTCAGCATCCAGGTTCTGACTTCGACTTCAATGACTCGAATGTACTGCTCGATGTATTCATTGACTCTTGTTGAAACACTGTGCGGGTGGCTCAACGGTTGATGCAGACACTTGAGGGTGGTGGAAGTTGGAACGGAGGAAGGAAGATCTCCCCAGAGCGATCGACCAGCCCTAGCAGATCTTGCATGGCTGGCACGTGCTCCAAACGTCTGTGCTTTTCGCAACCTCAGCTCTCACTCGTGTATCTTCAAATCGCGAACACCAGTCAGGGCTGTTCAAAACCTGAACCAGTTCTACATTTCTGTCTACTCATGCTCAAAAGTCGCTGCCTCACGTCTTTCACGCCGCTCGATACTGCGTTTTGAAGATCTCAGAAAACTTTTCGAAGCCAAATATGACTCGTTTTTCTAGTTAGACTTCCAGCAAGTGCAAATGTCCAGAGTCACACCGAGTCAGCGCCAACACCACGCCCGCGGACATGGGTAAGACAAGGTACGGAAACAGATCTTATTCCGCCACGTATGGCCGCCGGAGATCATTCACACGCGTTCACCCCACACTCTGCCTAGTCAAGAACAGGACAGAGCATTTACCTATGAATTTATGATCTCAGAAGAATGCAGTTCAATGGTAAATGCTGTTGCGATGAAACCTGCCAACTCTGGTCATCTTCTACCACTGGCAATCAAAGGTTCGAAATATAGGACGCTCTTGTTTTGAATATCACAGTATCACAACACGAGAACCCATCAGTCTTCGTCTACTATTTCCACCACAAGCCCCGCATTTTTCTCACAGCTCGGACCGACTGGGTATGCTTGGTAGACTAGCAGATATCATTATTGCCACATGCCGTGGCGCAAGCCGAATGCTGGAGATTCGAGAATAGCAACTCCTGTTCCTCGTTATCACTGCCCACTGACTCACAGGTATATCGGTTTTGGAGGTAGACCGAGGCCACTGACGGTAAATGAGGGTCCAAGTTGTGGTTGACCATGTGAGTTCAGACTTTCAGCAATGCCGTACCGCTGAGGTACATCGCTTCCTCATGCACGAGAAGTTTCTTTGCATGGAAGGGATGGAGCATCAACACTCAATAACGAATGGCTTTTCACTGTGAGCGACTTGACACCCAAGGCTTGACCTCATTATGCTCAGCCCAGGCTTCGATGGACGCAAATCATAACAATAGACGCAAGATCTGACACATCCTACACAAGCCACTGTGCAGACTTGCGCAGTCTGGGTCCCCCTCTCACCGACTCTGATCGACAACATCACTTTGGTCATGCCAATGTCTTCGTACGGGTCCACCAACCGAATACCTGGCTCGGCGGCCTTCCCCAATCTCGGAGTAATCTTCCGTGACAACCTGTTGGTCAGATCTTCAGGTTGAGTTCTAAAGGAGATCTGGTTGGCACACCTTTGAAGAGAATATTCCAAAACACGACTCCATCGGCCGTATTCTGTCTCAATTTTTCCTGGGCATTGAATCGTGTAACGACTTGTCACCGTTGTTGATTGAACATGATTTTACATTGTAGTACATTGGTCATGTCCTGCCAACGCGAGTTCTGATAGCTACCTACGGACCCAAACATTCAGTTGTGCGATACGAGTGCAACGTCCAGAAGAAGACGAGTTGTATCAATGAGGTTGAGGTTCTCTCAAGTTTTCTCCTGCCAGTTCTGGGGCGTTCACTCGGCCTCATTTGAGGAAATAGCCTTCGCTGTGGCCACCGCAAATGCAACACCTACTCTCTTCGTCACTATCCTTGCCTCCGCGCCTATCTCGGCCAGCTGATCGTCAGATCTACCATCCGTGTTGCCATCCCACCCCATGGTACACACCAACACACCATCTACTCTTGGTTGAGAGTTGTCGACCTCGATGAATATGCGTTTATGCAAAGGCCTGCATGATGCACACGGCCCATCTCCTCCATGCCTCCTTTCGCCCCTCTGATCAGCAGCCACATAAGCAGGAAATTGTACTCTTAGTTTGTCCTTGTTTCCAAGATATTGCGATCCAGTCAGAGACAAGAGCTCAACATCGCGGTGACCAAAGGGTGCATCCTCATGTGCATCGTCCAGCATACCTTCTACAGGCCGCGCATGGCTCCATCCTGTCGAGAAGACGGCGAAGCGTGGTGCATTGTTCTTCCACACGCCGGTGTCATCCTGCTGGTGCTCCTTGTAGTTTTCGTCGATGTTTGGATCATTCTGAGGCACCCGAACATTGTATCCATTGCACAGATCCCCAAAGAACTCATCGCCCATCATGAGGCTGGTGAGATTCATCCCCAAGTCGACGATGGGTAGATAGATGGAACCTATGTGCCATTGTTTGTTTATGGAGTCGACGTGAATGAGTAATGCCTCTTGTTCAGTCTTTTCGAACACCAGGATACCCTGAGGATAGACGGCTGAGCATGTTTCTGATGCCGGCTGCTCAAGGAGCCACTTGTCCAAACTGTCGAAGTGATGTTCAATGCAATCTTCAACGCAAGCCAAGGGTGTCAAGATAGGCGTGAGGAACTGGTGATAGTCTTCTACCTGTTCGTCCCGCAAGATATCATGTACGTATGATTTAGTCAGAGAGTCGCAGATTGAAGTGAGTGGTCCTTCCGATAGGTTTGAAGAAGAGAGAACGTATACTTCTACGCGAGACCAATCGTCGCTGCGGATGTTGTTAAGGATGCCGATGGCGGATGGAGGTAGTTGGACTGGTGGGCCCGAAGTCATGCTTGATCGATCTTGCCTGTCGTGTCGCCGAAACGTAGACAGCTTGATATAGCTCGCCACATCTGTTGAGGCAGAAAACACGTATCGTACGTCATAACATCACTCCGCTCTTGTTGCCCGAGTCGCATCATCTCGAAGGATTTGGACGTGATTGATACGCGACAACCTCGAAGCGTTGCACGGTATCCACCAAAGAACAGGGTCGTCCTGCCAGCATGACTCTCACGGTCTTGACTATCCATCTTTCCTGCCAGGAGGGTCTCTCATACCTATCGCTGGTATGCTCTGCTAGAAGAAGGCTATATAGTACGGTCTGACTATTGATGGGGGCTTTTTCATCTGAATTGAGTATGTGAACGACTTTTGGACATTTGCAGCGATTCAATCAACCATCAGGCTTCTATGTCAGTAATTGACCCTATCGTAGGGACGGTATCATGGGATGCGAGTCGAGCGATTGTCTCAATAGGTTCGTTTCATTTCGTAATACATGCTAGGGGAGTCTTTGATCGCTTTTGGTTGCAAGGCATCAAGCCCTATCTTTCGCCACGCCAATGACAAACCCTAGTTGAAGGATAGATTCCACAAGACAAACGCCAGCGATGCCCCATGCCCAATTCATACAGTCTATCATCTCTTACCTCTACTTGGTCAATCCTTCGTCACTACTCTCAGAGGAGGTGGTGGTTCCGGCCTCACTGGGAGCAGATTCCATCGACATGGTCTTTTCCAGGACGGCATAATCGTTGGCCGAGGGACCGTGAACGTTCTCTTTGAACATGGGCTCAGCTTCGACGACTTCAAACTTGGAGGTCATGGCATCAAGAAGTTGGGCGGATGCATTGCTGCGGCGGCGAGGCTTGCTAGGGCGGTAGAAGTCGTCCATATCCTCAAGCTCTTCTCCGTGGCGACCCNNCTGCAGGACATGAGGATAGGCTACTATGGAATAGGTTCAGGTTACTTACCAGTTGCCTTTGCCATTGCCGGACTTCTTGACTCTGTTGGGATCGTTGTTGGCATTGAAGCCAGATTTGGCAAAGTAACGAGGAAGGTGCTCTTCAGGAGAAGCAGTACCATTGGCGAGGCCAACGTGATCACGGTCGTTAAGTTTGTGAGAACGAGTCACTATAACAAGAAGTTGTCAGCATCCGAGAGAGGTCGCGTGCAACGTAAAAGACCTCCACATAGATATCTGACAAAGCACCGGAAAGCGAGACTTACTGGCTGTAGACAGGGATGTCCGGTAAGTCTGGAGGTGTTGGAGGGGAATTGCTTGGTGGTTGTAGTGGTGCAGGTGTGTGGTGTGGTACCCGTAATCAGGCAAGTGGGAGAAGAAGAAGAAGAAGAAGAAGAAGAAGAGAAGCTGAGGTTGGATGCAAGCAAAGCTTAATATAAGGAGCAAGAGCTGGACAGTTACGTTGCTCGCGTGACAGCTCCCTCGGAGCCGTGAAGCTTGTCGTTGTCCAAAGTGTCAATAACTGCCGACCAACACTGTTCTGAGCCACACCGGTGTTACACGACTATCAAGACTTCTGTAAGGCCAATGATACTCCCCTGTCCGGTGGATCCGTCGGCCCTCGCGCTGTGTATGTTTCTCGATCTGTCTATTTACCAGAGGATGAGGAAGAGCGAGTACTCACGCCATCAGGCTACATGATGGTGAGCAACGCAGATCGGATGCGGGGGTTAAGGGAGCTATGGCCGAATACTTGTGGATGTCACAAAGATTGTACATCCATTCCTTCAGCTCGTAAGAGGATAGATAGGCATGTTTCGGCAACGACGAAACATCCCAATTCGACGTGTATCACATTGCTATCAGTTCATACCAGAAAGTCGTCCTGGCTACTGCAAATATCATGTCCATGTCAGTGTCTCGTGCTGTCTCCCACATCGTCACCAGACCCAGGAACGTTTCGGCGGCGGCCCATGCGGCCATCCCCAGATTTGCGGGGTAGCGTGGTCTTATCCGTTTTATGAAGCATTTCATAACTTCCAGTATAAAATAATACCGAGTGTCTATGCGGGCAGAGTTTCCCAGACAGGTCGTGTTCAAGCAGTTCTCTCGTGAATGGTGAGCGGTAGGCACGACCGACTGCGACTTCGGGACGTTGGACAGAGTAAGAGCATGGTACGGGATGGAAAACCATGGATTGCGATAATGCCGTGTCATTCTGCAGGCACCTTTTGCAGAGTGGAGGCCAACTGAGACGTGAGAAACATTGCTCTTGCTTGAGCCGCAGACAGCAGCGGCAGACTCAAGCAGTCGCGCTCAAGTGAAGCAGTCGGCCATCAAAATAAAAGACAGCGGAGTTAAGGAGTGAAGGTCGAATTTGCATTGAAGGCGGCTCCAGGCGTTGCTCTGGCCAAGCTCGCAGCTCTACCCGGCCATCATCATCAAAACACTGGCAAGAATTATTTCATCCACACCCAACCACCTTCCACTCATTCACAACGCCTAGCCATGTCTATGACAACGACGACAGACGGCGGCGACAGCATGCGTCGCAGCGCCGCGCGGAATCCAAAGCGACGACCTCGGATCACCGAAGGCTCAAATAGCCCGAGCGGTCCACAGCGTAAGATACGCAAACTGACCAACAAGGCCGTCGATGCACCACTACCCACCGACACGACAGAGTCTCTCCGCAGCGGCCTAAGTGCACTTGCCGTCCAGTCATCCGCCTCGTTCTCGCGCAATGGAGATGCCGGAACGCGTCATCACAAGAGGCCGCCGAAGACCGACAACAGCACTCTCNTTGGTACTGCGTCCGATCAATTCTCTTGTTGCCTTCAATTGCTGACCAGATTGTAGGCGCAAACAGACCAGTACAGCGTGCGCCATCTCCCGAGCACGCCAGACATTCTGCGCAATAGCGCCAGCGGTACAGATCTCTCGCTCACCAACCCATCTCCTGCATTGTCTGACCACAGCGCAGACTATCGCGCGTCCATCCTCTCCTCACCACCTCTCGCTCTAGCTGTTACCCGCGAACGCGCCTACATCTGGGACTACACATGTCCGGCCNCCGTTGCCCACCCTAAGACGTTCGATGTGCCACGACCAGCCCGTTCTACCGATCCTCTTCCACTCGCCGCCCTCGTCACATCACCCACACGAGACATTGGTCTAGTGATAATCTCCGCCGTCACTGGCAACGTTACATACTGGCAAAACATCGACACAGCAGAGTCACTGACTCTATTCAACCAACAAAATACAGCCGTCAGTGGAAACATAGGCTCGTTATCAGGTGGAGAGACCGTCATTCGCTTGGATTCAGCCGATCATGCTGGCTTCATTGTTACCCTCAGCTCTGGCCGGATCGCTCAAATGAGCCTCATCGATGACCAAGGCAGACCAAAGATCTCGGCACATTTCTTACGTTCAACCGAGGCAGCGAGTAGCGGTGGTCTGTTTGGCAGTCTCAAGAACGTCCTTGGAGTTGGTCCTTGGAAACGTGATATCGTCTCAGTGCGCACCCGCCCGCTTCCTGCTAGACGCGAGATCCAGGCAATCGCTGCCACCGAGACTGGCCAAATCTACACCTGGCACTTGGCTTGGTCTGGCCAACCCACCTTCAGAGGCGCTTTTGATTTCCGCCAATTTTTGCAAAATGAGTTGGCTACCTCTTTGGGCGAGAACATCATAAGTCTGCTCGACATGGTCATCACTCCTGCTTCTTCGGCGGCTGACGCTCCGCTGCAATTGGTTTTGTTCGTCCAGGCTGGCCCTGCCTCATCTCCGTCCTACGCTATGGCCCAAGTGACTATGGAAACACAAGATGGCGCTCGCCTTGATGGCATCATCCGAATTAACACTGTATCGCCTGACTCACCCGCTACATCTCGCCCACGGCTGCTTTTGCCCAAGCCTGGACATACTGCCTTCATCGTGTTCGAACACGAAGTCATAGTCGCTTCCATCACGGGGTCAAATTCATTCCAAGATGCTATCCGCCTTCGATCGGACAAACATGTCACGATTGAAGGGGCTTGCGAGGAAGACTTGATCGATACAAAGGGCACTTCTTCATGTGCCGTCTTCATCAAGGGTCATGGCCTTGCTCGCATCTCTGCTACACTGACGGGAGCGTCACACCCCTCGATAAAGACCAAGATTGAACAAGCCATCTTCTACGGAACCATGTCTGACAACGTTCTTGATTTTTCTCGAAGACCATACGACCGCTACGACATTGAAGAAACCGAAGAAGCTGCGTTATCCATTAGTGGTGAGATTTTGCGCTCAACTTCGCACTTCATTCCTCCTCTTACTTCATCCATGGAGGCTCATCTTCAGAATCGTATCAAAGCTATTCGGGCTTTGATTCTCCACCTCCGTAGCGACTACCCGCCCGTATCAACACCGACATCGTGGAAGCTACTGCTTGATGCAGAGAAGCTAGCCGCTGCTCAAGCCATCTGGATCGCCTGCGAGGAGCGCCCGTCCAAGTCGACCCTGTTACCCATCGTCGTTCAGGCTTACTACAGATCACTGTCCAAACAACATACTATGGACGTTAACGCTGATTCGATGAGATCTTGGTTTGTTGATGAGGTTGCCAACATTGATAAGTTGCGAAACTTCGTTCTACTGATGATCAACAACGTCCACGAGGACGGCAAGTCTAAGAACATCATGCACTTGATCAGCGAAGCCGACGATATTCTGTTCAGCCTTTACGACGCCGTGTTCAAATTTCGTACAGAGAACGCCGAGGTCTACGGCATGGATCTGACCCTTTTCAGTGACGGCATACTGGAAGAGGGTTACGAAGACCTCATTGAACCCTGGACTTCGCAATACGAAGTTCTTAAGTCATTGAACAGATTCATTGATATCTCGCGCGATCGCGCAGTCGCTTCATTTGGCGAAGAGTCTAAGAATTCGGACGTAGCTACTGTCGACAAAGTTGTCAGCGAGAATGTTCGTATGGTCAACGTTCTTTGCCTCTGCTATGAGGAACGCATTGCCTATAGCAGAGTGCACAACGAGCAGAACAGTCCTGCCTATGCCATAAGTCTGGGGAAGATCTTCGAACAAGCCCGAGCACACCACTTGCGCTCGCTCAATAGGATAGGCGAGTCTGCTGCTGGTATCGTCGTTGCCGAGAAGTACAGAGACATGCAAACGCTCGTGCAGCTGGTGATTGAAGAGTCTCAGTTCATGGCCAACATCTTGAACGACCCTGGCACTGTTTCTCACGATAGGACGGAGACTCGTGCCAACATGAACAAACTGCAGGCCAGAGTAGAAGGTTATTTCAAGACATTTGGTGAAGAGTGGGCAAATGCCTTCTTTGACAGCCATCTCTCCAGACACCGCAGCTATGGTCTGTTGAAGGAAGCAGAGGATTTCAAAGACCCATTGACTCGTTACCTCAGAGCCGAGAAGGATCGTGGTCGATTGTCCTGGATCAATGACGTGCTCCGGGAGAGCGATTTCCAAGAAGCCTCGACGACCTTGACGACTCTGGCGGAAGAAAAGGAGGTCAAATTCTGGAACAAGAAAGTCGAGCTCTCACTTGCAAAGCTGACATCCTTAGCCGCCATAGAAGAGAAGGGCGACAAAGGAAACCAAGAACGACTTGACGGTGACTTGACGGTTGTCAACACGCAAGAAGCCATCAGACAGCACCTGCAATACATCCTGTATGCGGCAGTTGATATTGAGGCCGAGGTCCAGCTAGCATGTGATACCTATGCTGCATACCTTCAGCTCAAGACTCCAGCATTGTATGGGTTGCTTGAGGCATCCCTCATGCACATGCTCAGGAACGAAGCTTTGTCAGTAGAAGAGTTGATTGACATCTTGACTCTTATGGACATCAAGGAGAGTGAAGACTCCGAGGTCAACATCATCGGCAAGCAGTTTTTGATGGCGTTGCAAGTGCTCGAAGCCGGCAAGTTCAGAATGGAGGAAGCACGATTTGAGACGAACCTCCGCATGATCTGGAAGAGATGTTACCTACAAGACGATTGGGAATTCATCAACAACACAAGGAAGCGTACGGACAAGCTGATCTCGAGGCACATCAGAGAGACTTTTGCTTGCCAGACGATGATGCGTGGGCTAGAGCTTTGTGAGTTTGCACGGATTGAAGACAAGTTCTCGGCTGACTTTTGGAATAGCANNCTGTTCCACGCAGGCTCAGGCATCCGCATGATGACACCTAGCGAGACACTGGGGGCAGGATGCACAGCGGCAGAGCTGCAAAGCAGATTCCCTAGCGAAGAGCTCCGTGACCCGATCATGCACGACCATGTAATCCAAGACAGACAGTTGCAAGAGCTGATCGAGAAGTGCAACGCGGATCGCTGGCACGCAGTGTGTGTGGAAGAAGCAAAGAAGAAGCTGGAAGAGGAGGCAGCGGCGAGTGTACAGGAAGAGGCAGCTGCGCGACAACTGAAACAGACGTTGGAGGAAGCTGAAAACGACGGTGCCGAGACGGACATGGACGCACAGATGGCGGATGACAATGCGGGAGCCGAGTCATCGCAGCAGACTGCAGATGATGGCGATGTACAAATGGTCTAGTCAAATGATAGGTAACAGGGCATGGCCCAGCATAAGGTCGCTCAGCAAAAGAGAAAATCAGGAATCGGTGCAGTTGGCAGGAGCACAAGCGAAATTTGAGACGGATTGTCTAGAGGGATCGTGCGGCAAGCAAATAGATTGGGCGCGTCGGCAGCGTCGTGTGCTGTCGAGCGAGTAAGACGTGACAATACGTGGGAGGCAAGCAGAGTGGCAGCAGCAGGACAGATATCTGATCTGGACCTGTCTGTTGTTCGAGCTGTCAGGCAAGGGAGCAGCTCCTTCCTGAGTGAAGAACAGTCGGGCTCTTGCCTGTCTAGGTCTGGGCGCGCGGTGTTTCCATGTTTAAGTGGTGCTAGCGCGCGTCCTGGCAAAGTCTAAGGGGCGCGGGCGAAGCCGAAGACCAAGGAGCGTGCTCAGATCAAGGCCCGACAACAACACCCTTGACCTACCTTGGAGGCCTATTGATTGCATTATCCATCCACACCGCATTCCCTCGCTCTGCCCGTCCGTGAGCGCTCCCAAGGTCCGGTGCGCCTGTCGTCTGTCGTCTATTGTCACTGTCGCTGCTCTTCTGTTGTGCCCACCGAGTCCTGCCTGCCCGTTCCGCCGTCGTTGAAGGCTGTTGTCTTCCCCGTACCCACCGAAACACCCAACCTCCCTCTTTTCCAGACCCCAAGGAAATCCCAGATCGACACCATCCCCGTCGGCGTCCACAGCGCCTGTAGACGCTTCGTGCAAATATTTCTCCCCCTCCAATCGACCACTCTAGTCGGGAGTCCCATCACCACGACCAGCTCTGCGACTCGACACGCCCGACACGTCCCCGACAACACCTACAACATGTCGTCTTCATCGTCCAACGTTGTCGGCGTGCACTACCGCGTCGGCAAGAAGATCGGCGAGGGCTCTTTCGGCGTCATCTTCGAGGGCACCAACCTGTTGAACAACACCCAGGTCGCCATTAAATTCGTGCGTGCCCGTAACAATCTCTCCAATCGAGCCATCCAGTCCTAACCCCGATAGGAACCGCGTAAGAGCGACGCTCCTCAGCTCCGTGACGAGTACCGCACATACAAGATCCTCGTGGGATGCCGTGAGTCCTAGTCCCACCACCATCCACTGTCCCATCAGCTCTTCTAATTCACACCCGCAGCCGGCATCCCCAATGTCTACTACTTCGGCCAAGAAGGCCTGCACAATATTCTCGTTATCGACCTGCTAGGCCCCTCGCTCGAAGACCTGTTCGACCACTGCAACCGTCGCTTCTCCACCAAGACGGTCGTCATGGTTGCCAAGCAGATGCTGTCGCGCGTGCAAACCATCCACGAGAAGAACCTGATCTACCGCGACATCAAGCCCGACAACTTCCTCATCGGCCGCCCTGGGACCAAGGCCGCCAACGTTATCCACGTCGTCGACTTCGGCATGGCCAAGCAATATCGTGACCCAAAGACGAAGCAACACATCCCTTACCGCGAGCGCAAGTCGCTCAGTGGAACAGCCCGTTACATGTCCATCAATACCCATCTGGGTCGCGAACAGAGTCGCCGAGATGATCTCGAGGCGCTGGGCCACGTCTTCATGTACTTCCTCCGCGGTGGTTTGCCTTGGCAGGGCCTGAAGGCTGCTACTAACAAACAAAAATACGAGAAGATTGGCGAGAAGAAGCAGACAACTGCCATCAAGGATCTCTGCGAGGGCTTTCCTGGTAAGCATCNNCAACGACACGCCCAGGCATACATGCTGTTGCTAACATGTTTCGCAGAGGAGTTCAACAAGTACCTGTCATACGTCCGCAACCTTGGCTTCGAGGACACGCCCGACTACGACTACCTGCGCGATCTCTTTACCCAGGCATTGAAGAACAGTGGCGAGGTTGAGGACGGTGAGTACGACTGGATGAAGCTGAACAACGGCAAGGGCTGGGAGGCCATGAAGCAACACCCCAGCCAGGCCCACCTGCATGCCCACCACAACAACGTCGCCAACACTTCTGCTCGCGATGTCCACGCCAACCGTGCCAGCAAGACTCCCATTCCCCCAGGCCGTCTCGAACAGGAGCTCCCCAAGCCCGGTGCCGTCAGATCTCCCGCCCAAGCACAGCGTCAGTCTGGTACAAACCGCCACTACAGCCAAGATTACGCCCAGAAGAGAACTAGCCAAGGTGGTGATCTCGCTCCGCCAGAGGGGTCGACCGCCGCGCAGTTCGCTAACAGCTCCGGCAACCTCCCCGGTCGTCTGCAAAACACCCAACCCAGCAGGCAAAGTACCACTCAGCCCTCGGCTCAGGCACAGCGTGTTCAGCAGCAACAGCAACAGCCCGAGCAAAAGCCTTCGGGAATGTCAAAGTTCTTCAAGGCTCTGTGCTGCGGCTAGACACCCAGCTCTCTCTGTTGAGGCTCCATGCCATCTCGTCCATCCTCCTCCTTGTCATCTATCACTCTCCTCCCCCAACTTCTCTTCTGTATCTTTCGCCTCTTTACTCTCTCTGCCGCCTCTACGAATTTCACGCAGCGCTATGGGGAAGCCGAAAGAAGAGAAAGGAAATACCACAAGGATTCGCCCACACTGCACTGTCCGATTGCTATGCTCGGACTTCGAGGCTGCAGGAACCACCTCCCTTGTATCTCTTTTCTTTACTGTTATACATTCCATACATAATACTTACACCAACCGGGGAGCTTTTTTGAGCAACAAAATTGGGGATGTCTTAGAAGCGCTTTCGCTCTTGTTTTCGATACTCTGTTTTTATCAAAAGGAAAGCTTGCATCCTTGTGCATTCTTTTTGTTTTTCTGTTTGCATCCTCAACCACTCACCGCCATTTCGACTCTTTTCAACACATGCTTTCGACACCCAAACCCGAACGGACGGTCAAAGTCAAAAACAAAGAATCGCGCTTCTCTCCTCTTTTCTTTCGGCTTGGGGTAGCAAGAATCGTGGAAGCGTACTGGGCCAGTGCTGGATTTGAGCATTGAGCGATCTAAACAAAAAACAATTAAAATGACAGGAGGTCAACAACCGGGGCTCAAAGTGTCAATGGGGGTAGTCATACAGAGGGGGAGATGTGGGAAGAACACGGACGCATATGGTGTAGGAAGTTGGTTCCCTTTTGTCTCTTGTTTGGGGTTTTTGGAGACAAGCATTGCTTTTCTTGTTTTGATCGTTCTTTCCCTTTGTGTTGTGTTTCTGGGGAATCCCTTCTACTAGCAGGCGTTGGTGTAAGAAAGGGAAAGCGGTCTTTTCTTGTTTCTTCGATATTTGCATCTCCTTTCCTGTTCCTTTTGTTGCTATCCCATTATGTATCGATTTCATCTGTTGGTTTGCGAGCGATATTCTCTGTAAAAATCAAAGTCTTCTTATTGTTTTTTTTTGCTGCCTTGGATAAGATGAAAAGACTTGATTGCTTTACTGCATACACCCATTCGTTCTTGCTCTGAAAGGACTTGCCTTCTCTGTTTGGATGACTCGTCTCTGCTTTGCCCTTCTCATCTTCAACAGATGTATTCGGGTCTTCACTCTAAGCAAGCATTGATCATGCTTTCCCTGCTGACGACATTGCAATTCATATCCTGCCGCATGCCCTTAACAATACCAATGCAAACTTCAGAGCGAGCCAAGGTGGATCTCTGCATCTTTCCAAAAATCTATATGTCTCGACTTGCGAGGAGCCTTTCCTTTCCAACCTTGGTGACTTGGATGCGTTGTCTGATTGGCCTTGCAGCTTCCGACCATCTTCTTTTCTCATTTTTCATCTTATTTGACAAGGTGTTTTTCATGCTGAGTTTTATCTCTAAAGTGCTCGCGATTGTGTTTCAATCTAGGTGCATGTGCTCTTTTGGCATCTCCGAGTGTTGTCTTTATTTTCTTCTCTCCTCTGGAAAGCTGTGTCTTCGTTTTCCTGTGGCACAGCTCGCTTCCATCAGCATTACCAACGTCCAAAGTGTTGATACAGGCTCACTGTTAGGGGCCATCGAACTTAATTGGAGGGATGTATATCAATGAGTATGGAAGTGGACAAGAGAGTTGTTGATAGAAACATGTTTGTGCTATTGAAAGCTCGTGATAGCTATATATCATTACAGATGCTTGTGCTTGCTGCATCCACGCCCTCGAGACTCATTACATGGCTTGAGCAAGCATTCTTCTTCCCTATCCTTCTTCGTGAAAGTAATCTAATGCATTTTATCCCATACCGCCAACAACGCCTGTTGAGAAGAGCCAATTCCGGCTTACCACAAAGCACCGTCATTGTCGAAGCGAACAAGCTCTTTGCCAGAGTCTTCGACATCCTTCTTGGCCTTCATGCGCATATAGAAGATGGGGCAATCTCTGCTGGAACAGATGACCTCGTTGTGCATACTGCCCTGGCATCTTTGGCACTGCGTCCAAAGTCGAGCGAAGCGAACCTCGAGTTCAGCAACCTTGCTCAACGTCTTCTGGTACAATTCGCCTAGACGGTCACGGTCGTTCTCACAGACAGCGCCATTCTTCTCGTCTTTGCCAGTCAGCGGTTTCTTGCAGCCCATGCATGTCTCGGTCTTCTTGGCAAACTTCATCAAACCACCCATGGTCGGGGCAGCGACACTGATGGAGCGTGTGTGCTCACCAGTCAGAAGTTGACCTGCCTTCTTCTCACCCAAGATGGGCTCGAAGATACGACCAAGAGGCTTGGCAAGCTGGTTGTCAAGGTAGTACCTGGTGTCGATCGGCAAATTGTTCTCCAGCACGAAGATGGGGTCTTCGGACTTCTCATAGTTCTTTGCACCGGCAGCACCCTTGACCATGACATACGCGACACGGTCACCAAGTGCAGGAGCAGAACCTGCGTCACGCTTCTTCATACGCTCGGCAAGCTCGACGTGAGCCTGTTTGGCGGCGTAGTCATTCTTGGTCAATGCCTTGGTAATCACCAAGTTGGACATATCCACCTTGTTTTGCAACAGCTCAGCGATGGTCTCTTTGACGAAACTGTGAATCGTTAACAAGAAATCAATGCAGGTGTTGACATCAACTTACTCTTGGGCACCCTGGACATCGCGATCGATCAACAGCATACGCAAACTTGTCTCGATGACCGTTTGTACAAGGCGACAGTTGTCTCTTCGAACAGTCTCGATACCTTTGCTGTCCATCTTGTCCCACTTGTTGGGGTTTGTCCAGAACAGACCAGCGTAACGCTTCTTGTTGATAAGAAGGTAGGGNAAGTAGACCTTCTCGAATTCCAGCTTAATAGGCTTGATGAATTTGGAGGAGACATAGTTGGCCGCTTCTTCACCCAACTCCATGGCCTTTGCAAGATCGTTAGGGCCAAACTTGACCATGACCGAATCGGTATCACCATAGATGACCTCGGCATCATGGGTGTATCCATTAGCGATAGTGTATCGCTTCTGAACCTCGTCTCTGGTCTTTTCAATCATCTGACGACCATAGGAAGTCGTACTCGAAGCAATGGCAAGACAGGGCAGTTTTCCAACTGTCGCACCCGTGATACCGTAAACACTGTTTGCACTGATCTTCAAAGCTAGTTGTCTACCGTTCAAGACAGCTTTCCTGAATGGATCCTTCTCGACGGCCAACTCCTTTCTGGCTCGCTTTCTGGCACCTAGCAATTCTTCCAAAATCTGCGTGAGAAGACCTTTACGGACTTTTGCTGTGCAGAAGAGATCGCCGTTTGGTGTGACAATGTAGTCTTCGTCTTTCTTGAAGTTTAGCTTGTCCACGGCATTCTTGTTGAGAAGAGTTGTGTAACACAAGTTGTGGGCCTGCATGATACTTGGGTATAGCGAAGCGAAATCGAGTGTGGCGATGGGCACGTCGTAGTAACCTCTGGTAGGTTCAATGACCGTAGCACCTTCATACTGTTCCTCTGTTCCTTCACTGCGAAGATTGGGAATGACGAGTTGTTGCTCCAAGGCCTTTCGGAAGAGTTGACTGATGAACTTGACCTGTTGACCACGAGAGAGAAGGTAGTTGAATGGTACACCCGTGACTCTGGCCATCTCTGTGTAATTGATGAGACACATGAGTTTGTCCATCAGACGTTGTGGAAGGTAGGCATCCTTTAAACAGTAGACTGCCAGTCTTCGTCGTGATTCTGGAGTACCGTTGAATAGCTCAGTGATCATAGTGTGATGAACGTCTTCCTTCTGCTCATTCAAGAAGTGTGCACACACGGAGTTCAGTGTGTAACTTCTCAGTTGATGGTCTCTCTGGATCAATTGGAGAAGATCGAGCTGCAGACGTCCGTTGGTGTTGGTTGCCTTGGTGTCTCTGTTTCCCATCTGCTTACTGGAAAAGTTGGTGTCTTTCGCGACTGACTGCACGTTTCGTAGTCTTGACCAGAAGGGGAACTTTCCAACCTTGAGATGCTTCGCTCTGTCCAGCAGATAGGGNAAGTCGAAGTTTGAGATGTTGTAGCCAATGATAACATCTGGGTCTACCTTCTCCAGGAAGTCTCGCCAGGCCATCAACATCTTATCCTCGTCAGCGAACTCAAAGATCTGCGTGTTGACTATCAGACTGCACGTGTCCAAGCAGAAAACATTGCGCACGAATGGCTTGTCTTCTCCGTATCTTGTGACGACGTTCGCGATCTGAATGACAGGATCCACATTGGCTTCTGGGAAGATACCCTTGCGACCAGCGCACTCGATATCAAACGAGAGGGTTCGTAGGGGAGCCATCTTTGCCCATTCTCCTTCGGCAGGGTGGGCAATGAGATCTCGGTAGTGACAAAAGGCTTCGATTTGGCAGTTAGAATGCCTATCACGAGCAGGGACTAGAGTGTATTTGGATGCGGGAGTCTCAACCCAGGACATTCCCGAGACNCTAGTTTGGTCAGTAAACTTGGCTGGATTTATGTTCAGTAGCGGGCGTACCTTGGTATCAATCATGAAGCGGAGCACATATTGAATACTGTCAAAGGTGAGGACACCGCCATCGGCGCCTTTCCAGAGGCCTTTGTAGTTGGCGCTTCCGCTCTCGATCGATGTCCTCAGCTTGTTGATGTACTTGGGGTCGGTGACGGTAATCTTGAGATAGGGACTCTTTACATTGCCCTGGAAGCCGTACAAGTTTTCGCGAAGGACCATCTGTACTGAATAGATGGCAGGTTGGTGTTGAGCAAGATGTGTTTCGAGATAGGCTTTGTAAGACTCGCAGTCGCTCTGCTGGAACGACGAAGGCGCAGCTACGTAGAGATAGTGCATAAAGTCGGTGACGTGTAGTAGGACGGAGTGGCCGGTCTAGATGGGAAGATGTAGTCAGCCTCTGCGATCAGTATGTACAGGCGATGCTGAAGGTACCTCTGTGACACCGAACAGCTTGACGCAGGTCTTTCCTCCATGAAGGGTCCCTTCCTCAGCTTCAATCTGCTGGAAGCACAAACTGTCCCTTGTCTCGTCGAAGTCGTCCAAACTCGGTCGAGCCCATTGTTGGTCTTTTNNCTCGGCATTGTGTTGCTTAAGGTCATCAAGATCTTGAGTCAACTTCTCGAGGACCTCCTCTTCGAACTGGCTCTTGACTTGACTAGAGCCGGGACCGCCTGGTGTCTTGAAGTTCTTGGGTTGGCCATTGAGCTTCCTGCGCTTGGAAAGGCTATCGGTTTGGACGTTCTGACGGGGTGATGGTGCATCGACGAGCACACGCTTCTTCGGCTGTACGTCTTTCACTTTGGCGGCAGGCATCTTGATGATAATTGTCGTTGTGATGGAGGGCAGGCAAATGATGGCAGGACGACGCGTGATGGATGTGTCCCCGCGTTTTCGAAGGAAGTCGCGTTTCGGTCAATTCCCGCCCGATTCGGTTGATGCTGATGGATGCTGACGCCGTGCCAATCACTCTCTTCTCTCGTGAACATTGCACACCGAATACCCGTTGACATTTGCAATGCACACTGCCATATACTGCATTGTCGCAGCACAAATTCGTGGCAAGAAAAAGAGAATTTATTTGCAATTATGTTACTGATTGACGACCTAACATGCTGTCTTAGAGACCAAGAGAAAGAGAACAAAAGAAATCTACATGAGTGCAGAGCAAGCCGCAATTCTCTCATCACGATGCTGGAAAAGCACTCTGCCCTCCTTCCGCTCAAGCCTCCAACGGTTGGTATGCCCTTTGAGACACGAGCTTTTCTCCCTCCGTATTGTCCAGTGAGCTACGATTCTTCAGCTTTCTAATGGCCCTGAGGAGTCGGCCAGGATGGACAATGACAAACGCCCACATGAGGCCTGCCATCAACGCCGAATCGAAGATGTAGAGGTATACTTCTGAATGTTCGATCGGGCCATCTGAGCCTTCGACATATTCTGCGATACGGAAGATGTTTCTGACAAGTACCAGAACGCTTGTCGCGTATATAATGCGTAGATGTCTGACCCAATGGATTGTGTGATGGACTGAAATCGAGGTAGGGCGAGCATTAATGCGTCTATGGAAGACGAGAGCCACAATGATGAAGTAGGCGAAGATGACAAGTTGGAGAACCAAGCCGATGATGGTTACCGTACGGCCACTTTTCTGCACCGACAAACTCGTGGTGCATTGCATACCGATACCGCCAATCTGGACAAGAAAGCAGATGATATCGAAAAGCACAAAGACCTTCGACAGCCAGCGAGGACGGATGAGAGTATGATCCTTGTCGGAGTCCAGAGCACCGATGACTCTGCCGAGTGTCATGTACATCGTAGCAGCCAGGAAGATTGGTGCCGGAGTCAACAACAGAGCCTGTAAGACATATGCTCTGAAGTCGTTCTGACTGTCGTGTCCCCAGTAACGACCGTACAGACCTCCGACCTCCATGATACCACCTAGAACCATCGGAATGAAGAAACATTGGCGTAACTTTGGAAGATAGAATATGTGGGCGACAGTTGCTACACCAAAGATGCCCATGAACGCGCCGGCAGCCGCGGCGGAGGGTGTGTATGCATATAACACAAGGTGATCCGGATCAATGTTGGTTGGAGCGAGAGCCATGTTGTCCGATCAATCGCGGTAGAGCTATACAGAAGTAGGATTTGAGTTGTAGGTTTCTCCAAAGTAAAGAGGAGAAAGGTGGGTGGGTTGATGCAACAAATCGCTGCTAATATTCAAATGAAATTGTGGTGCAAGCTCATGAGAAGGCATTCGTCCTCTTAAATATCTTTGGCCCCATTCGCGTGTACCATACGCAGAGATGGCGGCTGTGAAGTGATCATCATATCAGTGACCAATGAATGCAGAGACACCTCAAACGGTATGCGCAATCGCATACAAAAATAACATGAAGAGGTGTTGAAAGTATCAAGTGCGTATTGAGCCCGTATGGTACAAGGGCTCAACAACCTAGGGCTCAACGCACGGCTGTGACTGCCGAGATCTGGACACTCTGACCTGGCGGACCCCCATCTCAAACAAACTCGAGAATATCCAGGATATATACTTCTGATATCTATCAAAGTCTGATTCGGAAGTATTAAACGATATTACCCATTTCTTTGGGTGCTCCTCACATATATTCAAGTATATAATCGCGGTGCATTGTGGCATACTTTTGCTAAGAATTTGCTCAGGGGCCGGCAAAGCCATGGGCGTCGTTAAGCTCCATTACTGTCATCTGATCCTCGCTTGAACATTTCCTCTTCCTAAAACTTTGACCTTGGCAGGTACCGTACACCCATTTCTCTGACATGCACAATGAGAGGAGGGCCTGTGGGAGAGCGGCAACGACGCTCTCACAAGAAGTCGAGGGCAGGTTGTGAGGATTGCAAGAAACGGCACTATAAGGTCTCCTTCTCTCAAATGCTGATTTGGTCACAGCTGATATGAACATAGTGCGATGAAGCGAAGCCCTCATGTGGTGGATGTACCAAGAGGAAGGTCGAGTGCAGCTTCATAATAGCTCAGAGCCCTGCTTCGGATGTGTCTGTCAACACCAAGGTGTTCAATGCCATCTCACACAATATTACAGATCACAATAAAGACCCAGTCTCACCGTTGCCCATGGCGGATCTTGAAATCTATCACCAGGGATTGACAAGTACTCAGTATTCCATTACGCCGGACTCAAAGCCAAGCAAGGAAGAAAGTGGACTCTCTCTTCGGTTTCCATATCTGATGCATTCAAACCTAGCATTAGCAGCGCTACACCTATATTCTGAACAGCCTCATCGACCAGAGCTACTTTCTAGAGCAGCTGCTCATCAACACGCTGCATTGTCTCAAGTACGGCCTCATATAATCGACGTAACGGCCGAACACAGTCAAGCAATACTAGGTTTTGCTGCCACCACTTCTATATTCGCACTTGCTGAACCTGCATACGACCCACGAGGTCTTGGCTTAGTCCGCGATCCTGTCGATGAACTGCTCAATTCCTTCCATCTTGGCATAGGAATCAAAACCATCCTCAAGCAAAAATGGGATGTGCTCCAGCACAAAGAAAGTATTCAANAGGTTACCGTGCAGCTTCCAGACTACACTGCACTCAAGGCTACACTAGAGGATAGATACCATGTATACCCGACCTTGCGCAACGTCGTTGCACAGAACTGTCAAGATGACGAGGCGATCGCTTGCCTGGCCGCTGTCGAAACTCTGTTCTTCTACATGGCCATCTTGGAGACAAACCAGCATGATAATCCAGGACCGATGTATATCCAGATGTGGCCTTTGAACGTCGGCACACTCTTTCTCAACATGCTTGCGGACCGACATTCTGTTGCTCTCCTTGTGTTGGCTTATTATGCCGCGCTCATGAGACTGAGATCCAACACTTGGTGGCTGGAACGATGGCCATCAGCTATCCTTCACCACGTCGCTTCGATTCTGGATCCTGCGCTGGCTGTACACCTTGACTGGCCCAGATTGAAGATTCTCCAGCTGGATCAGGCATTTCCCTCGCCTTTAGAATTGAATGCTACCTGATCAAGTTAAGATTGAAGCTGTTCCTGTATCTACTCAGGACCATGAGATTGCCTGCGTCCTGTCACCTAGCGCCGCTAGAGTACCGGGTTTCTTCTCATTCTCTGCTCGGCGTGTACGCCCGTTTCCTACACCTAAGGCTTGTAGCAAACCGAGTGTGTTACCAAGCTCGCAACAGCGGTACGCAAGGCACACATCGTTCAGCGGACGCAGGCACACGCTATGCGATCAACGTCTCGGACATTTTGGCATATATGCCATGCGAGTCTCCGTAACATGGACAACCCGACACCCAGATGTTCCCGTGGTCTGTACCACCCTGTGGTTGGGTTTCTGTGTAGCACCGGGATTGAATGGTTCAACAAGACCATACAGCAACAAGGATGTCCTTCTGCACGTGAATGTAACCAGATTGGTTCGGTTGGCATCGCCGACAGCATTCCTATGAGACTCCGATCTCTCAATGGAAATACTGGTCCTGCCGGGATAGAGTAAAGCTATTTTACAATCTGGTGTCTAGAAGCATAAGCATAAGCATAAGGATCACGTCGTGCAAAAATCGCCTGCCTGACAGATCAAGATGTTCAGACGGTTCACTCAGAGTGTCTCTAGCACTGCGGATGAGCTATGCAAAGCTCATAGATCTCAAAGCTATGCAGTCCGATGTACTCGAGGACGATACTGTCGTTCGAGTCCTTTGCAAGGATCACATCAGTCATGGCCTTCCAAATTTGCACCATCCACATGTCACGCAATCGAAGGCGGCGACAGCTTGACTCACATGGACAGAAGTCAACATGGATGTATGTATCATGATGGCGGTGAAGCAGGCATTACTCATGAAGCCGACGAGTCGTTTGACAGGCTCAGACACTTTCGCTTGGAGCGGGCCGTCGGTGTTCGAATGTTTATACAATGACGTCGACATAGACAAACCTCAGGCTTTAATCGATTTATCTATGGTTCGAGGCGCGTTGGCAAGCGGTTTTGTGCTTCACCATGATTTCAGAATGGCTTTCTTGACAACTTGCGGCTGTCGACCCACAAAGCTGTCGGGAGAGTCGGTAGGCCTCACCCGGTCTCCGCTGAGCAAGTCGGCAAGAAGGTCGCCTTCTGGAATGCGACGGGTGCTTGGAGACCATGCACTTGGGGCACCATATGGCAGAGTCAGCCTTGGGGCTGCGTAATGGAGCAATAGGTGCGACAAGAGGGCTGAATTCAGGTGACGGATCTACGATGGCGGCCTTCCAGGCAGGGCTGAGGTGTTGGCAGTAGAATGGTGGGAGAATGTTCTAGCGTAGCCTTGACGCAGAGAGGTGGGACTTGATACCAAGCGTTTGAGCTGCTTTATTCGGCACATGCTACCTCGACTTCAGCACATTTGTTTCTGACCAAGACGTTGTGACGAGAGTTTGTAAAAAGTAATCGTCTGCCGAGAACGATTCGTGCTTGAGGGATCGTCTCAATGGTCGATCTTTGAACTCCTTTGGAGTCTGTACTGTCTCGTACTTCTGACAGGGCAAGGTAGACTCAGTAACGGGAACCTGTGAGATAGACGTCAGGTAAGAAAAGCTAATGTGTTTGTACATCTTCTCCACGGAGGGTGGTGTTTCATCCTCCCGGCCAAACGCTCCTTCCAATATACGAAACCAGTCTTTGCACCGGGATGACATCCCGTATGTCGAAACCGAGGAAGGCGCAACCATTGCTTGTGGTTTAGATCGGATCAACTGAATCATGGGACAGATCAGATCGAAAAGTAATCCTCGAGGTACCGCCTACCTTTCTGATGTTTCGAGACTTGGAGAGACTTTCGAGGGTACACAAAGTGACGCTAAGGATATCTGAAGCAAAAATAGAAAGCCTACCAACACTCGTGTCCATGATTCATTCCAAAGCAGCCCGCCGCCGGCAGATACACAATTTTTTTTTGCAAGACAACGTGAACATGCAGTCAGGTATGTGAGGCACAAGCTGGTGTCACACAAGTGTAGCTGGGCATCCTGGGGAAGTACTGTGAGCTAGTAACCTCGATTAATATAGTTGTTGCACGCAGATCCAGCGACCCTGGTGGTCAAGGATTGCAAGGGTTCAGCCGGAGACCCGGACGATAAAGCTCCGATGTCTCTGCGGGCTCACTGCGCTAGTGTTTTGCCCCGACCGTTAAGATCCTCGAGCTCCTGGGTGGGTCCGACGTTGACGGCTCGTGCGTGCTGGCGGCGGGTGTTCCTGACTGGTGCCTGCGTTTTCTTCCTGGATCGTCAAGCCACGAGAACAGGGGTCAGGGGGCCAAGACAAAACACTTGCCGATCAGGTCAGCGAGCCAGAGTCCGAAGAGCACCAGCAGCCGGCAGAGAGCACGGCGCTTTGTGACGTGACGTCGGTTCAGCGTGCAGAGAGAGGGAGCGAGAAAGAGCTAAGACAAACATGGTGTTACGGCCGATAAGCAATCGAGGCACCGACCGCAGTAGAAAGATAGCAGAACGTCAACGCAGCTTGTGTGACAAAGAGTTGGACAGGAGGACTTCTATGTAATCGCATGAGAACGTTGCGTCTAGATGACTGTTGCGAAGAGCATGCCTGTCAATGCAGTGCTTGTGGGTTGTCAGGAGGTACTCTAGCTGTGGTCTTTTTGGTATACCTAGACCCAGTTGTGCCGTATACGCGGTCGAGAGCAGCCAAAGTAGAAGACACAGACACGATAGTGGACTGCTGCTCGCAGACTAGTGGGCACGGGGATGGGGGCGCGCGACTTGGTCGCCAAGGCAGCGAGATGCTGACCGAGTCGTGGAGGGGACAAGTTAACCCACGGCACGATGCATTGGTTGCATGCAGGGCAAGCAGTCGTCTCGCGACATGCGCGACTGGCATTGGCAGAAAGGTGGAGGAGGATGACGGATGGCGGCGGCAGCAGCAGCAGCTATTTACAGTGGTGGATCGGAGGAGGAGGAGTTCGTGTGCCTGAAGACGACGCACGTTGGCTCTCGCAGGGCACAGTCTGATAAGTGCGATAGCAACAGCTGGACGCGCAGATATGGGAGGGCGACAACAACAGACAGCCAACGTCAATGACGGCACAGAGGGAGCATCACTTGCACATCCGTCGGGCGACTGGTAGAAGTCAGAAACCAGACGAGCGGCCGTGGAGGTCGCAGCCCGAAGCGGCATGGTCGGTGTGGGTCGTGCCTGCCTCGTGCGTTTCAAACGTGATTCGCGCGGTTTTGGCGCCTGTGCTTGTGCTTGACTTTGCTCCGACTCGTCGAGGAAGCCGTCAGTCTCAAAGGGGGAGGGCACGCTCTTTCCTCGTGTGTGTTTCGCTTGCCCAAAGCACCTTCGTCCTTTATCCTCGCCTTTCCCTTTGCAACATCTCTCTTTTTCCTTCCTATTGCTCCTGTGCGCCGCTTCATCACTCCCTTACGCTGCCGGCCTAATACTACGCACGCCCATCCTTCTTTCTGCTTCTTAGCTCTGTTACCCGCTGCTTTGGCCAGTTTCGGCAGACCGTCACTCCTTCCGGTTGTCAACTCCTTCTTTTCCTCGACAACAACAAGCTCCTTGCTTCTTTCTTAATCCGACTCTTTGACCTCGTGCTCGACCCTCAGCTGTTGCTCTCGGCATTGTCTCGATTGAGCACACGGATTGACACGCAGACAAAGACGACCCGAACAAGACTCAGCCTCGGCCTGAACTGCCTGCTTCTTTGATACTGCCCAGCTGCATCTGCCATTGGCGGCCTATAATCAACAGCATTCACAAATTCATCCTTTAGCCTTCTATAATCACCAATACATACATCATGGACTCCAAGGACATGGGCTCAATGGACTCGGCATCGCCCGGCACTCCCTCGCCCGCGACACCTCTCACCGCAAGCGGCTCTTCCTCGAGGAGGCCGCCGCGCAAGAGCACTCTCACTCAACAACAAAAGAACCAGAAGAGACAACGCGCAACTCAGGATCAGCTAATCACCTTGGAAATGGAGTTCAACAAGAACCCTACCCCCACCGCCGCTGTCCGCGAGAGAATCGCCGATGAGATCAACATGACTGAGAGATCAGTGCAGATTTGGTTCCAGAACAGGTAAATCCCCGCGCTAAAACAATCTTCCATTGTGCAAATCTAACGATATGATAGACGTGCCAAGATCAAGAACATTGCGAGAAAGAGCATCGAGAATGGTGAAGACTGCGAGAGCATCCCTGAGTCAATGCGCCGCCATCTTGCCATGCAAGCGCTTGAGTCTGGCAAAGGCTTCTTCCCTAACATGATAGGCCCTGGCGGTAATGGCTATGCATACACCCCTGGAACCATGAGTCTCAACTCCGATGCAACCAGCGGGAAAGTTGGTATGTTGGAGATCATGTCCTCGTTCCTTAGACTGTGGCTAACTCCTATTCAGNTCATCCAGCACTTCGCATGCCGCTCGCTTTCGATTGGATCATGGCGCAGAGTTGGCCAGAGCCAGATGGATTTGATCATCTTCTACTCACCGGAGAAGGCTTGCGTCACATACTACATCAACAACGACTCGGCCGGCTACAAGATCGAGTACCCCTTCGCTTGGATCAAGAACATCAATCTTGTTCAGGGCGAGGTCACAAGTGCTGCAGAGGGCGCTTCGCAGAGACTAGGCGCGCTGGTGGTTGAGCTGGTCCGCNCCCCTAAGTTCTACATGGACAGCTCGGGTAGCGGTGGCTTCTACGAATGTGGCGATTTCACCGAGGACCAACAGGCCAGCAAGGTCATGGTTCACCAGCTTGGTGGCCCTTCCAAGGCTCTCAGCGGTCAACTTGCTAAGCTCGTGTCGCTCGACTCTTTCCAGAACCGTCACACAATGCTCGACCCCACTCACTTTGCCATGGCTGCTGCTTCGGCTCCTGTTTCGCCCGTCAATTTCAGACCTGCAAGTCAGCCTAACCACTTGGTTCACCCTCACTCGGGCGTCTTCCAAGATTCTGCCATGGGTCTTATGGGCCCTCCTGCTCCTCGTGGCCACAAGAGACAGCGCAGTCGTTCAGTTCCTGCTGCCATCGACCTCTCGATGCTGAGAAACAACCCTATGCCTTCGTTCCTCATCCAGCATGAGCCCAACACACCTGCCCAGCCTCTGCAAGACAATGCCATCTTCGCTCCTCAACCTCAACATCACCATGGCTTCTCCGCAGGCATGGGCCCCAACAACCTCAGCATCGATACTTCTGCTGGTTATGGCATGGACTTCAGACAATTCGCCGGCCCAATGTCCGCCACTACCCTTAATTCTCCCAGCGATTTCGGTACTCCTGGCTTCTTCAACCCCGGTCCTACAAGCGACATGATGGCTCACTCTAACCTCAATACCCCTTACTCGAGCTCATTCCTTTCTGTCGACCCATCCGCAATGATCGGTACCAGCAACACACCCGTTTCCTGCCTCAGCGGAGGCGATCCCGTTATTGCCGACCAGTCGCCGCCGCTTAATGGTCTCGGCCGCAGTCAGTCAGACGACATCTTCAGCACACCCGGAGGTGACAACGGCTTGAGCGACGATGCTCTTTGCCTTTCATCCGATGTATACAACAAGTCAATGAGCATGGGTTTCCACAGCCCTCTTCCCGACGAGCACATGGGTTTCGACTCCTCCCTCTCAGACGCTCACTACGACTACAACTCGCCGATCCCTGCAAACAAGATGAATCTGCCTTTCCGCATGCCCAACGAGACACCTATGCACCAACAGTCGCCCAACCCTGCGCAGTTGGCTATGCATCAAGACTCTGCTATTGCTTTCCAGTCGCCCACCCACATGGGCCATGCTGATCACGGCCACAACCTTTACCAGACACCGAAAATCAATGGTACTGGCATGTTCCAGGACAGCAAGATGTACCAATCGCCGGCCCAGATGCACGATTCCAACTTCTCGACGCCGGCCCACCACCCCTCGCATCTTCAGAACCATGATGTATATCACAGCCCGAGCTTAGGCCCTAACGACCTCCATAACCAGCATGGTGAGGAGATCGACATGTCGAGTTTCGTACAGTACGGTACCATCGATCCCGCCAGCCTGTAGGAGTATTTGTCTTTTAGACTACAGCCTGCTGGCGGGACTGATCATCACACCCACAGAGGGGTGGAGAAGGCACCAACAAACAACAGCCACAGATCGGCTACGAGCTACATGAGCGAGTGAAAGCTAAAGGCTCTCACTACTGGTGTTCGCCGGATAATCTTTGATTCCAGTTATCTCTTCATCTTCGCGATTTTCTTGAGTTGGACCGTTTTTGACCCGGTGGAAATGTTTTTGGTTTGGTTACGGAGTTGTCCTTCATCTTTCGCTTTTCTTCGATTCTTTGTATACCCCAGATATTTCTTCTTCTTTTTTCTGTCGATTTCATGGTTTGCGTTGCTTCTAAATCATTGCTCGTTCAGAACCAGCTTCTCTGGCACCCATTCTTGATCTTCCTGCTTTATTCTTTCTTCATCCTTTCTTCATCCTCGCTTCTTCTTGGCACCACGTCCAATCGAGTCTCGATCACACCTTTCATTTTGGTGTGTGAAGCATCGCTGGCATTGGCCTATCGATCACGATCTCGACAGCTGTTGGACCGCTCGATTCGAGCGAACAGAGGTAAACGCTCGCCGCCCCCTTGACACAAACGATAAGGGGGCGGAAAGAAGACGTTAATCACACCGTTTCGACACTCGGGTGGCCTTGTTTTTCGAGGTTGAGAATCCAGATGACGCATCTTGCTTCTATTTGTTTCTTTGTTTTGTTTCCTTGTTTATCTTTTTCCTTTGTCTTAAGGCGGCTGGAGAGGGAAGAGGTAGTCTAGCTCGAGTCGGCGGTACCTTGATCAGGAGTTTTCTTCATTCGTACTTCTCTAGCATACACACAGAGAGTCGAGCCCTCCTCCAGCAACCTCTACGGCAAGGCTGGGTTCCCCGTAGAGTCGAGAAGTGTTTTCGTCCTCAGAAATCCCACAACCTTTTTTTGCCATCTTAGTCAGACCTTCCTGGCCAGTACTGTATCCCTTCCGCGGTCCGACTTTGTGGCTCGACAAGGACTTTCCAACGCGGTCCTCGGATACTTGTTGCAGGAAAGGGGTGCATTCCTGAGAAACGGGTTTGCGGGTAAGTGCTCTGTGCTGGTTCCCGGTCCGCTGGTCGGGTGGAGTTTCAGGGTATAACGGCGGCGACGAGAGAGGGAGGAGCATAACAACGTCTACCGGCATGTAGTGGCTTTGTGCTAAGTTAGTGTCCGACTATCAAGCCAACGGGAACCGCGGGATGGGAAATTGATAAGTGTATGCATGATATGGAATCGGGAAGATCGAGAGAGTGATGCTGGACTATGGCACGTGATGGTACTTGGAAAAGGTACTTTGCTTGTTGATTCTGGTATTGTTGTTTGTTTGTTGGTCTAGAGGATTTTTTTGCGCTTGCATGTATCTGTGACTGTGACATGGAGGTATGATCGCATTTGTCCCCTTCAGTAATGGAATATGTTTGCTAGTTTTTAGGAAGCGGGATTTATATCTTATAAATCTACCAGAATGTATGTACCATCAAGATCATACGTTTCTGGGACAGAGCTGAATGCTATGGCTAAGCGATATGATCGCTTGGAATGCACATGTTTATCGTGACAGCAGTATCGGCATACAAGAGACGTGTAGTGCAGGAATCGTGTTGATCAGAGATTGTCAGAAACATGTTTGTGATGGTCCATCTTCCTATCACCACTTTCTCAGACCTCTTCTTGAACGTCTCGGATGCGATGGCATCTGCTCTGGGATCACTAGCACTGTTCTGTATCTACACTTTGATGCCTTTTCTTGTTGCATAAAGTGGTATGGTAATGTGTGATCAAAGGGTGTGTAATATCTCAGCACCTCACCAATCTCAGACTGATATCATGTAAGCGAGGTTATCATGTTTCGTTTTGCATCTCATGAAGTCCAGTAGATACATGTTCACCATGTATACTGGAAATGATGTGAGAGGAGGATTGTTCTGCTGTTCGATGTCCACCAGCAGTTTCGTCGAATGTATGTTCGCCATGCATTCTGTCTCGTAGAAACGATGGCGAGGTGGATCGATAGAAAAGGACAGAAAGAATGCGAGAGAAAAGACGTGTGTATAATGCGGATGCTGTGCGCCGGTTCGCTATGCCCAACAGAATAAAAAAGAAAAGATGAGAGAACGCAAATACGCAAAATGCAGCTCCTCCGATCCAGAGAGCAACGAGAGAGACAAAGGCCAACTATCCGAGAAGTGGATATCTCCTCTCTTCACCAATCAATAGCCCAAGTCCCCGCCGTCTTCCAAAACTCCTCGAGCACCTGCCTCAAAGCAACATTAGGCCGCAAGTCTTTGGCCGTCAAAGGCTCTCTCGTCAACGGGTCTGTAGGATTAGTCTTTAGATGCTCCAACAACGTCGCTCTCTCATAGCTATGTCCCGTCCCCGTAATAACCGGATCATGCATGATTTCAAAACTGATCGTGTCGACCAAGTAATCAGGAACCTCCCTAGGCTGATGATTCTCGGGATCCGCCAACGCAAACACAGTCTTCAGTTCGTCGATTTTCTTTTGGTGTGTGTCTAGGATTTCTTGTCTGCGTTCTTGGGCTTCCACGACACCGATGTTGGAGGTTGAGAGCGAGCGCTCGATTTGTTGGAGTTCGGAGCGTTTGTTGTATTCGAGGGATTCTTCTAGTTCGGCGAGTATGTCGCCTCTTTTGCGTCTGCGATCGCGTTCGCGTGCTGCAAACTTGTCTTTCTTGCATTTGAGGACTAGTTCGGAGAGGGAGGGTAGGGCGGCAGTGGCTTTGTTTGCTTCGGCGGGAGGAGGGTGCATAGCTTGGTTGTATGCGGTCAGAGCCGAAGACAGAGCTTCATTGGGATGATGAAGAGCAAGTTGGGCCTGAGCGAGGTAGAAGTAGGACTTGAAGTTGAAGCCATTGTGTGGTGTTAGGCTGATGCTGTGGAGGCAGTCGTCGATGACGCCCTGCCATCTTTGCAGACGGATGCGAGCGAGTGCACGGTTGGTGAAGAGTAGAGGGTTGCGCGAGAACTTTGTGATTGCGGCCGTGTATTGTTCCTCTGCTGCTGCGTAGTCACCTGCCTTGAATAAATCGTTGCCTTGTTGTTTGAGCTTCTCGGCGAGGTGCGCCATGTCGGCAGTCCGGACGGGTGTTATCGAATATCTGGCACGCTGTGCATGCGTGGCTAGTTGCAGACGGGCAGTGGCCTAGTTGCTAGAGAGTTGCTGGTCGCATCTGGGCATGGGTGTTTCTTCGAATGTTCTAGGTGCCCGCAAGCGGTAATGATATGTCATCGGATCTTATCTCCGAGCGCCGAGGCACGCTACAACGCACGGACGAAATGTCTATACCAGTGATAGGCTTTGGGCATGGTCACTATTCCAAGAGACATTCGTGTTGTTGTTGTCACCGTGTACAAGAGATGATTTGTTTGATTTAATGTGCAGTGAGGATCACAAGGGTGTCCTGAAGGAAGGAGAATATGTTTTGCTCGATTCTTTTCTAATGGTATGCATGCATGCAACAACAAAGCTGATGTCTTTCTGCAGCCCAACCCAGCCCCTCTAACTCGTTTTTCGCTACTATGCCTTTCATCGAAGTCGTGTTCGTGATTCATTTATTTAACCTGGGCAAAGCTTGCTTGCAACCAGCAAGACAAAAGCATGGCCACCCTGCCTCATTGTCTGTCCTGGTGTAACATCCTTGAAGATGACATCAAACTCAAGCGCAACTCAAGCGCCTTTGTCGTCACTTCTTGTGACACTCGTTCAACCCACCTCGACGTCTTCGGAGCAAGACGTCTGATCAGACATCTCACTGTCAGCGTCCAAATTCGAGCCTCTTCTCTTTTCGCGCTTGAAAGTGGCAGCTTCCTCGGCCAGCAGCTCAGTCACTTCGGCGTTTGTGTGAGTGATGACTGGAGCTTCGCACTTCATGCAGCCAAAGCGGACTCTCTTCTTGGGCGTCATGAGGGGACTGATGGTCTCAAAGTTCTTCATCTTGTAGATGGATGTGTGCGAGAGATACTTGCGCACGCTGGTCTTGAGACAGCCAAAGCGGACACGCTTCTTAGGAGGGCTAGGCGATGGAGATGGATGTGTGGGTTCGGCTGTGTCGATGTCGACGACTTCTTCGCTGAAATTGACGCGATGGCCTTGTATCTGTTCGGGNGCTGGGATCTCGACAATGCTGACTCTGTTGTTGAACCGGACTCCTCTAGCCTTGGCCATTTCCTTGTGTTGGTTGGATGTGACAGGCGATTCGAGTGCATTCGAAAGATCAGTAAGGTCGATGGATGATGACATGCTGATAGAGCTGTTGATGGAATCGGGTGTGGGCGAGTTTGATTTGTTGCGTGCGTCTTGGATGTGTTGAAGAATTGCAGGAAGAAGAAGTTGTCCGCGACGGCCGCTGCTTGGCGAACGAGCACGTTGAAGAGCAATGTTGGGTGCCATTGCCTTTGTGACTCAAAGATGAAATGCGTGATAGCAAGCGTTGGCGTGTGGTGAGTGGTGGATCAATGGTCATACAGCTCAAACAACGAATGGAGTGGCAGGTGGTAAGAAGGAAGCAGAAGCGCGCATTATATGCTTTTGCGTGAATAAACCGACAATAACCAAATGCTGCTAGTGCGGTATGACAGAAAAAGGTGATGTCGATGTAATCGGAAGTGAAGGTCCACCAAGGCTGTCAACCTGCCAGTCATTGGCTGCAGACCGGTCAGCCGAACAGCCACAGCAAATCAGAAGTTGTTCTCCTTCGCTGAAGTCACGGTTCGGACGTAAAGATGACTGAAGCAAGAAACATCACAAGCTGCTGAATAGGTCGTTTGCGTGCTTCTGCTGCCTTGTCATGATGTTACACTGTTCCTGATTCGACCTCATGGCCCTACGGCTGTCACCTTACGAAACACACAAACGTGGATCATGAAGGGGAGCATGACAGGGGAACAAGTTCGAAACGGTACAAAGCACACGTTGAGTGAAAGTTGTGTTGCGCTCGAGATAACCTGCTTCTATTAACCATGTTCCTGTTCTACCGTAGCAAATACTTACAAGGTATCATACATTATTAGCGACTTGTGCGAGCCCCATCACTGACTACCGGGTCCTCACACTCACTTCCACCAAACGCGACTCTAGCTCATCACAGCCTCAGCCTGTTTCGTGCTCATCTCTCTCAATCCCAGGTGATTTCCATCTGCTCATGCGAAACCGAGAGCTATCCAGCTCGCACCAGCAGAGTACAGTGTACTGTCCTCAAACGTCTTCAACGACCAACGGAACCCTTGTGTATCGACATCATTTACGTCAACAGAGACTCGTAAATCTGCATTGCCGGCCATATCAATCATGTTGATGGCGCAAAGGACCGTAGGGGCAGGTCTATGCGACTTGAACACACCCCCGTTAAACTTGACCTGCGAACTCGTCTCAGGAATTGGATTGCTCCAGCTTCTGACGTCCCCTGTCTGGAAGCTGCCTGCTTGGACGTAGCGTTTGCGCCTTGGAAAAGCGATCCAGCACATGGCTCCCCCGTACAATAGACTATCTCCCCAGGTGTCGATATGCGCCGTGAAGCCTGTGCGGCTGATATTGGTCGCGTAAGCCCTTATGCGATAGTTCCTGTCACCACTCGCCATATCGAGCCGATTCAACCAACAGACGACCTCGCAGTCGTCCTTGAAAGCCTGAGGAAAGACAAAGTCCTGCGAGTTCTCTCGTTGTGCCCCNCTCTTGTTTGCTTCGCTGTTCGCTGGTAGATCGTGCGTGTCGAATTGGCCAAACAGGCAGTCTTTAGCGTAGGCTTTGTGCTCAATCCATGTCGCGCTTGCCGAGTAGAGTAGCGATTTCTCGCCCCAGGTTTCCAGCGTTATACGGAACGAGTCTGTTGTAATTTTGTCTGCGACCAGGTTCGCTCTGACTGGTGCTTCACAGGACAGGTCGAGTGATCGGAATCCTGCCGCGAGGTTCGGCGGCTCCTTGTAGTGGTTGCGCGGTAAAGAAACGATCCGTGACGTCGACTTGCAAGGCTTCGATCGCGGTCGCACTTCTTCCGTGGTGAAGATGCCAGTATCCGGGCCGGGAGAGTCAAGGTGTACCATGATGAATGATGGAGTCGCAGGAGGGTAGGGGCCGTTTGAGGTTACAACAAGGAGGTCAAGTCCACAGACTCGAGAGATTGTAAAGAATGTGAGATTCTAAGGCCGACCAACTCGGGCGCATCGACGACATGCTGACGCTCCGTCGAGCACTACTTCTCTTGGTGACTAAAGTCAAACCCGCTGCGGTTTCAACTTCCAATGAGGTCGTTTTGCATGGAGGACGAGCTGTATTGGGCGATCTTCCCTCGTTCAGTACGATCTGCTTGTACCGGCAATACTTGCTTGATCTTAACCTTGATCTGACGTCAAAATTCAGGTGGCTGAATCAGGATCTTGAATGTGATGAAGAGGCGGGAACTTGGGGAAGTCGAGACATTCCACGCACCATAAGGCCATCAGTGGTTTGTCTCGTGAGCTCAAAAATGTCACGCCTACCTATCTCTCTATCGCGATAGTGCAGCGCGACAGATGAGCTGTGAAATTGCAAGGTCTTTGTGGGGGTCTAAGTGGTTTAAGAGTGTGCTGAATCGTGAGTCCGGATACGCTCGCTGTAAGGTATCGTGCATCAGGTGTGACGGACTTGGACATGCAGAGAGGACGGCAAGATGCATGCTGAAGTGTTGTAAATCTGAGGCACGAAGAAGAAAGCAAGGTTTCTGCAAAGCTATTATGATATACCGTTGACCGCTACCGAAAGCCAAACCCAGAAAACCGAAACACAAAGTCGTGGAAATCCCCATCATGTTATTCGTGAGATAGAACAGCATCAGTGACCTTTGATCACTTCTTCTCCTCCTTTTGCCGCCAAAGAAGCTTCCCACGTAGCTGCCTGCGCCCTTGGCGCCTTCGCTGACCTTGCTGGCGCCAGCTTGAGCACTGGAGCCCATTGCGCCAGCATAGCTACCGTTATCGTCCTTGCCTCCTCTCTCGGCGCGGTTGATGCCCTCCTTGGAGAGCTTGTCACCAACGGGTTGTAGAAGTCCACCCTGTCCGACTTGGCCGGCTGCGAGGTTGTTCACACCGTCCTGAAGGTTGTCGACTTGTTCGTTGCCGGTGATCTTGGTCTTGCTGAGCTGATCTGTGGAACATGGGTTAGCATGATAGTCTGTTGAGTCGCAGAGCGAGTAAACNATACCTTTGGTAGCGTATGAGGCCTTGTTGTCCTTGGTGAAGTAGTAGAGAACATTGTCTTCGATCCAGGGATACCAGTTCTCGTACTGCTGGTTGTATTGCTTCTTTGACCACTCCATGTTGTTGTAGATGTGTGTATGGTTGTAGCTTCGGTGGAATAGTGCAATGGGAAGGATATGATGGAGACTTGAGGATGGAAAAGGCAGAGTCGAGATGTTTTTGTTCTTGTATCACAGCTCTTGAGATCGATCACACACCTAAGCAAACTGATATCAACTCTTTCACATGCTCTGCCGCGTCCTGCACAGTGACGTGGGCTGGTACCCGTGTGGTGCGTCACGCTCAGCCACCCAGGAATCCGGGCTGGCCGCTCATCATCTTTGACGTTCGCTGTGGCACACTGGAGAATCAGGTTTCGGCAAGTTTTGACGTGCGACGAGGTGAGAGGACGTTTGGTGAAAACTTGCTATCTATCCATAGCCAGTTTTACAAGAAATGCAGCCTTGTTGGCGCAAAAAGCAGTCCAAGCCCTATGTATGTATATGTATCTAGAAGAGAACAAGAAAGAGAAAAGTCGTAGAGAGAACCATGAACTTCGTTATTCCACGATAAGATTGCGTCTCCTCGAGAGACTGCTCTGACGGACAGGCTCGCTTCCAATTCGAGGGCTCAATGGTGAGTACTGTGTCAGGCTGGCGATTCTGCGCCTCTTAGGCACATANCTGGCTCTCTTCAAGCTGAANCCGCAGCGCGACGCTCCAAGATGCGTCTCGCTGCCTCGGAGTGAGAAGACGTTGACCCATATTGACTGCCTTCCCCTNGCGTTCGCACGTCGAGCTGCCAGAGTCTCTCGCAAGCTAGGGGAATGTTGTACACCGCCGCCGTAATCTGTTCTGCGCGTAGACGACTGTCTCATGTGGCCCATCTCCGTCATGGCACGAGAAGGAGCGCGCGAGGGTATGTCTTGCGCGGCATCGTCCTCGACCTGAGAATATCTTTGCATACTGGTACCCGGGCGGTTATAGCGAGCGGCATAGTCAGTCTGGTCATGACTAGGTGACAATTCCTGACTGAGGTATTGATCGTTGGCTTCCAGCGGACTAGTGCTGATAGTGTTGCCCAAACCCAAGCCAAGTAAGCTACTCCTTCGGCTATCGAGACGGCTCACAGATCTGGGTGCCTCAGTCCTGAGTTGAAGATCCTGCAAACCGAGACTCGATCTACGAGCATAACGCGACGATGGCGTTTCGGCTTGCGTTTGAGGTTTGCTTGTGGTAGTGGGCTTGACAGTGGGGCTTGAAAGATCCGACTTGCCCTCACAGAGTGCAATACAAAGATCAGTGAGATTCCTGCACATACTGTCGGCTTTTCTTCTAATGTGCCTATCGGAGACGGCAGCACCGTTGACCATGGATGCAGCCGCGAACGCAGTACCCTGGGGCCCGCCACTGCCCGTCATAGCAGCGAGTGCCAAAGCGTCAGAAGCTGTTGCCTCTAGAGAACGATAGAGTTGTGGGTTGAGTACGTTCTTGGCTTTGCCGAGGGCACTATGTAAAAGTGGATGCAGGTTAGCTGTAGACAGACCAGGAGTATTGATGTCGGCCGGCACACTGCTCTGTTTTCGAGCATGCTTTGGCGAGGAAGATATAGTAGTCGGCGCAGTGGTTGCTGTACGAGGTCGTTCGAAGGACTGATTTGTGGCATTTGCACTGGAAGGCGAAGGCTTGCCGCCAATCTCGAGACTACGGATACGTGATTTGAGATCGTCAAGTTCATCCCACACGGTAGAAGGGGCATTGACAGAATCTACCGATTCACTCTCGGCATTGGATCCTTTCCGAGCAGTAGGGGCTGGGGACATGGTCGGTGTGATGAGACCCTGGGCGAGACGGTCAGAGAGACTGGATAGATTACGAGAGTTGGTCAAAGGCTCATATGCTTTTCCCACACGGTACATGCGACGCTGCTTTGGTATAGCGTCGGAGATGTTTGTGCCAGTGGGACGCTTGGAAGGGAACTTGAGGACATCGGGCGAGGCATTCCACTCGCGGGCAGCAGCCTCGAAGGACGACGATGTGGTTGTTCCAACGGCATAGCGAGGTTTGCGCATAGAGGCACGCAGCGAGGGAGTACGGATGTTGTTGTGTTCAGTCTGAGCAGGGCTTGGTGAGTGTTGGGCACGCAACTCGGCCAGCCTGGTCGCATTGAGACTCTCGTTGGACGGAGCGCGTTCTCGCACGTTCAATGGCTTGCGCAGGGGCACTGGGACTGCATAAGCGTGTATCGCGCGAGGTTCAGTCGAGGCCGGGCATACCTTTNNGCCATGTGCCGCATCGGGGCCGTCCATGGCGAGGCTCAAAAACAGATCGTCGGTGGGATTGACTGTCTGGCGCATCCTGGACACGCTTACCCTCCTATTTTGACTTGCACTGTCATGATCGCTGGTCGACATTTCCAGACGAGGTGATCATAGGAGCATTCTTCTATGCGGTCTTGGTTTTTTCTGTGGAGGCTGCGCGCCTGACTTGGATACTGAGGATGTTTGTTTTCCCTTCTGTTTTCCCTACTCTTTGTGTGCAAAGCTCTTCCAACAGAAGCGACAAACTCCTGACGCGCGCAATCGGCGAGCAGTATATGCAAAGGGTTATGACGGGACGGTAGCAATCGGGCACGACGCGATTGAGGCAGTAGGCGTTCGAGACAGTGGAGGGTCGCAGCGAGGGGATGGCATGTGTAAAGGCGATGGCTTCGCGGAGAGCCGCTGTTCGCTTCACTCAGCCTTCCCTGCAAACCATCGACCAGCCACTTCTCGCACCAAGCATCCATCAATCATGATCCCGCCAATCTCAAAATCCGTGCTTAGACTCGATCTGGCCTATTCTCGCTATAGCGATTCACGGGTATTGTTCATAAATCACCAACATCCCTCGGGGCTCAAGCCTGTATCTCGCTTAGTTGAACTGCCCTAATAATGTCTGACACGCCGAGAAGTGTCAAAGGTGCTTGCTGCCGCAGAACTGGTCCTCGCTCTCGTCTCCGCCTACACGTCCAGAAGGCAGGCAAAGAAAAGCAATCTGCGGACCGTTTGCACCAGGTGGGCAGCTATGTACCGTTGGCTCACCATAGACATCATGGCCATGACAAGCTCGAAGAAGCTCGGCGACTTGCCCGTAAACCTCGTGTCGAATTAGAAATTAATCCACGGTGCCGTTGACCTAACTTGATATGTGGGTACGCGATGCACTGAGTACATCCTTATTATCTTGCTTCTCTCAGCAACGAGGACTCTGCTGTTGTATCGAGCCAGTCGTATCATTGACATAGATTGCAATAGGGCCAGTCGTTTCGAGTTTTCGAATCATGAAACACAAGTAGCGGCACAGAAAACAACAGAAAGCTGGCGACTAAAAATAGCAAGCCCTTGGCGCTCGACCGTTTCTGTGGTGGTCCTGCAACTGCCAGCATCTCTCTCCTCCTTCAAGCGCGCCCAGTGGACTGGCCGGTCTATCCTCTTTGCTCTTTGTCCCTTTCTGCTGTCCTTTGACCGAGAACACCTCCTAATACCGCCCTCTGCTTTGTCCCCGAGAACAAACGGCGACGCTTCCCGCCCAAGTCCCGACAACCTGACAACCTGACATCGACGACACTGCGCCCGGCATACCTAGCCTCTTCTTTGTTCGCGCCTTCCCTGCCCGCTCTTACCCTCAGCATACGCCTTCGACATTGTACTTCGACCCTCCCTCAGCACAGCTTCGGCCTCAACTCTACCACCTCCCTGCCAGCGCCGTTGACCAGCACGGTTTCGCATCAAATTGCAGCCTCCGTTTGAAAGACAACAACTACCGGCGCGTTATTCGCAAACGAATCTCTTCTCCCACCCGCCAGACTGCTCCTTGAACAGCCCTTAATATTACACCCTGAGTCGATCAAAACAACATTCCTCGGTGCTGCCCAGAACAAGTCTTCGGCCTGCAAATACATCTGCGTTCGCGTCATACCTCTTCTACGCCGACTGGACTCGACCATTACAAGGCCTCCTGGTATGTCTATCCGTCAACAGTTCTATTCAGCCCGTACAAGTGTTTCTATTCTTTCTCATAGAGAGTTCCGGGCGCTACTGCACTCAATGCGGCTGCTGCATGACCCCAGCGCGGCTACAAGCCGCGCCATATTATGATTGGTCAACTACACATGTAGATTCTGTGAAGCGCCCTGCTAACACATTTCATCCGACCAACCAGGCTTCCACCCATCCTATCTTGCCATATCTTTTGTTCACGTCTACGGGTACCCATACCGTCGACTCGCCGCCTGCTCAGACTCGCCGATTACTGCTTCGAGAAATGGCTTTATAGTGCCAATCTTGCTTTTAATACTTTGCTCTCATTTGTCCGCTTAACCATTGCTGGCGACCTTTCCTCCTTCACGATCTTACACCTATTTGTCGACTTTGACTGTCTCTGTTGTATTCGCAGACTGTTCCCGCGACGAAGGCCCCGCATCTGTTTCTGTAAGATCGCCCTTGTTCCGAATTCTGACGATCTCAATCGTAGCACAAACAGACCACGCATCTAATCACGATCCAGAACAATTCTTCACCTTGGCTCCTCCGATATCGACTACACATCTCTGTCGAGCTTGCCGCTCTGATCAGCAAGTAGTGTGTGCGACATTGCAATGATTGGCGACTTGCACGGATCTGTGGGCACGAGCAAACCGCTACCAGGCGGTGATGTCTCGCGGGCAGGTACAATATTACGGAAACCATTCGAGTCATATCACCAGCACAAAGAGAGTGTATCAACATCTCCATCGACCTCAGCGGATTCGTCTCCTACCACATCCGCATCCATCATCGACGACTCTTCGGCGACAGAGATGTCTCCAGGTTCCTCACCCGAGTCGCCGTTAGGGAAGCCCTACCCTTCTTCATTCGGCATGACTAGACCGCATACTTCAGACAATGCTATGATGCACTCATCGCAACCCTTCTTCGAGTTGCAACGATCTGCCACCCCTGGCAGAAAAGGAAGAAACCTCAAGAATCTCGCCGTCAATACATCGGGCGCTTTCGTCATGTCCAGAGCCGCGTCCACCACGTCTCTGCCCATGTCATCATCACTTCAGGGAACCGCGAGCTCAGACAGCCTTAGCCAATCCTTCTCCAAGCCTCCTAGTCTTACAAAGCGACGCTCTAGCAAGACCCTCGGCTTGACGATCCTAACACCAGCCAACACCAAGGCACTGCCTCAAAACGGACGCGGCGTTGTGCCTCCGACTCCATCATTTGCTCGCCCCAGTGTGCTTCGTCACTTTCAGTCATCACCCTCTCTGCCCCTACACATCGCTGAGGAGATTCGCGAAGAGCCAATCTCAGGTACACAACAAGGACAGAAAGAGTTTGCATTGCCTCTACATATGCGCGAACCCCTCAAAACCAACGACTCAGATCAAAACTTCGACGTACCCCAATCAAAAGAGGAGAAACCTGAAGCGTATCCTGACGGACCCATTTGTGTTTATGGCCGTTACCTGGATCTTTACCTTGAACCAACAGCTGCACAGGCTTCCCGCTACGATGTCATCCTGAATGTCGCTAGCGAAGTTAAGAATCCTTTCGATTTCGCAACCTTTCAACCTTCTGGTCCAGAATTGCGTCTCGATGGTGGAGGCGGTATTCAGTACGCCCCAAAGCGCAATCATCTGATCTCCCAGAATGGCTTTGGTCGAGAGAATCTGAGTCCAGTAATCGAGTCGTCACCAACTACACCCAAGGCAAACCCATTCATGAAAGACATCACTTCTGCGCCTCAGCCGAAAAAGTCCACGAAACTGGAGCCGGAGTATATTCATATCCCTTGGGAGCACAATACCGACATTGTTCCTGACCTCGTCCGCCTAGTAAAGGTCATCGACGAACGCATCCAGCTTGGAAAACGTGTTCTGATCCATTGTCAATGCGGAGTGAGCAGATCGGCGACACTGGTTGTGGCCTACGTTCTGTATAAAAACCCCTCGATGAGCGTTCAAGAAGCATACGATGATGTGAAGAAGCGAAGCAGGTGGATCGGACCCAACATGAACTTGATCATGCAGCTGCAGGAGTTCCGATCAACCTTACAAAGGCCTCAGAGCAGGTTTGGTAACACTCGTGGTCTGAGTCCTAACTCGCCTCCATTTGGTTTCACCGAAACGGGACGTCCGGCATCCTACGACGGCAGCAGTGTGCCTGGAATCAAATCACCAAAGACTGCTCCTCTCCCACCGGATACGGCACAGTCAAAGCTTTTGCGCAATCCCGATCTTCTGGCCGTCAGCCCAGGCCCTTCTTCAGCGCCCTCAGGCCTCACTTGGCCATCAGACGACACTGCAACCGTATCTAAGAAGCCGGAAGAACTTGCCCGTAGCGAAGCAGCGTACGTGGACCCAAATGGTCGCACGGTACCCGTCGTACAAATCTCAGAAGACCATCCCATTCTCGAACCCAAAGTCACGAAAGAGTTGAAAGACCGACCAAAGTCACTGAACCTTGAATCACATATCAGGCAGGATTCTGGAAGACACATCACTCCCATGGTGTCCCCAAGAGCCACTGAGTTTGCGATGGCGCCACTCAGACCTTCAAAAGAGGCCGACTCGGCTGATCAATTTGGCTTGATGTCTCCACGCGCTTCAGAATTCTCGCAGTCTCCATTCGACCGCGAGTCATTGCTTGGTGCATTAGGCATGGGTCCAGCAGTATTACCACACCTCAGACCTCAGCGTCTTGCCCCAAAGGCGCCCAAGTCACAGAAGAAGGTACCCAAGAATCTTACTCTACGACCTAAGATCAGCGCACCTAGCTTGAGCGAGCAACGAGAGCTGCAAAACATGCAATCGAAGCTCGAGGCTGAGTTGACGCATGACGAGCCGGATTTCATGGACGCTTTGGCATCACCACGTGCTTTCGAATTTACGCAAAACCCCTTCGCCAATCTTCCTGGAGAGCCTGACGTGGAGAGGTCTACCACTGCCGCCGTCAACGGGAGAGAGGATCCGCGCAGCCCGCCACAAAAGGGAGCTTTCCCAATCCAGCGCAACATCTTCGATGTGCTGTAGCATAGTGTCTTGACAACACCTTCGCCACGACCTAGTTCATTTGTCATCCTTTTTCTGCACAATATTCGACAATTCCAACGACGACCCGTCTTTCCTCTGCTCCGAGGAACTATGGCACAAAATCGTCCTTACTGCAACACAAACCCCTGATTCGGTAGGGAGGTTTACCTTTTGTTTGACGACTCATGGCGTTACAATTTCTGGGTGAGGGAGATGAACACGAAGACCTATTTTCTGCTTGTTACTTTTCTCCTTCGATTCTTCTTTCCCCATTACCCATTTCCCCATCTTTTTGCATTCATGCTACTATTTCCCGCTTCTTCTCTATACCATGCTATGCGGTTCGATACGTTTGTTCAGACCAGCTAGCAAGCGTTGCATTTCCTCTTCACTTTTTCATAGCTTGTTTTCCTCTTCTGTGTGCCTCTCATTCGCTCTTGGTATTATAAGAATGAATAAAGGGGTGATGATGTCGTCACCCTTACAGTCTACCATTCCATACCGATTCACGTGCAGGCAGTATCAAATTTGAAAGATTCGAGGTAGATGATGCTCTTCGATTAGCAACAGGCAGGTACAGTCAGTGTCAAGAGCGTCCGGGACATCTTGAACCTTCCTCATCGTGGTCTTCGACTTCTCACGCCCTGCGGTTGACAAGCTGGCCCGAGCTTCCATGAATATATATTCCAAAAGCTATCGCGGTCCAACGATGAATACAGGACCAACAACTCCTTCTCTTCCCATCAATCTTGTTTCTCATCAGTCTCAACCATGCGTTCCATCACCGAGCTCCATAAAATCGTCGACAGAGCGATGGTCGCCAAAAACGTCTTTGAGCTACGCCCAGACTACCTCGCTCTCCTGATAGCAGTCGACGGCATCACACCGTCTCCCAGCGATTCTTCCTCTGACCAGCTTCTCCAATCCGCCGAATCTGCGGCCAAAGACCGCGTTTCCTCTAGCGTCGTCACCGAAATCCCGGCCATCAAAGCCTGGCGCGACACTTATAAATCCTTTGGCGCCAAACCCAAGAAATACCAGAGTTCGATCGAGGCATTGACGAGACGAGCTGTTGCAGGGNGATTACCGAGAGTGAACAGGTTAACAGATATTTACAACTCTATTTCTGTGCAGCACAATATCTGTCTCGGCGGCGAGGATCTAGATGCCTATCAAGGCCATCCGCGCCTGATCCTTGCCACTGGAGACGAGAAATTCGAGACTAAAGCCGGAGACGAAAGACCAGAAAAGGGAGAAGTGGTTTGGTGTGATGAAGGTGGCGTTACGTGTAGGAATTGGAATTGGAGACAGTGTGTCAGAACACAGTTGAAGGAGGAGACGGGGGCTGCGTTGTTTATCTTGGATGCGTTGAGTCCGGTGGATAGAGGGATGTTGGAGATTGCTGGGGAGGAACTGGTAAAGAGGTTGAGGGAGNGGAGTGAGGGGTTGGTTGTTGCGAAGAGGGTTATTGGTGTTGAGGATGGTGTGGATGTTTGAAAAGTTGGATATCAAGGAGAGAAGATGAATGGCAGTGTTCGAACCATCTTGTCAATGACAACGATCAGATAAATGTATAGTATAGATAGATGCTTTTTCGTACTTGTCTTTATAGTCTGCAGAACGCTATGCAACAATCATCTCAAACAACATACTGTGCTTTTGTAAAACTATGCTTCTTCCACCTTGACTGGCTTCTCTACTGCCAATGTCTTGGCAGCCTCTACAGTCACCGTCTTGATGCCTGCGGCTACAGCCTGATCCTCCTTCTTCACATCACCAGTGATGGCATCTCTCGGAACAGCGCTCTCAACAATCTGCCCATTCGAAGCCCTAGCCTTGCGCTTCCACCCAGTCTTGAATAGCTTACCCAACTCAAAGTTCGGGAAAGCGTGAGCCTCAGTGTTGAAGACGACCTTGTCCAAAGGCAAGACATCGTTCGGGCCAAACAGCAGATAAAAGTACTTCAACGTCTCTGCAAGCCAGAAACTCTCCATGTTGTCTCTTGAGGAGGTAGGAACAGAGTTGACATCGTTGATGCTCGTGTACCCGCCATTATGTTCGACGGCAGTGTGCTTGACAAAGGACTCGAACATTTGCCAGCCCCACTCTCTGTAGATGTCGTCGCCGGTAATGCGCCACATGTAAAACAAACTCTCGACAGTCTCGGGACGTTGCAGATTGTGTGCGTCGGCAGGCTTGATGATCAGATCTTTCTTCCACTCGGCCTCGACGTCGTCAGACAATGTCTCGGGCGACTGAAGGACACCATCAGGCATCATGGCAGGAGGATCGTGCATTTCGAAGTGGGTGATTTCTGCAGCAAGACCGGTGGCGGCGACCTTGTATGTTGCCCAGCAGGTCTTCATGAGCTGCTTGGCTAGCTCGATTTCGCCTTCTTCTTTCTTGCCCCAGGTTGCCGACTTTCTGGCTTCGGCGAGAGTCTGACCTTGAGTCGCTCCTAAAGCGATAGTACCCGGCATGAAGCACACCAAGTGATCCATCTTGGGAGAGATTGGTTGGTCAAGGCCTGAGGGACGCTCACCAAGGATGGTGAGATTGGCTTTNTGTGAGTACGTGATAAGGTGCTTTTGGATACCAGCGAGAGACTGATCCCACATTTCGTGGTAGACAGGTTCCTGCTTTGAGGTCTGCAGATATTGCTTAATGAGGTATTCNTATAAATGTTAGCAGGGGATCAATCCGCGCTGTCAGCCTACCATACCGTAGTAAGAGTCACCGCGACTACCCAATCTGATGTTGTTGCCTCTGAAGTTTCCAGTCTGAGCGTATATGAAAATGGGCAAAAGGCCATCCTCCATGCCATTGTCGTCAACGACTTGCATAACCTTCTCAGCCTTCTCCCAGTAGTGTACCTCGCCAGTCAGCTTGGCCAGATACTTCATTTCGAGTTGAAGACTGGTGGCTTCAGCAGTCGAGGAGGCACCTCCATCATCGTGAGAAGGGATTCCTTTGCCGGTGTGAAGGTTGACGCTGGCATAAGGTACACCAGAGTTGGAGTCGTATGCACCGAGAAGACGATCGGCCAGATCTGCAGCCTTCTCCAAGTACAAGTCCTCACTGATGGAAGCACCAGTAGCAGAGTGGCTAGTCAAGGGAGCGTAGTCAGGGAAAGTGGTGGAAATGTAGTGAGCAGACAATAAACCACCGAGCATGCGAATGGTTGTCTCAAACGTGTTTACATCGTGGTCAATGTCGTAATGTAGGGTGGTCGAAACCCAGTCTCTAGCGTGCGAGAGTTCGGTGGTGAGGTTCATGAGCATGAGGGTGTCGAGAGCATCTACTATGATCCAGCCCATACCACCCTTGACCATGTGACGGCCTGTCTGTGAAACGGGCTTAAATTCGTCGTAGCCCCAGCCATGTTGTTCGTAGGCTGACCAGCTCAGCTTGAAGGCATCTCTCACTTGTTCCCTTCGCTCTTCCCAATTTGCAGGTTTCTTGGACTTCAAGACACTAGGGGCGGAAGCACTAAAGAGGCCCAACCAGTAGAAGGTTGTGGTAAAGACTACCAGCAGCGCAGCAAGGAAACGTTTCCTCCTGAACCACGGCAGTCTGCGGGAAGAGCTGGCGAAGGGTTTATCTTTGTACATGGGCAACGAGGGCCTCCTGTCACCAAACATTCCTCCTATTTTCTCGGCCACGCCTGCGCTGCTGGTGGAAGCATCGTCTTTCGATTGGAATCGTGATCGTCCGGCATCAGGGCCAGTGCGAGGCAAGGCATACGACATAGTGACGGACTCCGGGGGTCAATATGAATGGGTGCAGCGAACGGGGTGATCTAGTGGGCGGATTGCTGCATAAAGTGCAATGCGATTCTGCGCAAGTTGGCCAGTTGGTGACGTCGCTGAGAATGAGAAGGGGTGACTCGAGTAACACCCTGTGCTGTCTCTGCACGGTGGGACTTGTGAAAAGGACTGGAAAAGAGAGTAGGGCGACAGAGGCCAAAGTCGCAAACGTGACCAAATTATCGATTAGGTGTCAAGCTAGGCACATTCACATGCAGAAGGTCCCTCGCTCCTTCCCCACACTCCGACCCCTGGCTCAATTTGCATTGCATACCTCCAACCAAAAGATTGAATGAGCTACACTTTCTCGCGTGACAAAAATTATCGATTTACCATTAGGACATGGTGATATGAGCCTCCGACAATACGCATGCGGTGTTCATGACGAGTATTGTTCCAGCCATAGAAGCTATCATCCAAACGCCTGCCTGCCTGCCCAATTCGGCTTGGAGAAAACCTTTCCTTGCCCACCTTTCATAAACATATCAAGTACAATAGAAATTGCTCATATCACAGGAAGATTGGCGCGCCCCGGTTGGCCCGCGCCTTGAGCTGACTCTCCTTGAACTGTTCCCATCCTTGAGGGTCTTTCATCTGCAACTGCTGCAGCTCCTCCAGATTGGCTCCCATCTTCTCCATCACTCCTTCCCATCCACCTTTCTGGTCTAGCATCACTCGGAGTTCTGGACCCGAGATGTCTCCCAGCTTGGAGGCGATCTCAGCCATATGGGATCCTGGTGCCCATTCCGTGTGCGCATCTGGCTCAGATATCTGTACACCAATTGGCACATCGATAATGTCCTGTCGCACCTTGTGTCCTAGACGATGGATGCGTCCTTCTTCAATTGCAAGTGCTCTCGATGCCAGACTAACGTCGCTAGCCTTCCTTCTCATAGAGCCACCGCCACTGACATGCAGTTCTTCATCCTGATCTGACTCGATAGCCGATGTTTCTGTTCCGAATGTGGTAGCAGAGCTGGCCATGAAGTCGTTGGATAATGGTCCAGATTCCGTCGACTCCAGCGAGGAAGACAGAGAGAAGCTTTGCTGGTGTGGTGGTAGGTCCAGATGGAGGCGAGTTTCCGGGAACTCATCCTCGAATCTTTCAATCATGCCACTCAAGGTCTGATCAAGGAAGAGCAGACGGCGGTAGTTCATCTCATCACCAGCCGCAAACTCCTTGGCCAAAGCTGGCTTCAAGCGATTTCGGAGCTTGCGAGCACTGTCAAGCAGATTCCTGCTGACCTCCTTGGCCTTTCCTCTCCTCTTGACTTCACTTTGAGCTGGGTTGCCAATGTCTCGGGGCGTAGTGGTTCCTGATAGCGATATGCTACCATTACGCTTGTCCAACTGGTCTTGTCCGAGAAAGTATTCCAAAGCTTTAATGATACCATTACCCCCGACGATGTAATCATCATCTGGTGCTGTTTCGTCGTCGCTGCCGTCGGATAGTCGGTCTCCGTCCAGATGTCCCACGAGATGTACTAGCACGTCCGGAACTGGTGCCTGTCTGGCGTCCTCGACTCCATGTTGCTTGGAAAGCATGGTAGCTGCAGGCAGTAGAGATGATTGAGCCATAGTTCTGTCCATATTACGTAGGCAGTATGCAACGATTTGCTTCGCCAACGCCTTGACTACCTCGCTTTGACCAGGGCCGGGAACCTAAGTCGAACTTGTCAACGCCGTATTAGAACAGAAAAGAACAGTGTGACTTACATCAACGTCGATGCAGACAAGTGATTTTGACACTCGTGCAGCAGCGCAAAGCGAAGCATACAAAGCGCAAGCTTCCTCCTGGCTGTCCTCGTCGGTCGCTTGAGACAATGCAGATAACTGAGGGTTTTCAAGAATGGTCAGATGGGCAAGCGAGATGCCTTCGGGCNNAATACCTGATGCAAGTCAATATCAGAAACCAACAGTCGGCAGAGAGAATCTTACCTCGGCCAATGATATGGCCTGCTTCACTGACAGACCGACGTCTATAAGGTGCAATCTCTTCAAGTTGTCCAGCTTGGGCAAGTACTTCCTGAGTAGCTGGAGCGCGCAAGCATCACCTACGAACAAGTTCCTGTTATGGCTGATGTCGATGAAGCGGAAGTTCTGTAATGTTGTCAAGGTGGGTAGGAGTTCTCTCAATGAATCTGTATCCAAGCTGCAGCCAGCAAGACTGAGGCCCCAGACTGGGCAATCAGGATTGTGTTTTAGGGCCTCTGCAAGCTTACCAAGCTTGCCTCTAAGGTCGTTACTACCCACGTCGAGAGCTTGGCAGACGCCCGATCGTACGTAATGCAGTATGTGTTCGAACCCTTCGTCGTCGAGTTTGTTACCAGCGAATCCAAGTCTGGCGATGCCGCAGACTGTGGCTCCATCAACGATCTTGCGAATCTGATGAGGCGCGAGTCCACATTCTGCCATGGTAATTTCTTCAAGGCGAGATCCGCCAAGTCTTCCGGACAATGCCTTACACAATGTCTCTGCGGCATCAACTGAATTGCCAGTCGTCTTGGGCATCTGGTTAGGTGCCTTGATATTTAGATTGGGCTCGGTCGGCGGTAGTTCTTGGGGAAAGTTTAGCATCGAAACATCGAGAGCCTTGATCGACCGGCACATGTACAGGAAGATAGAGATATGCTTCCAGCCGATCTTCGATATTCTCGGGTTGTTCTTGAGTATAAGCTTCTCCACGATTCCACCCGTAGGTTTGGCAGGAATCTGACGAGCACCATTTCGCCGCCTGGTAGGCTGGGGCTTTTTGGAAGCGAGCAGTCCAGACAGAACAACACGCAAGCCCTCGTCACTGATGTCTGCATCCTCAAGCAACAATCGCTTTACAGGAACAATTGCGAGCCAATCGCTTAGAGTCACAAAATCGGCCAATTGAAGCCGGGACCCGGTAAGATTGAGCTGAGTTACAGTTCCAGGATCCTCAGGCGAAGTGCAGTCCTCTGCCATAAGCTGTTCGGTAATACGTTTGAGAATAGGCGATTCCCTGAGCTGACAACATCTTCTGTATATCCTCACAGGATCGGTGGTTGGACGGTCTTTTGGAGTTGCTGCACCTGACTCCGTAGGGGTTTGGTTTGCGGAAGGACCTTGCTGCGGAGAGACGTCACCATTCAGCTCACGAGGAAGCTGACCACTATTTTCGGCCTTCTGTCTCTTCTTCTCCTTCCGATCTTTGCGTGCAGCATCTTCTTCGGGTGTCGATTTCGAGTTGTCTCCAGGGGTCGTAGTTTTGTCGCTGATCTCGGGACCTGCTTCGGGCGATCCGGTTCTACCAGCAATATCATCGTCGGTAGAAGCAGCAGCTGCGTCAAACTGCTCTTTGCGTTCGGTGACTGCTTGCGGGTTTTTCAGAGCCTCTCCTTCTCCACGTTCCTTGAACTTTTTGTCCTTCGCTTTCTTCTGTTTCGGAGCGTCCCCAGTATCGTCATCTCTGTATCGCGGCCCAGAGGCGATTTCAACATCGACCGAGAAGGCGACACGTCGTAGTTTGGCAGAATCGAGCTCTGGTAAAAGGCAGCGTTCGCGGCCCTGGTTGACGTTCAATACACGTCGTGGGCACATGCCACCATTCTCGCCAGGACGGGGAGTACCAGCATTTTGAGCGCCGGAAGACAGACGGCGGGTAAGGTTCGAGAAGAAGGAGCTGTTGGACTCCTTTGGCCTTTGCGGAACGTACGGTTGTAGTTCCTCTGCCTCGCGATTCGCTGTCGGTTGTGTAGGACTCGTGACTAGATTGTCTCTCGCAGANTTGGCTGGATGGACCCGCATTCGTGCCATTGGCCTGCGACTTGGTAGTCTGGGGCACGCTTGGAGACGGAGGGGCCTGCGACGAGAACTTAGAGCTGATATTGGAGATCCACGAGTTTCTACGTGAGCTCCTGGTACCATCAGCGCCCTCTCTTTGGGAGGAAGAGCGACTGAGGATACCGGGTCGACGCGACGAAGTCTTGGATGCTGCATTGGACGAGTCGGTAGAGTTCGAAGGCGGAGGCTGAGTCGGTGCAGCGTTTCGAGGCGGAGAAGGAGGCTTCGAGGGGAGTGGCGGTGCCTTCTTTGATTCTACAGGCGAAGAGGAGCGAGAACGAGCGTGCGACGAGACGGGNNCGGAGGATTGTCGTTAGGAGTGCCGGGAGCTCGGTGGACGACAGGCTCGTGTTGTGGGTGTTCTGCTCCGGCTTGAGTATGCGAGCTGGACTGTGTGGCATTGCTAGAGAGCGCACCTCTGTCTCTGTTTGGCTGATGGGCCCAACTGACGTCAACGCCATGTACGGATTCCATTATCGGGTGCTTTGGTCGATGGTATTGTGTGATTAGGCCATGCTCTTGCTGATTTCGAGTCTTGTCTTGGAGTCGTCGCGTGCAGTGCGACGGCAGATAGCAATTGATTGAATTGCGACAGGTACTTGGCTCCTCGGGGGTGAGGGGTCGGTCTTATTGAAATTGACGGGAGTTGGTGTAGCGGGAGGGTCCAGATCAGCGGGTGTGGAGAAGAGACGACCTTGGATCGACCGCGTGATACTTGATACTAATTACTACCGCTGCCACTGGTTTACAGTCTGCTCGAAACCCATCGACTCGACCAAGTCTGAAAGTCTACTATAACGAGCGTATAGCTCTCGTCTGTTTTCCACATCATGCGTGCGTGCTGTCGGCCTTTTTATTTTGTGACCTTCGGCTCCACGCCTTCGGACATCTTGTCTAGACATGTCGCCATAGCGCGACCGGGCAACAGGTATTTGCGCCGCAAATCGGCGAACACTGGCACTCTGACACATTGATTTGGCAGTTTGTTACACGCTGGCTCCGAAATGTTTTGTTTTTGTTTTATGATGAGCTCGGCTTCGCTATGCGCACGCGAGCTTCGGCGAGTCCAAAAATCCCCTTTGGCTCGCGTCACTTCCGAAAGGTTTATGCACGTTGGGCGCATGCAGCAGCAGCAACGAGGTGGCTTACAGAAGCAATCAACTCGAGGGGCAGCAACAGCAACAGCAACAGCAACAGCATATACTTCTCACGTACTCGGTGAGACTCGAGCAAACAACACAGCCTTGAATCACCACATCACAATATCTTATTCACGGGGAAACAAAAAGGTTTGATGACCTTGCTTTGCAGACTTTTTGATTCAAAATAAAAGCAACCACAATTGCCGTAGCACATTGTCCCACCCATGATATCCTTAAAGCAAGGCCATTGACGCCGAAAGCTCCTGTCATAAACGTGGAGGAAACCCTCAAAACGTCACGAGTTCCCGTCCATAATCGACGACCCCATACCCCTTTTGATGCTGATGAAAATGCATTTAAGCGGAGAGAGCCTTGATCTTCTCCTGGATCTTGGCCTCACGCTCAGCCTTGGTAAGCTTGTTGTCGCGGAACTTCTTGGACTCCTCCTTCCAGAAGTCCTTGGACTTCTTCTCCTCACCCTCGGCCTTCTTGAAGGGGTCCTCGCGGATCTGCTTGTGGGCGTCCTGGTAGAGCTCCTCAAGACCGTCGGCCTCAATGTCGTCGTCAATGTATCCCTGGAACTGGGACTTGTAACGCTCCTCGTCGTCGTCGGCAAGAGTCTCCATGTACTCAGCGACGTGACCGGCGAAGATGTACTTGCGGAGGGTCTCGGCGTCGAGCTCCTTGGTCTCAATGTCAAAACCAGGGAAACGCTTCTCGGAGTGGGGGACGTAAAGGCCACCATCGGAGGCACCCTTCATGGCGGCGAAGACACGGGCACCGGTGGAGGTGCGGGTCAAACCGACATCAAGGTAGACCTTGAAGGGGCGGCGCTCCTCACCGTCGACCTCAGCGGCCTCAGTCAGGGTGAACTCGCCATCAGCCTCCTCGACACCAGTGAAGGAGTCCTGGATGCCGAGCTTGTGGACGGCACGGCGGGCGATCAGAAGACCGGTAGCGTAGGCGGCGGCCCAGTTGGTAAGACCGTGCTCAACACCGTAGGCCTTGAGCTCGTGGGCGTAGGCGGCGCAGAAGACCTTGTCGCCAGTGATCTCGGAGGAGACGATCTGGCAGATGATGTCGCGGTTGGTGAAGCGAACGACCAGGCGGTACTTAGGGGCGTTGTACTTGTTCTTGGCCTGGGTGATCAAACGCTTGCGGGCGTAGTAATCGGTCTTTCCCGAGCGTCTACGGCGGTACTTGACCTGGTAGCGCCTGAAGAGTTGTTAGCAATCCGAGTCGCTCTGGTCAGTTGTTTTACAGATGTGCACTTACGAGAAGTAGGCGTCGTTCTTGACCAGCTTGGTCTAGAAACATCCTCGAGTCAGCAATTTGCGCTTCAGAAACTCTTCCGAAGCATCTTGCAAGGACTCTCTGCCATCAATGCGATGGCCACAGGGCACTCCACGAGCAGGCGGTGATACTTACGAAAGGCATCTTGTCGGTGGTTGACGGGGTCGTTGGGCGTGGAAAGGCAAGAAAATCCGTGCGGCTTTGATTGTTATCCGCACAGAATTTTAAGCGAGCACAAAAGCATGCCAAGATTTTAGGGACCAAAGTTGGCGACGCTTCTGAGCGAACATCAAGACTCCGCCTCCACGCAACCATCACTCTTGACGGTCTTCACTCGTTATGATCTATCTTCACTATGAAGAATCAAGATCCGACCTTCAAACTCATCAATGAGACACCTGAACATTCATCTTTCCAGTGCCATGGTCACAGTAATTCGAAGATACGATGATGCCTGTCGCTTTGTCTGGCTGCTTACAACACTGCCTATGGCTATTCTGACTATCTTTGAAAAATGTCCTTCGACTTTATAGACGCGCTGCTCTGGCCTCCGAGTCTCCCACTTCAGCCTTTGCCTGGTCACGCAGAATCTTGCGCAAGATCTTGCCTGACNNTGTTCTCATGTCAATTCACGTCTTCTGTGTTGGTCGCGAAGCACTTACAGGGTTCTTTGGAATCGCCTCCATGAACACAACACCACCAGCCAGACGTTTGTGTCTTGCGACTTTGCTGTTCATAAATTCTTGAATGTCCTGGGCCTCGACGTTTTGGTCTGCGCGTCGTACGAGATAGGCTCGTGGGAGCTCTTCGCCCTTTCTGCAAATTGTAAGCATCCGACCTGTCTCGCTTCTGACCTGCGGCACATACATTGTTACCCCTACCACGCCAGCATCTGCAATGGCTGGATGCTCGAGAAGCAGTGCCTCTAACTCGGCAGGTGCAACCTGATTACCTTTAACCTTGATCAATTCCTATCATCTGGTCAGTCATGTTTTCTGATACTCGCTCTTTTACGTGCTCACCTTGATGCGGTCTACGATGAAGAGATGGCCTTCTTCGTCAAGGTAGGCCACATCACCAGTCTTCAACCAACCATCTTCTGTGAGAGTATCTCTAGTGGCATCCGGCTTGTTCCAATAGCCTTTCATCACAGTAGGCCCTCGTACCCAAAGTTCACCTCGCTGTCCTCTTTGTACTTCGGATCCCGACGCTACGTCTACAATCATGCCTTCGACGTTGGGATTTAGCTCTCCTACTGCATTCGAATTTGAGGTCTTGGTCGCGTCCCAACCACAAGCTGAACAAGTCACTNNCTATTTATTGTCAGCTTTCCACAACGCGATCAGTGATAGGCATACTCACTCTGTCATGCCCCATCCTTGCTTCATGTTCACCTTGCCCTGTGGCCACAGTTGCTCAACTTCCTTCGAAACTTCGCTTCCGAGAGGCGCCGCACCGGATCCGATATATCTTACGGAGCTCAAGTCATGTTGTCTGGAGGCAGGATGCTTGGCCATTGCCACCGCAATCGGCGGCACCATCGTGAGATCGGTGACCTTGTATTTCTCCACATAACTTAGCATCTTGAGAAAGTCGAACTTTTGCATAATATAGGTCGGGATCGAACGAGCAATTGTCCCTACACAGTAGTATGTTTGACCATAGGCATGATACTGCGACTGTTAGCAAAGGGCTGAAAACTGAGTCGAGCCAGAGGTACGTACCATTGGGAGCATGCAAAGCCATCTCGCCGTCTTCTTGGCCTCTTCATATTCTGGCAAAGTCTTTGCAACACGAACTACACCCTCGTTGTTGCTGACATAGTTGCTGTGGGTTATCATGACGCCTTTCGGTACACCTGTCGTTCCTGACGAGTAATTGAGGCCAATGGTGCGATCCAGCTCTTCCTTGGAGCTCAACTCTTCCCAAGCAAAATCGCGGCTCTCTGCGGAGCTTGCAAGCAACTTGCTCCAATGCCTCACATCCCCGCGTTTCTTGCCAGTATTGTCGAAAGTTGCGTAGCCATTGTCAAACACAAAGACCTTGTCATGGGAGAGTCCTATAGTATCTGCTGCCTCGATACCGGTATCCAGACTCGCCTCCGCACACAACAAGAACCTGGCTCCAGAGTCTTGCAATTGGTATGCCAGCTCACGAGCCACATAAGTAGGATTGGCACCAGTGAATACACCTCCAGCCATGATGGTACCAAGGAAGACCACTGGGAAGAAGAGTGTGTTTCCTGAGAAAAGTAGCACGCGATCACCAGGCTTTAAACCGGCTTTCTGAAGACCAGCTGCGAATCGCTTGCACCATTGCCTTAGATCCGATGCTGATAGATGGTATCTGTCTGGCTTCTCTGCGTCGAAGTAGAGAGGAGTTTCTGGCAGAGCAGCAGAAGGCGATCCAAAGACATAGGTAGGTAAAGAGACCTGTGGTATATCCACGTTCCAGCGACTTTTCCAGGGCATCTTGGGAGAAGATCACGACTTGCTGAATGTGGGCTTGGGTACGTTGGAATCTGGACTGAATTGAAAGAGACTTGAAGAAGAAGGTCTTGAAGGAGTTATGGACGTCCTTCAACCGCTAATGAGTTGCCCGTGACCCATCTGCTTAGACACGGCACTTCCATTCCGCTCTGCTATCATCGCTTCTCCAAGACATGGCCACACCAAAGTTTCGATTGCCGCGGCTCTTACATCTGTGTCTCTGATGTAACACGGACCTGTCACCCCCACAAATGCGGGGAAGTCTCAATATTAGCCGTTCAGATGCCTCGGTATCTTCTATCGTCTGTTCATGAAAATGAAGTGTGAATAAGATCACATTTGGCATAACTTGGTAAACGTGTGCTTGTAGGGGCCATATCGGTCAGTACTATGGTACACAAGTCGGTGTGAGACGAGTCCGATTTTTCAAGTTGCTGACATGAGAGACTCGAAGCATTAAACTGGCAGGGATAGGCTGCAGGGATCCCGTCAGTCGCAATTCGGGTCAGAAAGCGTATGCTCAATCATCTTCACCTTGGAGTGTGACACAAAGCACTTTCAATCGTTGAGAACAAACAACGTGAGAGTCATGCTTATGAAGTTGGCGACACAGAAATGTCATCGAAAACAGTACGATAGGGGCACCCTGCCCGACCCACTCTTACCAGTTTCATCGCTTGTCTCGAGTTTGGACTGCATACAGCTTGCCTTGTTTCGACTCGACATTGAAGGAAGATTCAAGGAAGACTCCATGATGAACACGCAAACATCTCGAAACCCGCTATGGCAGTCAACGTGTTTCAAATTCTTCTATCATGGGATACTTGATTAGAACCTTCGCCCATGTGGTTTAGCATAGAAGCAGCATCGATAACACCGACGTGAACATAATCACTTTGCTGGAAGGCAGCCTCAGCACGACCGATATATCGATCAAAGACCAAGNNGGACGGTTGGATAGCCTCAACTTCCNNGCAGACACGGCCATCTAGGAGACGAACGTGACAGCAACCACAAGCTTTTCCATCCTCAAGCGAGCCGCCTTTTCTTCTNTTTCAAAACTCATTTTTGCCGAGATGAATCTTCTCAAAGAACGCTACGGCATCAATCCAGCGGTTGCAGCGATGGAAGCTCGTTCGGCTGCCGAGACCGCACTCCTCTCTGTTACTAGACAGGACTGGAAAGGAGCCATGGATAAACTGAAAAAGGTCCGCGCAATGATCTACGAAGACAACGAGGAGGCTGCACTCTGGAATGCTGAAGTGGAAGAGTGGCGACGCATGATGGACGCCAGCAAACAGCGTCAAAAGCAAGAGATCGAGAGTCGACTTGCCGCCGCACAGCCATGGGTAAAGCGACTGTGGGAAGAGGACCAGGGCAAGAAGAGCTGGGGTTACGCTGTCTTTCGCGACCCTGAAGCGGTCAACGAAGAATATGGTTCAAGGATGAATGATGCTCTTATGCACGCTCGAGAAGCAATCGGGTGCGGAGACACGATTGCTGCCAGATGGAGACTGCAGAATTTTGACTGGCCCAGTATTGCAGCTCTCGACCAGGATACGGATACCCAAACCGACGGCGAATCTACCGAAACTGTTGATGAGGAACCGAAACATGAAGAGCCCCAGGTTGTGTCGGATGATCAGGACTCTTTCGACAAGGAAGCAACGTCTCAACTAGAAGCAAACTTTCAGGTACTCCGTGAGCGCTTCAAAGTCCTTCGGAAACGCGCCTCTGGGAGACAAATAGCAACCGTCACACAGACCGACCGTGCCGCTCTACAAAGCGGTATCCTTAGGAACGTGTTCATCGTCATCAACCAGCCTTGTGTCGATTCGCTGTTCTCCGACTCGGCAAACGTCGACGACATGTGGATATGGGCTGTAGACCCAGACTATATACAGCCTGCGACCACGGATACCCCGGATGCTCCATCAGATCAGTACAGAGGCTATCTACGCGTTCGATTGCAGCAACTGGTAAACAACTTCTTCGATGCTCGACGATTTCTCGACAACTATTATTCCATGGAAGCGCTCTGGCAGGCTGCGCAACCGAGTAAGAACCAAGCGTTTGTCTCGGTACGAGAGCCGGAGCAAAAGCTCTGGATGATGAGCAGATCTATTGGAAGTGGAATTCGGCCAGAGGGTGTAGTGAGAGCTACGGCCAAGCTACTTTATTGATACAGGGGTGTATTTCGGACGGGATAATAAGTATAATGATGGTGTCTTCAATTTCGGTTTTCTTTCCCGTGTAGTAAACTAGCAGCACATGCAGCTGTAGGCAGGTCCACAGTAGGAAATAATGACAACCTCGGCCGAATAGACCGCACCAGACAGAGTCATCAAGATCTAGTAGTATCTCAAGCCACTTGAACATACCCAGCCCTTGCCCGGAACAAACAACTCTCATTTGATAGCAATCCTCACTTTCCCTGTTCCTTCTTTGGACCTCGCATTCTTACCCAGTCCTTGCAGAGCCTTATACCGCTTCACCAAAGCCCTCAATTCCTCCGTCCACGCTACGATTGTTTTTTACTTCCTCTCTGAACGTGGTGTATCAATCATCTCAACCCCCATCCCACTTTGACTCGACTTGGAACGACTCTGTAGACTTGCAGAAACAGATCGTGAATCCCAGATCAGACATCTTGTACACGGGGTGTCTGACCATGAAAAAGATGTTCTCGACCAAGATCACTTTGATCGAAAGGTGTTTGAGGTTTTCCATACTGGAGGTGATGGGGAGTTGGATGTTGGCTTTGATGTAGTTGGAGTGCTTGTACGTATAGGCACATTCTACATAGACTGTCAACTCTAGTCTTTCAATCTTTTGNATGGCGGAAGCGCTCAATGTATTCAGGTGTATTCTGTCATCGAAATAGAGATTCTGAAAGCACCTTCGGCAAGACTCGCTAGCGCGGAGCCGGCGACCGGCGTAGAGGTGTTGAGTGGCTTCAAGAAAAATTTGTCGACAAGTGCGCAGAAGGTTGACGCCCAACACTGGTTTTTGGGATACGGTGTGGGCACGATGGAAGCTCTTTGAGGTTCGAGGTAGCGGAAGAGTGACCGGCGTTGGCATTGAGAGGTGCAACTTGTAGATCATCGTGCGTAGCTCAATAGGCAGGGAGAAAAAGGCTGCTTGCCCTTTGGTTAGAATGGCCAGCTCGTCTGCTGAGGTTGGTGGGGATTATTCATCTCGTCGAGGCTGGCAAATTCTGAGACCAGAAACAGTGCTGTGTTCTTTGATAATCTGATGAGCGTTGAGGAAGTATGCTGTTAGAGAGATAACTCTGAGAACTCGAAGGTGTATGGGTGAGTCAGAATTATAGTGAGTCACGTATTGAAGTTTTGAGCAAGTTGTCGGTCGTCAAGAAGTTTTTAGGCGAGGGTATCCAGATAAGACCAACCAGCATATCACCTGCAATTATACTGATGCGATATGCTGTATTCTATCATGTCTATATGTCAGGTTGTTGCTGAGCGGACAAGTCCGAATCTTCGATGTTCTAAGGCTCCTTTATCCAAGAGTCCAGCATGTCTTCTGGGGCGTCACGAACTAGAACGTGAATGTGGTCGACACCGCGAACGCTCTGCAATGCAACCCAATTCTTGAACCAGAGAACATGATCCCTGCCTTTGCCTGTGCCGAAGACAGTGTCCAACTTGGTCGTGAAAGTGTTGTTGACAAAATCCTCAATCAGTGATCTGGAGTGGTCGGTGACATCACCAGTATTGGTGTCGGTCTCGATAGGTGTCTTTACCCAGACGCAGATGTGAACGATGCCTTTGTCCAGTCCATACGGCCAGTCATTTTTGAGGATTTTAAAGTCATCTTGAATCTTGAATGGCGCAGGGTCACGGAATTCAAATGTCGGAGGATCACTGGGAGTCGAAGATGGCAATGAAGTCCAGTGCAGGCGCTTCTGAACAACGAAGTTTGTGATGGTGCCGTACTCTGCCTTGGTCTCCGAAGACCATGCGATATAGCGACGAAGGTCGGAAGGGCGACGCTTTAACTTTTCCAAGCGATTGGCAGCTGCTATTTGTCAGGGAATAAAGCACAAGATGGCTCAACAAGATAGTGTACCGATGATTTCTTTGAGTTCGTCCCATGTAACCAGAGAAAAGTCCTCATCCTTCATGGCAAGGATCTCGCGGTCAATTGCCGTCAGCGGAAAAGCATGGTTGTCTGCGGCCATGATGTAGACTTGTCTTAACGGAATATGGCCGTCTAGGCATGTGCAAGAGAGAAAGTAGCACACGAGGTGCCGGGTTTGCTATCCCGATGAGGCAGCGTAATGGAGCAACCCCACCATCGGCCACGACCCTGATCTGCCCAGCCCCAGAGCACTCGAAAGCTTCGAAAGTCGCGTGTTCTTAGAGTCCATCTTGGTCTTGTGTCTCTCCTTCCTCTCGACTCATCCAACACTTGCCATGTCGACGAAGCACACGTACAAGCCCACAGGGCCCTTTGCTCCTCAGTACATCCAGGGCGTCTATGCCCCTTCGGCAATTTTGATCGTCGGAGCCGCCCTGGTCAACAAGACCTTGGTGCCTGTTGCCATTGCCATTGCCGCCGCTCTGGCCGGCTACCAGTTCTTCAACAACCGTGAGTGCTTTTTCGTACCTTTAATGATCGTGGGCAGCACTGACATATTCACACAGNAGGTCAAGAAGGTGCTTGATCCCACCACTTTCCAGCAGTTCCCCTTGACCGAAAAGATTGTCCTCTCGCACAACACGGCCATCTACCGCTTTGGCCTTCCCAGCCCCACCTCCATTCTTGGCCTGCCCATTGGCCAGCACATCTCTCTGGCTGCCACCCTGCCCGTCAAGGACCCCAAGACCGAGATCACCTCCAACAAGGAGATTCTGCGTTCCTACACTCCCATCACTGATGACACTACTTCTGGCCACTTCGATGTCCTCATCAAGAGCTACCCCACCGGCAACATCAGCAGACACGTTGCTGAGATGAAGGTTGGTGACACCATCAAGGTCAAGGGTCCCAAGGGTGCCATGGCCTACCAGCCCAACATGGTCAGCCGCTTCGCCATGATTGCTGGCGGTACCGGTATTACCCCCATGTACCAGATCTCAAAGGCTATCCAACGTGGCCGTGCCTCGGGCGACAAGACTCAGGTCGATCTGATCTTCGCCAACGTCAACCCCGAGGACATTCTGATGAAGGACGAACTCGACCGCATGGCTCGTGAGGACAGTGGCTTCAGGGTTCACTACGTTCTCAACAACCCTCCTGAGGGCTGGACTGGTGGTGTTGGCTTTGTGACTCCCGACATGATCAAGGTACGGAACACGACCCACACACTAACCTCTTCGCGAATCCGATTGACTGACCGTTTCACAGCAANNCACTGCCCTGCTCCCTCGCCCGACATGAAGATGCTCATTTGTGGACCCCCTCCCATGGTGGCTGCCATGAAGAAGGCTGCCGAAGGTCTCGGCTACCAGAAGGCCAGACCCGTCAGCAAGCTCGAGGACCAGGTCTTCTGCTTCTAAGCAATGCAATCGATCTCAGTCCGAGCCGCGTTTAGTTGGCCTTCTTTGTATATAAAGGTGGCAAAAAGTGTGTATAATTGTCACGATCTGGACGAGGTGCATTCGAGGAGCCTTTTCCAAGACGATTTCATGTCCGTATGTGTGTAGATTGTGTGCACATTATCTGTATTGCATCTTCTGACCGCCTCTCTTTTCCATCTTTTGTTGACGCTTGCTCTGCGCGCCGCTCGAGGCACCCTCGGCGGGCATAGCACCACCGCCCATGAGACCTTGGCGAGCACCGGTAAAGGTTGTGTATGCCAACCAGGCCGAGTAGAGGGGGATGACAGTCNNTTCGGCACGAGTCAGTAAAGTAGGGAGCTAGGGAAGAGTATGTAGGTGACTCACGAAGAACCACCAGGCCCAGTCGCCCAGCAACGTGGTCAAGACAATGCAGCCCCAAGACCAGTAGACAACATCCCACATCCATTCTGTCAAGCCCTTGGCCTCGAGATCCTCTCCAGCTCGCTTCAATTCCTTTCCATTGGGACCGTCGTTGTGGGTAGGACGACCGACACGCTCAAACCAAAATTGGATGAGCAGGGACGGGAAAGAAAGGAGGAGGTATGCCCAGAAGGAACGGCGCACAAAGGTGAAGCGCAGTAGAAGGTGGAAAACGTGGACGCCCAATGCGATCAGATGAGTACGCTGGAGAATGGCGGCATTGCGAGCTGCCTGGGTCTTGAGAGCTTGCTGTTGGGGTTGTTTAGAGGACGGAAGACGAGCAAAGTAGTGTTTGGATGCTGACCCTGGCCATTGAGATGATGTTACGCGACTGAGAGTGTCCTAGTGTGGTCGCTGCAAAAGAAAGATTGGAAGGACAGAGAGACACACGCGAGCTGGCCAGATGTTTTGGTGGGGAAGGAGCGATCGGTGGCTCCCGGCTGGTGACGCGCAGTTTCTCAGGCAGGTGCAGGTTGCTCGTCTAAACAATAAACACAGCCTTGTCAACGCGCATAACATCCTACATCCACATCTTTGCCTGCACTTTCCTCGGCTTGTGAGCATCTCCACTCTGTAATCAGCTGCAGCATCTGTCATCGCAGTCACATTATCTTCTACCTTATCACCTCGACGCGACTTGATCCCACCTTCCATCTTTGCATCCCACATGGACAAGCTGCTTTGAGGAAGCCACACTGTGGACTGAACATCATCCTCGATTCGACCTTTCAATCATTTCGCCTCTATCCCCTCGCTTTATCTCGACATCGCCCATGTATCTCCTCCAGACATTTATCCGCCCGACTCGACCCATTACCTGTGTCCTCGACCCCTCGACCTAATCGCTTGTTCTTCTTGGTCCCGCCCATACGACCTCCCTATAACCATGTCGCACAACTCGACTTTAGCTGCGACACAATTAAAACAACTCATTTACTACCATTTGGACAATGAGTCTCCCGAGAATGCAAACTTTCTTGCCGAACGATTGAATTCTATCGACCCTCGAAACCCAGACTCTTCGCATCTCTTGGCCCTCACAAATTATCGTTTGCGACACTTCAAAACAGCCTACGACTGCAGTCAGAAGAGTGGCGCAAATGGCAGACATCTAGGCTGCGCTTATGTTTTGGCCTTGGCCTGTCAAGAGCTTGGGAAATACAATGAGGGTATTGCAGCTTTGGAAAAGGCTAGGAGCCTTTGGCAAGGTCGTAGCCATTGGGGTGTGTCGGCTCGATGTCTTCTTCAAAGCCCAACAGCCATGCTAACTCGGACAACACAGNGGAAACACACAGAGTCTTCAACCAGGCATACTCCAGACGCTGCAGCTGTCAACACTCTGCTTGGAAAGTTGTGGCGCGGCCATGGCGATTCCAGAAGAGCCGGTGACTGCTACATCGAGGCGCACAAGAGCAATCCATTCACGTGGGAAGTGTTCCAAGGTCTTTGTGATATGGGTAAGACCCAGCATTCGCATATCGCATGTGGAAATGCTGACTTTTCAANNGGTGCCGAGATTGATATCGCAAGTTCTTTTAGAATGACCGCTGAGCTTGCCTCTTCCATCTCGAGTGCTTCCGCATCGATATTGAATCAAGAGACCGTTAAAGATGAACCACCGCCCATCCCGCCGGCTTCGAATTCGAACGCCATTAATAACATCCGTACTCTCACCCCAACCAACGACCCCTTCAACCCGGTGAAGAATGGCGGAGACATCGTCGCACAAGCCCAGAGTAACTTTCTGCTACCGCGGATCAAGTCAAAAGGCATCTTTGGCAACAATGGGACCAAGCCTACCAGTCAGCCGTCGTGGGAGACTCCAACGGCCAATGCCATGTCTGGAGATGAGGATGTTGAGATGGGAGGCTTACAACAGGAAGCGATCAGCGCAGAAGATCCACCAGCTGCCCCGACACGGAGATCAAGGACTGCACTCCAGAGACTTGGACTGGATGCCGGAAAAGACAGTCAAAAGGCACGCGCAACAGTCAGAGGTCAGACGAAGCCTAGCTCAGAATCAGTGGATACCGATGATGCGACAAATGCCGCGCAGAGCAGGCGTTCGCAACACAAACGAACGATATCCGGACACAGCGCACAAATTATGGATGCCGAAACAATAACATCTGCTCCAAGGAGGAGCAATCGTTTGTTCAGTCAAATCACAGGGTCAAAAACAACAAGTCGAGTGCCTGCCGATAGCAATTCCTTAACAGCAGCTAAGCGCGACGAGGTGAAAAAGGCCAAGGCTACAGGAACGAAAGGCAGAGGTCCTGCTCAAGTGGGTCGTGTTGTAAGTGGCAATCGAAAAGTTATGCCACCAAACCTAGCGGAAGCAAAAGACACTCGTGCACCCAGTCGCAATAGCGCAGCTCCGCCTGTCCCATTACAAAAGCAGGCTCTCGAATCAACGGTGGCTATCGAGATGGCATCGATAGAGTCATTGTTGGCTACCTTCAGGTCGTTAGGAGCGGCTTACTACCTTCTCAGTCGTTACCAAATATCGTCTGCGGTTGATGCTTTCAAAGCTCTCNCCTCAGCGCATCGAGAATCGCCATGGGTCCTGGCTCAGCTCGGCAAAGCGTACTACGAAGCGTCAGAATACTCGTCGGCAGAAATATGCTTTGCCAAGTTGTTAAAGTTACAGCCAACACGGATCGAAGACATGGAAGTGTATTCGACGGTCTTATGGCAATTGAAAAAGTCAGTGCAGTTGGCATTCCTGGCGCATAACCTGAGAGATTTAGCATTCAACTCTCCACAAACTTGGTGCGCGGTTGGAAACGCCTTCTCTCTGAGCAGAGAACATGAGCAAGCCATCGCATGCTTCAAGCGTGCGACACAAGTGGATCCGGAGTTCAGCTATGCTTGGACACTTATGGGTCACGAGCTTCTGACCAACGAGGAGTTTGACGCGGCGCTTGCATCCTTCCGCAAGGGTGTCGGAAGTGAGAGGCGCGGATTCGGAGCGTGGTATGGTTTGGGTAAGTGTTATGAGAGAATGGGCAAGTGGGAGGAGGCACAGCGGCACTACCGCATTGCATTCAGTATCAATCCCAGCAACCCTGTCCTAGCGGTCTGCATAGGAGTGGTGAGTTTGATGATGATCCGATACAAAGTATCACAGCTGACCGAGGNNATGACAGATCATGGAGAAGCTTCACCATCCCAAAGCAGCTTTGACACAATACTCGCACGCGCTGAATTTAGCGCCGAACTCGGCACTCGCACGATTCAAAAGGCTCGGGTGTTGATGAGTCTGAAGCTCTATCCGGATGCTCTTGTGGAGCTTGAAGTACTCAAGAACTTAGCACCAGAGGAAGCCAACGTCTTCTTCTTGCTCGGAAAGTGTTTCAAGGGGCTCGGAAGACGAGCAGACAGTGTGCGCACCTTCACTACTGCACTAAATCTTGATGCAAAGGTAAGGCTTGAGGAAGATGATATCGTGTGCGCTTGCTAATGGAGATCAGNNGCATCGCAGTACATTAAGGAGGCCATGGAAGCTCTTGACGACTCTGATGAAGACGACATGGATGATGACTGAGCATATCTGACGGCTCGACATGATGAGGCAGCACAAAACAAGGTATCCAGGGGCGTTTCTGGAGCGACTCGAGCTAGCATTTTGCATTGGCGTTGGTTGACGGCTTCTCGGAGTTAGCGAGTCTAAATGCTGTGTTTCAGCGACGGCGTGGGATTGGTTTGCAGCAGGCTCAGGCTCGCCAAGTACATGGACATGATATAGTCCTTCTGGTACCAGGGTTAAGGCACAGTCATCGGGACGTGGGACATATGGTCTCTTCCTCGTTTGTATTCTGTATGAAGACCTAGTTTCAGTTGCGGCATGGCAGATGGAAAATCACATGCATGGGCAAAGCTCAGCTTTTGCGTCACGCCAAGCAAACAGTGCAAAGCCGCGATCGATTTATCAGCACCAAAAAAACATTTCCATCCGACAACGCATTGTCCTTTTCAACCTCTCATACACCTATACGAAATACCACGAACCCATACACAGCATGTCTGCTCACGAACCGCACGATGAGGACGCCAACGTCCCCGAGGACGACGACGAGATGTTCAACCCCGAGGACATGGAGGAAGAATTCGAGGGCGAGGGCGAGGACATGCCCATGTCCGACGACGAAGAAGGAGGAGCCATGGAGGAGATCCTGCTGCAAAACGACAGTGTTGCACACTTTGACGGACACAAGGACAGCATCTTCTGCGTCGCCCAACACCCCACCCACCCACAACTCGTCGCGACTGGCGGCGGCGACGACGTAGCTTACCTCTGGGACTGCTCGCCGCCGCAGGCTCCCGTCCTGCCCGCCTCGTACGAGAGTAACCCGCAGCCCGTCGAACGCCACAGCCAGGAAGCCTATGTCAAGCTCGAGGGCCACTCCGACTCGGTCAACGCTGTTGCTTTCTCACTGCCTGACGGCAAGTTTGTCGCTACCGCTGGTCTGGACGGCAGGCTCAATGTTTTCCACACACCGCAACAACCACAGGTCGAGCCCGCAAAGGCATTCGCGTCTGCCGCCGAGGTCGAGGAAATCAACTGGCTGCTGCCCTGCCCCAACCCTACATACCCCAACACATTCGCTCTCGGCGCCAACGATGGCAGTGTCTGGGTCTACACAATCAACGAACAGGATGCTGCGAGCCCGCTCACCATCGTACAAGCATTTTATCTCCACCAAGCTTCTTGTACCGCTGGTGCATGGACGCCCGACGGCAAGCTGCTGTGCACGGTTTCCGAGGACTCGAGCTTATACGTCTGGGACGTGTTTGGCGATGCCGCGGCCGCTGGGCTTGCAAACCCTTCTGGTCAGGCTGTTGTCGGATTGACGGGCGACGACGAGCGTTTCCTCATCGAGGGCGGTCTGTACAGTGTAGCTGTTTCGCCCGGCGGTGCTCTCGTCGCTGTAGGAGGTGCCGAAGGCCAGATCCGCGTTGTCGGTTTACCCCGTCTGTCCATGCCCGCAGGCCAATCCGTGACTGCAGGAGCCAAGGGAGCCGGTGCCCGTGGCAAGGCTGGCGGTGCTAAGCAGTCAGGCGGCCCTCGCGGCGGTCAATCGAGTGCCGCAGCAGGCCAATCTGGTGTCATTCTCGCCGCTCTCGCTGCCCAAACCGACGGTATTGAAACCCTGTCGTTCGCACAACCGCCATTGACGCTCCTGGCTGCTGGCAGTGTGGATGGCAGTATCGCGCTCTTTGACGTGGCGCACAACTTTGCCATCCGCAGACACATCAGGGACGCACATGAGGAAGAGGCAGTCATCAAGGTCGAGTTTGTCAATGCGGGACAAGGTGGAAACAACTGGATGCTCACATCTTGCGGCAACGACGGTGTGGTGAGGAGATGGGATGTTAGGGGTGGTACTGCTGCTGCCAATGGCGGTTTGAGTGGAGAGTGGAGGGGACACAGAGGCGGTGGTGAGGGCGGTGGTGTTATGGGCTTTGTGCAGGGTGGTGGTGGCAGAGCTATCGTTACTGCTGGTGATGATAGTGTGTCGCTTGTCTTTAATGCACCTCCGCAATAGAGAGTGCAGGTAGGCAGATTGAGAAGTAAACACATTGTAGATACCCTTTTGGATGCCCAGCGCTCCAGATGAAAATATATTTCCCAAAACACATCCGTCGAACTATGTTCCAGCAACTACCTCGGCCTTGAACATATGGTCTTCGTCCTGTGCCTCTACCGTCTCCAACTTCCTAGCTCTTTCGACCCTTTCTTGGTTCATAAGGTATGCTCTAGGCAAGCCTTCTTCCACAGCTTTCTCTATAGCCACATCCACATCATCTCCCAGCACCATAGTCGCCACACTCTTTCCACACAACCAAGCATTAGGCATACCGTGTCCGGTATACCCAGCAAGCACAAAAACGCCCTCGTGGTCTGGGACCTCACCCACCCAAGGCAAGTTGTCTCTCGAAAAGCCCATAATGCCCGTCCACTCATGTGTTGCTTTCAATTCTTTCTCTTCCTTGTGCTCCTCGCCGGAAACCAGTAACCTCGGCAACGCAGTACGCAAATACCTAGCTACATTCTTCTCCACCTCCGCATCATCACTTACCCCCAGACTAGGTCCATAACTCCTGCCGCCGCCAAACATAAGGTGAGCTGACGAGTTGTCAGGTCGTTGGATAAGGTAATCATCCATACTAGGCCCAATGAATGCAAAACTTGTTTTCGTTCTTGAAAGGCTTGAGAATGTGGAGCCGGGGAGTAGTGCAGACATTTGACCGCGACAAGGGACGATTAGATCGGATAGGTGGGGGAGAAGGTGTGAGGTGTATGCGTTAGTGGCCAAGATTACTTTTTTCGCTTCTACTGTCCCTCGGTGTGTGTGGATGTTCCAGTGTCCTTGACTAGAGGCAGTGATGGAAGTGACTGCTGTATGGGTTTGCAGGTTCAGATTTGCATTGTTGCCGAACAAGGCTTCCCAGATTGCAGTTACCAGTTTATAGGGCCAGAGTCTTGCTGCAACGTCTGTTATTACCGCTCCCTTTGCTTCTGGCACTGCTAATCCTAGCGTGAGTAGTTCCTCTGCTTTTGAGACTACCCTGCACATTTTGCCTAGCTCAGGGTTGGTCTGCTGGAGAGTGGCTACAGCATGATGGGCAAGAGTGACTTCTTCTGCAGAGTAGAGGCTGCGGATCCCCGGTTGAGCGTTCCATTCACAAGCGATGTTGTTTTTGGAGATCAAATTCGACAGAGCGAGGAAGTTCGCGTATTCGAAGTTGGATATGGAGGGATCGTGAGGGTGCTCGTAGAATAGGGGTAGGCAGTGGCCGCCATTTCTGATGGAAGATAAGATTAGTCATATTTTAAGGAACTTAGATGCAGTAGGTGCATTCCATTTTGAACTGTGAGGTGGAAGTTGTGATGGAAATTGATGTTCATGGAAGCTGCGTTCTGTGTTTTTGGGGACGTTGTTTCCTCATCTTGCTCATATGGGTGCGTACCAGATTCATTGCCTCGAGCCCGTCTGTGCAACATACCACTAGAGCAGGCACGATCAAGAAAATGGTAACCCTACACAACGTACTCACCATCATAACCTTCAAAAACATGAAAGGAAAACTTGCAGAATAACAGCAAAGAAACACATGCACTCTTACCTCCCAGTAGCACCCCAACAAATCTCTCTAGCCTCTAGAACCAGCACCCCTTTTTCGTTTCTCCATTCCTGAGCTCTTCCAAAACATGGTGCACCACGCTAGCTCCACTGATACCGCTTCCTATAATCACGAAATCGGTGTGCTGGGGCAAGTCTGTGGTGGTTCTGTGGCCGAGGAGTTTGGGCTCGGTGTGCCAGAATGATGCCGAAGCATCTTTTGAGGGAAGACTTGCTGGTTTCGACATAGATTTGTAGCTTTGGAGATACTTCAAGTATATGGTGTAAAGGGAGGAGTGTTGGTGGTTGGAGTTGAGGTGTCTTGATCTCGGGCGATAAGGTGCCGAGGGTGGGCCGAGCAGGGTGACCCAACTGACTTCTGATTAGGATCTGTTCATACTGTTGGTATGATGAACCTGACTACTATGCAGCTAAATCATGATTGGTAGGGAAGTCGTTGCTCTAGGAATTTCTCTAAAATACTGTTGCTAGTGCCTTATAGCATGCGGTTGCGATTTGAGAACATTTGCATCTGACTCGGAATCTACATCCCGAATACCATTGTGACAATCCTAACGAGTAGGTTGTCCGCACAAAGACAGTGGAAGAGACGACGACGACGATGGGAAGTGAGTAGTCAGTCTAGCACAGTTTGTTGTGACGCTGTATCGAGCCGTTGATTTGAAGTGTGTTTAATGATTTAATTTCGATATAATACAAACGCTTTTTCAAGCAAAACAGAAACAATGATCAGATCGATGACCTTTCCTCGTTTCCTTCTTCGTTGAGCAACGGAGGAATACGTATTGCGAGGACTTGTGGATTCTTTTTCTTCCTCCCACCCTTGGCCTGAATAAGTTGATAACAAGCACAAACGCCACTAACCAGCCAGCCAACCACCTTCCTTTTATACAAGACGCGAGATGCAATGCGATTACCAGTTCGGTGTGGTGAAAACGGGAGCGTCCTATGCTTGTGCTTCACCAGACACAAAACGTAGATTGACGCTCCAGTCCAAGCCGAATTGGACCTTCTCGCGATCACTGAGAACGACATTGACACCAGTGTCTATAGCCGTGACCACCCAGGCACTACCTTCACCCTCTCGAATAGCTTCGAGCAGTCCCAAGACCGGGACACCTAGAGCAAGCACAGCTTCAGGGCGGATAGCAAGGGGTTCGCCATCCACAATACTCGAGCTTCCGTCTACGTTGTCGAAGCCGGATGGAATATTTATGCTGACAACACCTGCACGAGATCGGTTTGCCCAGTCGATCATCTCGCGAGCCTCAGCGCGGAGGTCTTCATCACGAATATCGGCATGGCGTTGGCCGTCTAGCAGAGCGTCGACGATGATGACAGGAGGTCCTTCGAGTTTCTTGATTTGGCCTGATGTGCTGCGCCAGCCTTCTATACGTGCGGCTTTGCGACCTAGTGCCTGTAACGAGTGAATGTGCTTGGCGAGCTGTGGATGCCAGACGCTGGGGTTCGAGAAGTCGAGGACAGAGATGAGCACCTTGAAACCGCGGCTGTAGAGGTGGCGTGCACTGGCTATTGCACGAGCACCAGTCACATGATTGCCAGCGAGAACGACCACCACTGGTTTCGAGTTTGAGTTGGGTAGATTGCTGGCGATTTTTGAGTTGCGACGGGATGCACCGGGCTTAAGGGTGCTGGTTAGAACACTCTCTGCGATACCGCGGGCAGCATTTTCAGTGATGGCGTCGGCGCTGATGCCAATGTTTGAGATTGCATCAGCTTCGGCTTGTCGTAGACGATCGGGGTGGTATAGCGAGCAGGGGTATTTTGACTTTGGTGTCTTGAAATGGGGTCGAGGGGCAGCAGCAGCTTGTTGAGCGAGGCTGAGCTGATTCAAAGAATGCAGGGGCGATTGCACAGATGGAGGAGAGCGAGCACGGTTAGGGTTAGGCGAGGACGCAACAACAGAAGAGCCTCGTAGAGAACTCATGGAGCGGTTGAGAGCAGTCGAAGCTAACGAAGCAGCCAGAGGATGGAGAATATCTTCCGGTAGGCCGCTGTTGCTCATGCGCGAAGGGCGCTTGTTTGATGTACGAGAAGGAGCACGTCTCGAGTTGGGGCCACTGCCAAAGTTGAGCTCTGTATCGGCATCTGACGAAGACTCGAGTTCGCTTCCGTGATGCTTAGGCTTCAGGGTTGGAGAGAGGACGTTTTCTGTCGGATGCAGATTCTTGCCTCCGTATGTGCCAGGTCGTGCGAGTCTGTTGTGCGAAACCAGTCTATCCTCGTCTGCGGTCGTGTCCTCGTTACGGATCTGATCAAAGACGGTTCTCTTGTCGAACTTGGAGAGGTTGGCTTCAAAGTCAAAGTCACCCATGTCTTGAATGTCTGTTGCTTCTTCGGTAGCCCAGCCGTTCTGGTCTCCGAGTCCATTGAGTTGGCGCTTTGCCTTCTTCTTGGTTTTTGAAGCCGCAAATGCAGCTGATGTATGTTCCTTGAGCAGNGGAGTGGATCGCCAGCCCTTCTTGTTGGTGCTTGCAGTGATAGTCATGTCGTTTCCATTGCGCGAGACGTTAGGTGACAGGGTTTCTTTAACGGTTTGTGCCTCGGTGGCTGCAGCCAGAGGGACCTGGATTGTTCTTGGACCCCTTCTGCCGCGTCTTGTCTTCTTGGCCGATTGAGCGGCATTGTCTTCGGCACAATCNCTGCTCTTGTGTGGTGGATGGCTCAGCGGCATGGGCGACGAATGGAGAGGTGTTTGTGGGTGGAAGAGCTGCAGCGGCAGCAGACAGAGCTTTCTTGCTAGGTGTAACAGGAGCTGAAGGTTGCTGTAGGAGGGATGGTGGTGGAGGCTGACTGCGAGCNNAGCAGGCGCAGGAGACTTGGAGAAGCTGAGGATAGCTGGGTCGACAAAGGAAGGAGTTTTCTTGGCCAGAAGGCTCTCGACGCGCGCGTCGTGAGCAGGGACAGGGAGAGGAGGCGGGAATTGGGCGGCACCACGCGAGGCAGAGATGTTTGCAGCAGGAGTGTGAGGCTTGGAGTGGGCCTCGAAGTTGGTCTCGACGACTTGCAGGTCCTGGATCAGGTGGGCGGGCACGTTGTACGAGGGCAGTGAATTGCCAGATTGCGGGAAGAAGACGTTCTCCAGGGCCAGTGTCTGGCCAGCGATGACATGGGCGACGCGGCCAACCAGAACAGCGCCGGGAGGCTGCTGCAAAGTGACACTAATGGTCATACCAATAAAGTCGGCCATGATGTCGTGTGCTGATGCGGATGATGCGCAGGGCAATAATTTCATGCGCCAGTCTAGACAGCCAAAGCCGCCAAAGCCTTCTTATCCCCGACTATCCCCGCTGCACTTATGCACGTCATTTTAGTTGACAGTGAAGTGTCTTGCGATATGCACTACTTGCTATCTGATCTACAGCTTGATCTCGCCCTTGTAGCCTGGCACGTGAGAGAAGTTGGCCTTGAGTGCCGTCACACTCGTCTGGCCCTGCTGCACTGCCCAGCCGTCATTTCCAGGTCCAGCCTTCTCGACGCTCTCATAAACATCCTTGAACTTGGGTGCCCACTTGTAGTGTCGAGGTGCCCATTTGCTGTTCTCCTCCGTGTCGTTCTGTCCCTGCTTGGGCTCTTCTCCGCCTCTGCTTTCTTGCTTCCTCAGCTGAGTCTCTTCTGTGTCTGCGTCTTCGACCACACCAGGTGTTTCGTCAAAGCAAGAGCTTGATGACCACTGGTTCTGCAACATCTCCGTCCACACCACGGGCTGCTTCTCCACGCCATCCTTGACAGGAACATTGATTGTGTAAACGCGACCGGCATCCCATCGTTGGTTCTGAGCCAGGTACTCGATTACCCGCACGCCCTGTCTGCAGCTCTGTGCCACAATTTTAGGGTCGTTCAAGCGGTCGAAGAAGGCAAATGAGATGGCAATTGCCTTCGCTCCACAGACGGCCGCTTCGAGAGCGGCACCCAGGGTACCCGATGACAAGGCGAAGATGGCTGTTGTGTTGCGTCCGTAGTTGGGTCCTGACACGACCAGATCGATCGGCTTTCTGTCCTTGAAGCAGTGCGCCAATCCGAGCTGCGAGCAGGTGGCTGGTGTTGAATTGACCAGAACCCACGGCTTTCCTTTCTTCGACTCTTGTGACTTCGGTGATCCATGCTCTTCAGTCTCGGGCCAGTAGTATGTTGCTTGGACNCTTTGGAGTGTAAGTACCGTGACATGTAGATAGTGTAGCTCCTTCTAACGAACATCCTTTCCAATGATATGGGCCTTGCCGATCCAGGAGCGTTGCTCGCTGGGCAAGATCACAGAGACTTCGTGTCCAGCTTCCTCCAGAGTGCGTACGAAGGCGAGGATATAAGGGGACGACTCGTTCGACGGCGGTCCGTCATCGTTGGTTACCTAGCCCTGATCAGTTCATGTCAATGTGGCAGAATCGCAAGGCGTACAAGAATATGCATCGTGAAATGATTGATGAAGTATTCAATTGACAAAGATTGTTCAGATGTTCGTTGTTGACAAGCAAGAAGGTGCTGCCAAGCTCATCATCCCACTTTCGTCATCGTCTGAACATCTTCAGCTTCACAATTTCTGACACAAACACATTCATCGTTTGGCCTCGGGAGCCATTGCATACAGCATGCCACTAAGAAAGAAAGGAATGCCGTGTTCATGGGAGTACGTCGTCGAGGCCAACCATACAGGGACACTTGCGGACCTAGACCTCGTACCCCTCGCTGCCTTTGAGGAATCAGAGGAAGCATACAAGATTTGTGTCACCTCTGCTCGCGCGGATGCCATGATAAAGAACAGGCCAGATCGTCTAGAATACTTGCTCGACGAAGAACATATTGACACCAACAAGACAGGTGCTGCGTCAGTCGCCTCGACCGTCTATGAATCGTCCCCCAAGGCACTCGCTGCCCTGCTTGTTTCTCGAGGCTGGGACATCGTCTAGTGGCAGCCTATACATGGCACGTATAATTTTCCAGCAAACACTGAANTCAACAAGAAACTGGTCCAGCTTGTTTGTCGTGATGAGGAGATGGTCCGTTGGTGTCTGGATCATGGTGCAATTGTCGACGAAACAGATGAGACTCTGCTTGCAGATGTCGCGTCGTTCGGAAGCACCGACACTTTCAAGCTCTTACGCGAGCATGGTGCACCCATCAGCGAGNTCACCTTCCTCGTAGATGAGATTGGCTTGGACATCAACAAGGTATATGAGGGCCGCCACGAGCCCATGCTCCAACATCAGATATCAATCTGTTCGGCGGCAATCTCTCCGTTCAGAGAAGCCGGACATGTCATCAAGTTCCTGCTCGAGCGAGGGGCTGACCCTTACCATAAGGGTTGTAACGCTTTCAGCATGGCAAAGCATGATTTAACTATTGGTATCCTTCGTGAATGGGAGCAGAGACAGACAGAGAAGAACCAGGAAGGAACAAGAACAAAGAAACGGAAGACATCTAACAGTACCAAATCTGCACCTCCGAAGAAAAGGGGCTGGACACATGCTAAGAATATATCTCTTGGCTGCGTTCGAGAGGAAGACGTGAATGGAAGCTTTGAGCTCAACCATTCCGACGACATTGTAGGTAAACAACATGGTGAAGCCTCGTGTTGTCCTCACCTGAGACAGCGACATCTTGGTCTCATCGTGTTGGGTGAACGATGTGGACGGAGGCTTTCGTCGATACCAACTCGTACGAGACACGTCGTTTGTGTCCATTCTTACTTGTTGACGCGCATTCTGTAACACATCTCGTGTCTGGCTTGTATAAGTCCTTCTCCTGCCTAGCGAATGGACCTCTTTCATCCACATACCCAGAACGGTCTTCTTGTTTCTCGATCACAACCACGAGAGCATCATGACGAACCTGCTCTCTCTGCCAACCGAAATTCTTTGCCAGATCGCCCAGCATGTCCCCACCAAAGATCTGAAGCACATGCGTCTCGTTTGCAAGTCGCTCCACAACGCTGCAAACAGACCTTTCGGCATCGCGTACTTCGCCAATCGCCGTCATGTCCTGTCTAGGGGCAGCATCAAGGCCCTGCTGGAGATTGTGACCCACTCAGGCTTGGGTCCGTACGTCAGCTCGGTTACGATGATCGCCCTATCTCCTCCATCACTGAGCGTCTATATTTACTCCCAAATAGCCGTAGACGAAGCTTCTAGAGAAGCATTCGTCAATTCACGCGAGTACATGCTTTTGATGAAGCGAGTGTTTGACAAAATTCTCAAGTATCAACGTTCTGTCCACATCAGCATCTGTGAGCCGGACCTCACTGGTCAGGAATTTTCGAGTCACTGTCTGAGCTTCAAGGTCTCAAGAACTTTGCGATTGAGGGCCTCCACCGTCCTCGTTACTGGAAGCTGTTCCATCTTCCTGTTACCACTGAGAAGCATGAGATCAGTGGTGACGATGTGACTGAGCAGTTGGAGGCTATGGCTAGTCTCGTGGCTACCGAGCCCGATGTGTCTGGCCTTTCCGAACTAGACGACGAACATAGACTGGAAGCCCTGTTCACGGCTGAATTCGAACCATGATCTCATCAAGAGTTGTGATTGTGAGAGCTCCCCTAGCTCGTTCGGCTAGACTTCTCCTCGAACACAAACAAAGATTCTCATGTATCACTTCTGCAAAGTCATTCCATTTTCTTTTCATTTTCTCCTTTCGAGGCGGTTTCAAAACGTAGCATTGAAGGCGTTCCAATGAAAGTATAGCCAGCCAGACACGAAGACGCAATGCCAACATCCGTAGTAATTCTCCGCAAAACATGACTTTTCTTCTCATACAGACCCCACTTGAACGTGCATATATAGAGCTTCATCATGTAATCGTGTTACCATCAACTTTGAAGCAAAGTGTGATGTGTAAGCCGGGACCTGATACATGCTGCCGGCCATTAGCTATCATAGTGCCTCTTGTCTCTTGCCTCTCATGCGTCCTTCCAAACCAGATTCATCATCTCTAAAGCTAACGGTTCATGAGAAACAATCAGGGCTGGTGATAACATGCTTATGTTCTCCACTGGGGACGCACTTCTCCAAGGGTGGATTTGGTGGGATCTTATCAAACGCAAAAACGCAGACATTCATTGTGAGACTAGCGACTATGGCACTCGCTATCATTGCCGGAATACGAGACCCATCAATGTGTTCTATCAATCTGGTACCCTGATCCCACGGTCTTTTGTGCAGACACTTTTGAGCTACATGGCTCGAATAGACCAAGCAATAGCAAAGGCTTGCTCAGAGGATACCCTTGTGAAAGCCTGCACTTGGGCAACGATCGTGACTGTCTTGCTGCTCAGATCTTCCCAAATAACTCTTTCAACATTATCTATGCTGCTTATTTAGTATTCAATGTCAGATTCCGCACAGAAAGAGAGAGACTTACCGGTGTGGTCGAATCCAGGTTCACTGCCCATGTTGCCATGTCTCTCACTATTTCCTGCTCGTACGATGAGGTTGACGTTATTTTGTAGACGTTCGCCTGGTGGGTCGGGGTATACTAGTGTGGCAACCAGTTTGTGTCGACCTTCGAAGATAGTTATTGCCGGGCTTTCCCATGTTCCTGCCGTTGTTAGGGTTTCGCGCAATGCTGAAACATCATACACACTGCTAGATTCCAGCTTGTTCCCTCCATCGACGAAGCCAGATAGAGGAGACCGTGAGATCATTGCAATGGTACTGCTGACATCGACACGTCCAAATCCTGACTCGTGATCGTATCCGGCACCAGTCAGACTAGAGTAGTTTACAGCCCGGTTGATCAGGAGAGCTTTCACCAAAGCTGCACTAGAGTGTTGATTTCCGTTCTTTTGCAATGCTTCTCGGATAAGCGCTACGCAGCCGGCAACTAGGGGTGTTGCCATACTTGTCCCAGACATGAAGAGCCAGTCGGTGTCACTTGATACTCCGTCTCTCTCTCTGACCCTGTCATATAGACTTACCACTCGTGAAGCCGCTGGAAGCACTGCGACGCCTGGTGCCACGACATCAGGCTTGATGCGGTCAGGGAAGACAATCTGTCCCTGAGGATCTCGACTGGGCTTGGTGGGTCCCCTGCTACTGAATCGTGCTGTATCAGCACTGGAAACTGCTTTGTTAGTGGATGACTCCTCGGGGTTGGGGTCATAGCGGTCACCGTCGTTCGAACGTGTAGAGCCGCAAGCTCCCACGGTGATGCAGTTCTTAGCCGCACTGTTATCACTAATCTGACTCATCCCCGCATTGCGTTCTCTCGCATAATTCTCAGCTGCAATGAGAATCACAAGGTCCTGATGCTCGTGGATGAACCGATCGATGGTGGTAGCATCTTGATCATAGCCAAGCTGATCCGTCTTTGGATCCCACTTGTCTTCTGCTATCTGTGCAACGTAAGGTGCTAGATCGACGGGATGAAGGTTCGGGTTCTCATGGAGTATCAGATCCACTTCATAATCCGTGCGACGACTGCGACAAGCCTAAGCCTCAGAAGTACATGCTCAACGTGTGGCAGAACGCTGGCGCGCATCCAATGGAGTACAGATCCGAGGATCCAAGAATTGTCAGTACTTCCAGTTGTTAAAGAGCTGGGGTCTATTCCCAATACGTACGTGGTGAGTTGAATACTGTATCCAAGTATGATTGACAACATCTGACACTTGAAATCAGACCGCGTGCACTGGGACAACATGATATGTTGTGTCAATAGGCATGTTAGACGAGGAGACGGTATCGAGATGGTTGGAGAGTCGTATTGCTGCTGGGAAGAATAGCTAGAAAGACTGGCTGAACCTTTTTCCCAACTAACCTTGTCGCTGCAGAGATGTCAATTGCGACGTATGGACGTTTCGAATGATAGTCTTTTGGTATTCGTTACAAACTTGCAATTCGAGCAGAAACCCACTCGAGATTAATCACAATCCACTTCTCCCAATACAGAACCGCATACGTATCCAAATGCGTATACCATTGAGCATCTAGAATGGGGCTTCTATACAGACATCTTCATGGCAATCCCCTTGTGAGGATCATAGCCAAGAACCTTGAAGTCCTCGACTCTCCAACCATCAATCGAAAGGTCGTCGTCGGACTTCTCGATGACCAATTCGGGGAAGTCTTTTGGTACACGCTCGATTTGGAGTTTGAGAGCATCAACATGATCGCAATAGACGTGCGCATCGCCCATGGTATGTGTGAAGGTACCAGGAATCAAATCACACACCTTTGCCAGCATGTGTGTGAGAAGAGCATAACTGGCAATGTTGAATGGAACACCTAGACCCATATCGCAAGATCTCTGGTACAAAATTGAGTGTAGAGTGCCCTGCTTCGAGCCATCTGCCTTGGTGGGGGCATCCTTGGGGAATGAGACATAGAACTGGGCGAACATGTGGCAGGGTGGTAGAGCCATCTTCTTGAGATCTGCGGGGTTCCAGGCCGAGAGGATGATGCGGCGATCGTAGGGATTGTTCTTCAACTTGTGCACAACCTCTGCCAGTTGATCGACACCTTGTCCGGTGTAGTCAGTCTTTGCATCTTTGTACTCAGCACCGAAGTGACGCCATTGGAAACCGTAGACAGGGCCAAGGTCACCAACTTCGCGATGCGAGAGGCCAACAGAGTCGAGATATTCGCGCGAGCCATTGCCGTCCCAGATCTTGATGCCTTGTTCGGTAAGGGGCGTTGAGGTGGTGCTTCCTGCGACGAACCATAATAGTTCGGCGATGACGGCGCGGAGGAAGACGCGTTTCGTGGTGAGAAGAGGTAGAATCAACTTCCCGGTGTTTTTGTCGGAAAGTCTGAAGCGGAGTTGGTTGGGGGCGAAGATGGAGTATGTGCCGGTACCAGTTCTGGGACACAATGTTAGGGTGGATTGGTGTCAATGGAGCAATGCTATGAGATACCTGTCTGGACGATGCTCTCCCTCTTCTAGAATGTCGCGAATCAAATCGAGGTATTGGTACTCTTCGTGTGAGGCATGTTGGCGAGGAGCCTTGTGTGTGGGGGTCTCTTCAGGCTTGAGTTGGACATCAGGGCCGCTGGCAGGGCCGAGTTCTGTTGTTGCTGAAGGAGACATTGAGTATGTATGGTTTGTGTGTGTATATACTCAAACGGAAAGTGCGAGACGGGAAGGCACAAGAATTGGCAGTTGCGGAAGACGCGACACGCGTAAATGGCTTTTGGGAGGCCGAGTGGCCGCTTCCTCGACCGAAGTCCGTGCACGGATGATGGAAGTGCGCATGTGAAAGTCGTCTCGACACTTTCTCCGACTTGGATATCTTGGATAGTTGCAGCAACCATGGCGGGAGACAGACGATGGGCGACCATCCTGCAAGAGATTGCCATCGCGGCAGCCGCTGTATGTCTAGGCCCCACCATTCCCCCACGAGGCAGCCGTGACTGACGACAAGATGCGATAGNNCCCATCATGGCCTTCTTTATCATGCGAAACCTACTGGCAAGAATGGATCCCGAAGCTGGTGCCAAATCCGAAGCCGAAAAGAAGGCTTCTGCTGCCACTAGCCGTTTGTCGTCCATCTTCGCCAGTGTTCCCGACGACCACGATGAGGACTCGGACGACTATGACCAAAAGATGGAATGGGAGAAGCGCTCGGCCAATCTGGTCCTTACTCCATACGAACAAACTATCGCCATGGAAGTCGTTGCGCCCTGGGAGATCCCCGTCTCGTTTGACGATATTGGTGGTCTCGACGACATTATCGAGGAACTGCGTGAAGCCGTTATCTACCCTCTCACCATGCCCCACCTCTACTCTGCTACTAGCTCTCTTCTCTCCGCTCCTTCCGGTGTCCTCCTCTACGGTCCTCCTGGTTGTGGAAAGACTATGCTTGCTAAGGCTCTGGCCCACGAAAGTGGTGCCTGCTTCATCAACCTGCACATTTCTACCTTGACTGAAAAATGGTACGGCGATAGCAACAAGCTCGTCTCTGCCGTTTTCAGTCTTGCTAGAANNAAGCTACAACCTAGCATCGTCTTCATCGACGAAATTGATGCGGTTCTCGGTCAAAGACGTAGTGGAGAACACGAGGCCAGCGGCATGGTCAAGGCAGAGTACGTCTTCGCAATAGCCCTACCAGCTGATCACTACTGACATATCTCCAACAGGTTCATGACACAATGGGACGGCCTTACATCTTCAAACTCCCTCGGCGAATCTCAACGGATTTGTGTGCTAGGAGCAACTAACCGCATTCAAGACATTGACGAGGCCATCCTTCGTCGTCTGCCCAAGAAATTCCCCGTCTCTCTCCCCTCAGCCTCCCAACGCCGTTCCATCTTCTCCCTCACTCTCAAAAACACTCGCCTATCTCCCCAATTCGAGCTCGAAACCTTGGTCAAGGTCAGCGCAGGCATGTCTGGTAGCGATATCAAGGAAGCCTGCAGAGACGCCGCCATGGTCCCCGTCAGAGAATACATCCGCGAAGCAAAGTCTCGCGGTGCAAACATGAAGGGAGTCAAGGCCGAGCATGTCAGAGGCCTACACACCGACGACTTTTTCGGCAGAAAAGGCGGCGCATTGCAAATGAGGCGGCAGCCCGAAGTCGATGAGTGGGAAGACTCGAGAGCCAGCCCAGAAACCATGTCGGAAACTGATGACGACCCTCAGACTTCTGTGCCGGTGTAATAATGGCTTCTCACAATCTCACGACTTGTTTTTCTTTTGCATTTTCTAGGGCGTTTTCTGCTGAAAGCATGTCAATATGTTGACTCCCCTCCTCTACCTCTGTTCTTGATATACCCCCTGTGTAGAATGCAAGTTTTCTGCTCCATCGTGATTGAACACTCCCAGAAGCGAATCTTCAAACTGTTTCCCTTGCTCTTCACTCAGCACAGTCAATTGCGCCAACTAGTCAAATTACTCTCGTCTCTGTTCGCGGGATTTATTGCGTTTGGAAGCTATAGCGATCAAGTGGATGACGGTACATTTTCAAGTCGTCAGCAGTCTCTAAAATCTGCAGCGTAGCGGATACAAGGAACGAGAGAAAGGGCTACTATACAGGCCTACATGCTGCCAAAAAGCAGCACAGCGCGAGAGAAAAGATGTAGTAATTCAAGTAATTGAAAAAACAGAAAGAAGAAAGACAAAAACTTTCATTTCCACGTGTGTAAAGAAGGAACGGCAACGCCACAGCACCATCTACCTTCTCGGACCACCAACCCTGCCAAAGCCCAAGTTGCTTCTGGCAGTAGTGGCAATCTTGTGGATTCCGGTACGCTTCTCCCAAGCAGAGCTGCGGCCCTCGATGATGGCGACAATCTCCTCGGCAACGCGCAGAGCAAACATGTCACGGCCACTGCCGCGCGACTTGCGCTTGGAAGCGGCGTCCAGAATCCACTCGAAAGCGGTACGACGGCGTTGGCGGAGACCCAATGGGACGGGGATTTGGAGAGCGACACCACCACCGGCGGCACCGCGTTGCGAGCGGATGCGCATGAGGGGNGCGATGCTGTCGACGGCGAGTGTAAGGTAAAGGACAGGGTTCAAAGGAAGGTGGGATGGTGGGGCTGTGGGAAGTGTTAGCTGGAGAAGATGTTAGATGGGCAGATGAGAGTCGGCTTACGGNGCACCAGGAAGAAGAGGTCTACTGGGATTGTAGTTGGGAGGAGACTGGGTGCGCAGATACGTCAGGATGGTAGACATGTTGCGCTGGGCGACACTAAGCTTGCCATGCTGCATCATCAGATTGGTGAACTGGCGCACCACGGGGTCGTAGCGGTAGTCTTTGTGTGCATTGCTGGGCAGCGGCAGAGCGGGCAAACCGAACTTGTGGCCGACAGGTGCAGCAGTGATGGGAGTGGCAGGTCCAGAGAGCTCCTGAGCACCAAAGTTTGTGTTTGCGAGAAGGGCCTCGTCGAAGGGGCTGTCGTTGTGCTCACTCAATCCCTGGTTGCGGCGGGCGTATGTCGAGAATGAACGTGTTTGCGAAGGCTTGGGAGGGACCGTGCCGGCCTTGATGCTGTCCTTGAGCACTTGGGGTGCATTCTTCTGTGCTTCCTTGTCTTCCTCGAGCAGCNNTGCACAATGTCAGTCTCTTTCCACTCGCTCCACGATCCAACCATCACACACCTCCTGCACCGGTGTGCCCATCTCCAAGTCCGGTCCCGAGCCTCCCCGAATCTTCTCAATCTTTGCCGCCTCCTCGCTGATGTGCTCTTGCTGGTTCATGTTGGGTCCAGCGCCTCCGCTCTGCTTCGGATCTGTTGCATAGTTGCGGCGCCATGATGCTGCGATCGGGCTCTGGATGGTCGCGAATGCCCTAGGGCGGAAGGCCAATGCCCTTGATGTTGCGAAAAGGCTCATTGTGATGTGTATANNGTCAAGTTTGTCGTCGTCGCTGTTTCTTTCTGGCGATGACTTCAGTTTCCGCCTGCACAGCGTCAAAGTCACATGATTTTGGCCTTTATGCACTGCACAACTTTGCTCAACATGTCCGATGTCGCATCCTGCCACCTCTTTTCTTGCTTTACTCCTACGCACTTCTGATCTCATCATCATGCCCGCTGGATCGGTTGGCGAGTAGAAGTGGAATGTTAGATCGATATCACTGCATGTTATGAATATCTCATCGCTCAAGCTTGAAACTTCGGCAACCACAAGCGACCACTTTGGAGAGCAATCGTTTAAACATCAAATATAGTACAGTACACAGGGTTGGGAATATAGAAGAGAAAGAGGCCTGCAAAGAGTGCAGGTACGCTCCAGAACAGCCTGTATCTCTTATGTAGGGACGCAAAAGTTGCAAACAATAAAGTCATGAAAGAAATAGAGTACAGGGTCATCTCTATATATTTTAGGTTGATCTCTTCCCAGCTTGCTACATACACGGATCGAGAGAGCACCGGATCTCGTGCCATGCCTCTACCGATATGCCATTTTCTAGTGTCGATCTAGCTCTGGTTACATAGACCAGGAACCAGAGAAGCGCCACGACCGACAAGACCATCAAAGTACGCCAAAATGTTTTGCAAAGGTACCATATCAACCTCATTGCCTAGTGTAGGACTCGAGCTTCTCAACACCTGTCCTCCCCACAGAATACGGACAAACCACTCATTGTGCTTAGAGTAGAGTTCAAAGACAACCTCAGAGCCCATGCCCGGCCAAACCATCTCCTGGATTTGCAGCAAGGCCAATAGGCGAGAGATACTGCCATCGTGAGCAACGTCATGTCTGTAGATGACGGAGTCGTTGCCATTTTGTGCGACACGGAAGTGGTCTGCCAGCTCTGCGACCCAGATACCGTAGCTGCGACGGGCATACTCGAGAGTTTGAGGACCAGCTGAGCGGTACAAGAAGTTGTATTCGTACTCACCCAGACGGAATACCTCGTTTGCCTGAGTCTGAGTGACGCAGGTGCCGGTAGTACTGTTGCAGGGCAGAGGCTTCGAGTGACAGAGACGAGCAGAAAGATTGTCAAAATAGTGGTCCCAGGATTGGTGCCAGGCTGTTGCACTGGATGAGATACCAGATATGGCATCTAGAGCACTGGCAAGACCAGACGAGGCAGTCAAGTGAGCGGTCCAATTTGCGTTGGTGCTGCCTACACCATAAGACGAGTAGAGAGAGGATGCAGAAGAGCATGTGTAGGCAGGTTCCAGACTATCGATCGAGGCGGGCTGAATCATCAATGGAACGCTCTTCGAATCGAGCAAAGGATATATGCCAGGGATCAAGTTGCTGGCGACTTGAGATGTGATGACATTGTTGGTCACACGGAATTGAATTTTGCGAGAGTCATACTTTGCTGGCAAGAAACCAAGCAGACCATGGTAGACACCAAAGACGTCCTTGCCATGCTGATGGCTATCGTCCAAACCTCCCGAGGTTAACTGAGGAAATTGACATGTACCATTGAAGCCCTGCGGAGCCAATGGGTTCGAGGATGATGTGAAAACACTCCAGTATGTGGATGCTGAGGTGTTGGCGTTGGCACCAGTGAACGTAGCACCACCGTAATAAAGACCTTCGTCAGAGCACTCCCATGCATAAGACTCCCGAGGGAAGGTGTTGGCTGCATAAGGAGTACGCTTATGGTGGCGATGGATAACGTGAACGTATTGGAGTATGTAGCTCGAGTTGACCTTGGGATACTCAGAAGAGCGGACGTGAGGCATATTGCACCAGTTGTATGTCGCTGTGAGAGTCAGTGAACTGATCGTACAAGATTGGCCAACAGATGTACGCCATTCTGCAACATATGTCCCCCAGTCTAGCTTCAAATCGTGCACGCAGCTAATGATTCAATGACTCCTAGCATAGTACTCCCTGATCACATGAAAGAATCCACAAAGGCCAAGTCATGACAAGCAAGATCGAAGAAGGGGTGGTCTGTCCAACTCACAGTATGGTAGGCTTGCCGGGGTCTTGGACGAGTTGAAAACAAACCCCCAGACATCAGTGCCATTGATGACGGACTTGAGGTCGCTGACCTGAGTAGACGGAGGTGCATGCCATGACAGGTCTACAGTCGTGTTCGAAGAAGACACAATCGAAGCAAAAGAGAAAAGTATAGGGAACGAGTACAGATAATGCATGGCGAACCAGGTAGTCAAGGCCAGTATTGCAAGTGGAAGTAATGAGAGTTGCCACATGCTGGGCAGGCCGTGAGCCTACCTTTTATGGCAGATGTTGAGTTTCGTATTGCAGGCAGGGTGGGATTGTATGCTTGTATCAAGAGTGGAGTTGATGGATATCAAGGTCGGCGTGCAAGACTGGAGAGACACGATTGGCTTGAATCGAAGGAAAAGAGCGGCCGGCGATGAACATTATGCTTGAGCCTCGACTTGTGATTTTTCTCGGCACACATAGCCCTTGTTGAGCTCATGGGTGATATATGCAAAGACATGGTATAATTCTGCGATGAGGTATGGGGAAGTGTCAAGATGGTGATGCCAAAGGTGGAGTTTCTGGCGGCGCCCTCATCAGAGTCCCCTCGGAAACAGCAGCAGCCAAGCCTTGAAGGAGCACCACGGCCGTCGCTAAACAACATGAAAGTCGGCATGATCATGCCAAATTACTCGTGTCACACTTCTACAGTCTCTGGCATTCTGGATTCCCTAGGGACCAGTACTCAAACACCAATTTACACAGAAAACCTCAGGGCATCGAACTGAATCCAAACAAGGTCTGTGCGCATATCTAAGTGACCTCGGATAAGCTCATCGCAGACTCGCATGGCCTGAACGATGCCTTTCCGGATACCAAAGCGCAAGGACAAGGGCCCAGGATACACTGCTCTGGACGGAAGATGGGTTGATGGTGACAAAGAGCGCCTGTCAGACGACGACGGCGCATCAGACTCGAATGCGACACCAATGTTGCGACGCGCCTCTGGTGCTCGTAGTGCCACCTCGTACCCCTTGCCGCCTCGTCGCTTTACGAGATACTTTACCTTGGTCATTGTCCTCATTCTGGTAGGACTCGGTCTCACATTGGCCCGTTTGAGCGCCTTGTCAGAGGCATCGTTACGATCTGGTCTGTCAAAACCACCGCCTCCACCGCCAACCTGGGAGAGCTTTCCTTTCTTGAAACGCTACCATGGCGGTATTCGAACCCTAGTCTCTCGCGCCGAGAACAAGCCTGAATATCCTGACCTGGACAACAATACTCTGGAGTCCACTGTACAAAAAGACCAGGAACAACAGACCGCTCCATCAGACGAGAAGGGTTTCCAGAAGAGAGATGTATCACAAGGCCAAAGATTCAATCCTGTCGAGCAGGATGGTCTTGTCGAGTGCTATCTCAACGAGGAGAGGAAGAGCAATGTTCCACAACTTTTGGCATATTCAGGAGTACCCAAAGGTTTCCCGGATCCTATCATGGGTTCGTACGAGATATTCGGTATGAACGGCGACGTCTGCTTCGATCGCTACGGCAGACTAGGTCCGTATGGTTTGGGTTACAGCAAGAGATGGGGTGGTAGTGGTGCAGGCATGGATGGCCATCGCGAAGGAGCAGAAAAAGTATGGGATGGCAAGACTGAAATTGACTACCGTGAGGTCAATTGGGCTCAAGCTCAGCAAAAGTGTGCTCAGAAGAACAAGAATCGTTTCAAGCCTGTGCCGAAAGCCTCAAGCCACTTCTTTACTGAGATGGCGGTCGGAAACCCTGAGGACGACAAGCCTAAGAGAGAGGAGAAGCAAGAGAAGAACCTCCTGTCCAGACAAGCTGTCATCATTCGAACATGGCACGATTATCAGTATGACGATGAAGACATGTTCTACTTGCGCGCCCTAGTCAACGAGTTGTCTCTGCAATCTGGCGGCGAGTATACCGTCCACTTCTTGGTCCACGTCAAAGACAACGATATGCCCATCTGGAGTGATGAATTGACCTACCAGCGCGTTTTGAACGATTCGCTCCCGCTGGAGTTCCGAGGTATGGGCACGCTCTGGTCAGAGAGACAGATGGGCCTGATCTACGGAGGCATAGCAGAAACCAACTACCGCGGTCTACCAATCCACGGTGCCTACAGATCCACGAACATGCCTCTGACCTACTTTGCTCACAAGCACCCCGAATACGACTTTTTCTGGCATTGGGAAATGGACATTCGCTACACTGGCCACTTTTACCATCTGTTCCACAAGGTCGGCAAGTGGGCAGACCAGCAACCCCGCAAAGGTCTTTGGGAGCGCAACGGCAGATTCTACATTCCATCTGAGCATGGCTCCTGGGAGGACTTTAAGCAAATGGTGCGCGTGCAGACTGAACACGGTACAGCCCACAAAGCAGGCATGTACGAAAAAGTGTCGGGCACGGAAAACACTCAGGCACGCACACCGCCTGTCTGGGGCCCCATGCCACCGACCGGTGAAGGCGACAAGGTAGAAACCGAAAACGACCCCAAGCCCNCCACAACACCAGACAAAGACAATTACTCCTGGGGCGTGGGCGAAGCAGCAGACTTGATAACGTTCAACNCCCTTTTCGATCCTCACGCCACAAATTGGATCCTTGCAGAAGATGTCACGGGCTACAATACTTCTGCGGGCTTCCCTCCACGCCGCACAGCCATCATCACTGCATCCCGTCTATCCCGCCGTCTTCTCGAAACCATGCATAGAGAAACTGCTCTGCAACGCCACAGCATGTTTTCAGAAATGTGGCCTGGATCTTGCGCTCTGCACCACGGATTGAAAGCCGTCTATGCACCTCACCCCGTCTACATCGATCGCAGATGGCCAACTTCTTACCTAGCCGCTGTGTTTAACAATGGTTTGCACGGTGCTTCGGGAGGCGCAAGAACAAGTGTGTTTAGCGATGAGCGCCAGCACAATTTCTTGGGCACGACATGGTACTATCACGCGGGCTTCCCGGGTAATCTCTGGAAGAGATGGTTGGGGTATAAGGTTGATGGTGACGGAGGCGAGATGGAGGAGGTTGAAGGTGAGGGTAGGATGTGTTTGCCGGGCATGCTGTTGCATCCTGTCAAGCACGTCGACTTGATCTACGAACATAGAGAAGGAGAGTGAGGAGCCATTGATCTCTTGTTAATATGAAGAACGAAGAAGAGGGCGATGTTGCTTTGCACAAAGTCGAGCACGATGAGTAGATACTGTAATTGACGAAACTGAACATTTTAGCCTGTGCGACCGCGAATGAAACAATGCAATGAACAAGATCCACGAAACCCATCGACAAGGACCACAAACGCTATGCAATTTCCCCAAACTCCGACAACAGCAAAACCTCCATGCTCTTGTTTTCTTTTCTCCACCAGAGTAAACCAGCCCCTGTTGAAGACTCAAACGAACGATCAAATATGCCCCGGTAACCTCAGATCATACTCATCCTCCACTGGAAAAGCATCTCGATCCCCAGACTGACTGCCCACACCATCGTCATCGTCATCGTCTTCATCATCCTCATCTTCATCATCACTCTCTTCCTCGTCATCTTCGTCTCCCTCTCCGTTATCTTCTTCCTCTTCATCATCAGATTCTGAAACATCACCAAAGAACACTCCCGCATTGCCTTCGCCCCAGAAACTACTTTCGTGCGACTGTGCGGTCTGTGATCGTCGAGAATGTTGCTCGGTATCTTTNTGTGCCGCATCTTCTTCAGTTTGAGGTGGGTTTGCGGTATTGGCGCCAGAGTCCAAGCCTTCGAGATAGTAGCGCATAGGCGATAGACTTCTGCTGAAACGTTGCAGGATATCGTAGGGTAAGTTGCGGAAAGCGTCACCAGCGCTCAATGCGCGCTCGGTGTTCAAGCGTTGGAGGAAGTCATAGGGCAGATTGCGGAACGCATCGCCAGCACTCATCGCGCGTTCAGTGTTGCGAAGGCTTTCTTCGTATTCGGCTTGAAGGAAGTAACTTCTTCCTGTGGGTGAGTGCGGTGCAAAGACTGGTTGTTGAACTGGCAAGTGTTGTTGAGGGACGGGGATATGTGGTGGTGAGGACGGACAGCCATAAGCGCTATCTGCTCTTTCTTCGTCGCCGGTCACTACAGCTGGTAATGCGTTTACGCCAGCAAACTCGTGGCGACGGACAATTGGTCGTGTGCCAGGNGTCTCAGAGCCTAGGTAAGCGGTTTGCGAAGTGTTATAGCCGTCGCAATGGGGACACTTCAGGCCGAGCCAGTGGAAGGCGGACCAGCCTCGTCCTCCACAGTCATTACAGCCAACAAACACTTTCCGAGGCACTCGTCGATGAGTAGGGTTAGCCTTTGCAGCGGCAGAGTCTTCGAACTCGTCTTCTGGCATGGGTTGTAAACGAATCTCATCATCGAGTTTTCGCCATTGAAGCTCCATGTTGACGGCAGATTTGTTGCACACCGGACAGCGATATGTGACGTGCATGAGATCCTTGTAGCAGCGTCCATGCATATAGTGGCCGCAAGCCAAACTCACTACTGGTAGCGATGAAGAGAAGAGGTAGTCAAGACACAATGGACAATCGCAGTCTGTCGCTCGTTCGACGCAGGGATGTGTACTGCTGGTGGATATCGAGATACAGACGTTACATCGTTTGCAGTGGACATAATCCTTGCCCAGACCTTCACCACGACGACAAATGCCACAGTCATCGCAGTGGTAGATGCTTTTTGTGCTGTCATTGTCCCAGAGCTTGCATTTCGAACAGTAGTAGTAGGCAGAGTCGACGCCACAGTTGGTGCACGTGGGACCAGCAGGTTGAGGAGTACTGCAGAGCATGCATAGCATGTTGCGTGTCATTTTGCGATTGAGTCCGTGAGGAAAGGGTAGATTTGGTGAAGCGTCATGGCAATGGCGGCATGGGTGCCATCGGTTGCAGTCGAAGCATTGCACTTTGACGTTTCTGCTGTAGTGTGCGCATCCCAAACCAGTACCTTCGTCATTGATATGGTCAGCACAGTAGCTGGGCTCGAGGTCTTGGCTCGTGATGTTGTATGGGTTGTCATTCGATTGGACAGGGTGACAGAGAGGACCTTGGTGGAATAGGTCGGGCATATCGTGATCGGGGTTGTTCATGGTGATATAGTCCTTTGTCATGAGCAGATGCATTGCTCTTGCCTTCTCTTCTGTCGAGGCAGCCAGGTTGCGGATCTCGTGCATCTTCGACCTCAGTGCGCGCATGCCATCGTCCTCGGGCAACGACGTGCCAGGCGTCGGCGACACTGCCCGCCGGTCGACGTCCAGCTCCAGAAATTGGGATGTGTTCGCGTTGACGGCCATGTTGGAGGTGTTCCTCCTCTTGAAGAGACCCCTTATGTATGAGGGACGAGTGTCGAGTCAATACGTGTTTGAGGGCAGGCGATGTTGGTTTCAGCCCCGAGATGACGAGCGTTGGGCGGAGTGAAGTCAAAGTCCAAGGGCAAGTCACGTCGCTCCGTATTGCTGTATATGTATATTTTTTCAATGGCCTTTTCAAAGAATTGCAAGTGTCCATGTCACACGACAGGGAAGAGCGGCAGCCCGAGGCTATGGAAAGACCTTTGGTCCATCACGGCCATTGGTCGCTGTCATACGATTTCGTCCGCCATTCCATCATCATTGACATGTGCAAGCCCGCATGTGATTGCCAAGACCCCTCACGAACCACCTTCAAAACACCTCCTGAACTCCCTTGCTCTCGAACACTCCCTGCACTCGGTCTTTTCGCCTCAATTATCCGTATACGCACGTGTTTCACATGCTTAGTACGAACGCTTTGACAGACGCCCGTCCATCTCTGTCAGAGCACACGAGTACGCTGTGCTTTGATCGCAAGAATTACTTCTTTCGGTATCGAAACCTAATCTCGCGATCTCCATGTCCGCTTCGACATCAACATTATACCACGAGCAGCATGAGTTTTGAGGCTGTCGTCCACCGCTCTTCTACTGGAAGAAAGCATGCGAAGATAGCCTGGAAGACTGTATGTCTTCTTATATCCGCTCCTTACACTACATTGGCAGAACTACCATCAGTGCCTGAAAGGAACATTCTTGTCACGTAATCCGTATATTGTTTTGTCGAAGTTATCAAGTCTTTCCAATACTCCCTTTGGGAACGAACTTACTCGTATGGCAATCGCCAGCACTATAGCTTATACCACAACCGCGACAGCTCTTCTGAAATGGCTCTGACAGCAGCTGTCGAAATCGGTAGGCGTCAAACACTTACTTATTGATTCCAATATTGCGATGCAGCACGTACGGCCACAGTCAGCTGAAAACTGGGCATCCNNCGTCCGCTCTGCCATACATAAGCAGTTGAACGGCAGATTAGTACTACGGTGGGTGACCACGTGGGAATCCCTGCTGCTGTACGTTTGGCATCTCCTTTTGCTGTCAGGCCATTGTGGAGGCTTCTTTTTGCCGCATCATTATCATGAGCTGACACTCTTACGATCGCTCCCAACCCGGATGCGCACCCAGAGCTTGCAGCTTCTCACATCAGGCTCGAGCAACTCAATAGCATTTCAAATTCTCCCTTCAAGCATCCTTCAAGGAGAGTGTTAAACCAGAAAACGTCCACTTCAGGGCATCTTGCTGTTTCTGAATTCTCGATCATCTGCATGTGCGCCCCTATATAAAACACAACAATCCGAGGCCAGAAAGTCCTAGCGAAAAATCAGAGTGTGTATTTAAACCATAAACAAAGGTCGACCCCTGAACACCAAGCTGCTAGGAGAAACGATATCTCGTTTCTTTCTAGTAAGACCATCGGAGCTTGATGCAGTCACAAACAGTGTATGTAGAGCCACATGTATCATCGGGCGAGGCGAAGGGATCTAGCGTACTCATGTCGCGCTGCAATAAGATTGAGATTGGCCAGGGGATTGCTCCGAGTAGCATGACGACGTTCAGGGTCACTGACTCTTCTTGCCCTGTTGTATTGGCGTTTCATTGCGTGTCGACGTTCATTCCATTCAGGGTCTGCCTGTCCTTTTCGCTTGTACCACTCACGATATTCCTCCGTGGTCCAGCGATTCACATGGCCGCTAGAAGTGAACAGGCATAAAGGTTGAGAGAAGACATTGTAAGATCTAAGTGGACCAGAAATCCCAGTCCAGAGGAACGAGAGCATCGAATCGACGAGGATCAAAAGGTTAGCATGATTCTTGAAGAGTTCTGCTGCATACCGATAGAAGTATGCGTATCATGTGGTTAGCCGAAGTTCAACCGCTGAAATCAGCATGCAATCCAGATCTGCTCCTGTATCATAGGGCTTACTGAGCTGGTCTTGGAGAAAGGACTATCCACTTGTCATACTTCAACATCGATTGAGCTGTTGGTTGAGGTCTTGCCTTGCGCCGGCAAGTTTGCATGAACGAGACACGAGACGTTGCGACCATGGTCATTATGTCGTGAGTGCCACCACCATGAGGGGAAACTTGTCATACCACGATGAGATCTTACCAGTATCTTTCGTCTTATTGGCCACACTAAAGAGCTCGCTCCTGTGCCTGAAGCCAATGTGCATAGGGATGACCATGAGTTGTCAGAGTGTGATCAAATTGTTTCGTCAATGGGAAGTTGCGTACCTGCAAGTTGAGTCGCATAGCTCCTGCTGTTATATAGCTTGCTTCGCACTTTGTCCCTTCACTCTTATTTGTTGCTCTGTCTCTGTCTCTGCCTCCATCTTTCCGTCCTTCCACTGAACATCAACAGAGCAATTCATCCTTTCATTCAAGCATCATGCAGACCTCAAGATTTCTATCTCGTGCTTCGGTGCAAGTCACCAAGCAGGCTACCCTACCGTTCTCTCGCACCTTCGCTTCGTCGTCAATTGTCATGCAGCGTGTCTCGGAGCTCATCAAGCACGACCATGATGAACTGAGAACCTTCAAAGACAACATTCTCAAGGCCACCACGGATGACGAGAAAGTCCGCTGGCAGAACCAGTTCACCTGGGAGCTGGCTCGCCACAGTATTGCTGAAGAGCTGGTTGTCTACCCTGCCATGGAAAGAAACTGGTATGTTCTTGACCCTTTGATCGTTCAACGACAGTTCCTGACACAATTTATANGTCCTGGAGGCGAGACCTTGGCCAACAAAGACCGCGCTGAACACAGAAAGGCAAGGCCGTGACGATCCGTCCGACGACTATTATTGCTGACCAGAATCACAGNNGTCAAGGAGCTTCTTTACAAGTTCCAGGGACTGAAGCCCGATGTCGAAGACTTCGAGCCAACCCTCAAGGCCCTCTGGAGCGAATTGGACCAGCACATCAAGGAGGAAGAAAGTGAAGATCTACCCCATCTCGAAAAGCACACACCTACGGACGAGTCTGCCAATCTGGCTGCCAGCTTCAACCGCACCAAGAAATTCGTTCCCTCTAGAAGCCACCCCTCTGCTCCCGACGACGGTGGACCCTTCGAGACCGTAGCTGGATTAATGGCTGCTCCGATGGACAGGATTGGAGATATGTTCCGCAAGTTCCCCAAGACTCGTTGAGCATATCACCGGAGGTGTTGTGGGGCACGACATGGCACCTATCTTACGAGAGCACGCTGAGAATGACGTACAAGAAGATGATTCATGCTGCTGCTTGATCCAAGCATGACGATGACAATGGCTATAGCTTAGGCTTGCTTTAGGACATCCTAATACGATACTTGATATACCTGTTGACTTCCTGCACGTTTATTTGCACCAGGTCTACCAGGTATAAGCGTACTCTGTCTCAGTTTACTCGGTCGCGCAATAAGTGACGCGACAGCCAACGGCCAAAGCTCCAGTTGAGGATATATCTCTTGGGTGTTGTAGATTCGGCACCTTCGTCTGTACAGTAGGTCGATAACGCGCTAAGCAATAACGTGAGATGCTCAGCACGTGTTATTGCAGATGTGTGGTTTCCAGTTTACTTGTTCGAACTGATGGCGGCGACAAGCGACGATATGTATAAAATCTAGTCGCTGAGAAAGTGGTTGTAGGAAGGGATGAGAGAAAGAAAAAAAGAAAGAGAAAAAGGCTGCTTTGGAGCCGGAGTCTTGGCATCTGCGGACGGATCGACAGAGCAGAGTTGACTCATGTAAATTTTACGATTTTGATATCACATCAGCAACTCAGCACCGTCAACGTCGCGACATCTTGCCAAGTCACCCTGCACCATACCTTAGGATCTCCGTCGGACGACCATAAAAACAGTCTGCGTCACCTCTTACGCGACGCGACACAACTTCCAGTTTCGTAGAACGATCCGACCAGAGCACACGGATTACCTACGCGCGACGAAGGAGGCCAGAGTTGGAGATACACAGCCATCATGTCATCAGCAGCAGGAGAGGCTGAAAAGCCCGTGAATGTACAAAATGGAGACAAAGCAGCAGGCGCACCGAAGAAGGAGAAGGCATCGAAACAAGAAGCTGGAAAGAAGGATGAAGGAGCAGCAGAGGGTGACAGCAAGAAGATCTCGGGCGCCGAGTTGAAGAAGCAGAAGCAGGCCGAAAAGGCTGCGCGACGCGAAAAGGAAAAGGCCGAACGTATGGCCCAGCTCGGACAGACGGCAACAGCACCACAGACTCCTGCAAAGGGCACAAAGGGTGGTGATGCGAAGAAGGGCGGAGAGGCANGCACCGAAGGGTGGCCCTGCTCAGGGTCAGGCACAACACAAGAAGGGANNCAATCCCAGGGCGGAAACCTGCCTATGCGCGGCAAGCCTGGACCCGGGNGAGTCATTCCCATGACTCAACAGCAGCAACCGCAACGGAAGACGAAAGAGGTTGGCTTGTTTGGCCACCTTTACACGTCAGCCCCCAAGCGAAACACTATGGAGGGCGTGAGCAAGGAAGTCCATCCTGCTGTCCTGGCATTGGGCCTGCAGATGAGCTCGTTCACCGTTTGTGGCAGCAATGCTCGATGCGTTGCCATGCTGCTCGCTTTCAAANAAGGTACGCAATCATGTTCTCGCGGAAACAACATGTCTAACTCGAGATAATAGGCTATTCTCGACTACCAAACACCACACAACACCTCGCTCGCCCGCCATCTCACATCGCACTACCTCTCCCCTCAGATCGACTACCTCAAGTCTCACCGTCCCATCTCTGTCTCTATGGGTAATGCCATTCGCTGGCTGAAGGATCTTATCATCAAGATCGATCCTGACACGCCAGAAGCAAGCGCAAAAGAAGACATCTGTGCCGCCATTGACACGTTTATCCGAGAACGCATCACCGTAGCTGATACTGCCATTGCTGCAACTGCATGTGCGAAGATTCGCAACAACAGCACCATCGTCACATACGCAAAGTCGTCGATCGTTGAGAAGACACTGCTGCGCGCTTGGGAATCGGGCACCCGCTTCAAGGTTGTTGTCGTCGACTCGCGCCCACTGTTCGAAGGCAGGAATCTTGTGCGACGACTCGCCAATGCTGGTATCCCCGTGACCTATCTTATGGCCGCTGCTGCTCCTCACGCTCTCAAGGATGCCGATCTGGTCCTCCTGGGCGCTCACGCCATGATGGCCAACGGTCGTTTGTACTCGCGCGTCGGTACTGCCGCAGTCGCCATGCTGGCTCATTTCCGCGACATCCCAGTCATCGTGCTTTGCGAAAGTATCAAGTTCACCGATCGGGTTGCCCTCGACAGTATTGTCTTGAACGAAGTCGCCCCAGCCGAGCAATTAATTCCTGTCTCCAAGTCTGTCCCAGCCCCTGCAGCAGTCGATGCCAAGAAGGACGACAAAGAAGAAGATTCACAAGCAAAGCTGGAGAACTGGCGCGACATGCCAAATCTGCAACTGCTGAATATCCTTTACGACGTCACGCCTGCTGCGTATGTCAACATGGTCATCACCGAGTATGGATCATTGCCGCCTAGCTCTGTACCTGTTGTGCATCGCATCAGTACCGAGAGAGACGTCAGACTGTAATCTGCCACCGAAAAGTCCTTGTTCCGCCTTAGCGTGCAGAAAGAGATAGCAACACGATAAATGAAAAGCATTAATGATCATCAAAAACCTGTCGAGCTCGGAAATAGCGCGATCAGTTTCGATAGCCACGGAAAGTTCGCGTTGTGTGGTTCGTCGCTTCCGAAAGGGGAAAGGCGAAGTTTTGGGAGAACAATACTAAGCTTCGCCCTTCCCAAATCTGAACCAGGGATCTGCCTCGATTCGACACCACAGCGGCCGTTTACAATTCTTTCCCGCTGCTCTGAACGTCGAGACAACCTTTCTCTAGTATACGAAGACATATTCGTGCTGCGTGTTAATGGCGTGGAACGCTCAGCCAGATCGAATGATATCTTTCTTGCAATATGAGCTCTCAAAACCTAACTATCTCGCTTGAATGGTCAAAACTGCCGCTACATTGTCTAGTACAACATCCGCACTGGTCGCGCTGAGTCTACACAATGCTTCGTCCGTCGAGCGGCTATTGATCGCTGCTCTGGCCTCCATGTCTTTGTCCATATAGAACAATATCAAGACCTCCAAGACAATGTTTACTGGATAGAGATTGATAGAAAGCAATCTCCTCAGACTACTTTACTTACCTTCTGTTCTTTGACACTCTCTTACTCTCCTTTATTCCAAGGGCAAATCACACGAACTAGACCATCACAGGCCAAGGCAACACGCTTCGACCCAGCCAACACTCCAAGTCAAAGACAAACCTCTCCCATTGTCCCACAGCGGGTATATAATCGACCTACCCGTACTCCATCAATAAACCACTTCATCAAGCCAAACAAACTTACACACTCATTAGTAAGCTCTTCATCCACACCATCAAAAGATCTCTTACTCACAAAACAATCACAGCTTTTCAAGTAACCCACCACTCCAACTATAACAAAATGGTTGCCTCCAACTTCTCCACTGATGCTCCCGTCAACTCCTTCACCTCCCAGGGTGCCAAGTTCTCCGGCTGGGGCCACAACCCCTGCACTCTCCAGGGCCGTGGTCAACTCCTCGAGGCCTCTTGCGTCCTCCAAAAGGGTGGACGTGGTCAGCTCCTCGAGGCCTCTTGCACTCTGCAGGGCCGTGGCCAGCTCCTCGAGGCCTCGTGCACTCTCCAGAACAACTAGGTTATCACTCTGTCCTTGAGTGATTAGTCTTCGGTTAAGAGAGTTCTTTGAATTTATCATCTTACACATTATTGTATCTTCTTTTCTGGTTTTTGCGAATCTCTAGATTGGCTGTCGTCTGGCTTGCTGGGTTGACGTTGCTAACTGAGGTTTCCTTTATCCAATCTATCCTTTGCTGTTTGCAAACGGATTTGTACTTCTCCATTCCTCTATCTCACTGTGATAAGTTCCATCTGTGTACATTCCTCCGATTCCATGGTTCTCGTTTGCCATTGCTGGTGTTTCGTCCTCATGATAGTGTCCTGTATGGTACCTGCTCTCCTAGCAACACAACCACTGCCCCGTACATGTGGTTCCTCCCTATGTCACTCGATTTGCTGATAGCAGGGGCGTAGGTAACTTTAACTACCCAGACGACTACGTCTGACATTGCATAAGCTTTACAAGGACCTACAGTAAGGAACCGTTTGGAGTCTTTATCTGCTAGGTTCCTAAGAACAACCCTATGATTCCCCATCAACCCCAGTCCCAATACTAGCTCCGCTCTCAGAAACCTCCAAAAACACTATACAGCCCAGCGATACCACCATACCAGATACTGTACTCGGGAACTCCGCCAGCACAAATCGCCCCTCGAGTAGCAGATACAGCTGCGATATGCGATCAGGCCCATGAAGCTCTCGGGAAACGACTTGTACCGGTCTCTTCTTTTGTACGCGATACATTTAGTTTAGTTGGTCATGCTTATAGGGATTGGAATGACAGAGGCAAGGAAACAAGCATAAGACTGTTGCAGACAAGGTAAAGTGTTCTGTGTTCATGTCTGTGATGCCTTGATGTAGACCCAGATCCACGAGGTATCAAACCAGCATTTCCGGGACAATAGGATTCCTGATATGATCCTTTAACCGGAGCACTGTTGACATGGTTGCTGATGCTGTAGACCTACACCTTTAGGCTGCAAGCTCACCGCCTAAGAGTTGCTTTTCGCCATGGTACCGAGTAAGGCATCCTATCGGTGGTGGTAGCGATGAGATAACCTCAATTGGAACCTCGACCTCATCGTGTAAGGTTCTTCTCCAGATAGCGAAGCGAGTAGATTGAGTCCGAATGGAAGTCGAGCGATGAGACAGTGTTTTGTAAATATTGAAAAAGAAGAGAGTCTTTGCATAAGAGTGTATACTTCTCATCGGCTCTTATTTTCATCAGTATGACTCTCAGACTGGGAAGATTGATACTACATACTTTCATTGAGTCTAAAGAGACCAGAAAACTAGTCCGCCAATACACGCACACGAGATATGATGCCGCTCAAGATAAGATGCTATGATGTTCGATATCTCATTTTGGTATTTACAAGATCATCGTTGGGCCGTCGGCCATCTCGAGCAGCAAACAGGCGATCGAACTTTCCGGCAGAAAATGTGTTTCGCCGACAGCGATTAGGGACTGGTGTCTGAAGTCAATCTCCAAGAAGGAATGCCACTCGACTAGTGTCACCTGGATCTTGTAGAAATTTACTGTCATTGCCAAACAGGACACTCTTCTCGGATGATGATGGTTTCATCTTCCCACAAACCAGTCATTGCTATGCTTGTTCATTTACCTTGAGATGAGAGCGGAGGAGAAACGAACGTGGTGACTGTTTTGTCGATGTTCTTGGACATTGGCATAGCCAGAGAAGAGTCTCTGACCCGGTCGATTGCATTCTCGGTATCTCGAGCAAGAAGGCGCATTACTCAAAGGTAGCGATCCCCGAAGTGCTCCATATATCTGACCCTCAAGGACTGCGACAGACGTAGTCGACATTGAAAAGCTGTATTCGATACTGTCCGAAAGTGATTGACATGCCTGTGCTAAGATCGGCGCCTATTCGCTCTTCCCCTGCCATGATGTAGCGATATATAGACTATATGGATGCACAGTTGTACTCAAGAAAGTGGCGTGACCAAGGAGAGCCCGCTGCAGCGAGTTGCTCTATTACCTAATGATACTTTGTGTTTCTGCAGTTACCGGCATCGCATGTATAGCATACGAAGAGAACGACTCGTTGAGCAGACTGGCATGCATGAAGAATAAAATGATCAAAGCAGGAAGAAACGTACAGGTACCACTCAATCGAGGAATAGGAAATGGAGAGTAAAAAGATAATTGAACCAAATGACTTTTTGCGATTTCTGTAATGACTAAGAAAGAGAATTGCAGGAAGAGCGGTTGTGGGGATACTTGAGAAGAGCATGGAAAAGATTTCGTGCCATCTTGCGTGGTAAAGGTGTGTATGTCAAAAAGAAAGACCCCAGTGGCAGACATTACAAAACAAGCATTTTTTCCCTTTCCTTCTCAAAACTCCGGTGCCGGTGGGTTATCGAATTTTGCGTTGGGTTGCGAGGATGGTTCAGGTAGGTGAGGGAAAACAGGTCGGTCTCGTTACTTTCGTTCATGGGTCTCTTTACGAGGCCATGGCGCGGCTGCCTCCTCTGCGGTTGAAGTTCTTGGACTTTGCCGAGACGGTGGACCAGCCATCGTCCTCCATGGTCTCAGCTGTCGTTTGGGGCTCCTCGGTCTTTCTCCATGAGTCACCGCCCTTGGCGGGAACCTCGCGTGTGATCTCTTGGGGCTTCACTTGCTTGTCGTCGGCAATGGTACCCTCGGCATCGGCATCGACACCTTCCTTGTCGTTCTCCTCATCCTCGTCGGTGCGGCGGAGGATCTCGTATTGCTTGCTGTCCTCGCCCTCCTTGTTCTCGGCCTTCTCGGCCTTCTCGGCCTTCTCGGCCTTGGTAGCAGCCTCCTTAGCACGCTTCTCCTCACGGGCCTTGTCGTCTGCCTCCTTCTTCTCGCGAATGGCGAGCTTACGCTTCTCCTCAATCTCCTGCTCTCTTGCCGAGGTGTCGATGGGGCGGGCAGCACCGAACGGCGATGCCTTGGACGAAGCTGCGGCATTGTTCTCGGCGGGTGCCTCTGAAACGGTGCGCTTTGCGAGGTTGAGTCTAGGTCTCTGTGCAGGTGCGGAAGGCGAAGTAGGGGTGCTGGCGTCGGGCGAAGCAGCGGGTGAGTCAGGCTTCATTCTAGCTCTCCACTTGTCGTCCATGTCTGCGGCGGTGGGCTGTCTCTCGGGTCTAGGGGTCTTTCGNCCAGTTCCGGAAGCGCGGTCGGCAGCGCCCTCACCCCATTGGGGAGCGGCTCTGGGTTCTCTGGGTTCTCTGTTGAAGTTGGATTCTCTGCGCTCGCCCATGGGTCTAGCCTCGGCAGGGGTTAGGGGACCCTTTCTCTCCCAGTTGCCGAAGTCACGGGGCTTTGAGTCGACGCCTTCAGGGGGNCCTTGTCTGAAACTACCAGCTCTGTCGCCCATGCCGCGGCGCATACCGCCATCACGCTGTCCAGGGAGGTCGGGAAGAGGGCCCTTGCGGGTCCAGTCGTTGAGTTCGCGCTGGGGTTCACGGTCCTTCGCTGAATATCGTGAGCATGGGTTCCAAGTCTGGGCTCTTCAAGACTTACGTGGGTCGGCAACGCTGATGCGAATGTTTCTGCCCTGGAACTGAGTCTCGCTGAGAGTAAGAGCCTTCTTCAGGCCGTCAACGGTACCGAACTCGACGTAACCGAAACCCTTGGGTCTGCGGTCCATCTTGTCCTCAACAATGCGAACGCTGGTAACCTCACATCCGTCGAGGAAATCGCGGACATCGGCCTCGGTGACTTCGAAAGAAAGGTTGCCAAGGTGGGCGGTGTATGGGGGCTTGTCGGGCATAGGGAGCTGCTCACGGACGGCGTAACCAGCGGTGCGGTCTNNGAAGGTCGAGTATGAGATGGTGTGCATGTTTGTAGAGGCGCATATTGTCTTACCGCGGAAACCACCAGCAGCGGCATCGTCACCAGCAGGGGCAGCGGAACGGGAGGAGGCTCCCCAGCCGCCGGAGGAAGTGTTGGTGCGAGAAGATTGGTAAGGAGTGGCNTGATTAACGGCGTTAGATGGTCGTTCGTTCGCGTTATGTCAGGTAAAGACTGGTGAAGACATACAGGCTGTTCAGTGTTAGTCTTGTTCGCCTCTGTCATATGCGCATCGTCACATACCAGGAAGAGGAGCAGTCTCCATCTCATCGGCCCACGAGCCGAGCGCNTATGAAATTTCAGCCATGAACGTCTTTGCGACTTGGTCGGGCAAGTAGCGCATACACTGGTCGTTCAAGAAGTCGCCGAGCGACAACTTCTGCTGTTGCGATTTCTTGGGTGCTATTGTCCGGCCGTGTCAGCACTCGTGCACTTTTTTTGCCTGTCTGTCGCCGCAAACCGCATCGCTCATTCATTGTGTGCGTGTGGGTTGCGCCGGCCGTATCTCACTAACCCATATTTGCGGAGTGATTGAAGACGCGCTGTAAAGTATGCGCGAGTGTTTCTGGATTTGTGTCTGTAGTAACGAATCAATGAGATCCAGTGCGAAGGGAATATCCAAGGCCATTTCGCTCTCGCTGATCAACGCTGGGGCGCTGAACTTCTTTGCCAAGACACTAGCCTGCAACAGGCACCGCCCATCCGCCATTTCAACCTCTGCTCCTTCGACGAGCCGTTGCCGCTCTTGACCATCCATTTTGTACTTGTATCAGTGCAGAATGGATCGCAACCAGGTAGCTCGGTCGCCTCAGGCAGAGTCTATCATCGGACCTGCTCTCAAAATTGGTGCTCTTTCCGGTATGTAACATCATAGTTGTTTCCTCCTCCGGATCCAAGCCACGAAATAAAAGCCGATCGGCTCCTTCCACGATTGAACATCATGAAACTCATGTTCCTGATTTCTCATGCTCGAATAAGCAATTGGTTATCTCCTCCACTTCTGACACATCTCACAGNGCGCAGCTGGTTTCGTCACTGGCAGTGTTGCTGGCGTCATTCGAAATTCTCCTCCTCTTCTTTTTGGTCTCGGCTCTGGCATTCAATGGTTCGGCTTGGGTACTACATACTGGGGTGAGTCCATCTGATCACGCATACTTCGTCTCGCACTGACCAACTCAGGTACGAGGAGCTTCATCTTCCAAGCATGGGACACCGGGAAGGGCTTGACCAAGAGCGACAAGACATCTGCTAGCACTATTGCTGGCGGTGTAGCTGGCAGCGGTGTTGGCTTGCTCACTCGTACGGTTCATAGAGCCTCCCAATCTTGATCTCCAACTAACCTTTTCAGGTNNGGTCCTCGCAATGTTATTCCCGGAGCCATCATGTTCTCGCTCTTTGGTTTTCTTGGACAGACTGTCTCCAACTACTACGACAAAACTGATATGCCAATATCGGACGAACCACAATTGAATTTCTGGCAAAGATTCGCCAGTCTGAAATGGATGCCTGTCACCGTCCTCAAGGACGGCGAGTATGAGGACATGCTGCGTGAAAGGCAACTCAAACTCGAAGCAGAGATTGCCCTCGTGGATGAGCGCATTGAAGCTCTCAAAATGCAGCACGCTAAAGCGCCTTCTACGGATAGCACCGCTCCATGAAAGGACTCGATGACGAGTCAACGATACCAGCACACTACTCTGCTAGTCAAGCAGATTACCATCGTGCGGCCAAGCATCCACTGGACGCATAAGTTTGCAGCTTCCGGTTGATGGAACGTACGGATGCCCTCGTGGAGAAAAACCGGGGACGTCGAATGATTCCTGGCAGGCAAACTCCCAGACCGAGCGTCTGCAAGCTTCATCGCGAAGTAGCTCACTGCGAACATGCGATGATACGCAGCACTACGAGCGAGCCACAGAGATATGAGGCAGCCCAGTAAGCCAACTTGCAGGTTTGAGTCGCCGTTTCGAGCAGACGGAAGTAGGGAGATACTTTGTCGAAACTCATATCCATTTGCATCGCAAGTCTCTTTTTCTATCTTGTTGATCTGCTTTCAATTTCATCTCACTATCACAATTTTCTCTTTTCTTATCCAACAAAAGCAAAAGAAAGTCACTCGTCCAGTGGTCAGAAGATTTCACTTACCGAAGGTTATCCATCTGTCGCCCGACCGCCCTATTCCTAGCCCCGCCCATGTGCTCTCAGATCTTTACCGACCCGCCCGAGGTGTTTGTAACGATTCTGTAGCCACAGGCGCCCCTTCACCCAGACGTTGCTTGGGGAATTTCACCTCTGGCAAGATTTGCACCCTCACCACGAGTCTGACCCTCTTGCCGGTAGAAGAATCTGCGAAAGTGGAAGTCAGTAGTGATGCCGCTGAGAGTTGAACTGTGGTTGTTAGTGAGGGTGTTTTTGTAGATTCGGTTAGCGAACTGAATTTGAGGAATGGCGGTTCTGCCCACTAGACTAAAGTGACTTTTGAATGAGATTCAGGTGATCTGAATAGTCTATCTCACTCCAGGTCTGGCGATGGAGTGGGTGGGGGCTCGCGAGACGCGTCTATTATGTGCAGGCCTCCCATACACAACAGGCTTCTGCTCATACAACGCTCCGCTGCAACTCGCGCACGCTTCACTGTTNCATCTTTGCTCGCATTGCTCTCAGCGCTCCGTTCCTGGCACTCTGCACTCTCCCATTGCGAACCAGACACATATCATCCAACGTTCCGCCGCAACTCGCGTACGCGTTTTGGCCTTTGGCTCAGTTGGCATCGCTATCACTGCTCTTCTGAAACCCAGCGCTTCACCTCTACTTGGCCTCGCTCCGGCTTTTCAGCTTCCATCTACTCTGTTTCTCAACAATCTAACGATCCGCTGCNNAACTCGCGTGCGCTTCATTACCTCTACCTTCGCCCGCATTACTCTCAGCGCTTTGTACTTTGCGAACCTTGCGCTTCGTTACTGCTCAACCTCGCTTCACCTCGCTGCTTTGCCTCCCAATATCAAACACTCCGCCGGATATCAACCACGCTTCATCGTAGCTCCCAGTTCAAGATGTCTGAAGTCATGGGCCTGCGTACGCAGATTATGGGTATGTTCTTCCAAACATTCTCACAGCGTCTCCNNAATGCTAAGATCCACGATCTAGAGAACGTTCTTGCTCTCGAGCCCCAATTGCTCGAGCCCAGATGGCTGCTCTACTGCGAGATCAAGTTCCACGATGTCTTCACTGAGGGCGATTCGGGCGATGTCATCAACCCAGATGATCAGACCTACACCAACTCAAATGCTGGCGAGGCCAACAAGTCTAAGCACGAGCTCTACACCGTCGTTCTCGCTCTTTCTGAGCGCTTCGGCAGGACTACTACCATTCGCATCTGGAAGGACTCTGCTGCCACACCTGAACTCGCCTACAGAAACTTGCTCAAGCAGACTGCCCTCGCGCTCACCGACCACGGACATGTCGCTATGTGACGTTATTGAGGAGCCGGGTCCACGTCGTGAGTTACTTGGGCTCGTTCTTCGTATCGCCGAGCCCTGCTAATTATGCCACGGAGACTACAATTAAGACATCGAAGAGTAGTCTCGATGTCGCGCGATTACTTGTTGCACCGTTTTCAAGGGCCGGGTCGACAATGTAAGCTCGCGAACACCCGACTTTCGCCTCATCGAGCACTTCTGATGACCCCACGCAGCCTAAGTTCAGTACATTGAAAGGCGACCTTGATGTCGCGGGATTGCTTTTTCCTACACTTTGTCTCGGCCGGGTCGACGACGTGAGTCTAAACTATCTCGTGTCTCTCAACTTCGAGCCAAGCTGACAATCACACGCAGATAACATTCAGTACAACGAGTATAGTTTTCGTAGTCGCGAAACAGCTGTTTACATTAGTTCTGGGCCGGTACCGGAGGCTTCATAGGGACTTTCGAAACAGTTTGCTATGCTCTCTTTTCCGTTCTACATGTGACTTTATACCTATAACAATGCACAATCATATCTAATAGTACACACATCTCCAGAGAAAGCTCAAAGAATACCTACATCTCAGTGGACACTGCATCATCTCACATATACTTTGCATTTCTATAGCTACATATAACCGACCTATCTCATATGAGATACCAGTGCGGGTATAGTCCATCATTGATGGCCGCTCCCTCTCCCACAGCGATACAAGACCCCATGATATGCTATAGAAATGCAAAATTGTATTCAGTATGGGGCTATGTCCATAGAGAGCCCTTTGTCTAGACCTCTCTCACCGGACTTGTCTAAATTCTGGAAAGTATCCTGCATTTCTCTAGCTAGTTATCATTGGTCTCTTTGCTGGGAGAGACAAGCTCGGCGCGTGTTACTATGTATACCTGATATCTGCTTCACAAGAATATGTGACACTGTTGTAAGTTGTAGAAATGCAGAAACGTGTTTGGTATTGGAGATATGTCCGCAGAGAGCCCTTGAAGTTCACGTATCTCAATGGAAACTATGCCAATCCTGCAAAGTATCATGCATTTCTATAGGTACTTAGAACCGATTGAGCTTGCCGGGAAGATGGATCATGATGTGAGACATGGCCCTGCAGTCAGCCTGAAACGCTGTTCGTATGTGCAAACGGGAAGCTCGGAGACGACATATTCTTTCGAATCTTTCATCCAGAACTTTCTTTTCTTTCTTCCATCACACTCAAACTACTTCCAAAGACCCAAAAAGCAAAAACGTCAAGATGTCGGATATCGTGACCCTGCGCACGCTCATCTGCGGTATGTATCGAACAAAGAAAGCCATTTGGCAAGACCACTGATCGTTTGCAGAGAACATCGCTGTTACTCACGATCTCGGATTCGCTCCTTCCTTCCTTCACGCATACGACCGCGATGATCAAACCTGGACTGTCAAGGTCGGCCATGGCTTCAGCTTCAAGCCTCGTATGTCTCAGGGCAAGACTCTGCTGGAAGGTCATGGCACGACTATCGAGGCAGCCTACCTTCAGTTGTTCGAGGCTACTGCTTGGAAGGTCTACATTGAGAGCTACTGTGGCCCCAAATGGAGGTTTGTTTGGGTCTGGTAATCAGTTCTTGTGGAGCAGCTGGCTGACATCGATTCAGGCTCCAACCAGGAAGATGTGTTAATCTTTGGATACGATCATTGATGTCTCCTTGTTCTCTCACAGCTGCAAACGTAGTGTCGTGGTTGTTTAGCTGCAGTCAATCCTTTCGCAAAGTGCTTCAATCGCAAAGATATACCAACCTCTGTCTCCTCTTTGTTTCCATCTTGCTTGCTTCTCCATCGCATCTCATACTGTGGGGTTTAGTCCAAACTTTTTGCGTTGCGATGTACATTTTGGTGAGATGAAGGAGTGGTATCGAAATCAATGCCGTCAATGATCAGTTCGAAACACCGCTTTTGTATGCAATCAAAGGGCTTCCTGACTTCCGATCATATATAGTATGACTAATTTCTAGCTCTTCTCACCTTCCATCGCCCATCGTTCCTTCTCAAACTTGACGAGCATCAACAGAAGATGTCTGCAATCCTGGTTCTCCAAGCCCAGATCCGCGGTAAGAAGACCAGATTGGTCTAACCTTTTGACAGAACGCTGACCCAACTTACTCTAGAAAACATTCTCATCGCTTACAACACGGATCAATTCCAGTTCAAATGCTCCTATGTTGCTGACAGTAACCCTGGAGTCTGGACCGCCAGAATTGGTCACTTTGTCGGCTATGCTTCTGGTCCAAGTCAGAGTCAGACTTATGTCGAGGCCAATGGCGCAACCCCTGAGATGGCATACAGAAACTTGTTGATGAAGACTGCCTTGATGGTTACCAGACGTCAAGCCAACGAGACTGAGGCTTGAAGAGGTTGGTGTGTTGCTGATTGCGGCTGGTATGGAACAATTTTCTGACGTATTCTCGCAGAAGACTGCCCTTGACATCTCGTCTTAGCACATCACTGTATCATACCGCCGTCGGTTATTTGCGTCACATGAATCCCGGTGATTTGGGTCCCACCATGTCGGGTCACAAAGAACCTTCCGCACAGTTCTTTGACGATCCATGAATCAATCTTCGCTTCCACCGACGCACTGCCTCTTTCTTGTTCATCCACCAGCAGTCCAGCATACCCCTTCTTCCGAACAGTATATCACTTACTACACATGATGTCTACCATCCTTGGCCTACGTACCCTGATCCTCGGTGAGATCCACCAAGCCAAAGGCCAGGCTGAAACTAACGACTCTCAGACAACCTCAAGATTCTGGATCAGGAGAACTTCGACGATCACTTCATTGTCAACTACAGCACACTTGATGGTCGTGACTTGTGGACTGTTATTTTGAGCACGACCAATGAACTGGCAGGAAATCCCTACAGCGTCCCCAATCCAAGTCACGCCTGGAAGGGTTCGGGCGGAACTCTTGAGCTGGCCTGTAGGGACATGCTTAAAGTGACTACCACCGAGCTCAAAAAGCGTGGTTACTGAACATCGACTGCTTTTGGTTGTCACGATGAGGTAAGATTTTCACAAGATCAGCCATTGAGCAGCATTGTGATGTGAGCAGCAGTTGATTTCGACTGGCGATCACAACCTTCGTTCTTCACCAACCGGTTCTCGTACTTTGTGCTTCATACGCATCCCAGATAGAATCGTCATCGTCTCTAATCATGCACCATTTGTGCTGTGGCCCCCTAGCTAGTCCATCACTTGCAAAGATCAAGCCACGCTCCATAGCAAAAGCATCAAATACAAACTCGTCGACTCCTATTCACCCTCCGAACATATCTATCTTTGTCTCTGTGATACCATATTACTTGCTTTGATGCTCTACGTTGGTCCTGTTGCTCTCGGGTAAAAACTAAGACACTAGACTCGAAGCTCAACAGCCGGTTTTCCTAGCACAATGGCAATGGAGCAGGTGTTTCAGAAGGTGATTCGGGAATCCACAAAGCACCTATATGGATTCAACTTCTTACACGCTCCCACCATATCTCTTCTCCACACCCCATATAGTACAGGAGCCACCACCCGATAAAAAGTCACCAGCTCCTAACACACTCAGGCTTCCTTAATCCTTCGCTGGCTCTAATGCAGATCTGATATGGAGATCCATTCCGCGAAAACGAAAACCAGCCCCTGAACAAGATGTCTGAGATCATGACTCTCCGCACTCAGATCATGGGTACCCTGTCACTTTCTTTCTGACCGTCCAAGTAATGCTGACAGAGAAGCANNGACAACATGGAGATGCTCAACTACCCCAACCTCCAACTGTGTCGCTTTGTCCTGACTGTAGACGACGAAGACGGCTCGCTCTGGTTTGTCTTCCTCGACGGGCCTGCTCGTCTGCCCTACGACCCTCATCAGCCATCCATGCTTCGAACTTACAGCGACATCAAGTTCAAGGGTAAGAGTGATAGTCTTGAGGATGCCTACAAGGATCTACTCGAGTGGACTGCTGAGATGCTGCACCGCGACTACCGCGACGGCAAGAAGATTCAACGCTTTCTGTCTCGCAAAAGAACGTTACTCGGAAGTACTCTCTCTTATTGGTTCTCATCTGCAGATTGTTTCACGTCTTGTGTCTCAAAACATCCTTGTTGAGCTCTCCATTCACGGGTGATCGGGACTACCAGTCGATCTTCATCGTCATCGACTAGAGGCCGTTCATGCACCATGGAGCCAAAACTTGTCCATATCATGGCCGCTACGTCTGCTCTATCTGACTAGCTTGCTTGTTAATCAGGCGTATCAAAGCCTTCACCTCTAGCTTGGATACAAATATTGTCAGAACCCAGACCTTTTCTAACTGATATCATTATGGCTCTCGGCCAGTGCCTTGTAAATTTATCCGCAAGATGGAATCCCAGACATCTGCTGAGAGTTATAATCTGGAAGGATAAGTTGTGGATGATCGAGCATTTTACAAGCATGTATAATGGCAAGAATGGCCTTCCTACACTTGAAGAAGTAGCAGTTGACAGTGACCACAGTGGAAGTGCATGCTCCGAAAGGTGCTTTGGAGGCTCCGTCCATCCATTGTTCGTTTGCTCCTGCTTCCGCGCAGCTTCATTCTTATCTTCTCTCCTCTGGAGCCAAAGCATAAACATTCGCAGTCAGCACAGCTCGTCGTCCAACACACAACAACAGACATCTACCTCTACACAAGACATCAAGATGGGCGAGATCAGCGACCTGCGCACTCAGATCATGGGTAAGCCCAGACCTTCCACTCCCGCATCTCATCTCTGCACAATGCCAACGCAAAACAGACAGTCTAGAGGTCCTCGACTACTCCGAATTGAAGGAACACCGCTTTGTCCTCACATCGCACAATCTTGAGGATGGAAAGTGGGCTGTCTTCCTTGACCTCCCGCGTCGCACCGTGTACCATCAGCAGTCTGACACATTCGTCCGCGTGTATCGTGAGGCCAAGTACGTGGGCAAGGGCGAAACCGCTGAGTTGGCTTACGCCGATTTGCTCGAGAAGACTGCTGAGGCTCTTCACCGACTTTACTACCCACGTGCAGTAAGACGATTCCATCATTTCGGACACCCGAAACGATCTTTTAACATCTCCTCAGGAGAGTTGGTAATAAAAACAAACACCATCAACGATCGACCGAGTGTTCTCTGCTTGGAACTGAGTCACTTCCACATGGACACCTGCATCTTTCATCATGCCATGGAATCAGAGATGCCCTTGCGAAGACGTTGACCACAGAGAAGGAAAGTGCAGATGATACGAAAATGTCAAAGGGCAAGGAGGAGAAACAAGAGGCGAATGGAAAACTCGATTCTTTCAAATACTGCCAGTATTCAGGGGTATCATGCAATGCTACCAGCAAAAACAAAAACCCATAAACGCCTACCAAATGCATCCCGAGCCCCCTAACTCCCTGGAACTTCTTGTTCGTAAACCCGATATTGGAAAGACGTTTCTTGCTCCGCATAACACCCAGTTAACCATGTCGTAATTCGAAGCTCGTTGCGGTTCTACCTAGCCTCGCGGCTTCTCGAGCGCGAACGATCGCGCTTGCTGACAGGTTTCTCGCTGTCGCGGCGAGAGGCGCCAGCGCTGGCAGAGGGGACGTAGCGGTCGGCTTTGGGTCTGTCGTCGTCTCTGCGGCGACGATCGCGGTCTCTGTCACGATCACGTTCTCGTTCTCTGTCTCGTTCTCTGTCCCTGTCTCTGTCCCGATCACGGTCCTTTTCGCGGTCTCTATCACGGTCCTTGTCGCGGTCGTTTTCTCTCTCACGCTCACGATCACGGTCGCGATCTCTGTCTCTATCCCTGTCGCGCACATCGCGGTCGCGATCACGATCCCTATCTCTGTCTCTCGAACGATCGCGGGTGCGGCGGTCAGATGGTTCGAGGCGATCAGCAGGAACGTAACGATCGCCCTGACCTCTGGGTGAACGGGTACGAGAACGTCTTCGGCGAGTATCGCGGTCCTGGCGGTCGGAGGGAACGTAACGGTCACCCCTGTTTAGAGGACTGCGAGAACGATCACGGCGTGCGGGACGACGATCGCGAGAGGGAGATCTGCTGCGGCGGTCCTTGTCCCGCAGCTGTTTCGCCTTCCATGCCTCGCGCTCGGCACTAATTTCACGCAAGGTGGATTCACGACGGCCCTCATACCGATCGTAGCCTCGTTCTCTCATTCTGTCCCTGTCCCTGTCGGCGGGTCGGTAGTGGCGGTCTGCTGATGGAGAACGTCGGTCGCGATCGCGGTCGCGGTCTCGGTCTCGGCGGGCATATCTTCTGTCCAGGCTCTCGCTGCGTTCGCGTTCGCGTTCACGTTCGCGTTCCGGTTTCCTAGCACCAGATTTGGAAGCCATGGCCTGACCTTCTTCGAGCAGCATGCGCATAGCCTCCTGCTCGAGACGTTTGGCCTCTTCCTCCTCTTGCATCTTCTTGCGTTTGGCTCTTTCTTCCTCTTCTTTCTTGCGTTCTTCTTCCAGCAGTTTCTCTTTCTTCTCACGCTCTTCAGCAAGAGCCTTGAGGCGGGCCTTCTTTCTTTCTTCCTCTTTCCTACGGGCCTCTGCTCTGTCAGATTGTTTCTTTTGCAAGACTTCCAGTCGCTCTTTCTCCTTCTTCAGCTCTTGTTCGCGCTGTTTCAGAGCCTCTAGTTCGGCCTTCTTCTGTTGGGCGCGCTCCTTCTTTGCGAGTTCCTTCATCTCTTCGGCATGGCGGTCGAGGCGGTCCTTGTGACGGCGTTGTGATGCTTCGGCATAGACTTGGTCGGGCTTGTTACCAGCTTCCTCCTCTTGTCTTGCTGCTTCGTCACCAATTTCGGACTTGCGAATGTCTCGTAGTGCTTGTTCTGCGGTGTGAAGATAATCTTGGATAAAGTTGTCAATGTCGGCTTCGGTCTTTGGGTAGATATCTGCACGGGCGGCAGCACCTTCGAGGAGAGGGGCGGCGAGGCGAGGGTTCTTGGCTAGGTATTTGACGGGGTCGCGATCGATTTCGGCGTCTACGAAGGAGCGGATTGATTCGACCAGGGTGTCTTTTGTCGGCTTGGATGAATGGTTAGAGGTAGTGATGTGCAGTAAGAATGGGTATGGACATACTCCGTGGTCGAACTGGGCAAAGGTGTTCTTGCGTAGGTCGTCAAACTGGCCCTTCTTCTTGAAGGTGTGCAGCAAACTGTCTATTGACGCACGCTTGGACGAGGAGAGAGGCAGGTCCGAGACACGAGGTGATTTGCGTCGAGGCAAGTCTGTCTGGATGCCGGCAGTCGTGTCGGCCGCCGCTGCCATGGTTGTTGAAGAGAAGTTCACTGCTGGCAATAATGTGACATGATGGATGGTGATGCGGGATGCGGAAGGCACGCGGAGCAGCGACTCTGCCAAGACCGAGCTCGTCGACGGCAGGAACGAGCGTCTTCCGACAGACGCAGCCAGACACGACGAGAAGGTCAGCAATTGACGATTCCATACACTCAATCATAGTCTATCCACGACTACTACGCACTCCACCTCCAACCGATCCTCCCACGTACTGTTGAGCCAGGAGCTCCCTCCAATTGCAGTGCGATCCCGATCCAACCACCACCACCACAAGACCCGTCACATCACCAGTCGCAATGTCCAAGATCCTTTTCTGGGGCGGTTTCGGTGCGCATATTCTTTTCGGCGACTGCAAGATGTAGCGCAAATACTCATAACATCCCGCAGGCATCGCCGTCCGCGTCTGGCAACTCGGCATTGAGATGCGTCCCATCATCCAGCGCAACTCCCTCTGGGCATACCCTCTGTTCGGCGGCATTGGCGCAAGCTTCGGTTACTGGCTGCAGGGCGTCGAAGAGAGACAACTCCGCATCCTTCAAGACACCAAGGAATCGTTGCTCGAGAAGAGAAGAAGACGCGCCGAGAGGGAGGGCGGCATCAACATTGGTACCGACTACCAGAAGAACGAGGAGGGCCTGTTTGCTTCCGCCCCTACCGGTCACGGCGTTCCCACCAAGCAACATTAAGCTACACCTTCCAACTTGATATCCAGAGAGCTGCTACGTCCACCGTCATGTACATTCAACCACCACCCACTTCTTGAGCTCCGTCCCTTCCTCTTTCTTAGTCGTTATGCTAGACAATCAAAAATAAACACTTATCACAGTTCTGTCTTCGGGCAACCCTTATTTTGACTCTCCTGAAGTGGTGTCGTTCTTAGGAAGAGGTCTCCACTATAAGAAGCACAATGTGAACTAATGATGCAGATGCATCTCTAGGCATCACGAACAATCGAAATGCAAGTGTTTTTCGTGCCTACTGCTTTCGCGAATACATATCATGAAGACCCGTGCAACAACTTTGCTCCAAAAGTGACTTTGACGGAGTCATCCTTCAACATCAATCGGAGTCGCGGGCCGTCTCTCCACCAGGTAATCGTATGAACTCTCCTCCTCAGAGACCGCACCAGCAGAACGTCCTAGATATCAGTAAGATCACGTCGATTACAGGAAGACTTGTTAGACTACCTGCCGACAAACTCGTTGACTTGTGTATCTGCTCTTCCGTATTCAATATTAACCAAACACTGACACGCGAACACTTTTGGTGTCTGCGGAACTTCAACGTGCAGTCAAAATCAACAGCCACCTGTCATCCACATTGCGGCCAAGGATCAATATTGCAAACTGTCCTGTTCATTCGCTTTCTATAACTGCAATCACTCCTTCGTTGCCTTGTTGACCCTTCCCCCACGAACACAACCGCGCACGCGACCATGGAGCAGCCACCACGAAACACTTGGCCAGGGTCACTTCGGCTTCCTTCGCCCAACCCATCATCCAGGTTTAGTCAAATAACAATCTTTGGTGGCGGCACAGGTAAGCTCTTACACATCGAGTCTTGCGGCTGGACACTGAGCACTGACAACATTGACAAGNCTACCAACCACCTGGTGGATGTGTTTACAAACCTCGCTCAGGCGAACAACAGTGTGCTCAACTATGTCATCCCCATCAGTGACAACGGCGGTAGTTCCAGCGAACTGATTCGAGTCTTTGGCGGTCCTGGTAAGTCATTCTCTCCAGAATTCTCCCCTGTTGGATCCCTTGTTGGATCTCTTTGCTGACATGATGGTAAAANNGGTATCGGTGATTTGCGCAGTAAGTCAACACTTTTCTTAATGGAACAACACCAACAAACACTCCATCCTTTTCCTCCAACATACTGAAATATCCTCTTCCACAACAGGTNNAGATTGGTTCGTCTGATTCCCGACAATGGCGACCCTCACTCTGAGGCCGCGTCCATCAAAGCACTCTTCAATCACCGTCTTCCTCCTGACCCAAAGGAGGCACGGCTAGAATGGTTGGAGATTGTCGAGTCTCTGCATCCTTTGTGGTATCAGATCTCGACCCCTAAGAAGGAGCTGATAAGAAGTTTTTTGAACTTGGTCAATCAGGAAATTGTGAAGAGGATGAGACCGAGTTCAAGGTTCGACTTCTCGTCTGCAAGTATAGGAAACCTGTTCTTGACTGGGTAGGTGTTTCGCGCTCTACTCTCAACCCTTTCCAGAGAGAAATGAGAAACGTGCAAAAAGGACCGCAAGTACTGACACTCTCGACCAGCGNCCCGTCTCTTCTCCGGCAGCTTAGAATCCGCCATCTACCTCCTCAGCAGCGTGTGCAACGTACCCACATCCATAACCGTCCTCCCCGCCATAAACACAAACTTCTCACACCACATCTCTGTCTCTCTGGCAGACGGCACACACATCACAGGTCAAAACAACATCTCCCACCCTCTAGCCCCTTCCTCTGCTATGCCCGACCCCCAAGCCCCACCCTCTCCCACGCGCATCCGCCGAGAAACCGAAGAACACGACAATGTCGAAGATGCAAATCTACCTGGCTCATTGCCTTCTCTCCGCCGCCCCGCCATCAACTTCTCTAAACTCCAGGAAGAGGATTTGCCGGCTAGGATCCAGCGATTGTGGTATATAAATCCCTATGGTCAGGAAATGTCGCTGCCTGCGAACCCTCGCGTTTTGGATGCTCTGGCTTCTTCCTCGACAGTTGTTTACAGTATTGGTTCGCTCTTTACTTCCATTATCCCGTCGATAATTCTGCGGGGAGTGGGCAATGCCATTGCTTCCCCCAATATCCGCAATAAGATATTGCTTCTCAACAGCAGTATAGACAGAGAAACTGGTCCTTCAGCAACACCATTCACGGCAATGGACTTTGTGGCTGCGATCGCGAGTGCTTGTGCAGAGAGTAGAGGACTGGGTATACCAAAGGTCGAGGAGTACGGGATTTATGTCACGCACGTGGTGTATATGGAAAACCAAGGGGCGCCAAAGGTAGACAAAGCGGAATTGGCAAAGGCAGGGATTGAGGGTATAAGATTATATGGGTTGAGTGGGAGGTATGATGATAGGGCATTAGAGCAAGCATTAAAGATGGTGCTGGGTAAGGGTGAACAAGGGAATGGGTTGAGTAGGAGGAATACTCTGCAGAGATAGGTTAGGTGGAAAAATGACATGTTTGATACCAGAATAATGTGGCCGAGCAGTTACACTATCTCCCAATGAATGGCTAGCTTGGACTCTACTGTGCATTGTGAGAGTTTTCATCGTTCTACGTCGCCACTATGAGGAGGGACTGGGAGCCGCACCCTCCAGTATATGGAAAGGATGATTGCGTGAGGATGACTCTTGTCTTTTTGAGGCTCTCATGAATCTCTCGTGGTGTCTCGGTTTGTCTGTAGGCTGCCACGTCTGCACATTCAAGGAACACTCTCCAGGAAGTTCACTTGGACGAAACCAAAATACGATGCATATCTCGTGAGAACCGTTTCATTATCTATTCTCTCTCGTTCGTCGCCGTCCGAATGCTTTGTCGCTCATTCCCGTCCTCCTCGATCGCCTGTAATTACCTCTCGGAATTCCAACGCAAGGTCTTTCCATTACTCCTCGGGATCGCGGCCACCCTGCTTTCTCATCTCCTCCTGGTAGTCCTCCTCAGTCTGGAGATCGAACTCCATAGGGTGAGTTATGGGTACAATGGGGACATTCTTTTCCTCCAGCAGCTTCAGTCTAGCAGCGGTGAGAGGCTTGCTCTTGTTGATGCTGTAAACCTTGACACGATGACTGNNTTTCTCTGGTCAGCGACAGCAAAAGAAGATAGATGCGAGAGCTAGAACATACCAACTCGAAGTGACGTGCAAGTCCCAGTTCCAGGCCGATCGAACATAAGTGGGTTGGGTGTTCATGGCATTATCCCACGTCCTTACACACAGCTCCAACCAGCCCTCGGCATCGACAGGAAGATCAATCTCCCAGAGTCTCCATGCATAGTAATACTTCTTACTCATGTTTTCGTAGGGAACTTCGTACCAGATGCTGCCGCCATCGCCAGAGACCTCGACTCTGACGGGCCAGTGGCCACCGCCCGAGTATGCCCAGCCACGCATCTTGATCTTGCCGTCGTGCACGATCTGTGCCATATTGACTGGCGACATGATAGCTGAGGAGACGGGCATGTCTTGGATGCTGAAGCCGTTGCTGTACATTGCGTTTTGCTTGCCGACTTGGGGTGTGTAGTAGAGGTATTCCTTTGCTTGGACGGGTGCGAGACTAGGGCCCTTGATGGCCTTGATCTTGTAGAGCCACTTGCAGCTTCTGGCTCCAATGTCTGTTTCGTCCACATTTAGCAAGTGTTGAGAGTGTCAAGACGTAGAGGTAACTTACATNCCGAATACGACAGTGCGCAGAGGGAATCCGTGGATCTTCGGCAAGGGCTCGCCATTCATCTCCCATGCTAGCAAGACCTCGTTGATCTTGACCTTTCTCCAAGGCACACTGACCACGTAGTTGTACACCTTGCCCTTCTTGAAGTAGGTATCTGCGCCGTAGAACTCAAGATGCATGCCTTCGCCGCCATCCTTGAGACCACCACAGTACTTGATAACCTTCTTCAGACTGACGCCCGTCCATCGTGCTGTACCAATAGCACCTTCACCCCAAGGCGCATTGATCAATTCATCGCCATCACCAGGGTATTCGTGGATTTGCTCAATACGGCGGGTTCCCGAACATTGCAGACTGACAACGTTACTTTGACGCGGGAATAATTCTTCGTTCTGCAGATCTGCGAGGGTGAGTCTTTTGGGGTCGTTGACCAAGCCTTCGATATCTAGAGTATATTGCTCAGGGTCGATTTCGGGAATACCACCGTGGTTGCGGACGAAGTGGTCTTTGTTGTCGGTAATCTCAGTTTCCACCAGACGGTCCTGTAATTTTCCCGGCTTGGTCAGTTTGTGTTCGTAAGTTTTTCGATGTGATTTAGCTACCCTGGGAGGTTCTCCGTTGTAGGGGAATTGCAGAACGTGGATCATGTCCTCGCTCTTCTCCTTCTTGACATACTCCCAACTNGTTCTGGTTAGTTGTCATCCCCTTTGACATTACGCTTCTGGATTACCGTACCTGATGTCTGGAATATCCTTCAGAGTTTCGCCCATAGCATAGTGATATTGCTTCCATCGCACACCCTCCAACACAGGGTTGGTCTCAGGCAGAGGCTTGAGCTGGAACTCTGGCGGAGGAGGGAACTTGTACTTGCGAAGAATTTCTTCTGCTTGCTTCTTCTTTTCTGGGTATTTCTGATCGAAAAGTCAGAAAGCTGATCATTGGCGAAATCTGAGGTCTGATTGACATGCCTCCCACTCAATGTAGCCCTTCCATCCCTCTCGTTCTTCTGCGTAGTATGGCGCTTCACCGCTGATCTTGAAATCGTCAAGCTTTCCAGAGCCCTGTTGGGCGGTACCAGCAGCAACAGCAGCAGCCATGGTTGATGCTCGATTGCTTATTGTGTTTTCAAGGTTGGGGAAACAGCTGTGTCGGAAGCCGCGACGAAGGGGAATCAGTGTAGATAACAACCGCGCTGGGCAGGCACGGCTTGCCTTTAGTATGGAAAAGCGCACGACGGCATGCGGTGTGCCTGACGTACACAATCATGTTTCTTGCAAGCCATGGCTAAGCGATTAATCAATTGGTTCACCACAGATCGCACTAGTGTTTTGATAATCGTGGAGGAGACAGATGCTTGTCTTGTGGAACACTTTGAGCCTCGTTATTTCAGAAAGCCGCTCGCCGCACAAGCACTCGTTCATCGGAGCCTCTACTCTTCAGCTTCCATCAAGACATCTGTTCAAGATCCAAAAGGTCCGTACGGCTGTTCATCAATGTGACAGGGATGCGGCTGACTCGGCGGAGGAAGGCTCCGGGTTTTGGCAAATAATGATGTCACGCATCCGGCAGTTCTTGTCTGTTTTTTTTACCACTCACTTGCATCAGATTAGCAATCATTGTTTAAAGATGCCCTACACGCCGTAAACTCCGTGCGGCAAGGTGCTGCATACGGATAGGATAGTGTCCCATGTATCGAGGTGTGATTTTGATTCGCTGCTGCACAATCTCGTCTTCTCCGTCAGACACAAAAAAGATGTCTGCGCTGGATTGTATGGATGCATAGATATCACCCTTCAGCGATTGATGGACCACAATAGCTTCTCCAATGATACATCACAGTGATAGGAATGCTGGGGAAATGCAAGAGATGAGACTGCTTATCCGGAACTCATAAAGAGTCATGCTTGTGATTACTACTTGATAACGTTGCGCATTACAAAAACGTCAAATGGGTATTGTTGGAACAAAAGGGATAAACGCCGATGCATCGCTCATGCAGCGCCCATGGGGGGGCTAAAAGAAACGATAAAAGAAGAAACAGGCGGCCGGCCTCTCCTTGATCAACATAGGAACATGAAAGCGAGGACACCGCTCAGCAATGCCAGGTAAGAAGCGCTGCTTCTGGGAGCTGCAGATGTGTCGAACGGAGTACCACCATTGCCATCTTGGGTGTTGGTGTGCTTGGCAGATTGAGTTGATGAGAGTGCGGTTTTGGTGGCCATGAGCACCGACGATGGTGTGCTGGTTGCGAAGGCGAGTGATGTGCCGGTGATGGTAGATGTGACGCCGGTGATCTCTGCAGGGTCGTCGGAGTCGCCAGCACTGCTTGACAGAGGAAGTGGCTGGATCGTAGCGGTACTAAGCGCGGTGACGACGCTAGTGCTCAAGCTGGACGTATCGACTATGATACCAGTGGTGCTGGGGGTCGTATCGCTGACAGTCATGGTGCTGGAGCCGATGGAGAATGATGCTGAGGTTTGCTGGGCAGCGCTGGCCTTAATCACACTGGCAGCATTTCTACACAGGTTTTGTGCACCCTGACCATTCATGAAGGCAGCAATGATATTACTACCATCGTTGTGTTGGCCCTGACAGGAGTTTCTGACGGCTGATCCCATTGAGAGCAAGGCTGAGACACAAGAGGAAGAGCACTCTCCACTCTGGAAATCTTGACCGACGCAGCCATCAATGTCGGAGGTGTAGATGGTTTGGCAGGAGCCAGTCAGATCGTTCAGACGCGGGGTGAAGTCGTTGAGTGTTACTGCTGATGCGTACTGCAGGGCGAGCAAGAAGGCGATGAACAACATCGTCTGGCGATACATGGTTGGTGATGTTGTTGTTGTTGTGATGGGTTTTATGATGTTGTTTTGGTGTAAAGACGCCTGTCTGAAAGCACCAGGCTACCAGGAATTAATGTCGATTGCACCAGGCAAGCTTTGCACGCTCTTGATGATGGCGGTGAGTCTTGTCGCGTGCTTTGTGTAATGTGAATGCAAGCAAAATCAAGCTGCAAGGAAGAATTGGAGCGTGGAATCTCAGATGCACGGGGTGCCTGCCTCAAGCAAAGTTGTAAATTTATTTCGAGCTTCGGCGGCGATATAGGAAGGAACAAGGCAGCTTTTGCATGGCAACAGGACGGATATACAAGACCTTTTGACAGGGAAGTAGCGATTGACAGCAGAGGGTAGATCGCCTTGTCACGGACTACCAAGGCAACCAGGTCAACGTCACACACCTGGCTACTACAGTCATGTTCTCTGCTCTTTTCTACCAAAGGTGTACCCGTTTGATGAGGATGAGACGTGAGATGACCCTCTTGAGGGTTTCTGAAACGCGCTGTTTTGTTGATCCTTGCGCAAAATCTGGCACGCAACGCTCGTCATTGGTCAGGACAACCGCCAAGGGACAACCTCGCACACGAAGCGCTCAGAGCATCCTTAAAGAGCTTTGACAAGGCCATCTCAATATACCCGTTCGTGCACGGCGAACGACCGGAGTATCGGAGTAAGACAGACGATATAGAGACGTGTTGATCCTCTTTCATGACATGTTGATCCTCTCTCAGAAGGGGATTCTCACTCTCTGCCTTCTACCGCTACCACGGAACGACTTCATATCCCTTCCGTTTGTCCATTCCGGCACAGCGCTCTCTGGCACGTTTCAAGTCTCGTTCGTGTCGGGCAGAGTGTGCACCGCTGCAAGCGGTCGTGACATGGTTGAGCTATAACGTGCCTGAAGCACCTATCAAACTTCGCTTTCCCCCACCCATACGTTCCTGCAGCTCCGTTGCAACAACGAAACCAGTGGAGAATGCATGGGATCCTTGTCGAGCTGGATATCTCTAACCATTGTGACTCACGAGGAAAAGGAGAGATACGTAAGCTCCGGTCTAGAGAGTCTGGCCACTGATAGCACGTAGGTGCATGCAATCCACTTGATTTGTAGTTTCGGTCAGGATGTTCGCGTGAAGGGTGGTATTGAGGATCACGTATTTGCCGGCCGTAAAGGCTTGACTGATATACCGTTAACAGCCTCAAAACGGCAGTCAACAAGACCATCCATAATACCACTGACGTATGGGCAATGAGTTGGAAAGGAAGATTGATCGAACGATCGACTTCTCCTATCGTGGTTGAAATGTACGGAGTAATCTCGCGGAGCTACTTGCCAAACATAGCTTGGAAAGGATACAGAAAAGATCTGCTCAAAATCCAAGTCAGGGGAGTACCGCGCCGCAATACGCGTTGGCCGTAATACGAGGACGGTGATGGGATCTTCAAGGGATGAATTGACCAAAGCAGTCAAGCAAAGAGCGAAGCAAACCGTCGCGAACCCTTGTCTTGGCATGGGATGAACGTGCTACCCCACACTTCCAATGATCTCATTCAAGAATTTTTTGTATTTTTCTTCCGCTCCCCGTAACAACACATCCACCGCATCACATTCTTCTATCTTCTGGTCTTGACGGGATCTTAGCAACTAGTCATCATGTCGGACCAAAACTCTCCATCCCAGTCGCCGGCACCGTCGCAGTCCTCTTCCACAATCCCGACCTCGATTCCTACGCTTCGTCCCAAGAAGCAGAAGCCAAGTTTCGCACGCCCTGCAACCTCGGACCTTCAGTCGCGTCTCCAAGCCTTCCTCCTCAAATGGCCGCCGCAAACGCCGAACTCGAGAAGCTCGCGCAAGAAGGCGGCCTTGAGGGCAAGAGGCTTGAGGATGTAGGCGAGGGTGATGAGTACGTCGAGATGGAGCTGGGCTTGGGTGTCATGGAAGAAAAGAAAGAGGAAGAGGACAGCAGTGATGATAGCTCGGACGAGAGCTCAGACGACAGCAGTGAAGCCAGCAGCGAAGATGACGACGACGACAAGGAGCAGAAGAAGAAGCAGAAAGAGAAGGAACAGAGGGAGAAGGACATTCTAGGCAGACTCATGGGACACAAGCAAGGCAGAGACAAAGCCGCTGGTATTCAGGAGGTTGAATGAAGCGGTAGTCTTGCTCTTCTACCATCTTCACATCCTTCTCGTTTCCGCAGCTCAGAAACGAGCCACAATGCATTCCCTGTCCCTGCCGGCCGTGAGACGGTTCTGTCTCTGGAGCGCACCCGTTCAGTAGCAGAGCCCACTCGCTTGCAAATCGTTACTTGCCCGCCAGACCCGCGTCTTCGACCTCTTTTACGACATGAGGTTCTTCTTCTCGTCCGCTCAGCTTCGGGGTTAGTGTTGCCTTCTTGACAACATGCGCACTGCTATGTGTCGACTTCTCGGTGAACACGAATTCTCTGATCTCGCAGTTCTGCCATCCAGTACCNTGGTCATGTTAATGATGATTGTTCGCTCCAAGCAATCTCGAGCGTGTCGTCCTACCAGCGCTAGCATTGAAGCCGTTCCAATCTTCGGTCAGAGCGTGCAAGAAGCCTCCATGCGAGACCACAACCACGACTTCTTCTTTAAGACCGTACAGCCACGAGCGCAGCTTTGCACCACGCTTCTGCACAGTCGCTCTGTCTGGTGCCCACTTGCCCTCNCTGGAATGTCGTCAGCATTGGCATTTCCATGCTGTCAAAGTACTCACCTTGGAGTTCCAACTCTCCTCGACCAGATCAAAGTCAACCTTCTCGCTGGGAACGCCGAGTCCCGCGTCCCAAAGCTCCTCAGCTTTGACTTGTCTCTGTAGCTCATCTTTGTCTGTACCAACATCACAGGCAAATGCGTTCATTTCCTGCGCCATTGGCTGTAGAAGTACCTTCACTCCGTCTCTGTGCAAGGCAGGTGCGAAAGCGTGTATAGCTGTTTGAAGAGCACGGCGTAGAGGCGATGAGACAACCAATGCCACTGAATCATGACGGGGGAATGAGGTGCTGAGCTCGCGACATTGCGATTTTCCATGGGAAGTCAAAATCGCATCAGGGATACTATCATCGTGCTAGAGCTACCATCAGATTCAAGTCATCAGAACATTATAGTGCCGATTCACCTGTGCGTTGTGTTCTCCTTGAGCGTGACGGACAAAGTAAAGTGTTCTCGGGGGCATGATTGTGTTTCGGGACTAAAGTGTTGTGTGATTCAGAGGAAGTTATTGACTTCAGTTGGGAAGTGTCTAAACAATGATGGATTAAGTGTCTGGCAGGTGAATATTCCCACGTTCGTCATACCCCACTTGCCTAATCAAGATCGTGAGTCAACTTCATCTCCTTCATGACTTCCTTTCCTGGATGACTTCAGAACGCCTTCTGGCATTGAATGTATCCAGTTCAAAGCTATCTTGTGTCCAAGAGAATCCAGGTCAAGCGATTGGTGTGACCACGTTCGGCTCGGTACCAGTTCAATCTGGTTGCTGACTTAAGTTCGCGTTTCTCGATCGACATTGTGGCATCTATCATTCTGCCCCGTTGTTCAGGTCGCAGTCCGCCCTACAAGGAGCTTTGGTATGCCTGCTGGCTCTTGCTCGATGGATCTTCCGGCCAGCCTTCCATCGTCATCGTTGCGAAAACAATTCAGATCCGATACAGAAGTGGCCCCGAGGTGTTAGTCTTGTTCCAAGGCGCATTGCGTATTCACATAGCTACGCCATAGAGATCTTTTGGCATCCAGGGAGAATAAGGCAGGGGTTGGGATCCAACACAGAAAACGGAGTTGACCACATGTTCTTCAAAGACCCCCATTTATAATGCATAAGAAGAAAAGAGCAGAAGCTGCACAGTTCGTTGATTGTAGAGATCAAGGGGAGGTACTAAAAGGACAGGAACAATCATCGCCGTCACCATTTTAGCATCGCGCTTGGAAAGGAATATCCCTCCATCTCTGAGTTGGGCCTTTGATTGATTTATCCAATGCATACTTGAATCTATCACAGCCTATCTTTCGAGAGCATCTATGAATACACTTGAGATAGCATCAGTGCAGCAAGCACGGCAACAACTTGCAGTCTGCCAGGTCCGATCGTGCCTGCCGCCGAGACATTGTCTCCAGATATTGATGAAGTAGCACTCGCACTAACACCAGCGGACTGGGCCGCAAGTTTTGCTCCTGAAGGTCCAGAGATAGCCATCGAGACAACTGTAGTCGGTTGTGATGAGGTGGCATGACTACCAGTAGTGGAGGCAGCACCAGTTGATGGGGAAGGGATGTGAGAGACCGAGGTCCGTGGAGAGTTGCTAGAGCCAACATCCGCAGAAGAAACCGACTCTTCATCGGAAATGATGACTTGACCGCTTCAAGGCGACACGCAAACAACACCGCCAGAGCCCTCTCGATAACGTTGCAAGTCAGAACAATCAGGATTAATCCACGGATTATACATCCTCAGCAAAGCTCCGTCGCGAACATGTTGCTTAGCCTCGATAGATGCACAAGTGTCGTTCGATTGAACTTCGTAAATCTTGCATGGCTGCGGAAGGCACATCAACAGACCCGGCCGAAGTTGATCGCAGTCCGGCGTCCACATGGCACTTCCGTAATACGAAACATATGACTCATGTACGTCCTCTGAAGATACACTGTGCTTCTTAGCAATGGAAATACAAGTATCACCTTCTTGGATCTTGTAGGCTCCTGAGTCGCAGCAAATATTGTCTTCTGTCCAAGGATCCAGAGGAAAGGGGATTTCAGTTGGGTTGTCCAAGCCACATTTTTCGTTGATGGTTTGGAGCTCGTGCTGATAGAAGGGGTCGTAGACACCACAACACCCTCGGCGAAGATATCCCAACTGAGCTTTTGACAGAGCTTCAAGGAAATTGGTATTACTGCATTCTTGGGGATTGGAGCTTTTGTGGCGTCTGGCAGCCGGCGCTATATCGCCAAGTATGGTTCTGCCAGATTCATGAATCAGAGCCAGATGTTGTTAAAATATGCGTGTATACAAACGGACTTATTCTCAAGTTCCGCGTCTCGTAAGAGGTGCAGAGAGACAGTCTCGATGTCGTGCTGATAAAGTGTGTGGCTCGAAAAAGCAAAAATGGAGTAGCTGGGAATCGAACCCAGAACCTTCTCCACTCAGTCATGCTCGAGATGAGCAATGCTAAGAAGATGTCATACCACTAGACCACAACCCCATCGATGGAAGAAAATGCTTCATATCTCACGTATATCCTGTCTAAACCATCCGGCATTCAGTCCAGGAGATGGTCAGGCACATCAAGGGGTCTTCCAAGCAGTTACGATGATCAATTCTCTATGGGCGTTGGTTCAATTCAAGTGCTGCAATTCATCGCAGAAGTGCGAAGCATGAGATGGAAGTAAGAACAAATGACTTGAAAAAGCTGCTATGTGGATATATGCATCAAAAAAATCGCGCGAGAAAAGGAGGACATGGTCAAGTAAGGTAAGCGCAGGTCTAGAAGTTAGGACGTCTGTCATCTTCAGGACGACCGGTGCTTCTAGAGTCACCGTAGTGCTTCTTTCTCAAGGCAGCCAGGCGCTTCTTCTTGGTGTGTGCATTGATGTATGTACCAATTACGAAGGCGATGATGTTGAAGAAAGGTACCCAGGTTTCTTGGGGAAGGAACTTCTGGGCGAAGGCTAAAGCCAAGGGNGAAGTGCACCAGCTGACTTTCATGACGGGAAGGAGTCCGGCGCGAACGGTAGCGCGGACTTGGTGGAAGGTGCGGGCGCCTGCGATGATGGCCATGGCGGAGAGGTAGATGGTGTTTTGGATGGGGGCAACCTGTGGGTGGAGTCAGCAAGGTGAATCCAGAGTAAGATGTGCAGGAAGTAGTTGTATGCATACAATCAGGTTGCTGGCGAGGATCTGCAGAATCTTGGCCTTCAGACTGGTCCGGCCAGCGAAGGCTTTCTGCAGGATGTTGATGAGGATGTGACCGAGAGGAGCGCTAACAAAGGCGCCGTAGAGGGCCATCTTGGGCACACGCGAGGTGAAGTAGTGGCCATTCTTGTTGCGGTCCTTTGCGATCCATGAAGCGAGCACTTCTTGGACACCAGAGAGGGAGCCCGAGGTGATCATCTTGGTGCGAAGAGGGTTGCTTTGCAGCTGGCGCAAGTATGCNCTAACGTTCTCGGTCAGTTGCAATCGCGTCACCCTCTTCTTGACAAGACGTACAGCCAGGTAGCCACCGGCCCCAGCACCTTTGGTGATAGCATTACCGACCTCATTGGCGAGGTCCTGCTTGCCAGTGACGCTGGCCACCGTCTCTTTGACGTCGAACTTGACCGACGACGACATTGTTGTATGTTGTTGTTACTTGGTGAGTCGTCGACAAAGCAGATGGCTGGGCGCGCCTAACAAGACCAAAGAAACAAGCGCTCGCGATAGACGGCCTCCTCCGGGGTTATCTACAGCCGGCTGGACCGAGGTTCCACCTGTTCGCGGGGTGCTGACAGTCTGCAACAATTGCCGCTGTCATTTTCCCACTAACCTGATCTTGCGACAAGCCTCAGGTCCTCAGGTCCTCAGGCATCTTCTGCGACAGTGTTCTTGATGTCGGTCGAGTTTGACCAGTTTTGTAAACGTCCCCTAGTTCGGACGAGCACCAACTTCTGCCGCGCTCGAGCACTGCAAGCTGCCGCGCGACAAGGCCAACCGTCCCTGGTCAATACCCTGCCACAAGGGTGGGGAAAGCTTCTACGGCTCAACTGTGCGACTCTCCTCAATTCTCCTCAGTCACCATCGATCGAGGTACCATGGTGCTCTTGCCCCTATGCCAGATGTGTTCACCCGGCAAGATGCATCTCGCACGTCGCACTGCTTGTACCATACCATGTAATGCCTTAAAGCATGTCAAGTCCCTGATCCCGACCTCGACACTATTTGGTTTGCTTTCGATTCGCTCGTGAGAAATGCATTCGACCTTCCTGCCTCATCTGAGAGTGACAGGCCAGTTGCACTTGACTAGGACGAGCTTTCCTTGACGCCGTGCCTGCCTTTTCCTTCACTCTTGTCAACTCGCATGCAAAACAAACCAACAATAATCCAATCCACTCACTCACTTCTTTTTCTTGACATTTTCTCGCACACATCTGCCAAATCCCTCCATTCCTCTCGGCGCCGAGACACTCCCATCCTTTCTTACGATCTTTCTCACCAACCATCCACAACAACGTCCCGCTTGCTTCAACATGAGCGTGACTGCGCAAGTAAGTTACTCGCACACGACTCTCCTTCCTTGGTACCTTACAAAAGCCACTCGTTCTCCTCCACCGGGACGATCTATCTATGCCATGCATTTACGAGACGTGTCAAACAACAGATCGTTAACCATACCTTACAGCCCAGTATGACACCCGCGAGTCGCTCGACTCGACGCCCTCCTCCACAGTGCGTCAGCGCCTGTACTCATATCAGAATGTGTCGCCTCTACGGAAGCTGGACTTGTGACACTTGCCACTATCCTTCCCNNCCCTTCGGCTGGCTCTACCATTGCACTTCTGATATCCTAGAGATGGGAGACTTTGCCTTCCTCAAGTCCTTGGCACACCCCGTCAGTCCTGCTGGAGAGAACCTCCGCCAAATCCGTTTCAGCGAGTCCATCATCAAGGAATTTGAGAAGGGCGGTTACACCGACGAGCAGGTTCAGATCCTCATACGTCAGAAGCAACACCTGCAACAAATCTCGGAGAAGTCTGCTCGCCCCACAGCCATGATCAGCCAACAAGCATCGGGACACATCAACAACGTATCAGATGATGTTCGCTGCGACTTCAAAGTCTGTCAGCGCTGTGGTCCCATGCGCAAAGAGCGTTGCTGGCTGTCGTTCGAGGCTGTCTTTGAGAACGAGGTCAGACCCATTGATAACTTCGAGCTAACAGAAGGCCTCCCCGTCAAGGATGTCCATATCGCCAAACAGCTTGGCTTGCGTCCTCCTGTTCAGTTCTTTGCACCTCCCATCTGGGGCGAATCTCCTCATGGCTCACCCAACCGTTCTGCGTCGTTGGGCTACACAAGCGATGGCTTCTCTACCGATGCCGAGTTCGATGACGAAAGCTGCGGAGATGCTCTCTCATCTAGCTCTCAAGACGGCGAAGACAACTTCCAGACACGCGCTGGCGGCGAGATGCCCTACGTCACTCTCAGAGACCCTCGCCACGCCCACACGCCCCGTTCCACCATCAGACTCGTCTCCAACTCCTCGTCTCTCCACATGCACCGTACTTCGACTGCTACCAACAACGACTATTCGCCTTCTCATTCACACACCACGACCTCGTCGATCAGTCTTCCCACCATCCCCACAACTACGTCTTACACGATCCTCCCCGGTTGTGAAGAGACCGTCCAAGAACTGAGAGCGCAATACTCGCTCAAGGCCATGACTGATCCAGAGTTCTACTCTGGTCATNCCCTTGACCTGGCCTCTTCCGTGTCGAGCAGTTCGAGCTTTGGCTCCGAGGTTGCCGTCGAGGGAGGTTTCGCTTTGACGGAAGAAGCCATGGACACCCACACTCCTGACTTGTTCACCAAAATTTAGAAGCCTCTTCAATTCATCGTAAACGGTATACTACCTTTCGGGTCGGCGTTGGAGTGGGCATCATCATTTCCTGGCGCGCATTATACCCCTTTGTCATATCTTTGGTTGTCGAGCGAGCGGTAGAAAGTTGCCCAACAAGCATTATGCGAAATTCAAGGAGTACGGTTGGCGGAACATCATAGAGTGGGAAACGTACTAGGTGGATTTTTCTGTTTAGTTTGTTTTAATTCTTCATTTTTCAGTTTGCTAGCAAAGAGCTGGTACAGTTTTAATACAGTTTGGTCATTTTTCTCTTATTATATGCCTAATCCTGCTTCCGTGAGCTCATCTCTCCTTGTTTACGACCATGTCTTCGTCGAGTCGCTCCGATGTACGTCCGCCCGAGCAGCTTTCTACTGTTTGTCTCCCACGAGATCCCTCTCAAAGTCCATCTGGATCTCGACAACCTGCTCCAAAGTCTCAAGATCCAACTTCTTGTTATCGTATCTCGCGAGACTAGTAGCTGTTCTCACAATCCCCTTGATCTGTCTGCCATTCAAGTCATGCAGAGCCAATTTATCAAGGCCATCTTCATCAACAGCATCACCGTCCGCCTTGTCGAGGAAATTCTTCCAGATCTGCTTGCGCGACGAGCCATCCAGACCAGTGTACTTCAAAGGAACATGGATGCGAGACTTGAATGCATCGTCAAAGGTATCCACACGGTTCGACGTCAAGAACAGGATACCCTGATAATATTCCAGCACTCTGAGGAAAATGGATACGAGAGCATTTCTTTCCATATCGTGCAGCGAGCGGCGTTCGAGGAAAATGTCTGCTTCGTCGATGAGAAGGACGGCGCGCCACGTACTCGCCATATCCAAGATTTTGGTCAGTCTCTCATCGAGGGTGAAGGAGTCTGTTCCAAGGTCTCCTGAAGACACAACGTAGAGAGGGCGTTTACAGCGTTCAGCCACACACTCTGCGGTAAGTGTTTTTCCCACTCCGGGNGGTCCATGCAGTACAAACACCAATCCTTTGCCTTTTCCCTTTATGATGTCGTCGAAATCTGATTTCTGGCAAATGTGTTCGGTGACGAGGGCTTGGACGAGTTTCTTCTGCTTTGGGGCGAGCACGAGTTGGTCAAAGCAAGCTTCGTTCCAGGCCACGGCAGAGAGATTGTCTATGAACATGTCAATCCACTTTTTGTGCGTGAAGGAGAAGCCGTGGACGAGGGCGGAGGCAAGGAGACATTGTGAGTCTGTCAGAGGTTTGAAGGTTTGCTTGGTGGTGGGCAGGAGGTCGGTGTCGACGCGCTTTGTGGAATCGTCGTCGCTGTCGTAGTCGTCCGAGTCGTAGCTTCTGTAGCTATCATCATCCGAGTCGTCGTCAGAATCGTTGTTGTTGTGGGTATCTCGGACGAGATTGATGGTCTCGTCGTCAAAAGCGTGGACATTTTTGGCAAGGTCGGGGTTGAGACGGTGGTGTGTCAAACAATCCACAACCACTCTTTCGCTGATGTGTACGCGGTTAATATCGTAGTCACCACGCGAGCTGTTGTAGACGTGCTCCAAAGCAATGGCGGCGTGCTCGGCGAAGTGAATACCAGCATACTGCTCGAAGCGGCGGCCTCTAGAAATGAGACGCTCCTCTACTTCCTCAACATGAGGGAAGAAGTCATGAGGAACGACATCGAGCCTGCTGAGGGAAACAGCTCCTAGGTATGCAGGAATGGCCATCTGTTCGGTCCAGTAGCCAAAGCGCTTGCCGTCAAAGTCTACTCGTTGCAACTGGAGAACCATACGAGGCTGCTGACCACATTGGTAGTGCGAATCAAGCACACGGAAGGCCTGAACTTGACCAAGCACGCGTGCAAAAGCAACAGTCTTGGGTTTGAATACAGTCCACAGATGCTGGTATGTCATGACGTTTTGCTCGCGGAGATTGTTGGCTTCCCGGATAGACTCTCCAAACTCTTCGTGGATGTGATTGAGAAGGACTTTGTAATGAGCTGCTGCCTCAGAGCCAGCCTCAAATTTCTCACCGTGTTCCTTGATCTCATCGAAGTAGTGGTAGAGAAGGCGGCATGGCTGGGTCAGAGCAATGTCTTTTGTATCGAGACTGACGCCAGGGTAGGAGCCGATGGCCTGCTTCAGAAGGTCCTTGAGGTGCTGTGAGTTGATTTGGACGACTACTTTCTGGACGCGCTTGCCATCTTCTGACATGTATCTGGTCACACAAAGAACGTATTTTGTCCANCCTGTCTTATGTTAGTCGAGGGTGTGCTCGGAAGTGACGGATCCGCAGCACAATCATGCAAATCGCCATATCACACTCCACTGAGAGACTCACCAATCAACCTGATCTGGGACCGCCTTGTCCTCCACAGTCTCAGCATAATACCACTGGTGCTTCTCGCTGTACTTGCGGTCAAGGTGCTTCAGTTCTGCCTTCATAGGCTCTGCAGCATCGACCTTTTTCTTTGGGTCAACGTCCTCATCTGAGGCATCGTTCTTGGTGTCGCCATTTGTACCAGCCTTCTTGTCGGCTGATTCACTCTTGAGATCGTCTTTTGTGTCGTTGTTGGTGCCGTTCGTTGTGTCTGTCTCGCTCTTGCCGTCGGGCTGGATCTTGACCTCTGGTTCACTCTCCTGCGAAGCTTCCGTGGCTTCAATGATGCGCGAAGGTGCCATGGTGCTCTCTCTCGCTGGTATAAGACGATAAAGGATGGTTGTGTTGTAAAGACACAATGGGAAGAAGTTGACGCAACGATGATTTCAACAAAAGTCAGGTGACGATGGTAGAAGTGATGATAAGTGAAAGTGAAAGTGAAAGTGATTGAGAATTGAACAGCGACTTCAACTTCGCTTATAAGTATTGAACATGTTGGTGAGGCTGAGTGTCGAACTTGTTGACAAAGTCGCATTGGCTGCGGTGTCTCGATCAGCGCGGTTGCCTAAACGCGCTGTCTGTATGCAGCTTATTTTTGTCGGCCTGCCCGCGGCAACTTCTGCCTACTATTGTGGAGAAACTTGTTTGAAAGAATTAAAAGAACAAGTGTGATTGACTCAATCTCGGGTGCAACACATCACGGACTCGGTGTCACGTTCAAGGGTGTGTGGTTGGCTGTGCTGCCTGCAGAACATCGCCAAATGGACGACTGGGAGAATAGTCGCCGAGGCCGTACAGACTCACCGGTCGCATTTAGACTATGACAGTGTAGCCATTGTCTGATGGGGGCAGTCGCTAATCTGCAGCCTTTAAACACTATTGGACAGACTTGACGTTATGTTGCAAGACTCGAATCAATTTGCAAATCTGTTTTCGTGACCATACCGTTAAGTGCTGTTTTGCCATGCCAAAAACGAAATAACGACTCGTGATGTGGAGGAGGACTTCATCTCTGGCTGGTTCTCTCCTTGGGCGCAACTGTGGTTTCGAGAGTATTTATGCATTTCTATGTATTACTGTCAGAAAGATATCAACCATGAGATCCTGACACTCTTCAGATGCTTATACTTTGCCAGTTCACAACAAAGCCATCAAGGGATATCGTTGTCCTCGCCATGGAACAACCGTAGAATCGATCCAGCGACAACCTCGCCATCGTGTTCCATATCAGCCGTCTCCTTTGCGGCATCGGCGTGGTTCAAGTCCTTGAGACTGCCGCTCTCGACACGCAGATTAATCTGTCGCTTGACCATATCTTCATCGAAGCCCAAATGTCCCTGAGAAGTAAACAGGCGGTCCTTGATGTAGATGCCTTGCACAGCTGTGTGTTCCGAGCTTCCCCAAATGTGAACTTTTTGACCGTCCTTGAGCAAGTCTGTGGACTTGGACGACGGCGGCTCGACGACGTGATCCTGGTGCATCTGGTGTAGTCGTAATTTCTCATTCTTCGTCCTGAAAAGCTGCTTGCCAACATCACTGAGTGTGATTTCTGTATGTGAGAGCTCCCAGTCGCCACCAGGAACAGTGTCGACCTTTGCTCCAAGCATCCGGCACAAGACTTGGTGGCCAAAACAGACCCCAGAGAGCCTAATATCGGGACGATGTTGCCACAAATCTATCTCTGTAAGCATTTGTCTGTTGGGGAGAGCCTAGAATCATCAATACATACCTTGTAGCAACTTCATGAGTTTGTGAATCCACTCGTCATCGCCATGAGCATCGTACATGCTCCCTGTGATCAAAATAGCATGGACGTCTTTCAGCTCATCCACTGTAGGCACTTTTCCACCCTTGGGCTCTACGACAAACTTCATGGCTGTCTCGATCCCAAGTGGAGGGTCATGGTTGTCGCCAGCGGTCTTGAACAGCCTATCAAAGACGTCTCCAAAAGTTCCCTTCTCTTCAATCGTCTCGGGATGGGGTTCGTCCGTCTCGAAGACCATCATCCGCACCTTGTTTGGGGCTTCGGAGCCTGAGAACTTGTCGTGCATTATTGCGGGCGATTTGGAGAACCGTCTAGTCTGATGACGCGAGAAGCAACTGTTGTACGGTTTTGAAGAAGAGCGGACGAGGGCAGCGTAGTTGCAGAATTGGCGATTGAGCGACGAAGACACTTGGAAGCGAGCACGGATCGCGCAATGGACGAAAAAGTACGACATGGAGTGCTATAAATGCAAGAGACCCGCAGGGTTCCTGTTATGACTTACATGGCCATCGAGGTGTTTCTAAGTTTCGTTGGTACGTCGTCATCGACTACGGAGTGCTGTGGATGCCAGTACGTAAAGGCCAAGACCGTTAGACCTTGGTACGGAGCCGTCGCTAGCCAGGAAGAGCAAAAACATGGCCCTTCGGTGTGGTATAGATGCTCGGCGGTGTCACAATCGCCCTTGGAGAGGCTGTCCACGACTTGGTAGGCGCGGTGGGGTTTCTTGCCTCGCCATGTCGACAGAGCAAGCCAACGGTAGCGGGAAGCCTTCTGCCCTCTCTCGGGTGTCTTGCCAACCCTTTTGGCACGTTGAATGCTCATGTACGGCAGGAAAGCTCTGTAGGCTGTTGAACAGCAGAAAGGAGATTTTGGATGCAGAGATGAAGCGCGAAGGACAAGGTCGCGAGACCGTGACCGATAAGAAAGATACGACTTGCTCGCCCGTTGATACCTAGGGTTGACTGAGGGGCTGTTAAGCAGGTGTTCCCAATGGTACCTCATTGTTGCCAACGCAGAGATACAATCTCAACATAAAGTGGCAGCACGATATGTTCAAGTCCTGATTAGTGTAGATGCAGCCATTAACATGGCGATAATGTACATCCAGAACTGGTGTAGCTGGGGCCATCCACTCGTTATTTGTTCTTTTATGTGTCTCAGGTTGGAGCATTACTTGCTTGTGTATTAATCTCAGTGTGTCTTTTTGTGAAGCAAAAGATACAATCGACTATTTGTATGTAGACGTCCATACACTGGAGCTATCAGTATCAAACAACATGTATCGTAGCTAGATATCTAGAAGCACATTCTGGACAAGTACGATCCTTGAAGATCAAGAGCTGCGTTGGCAATAGTGAATATAGTGCTCGAGATACTGGTAAGAGGGGCCACCCTGGCTATGATCTATGCACTGTACATTACCTTTGTGCAAACGAATACACCAAAATAGCTTGAGAAAATCAAATCAAATCAAATCAAATACACCAAAGTACTGGACGATGATGAGGAGAACATCTTTAACGAAAACATGATCGAAAAAGGAAGTCTGGGCTATGCCACCGTGTATTCATCGAACTACCTAACATATCTATCTAAAAGCAAGAGAAAAGAGCAACCCTCATCGCTACGCTATGGGCCATATTGGCTGTGGGTATCCTTGTCCAAACTGGAACAAACAAACAGAAAAAAAAAAGAAAATCATAACAATCAATCATCGAACAATCGTCCCAGTGACCCTCCATCGTCTTAATGCGAACATTGTAGCGTCCGTTGATCAACCTTCCTCCTCATCGTATCCTTCAACATCCGCCCATCCCCAACCCCAACGAGCGCCTTGACCCTCACCGCAGATTCTCATGTCTCTTGCAGCATTGCGATCCTTCTCTCTCCAGCACCTGGCTGTGAAGTTGTCGCCCAGTGTAACGAGTTCGCCTTCGGTGCTCCATGTCAAGCTTGTGACCTCGGAAGTGCCGTGAGCTCGAATCAATGCGGTGCCTTGGGTGTAGATAGGCAGCGACGTATCCTGGTACTTGCCGATGGATCCGATTCGTGAACGGAAACCGGAGACCTCATCGCGATCACCAATAGGAGTAGAGGTGCCTGAGCTGGGTTGTTGAGTTTGCTTCTTCAGGAGAGACTCGTCTGTGGGAAACAGAACAGCACAGCCTTCGCGACTACCGACAGCAAGCATCTCGGGCTGGAACGGAGTAGCAGGGCGAAGAGCGGACTTGACGTAGAAGGAAGTCGACTTGAACATGGGGTGACGGAAACCGTACAAGGGTCCAATGCCGGTGAGACCCTGTCGTGGTCGGAACCATTTGGAGGCTTGTGTGTTGGTAGAGGCTTCATACTCTGGAGCGGAGCCCAAGATGAGATGGTTGGTTGAGTAAGCATAAACAGTACTATCGCGGCACAGTGCGTAGAAGCGGCTACCATCACCACTCAATGACAGACTACTAATGCCGAATTGACGGTGCTTGATATGAGCCTCTGGCTCGCGGGTACTCGATACGGGGACTGAACTGAGACGTGAAGGGCCACCTCGGCGAGATGTGTACTTGCCACGAAGATCCCACAGCTTGATGTTGGCGTTGGCTTCTGTTGCGGTAAGGAGCAAGTGAGAGCGCGAGCCAGGCAAGAAGGACAGGGCAGTAATGGAGACATCTGAACGTTCATGCTGTAAACCGTGGGCGTCGCGCATGCTGTTGACACACGGAGCATATGTGACGGTGTTGCTATGAGGTCGAGGGACGTTTTCCATGCCATTGCCAGTTTCGAAGCTGACAGCAAAGTCTGCGACAGGAGCGTCTTGACCGCGACAACGCAAGTCCCAGATCATGACACTGCCGTCACGACTCGAGGTAGCAACGATGCTGTCGTTACCAGGCTGAAAACGAACTTGCTTCACGGACGATGTGTGGCTGCGCATGACAAAGCGTGTTTGCTGAGTGTGCATGTCGACAATACGAGCAGTTTGATCACCCGAGCCAGTGGCAAACAAGTAGTCGTCGGAGGAGAAGGCCATGTCCATGATGGCATTACGGTGAGGCTTGAAGCTAACATGGTGTTGGGAGAAGGAGTTGTCCGAGTAAGCCGAGTCTATGAGCCTCACACCACCCTCCTCATCACCAATAGCGACAAGAGAGTTTGTGTTGCAGCGAGTCACACAGAAAGGTAGAGCGTCACCACGGTAACTGTGGCAGTCTTCAGGGCGGGTGTAGAAGTTGGCAGTCTGGACTTGCCAGTCAGGGACACAGTGGTCATATATCCTGCCACGGCCGATGGTCCTCGAACCGCCAAAGCTTCGTTCCAAGATACGGCTGCTTGTTCCGGCGTTTCGCAAACGTGTGATGGGAGTGGGGATATGCTTGTCTTCTTCCTCTTCCTCTTCATCTTCGTCCTCTTCTTCAATGTCCGAGGCATCAGAATCGTAATCCCGGTGGTGTGAAAGGTTTGAGGGGTGGTAGCTCAGGGGTCTCAAGGGTGAGGAGTCGAGTGGCTGAACAGGCGAGCTCTCGGGAGTGGGTAGGATCTTCCTCTTCTTTCGTGGCGTCTCAAATTGGGGAAGGTCGTGAAAGCCATTGAACTTGACTTGATTGACGGCGTTCTTGGTGATGTCCTTGAGTCTCTTGTTGGACTTTGAGTTTGTGGATGAACGTGACGTGATGGGAGTAAAGAACCTCGTGAAGCGTCGAGGTGTGATGGATGGTTGGCCCTTGGGTTTGCTGCTCGCCCGACCCGACGATGATGCAGCTGTGGGAGAAGTTGGAAGGGCCGCACTACTATCCTGAGAGGAGGGCAGCATACCCGGGCCAGACATGATGCAGAAATGGTGATATGGATACTGGACCAAAGATGCAACACGTACAGATTGGTACTCACGATGTTCCGCCACGAACTTGAACGAGACGCGATCCGACGCGTCAAAACCAATTTAGAGACGTCTGTCGGGCTTGGCGGAAGCGGCATGCCGACATGATGGAGTTCCGCCGCACAGACCGCCATGAAAGTGTTCATGCTCCAGAATTTTTGGGCAAGGCAAATTCTGGGATTTCTATACATCTCCGTGGTCGAACAACCATGGCTCCCATCAAACGAAAGGCGCAGACTGAGGAGCGCGATGTGAAGCGCTCCAAGGCTGACAGCTCAGCTGCTGCATCAGCCAAGAAGAGACAACCTCCGGAGACCAAGGAACAGGGCGACAGGAACCCCGTCAAGGCCTCGATCCTCTCGCAAGAAGATCGTGCTTTCCCTCGTGGTGGTGCCAGTGTCTTGACCCCTCTGGAGCACAAGCAGATCAAGATTCAGGCCGAACGCGACGTTCTTTTCGAGCAGGCTGGAGGAAAGAAGCAAAAGTCTGACCAATTCTCCGACGACGACGACGACGATGAGAATGCCGCTGCTGGCGCCGACTCTGGCGCTGCCCCCAGGAAGAAGAGAAAGACAAAGGCCGACAAGAGGGCTGCCAAACAAGCCGAAGACGACAAGCCTACCATCAAGATCCACGGTCTGAGTTACAAGAACATTGCTGTTGGCACTCTAGTACTGGGCCAGGTCACCGACATCACATCGCGCGATGTCGCTCTTGCTCTGCCCAACAACCTCACAGGATTCATCCCCTTGACGGCAATCTCGGAAAAGGTCAATCAGAAGATCGAGGCCCTGCTGGCTCAGGCCGACGAGGATGTCAAGGACGAGAGCGAAGACGAAGACGACGACCTCGACCTCAGGTCACTGTTCCACGTTGGTCAGTGGCTCCGAGCCATTGTTACCTCGACCGCCGACGAGATGGCTGTCAATGGCTTGCGCAAATCGAAAAAGAGAATCGAACTCTCCGTCGACCCGAAGCAAGCAAACGTTGGTCTTGATACCTCAAATCTCCCGGTTCACTCGACTCTGCAAGCCTCGGTACGCAGTGTGGAAGACCACGGTCTGGTCATGGATTTGGGACTGGACGACGAGTCGGTCAGAGGTTTCGTGTCCAAGAAAGAGCTAGGAAAGGTTTTCGACATCTCCAAGATTCACGAGGGCCAGGTCATGCTTTGTGTAGTCACTGGCAAGGCCTCAGACAACAAGGTCATCAAGCTGGCTCCCGATTTCACAAAGATAGGCGACATCAACAAGCACTGTCTATCAGACGCCCCCACGATTGATGCTTTCCTGCCCGGTACCGCTGTCGAAGTCCTGGTCACTGAGTCAAGCCGTGGAGGTATTGCCACAAAGATCATGGGTATGCTCGATGCGACGGCGGATGTCATTCACTCGGGCGCCGGTGCCCGCGTAGACGACGTGTCCAAGAAGTACAAGATTGGCTCAAAAGTCAAGGCTCGTGTCATCTGCACTTTCCACTCCGCCGAGACCAAGAAGATCGGTATCTCCTTCCTTGACCACGTCAAGACTTTCAAGGCGTTTGCTCTTGGTAGCGAAAAGAAGGCCGACAAGATTGGTCCTTCTTCAATAGTCGAGGATGCTCAGGTCGTGCATGTCGAGCCTGCAATGGGTCTTTTCCTCAAGCTCACCGGCTCTTCAAACCCTGGTTTTGCTCACATCTCCAGAATTTCTGAGAAGAAGATCGACACACTTTCCGAGACCATCGGCCAATACAAACTCGAATCCACTCACCGCGCCAGAATCCTTGGTTTCAACCCTGTTGATGCCGTCTACAACGTTTCTCTTGAGCAGAAGATTCTGGACCAGCCTTTCTTGCGCATTGAGGATGTCGAGGTTGGCCAAGTCGTCAAGGCGACTGTCATGAAGATCATTCTAGGAGTAAAGGGCGTTACTGGTGTCCTCGTTCAGCTTGCCGACGGCATTGATGGTCTTGTTCCCGAGGCGCACATGGCCGACGTAAAGCTGCAACATCCCGAGAAGAAGTTCAGAGAAGGTTTCCCTGTCACCGCACGTGTTCTTACTGTCGACCCCGAGAAGAACCAGATCCGCTTGACCCTCAAGAAGACTCTGGTCAACGCTGACGCTAAGATTTGGAAGTCATACGAGGACATCAACGTTGGAGACGAAGCACCTGGTACTATTATTAACATCAAGCCCAATGGTGCTGTTGTTCAATTCTACGGCAAGGTTAGAGCATGGCTCCCTGTGGCTGAGATGAGCGAGGCATATATTTCGGACCCCTCCCAACACTTCAGACAAGGTCAAACTGTCATGGTACACGCCATTTCTGTTGATGCAGAGGCCAACGAGCTCAAGGTTTCTTGCAAGGATGCTTCTGCTTTCGGCAAGGACGAAGAGTCTGCCTGGAGCAACCTGAAGGAGGGCCAGTTGATCAACGCATCCGTCACCGAGGTCACTGGTGAGAGCGTCATGCTTGATTTGGAAGGTTCAAACCTCAAGGGCACGCTCCGCCTGACCCATCTTACCGATGGATCGGAGGCAAAGAACAAGTCTACTCTGAAGCAGATCAGAGTCGGCCAGAAGCTGAACGAGCTTGTCGTGCTGGAGAAGCTGGACAGAAGACATCTGGTTGTTTTGAGTAACAAGCCTAGCTTAGTCAAGGCCGCCAACTCCAAGTCCCTGGTCAGTGATTTCAAGAGCCTAGCACAAGGCCAGGAGATCAGCGGTTTCGTGCGTAACATCACACCCGATGGTGTGTTCGTTGAGTTCGCCGCCGGTCTTGTTGGTTTCATGCCCAAGACCCAGATCACACAAGAGAAGCTTGCGTTGCCTGCATTCGGTCTGCGCAAGGATCAATCCATCTCCGCTAGAGTTCTGTCTGTCAACAACGACTCTAAGCGCTTCGTTCTCACTATCCGCCCTGAAGAGAAGAAGGTGGAGAAGCTTCAAGCCGCTGTTGACACCACTGTCACCAACCCTGTGGATGGAGTCTCTGCTTCCCTCACTGACTTCACACTGGGCAAGGAGACTCAGGCACGCATCGTTTCCATCAAGGACACTCAGCTCAATGTCTTGCTCGCCGACAACATTCAAGGTCGCATCGACGTATCTGAAGTGTTCAACAGCTGGGAAGACATCAAGGACAGAAAGAAGCCCCTGCAAAAATTCAAGGCCAAGCAGGTCCTTCCCGTCAAGGTGCTTGGTATCCACGATGCTCGCAACCACCGTTTCCTGCCTATTACTCACCGCCACTCTCGTGTCCCCGTTCTTGAGCTTACTGCTAAGACTAACACTACACTGAAGTCAGAGTCTGATATTTTGACTCTTGATCAGGTCAAGGTTGACTCTACCTGGATTGCTTACGTCAACAACATTGGTGACAAGTGCTTGTGGGCTAACTTGTCTCCCAACGTCCGTGGTCGCATTGACCTGCTTGATGTTTCTGACGACGTTTCCCTGCTTCAGGATATCCCCAAGAACTTCCCTGTTGGCTCTGCTATCCGTGTCAAGGTCAAGAGCGTCGACGCTGCTGCCAACCGTCTGGATCTTGTTGCCGCTTCTGCTGCCTCATCAGCTCCTGTCACTCTCAAGACCCTTACTGATGGCCAAATCCTCGCCGGAAAGGTTACCAAGGTCAGCGAGCGTAACGTTATCGTCCAGCTCAGCGACTCAGTTTCTGGTATTGTCACCCTGACCGAGTTGTCTGATGACTTCACAGAGGCCAACCCTACCACACACAGCAGAGGCGACATTGTTCGTGTCTGCGTTTCCNCCGTCGACCTTCCCAACAAGCGTGTCTACCTCAGCATGCGCCCCTCCAAGGTCCTCAGTTCGGCACTGCCCGTCGAGGACCGTCAAATCACCTCTATTCCTCAATTGGTCGTCAACGATGTCGTCCGTGGTTTCGTCAAGGCTGTTACTGAGAAGGGTGTCATCGTCAACCTCGGCCCCCGTGTCGATGCTTTCGTCCGTATCTCTGATCTGTCAGACCAGTTCGTAAAGGACTGGAAGTCAGCAGTCGAGATCGACCAGCTCGTCAAGGGTAAGATTTTGCAGGTCGATGCAAACCTCAATCACGTCCAGATGAGTCTGAAGCAGTCTCATGTCGACAAGGACTACGTCCCCGCCAACTCTTTCGCCGACCTCAAGGTTGGTCAGTTTGTCACCGGTAAGGTGAGAAAGGTTGAGGACTTTGGTGTCTTTATTGACATCGACAACACCATTCCTCGTGTCAGTGGTCTGTGTCACAAGAGTCAGATTGCCGATTCTGCTGTGGAAGATGTCAAGAAGCTTTACGATGCTGGTGATCTTGTCAAGGCCAAGGTCTTGCACATCGATACCGAGAAGCGTCGCATCAGTTTCGGTTTGAAGGCTTCGTACTTCAAAGATCTCGATGGCGATGAGGAGATGGAAGATGACGATGAGGATGAAGAGTCTGATGGCGAGGGCGTTGCTCTTGATGACGATGCTTCCGAATCCGATGACGGTGTTGACATTGACATGTCCAATGTACAAGACATGGAGAGTGATGAAGAAGCTGCGTCCGACGAGGAGATGAGTGAAAACGACGCACCTGCCACCCGCAAATCCATCCTCGGCGGTCTTACCACTTCCGGTTTCGACTGGAGTGGTGCTTCTGCTCTTGACAATGACGGTGCCATTTCAGACGCTGAAGAAGCATCGGCACCGCTCAAGAAGCGTAAGCGCAAGGCCGCTATCCAAGTCGACCAGACTGGCGACCTCGACGCCAATGGTCCTCAGTCCGTCGCTGACTTTGAACGTATGCTGTTGACATCTCCATCCGACTCCTCGCTCTGGATCCAATACATGGCCTTCCAGCTCGGCCTCTCAGAAGTCCAGAAGGCGCGCGACATTGGTCAACGTGCCCTTCGCACAATCCACCTCCGCGAGCAAGATGAGAAGCAAAACATCTGGGTTGCCCTGCTCAACTTGGAGGTCGCCTACGGTGATGCCGACTCAGTAGACGCCACCTTCAAGGATGCCTGCAAGGTCCAAGACAGCTTCGCCATGCACGAAAAGCTCGCCGCCATCTACACATCCTCGGGCGACTTCCGCGCCGCCGAGAAGATCTTCGACGCAATGGCATCTACAAAGTCGTTCCGTCCTAACCCCAACCTCTGGCTCAACTACGCAACCTTCCTCTTCGAGAAACGCGACGCTGCCTCTCAAGCCCGCGCCCTTCTGCCCCGCGCACTGCAGTCGGTCGCCTCCCACGACCACCGCAACCTCACTGCCAAATTCGCAGCTCTCGAGTTCCGCACGTCCACTGGCGAGCCCGAGCGCGCACGCACAATTTTCGAGTCCATGCTCACACAATGGACGAAATGGACACAAGGCTGGGACATGTGGTGCGATCTCGAACGCAGCCTCGCCAAGCAAACCGGCAAGTCTGAAGACGTGGAACGTGTCCGCGGCCTGTTTGAGCGCATGGCCAATGGCAAGATGAAGAAGCGTCGTGCGAGATTTGTCTTCAAGCGCTGGTTGGAATTTGAAGAAGAGTTGGGCGATGCCAAACATGTTGAAGCCGTCAAAGCCAGAGCCAAGGCCTTTGTCGAGAAGATGCAGAATGGAGATGACGAGGAGATGGAAGAGTAGAGATGCATTGTCAGTTTCTTGTAGAAAGAAGCATGGAAGTGGTATAAAATTATGGCGTTCTGGGATGGTGTTGTTCATACCTTTTTCATATCAATATTATTTCTTTCTCTGTCACAGCACAATCTGAATTTTCGAACAGGCGACAGTGATCTACAGTTCAATTGCCATGACCTTTTGAGAAGAGGAAAACCAAAACATGCAGTTGTTCTGTAAATCTAGAGAATGTGTATGGATCGTATACAGTTCACACAGATTTGCGACGAATATGCTTTGATAAATATATGCAGATATACTCTCTAGCAAGAATACTGTCTCTGTCTCAACCAAATATAATCCAAGAATCTTCATCTATTCCAAGAGGCTCTCCAACAAGGCAAACACCAAGCCCATCTCCGACTACCCTACCCTCCTTACAACTTCGACTCCCTCAATACCCCATTCTTCTTGGCCACAAACGCAGCAATGACATCCATCAACCCAGGGCTCAACGCATCATAAGTCTCCAACCCAGTCTTCTTGATCTGTCCTCTGACTTTATCCGCCTCTTCAGGAGCAATCAACCCTTGCTCAACAACACTACTCACAAACGCCGCAAACTGCGGCTCTTGCCATCCCTTTTCGTCGCTCAACTCGCAATGCACAAAATCCAAGCCGTGGAATGCGTGCTCGACTTCAATGCGTCCATACATATGCACACCACAGTCTTTGCAGGCATGGCGTTGGATCACTGCTGTTTCGTCTACAATGTACAACTTGTCGTTGCCAGAGGTGACAGAGACAGCAGAGCGAGGTACCACGCCCACAATGCTGAAGATTGCGCCAGAGGGCTTCCAGCATTTGGAGCAGCCGCAGGCGTGGTTGTGGGCAATGTTTGAGGTGAGGCGGACGGTGACGGGNGAGGCTTTGCAGTGGCAGTGGAGGGTGCCGCCGGAGAAGGAGGGGCTACCTTTGGTGATGCCGTTGTTGATGAGGGGNTGTAGGTTGAAAGACATGGTTTGTGATTTGGTTTGGTTTGCTGCGATGGTAGATTGTTTTGTTCTTGGGAGATGCGATTGATGTTGGCGGGATTGGGAGGAAGGAGCAAAGAAGGTTGAAGAGGGGTCACTGCCTCTTTTACTTATCTTTGCCCTGGGGTGCGATTACCTTGCTCATGCCAGCATGCCCTAGCACGCAATGCGGATGCTTACTGCATTGCCGGTTGTAATCTACAGAAGCACGTGTAAAGGTGGAGAAGGCGGGGTGTGGGAAAGGATGCCCGAAGAGGTATGTTATAGCGACTTGCATAAAGCAGAATTGAAGCACAACTATCGCATAACATAAGGTATGCACATCTTGTCTGTCATGCATAAAAAATGAGATGACATGCTTTGTATGTACTCCTTCAACTAAGCATTATATCTGACCCTCCATGCCCAGCCAAATCGGGAAACAGCTGTTCAGGAAAAAGATCATTCATGTCTACAAGCATATCGCCACCTAGCGCATTCCACCAATCCGTCGGTATCACTTCTTGCATGGGCTCGCAACTAGCTTGGTGGCTAGAGATATACTTGTCCAGCTGCTGCGAAAAGATGTTGGACAGAGTGGTATACAGAGAAGCCGCAGACGTGCTTGGCAGCCCTCGCGCGATCGTTTCCATGTGTCTGGTGACGGCGCGTACCTTTGTGGCTGCAGCCTTGATGACATCGGGTGGTAGGCATCCGCGAGTGGTGGCCTAGACTTATGGTCAGAGAGCCTTACTAAGTCGCTAAAAATCACAAGATGAGTGACTTACAAATAATATCTCGCTGGATGCATGGCAAATCATGATGAGTTGGTTGTTGTGAGTACCATACATGTGCTTGAGTAGAACCGGATCAGAGAGTATGAGGTTCAAAGACCTGCATGCGACATCGACGGTCTGGCGAGAGATTTTGCAGGGGTTCTTCAATGACTCGATGGCATTAGTAGCGACAAAATCTCTCAGAGCGTTGGCGTTGAGCACTAGAATGCTGTGGTCCATATAGTAGGCGAGTATAGGCAAGTACGCTTCTGATGGCGAGTCGTCTTGCGAGCCGCTAGAAGAGCATCGCTTTTCGCGAAGGGCTTGGAGAGCATTGAAACCTCGCGCCTGCCAATCTTCTATCAGTTCTCTGGTCTTGTTCATGTGTTCTCTCTCTTCAAGAAATTGCATCTGGGTAGCTCCAAGTCAGTTTGTGATCTGCAATCTGGTTCAATTTTTTATCGAGCGGACTCACAAGNNAAGTATACGCATCTCGACAACACCGCTGATGACGCGATCAAATGGACAAGCCATGGGTTTCTTCCACCACTCAGAGATTGACTCTGATATCTCTGATCGCCCAACGTTCATCACACGTCCGGTAACAATGCCGAAGCTCTTTTCTGCGAAGAATGCAGCAAACCACGTCCTCTCAATGTTACGACAGAACCGTTCTTTGAAGTCCGAGCTTGCTGTGGAAGAAATGTACGTCGCAACTAGATCTGTTACGGCCTTGGCTCTGTTAAGTCCTAGTTCTCTGGCTATCAGAATGGCNCTGTATTGCACAAAGTCAGAACAGGATGGTAGATTGATAACACAGTCTCTTACGTGGCTTATATGCAACCAGTAGGGATCATCCTTTTGTGTTTCATGTACGGGTGACCAGTATTCCATGGTAAAGATTGCTTGGATAGTCTCTACAGACTTGACAGACGTTGCTATCGACCATTTGATGTTGCTCTCTGCCAGAGCTAGCAGAGTAGGGTATACCAATCGATCTCTTTGCGTATCAGAAATCGCACAACCCAATGCACAGACGACCGAGAAAAGAGTGAAAGACAATGGCCGTACATTTTCCGATGAATGGAGTATAGGGTCTAAGAGACAGACCAGCGGATTGCGGATTTTGAAGAANTCTGGCGCATAAATCAGTCACAACCCCTGACCAGAGCGTTCACAAGAATGGACTTACAGGTCAAAATATCTCTCAGCATCGGTGTCGTCGATAATGCGAGAACTGATCGGATCGCAAGTCAAGGAGCTAAGCCTCAGGGGAGCGTTGGCTGGCTGCGAAGCTAGAACCTGCCAGTCTTTCTGGGACAACGAGCTAGGCNNTCTGATGAATGTAGATAATCAGTATTTTGACTTCGGGTGAAAGACAACCAACCTACTAAAGTACTTGATTAATCGTTCAGTGGACTGTCGAGAGAGCCATTTATTGTTTGTGTTGATCAGCAGAGGATCATCAGGATGTATCAACGCCGGAGTGGGATCTAGGATATGGAGAGCTGCAAGTCTTTCGGTTTCCACGGCGTCGGCGAGGATATGTAAAGGTGACACGAGCGAGCTTCCGGAGTCACCATTTGAACGATTATAATCCGCCCGCTGGTTTTCTGGGTTGGTAATGGTATATGCCACTGATGCAGCTCCAACTTCAGGCGTGTGTTCTATTGAACTTTGTCCGCTTCGTGTTTCAGAAGTAGAACTAGGAGGTTGCAGGTTTCGAGAAGCAGCTAGGATAGCAGCGATGACTTGCTCGCCAACAGGACTCTCATTGATACGCTGCAAGAGTTTTTCGACTGTGTCCGGTTTGCTGCTTNNTGTGTGAGAGAAAGCCACACAAGTCGTGAACCTGACTTACTTGACACTTCCTTGTTTTCGGCCTCGGTTGGAGACTTGAGGATACTCACATCGCCTTTGCTGTGAGGTACATCGCGTACTGCATCGTCGTTAGAAGTTTTGATGATACTCGATGGGATGTTAGTACCATGGACTTTGCCGATCGCATTTTTGTCTCGATGAGCGACAACTAAAGCATGCTGTACGATGGGGATGAGGTCGATCCACGAGTCCTACAGTATGGCTACTCCATTGCTGAGGGAGAGATTGATTTTCGTTCATTTCCACAACAAGCCTGCATCCATAGTTTGCTGATCGCGCCTAACGACCAAATAGTCACGTTTGCTTGTGATTAGCAAGCAAAGAAATGTGTCCGACGCTATTAAAAGAGAAGGTACGATCCAGAGTTTACCTCGTGTTAGGGCTTCATGTTGAGAACAGATCGTAGATACTGAGGTTGAGAACATGTGGCATGTATATTGAGAACAATAGTGATTGAGAACACCTGCAACTGTAGAGCACGCCCAAGGAATGAGAACATAGACGCATTTGAATCATGCAGCACTTGCGTGGAGGCTTCAAGGGATCGTTCCTAAATTACTCGTGTGGTCGTATGCCACTGGACGAAACTGAAGATATATGTGCTCCTAACTCTCCATTACCTCCTTCCAAATTGTTGATGATCATTAAAAGAATAAAACTCGTGACTCCGTGCGCAATGCTTTTCTATAAGAATGAAAGATGACGCTTTGTATGTTGTTTCCACGGATGGAAGATGTGTTTAGTTGCCGTTGGAGCTTCCGTATATGGACTGTTGGCGAGGAGCTTGGTGGTACAGACTGCTGTCGTACTCGGTGTCCATGTACATCATGCTTGCTCTCTTCTCCTCTTCGTTGAGGAGTTGGGCCTTGAGATCCCAGTTGTTGACTCTAGCGCCAACGGAGAACTCAAGATCTTCTTTAGTGATGGAGTCCCAGAANCTGTAGCAGGATCGTTAGCACAAGACAGACAAAAGGGAACAGTAGGTAGTTCTCACCTTGTAGATCATCATGACTGCAAGGAGGTTGCAGACGGTGGCAAAAACGAGGCCATCCATGTAGTGGGCGATGCCCTCGCAGACAGACTTGCCGAATGCGTAAATCAGAACCTGGCCGACAACGAAGAAGAAGATGCCAAAGGCAATGTGACCCAGCGGCCATCTGTCTTGGAGTGTTCCGACAACGAGCAGGATTTGCATGGCGATATAGACGGCGAGGAATATGGCGCTGAAAATGTAAAGGACGACGAAGAGACCGGCGGTGTTGTCAGGACCCAGACCGGCCCAGCCTTGGAAGGTCAAGATGCTGATGATGAAAGTGATGGCGAACATGGTGGCAGAGCAGATTCTGAGCAGCCAGACACTGAGGAAGGTACCATCTTCGTATAATTGGAAGCCGACGAATCCAGCAATCATGAGAGAGACGCAGGTGGCAGAGGAGAGACCGCATTGCACAGCGACAAACCAGGGATATGCGCCAGAGCCGGGAGGAACAACGCCGCAGTCGACGAGGAGCGAGACGATGGTGAGCAAGAAGTAGCCCCAGAAGAAACTGATGATCTCCTTGCGACCTNNTGGACATGTTAGCTGCGAGTAGTCTGAGGATGACGAGAGCAACATACCGACAGCAGTAAACTTGCTGCGAACGTGGACGATCATAATGACAGTCATGAGCAGGGCGCAAATGTGGGCGATGCCAGCAGCGCCCTGGAAGATGACCGTGTTGGCCACCTCGATGGTGCGCGAGTAGCAGGCAGGTTGTATGCCTTTGGTCCCCTTGACACCATTGCTACCGACCATTGTGCATAGCGGCAGCGCCGCCTGCTTGCACATCGAGTCGAAGTCGCCAAAACCCATCCTCCTTTTGTTCTTTTATTTGCCGCACGTCGTGTTTACTGCAAGATGTCGTCTCGATCCTAGATGAGGTGGATATTTCTGAGCGCGATGTGTGGTATTTGTGACTGAGCGAGTGGCAGTATGCAGCGAGTGAAAGGCGATGGGAACAAGCAAGAAGTTGAATCTCAGACGGTGCCTGTCTCGAGGGGTAACAAAGTGTTTCTCCAGCCAATCTATTTTCAGGCACATGATGCCAACACTTTACGCCAGACCCTGCAGCCGCGAGCCGCACGAGCAACCAGTCTTGGCACGCCGATCTCTCGCTGTCTCCTCTGTACCACAAACTTGCAGCAGCATCATCTCATAGCCATTACCGGTCCTCTGCTACAACAATCTTTGCTCCATCTTTAGACAAGCCCAATGGATGCCTTGACCACGAAAGGACTCAAGCAATCAAAATCGAAACACGGGGTCTCCGCGATCCCTCTGTTTCGTGGCTTGTGGGGGAGAGATTGGTGTGAGAGGAATTTGATCGTGGGCATGAGGCCTACTTCGTGAGATCGTGAAAAGTGCGGGGCATCCTTATACTTTCCACCCCCGTTCATGGTATTTGCATGTCTGTACGCCAAAAGGGAGCTCGTGGTAGGTCATCACTCTCCTCGGACACGGCAACCATGGCTCCCGACGGCTCCACATACATCGTGCCCACATGCCTTTCGACCATGCACAACGTCCAGACCGTGTCTCCTGGACTCTGCGAATATGTATAAAGCCTCCTTCGTGTCTCTTTACCGTATGTATCTGGCCAAGTAAGCCTAGGTGCTATCACTAACCATGGCACAATTCTCCTACGTCAATCTCGTGTGGCTCTATATCGCTGTCACGTTAATCTACATATCATACAAGGTACGTCCACTCATGGGTACTCAGGTCTCTGGTCTCACATTCATAGNNGTTGTGCACAAAGCCTTTTTCACTCCACTTCGTGGCGTACCAGGACCATGGCATGCTTCCTTGGTAAATTGGCGCTTGAAGATAGCAGTCCTCGGCGGTGCACGAGCAGACTACATCCACGCACTCCACCAAAAGTACGGTCCAATCGTACGCATCGCACCCAACGAAGTTGCCATCAACGACCCGGCCAGTTTCAAAGACATTCACAAGATCGGCTCTGGATTCCTCAAGACCGATTGGTACGAGTATCTGAACACCAATGGTGTGGGCAAGTGTCCCGGCATCTTCAACATGACCAATCCGAAAGAGCATGCTGCCAGGAGGAAGTTGTTGGCTAAAGGATTCAGCCAGCGTCATCTACGTGAGCAGTGGGAACATGTTGTTCATGAGAAGGTTGACCTCGCTGTTGCTCGCATCAAAGCCAATGCCACTTCTGGAACGGCAGATGTTCTCAGGTGGTGGACGTATCTCGCTACTGATGTCTCTGCTCACCTGATGTTTGGCGAGTCTTTCCACATGCTCGAAAGCGGCGAAAGAGTGCCTTACATTGTAGCTCTGGAAAAAGCTACCATATGCTCTGCGATTAGCTGGGAGCTACCTCTGGTATATTGGATAGGACGCGGGTTGCCTTTCGCTGCCATGAGAAACATCTTCTACGCCAACAATGTTTTACTCGAGCAAGGCCGTCTAGCAGTCAGAAACAGCAAAGCTCAGGAATTTGGCACGTCAAACATCTTCGCCACTGCCGTCAGTGAGGCCGAGATGGGTGATGGTGCGCTGACCGACGAAGACATCCAGACAGAGGCCGGCAACTTGATTGTCGCTGGTTCAGACACTACAGGCATCACGCTTACATATCTCACATGGTGTGTGCTAAAACAACCCGCACTACAACAAGCCCTGGAGGGGGAAGTCAACTCAGCCGATAGCCAACTCACTGACACCGCTCTCGAGCAACTGCCAATCCTCAATGCTGTGATTGAAGAAACACTCCGTCTTTACGGCGCCGCACCAGCAACCCTCCCGCGTCTAACCCCCAAAGGCGGCGCAACCTTTGGTGGCCACTTCATCCCCGCCAACACCGTCGTGGGTACTCAATCCTATTCCCTACACAGAGACCCACAACTTTTCCCCAACCCAGACAAATTCGATCACACACGTTGGCTAGAGCCAAACAAACTCTCTCCCTTGGCCAAAGCGACATTCTCGCCCTTCGGCGCTGGATCCAGGGTGTGTATTGGCGTGCACCTCGCACGCATGGAACTGCGTTTGGCGGCTGCAAAGTTCTTTCGCGAGTGCAGGGGTGCGAGGTTGGCGTCTTCGACTACGGATCAGAGCATGAAGCCTATCAATTTCTTTCTAATCGCACCTCAGGCACACAAGTGCGAGATTGTCATGTAGAATGATGGTATCAAGGCTTGTTTGCGTCAGTAGAGCATGCAAGATGTTGGATCCGATAGCTGCTATAGCACATAAACTCGTTCTGTTCAATGATAACTCATTGTTCTGTATTGCTCATGTCCCCTTTTCCACCGCGCTGCTTTATTGATCGGACTAATGGACTGTTCAGTCTCGATTGCTTGTCGACCTTTTCACCAGTTGCAACTGTTTTTCTTCAGAGCCGCTTTCGAGTCTTTTTTGGTTGAGGTGCTATTCTCATTTCTCCTCTTATGAGTCGCTGCTTCCTGAGTCGGATACTTCATCTTTCCTTCCGCGGTTCATGTGCCGAGTCGTACCTTCTTGACCTCTGTTCCCCATCTCACCTGCCTAGTTTCGCGGCATAATTTCTGGATGAAACGTCATTGCGAGCTCTAACCATGTATCCTTGGAGATGTGATTGACATAATTAAATCTACCAAACAATGTGTTTGTATTTAGTTGAACCACATCGAAGGCTCTATTGCCAGTGGCTGCGGTATGAGTAAGTACAAAATAATATAAAGACTCTCATAGATCTTTGGTGAAGCAGTTTAGAACATGATGATGGTAATAATGGAGATGAGATGTCAACTAATGTCGACGAGAAGTCGTATGTAGCGGCACACCGATCGCGCCTTCCAGCGCATTGTCCTCGTCCTATCTTGATATACCAAGAGAAGAGAGGAACCATCGAGAGCTCACACCATATTGAACTCTGAAAACTGACATCCCAGCCAAATCCCGATTTCTCACTACTGAACCCTCGACTTTGCGGCATCCGCCTGCAAGATCTCGGTCAATCTGTCTCTAGTAACACAATTCTCAAACTTGAAACTCGCAGCCAGTTCATCGAGCTCCTGTTCGCTCTTACCCTTGAACAGCTCTGCAAACTCCAAACTTAGGTAATCGGACAACAAGCACTCCTTTATGATTCTCTTGAACTGTTTCTCAATGGTCCAGTGGTGGGGATACTTGGTGTTGTGCAGGTGCTCAGGAACCATCTTCTTGATGTCGGAGAGAAAAGGGTCGTAAGTAGAGGAAACGCCGGTTTCGTCTACTACACCCCACTTGTCGAGTGCTAGGTGCTGTTTCTTGCCGATCCAATCGGCAATGAGCAGATAATAGGGAGATGAACGGGATAGGTGCACCATGCCTTGGTATCCGATATCCTTGTACAGCCAGATGGTCCAATGGATCTGCGACTCGGCATAAATGCTCAACTGCTCCTTCAGCACGCCAAACCTGCCAACATTTGTCTTTTCGGCATCGGAATCTGCACTGGGATCCGCATACACGGGCCCAAACTCGCCGTTCCATAACGGCACATTGTGCTGGCGCGAAAACTCTGCTTTGCGATTGAATTGGCGGCGCAGTTTGGCATTCTGCTCTTCGGTGCCGGTGTATGGGGCTTGACCTTCGATGGGGAAACCAAGGTTGGCGTAGTCGTGGCAGGCGTAGACTGTATTCGGCATAATCCTTGTAAAGTGGCTGAAGTCCATGGCATACGTGTTGCCGTCCACCCAGAGAATGTGGTCGGGGTCGACTTCTCGGATCGCTTTTTCCATCCTATCGTACCAGGCGACCAGTCGTGTATGCTTGGGGTCCGCAGGCTCGTTGAGGGGGTTGTAGCCTGCAATGACCGGATTGCCGACGTAGTGTTTGGCAATGTGCACCCATAGATCGATCATCTGGTCTTGGAAGAGTCTAAAGTCCCAGAACAGAGCTTTGCCGATTCCGGAGTCGCAGTGCCAATCTTGGTTCTGTCCGCCTGGAACAGCGTGAAGGTCGAGGATAACATAAAGGTTGTGGCGGCCACAGATGTCGACGATGTTGTCCAACAGCTTGAAGCCGGCGTCTTTGATCACAGATGGGTTGTCGTCGTCGATGAAATGGCGGTAGTTGAAGGGTATACGGATGCAATTGAGGCCCNNTATCAAGACTAGATTAGCTCTTGCACCAGTAATGACGCTGAGGTACAGCAAGACTACACTTACCAGACTTTGGAAGTATGCAGCATCTGCATCAGTAAAGAAGTAATGGATCAAGCGGTCGAAAAAGAATTGAGCCTTCTCCTTGCCTAGGACCTCAGCCATTGCGGCTCTGTGCTCGTGTTCATGTCCAGGGTAACCAGTAATGAAGTTTTCAAAGTTCAAGTGACCACCAAGGCCTGCGCCCTTGAGGATGACCTTCGAGCCCGAGGCATCGACGATGTCTGCACCCTCAACATGCAGCATAGAGCATGGTGGGTTGGAAAACTGGTTTGTGTTTGATTGTGGGATCGAACTGGTCTCGGTGTCTGCGTGAGGAGCCATCTTGAGTGACTGAAAAGGTCAATGGACTTTTAAAAACGGCAGAAAGTAAAAAGATCACCGGAGGCGCTGGCCGGTGATATATGCTACACGACAGCAGCATATTGCCTATATCTAGACAACATCTCTTCCAACCATGCCCCAAGACGCTTTTAGCCGCCAGGTGATTATCCAGCATGTGATGGTGGGGTAAATATTCTGCCCCGCATTCTGGCGAAGTGTCGGTACGAGAAGCATTCAAGATGTCAGACGCTATTCCGATTGTTTGTTGGAGCAGACTCCGAATCCGACGAGCTTAGGTCCTGGATGGGCGCAATCCAAATCACATCGCCTCTTGGGGAATGGATCGTCTTGAGATCCGTAGTGTTGTAAGAGAAACACGTTAGTCCTTTCAGATTGCGTACTCTGCCTGAACTTGACGTCGGCAACGATACGTCTTGCCCTGATGAGAAGCGCGACCTGAGCTTGGGTACTATACCGACAACGAAGGGCTTGAGTGCAGAAGCACATCCAGCGAGGATACCCAAACAAATTTCGACGCAACAACAAAGTGTTGCCATACCGAGACCCCAAACACGATCTTTNTTAGCAACCCAATATGGCGTGAAAGGCAGTCGGACCAACGTAGCTATTGAAGCTAGCAGGCCTAAGCTAAGTAGCATCCATGCCATGATCTTTTTCTGACGATTCATCCGTGACTTCCAGAAGAGAATGCCAGGAATGATGACACATATCAAGTCAGATATGGAGGTGATTGCCGTCAACATGTAGACCAGAACCTCGATAACGACGCCGCTGAAGCAGGACCCNCTCTTTGGGTATCCCGGAAAGTCGTAGAAGTATCGCCAGTTGGTGCGATATGGGCGACACAATGCCATCAGGCCTACAAAGCATGCTATAGTTGTCGTGATATGGACCATGACCATGATGTAGATGGCTTGCCGCATGCGTTTTCCTGTAGCGAATCTAAGCAGGGTTAGACAGAGACTGCATCTTAATGGACCCAGAGTAATGCAGTAGAGGAGGTCGAACATAGTAAAGTACTGCTCATATCATGTGAGATGGTGCTACTCGTCGATTCAACACATATCGAGAGGACTTACCATTGACGCTTCTATTATTTGAGTCGGGTTTAACCGATTATCTCTAACACCCAAGCCTCTCGAGGTGGATATCAGAGCGCATACAGCGCATGGAATAAAGAGGACNCTAAACCATCATTAGTGACAAGAGCATCGGGTACAGTCAGTTCATTATAGGCTTACCTCGGTCAAGACCATAGTCCAGTCATCCAACTGCAGAGAATTTCTTCTTCGTCGTCCGATTGTCCTCAAGACAACCGCAAGCAGTGATAGGATCAAGCATGTCAAGATTACGCCAAACAGCCATAAGTTAACTGCTTGACGCATCTTTGGGTATGGGTACAGAGTTGGAAGAAAAATCAAAATTGCCCATGGCGTCGAGGGCGAAGACGATGAGATACACAAAAAGGCTATTGGGCAGCGCTCCGAGTCTTGCAGACCCATCCCCTTCGAGATGGAATCCAGTGTTACCGTTGAAAGGGACGTTGGACGCCAATCTAAGAGAATGTCTCACCTTTCCTGTCTGAGGCTTCAATTGAGGGTTGAACAGGCGCTAATACGATGAGCCTCACATCCTATCTAGCAGATTGCCTACCTCGATGTGTCAAAGAATGGTATGGACAGCTGTGTAGTAAGAGTTGTGGTGTTGCGTGCGGCAATCTTCAGCTTACAGTGCATGCCAAGCCTCCGAGAAATCGATGTCAGGACTTAGGGTGACGATCATGCTGAACATCCAGCACATCGCCTTTAATCGTTGGTGGATACCAAGATCTTTCTGATACCGGGCCATTCAGCTGCCGGGGAGATCCTAAGACCACAGAAGCGGCAAGCAGTTTCGAGAGCTAGTTTTCGTCAAAGGACATCGATGATGGCCAGCTGCGGCCGGCGGCGAGCTCCTGTCTTGTGGAAGCCTCTGCAGTGAGACGACATGGCTGCTGTGTCGATGTCGACCAAGTCTGAATGATGCAAGTCCGATGCGTGGCTTTTGATTGTAGGAGTAGCTCAATCAGAGCATCGGAGCATCGTTCTCCGAAATCTTTTCGCACAAGACGAGCTCCCCACAATTCTTCCACCCATCTGTCATTTATCCGCCGATTACCACAGCGGGGTTCGGCAGACATCACATCTGCTCGAGTAAACAACTGCGATCTTCACAGCAAGGTGCAGTGAGGGGCTCGAGGGCTTCTGTGCAACTCTCCGATCATGCTTGCTGCCTGAAGCATGCTTTCGCGAAGAATGCAACCTCATGCCATCATGGGGATCGACCGCCGAGCACAATTGCTGCAGGAAAGCCCTAAGGTGATGAAGTATAAAGAAGGTGCTTCTGTCATGACTTCAAGTTGTCTCCTGCTTCTTCAAACAAGAAAGACATAAAAACAGCAAGCATGATTGTCCCAACCTGGGCTTCTGTGTTGACAGCAGCCGCAATTACTCCCACACTCATCTCTGCCGTACCTCATGGATCGCATCCTCCACAGACAAACCATGGCATTGCTGCTGACGACTTCGTCTCGGTTGATGGTTTTAAGCTTAAAGATCGCCAGGGTACCGTCTACCTCACCGGACTCAATTACTGGTCTTGCATGAACTTGGCTGCCGACGACCATGTGGGAGGCAATCACTCTCGCTTCATCACCGAGCTGGATCAGATGAAAGCTCATGGCGTTAACCATCTTCGTATCATGGCATCCTCGGAAGGCGCCCCCACACACCAGCCCTTCAGAATGTATCCTGCTTTGATGGAAGCGCCTGGTGCTTATAACGAAGCCATCTTTGTAGGCTTGGATCGTTGCTTGAGCGAGATGAGCAAGCGAGGTATGAGAGCAACCATGACTCTTGCAAACACATGGCAGTGGAGTGGAGGCTATGGTCAATACGTTTCGTGGGCGACAAACAACAGTCAAATCCCCTATCCTTCGTCGTGGAACCTGACGGCTCCCCCTCAGCGCTCGGAACCTGGAACCGGATGGGGCAACTACACGGTGGAAGGTGTGGATGCGGCACCGTACAGTAACTTCACCGCCTACGCAAATCAGTTTTACACCAATCCACAATGTCAGGAGTGGTATCACGCACACATCTCCAAAGTCCTGAACCGTAAGAACTCAATCAACGGCCGCGTATACAAAGATGACGCTACTGTCATGACATGGCAATTAGCGAATGAACCCCAACCCGCCGTCGTCCCAACCGAATACCTTGGCCCTTACTCTCTCGAGCTGCCCGCCGCACCAGAAGACCCCATCATACCCTGGGTCAAGAACAGCAGCGCTTACATCAAGTCTCTCGCCCCTAACCAACTCGTCAACGTCGGTTTTGAAGGCAAGCAAGGAAAATGGTACTACCAAGCCGTCCACAACTTTTCCACCGTCGATTACGGCACCACCCACTGCTGGGTCCAAAATTGGGGCGTGTACGATATGCTAAACTCATCCTCTGCAAACCTCGAAGCTGCAAAGGACTTCGCCACTGCATTTGTGGCAAACTCCAGTGAGTGGAGTAAGGAGATCGATAAACCAGTTTTCTTGGAGGAGTTTGGAATGGCCAGAAACAACTGGGAGAATGTGGGCAAAGAGTATTTGTATCTGAGCTCTGCAGGAACCAGCAACAAGGACGAGTACTTTANNACGTAAGGTCCTCACACATGAGTCTATCCTCAATTACTAATTCCCTCACAGACAATCATCGGCGCCGCTATGGACGACTTCAAGTCTGAAAATGGCTCGTATGTCGGTACCTGTCCTTGGGCATATGGCGGACTCTACCGTCCAGAAACACAGCATGCGAACGCTTTTGGCGAAGTTTGGGCCGGCGATCCTCCGCACGAAGCTCCTGGTTGGTACGATTTGTACGACACCGATGAAGCTATGAACATAGTACATCGCCAACAGCAGGACATTGCCAAGTTCTTGGGCAAGGGACAATGATACGGTTGGCCACAAGTATGCTCCCTGTGTGCTTAGGTGGATAGCAAGTGTGGCTATAGAAATTGCAGATACTTTCTCTGAGTAGTCTCCACTGTAAAATGCTATACCATAAACCCTGCCTGACTACAATTCCAGCCTCAAGAGCAGTAGTGCCCATCGATGGTATGCTTCCCACTCTATGTCCAGATCGGAGAGGCAGAATTCATCAAGCGTAACGGAAGCCCTGGCTCAGACAGGTACGAGATTCACCAAAGTGCTTGCAAAGTCATGCTATCAGTTGCCTACTAGACAGCCCGAGGCGAGTGGCTTTTAGGAGATTTGGTAAGGAACAGGTACCCAAAAGATTGGAACTAAGCGATTTTGTTCAATTTTCATTTGCAAAATTCCTAACATCAACTGGAAAGAAATACTTGGAAGAAATCAAAGACAGATAAGACACAAAGCCAACAAAGGATGCGAAAAGATTGGCAGGACAAACACAGGTCAGCCATCAACCACATCAAGCCTTGGACTCCATACTCAGGGTGCCAGAACAGAGCTCAGCGGCGGAAGTAGTGGGTGGTGCTCATGGGACAAATGCTTGAGCCATCGTTGGCATTGTTGGTGAAAGATGAAGCCCACTTGTTGGTAATCTTGTTGACCGGATCGCCCTTGTTGGTGCAGTAGCTCGAGTCAAAGGCACGCTTGTAGAAAGCACACACCTGCACACCGCACTTGCCCTCCTTGACTGACATGTAAGAGGTGAAGAAGTTGCAGGGTGTGTCCGGGCTCTGGCCAGTGATGATATCGCATTGTGCCTTGCAGCGGTTGTTGTCGAGATTGCCGTCACTGAAGGTCGTCATGGTGAGGTAGGCGTCCTTGCCGTCGGGCGCGCAGGGAGTAGCGGGCGAGTTGATGGAACAGTCGCCAAGCTGAGTCTGAGTCCATCCATAGACGTCGGTTCTGCATTGCTTGACATTGTAGGCGTTGGATCCAGAAATGACGACTTGGAAGTTGTCACGGTATTGTCCCTTGTTGGTCGCAGAGGCAGAAGTAATCACATTGCCCCAGAAAGAAGCCTTNGTTTATTTTGTCAGAATCAGTTCGTCGAGAAGAGTGATGAGGATATTCACCTTGATCACTGTGGTACTTGCAGGGTTATCACAGCCATAACCAGGGTCCTGANNTATATCACTGTCAGTATTTTTCGAAGTACGATAGGTCGTCACACTTGCCTGAGTAGGATCGCGCTCGAAGAAGATGTTGAATCCTTTGCAACCTTTAATGTTGTTGCAATCGGCGGCTGCTTGGTTGACATCGTAGGTATTGTAGGTCTTGTAGCCCTGGTAGCTGCAAGCGCTGACTGAAGCCCATTTGTTGGTGAACTGAACATCATATCCAGATGGGGGTTGGGCGTTGTTAGCCGCGTATGCGAAGTCGGGGTAATTCTGGAAGGCATCCGCGGTGTCTGGGTAGACCTGAGGACCGTAGCCCGCAGGCTGAGCTGCACAGGTGCCAGTGGTACGTCTTGCCTTTCCTCTGGGAGACCTCTTGGTAATGGCAGCCGGAATGCTGGCGTCGATGTCAGGAGATGGGTCGGCAATGATAGCGGCGACAGCACTAGCTACGGCAGCGTTCACATCCAAAGGGATGATCTCGGTACCAGCTCCGATAGGAACATCAGAGACAGGAGGAGCGGGAATGTCGGCGAGCTGTTCGGGATCAAAGACTTGGGGTGCAGCAGAGGCTACAGCAAGTGCTGCAAGGCCGGCGATGAGAGTGATAGAGCGCATATTGAATTGAAGAGAAGATAAAGTGTAGCAGGAGTCTTGTTGGTAGCTTGTTGGAACTGAGATATTGTTGCTGAATAGTTTTCTGTCGAGGAGGAAGAGGCCATGCTTTATACCTCTTGCTCGCCAGTCCAGACTTGTCTACGGCAGGGACCATATACCGTGAACGAACGTCGACAAGGCATCTCCAGTGGGGCTCGATAGCTTCCTTTGCTGCGTCTAGATTCGCGAGCTCTATGGCTAGCAGGCTCAGAACGGTGGGCACGGTATAGCCGAGCTGGCATCTTCTCAAGACGCCAAATATAGCGCTGGAACTCAGACGGTTAGCGGTAGGTTCTGCCTTTGATGCTCGAACATGACAGTGTGATTGGTCAAATTAGTTTCGAAGCAATGTCCAGCCACTTTTCGACTCTTCCGAAGTTCAGATGCACGCTATTGTTGGTTCTCTCCACTTGCAATGGCAGCTGAGGTATGGTGTCGGTATGGGACTGTCCAAAGCTCTGTACCGCTCTATTGATTACATGCATAGGCACAAACCTAGATCCTAGTGGTAGTCGTCGAAGCACGTGTCGAAGTCTGGGTCTGATCATGGGCCTTCCAAGTCGAACGCTGCCCTACGCCAGCCATGTTGCCTGCGTCGGGATGGAGAGCTGACGAGCTTTCCTGCGCTGCAAAATCTATCTTTGGCGAATGATGAAGATGACAGGAGCTCGGAACTTAGAAGCAGAAGGAGGTTAGGTCGAGCACTGCCAAGAACGATCCGGATTCCGAACCTTTCTCTCCTCGATCATTCTGGGGTACGGCGGAGAAGTAACCACGCGAAGGATCTCACTTTCTTCCCGTCCACTCTTGCCGACCCTCCCTCATCTACTTTCGCCATTTTCTCAGCTGGCCTCCATCACGTTGTGTTCCAAGACACGGCAGGGTCGCTGGTTGGCGCAGTCTCTGGCGAGGTCGACCTCGTTCTGGTCAATCGCCCATTACTGAATTTGGCAGCGAGAGTGAGCACTTGCTTCTATTAGCTAGGGATGTACACATGTATCTACTGCTTGCTGCAAGTCCACCGCCCCATCTCGCAACATACTGTGGGCGGACGGTACTTTGTAGTGGTACAACCTACGAACATCACCGAACACCACCACACCAGGTGCAAGCCGACGACATAGCTGCAGGAACAGCTGATCATGGAACGACTGGCGATAGACTTTGGCAGAGTCTCTCTCGGATCGAGTACAGCGCTACCACGCTCGTTGTCACAACATCAGCTGACCATCACATTTGCGACACCGAGTTTGGAGATATGCTTCATCAAAACCTTTGGCAGAACTACTAATGAAAATTGCATTGGGCTTGATTCACCATGCCATGCTGCAGGAAACACGAGACCAGCACTGCTTTCAAACCTGCAGCCCCCAACTCCGCTAGCAAACCAAGGAAACGTGCCCAGAAAGTCAGAGCATGCCAATGTCATCGAATCAACTGTAAGTTGCAGCGCACTTGTGAAAACAAATCTTCAGCTGTCAGCCTCCACGCCGAAGCTACAAGCAACAACAGGCACTATGGCCTCTTCACGTTGGAGTCGTGCTGGCACCTTTTGCTGAATGCAGAAACGACAAGGCCAATCTCAGCCTACATAACGACAAGCGAATGTATGCACTGTCTGACAGCAGAACGACCATGACTCCAAAGCCCAGATGCAAAGAAGATCCACTCGATCATCCTGGTCACCAACTCAGCTACAGCACAGCTGCGCAAAGGGCGAGTCCACCAGCCATCGCAGCATTCAAGACGTCCATGGTCATCATGGCAACACCACCGGTGCTTGTTGGAGAGGAAGTCACAGCTGCTGCAGAACCAGATGAAGAAGTCGTACCAGCTGCGATAGCCGAGGAAGATGAACCAGACTGGGACCTCGATACGCTGCTAGAAGATGATCCGGTCGACCCACTCGACGAGCTCAAGGTACCAGGTTCCCCAGTGCTTGTCATCGAAGCCGAGGCAGCAGCAGCACTTGCTCTTGAGACCGAAGCCGAGCTATACAATGACTCTCTGCTAGCACTTCTCGAAGCGCTGATACTCTTGATGACGTCTGCAACAGTGCTTGCCGCAGTTCCTTTGGCGGTCAGAGGTGTGGCAGAACCAGCTTTGCACGTGGTAATGTCGAAGCCGACACTGATGCCCGTGCGACCGTCGTCTTGACAGCAAGTGAGGTCGTTGAGAGCCGATGCGTTGGAGCTGCCTGGGTTGCCCACGATAGACCCGTTGCAGCAATAGGACGTGTCGCTACCGCTATCAGCTTCGACGTAGCAGCAAGCTTGCTGATCGACGAGATCACAGTCTTGAGACTGGACTTTATGCGACATTGCCACGAAGAGCGTGGAGAGAATGGCGGTATGGAAGGCGCGCATGGTGAGATGACGAAAATTGATGCTTAATGACTTCAAAAGTGCTTGGCTGCTGTATGCTCGACACAAAAGCGAGAGCCATTCGTGCCAGCTTTATAATCTTAGACCTTCTCCTAGAATATGTTCGTTCTCGGTTGCATCGCAGAACAACGGCTGTGCTGCGTTTACCGTCCAGCTGAACTTGTGTAGATCACAATACCAAGCCATCCTCCAGGATGGCGGCGTTTCACACTAGATTCTGTGCTATACCTTGCCGTGTGCCTCGAGAGCGACAACGATTGGTCCTCCAAGATAATCTGAAGGACTACTGGATGGCTATACCAGTATTCAGCCCGTGATTGCTGCGCCTTGCAGCCTTTCTCAAGGCACCTCAAACCTTCTTACTTCTCTCTGCCTGGATTGCAGCATCGCGAAGTGATGAAATTCCGATGACAGCGACGACAACTTCGAGTACGCCTTGTTACTCATGTCGATCACCTCCAAGCGATGGCTGAGAAAACGAACGGTCGTGCTTCGCATGGCTTGTGGTATACCAAGAACTTGGCAAGAATCCTACGACACAACATCACAAGACCATGATCTGCAACGCCATCAATACAGTAAGGGCAAAACAAACGACAAGAAGGCATTCTTTCATTAGGCGAGTATATCTCTGTATTTAGTCCTTACTCTTCTTGACCAGACCGGCAGTCAGCTCATTCTCAATCTTAGTCTCCTCGGTCGTTTTGTCAAAGATGGCACACATGACAGCGACAAACGAAATCATGCCCGATAGACCACTGGCAATGACAGCGACGACCTTGACAAAAGGCCAGTTATCGAAATCCGTCAACAAGGCCGTCGTCAGTGCAACACCAAAGATGACCAAGCAGACTCCGACCGCAATCCCTGGTTGTGTCGAGAGCACATCAGTATAATCCAAGACAGATTGAGAAGAAAAACATGACTTACACGATCCATTTGGCGTATCTTTATTCTTCTCCGTGCGGATAAAGAGTTTTGCCTCTTTGTATACCATCCAGGCATCTTCCAAGCCAAAGATTTCTGCATACAGCAAAGGTGGATAAGTGGTCAGCTCGCGACCGGTGCCCAGCGTCCATTTTGCAGCTACCCTTCTTGCGTGGTCTGGGTGTAGTCCTCTGTTCTTGATAAGTAGTTGTACAAGAAAGTCGCGTACTTCGTCCGGTGTTGCTTTTTCTCCTGGAGCAGTGAGGTCGGAAGGTGAAGCGACGGAGATGTCCGAGTAGAGGGGNAGGCCTTCGCCGTTTAAGGTGGTGTCGATGGAGGAGCGCGAGCTAGAGGATTCGTGGGAGAGTCTGCCCATGATTTCTGTATTTTCGCAATGAGATGTGCTTGGAAAGATGTTGCCGCGAAGCGCAGTGGATGGAGAGATGTATATGAGTGACAGATGTGGGGAGCGGGGATAGAATAGGTGAGGCTTAGCTATAGGGAATAAGGCCGGAAATGGCGGCTGTGTTGGCATACTCAGCCTTTCTTGCTCCCAATGTTCCGGTAAAGCACCGCGGAAGGATTTGGCAATGACATATTATACCTTGATGTTGGTCGAGTATTTGCGGTCTATACAGCGCTGAATAGTCACGTTTCTTGCTAGAGTATGGCTACGTATGATGGATAGCTCTTGCTAATGCTCAGAGTCAGGCACAGTATTTGCGCGCCGGACGAGCACGTTGTTGTAGACTGAGGGTGATTCACAGACACAGCCACTACGAATATGCTGCTGCCTGGAATTTACCAGGTTGAAACTCAGAAGTTGTCAAAATGGAGAAAGACAGGCAAACTCGAAAAGCTAATTATCTTGTCGAAAGGAAGGAGAAAGAGGTCCCGTCATTGCTATCAAAGCTTGGCGTTGTCACATGTCATGACTCTACATAGCGACAATTGCTCGACCGACTCTTGATGCCAACGACCGCTCACCACAACAATGTGAACATGGCCGACTGGAGCACGCGCTACCTCGCGGCTCTCGATGCCCGCGACAGACGCGAATCTACTCACAAATCCTACATCGATGCCTGTACGCAATGCAGCCTCGTCTATACCTCCACAGCTGCTCACTGACACCACCACAAGACACGCGCCTGGCCGACCGCAAAAGCATAGCGACTACCACCTCTACAATCTCCACCTCTACCGCTACCCCTCTCAACGCACAGACCCACGACGAGATCTCTCGCCTGCGTCAAGACCTCAGCACAACCCAAGCCGCCCGTTCTTCCCTCGCATCACAACTCCAAACCCACGAGACCACAAATACTGCCCTCGTCACCTCCAACAAGACATTGACCGCCCAACTTACCTCTGTGCACCGTCAACTGGCTTCTCTCGAGCGCAAGCTCAAAGACCGCGATGAGGAGTTGAGAGCAAAGAAAAAGATGGTCGAGCAAGTGCAAGACGAAATTGTGGCGCTGACCATGGAGTTGAATGCTGTAGTGAGGGAAAAGGAGAAGTTGAAAGGGGAGAATGGGGAGTTGGTGAGGAGGTGGATGGAGAGGATGACGACCGAGGTTGATAGGGCGAATAGGGAAGGTGGCTGGGAGTGAGGATGAGGAGGTCACATTGCTCGCTTAGAAGACTGGATCTTTGCGAGAGATGCTCTCGACAGATCGGTATAATCGCATTTGCGTACAGACAGGAGTTGGCAGGGTCGAGATTGGTAGACAGCTGGTGACGGCCCAAGGCATACTCGATGCGTGCCATGGTAGCATCAAGTTCTCGAGGCCCTGGTACCAGCAAAGCAGACGTTTCTGGGCGAGAACCGACGACCAGCTGGCGAATTGAACATCAGCACGGAGCAAAAAGATAATAACGTCCGAAGCATTCATCCTCCCCACCGCAGAGCCGTAGGCAGTAGAAATGCTTGGGACGATAGTTAGAGACCATCTTGTGGTGTTTACATACCGCGATCGAGCAAATGCCTACAACCCAGAAGCTGTAGTGATGAGGCGAATAAGTCACCACAAACAGAAAGACATCTACCGAGTCAAGAATACAGCCAACCCAGTGAATATGCGTATTCTTCTACTCTGCTTTCTGGTCATTTCATGTATCAAGACAGGGTTGCACTCTTGACAATCTTTTCTATCTATCTTGACGCGTTTACATGAAGACTAATGATGTATTCGTATATCTTATAATACAAATCTTTCTTTCCACTGGAGTCTGGATCATATAAGGGATTGTATGTCGCGGACATGGGTTTGGGCCGACACATCCAAACATGAGTTTTACAATCATCCGATGTTAAAACGTGGATGATAGATACTAGGCCATTTCTCTACTGACCTTTCTCTATACCTGACTTGGTCTTTGGCCTTGGAAGCAGCCACAGGATACACTGTACAAACATTATCTCTGGCGAGTTACTCACGAACCATGCTATGCTGGAACGCGTACGATGATGAGTGTCTGCATGCATGTCGGGAGAGCATTCGTCCGGAAGCCGAAGAAGACGAAAGTTCGTGAGCGCGGGCCAGGATCAGAGCGCGGCTGAAAATACCTACAGTGAGATGACGCTCGTCGCCGCCATCGCTGCTGGGCATCCCTTAGCTATCTATAAGCCGAGTGTCTTGTTGGATTGCTGCATCTCTTTCTCTGGATCCTCAGTCTCATCCGTCGTATCCAACGTATTGCGTGTCGTCGTATTCAACGTGTTGCGTGTCGTTATCAAACATACTTCAGCATCCTTTCTCGATATTTGATCATCGTTCCGCCCTGTACAAAGTACCCCTCCGTGTCGATAACAGCTTCGCGACACACACACCCAAAGATGGCATCCCAGGTATCGAATGAAGCTTCAGGTGCTCAAAGAACTGCTCTGACATCAAAAGACTTCGAGCAAAGCTCCCTCTCTCTCGAGCAAAGCCCCGTCCCTTTCAGCGGGCTCAGAGGCCATCACCGACCCCGCGCCGACTGGATCTATCAAGACTCCCTTGACCGTCGCTCTGCCTGAATGCAAGCCGAACCCTCCTGCCGTCTTGACCGCCGACCAAGAGTCCAAGTATGCGTCAGTACTCTCGACCGTCTCCACATGGACCACAATTCCTAGCAACACCCTCAAGGATGCCACCAATGAGCCCATCACAGACAACGAGCGCATGTGGTTGACTCGCGAGTGTCTCCTTCGCTACCTCCGTGCTACCAAGTGGGACGTTCCCAGCGCCCTCAAGCGTCTGCAAGGAACGCTGTCCTGGAGACGCGAATATGGTGCCGACACTTTCACCGCCGACTACATTTCTCCCGAGAACGAGACGGGCAAGCAGGTCATCATGGGCTACGACATCAACGCTCGCCCTTGTCTCTACCTCAACCCTGGCAAGCAAAACACAAAGAACAGCGACCGCCAGATTCACCACCTTGCTTTCATGCTGGATAGAGTCATCGACATGATGGGTCCTGGACAAGAGACGACTGCCCTCCTCATCAACTTCAAGGGTGCTACGAGCGGCAGCACTCCCAGCGTTGGCCAAGCTAGACAGGTTCTGAACATCCTACAAAACCACAACCCAGAGAGACTCGGCAGAGCTTTGATCTCACAATGTAAGTCAAGCCACACATGTCTGCATATACATCGCTGACCCATCACAGTGCCCTGGTACGTCAGCACCTTCTTCAAGCTCATTTCGCCCTTCATCGACCCCGTCACCAAGGAAAAGATGAAGTTCAACGAGGACCTCAAGAAGTACGTGCCCACACAACAGCTATGGAAGGACTACGGTGGTCAACTGAACTTCGACTACGACCACAAGGCATACTGGCCCGCTTTGAACAAGGAGTGCGACAGACGCCGGGAAGCATACAAGCAGCGCTGGATCGATGCCAGCAAGCAGATTGGCGAATACGAAGAGTACCTCCGTGGAGGTCAGCAGAAGTGCCTTCGTGACATCTCGGGCGGCGCAGAAAAGGACAGCGCAGGTGTCCAAGTCACCGACGAGACCNCCGATATTGCCAGTCTGAAGGTCTAAAATGGAAGATACAGAGTCTGGCTTTGCTGGCAGAGCCTCTTCAAGAACTGCGACTAGGGCAGCAGCAGCAGCAGCAGCAGCATTTGGGCAGGCGTTTTTGTTTTCTGGATTGGTTCCTTCTCCCTCCCAAAGGGTTGTACAAAAGCACTCACAGCGCGTCACTGAACGATAGAAGCATAAAAGGTTCCGCGGCATTCGAGAAGGTTAGAAATCCCATCATGTCATCCTTCCCAATTTCCAGGCAGCCAAGATTCCTCGCCTAGGATTTGGGTCGTATTATTGAGGATGTGACGAGTGATGAAAAGAGTCGTTAGAACACAGGACACTGTCGTGTCTCATGCTCGGGATAAGCGATGGTGGTGTGTGATGACCTCCTATAACAAGAAAATAGGGTTTGTCTGGGGTGTATTTTCTGCGGGACGTCTGGATCTTTTGAGCCCCGCCCGAAGATTGCGGACAAGCAAAAGCCAAAAACATGCGCAAGAAGAAGAAGAAGAAGAAGAAGAAGAAGTCAGTCATCATCTTCTAACTGATATCTCGATTTGAAGTCGAGACGGCGGGCCCACGGCACGTCAGGCAATCAAGAGTAAAGCAATCTAAACCAAAGATTGGGCAGGCAATGACGCGGAAATTGATTGTGGTAGATTGTGTTGATTCCATGCCAAGGAGCGCATGGAGTTGATTTGCGTCCGAGGCGCACTTGTTGTGGGGTTCCTGGAGAGCGAGAGCCAACCGTCGTCATCCTGCCCGTTTTTCGCCGCTTGTTTGGTATTTTCCTTGACGTCTTGGTTGACCCCAATCCGCACCTAGACGTCTGTCACGGTCGACTTGCCTTTCGTCGCGGTTACGACAAGAACAAAAGAAATCCGCGGCCTGAGGATTGGACTTTCCAACGGACCCAAACGACTACAATCGCAACCTGATCTTGATCCCACTAAACGTGCTTGCTTGGCTTCATACCCGCCAAGGTCGGCAAAGAGTCAGCGACAAGACTTTCGTTCTTGGTCAACAGATCCTGGATCCTGCTTCTTCGGTCTTCGAATCACTCGCCTTTCATTTCGTCCATCGACTCCTTCGTCTTGACGACGACCTACTAACCCGAAACACCTCACCATAGCCTTTGGGAGCGGCGACTGGGCGCACCCGACGACCGCATGCAACTGTCGACATCTATTCTGGCTCCCGACCCCGACCACCACGACACGAGACCTTAAATATCACCATCGCTTCGTTACCACTACCTAATCACTCGCCTATCCTGCCATCATGGCCTGGGAACATCTGAGCGTCGACAAGCCGCACTTGGTCTACATCATCCTCGGCGGCTTTACCAGTCTGTTCATGCTATGTTCGTCCCTCATCAAAGAAAAACTATACATCGGCGAGGCCACCGTCGCCACCATCTGTGGTATCATCTTCGGTCCACATGCTGCCAATCTCATCGATCCTAGCACATGGGGAAATGAGGATCGCATCACTCTAGAGTTCTCCCGCATCGTTCTCGTCGTCCAATGTTTCGCCGTAGGAGTTGAACTGCCAAAGTTCTACATGGAGCGCCATTGGCGATCCGTCACTCTTCTCCTCATCCCCGTCATGACTTTCGGATGGCTCGTGACCAGTCTGTTCATGTGGGCCCTCATTCCACCACTCAACTGGCTGGACAGTCTTTGCTGTGCTGCTTGTGTCACTGCTACTGATCCTGTTCTTGCTTCCTCAGTCGTTGGTAAAGGCAAGTTCGCCCAGAGAGTCCCCAAGCATTTGAGAGATTTGCTGTCTGCTGAGTCCGGCTGCAACGACGGCATGGCCTTTCCCTTCATTTACCTGGCCATCTACATTATCCGCTACCACCATCATCCCAACGAGGTTGCTCTCGAGTGGTTCTGCGTTTCGATCTTGTACGAGTGTGTTNTTGGTGCTATCTACGGTGTTGTTGTTGGATACATCGCCCGCCATGCCGTCAGATTTGCACACGAACGTAATTTGATCGATCGTGAATCTTTCCTGGTCTTCTACTTCGTCCTGGCTCTGTTCTGTGCTGGTTCTGGCTCTATCTTGGGCATAGATGATCTGCTCGTTGGTTTCGCTTGTGGAGTTGGCTTCAGTAACGATGGTTGGTTCACCGAGAAGACTGAAGAGTCTCATGTCTCCAACGTCATCGATTTGCTCATCAACCTGGCCTTCTTCGTCTATTTTGGTACCATCATTCCCTGGGCCCAATTCGACTCTGCCGTCATTGGTTTGAGTGCTTGGAGACTGGTCGTCCTTGCAATTCTGGTCCTTCTGTTCCGTCGTATACCTATCATGCTTGCGCTGAAACCGATCATACCCGATATTAAGACTTGGAGAGAGGCGCTTTTCGCTGGGCACTTCGGTCCTATTGGTGTCGGTGCAATCTTTGTAGCCATCTTGGCTAGAGCCGAGCTCGAAACCGAGACTACAACACCACTCGGCGAACTGCCCGAGCCTGGGTTTGAACATCTTAACATCATTGAACTCATTTGGCCCATCACAACCTTCCTGGTCATCACTTCAATTCTTGTTCACGGATCCTCAATTGCTGTCTTTACCCTTGGAAAGCACATCAACACACTTACTCTGACAATGTCCTACACTCAAGGTAACGATCAATCGTGGATGGACAGACTTCCTCGTATCCAGTCGCGTTCCAAGACGTCCATGTCTCAACAAAGACCTGATGATACGGACGAGTCACTCGAAGAGAAGGGCGAATATGGTGCTTTCCCTCCTAACTTCCTTCGTCGCCAACGCGAAGATGACACTCCTGCTCGCCCACTGAGCAGACGTCGGTCGCGAAAGTCTCAATATGGTGCTGGAGGCCCTATCAGTCAATCAGCTATCAGACCTCAACGCACTGACAGCGAGAAGCTTGAGGAATCCACTTCTCGTAGCGAGTCTGATGCTTCGCCCAATACTGCCAACGGCAAACCACCACTGGGTCCTTCTAAGCGCGACGATGACGAGCCTGATCAACCTGGTGAGCCTGAAGGTGAGGTCTACGAAGAAGGTGGTGAGACTGTCTACGAAGACGAAGAAGGCAACGTTCTCGCTGTCAAGAAGACCCATGCAGGCGACACAGACGCACAACGAGAAGAGCGTGAGAGAAATGAGCTCAATAAGTTGATGCACGACCAAGATATCCATCATGGTGTTGCTCGTAGAAAGGACAATCACGCTGAAGACGAAGATGGGGCGGTGATGCACGAGTTCAAGAAGGATATCGAACACCCTCAGAGGGAATGGCGTAAGAAGATGGCCCACCTCGGAGGCCTTCGTAAGAAGGAGGACCACGCCGACAAGCCTACACCTAAAAAGCCAGCCCCCAAGCGAGGACCTGCACGTGCTTACCAGTTCGGTAACACTATCATCGTGGAGGACGAAGACGGTGAAGTCTTGAAGAAGTACGACATTGAAGCTCCGCCTAAGAAACCGAAGCAGGCAAAGGAGGGAGAAGCTGGCGCATCGACTGAGGGTGCCAAGCCTGCAGGCCCTACCAGACGAGGTCTTTCTCGCATGGGAACCGCCCTGAGTATAACTGGACGCAAGGCCGAGGAAACAGAGCAAGGTGCCTCCAACGCCAGGGACGAGAAGAGGAGAAAGAAGGCCGAGCAAGAGGCTGAGGATGATGAGCGCTTGCGCTTCTCAGTTGCTGGTGGTCAGAGAATGAGTAAAGCAGAGTTTGTTAGACAGATTTCGAGCCTCAACGCCAAGCAGCGTGCCTCGCTCGTTGAGGAGAGCGATCTTCCCGAAGCCATCAAGAGGGAGGCAAGAGAAGGCGCCAAGAAGGGCCAGGAGGATTCAATTCCTCACCGCCTAGAGTCGCTGCCCGCGAACAGACCTGTCAGATTGCCCAGTAGAGATACCGAGACAAACCTCAAAGGAGAATCTCCTGCAGAGAACGGTCAATCTGGCTTGACCGACAACGCCAAGGTCAAGAGAATGCCGAGTCACGCAGACGCCCCCTCTGGACCCGAAGGGCTGACTCTGGTCGACTCTAACGACGAAGTCGTACCCTTCCACGATGTGACTGGTGATCTCCGCAGATCAAGCGGAGCCGGCGAGACACCAGCCGAGAAACGACGCAGAGAAGCACGAGAGCGCGCTGAACAATCACGTCAGGACACTATCGAGGAGGACAGCGAAGATGATGGCACTGCCAGAGTCCCACCCTCTGGAGCAATCGCAGGAGGTGTCGATGACGACCCAAATGCTGATTACTTCAGTCGCGCCCGAGACGTTCGCATGGCGAGTGGCAGTGCACGACCTCGCAAGTCCCGCCTGGACTCAGACACTGAAGGCGAGACGGCCGCAGAGCGCAGACGCAGAGAAGGCGCTTTAGGAATCACACAAGAGGACGAAAGCGACAGCGAGGACGAAGACAATGCGCCTCGCCAACCGCCAACCAACATCAGGTTCGCCGAGCCGCAGAAACCTCAAGAAGCCGCTACCTCTTCCTCTGGTCACACCAGTCGCCTGCGCTGGGGTAAGAACAGAAAAGGATAAAACACAGGAGACGATAGAGAAAAAGGGTAGCATGTGATTTTGCATAGTAAAAAAAACAGGTTATATGGATACCATGCATATGGGGGTTTATGTGGAGTCGTTCTTTCTTTCAAAAAAACAAAGGAGGTCTTGTACATATTTTGCCTTCTGTCTTTCTCTTCTTGATGTCGAGGGTGGTTTGTTATTTGCAGTTTCTTCGATTCTTTTTGAAAGTCAGCGAGGCGTATGGGGCTTTTTGTTGTTTTTACGTTTTAAGAAAGGCTCTTTCTAGACATATTACTATCTCTTCTTAATCATGTCTTCCTCTCTGTACTTGTCATTGATATTCACTCATCGTGTACGAGACCGGCGGAGTGCTCAAATGTTGTCGACCAATCTATCCGAAGCTAGTCTTTGTAGTCCGCTTCCATCGCTCCTTGCACTGGAATGTTATACTATGCACTTTCGAGGAGTTGATAAAAGACTATAAGATGTGATGTGCGCTTTGGTGAGACGCAACGAGACGAGAAACCCGAGCCGAGGCTCGCTGCTTCCCTCTCCGCATCGTTCCACATCAAGCTGATATTATCGGACAACCTTGTATCTTTCTCCTTTCCATATCTTTTGTCATATTTGCATTTGCTTGAGATTTTCCCATTGTGAAGTGATCAGGATACTAATTTTCATCGACTTCAAATGCCACAGACGCCAGAAGACATGTTTGGGGATAAAGGGTATGAGGGTTGGGATCATCTGTCGCCGAGGCAGAAAGTAGAGCGTATGATGTTGATACACACGAGTGGACATGAAGGCGAAGATGTGAGTTTTCTCTTTCCCTATCTTTGAATCACCTCGAAAGAAGCAAAGCACAAAGGAGAAGGAAATACAACAGATACCATTGAGATGTGTGATAGTTGTAGCATATCAACCCCCCACCTTCTCATACATCCACCACCCCATGACCGAAGACAACCTGAAACTGACGAAACTCTTCTCCAGCGCTTCAGCTCAGCCCTCTACAACGGCACCCCCTCAACACCACCCCTCTCCCTCCTCTCCGTTCACACACCAACACCCACAACCTCCATGGTCATCTTCACCTACACATGTCCCCCTTTCTACGCAAACCCACTCGGAAACCTGCATGGAGCAGCCCACGCCCTGATCTACGACAACTGCACAACCCTCGCTCTTGCCGCTGTCTCTACCCCCGGTTTCTGGATGTTGGGCGGTGTGAGTAGGGTCTTGGATGTAAAGTATGTGCGTGCGTTGAGGGTGGGTGAGGAAGTGAGGGTGGAGTGTGAGGTTGTGCATGTTGGGGGTAGGCAAGCGGCTGTTAGGGGTGTGATTAGGGATGAAAGGNGGAGGGTGTGCAGTACGTGTGAGCATGACAAGACGAATATCGATCCCGTGATGGAGAGCAAAGAAAAGGCGAAGTTGTGAAGAAGGAGCAAAGTAGAGTAGACAGCGGTATTTGTTATCGCTCTAACGATAGAAGAGGTAACCTAGGATGACATCCTTTTGGCTTGTTCTCAACTATACCCTTATATCCTGACAATATCGCATCTCGCCCTATTGAACAACTGGTGATCAACATCTTCATCCTTCTCCCTCTCATCCTCGGTCAACTCTCTCGGTCCAACAATCAATCTCGCATAAGTACCCGCGGCCCTCTTCTTACTCGCCTGCCCAGGATTGACCACAAGCACTCCATCCACAACCTTGACAAACGGCGTCAACACACTGGGCAACACCAACAAATCAGGGCTGACGGTCAATATCTCGCCCAACTTCATGTACGCAACATCCAAACTAGCACCGACGGTCAACGCCTTCTCATCCCTGGGCAGCGGAGGAAAGACTGGGAAGTAGTGGCGTTGGGTGAGAAGATTGCGGGCCAGGGAGGCTAGAGCGTCGCTGTTGAGACCGCTGACCACGCGTTGCCTTTGCATCTCGAAGAGAACATCTTGGCTGCTGATTGCAGTCATAAAGTCATTGCAAGACACGGTCATGGGGTTCGTGACGCAGGTTGCTTGTTTGGGCAGGCCGAGTTCTTTGCGGGCCAGACGGTCTTGTGGCCAACTGACATGTTTTGAGACAGCATCGCGGACTGACGGTACTAGAATGATGGTAATGCTAGGTAATGTTTGGGCGAGACGTGAGAGTGGCTGAGAGATAAGGACGCGGAAGACATCTGTAAGAGTGGCAGAAGAAGGGTCAATCTTGGTTTCGGCAGGTAGGGAAAAGTCACCACTGGCAACTCTGGGATGTTCAATATCGATAAAGGGTCCACTAAGGATGAGAAGATCGGCCTTGGTCTCTGCGGCTTGCGAGCAGAGCTCGTGTAAACTGTCGAAAGAGAGGTCGCTGTCTGTAGTGTATGGGCCGGCACCAATGATAATATTTAGAGGACGCGTCTCAGTACCATCGTCGCTCTGCAGGCGTTCGTTGTGTACGTCAATGCTGGTGGGTGCTGTGGCTGGAGGCTGAAGCGATGGTACGGCCAGAACCTCAGTGACACTGAAGTACTCGCCTGATGGGTTGTTGCCGCGAAGAGCGACAACCTTGCCGGGGAAGAAGTCGTACCCTCCCTTCTCCATGCGCAGAGGTACACGCAAACCAGCACCCATGCGACGACTGGTTTCCAGGACCATGGAAGCTGCGTTCATTCTTCCCTCACCTGTGTCCGAAGCGATACGACCCACAGCTAAAATCTGAGTAGGACTCATAGCAGCGGGGTTGCCAAAAGCTGAGTATTCTAGTTGATGGTGTTTCTGTATGATGTCGACGAATTCGTCTATGCGCTCGTCGAGGAACTCGGAGGCTTCTGAAAGTTTCATGGCCATGGGTCGGTAGCCGAATTTGGCCATGTCGGTGTTGGCTTTTAGCTTGACCCGAGCTTCGGCGGGTGCCGTTGAGGGAACGGGAGGCATCTCGATGTGTCCATTGAGTTGCTCGACAATCTGACCGGCGTTTTGACGTTCGGCGAAGGGTATGGCTCTGGACTAGTGTCAGCTCTACACGGCAGCAGGTGGATGTTTGGTTTAGTACCCTAGCTGAGATGGTTCGGCTGTAGCACCGAGGGTAGGCGTCTTGTCACCTGCTGGAGAACTCGTTTGGTTGAGTTTGGATGCTTTTGCTGAGGGAGTGCCAAAATCGTTTCGTCGCTTCATAGGGGGNCCTCGAGACGGCGTGCCTGCGACCAGTCCGTCCAGACTGTGACATGGTTAGTATGAAGTCCACTTTCGGTACGCCAGATGGACATACACGCCAAAGACATCGCCAGTGTTGGCATTCCTCGGAGTGCCATTGGTGCTTCTCTTCTGAGCGCTCTGCATGTGTGCCTTGCCCCTCGACTCTCTTTCCAGCGCATCCTGAAGATCCTTTTTGAACTCTCTGGCCGTCTTGTAGTTCATCTGGGTATCCGGGCCCATCTTCAAGCTGTACGCTTCCCATTTGAAGAACATTTCCTGAGGGCTGAGCGAGTGGATTCGCAGGATGGACTGGAGCTCGCCCAAGACATCGCGTTCGAGGCTTGTGTTTGGTAATGCAAAGAGTTCGTTGATTTCGGCTGTCTGATCCTCCATTATGAATCGGTAGTGTGTTGACTGTACAATTGTTGGTGCATAGAAACAATTGAGAGCAGCGTGAAGGACGGACGACGCGTCGCACTTTCCGCGTCTCGCGTCAAATCCCACTTCCCAAAGAGGCAAGAAATTGACCATCACGATTTGACCGACCCTGTCCCTTAGTCACAAACTATCACATTCGAACAGCTGCACAGCTACCTTGCTCGCATGCATATGATCAACACCATTGGAGTAGTCGACATGTCTCTTTGTCGACTTGGAATAGACATGTACAGTCTGACCATTACAAGCGAAGAGCCGTGACCCGACGACAATCCAGTCTTTCTTTATAAATCCTAGGTATTCTAACGTACCAATCATCTCTACATACCGAATTTTCCCAACGGTGAACTCTGCAACTCCATCATACTCTCTGTACCCTCTGCATCACCTTCAAAACTAAAGTCTTCCGCATCTTCCATCTGCGAATCCAGTCCCGGCGATAGAACAGGACTCATTGCAATCTTTGGTCGAGACTTGAAGACACTGGCGTACTCTGCATCCTGCTCGAACAATTTGTCTCTGGGTGTTGTGTCGCGCGTACCTCCAAGGGAATTCCTGCCGCTTTTCAGGGGCGTGGACAACTGTGAAGGGAAAAAGGACGATTTGGGTCGTTCTTTGGTTGTTGTGCGGCGTTGAGGTTGAGGTTGAGGGTTCAAGGATGCCTGGGTCATGGACGCCAGAGCACGATCGGCGAGCGAGGTACGCCGAGCTTGCGTGACTGTTGCTTCAACGTCTATGGTTGATGTTGGTACGTCATGGGTTGGTTGAGGTAGTGGCTGGCTATTCTCGCTGCTGCGGAAAGAAGCCATGGACATACGAGCGCGCTCTGAGAGATTGAGTTGTTCTTGTGGACTCTGGTGCCTAGAGATCGGTACTGGTGGACTCGAGAGTGTTGGAGGTGAGTAGTCTGGCAGTTCTGGAGATGGAGACGAACGTTTTTGTTCGTCTAATCCCATCTGGTCAATTTTGTGTCTCAGAGACGTGACGGGATCGTCAACCAGGTCTGTGTGTCCGCACTCTGCTGAGACAACATGTGTAATAGTCGGAGATGCCTCCTCGTTCTTCGAGTTGATCTCACTCTCGCCCATGGAACTGGGAGTGTGTGCTTTGACATATCTCTCCCTGTCCCTTTGTACACTAGGGCTAGGTTCTACAAACTCTGGTTGCCTCAGAGCAGAACCATATGGACTCTCGTTCCTCGAACTCATGGCCAAGCCATATTCACTCCTCGTAGATTGAGGCGTGGTCACAGGTTGGCTATGTGTTCGTGATAGCCACTGATGTGTCTTGTGTGCTTCACCACGTGTATTTAAAGGAGTTGAGTTCGCAGATTCGAGCAGTGGGCGTTTTAGTGGCGAGAACAGATCTTCCTTAGGATCATGTAAGCCCCCAAGGAACACTGGTATAGGTGCTTGTCTTGACATAGTGTTTGTACGGCCTATCCTGTCGACCGATGGAGCGAAATGATTTGCTTGGCCATGAGGTTTCTGCTTTCTCTTGCGTACATCAGATAGACCTTGCTTCATATCGTGGAGTACTTGTTCGTAATCTACCATGAGATCGATGTGGGAATGATCCACGGATTCAGGAGGTGTATGGTCTACACCAATGCTCTTGTGTTTGTTGAAGATGTCCAAACCATGAGCCTCCGCGGTACACTCCCGGCGATGGGGCGCAGACGATTCCCCAACAGGGTTGGCTGGCTTGTGAGATTCCTCAAAAACGTCCTTGTATGCCTTCCACATGCGCAAACGGTCGTTCTGCTCACCGACACGAGACTGCAATGTCTCGAGCAGAGATATTCTTTCAGGAGACACTTGAGGGGTTGTGCCCTGACGAAAGTGCTGCCACAGATCATCAAACCTAGAGTCCATGTACGCGTCGGGGGAGGCTACCTTAGCACCCGCCAGCAACGCATCACAGCCCTCTATGCTGCCAACCCAATTCTGGCGAAGTTCCCGTCTGATCAATTTTTCGGTCTCAGGCGATAGATTCTCTATGGTTGGATCTTGCGTCTCGAGCAGGGTGAGGTGACGCTGATGATAATCATTGGTTTTCTCGTAGAGCGATGTACGAAAATTGTCGAGTGTAATATCCAGAGTTGCTCGGCTTTGTAGAGTCTTTGCCAAAGAAGCACGGTAAGCCATGGAGAGAGGAGCAATACTGCTCAGGTCGCGTTTGTCGATGTTTCTCGACAGTGCAATGTTCCTTGCAATGGATGATGGCTGTTTTCGGCGAGTCGACAGAAGATGCTTTCGAACGACGGCAGCAGAGAATAGGAGCAATACTTCTTCGAACTTGTCACCTTTGCAATCATCAAGCATAGTCTTACGCAATGTAGCTTCTCGGCCCAAGACATCATTCTTCTTCAAGTCGTTGAGGCACCTGAATAGTGCTGCACGCAGATTGAGAGACTGAATTGGCTCTAGAGGCGGAAAGAAAGGTTGTAGTTTCTGTCTCATGTAAACGCAAGTACAAGAAAATGAGAAAATTCAACTTACATCGCGTGTAGTCTCCCGGTCCCATATCTCAAAGAGACGGTAGAGAGACCATTCGACACAAGACACGCGCTTTTTCTGATTTTGGAGTGCGTCCTTAGTATCAAAGGTCTGGATGGTGATATCGGGCCAGTCTTGACGCTGATCGAGATTCAAAAGGCGAAGATTGGACACAAAAAGTGATATGTTCGAGGGTGAGACCGAGCGTGGTTTTGTTGCTAGCGGTCTCGATGCATGGCTGAGGTTAGGGAGTGACCCAGCCACAGATTCGGGTCGTGACATGGCAGTCGGTGATGGGGTCCTGTGGCCCTAGCTAGAAGCGGTCCATGGTCTAGGTATGCACGATGCTAGAATCCGTTCTGAGTCGACTGGTAAAAGAAAGACCAATCAACACAGGACTGAGTAAACATCGGTCAAGAGCGGTAACGACGCCCAGACTGCTGCCCGATCTCACGCCTTTGTGCTCTGCATAGAACTTCGCATGTACTTCTGGAATGAGCGGCCAAATCACGTCTGCCTTTTGACATGGATCGAAGGAACTTTCTACAGTCCCTGATCCAACATGCGAAGGTTGTAGACAGGGGTGCGATTACCAGGTCTTTGTTTGAGCAGAGACAACGGCTTTCGCCGCGTGGGTGATTGATGTCCCACTTTGGCGCGTAGGCCGACAAACGCCGTAGTGGAATAATTGCCCATCTTCTTGTTGATGAGCGATTCATCTTTACCAAGCTCTGACAACGACGACATCACTATATCACTGCTCACCACCGAAAAGGCACGCGACGAAAGCATAGCATCCCTCCAATATGGCACCCAGCGTCGTAGAAGACGCCGCCGTAACCAACTCGTCTCCCAGTACGCTCACTTTACTGTCACATGCAATGCTATGCCAGTCTTACTGACTTGTCGCACAGNAGCCTACATCTGGCCTCCTTACACCAAGCCGAGTTTCGCAATGGACTCCCGAAACCGTCCTCTCAACCATGGCCCCGCTCGAGAAGCACTCCTCATCGCCCGTACCCTTCTTCCACCTTCTTGAACGCCTGAAGACAACCAAACGCGAAGGTTGGCGTAGGTTTGGAATTGATCATGGAGAGTCCATCTCGGATCACATGTACCGCATGTCCATCATCACCATGCTCTGCCCTGCTTCTCTCTCCTCTCGTCTCGATGTACCGCGCTGTACCAGAATGGCCCTGATCCACGACATGGCCGAAGCCCTTGTTGGAGACATCACACCCGTCGACGGCGTTCCGAAGTCCGAGAAGAACAGAAGAGAAGCCGATACTATGGACTACATTTGCTCGACCTTGCTTGGCAAAGTCGGTGGTGGACTGTCGGGACAAGAGATGCGCGCTGTGTGGCAAGAGTACGAAGACAGCCAGACCCTCGAGAGCAAGTTCGTTCACGATGTCGACAAGATTGAGCTTCTGCTTCAGATGATGGAGTATGAGCGCTCCCACCAGGGCCGCATCGACCTGGGCGAGTTCTCCTGGGTTGCTCAGAAGATCGAGTTGCCTGAGGTCAAGGAATGGTGCAATGACTTGCTGCGTGAGAGAGAGGCTTTCTGGGCAGAGCTGAACAAGACGCCCACAGGCAGCACTCTCAACGAGGAGCAGGAACAACAACACCAGCAATACTACAGCAAGAACGCATAAAGGCTGAGAAACGTTACGAGCAAGCGATTGGTTTAGGTTCTCTCATACATGATGCATCCAGCGGGTCCAAGGCGCATTTGTGGCAGGGTAACACATGGACAGGCGTCGGGAATGCATAGGTATGGCTTTGTACACTTCATCCGGCGACGGTACGTACGCAACACATCAATTCACGAGCATTGAAGGTACTGTTTCAAAATCTGCATAGCTCTACACGTGATCGCCTAGGCCTGCCTTGAGCACTCATGGATCTTCAGATACAAGGCTTGCTTGGCAATGCTGTCGGGCGGGCGCGTGATTGTGGGCGCCGCCCATCACGTCGTGATCTGTCGAGACTTGTCTTCTTTGCTCGAGGTGCACATGTTGTTGCCTTCCAGTACGCACCTGCTGTCGACAGCCGCTCTGCCACCCTTGACAATCTCCAGGACTCTTTGCCGGTCCACACCCAGCGTTTGCCGCGTCAAGCTTTCGCTTCTCCGCATCTGTTTCTCATTTATCCGGGGTTGGCACCTGCCATGTGAAGTATCACAAGAGCCACCCTTGACCGCAATCCATTGTTCCTGATCCTACCTGGCAGCAATACAGTGATTTGACATAGGCAGTCTTCGACACTAAACCTGCTGTCTCAGATCTAACATATATCCACATCAGCAACCTCCTTGCTCATGCATCTCTGGTCTTCTAAACTGCCTCGGCACAACCAGCCACTTCCCATCCATCATGAAATCAAAGTCAAAAACATTCACCAAACCTCCGCGTCGACAAGGAGTGAACAAGCCCAACGAGTCTCACGAAATTTCCACTGTTGAAGACGGAACAAGTACTCGACCTACTAAGAGGAGGAGAACAACTAGCAAGCCGAAGGACAGAAGATATGAGTGCCCCCACGAAGGTTGTGATAAGAGTTACTCACGTGCCGAACACTTATACAGGCATCAGTTGAACCGTAAGTCTTCTAGTGATCACGGCACTGAATTGCTAGCTGATGTGCCAGCAGACGCTCCAAAGCAGATATTCAACTGTGACTTTGAAGGCTGTGACCGGCAGTTCGTCCGCCAGGACCTTTGTGCCAGACATCGGGAGAGACATACAAAGGAAAACTCACACTTGTTTCGCCGAGATGCCTTTAAGCAGGGCAAGCTCAAGTCCTCGCACATCGCCGAGGTTCAACAAGAACAATCTTCGGAGCCTCAAGCAGCAGCGTCCACCACGGCTTCAGACTGTTCAGAGCCACAAATTGCCGAGCGACCAACTACCTCGAGGCCTCACGAGCCTGTGCTAAGCTTCAGCTCTATAGCACTGGATCCACGCTTGACTACGGAGTCTGAACACTTCAATTCGGCTATGCCATCTGGTCCTTTCTCCGGTAGCCTAGTGAATGCTGATTATACCAACATATCGGATTCTGTAAGCGATTCCATAGCTTCCCGACTGGCTGCTCATCTGAATCATTCGGGCACAACACAAGCTACGTCCAGCAACTTGGCGACCTCTGGAACGGTGGCTGAGCGGATGGACGAGTCACGCCTCGAGAACAACAGTGCCATCTTCGCTCGTCCTAATGTACCCCCACACCTTNCAATGGACATGTATCACCTCAACCCGATGCAGAACTTGTTCAATCCGCTGATCAATGCTTCTGGGGCCTACCTACCTCAGCCCTGTCCTCCACCTTTGAGCGGTAATGGCCTGAGATCTCCGTCAACTTTCACGAACTTGCCCACGTTGCCTCAGTATAATTATAGTGCGCAAGTCGCTTCGCCAACAGGCATTAGATCTGACTCAGTGACTTCTTACCTCTCCAAAGGGACACTTAACAACAACCAAACTGCAGGTCTCGTGGACCCTGCAGCGTTCTCTCATCTGCCTGCGGGTGCGGCAGTCCCGGTTTTCAACGAGAACTACGGGCCATCACCCCCAAATATGCCCGGTGCAGAGTTTATTAGCTGGTTGTTCGAGGAGGACCCAAAAATTTTCTCACCACAATTACAAGCACCTTACAATCACAATTCGAGCCTACAGATGCCGTTCGATAACATACAGTCCTCCAACGGGGAAGTGTATCTCGAGTCCCTTATTCGACCCAGCCCAGTTGCCAAAACTGAGCAAGACAGCATACAACCAGAATGTGTTCTCTCAGGCCCGCGCAGACAGCGCCTACTCGATGTAGTCATCTCCGATTTCAAAGACAGTAGGCACGCTCATGTTACAGCTCAAAGGGAGAAGACCTTGACTGGTAATCACGACGGAGAGAAACATGTGTTGAGCTTGCGGATGATGCAAGTATTTTGCAGCTCGTTCTGGCTTAACATACATCCGCAGCTGCCAATCTTGCATCGACCCACCTTCTCTACCGAAACATGTCCAGACCTTCTGCTCATAGCTATTATGACTCTGGGCGCTTCTTGCTTGGAGCTATCTTATGGCTATGAAGTCACACAAGCCTCGGCAGAGTTGGCTTCCTTCCTAGCATGGCACACTCGCCGGATGATATTCGAGGACCCGGACTTCATCCCACCAGCCAAGCTTTGGATATTTCAGGCCTTATTGCTATTGGAAATTTTCGAGAAGATGTTTTCGACTACAACCTTGCACCAGAGGGCACATGTGCACCATTGTACCACGCTCACCCTGATGAGGCGCGGAAGCTCATTGATGGGTCGAGCTGCTCTCGATTTCGCCCCTTATGATGTCGATCCAACTAGGACTCCTCCCGGTCCAAACGGCAGCGTAAACACCTGCGGTCGTAATACCAAAGACGAATGGTGGAACAACTGGGTCAGCAACGAGGCTACACGTCGAACGGCTTTCGCAGCGTTCATAATTGACACGACTCATGCGACAATGTTTGGTCACGAAGCCGTCATGGTCGCCCATGAGATGCGGATTCCCCTGCCATGTGATGAGGCTCTCTGGGCTGCTCCTAGTGGGGCTGAGGTACGAAATCTTGAGCACAGCCTTACACTAAGTGGCTATAGACCGATGAGCTTCCTCGAAGCGCTGAAGAAAACATTAAACAGTCAGCACGTACAAACCAACACCTTTGGCCGGGTTACCATCATGGCAGGCCTGATGTCGGTCAGCTGGCATATGAAAATGCAAGATGTGAGAGCAAGTTCGATCGGAGTTGGAAAACAAGGCAGTTGGAGTGATCAGCTGGCTTCTGCCTGCAATTTTTGGAGGCGTGATTTTGATATCTCCTTGGCTCAGTCATCATCCAACATACCGGTACACTTGCAAGACCGGATGCTCAGCGACGTTATGGATAAGGAGAAGGTATTCGAATCCCGTACTGTGCTCCACCACCTGGCACGGATGGCCATGTACGTGGACATCGTTGACTGCCAGATTCTTGCTGGAGCAAAACGCTCACTGGGACGCGTGATCACGGCCAATGATCATGCGGCGGCATCGANNAAAAAGTTGAGGGAGGCTTGGGCACCGTCACACGGGGCTCGTGATGCAGTGTTCTATGCGTTACGCTTCTTGTCGGCGGTACTGCTGCCAGAGGGCGACGGTTCCTCGGGGATACACTCTAGTGGACAAGGATTGGCATACTCAGCTCGTGACGACAATTCGCTCAACCGGCCTTGGGTGCTCTACTTTGCTGCCTTGGTTGTATGGACCTACGGGTTTTGCTTGGACGGACCTATAGCACCGCCGCTCCCTACATACACCCTCAGGACGCATGAGATACAATTTAGGGACCTGCGCGGCTTCCTTCGCCGCGTTGGCGGGGTCAGATCGGCCGATGATCTGCAGCACGTCAAACACCGCAATGGGATGTTGGGCATGTTGATGCTTCTANAAGAGATTTTCAGCAAGACCAGATGGGAACTGCTGAACGACGAGGCTAGCGAAATGCTGGGCAATTGCATCGAACTGCTTATGCCCGGACACTCCAATCTCTAGATGATTGCGAGTAGGATGATCTTCTGACGGCTCTTACATCATGGTCAGGCGTTGGTGAAGTGGGTGGAGGCTTCAAGTAGGATTCAAGCTGGACCAGCTGCTCGGGTCACCTTGGTCGCTCAGCTATATCAATGTGTATCTTAACTGCCGACAATGTCCGTCATTCCACGCGGATCATGACGAAGTTTCCATCGTGTAGGATGCATCTCAGCTGGCTCGTTGCTAAACTCAGATATGTTTGGCAGTGGTTACACCGTAAAGCATGATACGGTATTCGTTGTGCTATGTTGATAAAGTTGTAATTGTTTCCAGCAACGCTCCCGCAAGCGATGTGCAGTCCATCACGAACGACCTCCTGAACAGGTCAGACTGGAATTAGCGACGCGATGCTTTTCAGTGGGGCATTCCCGATTCCCGAGGCGCGATGAACGCTGTCAGGGGAGGTTTGTGTTGTATGTGCTTTCTCGTATAACAACAATGTGCAAGATTGAGATGTGTACAACGGGTGTTAAGGGCTCAAAACATGAAACTTGCTTTCGGAGAATTAATCGTGCACCGCCCATGCAGACTAATGCACCCGTACGGTGGTCATGCAGACACGCTCGTGGCCCTTTTGGCCTGGGCTTGCTCCGTTTGTGGATATGGCATGTATCAACAAAGGCTAGATGCCTATGCGAGCGCAGCCCGAATCATTCGTCTCCCCAGACACGAGAGATGGAATATATCTACATGTGGCAGATACATCTTGACCTTCCCCATTAGATCCTCATGAATCAGTGTGCATAATCAGAAGGGATCTCTGTTCATTATTTCGGTTTGCGGTCATTTAGGACAGGCCCTGGCAACCATGAGCAGAACAGATCGAGACTCCACAAGACCTTTCATCATTCACGAAGAAAGATTTTCTGGCTTGGTTGGTTGTGCACAGCAACAAGATGAACAAACGGTTCCAATGGATGTTTTGTCTATCACGAGAAGATTATCCTTAGTGTTATCACGCTGATAGGATTGATTTGTGATTCTTATCGACAAGAGAACTGTGTACGAAGAACTAAGATAGAGGCGGTTGTTGTGTGAGAAGTATGCACAGGCGGTGCAAATCTCCCCATGACACATGAGAGGCATACCGTTTGTTGCTGCACAGACGTGTACGGAGTTGATGCCAGAAAAACGCTCGAGCGCACTCGCCTTGTGTTGACATTCTCGACAACGGCTGCAAATGCATTCCGAGGCTTCAAATAGCTTCGATCCACGATCGTGGTTGTGGGTGTAGAAAGAATGACTGACGATCGCGAGAAGACAAGGGAACCTTGGGTGAGGATAAATGTATTTGTACCTCCCTATTTGGACAAGCTTGTTGGAAAAGACGTTTGCACAACAAGGACCCTAAAGTCCTCCCTGCATGTGGCCTTTGCATACACAATCCCCCGACGAACAAGCAGTTGTCCCACTCGGCCCGCAAAAGGAGGGGTCAATTGGCAAAGACCAGACCTCGGGAATTTGGAAATGCCTCCAGGAGCATAGTAGCTGGGTTGAGATAAATTGAACACACCTAAGTGAATACCTTTTGCCATGAATAGATGTCCGTAGCACAGATGTTGTCAATCTTCCAGCTCTGTTCTGTGTGCGTCAGACAGAGACACGTCCATGACGAGCATCAACATTGGGCGTGAGATTGTGGGGGACGGTCATCATTTCGCGAGTCACCAGATGGCCGGTCTGGTCACGGCACTCGGAACGAATCGAGTCATCGCAAGCGCTTTCTCTGGCAAACAGGAAGCGACCACAACGCTCAGTAGGCGACAGAACAGTGGGGAAAGAAGGCCTCCAGGAGGGAGCAGGAGGCCTTTGGACGCGAGAAAGAGTGAGAAACGGGCGCTTGTAGAGAGGGTCACAAAGCCCAGAACTCTAAAGTGGTTCCAGGGGTTACAAGCCCTGCGGATAGCGACCGCTTTTAGCGCGCCGCCGGCGCGGGAGCGAACCGGGTATGCCATGAATCTGGTGCAGAAAGAGGAAAGGCGTGGACGGAGCGGGCCACGAGTGCCGTTCGCGGGTGCTGTCAAGCTCGCAATTCAGTCGCCATCAAGCGTCAACGTCTTCTTGACACCAGGATCCCAGGGGGTGATCTCTGCGTGCCAAAGATCTAACATCCAGGCCCCTCGAAAGTCTAAGCTCGCCGGTGCTGCAGGTATGCCAGTGTGAACGGTCAACGGCAAACAAGATAGATGTCAGAGGTAAGTTGCGGTGTCTCGTTGTGAGACGCATTCTGTATAGATACTTGAGGCTTCGCTCTCTGCATTCTAATATCCGAATCATCATCACGGCTTTTCCTTCCTTACAATCCTTCCGCCACATCAGATCGACACGATACCAAGCCAGCCACTCGTTTCCCTTATCAATATATCATCATCCACATCCATTGCGAATTACAACTTCCAACCTGAACCTCATTTAACCCTGGCTGCCACCATGCATCCTCGCACATCCTCTCTCCAACAACCTCCAGCTGCCGTTATGAGCTATTTCGACTTTCAGCCCGACGACTGCTCGGTGTCGCCGGTCAAGAAGGCCAATCTTCGTCGCCTCGATGCGTTCCACGACCGCCCTACCACTCCCTTCGAGGCTCCAGCCAATGCAAACATCTATGTCAGACGTGCTCTTCCTCCTCTCCCATCACCAGCAGCTCTTCCCGCTCTCCGCAACTGCTCATCGTCAGAGTCCATGGCTTCATCAGGACCTGTGAGCCGACCAAGCACTGCCATGTCCTGTAAACAGGACAAGTCTCTTCCTCCTCTCCCCTTCCGTCTCCAAAGATCACCTTCGTTCGACTCGGATGAGTCTGGCAAAGAGAACACAGCTGTTCTTCAGCAGGTCTCAAGGCCGCGTCAACACCGTGGCTACAGCTTCCGCAGTCTCTTGAACAGACACTCTGAGGATGACCTCCCTTTGGCATCCCCTAAGAGTGGCTACAGCGTTACCCGTGACTCACGTACGGACTCGGTCATGGGAGACTACAACCTGTGCCAAGTCAAGACCAACGGAACCATCTCTGCCACTAGCAGCAGACGTCCTTCAGCCCTCTCTCTTACCCACCTCAAGGCTGCCTCCAAGAAGATCAATGCCAGCGCTCCTCCAGTGCCCTCTCGTCCATCATCCCGCAAGGGCAGCACCAGCAACCACAACCAACACCGCTGGGGCACTCTCTTCCGCACCGTCGAGGACGACAAGGAGGACATTCCCGCAATGCCCATCACCCCTGGTATGATGCCCGACTTGAGCTTCAACCGCTGCTACTACTTCTACGCCCGCAATTGCAACGGCTACGTCCTCTCCGGAAGCTCCAGCGGTGACGCCTGCGAGAACTGCGCTCACTCTGGTTTCTTGGGCTCCCCTTGAACAGCCAGCCAACAGTCTTTGCCCAAATCTTAGGCAGAGCATTCTTGAACTCCCCAACCACCAGGCTTTTCCACAAGCCGCACCTTTTCGATCATGATCTCTACGAGTTACGAAAGGCAAAACAACGCCGAGCACAAAGCTCGAAGGCACGCCGAGGCATAAACATGCCATTCGTTCATACAAAGAGAAATCTTCATGGTACGAATTCAAAATCCTCATGCTGAAAGATGCATTCCGAGGTATGATGTATAACTTTCACGACCCATTTACGATGGCGTTTCAAAGGGCATTTTTGCATACATTCACTTTGTGTTTTTTCTTATGTATGAAGACAGACTCGCCTATCGCTGGCTTTTCTTTTAATCTACTGAGGGAACAAATTAGGAGGAATATTCTTAATTCACACATCAAAACACTCATTTTCACAAGACCAAATTCTTCTCATTGTTTCTCTCATCTTCTGTGAAACTGTTTTCTACTGGTTTTGATTATTTGTTTGCTGGAGATGATAAACAAAACCATCAGGAATCAAAACAAAGCAAACGGGCCTCCCCCTTCGTGGGATTTTGAACACGAAACGGTGCGACGGTACAACTGTACAAAAACCGTTCCTTCTCTCCCCTACTCAACAGGAGATTTTGATTCTTTGTGGAGACTTTTCGTCAAGCGAGATGGGACGGTTTACGGGTTTCGCTGATAAGATATCAATAATCTTTTGATCATGTTGGCGATTGACGATGTGAGGGATCCACAGGACACGTTTAGGACGAAAGTCACGTTTTCTGGCGCAGGAAATGGACACGCCTGCACGTGAAGACAAGAGGGTTTGCGAATATAGCTCCCTTGTATAAGGATGTATGTTGAGGAGAATGCTCTTACGTTTTCTCAATCAGGAAAGTAGGAATGAACACACTATCTCCTTCCTGCTTCCCATCCCTCGGAAGTTTCCTCTTCCATCTTCGAAAAACGTCAAGCCTCGGTGGAACATGCACGCACCCACCTTGCACAGAAAAGAGACTCCTTCTCGAAAGAAACTCTGCTTACACTTGTCAAAAGCATCGAGAGTTGTGGGGAAGTCAACTTCCAGGAGAAAACTGGTGGCGTTCTCTGCAATGCCGAATCGATGATGGAACAAGCTTCATGAAGCGAGAGGTTCCGATTGATTTGATCTCGTTTTTGAACTTCACATGAACTTGTCTTTTTAACCGAAGTACTCCTGGAAGAGACGAGGGCGAGGGTGAAGTTTGTACCGAGTAAGTTCATGTTGTGCATGGAGACAGAACGAAGCTTGCCGTGCTGGCCTCGGCACTTTTGGAGGGTTGGAGTTGCAATAGGGGAGATGGAGACTCGATAGGGCTCGTAGTAAAGCATCTGGCCTTTGTTTTTGTACAAAGCACCATCCACTTTCGTTGTTTGCTCTATAGACTTCAATATACCTTTACTGGGTACACAAGCACATGGATCTGACTTTGATCGTCGATATGTATGGAAGAAGTAGGTACCAATTCACTTCTCAAGCCTCTGCTTCCAAGCAGTGTCAAAGACTCCTGTACGGGGCATGCAAGGAACGGACAGACATGCGTCTTTGCTCGACTCGCGAAAGAGCCTCTTCCCCGGAGGGGCACGTACGCGTGTTAGCATATCGCGCTCCCGCACGCCGGACCGCGACACTAAATCCTTCTTTCAGCTCGCCTTCAACAAGCCATCCGATTACTCGCATCAAAGCATCGACAATAAGATGGCACGCCACTTGCGTGAGTGTATCAAGGGAGCAGTTCGCATGCATTGACCGAGTCAAAGGCCCCCGAAGATCACGCAACCACGCAGTAGTGGCTGCTGCCCTGTTCGCGGAACCGGTCAGGGCGCGTTACCCTGTACATGCGCATACCACAAGCCAAGATATATTCGGGAGAGGCGTGCCCTCTCGATCTTGTGCATGCATATAGGCTAAGCGGCTCGATGGCCATCCTTCTCTGCTCTATATGTTGCGATCGGCGGACAAAGTCGCTGACATGCACATCGAGTATCCGCTTCAGCTCCATGTAGTCTCGACAACCAGGCTATTGAAGACGACGACCAAGGCGGTAATACTGAGCGAGGAACAGGCGGCAATCTCACCACCAGCGTACGCCAAACATCTTGCCCGAGCTCCGCTTGTCGAGCTTCCAGGCTTCTGCATTCTCAAGCCAAATCCGTTCGTGGCCGGGAACGTCGAGGGCCAGATGGTGATAGTGGAAATCGCTGTCGTCGCGGCGTTTTGTCATGTGGACGTTGACGGTGCCTGTAGCGAGGCTGCCTCCAACATGAAAGTGCATGCGCATATGTGTTGTTCCAATGCCGTCGGTTTCAGATTTGGATCTATGCACGCATGTCAGTTGGGTTGTTTAAACTTGGTCGACTTGTTAGGAGGCTTACGAGATGGTGTCTCTTGCAAAGCGACTGTTGCGCACTCTGTTCTCTCCCCAGGCCTCGATCTCGCCGCCCTTGCCTCTTCCTGCCAACACTTCAATGCACTTGGGATCGGTGCGTATGCGTTCGAAAGCGCGGTTGTAGACGGCCGTCTTGCTGTCGCTGCTGAAGACTTCGAGGTAGAGGACAGTCGCGACGCCACCAGTCATGACGAGACCCAGAATGACGACGGCGAGGTTTGCTGATTGTTGTGTCGTGCGGGCACCTCTTTCACGCCATGATAGTTCGGACCAGGGCACGCGGCCAGTGTCGTTGGCGATGGTGACGCTCCTTCGCGCGGGTCCAGAGGCAGAGGATGTGGATGAGCTTGTTGCTGTGCGGAGTTGGGTGTAGGCCTTTACTGACCGCAGACCAACGCGGGAGGTCGGTAGCCTTGGTAGGACTCGTAGAGACTGCATCGTGCTTGTTGTCCAGGCGAATGCTTTCTTCTTGCTCGTCTGACACTTAAGTGAATCTGGAAGGCACAGAAGCTCTGGCCTTGGCACGACGAAATGGTGGGGCTCTACGGCTGCCTCGGCCCGTGTTTTGTTGTTTCTCGCTGCCTCTTACACCGATATGCCACTATACCGTAACTTCAGAGCATAATTATGGACTGTACCGCTTCTTTGAATCGTCTGCTTGCAGTATTGACAGAACGTGACATTGGCCTGGGCTATGATGATCTGGCATGGCTATTCGACTCTCCTCAGACCAGAGATCCCATGATCTCCTGGGTCCATGAATATTTATCGTCTGCAACTCTCCTCAGCCCAGAGGAACTTGATATGTATGTTTTGTCTAAACGATAGCACTAGACTTGGACTGATTTATAAAGGCATGCATACATCTCTCAATCCAACTTCAAGTTCCCTTCTGCAGATGGAATGCCACGGCCTATACAAGAACCTGATTTTGAATCCGCCATCGATTCTCTGGAAACTAGCACTGCCGCAATAGAGAAGCAAACTGCCATACTTGAGGCCCAACGAGATGCCTTGCAAAAGCTTCAGACACTCAACAGAGAACCTACATCAACCATCTCCAACACTGACGAAAAGCGATCAACTCAAGCACGAACAAAAGCCCAATTGGATCTAGAAACAAACGAACTTACCGAGTCCATCCAACAACGCGTTAGCGTGACTAGAAGGCATGCAGATTCGAGTCTGAACATGCTCAAAACATCCTCTCAACGCCAGCTAGACAAAGACGATCGCCTGCTTGACGGACTGCAAAAAGTAATGTTCAAACTTGCTCCATTAGAGTCAAGCAGAAAGCAACTTCCTGACTTCAATACCCTATCGCACGCTTTGGTCAAGCTGAAAGCCAAGATTATTAAAGACAGGACAAACACCACTTATCTCGAGGCCCTCGCTGGTCTAGCCAACGAGATCGATGGTTTCGAGCATAAAGCAAATGGACAAGCAGCTCATGAAGCATACGCACTGGCCGAAGAACTGGAGAGCTTGATCACAGAAGTGGACTCGGTCCTCGACATGATCATCAGCAGGCGCTACCGAGCACCCATCGTCAATGCTCTGAAAATCTGCGACGCGCAAGCTCAGCTCGAACAACAGAGCTGGCTCGAATATGTATGTCCTCATATCAACCCCTGACTCTTAGAATTTACAGCTGACAATATCGCCAGGNTCTTGAGAACACTAGATGAACTCGCCCAAAAGACCGACGATCTAGCCTCCTGTACTCAAGACGCCTTGGCATACACCTCTGCAATCACCCAAGTCTCAGACGCACTTGCCGAAACACTGCCGCCACAAGTTCAAGCACAGTCTAGACTCGACAAAAAGCCATTAGCCAGAGGCGCCTCGCCCAAAAAGCTTACGAATCCCATCTTACACCGCCAAGGAGCCAAAGATCCAATTCTGGAAATACTTGGTCATCACGGTATACGCATTTCCACCGAGACAGCAACAGACCCTGAGGCCGTGTCTCATGTTTTGACATTAGCAATACATGAACGTCAATCACGCTTGCAAGATTTGCAAAAGGCTACTGAACTTTCTATCGCTGCTCAGGTGGCCGAATCTATCAATATGGCCGATGGGGAGTTGCAAACTCTGATGGGAGTATTGTGTGCTTATTCTCCTTATGCCACTGTGCACCTTACAGAAAGTAAAGTCAAACAGAGATTGGAACGTCTGGATCACGAAATTGAGAGTTTGGGAGATGGTATTAAGAGGCTTGATGTTGATCGACTGGCTGAGGCAGAACAAAGGAGACTCTCAGCCGCTCTCGATCGTTCATCCGCTGAGCTGATCTAGAGTCGGACAAGTTCAACCTCGTTGCATTAGTGACTCAAAACAGCTCGCACTGTCTTCTAGGCCCAATTTTGTGTGATCTACTGGATGCCTCCACGTATCCATTCCTGTTTCTTATACCACTAGGAGCGTCTAGTGAAGACCAAAGGGCACCCATCCTATGATTGTCAGTAATGCAGATCTTGGCCAGTCAACCACAAGCATTTACTTACCATGGGAAAAAGCGTAGCAAACACCTTGATCTCCTCCGAAAGTTCCGTCTCATGGTGCTTCCAGTCGAGCTCCATAGCCGCTTTACCAATCATGCCTGCCATCGACAACGGTACATACCTTCTCGCAAGACAGTCATGCGGCCCAGCTCCAAAGACAAGCCAGTTCTTGGTCTTGGACTCGGCGTCGCCAGTTATCCAGCGATCAGGGTCAAAGACATCCGGACGTGGATAGACCAGAGCATCATGCAAAGCCGGATAGCATGACGGTATAATCATGGAACCCTTGGGAACAGTATAGCTCGATGTCATCGGAAAATCTCTGGTTGCCAAGTAAGGGACGAAGATAACGGGTGGTCTATGGCGAAGCAGCTCTTTGATGACAGCATTGGTGTAGGTCAAAGACTCTAACATGGGTTGATCAAATGGTTTGTTCCTGTCACCTCCTCGTGCATCCAGATTCTCTTGTCGCAATCTGCCGAGGACGTCAGGCCGCTGAGCGAGGATTTGGAATAGCCATGTTGTTGCGCTGCTGGATGCGTCTTGAGAAGCGAAGAGGAAGGTAAACAGCGTCTCGCCAATCTCTTCGTTGGTGAACTCGCGGATCAAGTTCGAAGGTCTCTCCACGTCGGGCTCTCCTGCGGCAATTCTTTCGCGATAACGGTTAGATTCCATCATGTGGAGCACCCAATGGTCGACTGTGCAGGTGGGCTCTGCACCACTCGCCATGTTTGCTTTGCATGCAGCTGCACATCTGGTGAACTCAGCATGGACCGCATCCGCCGTTCGCTTACCTCGCCACACTTTGGTCCCTGGGATATATATCGAGAACGGAACGTTGACCAGCTCCAGTGCGGCAGTGCACAGGTAATAGTCGTCTGCAATCTTTTTGACCGCATCCTGAGAAATGTAACCGCCGAAGAACGTACGACACGACAATGCGCAGTTGATCTCCCGGAACAAGGTCATAAACGGCAGTGGTTTATTCCCATTTGCCTCGCTGGCAGCCACAAACTTGTCAAAGTAGTCGGCCAACACTTTCTCTTGAACTGGGAGGTATGTGGCCATGGCCCTGTTGGTGAAGAGAGGAGTCAAACCTCTCCTATACTCGGCGTGATCACGACCTTGGAGGAATACCCATGCTTTGTGGCCGATGATATCCTTTGCGACAGGGACTATGCAGGGTTCGGCGTACGCAGGTGACTTGAATACCTTGTGGGCTAGGTCTCGATCGGACGCGAGGACAACAAATCTGTGTGTGCGTAAGTAAGGACACCGGATATCAGGTTGGAAGATCGCATACTTATGGAAGACAGAGACACAACTGAGAGGTCCGCTCGCCCACTGTCTGAGATAGGAGTCGAACTTTGGATCCAATGCCTGAAGGAATGGGCCCATGAGCGGGATTTTGAATGATGGACCTGCGATAGAGCCCTTTCTTTTGATGTACATCACNTGGATAAGAGTGTCAATTGAGCTTTATCTGAGCTGATAGTTTTACTCACCTTGATCATAGACCACTAAACCGACGAGGACTGTTACGATGTACTGCCAGGTAGACCAGCCGGCAAGAATGGATCGGAAACCATTTTGGGAAGCNCACAGCTGTGGCTCTTCTAGGTGAGCGCTGGTTATATTGCTGCTCATTGCAAGACTTAGACTGGCGGTTGACGTTGACATGTTTGTCACGATGGATGGAACAAGATGTTGAAGTCAAGGGGAAGGCACACCTGCCTGTTATATGTAGCTCCACAGGCATCGCGACTTCCCAACACCGCAATCTCCCCTCCATAAAGACCGACACGTAACATCGTCCTCCCCTCGGGATGCAATCATTTTTGAAGCATCTAGAAAACGAGATAGAATGCATGGATGTACAGCGACCCGATCGGGACTAGACTCCTAAGCAGCCTTCGGAGTCTAGTCCTATTTAGGTCGGTCTTCCTTCCTCCACCTTGTCGCGTCGTCCCAGTCGCCCATTTCAAAAGCTATGGAGATTAGCAGGCACGTAAGTCTCATGATTCGCGGCTGTTCGGGCGCTTCAGTATCCGAATTCGTGACGAAGATGGGTTCGCTCTTGCCCTAATCCCGTTCTCAATCACCTGATGTTTGACCATGTTCTGAACTCGCGTCGAAGACTCATACCATCAACACTCTTTCTTACCCGGAATGCGACGAACTCTTCGCCGGTCCTGTGCCGCATGTGCCAAGTCAAAAAGTAAATGCGACCTTCGTACGCCGCTTTGCTCTCGATGCACGAAACGCAATGTACAATGCATTTATGCCAACGAGCCTTTGACGGCGACGTTATCGGTTGCGGAGCGTCAATGTCGACAACTATCAATACCATTGAGGTCTTTCGAGATATGTGAATTTGGCTCTGTGGATCCGTTTGATTCGTATCCGCCGACAAGACTACCTCGGGAACATACTCAACGCCTCATTCATACTTGTACGCTCTTCCTCTGCAAGGTGGATGTACTGAGTGCTGCTGACCAATCTANNGTCCTTACTAAAATTGCTTTCCAGTACTACCCTCTTGATCTGAATGCAGCCTCAAATCCATTTCTCATCTCTTGGTGGCCACTTGCTCTAGGAGACCCAGCATTGTTTCACGTATCGCTACAAACCGCGTGTCTCGACGAGGAGCTGTTAGCCCGAAAAGGATTTCAAACTTCTGAACTTCTTATGGCTGATTCTGTTGCTTTACTGCGACGAAAGATTGGAAACCAAACGCTGGCTGTACAGGATGGAACATTGAACTCCGTCATCACCTTGGCGGCCATTGAGGTATGCTCACCCAGAACCCTTTCGTTCTTTTCACATGACTGATCTCGATGACACAATCAGTTTGGAAAAGGCAATATCATGGTCAGTCGGATGCATATTGAGGGTGTAAAGAGGATGGTTGATACGAGAGGCGGTATTCGCGGTGTCAGGCAGACCAGCCCGCTGACTGCGAGAATGGTAAGCTGGTAAGTTAACTATGTGTATATTCAAAGTATATTTCTCACAAGCCTCGAAGGGNTGTCGATGCTTCTCACCGGCTGCCCTCAATTCGAGACCCAGGATGACTTTGGAACTGGGTGCGGCATACCTTCTATCCCAGAGTGGCATCTCAACCCGCCTGTCTATCAACATGACACGCCAACCCTCGAGGCCCTAACAGCCGATGCAAAGGTTCGGAACGTGCTCACTCGTCTCCGCAACATTTTTGAAAAAGCACAGNCATACCCCCTCTCCACCACGCATATCCATGACCTCACATGTTTTGTGATACACCGGCTCCTGCGCCCGACTCCTGATCTAAAAAGCTATCCGATCACTGAATGTATACGCTACGGCATCGTCCTGTACATGTTCGTGATCCATGGAACAACATACTATCCGCACACATTTATGCTGGATCAAATTCTTACACGGTTCGAGACCCAACTTGAGATATTGGAAACACACCCTTCAGCGCCTGATACACTTCGGCTGTGGCTTCTTGCGACTGGTTTGACGGCTTCGACTGGGACTACGCATCACAACATACTTTCGGAGAGAGCGCGAGCCGTCACTGCATCCATGCAGCTGGATGGATGGAAAGAGGTTTTCACCTTAGTCAAAGACGTACTCTGGTTAGAGATGCCGCAAGTTGAGCGATTATTCCGACCTCACTGGGAAAACATAGGATGCTGAAGCATGCTGGCTACCTTCTGGTTCACGCCCCGGCCTTCCTGCCTTCCAGAGCGTAGAAGCCAATAGAAACAACCCCATCCCGCCATATCTTGCTCTGTACTTGTTCCGCACAAGCCTTGCATTCTCTCGATCTGGATCTCTTAGTAGTCAAGCCATGACGGTGCAGTGGTCAGCACATCTGAGATACAAGTGGTGCAACTGCAGCAAGGGTTTGGCATCTTAGGAGGCCTGAGTTCAAATCCTACTCATGGCGTTCTTTCATCCTGTACTTAACTATGCTTAGACAGCCTGGGGTTGTCTTTTATGCCTGTCGATAAAAGGATTTTGTCAGGCATGCTGGGGAGCACGTGAGATTTTTGAATATATTGGCACGGCGGGCTCGAGTTTTGGGCTGGTTCGAAAGCCGAAGATGCATATCTAGAGGAGAACAACGAGACTTACATTGGGGTAGAGAATCTAATGTACTTAGTGAGAACACTCTTGCTTTGCGACTTTGAGCTTAGAAGTCTTCACTTGTTCGTGCTGAGCACATCCTCGAATAACATGCAGACCACATTTCCAGGCATCAAATCTCAACTATCCAGCGTAAGCCCCATCGAAGACGAAGACCTAACCACATCCCTCGCAAGCAACAAATCAAACTCCGTCATCCCTCCCTCTGTATCNCTCAAAACCGCAACCGCATCTACCAACGCCTCAAACCACTTTTTGTCCTCTGCACCCTTGGCATCGATCCCTAATACCTCTTCTCTCCACACAATCTTATGCAATTCCTCAATCGAAGCCACAGAGATCTTTTTCTCGTCTTTTTGTCTGCGCAACCAATGGCGTTCCCAACTCTGCAATAGGTTTTGGATTAATCTTGCCAGTGCGGCGAATTTGCGATAGGCTGACATGTAGGAGGTTAGAAGCTGTCTAGAGGCTTTTACATCGCTGGTATTGTTGTTACTGAAGATGAGGTCGTGGATGTTGGTGCAGTAGGCTCGGATTTCTGGGTCTAGATGGTGGTAGAGGAGTTTACCGTAGCCTGCAGTGTCTGAGGCTGTTGTTGCGAGGCAGAAATTGTGGGTCGTGTTGTAGATGTCGAGATAGGTGGATTGGTCTAGATGTGGAGGTGTTTCGTCATGAGGTTTTGCTTTGGCTGTCAAGTAGATGGCGGCAATCTGAGTCTTTATTGAGGTGAGGATGATGAGGGGGTTCGTGGGTGTTTGCTGTTCGAGGAAGATGGGGATTGCTGGGTCGATTTTGGGAAAAGATTGAGGGGTTTGCATATTTGGTGGATGTTGTACGTTGTGGTCGGGGAGGTGGAGTGGAGGCTGGGTTTGTTGTTCGTTTTTGGAAGGGGAGGTTTGCAGTTGTTTTTCTAAGGAAGGCATTCATGGCTTGATTAGGCAGCCACGATGGATGCTGTGTGATGTCATGGTCGCTCTGCCTTGAAGTTGCTGGAAGACATGCACAATAAGGCATCTCTATGGGTATAAATTTTATATGTCTTCCAAGACCTTCACGAACCTGTAATATTCAGCAACGGCCAATCCACTCCAGTCAAATCAAGAGCACCCATATCAACATCCGCCAGGCTATCGCCAGAGAACCCATTCCCAACATTCATGGTACCTTGCCCACTAACCTCATCCCAAGACCCTCCCATCCCCATCATAGGAAACGGCATCATTGGGTCGTCAGCTTCAAAAGACATGGCTGCATCACCTCTCGCATCCTCATCCGCCGCTTGCATTCTCCTCTGAAACTCTTCAACGATAAATGGCGTTTCTTCATCCTTCTGTCCTTGCTTCCTTGTAGCTGCAAGTCTAGCCTCCCAAGCCTTGACAATATATCTCGAAAACATCCTAAAAATGGGTGTCTTGTGGAAGGGATGACCATCTTGCTCGGGGTCCGCAAACCTGACTTTGCAACTGCTGCTCATAGTCTTCCAACACGTTTCAGTATGTTGAGCCAAAGGTTCGCGTTTCAGGTATTGTAAGATGTGTATGTATGCGGGAAAGGGAAAGTGAAAGTAGAGGAACCATGAGTGTCGTTTTGTGGAGGGGTGCGTGAGGATTTTGGTGTCGCAGTCTAGCATATTTAATGCATAGGAGACCGCAGAATCGCGTTGTTGTTGTGTTTGAGTCTCTGGCGAGATGGAAAAGTGTTGGAAGAGCAGGTAACGGGCTATATGGCCTCGTGTGAGCCAGAGTGTCATGAAATGGAGTGAGTTTTCTGGGTTCAAGTGACGTAGATATTTGTCTTCAATCTTTTGCTGCAGTGCTTCGAGAGTGCCGCCATGGTCGTTGGGTGCAGCAATGGACTTCAGTGCCGGTCTTGTAAAGTCGAGGAAGAATGGACTGTGACGAACAAGATCTGCAACCTCGTAGCGTAAGATAGCCATTGTTGTTTCTGTCGGTCTGTCGTGGCTCTTTGACATCGTATTCATCTCTGGCTGGAGGTCGTTGTCGTTGAGATTTGCAGGGATTTTGCAATTCCATGATGGAGATAGAGTGACCGCCCTGTAGTCTCCCATCTCGCAGACGCGGTTGTCGAAGAGCAGGAGAGCCCACCATAACCTGCGACGCATCTCGCCCTCTAGCGGACCACACTTTGCATTTGACGATTCATTGTCTAGGCCCATACGTTGTGCGATACGCATAGTGAGGCCCAGCAAGGACGATAGAGACCGAGGATCGGTATCTGGTCTCACGGCAACCTAAACAGATTTAGCGGTTGAGCAAGCATAGAAGTCAGCAGTCTGTCTTACCAAATACAAAAACAACGCCGTCAAACAATCACGGTCATCTGACTGGAGAAATCCGCATTTGAGCAGTGCCTGCTGACAACCAAATCGATACCTCTGCAAGAGAATTCCCCGCTCACATCCAAACATGTTCAGGCACTCCACTTTGGCAAGACTCATGATGGCAACGCAATATACGCCAAACATCAACGCCTCCAGTTTCGAGTCCACGTTTGCAAGATTTCCGGTCGCATTTATCAATCGCACTTGCAGAGTAGGCGTATGCGTGACCTTGAGCAATGGATCCACATTCTCCAGATAAATTTGCCAGAGTTTGAGTATCTGCACATGGTCAGGAGGATGTACAATAGTGAGATCCACATCTGCAATCAAAGACCCGAAGAGCAAGAAGTCGGTGCTGTTCTTGTACATCTGGTCCCAAGTTGTTTTGGCAGCTACATCGCGGAGGTCGTTAGTAACATTGTCGCTATCATTGTCGTCTTCGTCTTCAGAGTCGTTGGGGTTGGGAGACTGGTTGTTGGTGATTAGATATTCTTCCATCAGTGAGAGGTTGCCTTTGAGTCGTACTTTTTGATTCATAGCTTGCCAAAGATTTCTGACGACACGATAGTTTGGTCAGCATAGCCTCTCACTCAAACAGTATTTGACACAGAAAGCAGAACACACTTTNGCCTCAAATGTGGTCTCCGTCTTGATCTCCAGACTGCCCTCCTTTTCATTTCTGTCATTCTCCATCTCAGACCTTACACCGGGGTCTTTCTCAGAGACACATCCATGCAAAGGCTCGAAGTCTACACCGTGTTGTCGAAGCAAGTCTTCCAGGTGTCTGACTCGTTGCAACAACTCTGCTTCAGGGAACCGTCGTCGTCGCTGTCGAGGAGCAGCTACCGGTATACATTGCACTCCGCTCTTAATGCAGGTGCTGCAAGGGAATTTACGATCGCATTTTACTTTGCGCTGTTGGCATGATGCGCAAGCGAGCGTCCGTTGTGGTTTGGTCGTATTGCGTGTTCGGGCTGGACGAGGTTCAAGGTCGGAATCGGACATGTCTACTTTGGGTAGATGCAAAAATCTGATGCTATTGATAATCGTGAATATGGATCACAGCAGGAGCATTCATGATCTATATGGGTGCCTGAAGGATGCAGATATGCCAACTAAAGTGAGGGCGGCAGGTACAAGCAGCCGGCAGTCACAACGTCCCCACGTACGTGCAAGGCAAGATGGGGGCGTCGTTACCTTCCCTCACACACGATGGAATCTCCTGCAGAATCATTATAGGTGTACTTCTTCCGAAATGATATGCAAGAGATCACTTTTTTTCTGCTCACACTGGCCCAAGGAGGCAAGAAACAGGCTTAGGCTCAAAACAAATGGTATCTCTTGCATTTCGCTTGACGGCCTGCAGCTCTTGCGACAATCCGTGATTATAAAAGAAGTATGTCTATCAGAATGATGATGGGGAAGTAGAAGAAAGACAAGGTCTTAGATGGTGTTGCCGTTCTCATCGATCAGGCTCTCCTCAGTCTTGACGGGACCGGGACCGACAGAGGTAAGGATGACTCTGCTGATGCCCTCCTTCAAGCGGTCGGCAGCGATTTGCGAGTCCTTGGGAGTGTTGGCAGCCTCGACAGACTTGCCGCGAGCACCCTCCCAGCCCTCCTTGTCGCCCAAGACGGACTTAAAGACACCAGCGACCTTGGCTTCGTCGTGAGCCTGGTAGTAGACGACAGCATTCGGGCCGGCGTCGAAGGTGTATGCAGCAATAGTCTTTCCGGCTTCAGAGTTGATCATGTCGACCATGCGGATGGCGGCGCGAGAAGTGTCGTTCATGTAGAAAATCGGGGGCTCGGTGTCGAGGCAGGTAGCGTGGAATGAGTTGCTGTCCTTCATGGTGAGGCTAGCGAAAGCAGCAAAGTCCTTGTCGGCGACGGCCTTCTCCATCTCTTTCATGCGGCGGGGCACAGTGTTTGCGATGCGCTCGGCGAAGAGAGTCGAGGTTGCGACAGTCTGCTGCATACCGGAAGTGCTGCTGACGTCCTTCTTCTCGGCAGAAGCAACGAGAATGACAGCGCGCATGTCGGACCAGTGCTCTGCAGGGGCAACCTCAACGGCTACACTGTCGCTTCCATCCTTCTTGTCGCCCATCTGCCACGAGACGTAACCTCCAAACAAACTGCGGCATGCTGAGCCAGAGCCCTGTCTTGCGATGCGACTCAACTCGGTGGGTGTCGACTTCAAGTCGTAGAGGTTGGCAATGGCACGAACAAAGGCAGCGAAACCAGCGGCGGATGAGGCAAGGCCGGCGGCAGTGGGGAAGTTGTTGCGCGAAACAATCTTGAGAGGCAGCGAGGCGAGCTTGGGAAGCGACGAGTCGGACTCTTCGAGTTGGCGACGGAGGGTTCGCAGCTCAGCCAGACAGGCTTGTGTACGGGCGCCAGAGATGTCTTGGTCTGAGCCGTTGAGAGTGAGAGAGTCCTTGGGGTACTGGCTGCTGCACGAGGCGGTTGTGTGGGTGCGGAGATCGTCTTGTGACAGCGTCACAGACAGAGAGCTGTTGGTAGGAAGGTTGAGTTTGGCATCGCGCTTGCCCCAGTANCCTTTGGTAGTTGTCAGCTCGTCTGTTCAGCTGTGTTAATTGTTGTGCCAGACTCACTTGATGACGGCGATGTTGACAGGCGCAAAAGTGCTCGCGCGGTATACCTTGTTGTCTGCCATGATGTGACTTGTTGAACGAAGGTGATTGCGCTCGACAAAAGCAAAGAACAGACTTCAATTGGTTGAGATTGCTCGTACGAGACTCTCTGGCTGTAATAATTTCCCCCTGCTGTCTCGGACCTGCCCAGCTGCACCCTGGCGCCTTCCTCTTTTGGGCCAGGGCGGTGAGCGGCAACTCTCCACACTTTACCCCGGTTAGAGTGGCATCCCCGAGGTCATCCTTTCCTGCCTGGTCTTCTTCAACATATTATGTAGACCCATCTAGGTAGCTCTTGCCATCTGAATCCATCCATCAACTGCCTCTTCTTTTGCTGTTTGCAATCATGTCTGATGCCCAATTGTCCTACGTCGGTGCCCCTCCTCCAGCTCTCCCTTCGGCCAACATCTTCGATTTCATCTTCTCAAATCCTCTTCGAAAGGATGGCCCAGTCTCCAAACATGCTCCCGATACCCAATGTCGCAACCATGTAGTATCCGACATTGCTCCTCACAAACCTCTGCTTGTAGACCCTGTCACAGGTGTGTTGCCCTCTATCTGCCTTCTTGATACTTTAACCAACATCATANCAGCTGCACAAGTCAGTTGGGATAGAGTACGCATCGACTCGTTACGTATTGCAGCTGGACTACATGCTTTGGGCTTGCAGCCTACCTCTGCTGTTCCCCTGTCTTCAACTGGCCATACTCCCATCATCTCCCCCGTTGTTCTGCTGCACCTACCTAACTCCCTGGCTTTTGCTCCTCTGCTCTTCGGTGTGCTCGCCTCGGGCTTGACTGTGACTATGGCTAACCCTGGCTTGACTTCTGGTGAACTCGCCTGGATTCTCAAATCTTCGGAGCCTCAAGTTGTCGTGACTACACCAGAAGGCCTACAGGTCCTCAATGCAGCCATCACCGAGAGTGATAGCCCAAAAGTCAAGGCCAATCTCATCAATACACGCCGTGTCTATATCGTAGACCCCGTCCATGACGAGTACGGTCTCCCGTGTTCTCATTCCAAGGGTACTGCTTTGGACCAACATTCACAAGACTGGAAGGCACTTTTAGCCTCCAAACCACTAAAAGCCCCTATTCAGTTCAAGGCTAGCGAATACAAGGAACGAACGGCAGTCATCCTCTGGTCATCCGGTACTTCGGGCAAGTCCAAGGGCGTTGTTCTATCCCATCAAGCGCTTGTCAGTAACGTGCACTCACTTTGGCATATCAACCAAGCATTCGATGAGAATCAAAGATGGCTGGGCTTCGCTCCGTTCTACCACATCTTTGCACTGTGTAATGTCTTGCTTCTTGCAGTGGCGTCTGGAGCTACCATCTTTGTGATGCCAAAGTTCGACCCTAAGCTCATGCTTGATCACGTACAGCGCTTCCGTATCACCTTCTTACATATGGCCCCTCCAGTCGCTGTACTACTTGCCAAATCACCAATGTTGGATGACTACGACATGACGAGTATCCAGGGTGCTGTCAGTGGAGGCGCTCCTTTACCGTCAGAAATTGTCGAACAAGTCTATCGACGACTAGGAATATTGATCAAGCTGGTTGGTCCGACCCAGAGTATGGCTGAAAACTTGTCTAACAACATTCTTTAGGGCTATGGTCTTTCAGAAGCAGGGTCTGTATGCAACCAAGTTGGAGAGACATGGGAAGTCATCCAACCGCAGCTTGGCAACACCGGTGTGCCATGTTTCGGAATCGAGCTCAAGATTGTGTCTGTCGATGATCCCACGAAAGTCGTCGCCAAGGGTCTTGAAGGCGAGATCTTGATAAGGTTGGTTTATTTTTTTGTTCACTCTCCTGTGCCCTGCTGCGATGCTAAGTGGATCAGATCTCCGACAAACATGACCTGTTACCTCAACAACAAGGCAGCCACCGATGAAGCTCTCGACAGCGAAGGATGGTTCCACACTGGTGATGTAGGCAAAATTGATGCCAAAGGTCATCTTTGGATAACCGACCGCTTGAAGGATGTGATGAAAGTGAAGGGCTTCCAGGTCTCACCTTCCGAGCTCGAAAACATCCTTTGCGGTAGCCCTTCGGTGGCCGACGCTGCTGTGTGTGGTCTTTTCGACGCTGGCCTCGCGACGGAATTGCCCAGAGCTTACGTCGTGCCTTCCTCAAAACACTTGTTGGCTCAGTGTACACCAAACGGTCCTGTTACACCAGAGCTCCAGGCACTGGCCCAAGACATCAAGCAGTTGATGGAGACCAAGACTGTGCGGTATAAGTGGTTGACAGGTAATATCGTGTTTGTGCCAGCAGTGCCAANNAAGTCACCGAGTGGTAAGATTCTAAGGCGTATGTTGGTGGGTGTACAGGGTGTCGAGGTGAAGCTTTATTTGAGCAGGGCTGAGAAGGCGAAGCTGTAGCTGATATCCTCAATAACGAAAATGTGTGCAGACCACTATCACAATAGCCGAAGATATCGGTCAAGGTTGAAGGTGCTCCGACAGAACATTCCTCAGAGCTATGTTCTCAATTTGGCCTGCATCTAAGCGTTGTCGATGTTTGCGATTTATGCATATATTCGTCTATGTGAACGCAATTTTCCATCAAATTGTCACCCTTTTTCGCCGACTTATGCGATGTACCGTAGCTGCCAGTTGGTGTTTGACAAGTCAATAGCACATGTCTTGATGGGTTACTCTGTGTTCGAAGACTGAGTGCCAGGAGTCACGACAATATCCTAATGGTAGTGAGCGAGCAGATTCAGTAACTCGTGAGAAACTTGCGTTTACGGGGTTGCGCCGCAATTGCTAATGGAAAATCTTCAAGATCTTTATCATTGCAGGGAGACGTTCATCCTTGCGTTCTCTCATGCTTCTAAACAAAGTTCACCATATACGGTAAGCAAACGAAGTTGATTAGGATGTACAGGCAGGGTCATCCTAGAAGCAGAAAATACGCCGATATCGGCCATCGGGACTCACGCGTTTACCTCCTTACACGTCTATAACTGCTCTCCATACCTGTGTATCAATTGCCTTCATTACCAGCATCAACAGATCCATGCTTACTTGGAATGGCATAAGAGTTTGTTTGATTCTCACGCTCTCATTGCACACGATATTCGTTTTGTTTCGCAAGAACACGTCGCATGCGCGGACCTGTCTTTATCGGAACACGATTATTACTATGGTCGAGAGCGCATCATAGCTTCATTCGTACCGCATCAAATCCTGAATAATGAAGGATTCTGAGATTCTCCATCGAATGTCTGGATCGGGCGGCTGAGAATGTTCCTTGCTTGTACCAGAGGCATCATGGCTAAGTCTCGGGATTCTGCATGTAAGTGAGTTGCTCATATCTGCTGGAATGTAGGTACCAATTGTCCGCATTCCAGAGCCCCCTGTCAACAACAACCCGCCAATATGAGTCTGTCTTCCCACTATCCGCTTCTTCGTCTTCGTAACCGCGTTCTCTCTCTCGTAATCCGTCGCCAGCATGGTGTCCCTACGAGTGACAACGCTCATTCTGTCGCTCATTCCTTTTACTTTCGCTCAGAGCACCAATGGACTTTGTGCCTCCGGCAGTACGAACACGAGTTCCTACACGGACTCCTGCGGCCAACAGTACGTAATCTATTGTTCAGCTGACAGTTCGCCTGGCTCGTACGCGTCAAACAACAATGTTCCCGACTTCGCGACATGTATGGCCTACTGCAGCGCCGCTGGTGCAAGTGTATGCTCTGCAGTCACATATGTTGGTACAACCTGTTATTTGAAGAAGAGTTTCAGCAACACTGTCCGACCTTCAACCGGCAACACTGCCGTTATCTACGTCGCCCCACCTGGTTATCCTCCACCTACCGCAAATGGGCAATACAGAAGTTCGGGCTGCGGCACGGCCGTGAACTCTCAAATCAGTGTTGGTGGAGCCAGTACAGCCTTTACTGGTACTGGACCCGACGGTTATCTGCGCAGTTTCAACATCCATGTACCGTCCAGCTACAATATCAACAATGCAGCACCACTCATCATGGTTTTCCACGGAAGAGGCGATAGTGGTACTGCCGTAGAAAGCGGAACTGGATACTCACTTGAAAGAATCAATCCCTACGGTATTGCGGTGTATCCTACAGCAGTCAAGGACTCTACCGGCCAGCCCACATGGCAAGGAGACCCGAGCTATGTTGGTAATACCACCATCAATGATATGGGCTTTGTCCAGGCTCTGATAGCCAATATCTCGTCTCAATACTGTATTGACACAAGCCGTATCTTTGCTGCTGGTTTCAGTAACGGTGGTGGCTTAGTGAACGTGATGGCTTGCGATCCCGTAATGTCCACGGTTTTCAATGCGTTTGGACCTCACTCTGGAGCCTACTACACACAGACAGGCGACTCAAACACGGTGTGTTTCCCAAACACTGTCGCGACGAACGATCTGGTGCACTCTGTGTGCAGCCCATCGAGGCGAGTGCCGATGGTCGAGTTTCATGGTGATGGTGATGGCACAATCCCATACTTCGGAGGCGGCCGTAGAGGATATTGTTTGCCGGCAATTCCCCATTGGAGTCAGGATTGGGCTACACGCAACAACTTGACGACCGATAATGTCACTACCGTAACGAATGGTGGCAACGTGACCAGAGCCGAGTTTGGTTCTCTGAGTGGGTTGCTGGGTCTTGTTACTCAATTCCGCCTCGCAAACTGGCCGCACCAATATTCACTTGGCACTAATGGTGGATACATTGACGCAGCTGCGCTCTCATTGAACTTTTTCTACAAATGGACCAACCCCGCCGGCCCAAGTCAGGATTATTTGTCGTCGATCTATGCTTCGACTCCAACCGCCAAGCCGATCTCCTGTCCCTCTACACTTTCCATAACCACCACCACAACTACCTACACCACTACCAGCTCCAGCTCCAACACTCCAAGTATCACCTCGGCCAGCTCCTTGATCACGGCTGCACCTGTGTCTGGAAGTGGAACTCCAACTACGTCCGCATCAGCCGTATCAGCCCCAGGCAACACAGTAAGCACAAGTCTGAACGGCTACCCAGTGTACACGACCACGCCAAGTTGCCCTGACAGCAATGGAACATACTACTACGATCCGTACGTTGGCGATAGTGTCAATGGCCTTTACTATTTCATCATGTGTGGCTACGATATTACGAGTGGCGCGAAGACTAGCTTTCCCGCTTCAACTTGGCAGCAGTGCTTCTCGATCTGTGACAACTATCCGACTTGCACTTCCTTCACTTTCAGTGCTGGCTCATGCTTCATCAAGCGTGTGAATGCACCATACGTTTCCTCTGGCGGTGACTTCGTTCAAGCGTCACAGAATCCCGTCAGAGGCAATCTGGTGACGCAAAGTGGCGTAATTGTTACTACCACTACTACCACTACTCCAGGAGCGACTTCAGGAGCGGCGGGAGGTGCTTCAAGTACATACACCGGCCCGGTAGTTTCTCAGACGAGCTACGCCTGCCCTGCGAATGACCAGCAAAATGTTGTTGATGCCAGCGGTTATGTCTACACTCTCGGATGCAACAACGACACTACTGGGGGCGGAACTCTTTACACAGGCGGAAGCAGCGGTTTCAATGCTTGTTTTGGCATTTGTGATGGTGTGGCCGGATGTAACGGATTCACCTGGTCTGGAAATTGCTATCTCAAGGTTAATATGGCCAACATGAGATTCCAGCCTGGTGTGGGTAAGGTAGGGGCTATCAGACAAGGCCAAGTGGCTGTTGCTGGGACCAATACTACCACTACCGTGTCATCCTCGGCCTCCTCAACTTCTTCGTCCAGCTCGAGCTTGGTGAACTTCAGTCCCACCACCTCGTCTCTGACCTCGTATTCGACCTCATCGACTCCCACGTCTAGCTTGGATTCTTCGTCCACTTCTAGTTTGATGAGCTCCAGTTCTTCATCCAGTTCCATTTCCACCTCATCCACTTCATCAAGCACCGTCCCCACCTCCTCTTCCACATCGTCCAGTTCTGTTTCCACCTCGTCATCAAGCATTGGTTTAAGCGGGTCTTCTACATCGAGCTCGGTTCCAGCTATACCTACCACGGCTACAACGCCGACGACAGCAACCACACCGACGACAGTGACTACTCTTACCAGGGCGACGACACCGACAATGACAACGACATCTGGCTCATCCACCTCTTCAAGCTCTTCCTCATCAAGCCAAACTTTACCATCATCGAGCCCAAGTTCTTCGTCGGCCACATCGGGTCCTTCAAGCACTCTCGGTACCTCGAGCTTGAGTTCTTCATCAACGTCAATTTCGGTCTCTAGCTCTTTATCGTCAAGCTTGAGCTCTCCACCGGCTTTATCTTCTAGCTCTTTGTCGTCAAGCCTAAGCTCCACATCGAGTTTGAGTTCTTCATCTGCTCTGTCATCGAGTGTGAGCTCCTCATCTGCTCTTGCATCGAGCTCGTCGGCCAGCATTGGCTCCTCTTCAGCAAGCTCTTTGTCAAGTGTTGTTTCAAGTTCTGTATCTAGCATCTCGTCGAGTGCTACGTCGGCTTTGTCATCAGTCAGCTCATCGTCATCATCGTACTCTATTCTGGCATTGTCGTTGACATCATCCAGCGGCGCCAATGTTCCAAGCAGTAGTAGCTTGAGCAGTGCAACGTCAGGCACGACAGTTGGGGTCAGCTCACCATCTTCTGTTACTAGCGTAACACAGCCAAGCTCTTCTTCGTTATCCGCTTCCTCGTCTTCTACTTTATCGTCCACTTCCTCCTCGTCAGCACCTTCTTCAGCAAGTAGCGTCTTTTCAGGCTCTTTATCCTCTTCTAACGTACAACAGTCAAGCAGATCTTCTGTATCCTCGGCCTCCTCGGCAAGCAGCTCATCGTTGTTGAGCCAATCGTCCAGCGTGGCCTCGGTAGTGTCCTCGGTTGTAAACCTCAGCTCGTCGATTTCGTCAAGTCAATCTTCCAGCGGGGCTGCTTCGAGCTCCATGTCAACATCATTTACAGTATCCTCATCTGGAAGCGCATCCGCTTCCAGCTCAGCCATAAGTGGATCATTCTCCACAATCACTGCGGTCCTCTCTTCTACGTCTAATCCATCCTCTACATCTTCATCCGACACTCGTATCCCAATTACGCCTTCAGCTTACAGCACTTTCAACCCTGGCTCTGATCCTAGTCCGGCGCCTTCCGCCACCTATGTCTCTCAGGAAGCCCCGGCCCCTGCTTGCACGCAGCCCGCCTGCCCTAATGTCAATAATGTCACATGTACGGACGCTGATGGCAAGGCTTATGTGCATCAATGCGACACTGGTGTCACGGGTGGTACTGTAATCGTGCCTGCCAGCAGCGACAACACCAAACGTGATGCCGAACTCCTGATGTTCGACGACATGATGATGACCCTGCACTCTGAAGACACCGACTCGGGGTTGAAAAAGCGTCAAACTGACGCACAGCAAGCAGCCTTCCATGAATGTCAGCTCCAGTGCGATAGTGTTAGTTACTGCCGAGCCGTTGCGTACAACATCAACACAGACAACTGTCAGATATTTGCACAAGTTTCTGGTACGGGCTACTCGCCTGGTATCCTTTTCGCCGAGCGTGCTCCTGCTCAAGACGCTGTTGATGGACCAGTCACCTCGACGATTTATAGTACTGACATCACCACGGTCACCTCGTGTCCGCCAGACGTTCAAAGTTGTCCGGCAAGCTCGACAGTCGTCTCGACCACAGTTGTCCCCGTCAGCGTGACGGTCTCCTCTGCGGCAAGTGCAACGGCGGCCGACTACTCGAGCTATTGTGGCGCATATTATATGGACTCGCAGAGCCCTCCAAACAACTACAGCGTTGACTGCACAAGCGACTACAATACCGTAGGCATCACTACTGTCACCAGTGTTCGAAACTTGGATGTCTGCATCGATATCTGTAGTCAGACAGCTGGGTGTTTAGCTGCGACTTGGCTGCAGAATACCCTACAGTGTGAGTTGCACGACACGAACGATCTCGGATCCGGAACCACTCCATTCCCTCCGGGCGTCGTCGGATATAGAGCTACCAGACTTACGAACCCTGGTGGACCTCTGACAATCACGGTTCACAGCACTGATATCAGTACCGTCACTTCGTGCGCTTCGGACGTGACTAGCTGTCCTGCAAGATCAACTGTGGTCTCGACTACGCTCGTTCCAGTCAGTGTTGGTGTCGTGTCAAGCACTGCTATCTCTAGTGCTGCTGCCTCTAGCACATCATCTACACCAGCATTCGTGACAAGCACAATCTACAGCACTGGTCTAGCCACCGTCGTATCTTCAAGCTCGACAGTAATCTCTACCACGTTGGTTTCCATCGGAACCAGTGTCATTACGACTTCGACGTTCGTGCCTAGCGATACCACTGGTGGCCGCTCAGGAACTGCATCTACTGGTGTTGTGATATCGACAGTTTACAGCACGGCGCTCAGTACCATCGTTTCGTCCAGTTTGACGATCATATCGACCTCGCTTGTGCCCATCAGTGTAACGGTCTCGACGGTTTCTCTGCCATCGGCCACAAGCTCCAGCGCGGTGGGTGTCGTGACTTCGACAATCTACAGTACTGATATTACCACCATCACCTCGTGCTCTCCCGGTGTCGTTAGTTGTCCCGCCAGCTCGACTATTGTTTCTACGTCGCTTGTGCCAATCAGTGTCACTGTCTCGACTGTGTACACCGAGTTCTCGACTTCATGGTACACAACATGGTCCGGTACTCCATTCTCTACTGCCTCGTCGACGGCATATTCCTCTGCATTCTCGAGCGGATTTTCCTCTGCATTCCCCTCGGCGTTCTCTTCTGCTTATTCTTCGGCCTTTTTGTCGGGCTTCTCTACCGCAGCATCCAGTGCAACATCCTTTGCAGCATCTTCCGCAGCTTCCTCGGCTGCTTCGTCATTCGCTTCTGGCGCAGCTTCCTCTGCTGCATCGTCGTATGTGTCCAGTGCAGCTTCGTCTGGCGCTTTCTCTTCTGCTGGGTCTGGCGCCGCGTCTAGCTTTACTGCTAGCGATACTATGAATGGTCGCTCTGGCACCGCCATGTCTCCCACATCGACATCGACATTCTATACTGGTCCCAGTAAGTCTTTTGGTTCGGTTGTGTCTGAGTCGTTGCTGATGGTTTATCTAGTCACTATTACTGTGCGGCCATCGACTTGTCCTGCGCTGCAGACGTTGACGACTACGGTGTTTACGACTGGCTATGTCAGTTCGTGTGCTCCTGATGCCGAATGCAGTAGTAGTAGTAGTGCCATGTAAGAATTAGCATATAGGGGTCAGTCTCGTGACGAAGGTTGTGAACATGAGATGATGGTTGATTGCAAGTGTTTTGACGCTTTGCAAAATTGAGTTTGGTGCATTTTTTCTTTTGTGGTTTCTCAGATTGGGAAATGAAAATGCAGCGTTGGGCGATCTATGTAGACTAGGAATTTGAGAAGTTTTTTCTTTCATCGGTTTTTGTTAATGCGACTGTTCAGATAGAACAGGCGCGGTCTGTTAGACTTGTAAATGTGATTTGCGAGTTAAGTTGCCATAGCCCTGATCATTAAATCCTTTTCCAATCATGAAGTAGAAACGTACTCTATCTTAAGTTTAGAACAACAGGTTCACTTATGCTGCTGTTATGTCTACAATCTGGTTGTTCCTAGCTTTGCCGTAGATAGCGTTACAAAAACTAGCTCTCAAGGGTTATTGTCTTAGATAGCTTATTATTATGACCCCATCGTAGATGTAAATTGGTTATTCCATATCGGCGACGGTAGAGAGTATGGTTAGAGCACGCCATGAGCTAACTTTCCTTTGCAGATTACAAAAGCACACTTTCCTCTCACTTTCACATAATGGTATGGTTTATACCTTGCACCGACATAATTTAACCAAGGCATTTGGTAATTGTATAGCTAGCTTTACTCTTCTATGTTGTCGAACATCGGCTGTTTGATGCTGCTTCTATAAAAGATGCCAATATCTCCTCGACATACTATCACAAAAGCATAAGTACAGTAGCACAAGTGGCACTGGATCACTGGTACATGGGCATGATGTTTCCTATAGATCATCGTATGATAGGATTGTGGACTGGCTTGGTGTAGAAAAAGTGATAGAGACCACGCAGGTTGAGCGACTCTGCTTTGTGTGTAGCCAATTGTGTCGATTTGTCGAATCGGATTACGCGAATTGCGGGCTCTGGTTGTGTTGGCTGAGGCCGTATGTCCAATGGCAGTTTACTGATGATATCATTCGAGATCGCGGCTGCCTCGTTTATGGTCTTACGCAGGATCTCTCCTGTTATGTTGTCGTAGGACTCTCCAGAGTCGAACATCAAGACCAGATTCTCAAGGTTGGGTGCAAGAATGGTAGAGAGAGCGTATCTAAGAGTAATACCCCTTTCGAAGCAGATGCTCGGCGCGGACCCCCAAGACAGACTCAAATCTGTGCGACACAAACGTTCAGATCCAAGCTTCCTTTGACGCTCTATACCAATCGTGCTGGACGACTTGTACACCATTATCTTCCAGATCCTTCAAGGCATCATCTGCATGACGGCATTTGACCAAGAAAGGTCTGTCTCCATCTCCCGTGAGTGTAAGTCGACGCAGCCCTGGAAATTGTGCATCCTTCTGCATCGCTAGAGTTGACAGCTCGTCAAATAACTGATGTGCTGGATCAGAAACAAGACAAGCATCTACATCGAGGTCAGAGTGAGCAGGTCGCGAATGCCAAGAAGTCAATATCGTAAAATTGAGCTCGAGATCCCGTAGGCTGGGAGGCAAATTGCTATGAAATTGTAAATTGGATCTTGACCGTGAGAGGCCTCTCGAATGCATGATCAACTCAATGGGAGCAGTCAGTTTTGTCAGTTTGGTAAAAGATTGGAAGAGCTTTCCAGTCCTGAATGGCAGTATCCAGTGTCTGTCCAATCCAAGATCGAATTGCAACTCTTGCAATGATGACTCCAATGGCGCGAGGACTTGGAGAGATAGGTCTACGGCATCCGAGATATCGCCAGTACGCCTCAAAATAGTGCGCCAATATGGTTCGCACTTGGACCTTGCAGGAGAATAATTCAATCTTTGCAGGTTCCTTGGCCATCGGAACAGAGGAGATATCGATTGCGTGAGGGGGCCGCATTCTAAAAGACTAAGGTCTCGAACACTCGAGATGGCATGTTTGTCGTGCAAATCATCCGGTATAGGAGGTGGAAATCGGAAAGCAGGTCGGTCTGGACTAAGCAGGTTTCGTATCACTAAAGTCACCAAGGTGGGTAGACTGAACACTCTGTAGATATCCTCCCAATTGTATCGGTGAGGTAGTGAGAAGTCGATAAAAGTCAGAGGTGGGGATGCATCTTTGAGCATCGCCGTGGCCACTGCAAGAGATTTCATGTTGAAGTGAAACTCGTTCAGATGATGGCATCCAGACAACAACATTGCAGTCTTGAAGATGAGATGATCTTCGATAAATTTTTCTCTTCCAACAAGCGCATTATTGCCGTCCTTGTCCACATATTCGCTTAGCCAGTTCAGCTTGACAGACCTGATCATTTGTCTCCAGTCAACTCGATCGGTACTCAGAAGCTCATAGAATGCCCTTGGTCTGTGAATGACACCCATTGGCTCGTGGTCAGTCTGGGACCAGTGTTCAGACACAACTGATCGAAGCAACAACTTGCGAGCTTCTGTGCGAAGCAAAGGAGAGAGGCGCGAGAGAGTGACTAGCTCCCCCTGAGAACAATGTTGCATTATTTCAGCCCATATTTCTTGTGGAAATGCGTGTTCTTGAATGTTCATGATTTATATTGATGTGAGATGATTTGGGAGAGCGTCGACAACCCGAACTTCAAGTTGCGTCAAATGTGGGGTCCAGGATTCTTCCGCCATATGTGGCACAATCGCAGTTGCCCTTCTGGACACCATTTCTCGAGTTTCTGTATCACAATATGGGACCAATGAGGAACAGAGATGTGTTCATTAGAGATGTGATCGCGATCTACATCAATGTTGGCGAGTCCGAAGGACGGAACATGTAAATGCTTGAGGCTAGAGATGCCTAAAACGTGAAGCACCGGTTTCATCTTGAATGCGAAACTTCGCATGGTCTTCTACAGGAAACAAGTTATTGAAACTTTTGACAGTGATAGGGACCATGGTTGACGGATTTGCAGGTTCAGACGGTAACGATCGCAAACATGTGCACAACCTCGAGACAAAACAATCCTAAGATGAGACTGATTTATACAGTGTAGAGGAAAAGTAGGATGCATTCGGAAATAACTTGTTGGCCGTCGGTGGGCTGCGAGATGACTATCTCTGAATAAAAACAAAAGAAAACAGGATTCGGAATCAGAACCCAGACATGACCGGGGATCGGGGTATATGCGTTTGAAAAACAAGCAAAGCAAGGGAGAAGAAATAGAGCAGAGCAAAGATCTGGGAACATGTTGGTTGGCGAAGCGAACGTGTCGCAATGTGTCGGAGACATTACTGCTTGTCGGCAAGAAAATGTCCTGAGATGTTCGAGCTTCCTAGGGACGAGAAGCTGAGATACAATATGATAGTGGTGTTAAGCTGGGTTGGATCGAGTAGGGTAGAGGTTTGGAGCGAGTGCATCGAGGTATGTGGGTAACAGGTCCTTTCGGGCTGTTGGACTCGAATAGAGGCGGGCGAATAGAACTTGGAAGTGACATCTATAACGATCGTTAGTCACTGTGTTGTATTGTAAAGACTCCCGAGTCACTCACAAGAAAGGCGAGCGCAGTAGATTAATCAAACCATACTTCTACTCGCGCTCGAGTAAGCCGATTCAGAGGCTTGCGAACTCGAAGCTCTTTCGTGATATCTCGCGACATGAAGAAGTCCTTTTTGATTGTTCTGCCTCATTTCTCGCATGTAGTCGTTTTGATCGTTGCTCGGTCGCCAGCCATAGTTTGTTCCTCGTTGATCGAAGTCTTGTCTACGGTAGACCCAGCCTATCGCTCCTAGACAGCAGACGAACGCGCCACAGCAGATGATGACGATGACAATGATAGCTCCGTTACTGAGGGCCATAGTGATAAAGCTTAGATGAAAAAATAGGTGCTGCAGCTGTGAGGCTATGTGTATAGCGAAGGACTGGTTGCAGCGAGCGAGTAAAGTGACAAGGTCGAAGGTGTATGGTCGAATAGGTAAATAGGAAAGAAGAGACAGAAACCGACGAGACCTACTCTTGGTATTTACTTGCAGACAGCGTGGTGTACGTAAGCTCGTGACGCTCAACGATAAATGTGAACATACGACTGGAGCGAGAGCTGAAGCAGGGAAGAACCTGACACATCGATACCGAAACAGGCAACACTTGAGGCTGAGACGCGACGGTCGGTGGAAACAGAAGTTTCTCGTCGTCGTATGCGTATGGGTAGGATTCGTATACCAGCCCAGGGCTGCGGATCTCGGGAGACGTTCTCGTCAAAGTTTGGCAGCTGCGAGCTCGCAACGGTTTCCGCTTTTCGCTGCCCAAACTCTTAATCACTCCAACCAAGCGGCCTCGAAGCTGGTGAAGCTGCTTTGTGGCTTCTAACATGACAGTGTGAATTGAGACGACGCGTCGTTCATGTTGATCAGACTGCGACAATGATGTGGACAGAATTGACCAAAAGACGGCGCGAGCGGAAGATTCGGACTGCGGCTGCGAGTGGATGGATGTGAAGTGGAGCAAGTGAGTTTGACATGTGAACGACGATCCGACGCGTCTTCCTGTTTCAGCCCCAGCAGCCCTTCAGGCCTTGTCTTGTGCTTCCTTTCAGTACAACACAAAGCTTACAGCACTCCCTTCTCGGGTCGAGGCAAGAGTGGTATAGGTACAGGAAACACAACTGATGCGACATAATGACGTGATGAATTCTGTGTAATTTGTCTACTGTACAAGGCCGTTGTTGCGGCACTGACAAAGGTGGCCTGAAGGAAAATACATGCCACCAGCCGGGTATAAGATGCGACCGACATCCGGTCATTGGTATGTCGCGCAGACGCTGTCGAGGCTGAGCTGGATCATTCTTCTGCCATGGACAAGCGACCGATAGACTCGACCATGATATCAGGCCTGTCATGCTTCATGTCGACATGACCGGAAACAACGGCATCAGGGATAACTAAGATATGGTGCATCTCAGGAAGTCGCAATGATGAGATAATCGTGAGGGATAACTATCGAGAAAGTGCAGCTGGGTTATCGACATGATGTTGATGGATGTTGTTGACAGTGTGCAGGATTGGTGATGGATCAGGCATAACTTGGGTCGTAGCGAACCCTTCGGCCGCTCATGGCCCACATGGTGTCAATGTTCTTCTGTCGCACTTCGCGCATGTATTCTTCTTGAACGGCGGCGGGTCTGCTGCGGTCAACGGGCTCGGATCGCTTGCCGAAGGACAGGGTGAAGAGGGCGTAACAGCAGAGACAGACGGCGGCACAACCGAGAATGACGAGGAAGATGACAAGACCAGACGAGATCATTGTCGCGAGTGATGTACGCTTGGATCAGGTTGAACCGCCTGTTTTTGTGACGCAAGAGGAAGCTGTGAACATTTGAGAATCCAAGGCCCTGGCGTGATGGCTGCTGGGATGAGAGAGGAATGCGATGAGTTTGGTTGCTGGTGTGCCTGACCTTGTTGCTGAGTTAGCTCGCGCGGGGTTTTGACGTGGTACAGTATACCGACCAGCAGGATTTCGGCCTCGTGGCTTTTCGATCAAAGTCTCAAAGTACCAGATGGCTGGTTGGGGTTGGCTGAATGAGTTGTCTCGGTGGTCGATTCGCCTCGTTCTCCTGACAATACTACCTTGACTTGTTTGCTGTCACAAGGAAGGAGCTGTCATCATACGACTGCCACGTTCTTGCGCTTTTGATACTTGGCAGCGCGCATCGCGTTTGTTCAAGCACGAAAAATCTGGTCGGAAGACTGCAATATAGTGTTGTACATTATCTCATGAACGTTCTCCCTTTCGGGACTCTATTCTGGTAATTCAATGCTTGACACTGCACATCTCCTTGATGTCTCAGATGAGACCGGGAAGCCATCGACATCTAACTTTGCCCATGTACTCCTTGTACTTCTTGCTAAGGTCAACCTTTCCGTCGTTCTCTTCGCCTGAGAGCATCTGCTTCTCTTCCATGTGCACGCCAGTGCGATAGACACCCGCAATACCCAGAACGCATACAGCCAAGGCCGGTACCACCCAGCCAGCATCGTCTCTACCTGCAAGAGCAGCCAAGACTCCGGTCCAGCCCACGAGATAAGCAGTGTAGGCAGGGTGGCGGACGTAGGCAAATGGTCCATAATCGATAATGAAGTCTGGAGTCGTGCCACCAAAGATGGCTGGGAGTCTTCCTCTTTGTGTTGTGTATGCTGTCCAGCTGAACAGCGAGACGCTCATAGTCATGAGCGTATTGCCAATCATCTGCAAAGGGCTGGAGGTTGGAGCGGGCAACAACAGAGGCGAAGATAGAAGAGTACCGGCACCACTGAAGATAGCGAGTGTGGCGAAGTGGCCAGGATATGCAAAGCCATTGCTGGGCCTAGGGAAGTTGACCGAAATAGCATATGCTTGGTTCAACAAAGTCCCCGAGTAGAGAATTGATGTTGGCGAAGAAAGTGCATTGCTTGGGTGAAAATTTGAAAAGGGGAAAAACATTTTCGCGCCAATGTCTTCAGGCCGTGAGGCAATCGAGGACGAGCTGTTTGTTTCAAACGATGTAAAGAGCTCAGATGAGGTAGCAGCCTGACAATAAGAACACGATCAGACTGGTGATGTCGAGACGATTTGCAGCAAATTTACCAGAGCAAGCTATGCGTCAGCGCCGGAATGTTGATGTATGACCTACAGTTCGCTACTCGGAATAGCTCTCAACGACAACAGAACACGAAGACGTTCCGAACACAGAAAGTTACATCAGACAGTGGATGACAGGTGCTGGGCCGAGCCGCGAACGACAGAAGTGCATCCAAGTGTTTCAGACTTTGGTTAAAGACACGAATAATGCTGTGGTGCATGTGGTTGTTGGAGTAGCAGGACGGACAGACGCCTTTAGCTGCATGCCGTGCACGATCCGTGACGCTATCTGAGCGGGTGCCGGTATTCGGGCCCGCTGTGTTTGGACGCCTGAGTTAACGTCGTTGCGTAGACGTGGCTTGATCGAAGTCGCGTCGAGCTTGATATGTGATAATTGTATCGTTGAACAGGTCGGCCACACAGTCTTAAGACCTGGAACGATGTTGAAGCTTTCAGCTATCGTATGCGCTTATTGTATGAGCTGAGGATGTAGATGCTGACTGAGAGCTAGAGACTGGGGGCGACAATAGCGACGCTGCCGAGATGAGCCAATCAGAGGTGCCAAGACCGGAGCATTTTCAGGTTGAGGGTTGCACTTCCGTTCCATTTCCCCCTCCCTATCCCGTCGCTGTCTTGGGTGTTTGTTTCGTCGAACGAGTTGTCTCTCACTCCCGACAGCTGTCAAGGGAGAGCAGCCGCGTCGAACAGTCCTGTTTCTGTCGTCAAGACCGCTCCAATTCACATAGGTCTTCTTTTTCTTCTTCTGTTCTTCCTTTACTTTGTCATTTCACCCGCAAAACAACCTTCCAACGGCCGCCCAGTGTTTGGAGCCGGCAACCCACAACAACAACAACATCCCGCATAACTTATCATATCGCCTACTCAAGCCTCTGATGCAGCCCATTCACTAATCTTCTTCTTCGACTATACTAATCAGTTCGATTGCCGCGTGTCGCGACCCTGTCGCACACCCGCCCAGGTCAACCATGGCCACGACCGCCAACCTGTCGTCAAACGGCGACGACCCTTTCATCAATCCCAATGCCACGCAGCCGAGCCCACACCGCTACGCTTCCTTTGACAACCAAGTCTTCTCCCTCTACAACTCAGGCTCCCCAGCCCAGGCAAAGCGCGCGCTCGAGGCCCATCTCAAGGACACAGAGCGCCGCATTCAGGATGCTTCGAAGCTCGGCACCACTTTGCTGCAACAGCGCAAGGATCTGGCTGCCCGTCTGAAGGAGGTCGAGGAGGGCGCATCCGAGGACATCACTCCTGAGCTGCAGAAAAAGTTGGACCAGCTGGAGAAGGATTACACCGAAATTGGCAAAGATTCCGCCCGTGCCTTCCTGCCCAAGTCGCGCATCGTCTCGACAGACTTCAGCGCTGCTCCACCGAGTCCTTCCCTCTTCGTTTCCGAAGCCCGTCCTTCGCCAGTCAAGCGCAATCCTACTGAAGGCTCTAGAAGACAACGCAACCAGCCCACCAACCGTGTTCATGACATCGAGTTTGCGACCGAAATCAGTACCTCTCTACTTGCCCAAGTCAGACAATTGCAGGCCGTCCTGGCTGAGAAGGAGAATGCGCTCAAGGATGCCACGACGCAANAAGAACAGCTCGAGACAGATATCGCCAGTCTGATGCAGCGCTTGCGCATGTTGGACGAGAGTGAGCAGAAGTGCAAGGACGAGAACTGGAACCTTGAGACGCAGATGCAAGACCTGACAGCACAGCTGAAAGAGGCGACCGATAAGGAACAGCGCCTGTCACAGCAGCTCAAGTTTGCTCAGGCCGAGAAAGACACGGCACAGCGCGACTTGGAGGACCTCAAGGCCGCTCATGGCAAACTCAGCGATGACCACGAGGTCGTCAAAAAGCATCACGAAGCCGAGCTTTTCACCTTGCGCCGCGACGTCAACAGTCATCAGACAGCTCGCGATACGCTGCTCAAGAGGGTTGAGGAGCTGACGTCCCAGAACACTCAGCTGGCAAAGGCCGTAGCTGCACGATGGAACGCCGGCGGCCAACCCCAAGACAACCAGCGCTCTCTGGGCCGCGAGAATGGTGATTCCGAGGTCGCGACTCCCGATGTCTCGCCGCAGAACTCGCCTGTCAAGCACACACCAAGACACGGCATGCTCGAGACCGAAACCCTCAAGTCCTCGCTTACCCACGCCCACCGTATGATCCAGAACTTGAAGAACAACATTCATCGTGAAAAGACGGAGAAATTTGAGCTCAAGCGGTTGTTGCAAGATGCGAGAGATGAGCTGGAAAACAAGCGTACCGACGGTGGTGTAGGCCCGTCAGTGAGCAAGAAGCGTCGTTCCGATGACAGCGGCATCAAGTTCAACAAGGGTGCCCGCGCCGACAAGCTGGGAGCTGCTAGATCCGCTAAGCACGAGATCATCATCGACGACGACGAATGGGAAGACCAATCTCTGATCGAGAGTCCCAGCCGCCCTGCCACTCGCAACATCAGCGCAGGCATTGTTCCCTTCGGAAACTTCAACTTTGGCAGAACTGCCGGTGCCTTTGGCAAGTCCGAGAGCGCCGAGACTACCGATGCTTTCGAGACTACCGATGCTTTCGAGACTACCGATGCTTTCGAGACTGCCGACGAGCGAGGTACAACCGATGCCTTCGAGACAGCTAACGAGGACGATGACAACACAAACACAGAGACTGAGGCTGCCTTCCAGACCGGCGCAGAGACGATTAATGGCGACAGTAGCGATGACTTGACCGAGACCGAGTTCAGTCCCGTGAAGAAGCAGGGCTCTTCATCTCGATCCGTTTCCTCCTCATCTCGACCTGTTTCCAGACCCGGCCCATACGCGACCAACAAAGCCGAGAACCGCCTGTCCTTCATGTCAACAGCATCTACTTCTGCCGACGAGTTCGAAAACGTCAAGACGCCCATACAGGGTCAGCAGCCCAAGTACAAGCTACGTCTTAGTAAGGGTCGTCGCTCAGACAATGGCTCTGCCCGCAATAGCGCTGTCTTTGCTAGTGACGATAGTCCTGCCAGCCAAGCCAGTCAGAGAACTCCTGTTCAGTTCGGTCAGAGTCTCAGTGCTGAGCTAGACGGCTTAAGCAATGACAGCGACAGCGGCGAGGAAACATCGACGGACGTCGGCATTGATTCTGCCCCAATCAGTCCCGAAACTGCCAAGAAGCCAATTCTTGCAGAGGCTCCCATCATTACAGAAGTTTCGAGGCCGAAGATGGTCGATTCTGCTATGATGACTGAGCCTTGGGAGCCAGAGTCCAAATCTATCGTCGGTGCTGCCGCCGGTGCTGTCGGTACTGCCATCGCTGGCGTCGCTGGTTTCGCACTTGGTCATTCGACTTCGCATAATGAAGATGCTGCACACGACGAGACGTCCAGAGCAATCACAGATATTACTGCTCAAGTCCCATCTGCTGCCTCTTCCAACATGCCTGGTCAATTCGTTGAGAGCGAGCCTGTCTCGGTTTCTGCGTCTCCCAAGTTGCCTGCAGAAGAGATTGTGTCCAAGACTGATGCATCACTCGAGGCCAAGAAGGAATTCGCAAGTATCGTTTCACAAGATCTCGCACCCGTGACGCCTGTACAACACAAAGCACAGCCTTTGAGCATGGCGACCTTCTCGAGCACTCACACCGAGCCTGTTGCTGCAGTGCCCGTGGCCAGAGAGCTTCCGCAATTCGCCATGACAACCTTCTCGTCTTCTCACACTGAGCCTGTGGCAGCTGTCATGCCCACCAAGGAGGTTGAGAAGCTCTCCATGTCGACCTTCTCTACTCATCACACTGAGCCTGTCACTGTGGCTCCTATCGTCAAAGAGCCTGAAAAGTTCTCCATCTCGCAATATTCTACTACATACACCGAGCCTGTTGTGCCATTCGTTGAAGCCAAGAAATCCCAGGTATTCTCTATGTCCACCGGACCTGCTTCGCACACAGAGCCTATTACACCTGCACCACCGGTGAAGGAAGTTCCGTCCTTCGCCATGTCTCCTTTCAGATCCACGTCTTCAGAGCCAATCTTGGCTTCTTCGCCAGAGCCTGTGCAGACACCCTCGCTAGAGTTCTCGAGCTTCACCACTTCTCACACCGAGCCACGCACTCCAAGCATGCCACAACTTGACAAAGAAGTCGATACGAAGAGAGATGCACTCGAGTTTTCTACTGTTCGCTCTCAACACTGGGAGCCGATCGTGGATGAACAATCATTCTCTCCTTACGTGGATGGCCCGAAGCTTAACGACGTGTTCTTCATCGACGACGACAAGACTCATTCTGACAGCATTCCAGGGACTGATGGCGTTCGTCCCGGTGCTGCTTTCCTTGCTTCTGGATCGCAGTTCCCTCCTCGTACTAGCAGTAGAGATGGTTCATCGACTCGAGAGCCTCCACTGTTCAGTGGGCTCAAGGGCGGCAACCATGGAGAACCAACACTCGTCTTCGCCGACGAAAATGACTCGATCTCTCGTATTGAGCCGGATGGCCATTCCCGACAGCCTTTTGTTGAGGTGTCCAATAATGTTGGTACTAGCCAGCGCAGCATGTCGAACAACGGTGAAAGACCTGCCATCAAGCGCACCCCCACTTCCGAGATGGGGACGCAGACCATGGTATCTTCTGACGAGCTTGACAAGATGATGCGCCGCAAGACTCCGTTGACGATTCCTGCTGTCAACATTGATGAAGGCACGCCCCTCAGACCTGAAAGCCCGAGAAGAGCTTCAGAGACGCCGTATGTGGCTGAAGGTGCGAACATGAAAGCTCCTCGTCGTCCTGCCAGCTCTGGTAGCATGCACAAAAACTCTACCTCGCAACCTCCCCTTCCTCCGGACCACACGCAGCGCATCGCTGCAGCCGCAGGAGCAAAGAGCCTGCAAGCTGGAATGCCCCCACCACCGGTTCCTACAGGCTCACTCAACAAGCCTCCTCCGTCGCTGCGCTCTCGCACTCCAAGCATCAGCAAATCTGTTCAGTCTGGACGCGGTACCGTCAACCGTGCCCTCGCGCCAATTCCTGCTGGTCGTCCCGACCCCATGTCTCCCACAACTCGCGCCAGCTCTATTTCGAGCTTCGTTTCGGAAGTGGATGAACGCATTCAACCTGGTAGAGGCGTGCTGTATCCCGAAGACATGTTGCCTGCAACTGATCCCCGCATGATCCAAGCTATCACTCAGACCATGATTGGAGAATATCTTTGGAAATACACACGCAAGGCTGGTCGTTCTGAGATTAGTGCCTCAAGACACAGAAGATTTTTCTGGGTGCACCCTTACACCAGAACGCTATACTGGAGTGAGCATGACCCATCAACACTTGGCAAGCAGCAGTCGAAGGCAAAGAGTGTTGCTATTGAAGCTGTCCGTGTCATTACAGATGACAACGCTTATCCGCCTGGCTTGCATAGGAAGAGCTTGGTGATAGTAACCCCAGGTCGTGAGATTGTCTTCACGGCTCCCACCGCTCAGAGACATGAAACATGGTTCAACGCACTCTCCTACCTCTTACTTCGTACTGGGACCGAGCGTGAGAACGAAGATCTGACACAAGACATGGTTGACGAGTTCAATCCGACAATGCGAAGCCAGAGTCGTAACACTGTTCGCACTCGTATGAGTCTCAGCAGCTACAACAGCAGAACGACGCGCAATTCGTCACCGCATCGTCCTCACGCATCCGAGGTTCCGTCCCTTGCCAACCGCCAGGCTGCAGCTGCATCGCTACGACGAGGTGCACAGACCCCAGGCTCATCTGACGGGTCCCAGGGACGTATGGGTATCATGAACGGCTTGTTCAAGAGTCCTGGCGGAAGTATGCGTGGTAGCTTCTCTAGCAGGCGAAGCAAGAGCGCAATGAGCAATCGTCGACCAATTGAACCGACGATATACGACGCAAGTGTGGTTGAGGACAGTACTGAGGATCTGGGTGCTGTGCTCNGGGGACATGAGCACAACCATGATAGGCTGGAGAATGTGAGGGCGTGCTGTGATGGTAAGTCTCCTTGAACGCTTCTTGCACAGTTTAAGACTAACATGACATAGNGCAAACATGATGTTGGCTCCTTGTCTAGAAGTGCAGGACGACACATGATGGGCACATTGCGACACACACATACCAATGGTGCAGCTATGAGCAATCAGCATCTAACCGCTGAGCCTCTGCCCACCTCAAACCGTCCGCGACGAGGAGAGTAGGCTGGCTTAATCTCTACTGACCTTCCACCACCATTTTCGTAACTTTTCTTTTTGACTGCTGTTCTGCGACATGTCACTGGTCTGATGGTTGTCTGAAACTCTTGTTCTTGTTTTTGTCTCTTCACATGGCTGACTACTACTTCTTCATCTCCTTTGTTTTTCCCATTGCTTTGTATAGATCTGGACTATTGAGGATCACTTCTTATTTGTTCCACTGCTGTGCCATTTGAACTCTAGAATTGTTTTTGTTGAAGGCAGTATATTAAATGCAGCGTGAATTGCACTTTGATATGCGACTAAACAGCAAAGCTTTCTGAACTAGATCAACAGAACTTAGTACCAAGTCGTTTGTAGATAACTAGACCTCGCGTGTGTCAAACACTGTCACAGTGTGACTATAGAAGTGCCCAATACTTTCCACACAATAGAGGAACATCCATCGAGAGTGTGTAATCCCTGGGCATCTCTTTGGCCACAGCTTGATCCGAAAAGCGACCGTGCATTTTTATAGCATATGACAACACTGTATGTCAACATAAGAGAGGGCCGATCGCGAGTTTGTAACTATTGTTTGCACATAGGAAGGCAGGTCCACAGCAAATCGCAAGTGTTACCATGCGATACCCTAGTCCATCGTGAGTGATAGCCTGTTAGAACTTCCATCTCATACTCTTGTTACCCTTTATGCTCTTGATAGTCTTTAAGTCGATATTGATGGTACGTTGAACAGTTCTTTCGCTGCCACGAGGCTCACCACTAGACTCACCACCATCCTTGTTGTTCGACGAGAGTTTGGACATCATTCCTCTCATTTCCCTCATGCCTCTCAAGTGGTAGAGCAGAACTTCGGAGGCAGGTTGTTCGCCTAGGCTGTCGTCAGAAGGAAGGGAACATTTGTTCGTACGAAATTCTCTGCTAGGAGAACGAGCGAGACGTTTGCGGGGAGGGGGAAGAGGACGTCTGCCTGCGAGAGGGCCGAAATTTCTGCTGGAACATGGAACCAGACATTCGGCGCAAGGAGGAACCGAATTCTTTGCCGAAAAAGCAGACGAGACTTTTTGGCAGGAGCGGCTAGAGAGCTCTTGTCAGCAGGGGGAGCAAGAGCGATCTTGCTGGCAGAGAGGATTTTGGTGTCAAGGGGAGTCTCGTCGGCAGCGAGGGGCCTCATTGGCGGGAGTGGCGTTGTTGATGGGAGGAGCCTTGTTGACAAGAAGGACCTCGTCGACAGGAGGGACAGCAGAAGCCTTGTTGACAGCACCGCCCTCATAGGCAGTAGGAGTCTTGTCCTTGTCGGCAGTGGAGGTCTTGTCGTCGTCGGTGTCGAAGAATTCGTCATCGCCGTCCGTGTCGAGAAGTTCTTCGTCGTCGGTATCGACGAGCTCTTCCTCATCTTGTTCCACCTCCGCGGAGCGATCTTGCTCCATGTCTGCGGCAAGGGTGTCGAGGATATCGCGCAATTCGCGCAGGAGCTCATCTGTCTTTTCATTCCGGCCGACACGCCAGATGTAGCGACAATGCTTCAATTGAGTCTCGGCGAGAACACGCCCCTCCTAACATGGCGTCAGCCTAGCGTCACTTGGAAGAGCCACGATGCAAATCACAATATACCTCAGCTTCATGCCAGTCGTCCAAAGCGGACGCCAGAAGCGAGTGACAGTGAACTCGAAAGTAGGGCGACATTTCTTCGTAGGGAAGCATGGCACGGCAAGCTGCGATGCTTACTGAGTACCTACGGTCGTTAAAGATCTCAAGGGCGTGCTCCATGCGATCCTTCCAGGCGTGTGCCGAAAAGAATGTTATTGTGTTGGACATCAAGGCTGAGAATGTAGATAGTATCGAGGTAAGACCAGCTATGTGGAAGGGTTCGGGGCGCAGATGACAGTGTAAAGTTCTGGTAGCAAGTGAATCGACGCCTTGTTGTCTCGAAAAGTATTGGCCGAGAGTGAGTCGTAGACGCTGAAAATCCTGAATCATAGCTGGAGATCAAAGTGAACGAGGCCTCGATGAATCTATCGGTCCATAAGAGTTTTGGAGGATACAATCGTTAAGGAAATAGATATTTACTCCCAAAGCATCTTCATCACAACACCTTTCCAACCCTCCCGCACCGGCTCGGGCGTCTCAGGATTATCCCTGATCTCATCTAAGGCAGCTCTGATGGGAATATTTTCGAGTGCGACAATCTTTGTTCCCTTGAGATACTTCCATCCGAGGTAGGCGATAAGGATCAGAGGGATATCACTAGAATTATTGTTAGTGATCTGCTTCATGTGACAGTACAGAAGAACCTACAGGTATGCCGAAACGAAACCCGAGACACTCCAGCCCCTCGCGTAAACACAGCAAAACCGTTGGTTAGCAAAATCAACAGACATGCTGTCAGCGCAACAGCAGAACTGTAAGCTATCGTATTTGTCAGCATAAACATCCCCAACCGGAAGAACGCTGCTGAAAGCTTACGGGTCCACTTGTTGTGCCATGGCAACTCCGTCCGCTCAATCCCCTGCTTGCGCATCGCCGCCATCAGCCTCAGGTGCGATGTCAAGATACAAGTCCAAGATATTAGAACACCACACGCGGTCAGATCAACGAGCCACCAGAAGACGGTGAGAGCTCCGGAAGACAAACTCATGAAGGCTAGGAACATGAACAGAGTCTGTAAGAGGACACACATGTAGGGTACACCCCAAGCGGTGGTGCGTAAGAAGATAGCAGGCGCCTGTTTCTTCAACGCCAATGAATAGAGCACACGTGTTCCAGCCAGAAGAGCTTGATTCGAAGATGACCACGCGGACGTGATAACCACTGCGTTCACGATGGAAGGGATAGCCTTGATGCCTGCCGCAGAAGCAGCAATCACAAAGGGACTTTGTGCTGCAGTGCCACTTTCATCTTCGAGACGTGGGTCGTCGCTAGACACCAACATACCCACGATCAATACCGTGGCAACGTAGAACAGCGATACACGTGCAAAGACCCTTTTACACGCTTTCGGGATATTTTGGCGCGGGTTTCTCGTCTCAGCCGCAGCCATGGCGATGGATTCGACACCAGCAAAAGAGAAAACCGCATTTATCATGACACTCCAAAAACCGAGAAAATTTCCCCACGCTCCAGTAGCAATGTGTTCGACAAAAGGACCAGGGTGAGTCCAGTATCTGAAGCCAATGCGAGAGACTCCAGGCACGCCGCCGAGATCGATACAAAGACCCAAGATGATCAGTCCAACGACCAGGGCTATTTTCAAAAGTGCAAAGCAGAATTCCACCTCGCCGTAAATGCCGACAAATGCAATGCCAACCACAAAGGTCAGAATGATGAAAATGACAATCCAGAGGGACGAGTTGATATCTGTCCAGTATTGAAAGAGCACACAAATGGCCGAGATCTCCGAAGGAATCGACAGCCAATTTCCGTAGACGATATTCCATCCTATGGCAAAGCCCAGTGCAGGATCGACAAGAAACTCTGCATGGCGGACAAAAGATCCAGTAACCGGCAGTAAAGCAGTGACCTCTCCAAGGGCAAATTGCACAGCACAGACGATGAGGCCGACGAAAGCATATCCAAGCAAAGCACCCAGAGGTCCACCGGTCTGTAGAGATGATCCAAGTCCCAAGAAGAGTCCAGTGCCGATAGCGCCTGCAGCTGTGTCAGGTGATGCAAATGTATCGGATTGAGATGCGATTACCAGCAAGAGCAATCATCTGGATATGCCTTTGACCCAACCCACGTCTCAGATCCCTCTCTTCATTTTCGGTGACAAAATCGCCATGTTGCACGTTCTCATGCACGCCATAAGCGCCCACATTAGCAGTCTTGCCTGGCGCATCATGAATACCCTCGATGGACATTTTGACGAAAGCCACTCTCTAGAGTGCTGTTCAGTCAGCAGAACACAAGGTGTAGAGCAGAATAAGCAGAAAGAAGAGGTGTCGAGTTTCGTGACAGTCTGATTTTGTTGAAGCTCTTCATTCCTTTCTTTCCTTGCCCGTGGAGGTCGCGTGCTTGGAAAGCTTAATCGCGCCACCCATCTAGATAAGCACTCTACGGATTGGGACATATTAGCCGAGCATTGACACCGTTCGTCTACAAACCTTTTGGTTCTGTTCTGTTGATGGCATTCAACAAGTATTGTTGTCCATCGTCGCAGTCTAAAACTATTGAAGGTGACCGACTTACAGCGTTGTCATACCGAAGCATGGGTGGTGTGCCAATAGGAATTCAATTGGAGATTTGTGTCTTTTCATAGCGTATACTTCGTCCTACGTCTCATGGGAGAAGGGTGGAGTTGTAGGCTTTAACACACGAGGAGGCTGTATGGGCACAAGAAGGTTGACAAACCTCTGTTCTGCGATTGCAAAAATCTTGAAATATGTTATTGTGAATTTTATCAGTGAAAGAACGCCTTCCTTCATTCCAAATACCCGGTATATGTGTTCGTGGTTTCCCGTCAATAGTTCTACCTGTTCGGCCTCACTTTCCAGCGTAGATTCCGGTTTCAATTGCAGAAAGCTGATCAAAGTCGCTGCTGACTGACTTGCCTCTCTTTTCCTTCTCGAGCGTGACGAAGCCAAGTACCTCGTACATCAAGACGACAATGGCCTCTTCAATCAATGCCATGCACAGCATGATGGTGACGCTGCCGTTGATTGAGCTGAAGGATGTGGGGTGGGCGAAGATTGATACAGCAGAATAGGCAATGCGTACGGCCAATAAGGGTAGACTGACTGCAAACACGCCAACAGCAATCTTTTGGGTGTGACAAGATGCGCCATGTGCTTTGCCGAGTGTGTGGATGGTCATGAATACCACGAGTGCCCAGGAGACGATGAAAATGATGATGCTGGCTCTCTGGAGAGCATCGGGCTGATAGGATCCGGTTGACGCCCAGCTGTTGTCTGCTCTGATACCGCCTGCAATACCCAGAATAAGACCAATGATAACTAGAATCTGACAGAACTTCATCGAGTCGCGACCAGCAACTACAGGGAAGTCGGTTTCTGCACGTTGAGCAAGTCTTCGAAGAAGTACGAGCGATGCTGATAGCAAGAGGGAGACGCAGATTGAGAAGGTTGTGACATATTCGGCCCAAATTGATGTGTTGGTAGGATAATCGATGGTTGCTAGTTGGAAGCCAGCACAAAGAATTCTGCCGATGCTGAAGACGAAGAGCAGACGTTCGCTGGCTGCCTTTTTGAGTCCATGTTGGATGAGTCGAACAATTGACAAGACACCTGTGCAAACGTAGAAGGCCAGGACAGCGATGAAGACATCGTTACGGTAGGTCAACATGATTGTTGATAGGCTCTTTGAAGGTGATAGTTGAGATTGTGTAGATGTGAAGTGAAATGGCTGATTGAAGGGTGGATGGATTCAACAATCAAAGTATGGACAAGCAGGTCTTATATGCATTTTCAGTCTTCGTTACAAGGTCGTCCTTGTCTCAGGGCTGTACTTCAGAGGGCGCGCAGATGTCTGGATTGGGGTTAGGTCTGACTACACAAGCGATGCCATGGCGAGCAGTCGGAAACAAGCTCATGTCAAGCCCAGATCCTCCAGAAGCTCAATAACATCTGTTGTCTTCGATTCAAGTTGTTGATTCGTCGCAGGAGTCGCTACGACGTAGAGAGAAGGCGCGTTGCATTCTTAATCGGGCAAAGCGTTTGGCGATCTTGATTCCCGAAGGATTCAGGTCGTACAAGCATAAGCTCTACTCAGCCATGTTCGCTCTATTTCCCTTCATGGAATCCTTCGCGCTCGTCGTCCCCTCTAACGACGCTGATGCCTTATCGAGGGAAACCCTCCCAGGGATGTGAAGAGTGTCGCAAACGGCGCAAGAAGTGTGACCTCCGACCAGGTGGCTGTGGACGCTGCGCCAATGCACATCGTCAATGTCCTGGTTATCCCCAGCAGGAAGGGTTGAGAATACTTGACCAGAGTGCAGAAGTCGTCGCCAAAGTTCTTGGTGTTCGCTCTAAAGGACAAACTCCAGAAGCAGTCGACGACTTCGATATTTCCTTCCAACCAGAATCCCCGCTGGGCTCTGACAGATTTTCGTCCGCTGCTCACTCGTCTTCAGCCATCTCCGCTCATGTGTCTCCTCCACCCATGGATAGCGAAGACCTGTCTCTTGCCTTTTTCTTCAAGAACTGCGTTATCAATCATCATGTGTACCACACTTGTGTCCACGAACCCGACAACAAGCATCTAATTGCCAGCATCAAAGCTTTCGGCATTGCCAACCTATCCAAGCACTACTCCGACAGGCGCTTGCTTATCTCTGCACAGCATCAATACGCTACCGCTCTCAATCTTACAAACCTCGCTCTTCGAGATCCATCCCAGGTCAAGCGAGATGAGACCCTGCTCGCAATCCTCGTTCTCACCAACTACGAAACTCTCACAGGTGGCGTTACACGTACTCTGGACGCATGGGAGCAGCATGTCAATGGCTCGGCGTCTCTGCTCAACCTTCGTGGCCTTGATGGTGTCCAAGGAACATCAGGCCGGGTACTCACTCTGCATGTCATCACTGGTATCAACGTTATATGTTTGCTTCGGAATCTGCCCACTCCGCCCTTCGTACATATCCTCCAGAAGAAGATATTCGAATATCTCTACGAGCCAAACAATCCTGCAATTAGGTATCAACGGATCAACCTAGAGTGTGCGGATTTCAGACACGCCGTTTCTCATTGTCTAATCACGTCACCCGAGGAGATCGTATCTCGCGTAGCTGAGTTGGATGCAAAACTCACAGATGCGTTTGCCAACGTGCCGCCAAGCTGGAAAGCCGACATCATTACACACTTTGTCCACAGAGAATCTGCCGAGGCTGGCTTGCCTGGCTTTGAGCTACGGTATGCAGATCAGGCGACGAATTACATATGGGCGTCGTACCGGTCAAGTCGGATCATGGTCAACGAAATTGTTCTTCAGTCGATAGCAAACGACTCAGATGCACATCAGTCGGCGCGGACCCGTTCACAAACCATCATGCGACAATGTCAGACCGAGATACTGGCTGGGATGCCACAGTACACCTCCAAGAACGATGAATTGTTGCCATGGTCAGGCTTCAAACGTCCGGTTCGTTACTTCGTACCTGAGGCTGCCTCAAGCGAGCTTCCGATCATGCGAGCTCTGTCTGGTTATGGCGTGTTGTGGCCCTTGTTCGTCGCTGGTTCGTGTTATATAGCTACTGTCGAGACGAAGACTTATGTGACAGAAGTATATCGATACTTCGGAGAGCAACTGAAGATTGAGCAAGCCCTGGTGCTGCGCAAGATGATCTTTGCATTATTAAGAGTTGCTCCGTCGCCAGGCCCCAGTACTGCGGCGGACAAGTGGTTCTAACGAGACTATGAGAGGTGAGGTTAGCACCTCTACCAACCATCTATCATTGGAGCAAACACTGTAAGCAGACGTACTCTTTCACGAAGTCAATGCACGTGGCCTTTCTCTGGGTTTCCAATCTCACCGGAGTCAGACTTGCAGCATGAAGGCCGAGAGTCGATGAGTAGAGCCAGCCTATGGTATCAGGTTCAACCAGATCCCCACTGCATTGAGACTCTTGGCTGGATAAAGGACTGTTCGAAAGTTCGATCGATGGTGACGATGTGACCTTGGGGCTTGGTTATGACGGGGAATACTTTGAGGATGAAGCCGGGAGTTACTGGTATCAAACCCGCCCCCTGCAAAGAGAAGTGCAACGTCCAGTCGAGTATTAGCCTTGGGTTACGCACTCCACAACTCGGTCTTCACATCTCAAGCTTCATTGTGCTGTTCGAATCATTGGCCATTATCGTGACCATTTTGCCAATTTCCTTTGCTTGTGCTCAACATATGTACGAGGACGTATAATCATGCACGAGTAGATGCTGCGAACAACAAGACGACGGTCCTCTACTGATACAGCATCAATGGAGGTCTTGCTTGGGTTGGGTCAGGGTGGTAGACTCAACATCGGTTTTTCTACCTCGGCTTTCGAACAGAACCAATTGTGGTAAGAGCTACCGAGATAAGTATCAAGTGAGAGTGTGTAAGAGAGTGTTCTATCTTCGCGGCTGAACTCGAAGTGAACCACATTTGTTCGGACGTCAGTGGAGGACGCCATACTCATTCCATCAAGCATGAAGCTGCCAAAATCTGGAAAGTGGTTGCGAGTATCGATAACAACACAACTAACTTATCCTATATTGGCAAGCCAAGTTGTCTGTCAAGGTTGTCAATAACCGAGGTGTTCAGAGAAAGCGTTGCAGCCTTGATAATGGTCGAGCAGTCATAAAAGCCATAGGACATGCAGTCGCTCTGTTGAAGGAGGAGCGTATCAACATTGAGCTAGTGTATGTGCTCCCTCGACGGTTCACCCCCACAGTGAGCAGCGGGTATGCTGATCGGTGGATGTACGATCAGCCTTTCTCGTACGCACACTTCTGTTGCGACATCTCAGCTGTATAAAATGCCTGTGCCGTGTCGTGTCGAGATGTACTCTACTTGGAGGCAAGTCCGCGGATTTGAAGATCTGTCTCCTCATGTCAGTACCCCGCAATATTCCCTCCGCACTGATCTGCAGTCCCCTGGGATCGTTTGCTCGTGTCGCGCACAGATGCAGAGGCCAGAACACTGACCAGCCGTGTCATGGAAACTTGACAGAACTCTTGAGCGTGCAATTTCTTCGGTCGCGTAGCCTACACAACATCGCACTCTGTTTTTGTTGACAGCTTCACTACCATAGTATCTTATCAGACCAACAGATTCGTTCTGTCGCAAGGATACACACCTGTACCGTGTGAAAGGAGATTCTGTGCGCCACAGCATGGTGGAACAGAATTACGAGCCTCGGGATAACTCACAGGCGCCACTTCGCCTATTCCCACCTCTCAGCGTCTTCCTAGATAACGGGTACGTAATTACCACTTCGAAGGATCAATCGAGCCTATCTTGATCTCGGTGCTGGTCAAACAATCAGATGTGTGGGTGTCGTAGTGCCGTGTAGGATGCATCATCTCGTGCAGTATTGTTACGGACCGGCATGCCTATCGATAGAAGCATTTTTCACAGTCACGACTCGCTCGCGACTCAAGCAGCCAACGAAGCTTCTCCAAGATCTCTGCCGGCGAGCGACAAGCCACTTCAAGCTCTGGCACAAGGTCTTGGACCCTGAGCTTGATGCGCCAAGTTCCGTCAGTTTCCGACTTGTGACCTCGAGAAGATAAGATCTCAGTCCCGATGAGGAAGGTGTCGAGCAGGTCAAGCAGTTAGAGTTGCTTTTGAGTGCTTGGGCAAAGGCTAGCGCAAACGTCTACCCCACTAGTCCCTCCTTCAACCATGGATTAGGCGGGTCGCGCGCAACGATGCACACACAACGAAGCTCATCTTGCAGAGCCCGCACGATAGTAAGCCCAAGGTCTATCCAAGCCGGGCTTCATGCTAGACGGTTCGCTTCGGCCTTTCCTCCCCAAACAGATAGCCTCCGCTTCTTGAACAGATTTAGAAGGGGTACCGGCTTCCGTTGGCCGACCTTATCTGTTGATCGAGCGAAGGAAAAGTAAGTTATAACAAGTCAACTCCCTCTGCTCCTGGGGCAATTCCCCATTCTTCCAATCGATCAACGCAATCATCCACATTGCCTAATACCGCGACTATGTCGTCCAAAGGCATTGGTAAGAGGTTTGGCTTTAAGAGGTCAAACACCAACCAAGATGAGCCTATCACGGTCAATGAGATCTCCAGACTCGACAGCCAGACCAAGAAGATTGGCGAGAGCAGCACGCTCGGCCCCGAACATGGAGTTGTAGAAGAGGTTGTTGTTGGTGATGTTCGCGACATCACCGAAGTTGAGGCCAACCATGCCCTCAAGTCCTTCAAGAGGGATCACATGTGGGACCCTAATATGGTGCGTACTAGAAGTTCTAGTGTGAGGATCAAGCATACTAATACGTACGCAGNNTCGGACGAGGCTATCGAGATGGTTGACGCTGTCACCGGTGCTCACGACGCCAAGGGAGAGGCACAATTGGTTGGCGCCATGATCGAGAACTCACCGTATCCTGAAGTAAGTGCCTCTCATCAAGCTGAGGTCCCCTCTGGCTGAACATTGTCANAGGTCCGCGCTGTCGTAAGAAACTATGACGAGGATGTGCCCGCAAGCACTATCAGAGCATGGACTATCGGTCTCATCATGACCACTATCTGTTCATCGCTCAACGCTCTGTTCCTGCTGCGCTACCCAAACATTTCGATTGGTCCTTACGTCGTGCAACTTATCTCCTACCCCATTGGTCTTGGCTGGGCGAAAGTCATGCCTAACAAGCAAGTCTNNCTTTTCGGATTGAAGGCCAACCTCAATCCTGGACCCTTCAATGTGAAGGAACATGTCATCATCGTCGCCATGGCCAACGCAGCTTTCGGTGGTGGTGCTGGTTACTTCGTCGAATCCGTTGTCTCTCTGAAGAAGTTCTACCACTTCGATACTAGCCAATTCGGCTGGGGATTCAACACTCTGTTCGCCCTGTCTACTCAGTGTCTTGGCTTTGGTCTCGCTGGCTCTGTCCGCAAGTTCCTTGTCGAACCCGCCGCCATGATCTGGCCTGGTGCTTTGGTCAACGTTGGTTTCATGTACGCCTTGCACGATCACAGCAAGGCTGATCCCGCAAGCACCAATGGCTGGTCAATGAGTCGTTACAAGTGGTTCATGATCTGTATGGTTGGCATGTTCGTCTGGTCTTGGTTCCCTGATTTCATTATCCCTGCTTTCAGCTACTTCGCATGGGTCACTTGGATTAAGCCTCAGAATGTCGTTGTCAACCAGCTCTTCGGTCAGCAGACTGGTGTCTCTTTGGGCTTCCCCTTTACTGGATTCACCCTCGATTGGGCTCAGATCAACTCTTTCTACGGCAGCCCTCTACTTTCCCCATGGCACGCTCTTGCCAATACCGGAGTCGGAATCGTCTTCTTCGGCTGGCTTGTCGTCCCTGCCCTGCATTACAGTGGCGTCTGGTACGCCGACTATGTGCCCATTTCACAGAACGGTATCCTGGATAACATGNGGGTAGGTTCAATAATGCAATGCTTGAGTGTTCAATACTGACTGGTGTCATCTAGTAATACTTATAATACTTCGAGGATCCTCACGCCAGAGCATGTTGTTGACCCTGCCAAGTACGAGGAATACTCGCCTCTGATGCTCTCGACCGCTTTCGCGCTTACCTACGGCATGAGCTTTGCCTCCATTGCCGCACTTGTCAGTCACACTTACTTGTTCCATGGTGCTGAAATTTGGCGTCGTCTGAGGTCCTCCAAGGGCGAGCTCGATGATGTGCACATGAAGATCATGCGCAAGTACAAACTCGTGCCCACCTGGTGGTACCTTGCTCTTCTGGCTGTCATGACCGCATTCGCCTTCGTCTCCGCACTTGCATACCCGACTGGTATGGCTTGGTACTCCGTCATTCTTTCACTGGTCATTGCGACCGTGTTCACCATTCCCATCGGTATCATTCAGGCTTTCACTAACATTCAGCTGGGTCTCAATGTATTCACCGAGTTTATCATCGGTTACGTCCAGCCTGGGCACCCTATCGCCATGATGATGTTCAAGACTTTTGGATACATCGTCATGACCCAGGCGCTTTACTTCTGCCAAGATTTGAAGCTCGGTCACTACATGCATGTTCCCCAGCGATCTTTGTTCACTGCTCAACTCGTTGCCACTGTCTGGTCTTGTCTTTGCCAGCTGGCCACAGTCGAGTGGGCCATGGGCGCCATCAAGAATGTCTGTACCAGTGCAGCACAAGGGTCCTTCACTTGTGCTTCGATCAAGACCTTCTACAACGCCAGTGTCATTTGGGGTGCTATCGGTCCTAAGCATCTCTTCTCCTCCGGCGCCGTGTATGAAGGTCTCCAGTACTTCTGGCTGGCCGGCTTCATCTCGCCCTTCATTGTCTATGGACTCGCTCGTGTATTCCCCAAGATGTCTTTGATCCGCAAAATCAGCATGCCCATTATTTTCGCTTGTTTCAGTTACGTTCCCCCTTACTCGGCCATGAACATTGTAAGTTTTCACCCTGCTCTCGCCAAGGAAAAACATCACGCTAACTCATTTCAAAGCNTCTCTTGGGTCTTGGTCGGCTGGGCTTTCAACAAGTACATCCGTAACAAGTACCGTGGATGGTGGATGGAGTACAATTACATCACCTCTGCCGCTTGGGACGTTGGTCTTGCGCTCTGCGCCATTGTCATCTTCTTCTGTGTGCAACTTCCCGGTTCGGGCATGCCCGACTACTGGGGAACTACCATTATCAGCACAACCCTTGATGGTGCTGGTGGTAACGTCAGAAAGACGGTTGCCGATGGCGAGTACTTCGGTCCCAGAACCTGGAAGTGGTAAATTTGGTGGTTGTGGACCCTCAGCCAATGTCGGCGACCAACAGTCTGTGGCTTCTCGTCGTGGATACTGGCTTTGTCTAGTCTGTAATATGTATGTATATCACATCATAATGTTTTTCCAACAATTTGCATATCTCATCTGCTTCCAATACATCCGTTCAGCGATACATATCATGATCGCGGAGTTACAGCTAGGAAATAAGCGTCTTAGTAAGTAAGTTTGGAAAGATTTCGTCACAAGAGGTTCACTTGCTGTTGTTGCTAGCGAACCACACGCGGTCGTGTTGAGATGGAAGGAGCGTTCCCAGCTCGCTCACCCACAGTCACTTCCAAAATCATCTGCGACCACTCCGCTTTGTTCTCTATCGTTCCTTCTTTTCTCTTCAAGCACGCGAATCATCACTCATCACTCGATCTTCACCCCACCTTATCAATCACTCAAGTTGTACACTAAGACTGATACTTAACGCGACGCATCCCTCTGTCGTTCTCAATAACGCCGCCACTTTGGCATAAACATGAGCTACGATTGCGAGACTTGCGACAGATGGTTCGCAAGTCGACAAGCAGTTGAGCAACAAATGAATGCACTCGATCACTGGCAGTGGCCATACGAGTGTGAAACTTGCGACAGGCGTTTCGCAAGCCAACAGGCAGGCGAGTAACACGTGAACGCTCTGGATCACTGGAACGCACAGTCTTCCAGTTCAGAAGACGACGACGACGACGATTGGCATGAGTACGATAGGTGTGAGCGGACTTTTGCCTCGTGGAAGGCTTGCACACAACACATGAACACTGTCGCCCATTGGTTCACTGACAAATGCGAGACGTGCTCCAGACGATTTGTCAACAAATTCGCCGCGGAACAACACATGGATGTCCTGGGCCATAGATCATCGCAGTACTGCTCTGGCTGCGACCGCTACTTCCAGAACCCCAGCGGCCTGTTTCAACACACGAGTTCGGCCGTTCACCTTCGCGCGGATCCTATCCACGCTGCCCCTACACCGCCTACTCCCCGCCCACCACCTGCCCCTGTCGCCGCTTACGTTTCCACCTTAGCAGCTACCGCTCGTTCTTCGACTCTGCTAGCCACCAATTCCAGCGCAGCTCCACGCTGTCCACCATTCGTCAACACGGTACCTGCTCCACCTGCCACGCCTAGTCGAGTCGTCCCTCCGGCCCCGACTATCACACCCAGACAGTCCACTAATCCCGTATCATCAAACGCACGGCCTAGAAACACCGGTACGAGATCCACGCCGTTCAGCGTTGTCGTCGAGTGGGATCTTGCATCCTCCACGACCATTCACTACCAGTCCATCACCTTCACGCAACCTTACTTAGCACACTCTTTCGAAGAACTGAAACTGGTTGATTATACAGATGGCTGTACACCTCCAAACACCAACAGACGGACTGCTGCTTTCGGATTGAGCACTGCACTCGGGGCTGGGATCAATTCAGGTGCTGATTCATTCCAGCCTGCTCGCTCTAGCGATTTGGCCGCCACTGCCGCTGCCGTCTCATCTACCGCATCTGTTCCCTCATTGCTAGAAGCACTTACCAGAACAGATCAACGCAGACCGACATATCCCCTCCAGGGTCTACCATCTTTCTATCGGCCAATTCTTCTCGAGCCACCACGCCTGATGTCACGGCCACCGGCGGCGAAAACACATACGGCATCGCCACTGGTTTGACCACTTCCACTGCTGGCGATATTGCTGGATTCCACCTCATCCATGAAGCACGCTCCAGATTAATGAAACTGGCCAAGCACGAGGATGACAATCTTGCATCTTGGGTTCCTCAAGGTGTTGGTCCTGTTCGCATCCTCGCCAGCAAAGAGACTGCGAAACCTCGTATTTTTATGCGCGCCGATCCGTCCGGCAAAGTCGTTCTGGATGTCGGTATTGCGCTCAAGGCCTCTCTATATAAATTGAACACATCCAGGATTGTACAGTTGATCGTCTTCCCCGAGAATGCCAAGAGACCAGAGCTCTTCACTCGTGCCTTCAAAGACGAGATGAAGGCCCAGGAGTTCTTGGAAACACTCCACGGAGCCATCACCAAAGCTCAAAGCCCAACCATTGATCACTCGCCATTTTTCGCTCACCGAGGTGAAAACACAACAGACAGAACCTCTCGAGAGCCCCGGAGTCATTCACTGTCCATTCTGTCGCCTTGGCTTTTATGCCCTTTCTGAGGTCTTCGAGCACCTTGAAACTACATCTTGTAGAGCACGCCCGGACCTGGACCGCAGCGTCATCTACCGTCATCATCGTCAACATGATCCACTCGGCGAATTTCCGGATCACGACGTCTCCAGTCTGATAATCGAGAACTCACTGTACCATTGCTTTAACACCACCGGAAGTTGTTAAGGCAAAGGTTTACCCTCCTTCACTGCGCTTTATACCCATCTGGAAAGCGAAAGCTGTGGCTACATCAAGCGCGTGGACCTGCAGAAGAAATTCGGTAACCTTAAGGACTTGTTTCCTGTATTCGGGTTATGCTAGAGAACGAGATGAGCATGGCCAAAGTGAAAAGGTTGGAGCATGAGTTTATCAAGAGAACTCGAGTATCATTCAGCGGGTCGTTAGATTGGAGTAGAAACCTGGTAGTATGTAGCTTTGCTTTGCTACGCTAGAACACCAGCATGCTGTACTTACTGCAAATGTATTACCCGTACGAAGGCTATTCCGAACAACTTTGAATACAAGACACGACCTCAGGAGACCACACAGAACCGCGAAGCTACGATGAAGTAGCTCTGGCCCTCTTGCCTTGAGATGTTTGGTCTCTCGTGCTAGGCCCCCTCTTCTGCCCCGTATTCTTACCATAAAGATCATTCCATCTCCTCTGGATAGCCAGCAATGTAAACCTCGTCTCCTTGGCCGAATCATATCTCCCACCGAGATCCTCCAGAGCTCTGAAGCAAGTATTGAGGTACCCAGTCATTCCGACATCAATCTCTCTATGCGGCAACGGCACAGTAGCAAAGATCAATATCAATGCTGCAGAAGAGAGTATACGTATAATCTCGACATTGATGAAGCGGAATGAATATTGGATCTCGTAGATGCGGAGGAGACGGGCAATTTCTGTTGCAGAGGTTGCACAAATGTGGCGAGCATGATGTACGCCTCGTCCTTGAGGNGGTTGCGGTTGCAGTTGCGAGCTTGTCCATGGTCTGTGTAAGAAGATTTGAAGGTGATAGTACTCCATGTGCAGCATAAGCAGCTGGGGCAGTTTGACGGTTTCGGTATCTGAAGTGTTGATTTGAAGGTGTAAAGGTAGAGAATCTTTCCACTGGAACAGCTCGGTCGTTGTTTCTTCGCACAGTTCTTGGAGTGCTGGTTTGGAGATTGATGTGTAGGAGTAGAGGGCATGGCCCACGACGGCAATGTTTTGACAGAGGAACAGCCAGTGGTGGAAAATCTGCGGTGTAATGTCTGGTAGCTCTGACGGATTTTGCTGCATGTTGTTCGGTACAAACTGCAGCGAAGGGACGGAGTAGGGTTGCCAAGTAGAATTTGTCGGTAAAGTCTTTGGGTCAGGCTTAGGAACCGTCACCTCGCTGTCATCCATCGAGAAGGGGCGACCGAGATGGAAGCTCCAAAGAAGATTCGAAAGATAGCAGCCCCAGAAAGCTACTTGACGCGCACGAGCTTCGGCCACTGTCAAGATTCCTTGAGCCACATATCCTCTGCTGTCGACGTGAAGGCCAAGATCAAATGCTATCCTCATTGCCATACCGCCAAACAACCAGCCTCTCGCGATGTTTTGGCACGATTCCTCGTAGCTCGCAAGTATTACAAGCGCCTGTACAGTGGCCACGCAAGGGCTATCAAGGTGAGAATCGAGCAGTATCTTTGCTCGGTCTGAAAAGAACTGAGGCATCGAGCGAGGATAGGTTATAAGCGACATGTTGGAGTGATTCCCAAAGGAGGCGCCGATTGCGCACNNCTAGATACTGAAATCAGTACTCCGCGCTCCTAGATGCGCAAATATTACTCACATTGCGTCCTTCAGCACATCATTATAGTAGCTGTTATGAACTCCAGTATTGAAACAGCTCTGTTTAGCCATGTAAAAGACTTCTTCGTCCACAATGTAACTGCTAGGGTTGTGCCATGTGAAAAACAACCGGAGAAGGTGGTCCTCGAGCTGTATATCTACCACTTGGCTCAGATCAGCGACTTCGAGTAGACGCTGGACATTGACCCTGGATGGTGTATGGAGCATAAAATTTTCGCCCGATTTGCTCTGGTTCTCTATCAGATGTAAGTTTGATGCAGTGCCAAAATATCTTAGCTTTCCATCTGGAGCCAAGCGGAGAGAGCCAAGACGGGCAGAGAGTTGATTAACTAGTTCGGTGTTCTCTTCGTCGCCGGAACTGATATTATCATCCTGTTGACGTGGTATTTGCTCGATTTGGCGAAACGACATGGCCTCATACTGGGAAGTGGATTGTTGCGGTATTTCCACTGACGGTTCGGTCAAGAAGTGCAAGGAAAGATCGCTAGGGTCAAANAGATCAAAGTTGAGCATATTATCCAAGGTCGGAAATGGCCAGTCTGGCGATATGTGGTTTGCACCCGAAACCATGTTGGTATCCAACGATTGTGTTGTTGGTTGAGTATGCATACCAGCCATGATCCCGGCAACTTCGTTTAAGTCCGACTGCTGATATTGACCATGTCTAGAGGAATTTTCCGACGCAACCTTCTGCAGTGCGACATTACCCTTAGTTGGGTCTGGAGAGCTTGCTGATGACGACTTTTGAGCTTCAGGTGTAGATATCTGTTGCTCGGAAGAAAGGCGGGTAGGCACTGTAATGTTCTTGGCGGCCGAAGACTCGTAAGGTGGAGCATTGGAGAGACCAAGAGTACCAAGTACACGTTCCAGGAATTCGTCGTCTTCGATGTTCAAAGGAGGAACTTCTATACCTGCTTCGACCATAATCTTGTCGAGCTGCTGTACCCGCCGGACAAGGATATGGACAGCAGTGCGAAGCTGAACTCTANNGCCAGGGTCAGCTTGAGCTCCTGTCAACATAAGAAAGAATTCGACGATCGATGATCAGTCTGGGCTTCTCTAAAGATGTGTCTCGTACCGTCTTTTGTCATCTCGAGAGTCATAAACACACACTCTCTCCTTTTTCACACAACCACTGCAGGGCTGCTGGTTGTCACACNNTACCATTGGTCAGGAACACGTTCGATGTACAGCGAGAGCAGACACGTAACGCTCGAGTCACACCTTGATTTTGCTTTCTCGGCAGCCCTTGCATGCATTGGAAGCGTTCTTCCTGACCGCCTTGTTGGCTTTCTGTTCCAGATCCTCCATAATGATTCGGGCACCTATGACCGCGTCTGCAACACCATTACTCAATGAGACGTGAAAGGTTCGGAAAATATATCGAGAAGGATGGCCGTCGAGCAAGTCGTTGTCTCCTGATGCTGACGTCGGCTTTTGGTTGGCCTTGGCGGAGTGGTCGTTCAGCAGGCGTGGCTTTGGGATTATTATCACGACTATGATGGTGTTACCAATGCGTTGTTGTTGAAATTACTTCGTGAAGGGCGACACGTGTTTGGCAATGGCCTGGATGCAGAGAAGGTGGAAAGCACGAGTAGAGCAAGGCCGGTTGAGATGCCATCGGAAAATGGCTTCCGAGGTCACCCCGCTTGCTCCTTGTTTCTGCAGCCCTGGCCAACAACAATGGAGCCCTCGGGAAACATGGCAGGCAGGCAACTCCTTGTCATTACGCTTCGTTTCAAACCTGCAGCTTATAATGACCATCAAGAGCCACGACTGGCGCAAGATACTCGAGCGCAGAAGCTCGTGGAATCTGCTCGAGCTCTCGCCGAGAAACTTTGCCAAATCCTGTTCGTGGGATACTTTCGCAAAAGATGACACCGCCTGTTGGAGACTTGTATGCCGAAAGACTTGAAGCGACATAGTTGGCAAGCTCCTGCTGGTCAACTGCTTTGCTGCAGACCACATAGGCCACGGGTTCGGAATATCCATCGCCTCTTCGGCCGGGTCGCGCAGTCACGGCGGCGTCGGTCACGCACTCGTGTGTTTTCAGGACATCTTCGACTTCATCCGGCGAGACCTCTTTGCCGTCGAAGACTTTGAAAATGTCCTTGTAGCGGCCTGTGATACGATATTCCTCTCGTGCCGAATCGAACATGACCTTGTCGCCGGTCCGATACCATCGTCCGGTTGCATCAGCGAGGTGCGAAAATTCGTTGCTCTCCGGATTGTTGTAGTAGCCACTGAAAACTGGCACACCTCGAAGAATCAACTCGCCTTCCTCGTTCTTGTCGACATCCTGGAGCGTATCGGGGTTGATGATCCTGCATGACGGATCAGAATCAAAGTCAATGTGTCTTTACCCTGATAAGTTGACCAACCTGACCTCCACTGTCCCTGGTATCAGACATCCGACATATCTGTGATCAATCTTAGCACCAAATTTGGGTGCAAATACAATGCCAGCTTCTGTACTGCCATAAGCCAGTTTGATACTAGCCTCCTTCGGCAATACCGCTTGTAAGGTGGCGAGATTTTTCTGCGTGACAACGCTGCCACCACACGCGAAGCTACGAAGGCTATCCAGAAACTCTTTCGGTCGCATCCCCGAATCAATCACGGCCGCAATCGAGTCTGAAAGCCGCGGATTGGCGGTCATGGCTGATATTTGATAGGCGTGGATACAGTCCACGATTGACGTCGGCTCGGTAATACGCGAGATATACGTCTTCTGCCCTAAATAAAAGGTACAATTAGCATGATTTCACTGAGTTGGATGTAAGAACACCACGGCTTTGCTGCTTGAGTGCACTCAGTTCTGCGAGATGCCATCCCGGATCGTGTTTCGTCCAAACACAACCCGGCTGGGCTCTTTGTACAGATCGAGGCAGAGTGCCAGCACTAGTCATGGTGATCGTACCTCCGGCTTGACTTACAGCCCATCATTGTGGCTAGAAACATAAACATAGATGACCCATGATACTGTGGAGTACAATGGAGCGCTCTGTGGGTTATCTTGGACGCGTGAAGATTCGGCGTGCGTGCGATCGTGGCCTGATGAGTGCAGTCTGCAGCTTTAGGCCAGCCTGTCGTGCCACTGGTTAGGACGCGGAAATAACTTTGCGTGCCTGAGACCGAAGGAGGTTCGTAATCACCAGCATCAACGGCGAGGAGGCTACTGAGAGTAACAGGACCTTTGGTATTCTCTTTCGGTGCCCGTACGTCAAAATCCAAGACTCGCGACTCTGATATTCCAGCTCTCGCGGCTGCACCAAGAACAGTCTCGCGGAATTCGTCCTCAGTAAAGATCCAGGTAACTCCACAGGCCATGAAATATCGCTCAAGTTCAGCAGAGGTACTGTGTGGTGGTAGGCCAACACATGTCCCGCTCATAGTAGCAACACCCACTAATAGGATACAGTGGTAGATGTCATTGCGACTGACCAAAGCAACGCATTCGCCCTGCTTAACATGGACGTCGTTGACCAAGCCTCTTGCAATCTTCCGGATCGAATCAATACTGTCTTGCCATGTCAGCTTTCGCGATGGATTGTCAGCGTCTACGAATGCCTACACGAACAGTCAGCAACGCAGTCGGCTTTCGAGTTACTCCTAGCAGGGCATTACGTACCACATCTGGTTGGTTCGCGGATTTGTTTTGCAAAATATATTCAAGTACGCCCATTTTGTTGTTACTATAGTATGATACGGAGGAAACTTCCTGAAGTTGGCAGGACTCTGATCAACTATATAAAATAAATGGTCCTTCCAATGACGATATCATGTCTGCCTAAAGATACCTGCTCTTCATCTCAAAAGTTTCGAAGGACCGATTGGATCGCATCGGCGCGGGTCACAATCTGAATGAATGGTGGTTAAAAGCATCCGCCGACTGAAACGTAGGCTTGCATGCGAGCTCTACGCGCCGGGACTAGCGAGCACAGTCAGCCGGAAGCGCAGTCCGCTGGAAGCGGTCAGCCACACCAGTATCCAGTCAAGTATGTGTATGCTATAAACATCTGCATCTCTCAAGTCCTAGAGAAGAAACGTGGACTATGATTGTAACAAGATTAGGCGTGGACAGTCGGTCTCAGTGGTTGCCCTCCATATATCTGGCGAGACCTACACTACCTACGTGCTAGGCTCTCGCACGTAGCCGACGGTAAGGCTTGTCTTGACCCCATCTTGCACATCAGTTTACCCGAGTTCAGGGTACGTAGCAAGAGGCATGACTACCGCCTTAATCGACCAGGGATCATATAGTATAACACCTACTCAAGTTATACGCCGATCACGAATCATGGCGAAACAAATGGCCTTGTAAATACATTGTTTCGCCGCGCGTTCGTCACATTTGTCATGCTCCTTGAGCCACGGGAGCATTAAGAGGATTCGATCAGATGAACAATGCTGGCTCTGCCTCAGATATGCGTTACCTGGCAACCCCACGCGTAGTATGCTTGTCAGCATGCTGACCGGTTCGGCGGACGAGGACCTTACTGCAGCGACTGTCACCACGAGCCTCGAAATGCAGATTGCTCACATTGGATCTAGCATCGCCAGGCTCAATCCAATCGACCGAAGTAGTTCGAGTGTTGCGCGACCGAAAGCAGACACCGAATGTAGACGCTGTGAAGATTATCCAACGAGGCGCGGCATGCTTATTCGCCTTTCAAAGGATTGTAGATCAAAAGATCTCTGTTTATGAGGCCAACATGTGTCTCCTTTCGTCTGTCAGATTGCAGATAGAAGCCAGGACCCAGCATGTATATGAAGAGTTCTCGAGCACAAAGACCGCGGATGTACCTGAGGTCGGGGTGCGATCGGAGAAAGTGTTTCCGAGACCACCCCGCCACCAACCCCACTCTTTGAGGGCAATCGTGAGCCGCTCAATATACAGTTTCCAGAACAACCACCCTTTTCGAAAACCCATCACTGCACACCTACTGCCATCATGAGCCCCCATGCAGATGTCACGTCAGCCAATGACTGTCAAAATTCCCAAACAGCAATACCATCGAGGCTCTACGCAATCGAAGATCTTCCTAAGGTGTCTAGTCTGGCACACATCTGCAATCGCACTGTCAGCAAGAAGAATTATCCCTTGGCTTCTGATGTGCAAAAGAACATCCCCATCTACAACCTGGCTCAACACAAGTCCGACAAAACAACGGCAGACAAGCTCCAGGATGAGTGGTATGAGATTCTAGCCAACGGTCCCGGTGTTTTCGTGGTTCAGAATATGTATACCGACAAATCTGTACTCGACGCGACAAACGACGCCTTCCGTCAAATCATCGAACGCGAGAAGTCGAACACGAGAGGTGACCACTTTGGTCATGGGAAAAACGAGCGTATTTGGAACTCTCTGAGCAAACATGGTCTGCAGGACCCAAAGTCTTTCGTACAGTACTACTCCAACCCGTGGCTAGCTCGAGTTTGTGAAGCTTGGCTCGGACAGCAATACCGTATCACAGCTCAAACAAACATTGTCAAGCCTGGGNGAGCAGCGCAAACCAGTCACCGCGACTACCATCTAGGTTTTCAGACTGCAGAGGGATGTTCAAGGTTTCCCAAAGGTATCCAATACGCGAGCCAGTTCCTGACGCTGCAAGGTGCTGTGGCGCAGAGCGACATGCCGCTGGAGAGTGGTCCTACGCGCTTTCTTCCATTTAGTCAGAAACTCGACTCAGGTTACATGGCTTATCGTCAGCCTGAATTCGATCAGTACTTTAGTGAACACTGGGTTTCGCTGCCACTGAAANAAGGCGATGGCGTGTTCTTCAACCCAGCCCTCCACCATGCTGCTGGCAACAATACATCCGATGTCGACAGAAGCGCAAATCTCCTTCAGATCAGCAGCGCATTTGGAAAGCCTATGGAGCAGATCGACGCGATACCGCTTGTCAGAACATGCTGGCCGGAAATTGCAAGCCTCTTCAAGACAGAAGGGTTGTCTGATCGTGTAGAAACTATTGTTGCAGCCATTGGCGAGGGCTATCCGTTTCCGACAAACCTTGACAAAAGACCACCTGCTCCTAGTGGTATGGCTCCAAGCAATGAGCAAGATGTGATGCGGGAAGCAATCAAGGCAGTTTGGGACACTGATCAGGTCATCGTAGCGTTGACGCAGATGAGATTCGATAGCCAGCCATAATAACGACGTACCTAGAATGAAGTACGGGGATACATGTCGATGCAGCAAGTGGTTGGCGCAAGATGCAGACTTGTCTTCTCGAAACCCAGCCGTGCTCGACCGCCATCAAAGCATGGAATCCGGGTTGAACACCTGCAGCGATGTTCGAAACCAGTAACTCATTGAGTGAAGAGAAGGACCCAGTCATAACTTCGGTCATTGGTCGAGCGTTTTGGGACCTTGCTTGTTCTAGAGAGCTGGCGTGTGATATGCAACGCCTAATGGCCAGAATTCCGGGTTCAAAATTGTAAGGATGAAGAGACTCCACAGGCTACCGTGATCTTGCATACATGTCAATTCCGACCGTTTTTTGACTGGGTCTGCTTCTCTGCGCATCGTTGCAGGCCAGACGCAACAGGCAAATTGGGACACTTCTCCGGGAGGTTGGAGTATTCTGTCTCAATGACATGGTTGTTCTTACCAGCCACCTGAGATCTTAGCGGGTTGCGGATTGATGACTGGCCATGTACGTCGAGTCAGGCATGAAGAGTCGAGGGATAACATCGACTGCTTTTGTCCAGAAGGGTTTGAGAGTACTACGATATCAACGCGACGTTTGTTGCGAGGAACGATGTTTGGTGGTGTGAGTCGAATGAAATGGAAGTTCGTGCGGAAGGGGATTGCAAGACAACGGCTCGATTAGGCTGATAGAGCTGGGAATGCCAGATTACTCGTGCGGACATGGGGACTGGTTAGTGGTCCAGCAATCTACCAATATGCGTCAGCTTCATCTATGCTGTCGTGAGCGTGATTACAAGCTGTTCAGACTTCGTCGAGGCTGTGGGACTGTCGATGTGATAGAAGGCGCCAACGACGCGACAGAAGATTGTAAGCGCTGCAACCGAAATACTTGATGTCAGCATCATGAGATGTTGGAAGGTCACCTGTATTAACTGGAAGATGTTCGGTCAGACCCACTAGGTGTTGATTGATGAGATGCGACTGTACGTGTACAGCTGGTGAAGATCTTCGAAGCCTCCGCCTTGATTTCTTCCACACCATACGACTCAGATTGAGGTGCACTCCTGCACCTCTGACTCTAAATTGAGCCCACTGTATAGAAGAACCTCGAACCAAGTCGTCGCATGGTGATTGGTAGGACCGACGATGTGCGTCCTCCGTGGAAGAGAACAGTACCCCACAACATGGCTTGTTTGATCGGCGGCGCGTTGGAAATTTGAGGGCTCCATTTTTCTTCTGCTCTTCTTGCTGCACTCTAACATTGATCAGGATAAATTATCAGACAAAGCCCTCTCGACATAGATTGACCTTATCGAAGCGTGCAAGCGAGGTCGTGGCAAAGACCGTTTTCGGCACGTATCATGGTACTGTGTGAGTGACTTACTCCTGGTTGAGGGAAGTATCGATGGCATTACCGACCGTTACATTGTTCGCGTGGCCGCCTATGCACCCCATCGCCGCCGGTCGATGCACGTCGAGGAAAGAACAGAGATAGCGCAAGCACGCTGTCGCTCGAACAAGGAAAGCTTCATGGGACGGGATCCCCGAGTGTGACCGATGCACGGGGCCAAAGGGGTAGTTGCGATTCAAGAGAAGCCCAGCCCTGCAAGTGCTTTCTATGATTCTATGAGGCAGATCAAGCTGCTCGAAAAGTGTTCTGACATAGAGTCTTCGAGTTTAATCTATTATGATGCTTCGTCCATCTGGTCGTATAGACCTAACATAGGGTTTGGGCAGGTTGGTTGTGCTATTTTGTCGTGTGCCGCCGCTCTCTGCGTAGTCCCTTCCTTCTTCGTCCTCACTTGACGTGGAGCGTTTACCACATTCCTTCCTTCCTTTTGACGACGTTCCCGCATAGCAATTGTATTTTACCTTTCTGTTCACCCCTTTTCCTTTGCCTAAACGCAGGGTCATCAATCGTCCCCTCCTGCTGAATCCACCCTCTATGCCGTTGTCTAACGCTCACGCATGAACCGCTGAAAACTTCCACACCGGTGCTGCTCATAACCTCGAGGTTCCCCGCTGTCTTCTAACGACAAAACTAATGTCTATGTCGACGTCGAGCGAGGCCATCGCATCCAAGATAGCAGCTTCACTAGGCGTCACCAACATGGACGTCGCCGAAATCTCTAGGATGCTGGAGCTTGAACATACCTTGTTGCCCATGTTCCAGGTCTCGGTCGCCTTTCTTGTGCTGGCCTGGATCGCTGTGAGCTTACGTGTATACGTCAGAGCTTTCCTATTGAGATCCTTTCATTGGGACGACTGGTTGGTTCTTCTTACATTATGCGTCTTTACAGCGTGTTGTGTATGCCTCATCGCCATCGAGAACATCGAANAAAGCGATGCCGCAAGCACAGCATTGACACAAGGGCTCAAAGCTCAGTTCGGGCTCATCGACACTATATTTGGCGTAAGCTACAAACGCAATTGAATATGATGGACACAAGCTGACCGGCAGTGCAGCNTCATCATGGGCTTCATGTCTCTTTATATCGTCACGACAGTCTTTTTGAAGCTCGCCCTTGCTATTTTCTTCCTTCGCATCATACCTGAAAACTTCTCGTGGCAAAGAAAGGTCATATACATCTCGACTGGAATCTACACCACTTATGGCCTAGTTTTCACTTTTATCGTCATTTTCCAGTGCGGCAACCCTACCAACTTTNTTCTTCAGGAAGCCAGGAAGCAATGCATGTCGGATACGATACTACAACCCTTGTACTATGTTGCCGGCGGCATGAATGCCTTGACAGACTGGCTCTTCTCTCTCCTACCAGTAACGGTAATTTGGAGCGCAGCCATCCCTCGGTCCACCAAGATATCGGCGGGATGTCTGCTCGGCCTTGGTTCTCTAGCGAGTATTGCCTCATTGGTCAGACTAGCATACATTCCCGGCATCGAAGCATCGCCGACCTTCCTAGAGCACGCGGTCAACATAGCAAGTTGGTCAATCGTAGAACCAGGACTCGGTATAGTTGCAGCATCTCTGGCAACCCTGCGTCCTCTGATCAAATATTATTTCCCTGGCAAGCAGCATACCGTGCTGCCTACCACGCATCGAGGCAAGCCGATTACTTACACGCCCGGCACATATGTTTCCCGTATGAGCTTTGAGGACAAGATGAATCAATATGGGGATGCACGACTAGGCTTTGTGACGACGATCATCGGCAACTCAGACGAGACCGAGCTACGGACGATAGACCGCAAGGCAAAGAAGCCTCTCTCAAGCATGCATGAGATATCCAGACAATCCACCAGGCATTCCACTAGACACCCCACCAGACATTCCAGAGCTCCCTCAGCCATGTCTGATGTGTCTCGAATCGATAGTGGAACCAAGCTGGAGAGGCCATCAAGCCTCAAATCTTTGATGCGACACGAACGCTATCAATTCCCCCAGCCAGCGATCAAANAAGCATACATCCAAAACGGACGTGTGGTCATGAGCAAAGATATCAAGATCGAGCAGGAGTTGTCGGTGTCGCATTCAAATTCGCAGCCCTCATCACCGGTCTGGTGAAGGGGGCTACCCTTGTCATTTCATCTCATATGTAACGAAGGCTACGAAGTCGAAATTTTCCGTTCTTGTAGAAATTTACATAGCAAGATCTTAATAGCTGTGTAGTGTAGCAGCTTTTATCATATACTGTTTTGTGCACGATGCAGAATTGATGTCAACAGAAGCTTGTTTTGCAACCTTGACGCCATCGCTCCTTCCAAGATACCGCGGGCGAAGTTGACTCACACATAGTCGGTGCCTAGAACCCCAACATATATCATCAAAGATGGGTCCCTGTTCAAGTCTCCAATACAAGCATCGGATTGTATCAGATATGGCTCGTCACATGAACAAGAAAATCTTCCTCGCGGATTTTGTCTACGAGGTCGAAACCGACTTCGGAATTGATGGAACACCAGCATCATGGGCATCCACAGATAACGGCAAACCTGCGCATCGCTACTGGGACGACGAGGACGACGAAGTCGAGCTACAGTTCTTCGACAACCAGAAACGAGGCGAGATTGGCAACTTTGCTGCCAGCCATGACGAGAAATTGGTCGCAGCCTCGAGTGGCTCAATCATTGGTGTTTACAATCTCGAGACCGAGAAACATTGTATGCAGTTTCAAGGGCTTGCGTTTCCTTGTGTCAAGCTTATGTTTGGCCCGACGTTGAACGAATTTGGAGGTTATCTTCTGGTCATCGAAACTTCGGATAGAGATGAGAGAAAGTCTGCTGTTTTCTTCATGGAACTGAATCAGGATGGCTACATGACTCACAAGCCCGACACGATTAATGTGGATGAACTTCTGCAGAAGTCCTTGGAGCCTGTCGTGTCTGTGATGAATGACTCTTTTGGTGTTTCTTCAACATCCCCACTCCTCGAGTCGGTCCGTAAAGGCTATGGCAAGGCACTCGAGAAGCTGAGGGCGGGTATCGAGTCCAGACATCTGTCTCGTGTAGCAGGTCGTCCCAGTGGATTCGGTTCCAGTCCATTTAGTATAGATGGCCGACTGTTCCTCTACCTGATACAAAACGAAAGCACGCAGTCTGGTCCTCGTCCGCCAGCCGACCTTCCCAAAGTCATAGTCTACGATATGGCCAACAAGAGTCAAAAGCACGTTCTAGGTGGTTATGAAGATGCCATCATGTGGACAGCGTTCAGTCCTGATAGTCAGTACATCGCTACTGCAGCTTGGGATGGCACTTTCAAAATCTTCGATGTCTCGACAGGTGATTGCAAGCACGTCATTGGACCAACAGGAGGACAGTGTTGGAGTGGAGCGTGGTCGCCGGATTCGAAACATATCTTGCTTTGCGGAATGGCCAATCAAGACTCTCGTGGCGAGACATTCGTAGCTGTCTATTCCGCCGAAACGGCAGAGCAGGTCAATCGATTCAGAGATGAACAGCTTCGACATTGGGTCAGATGTGCAGCCTGGTCGGCCCGAGGAGAAATAGCCATTGTGCACGAGAAAAATAACGTGTGGATCTGGGAGCCTTTCGAAAACAAGACGATCAGCAGTTTCAAAGTCAAGGTCGACGATGGGATGAAGGAGAGATTTGCTGCCGTGTCGGCAGTTCAATGGGTGAACGGAGGAGAGGTGCTAGTTGCTCGTGCGGGGGATGACACCGTCGAGATCTGGAATCGGGTCAAGAACATCAAGTGGCGGATACAGAGGCCCGAGGGCGCTGGGGTCGAGCGAGGTATTGGCATGTTGCGATGGTCGAAAGAAGACAGAGCATTGAGAACCTTCAGTCGTGACGGCTACATGAGGTCGTACCATTTGTAGTGACGACAACAATCCTCTAAGCCAGTAGCAAAAAGAGCCTGCGAGATTGACAGTTTGCAAACAACATGTTGCATATGTTGCTCAGAAGTTGGTGTGAAATGGAAGAAACAGGAGGATGATATAGCGAACGCCAAGGCCGAACAGAAGACTGCCGGCGTCCGGAACAAGAAGGTGCAATCTACAAGTCCATGTCGATTCAAGGCATCTCCTACATGTTCAACACGATGCAGGAACCTCTAGAATCAAAACAACAACAGCGGCCATGACGACCAACGTGCCTTGCGATCCAGCCACCGTCTCGCACCGCCAGCTGCCCTCAGCCACGCTCGTCCCAATCGACTTGAGGGACCAACAAGAGCGCCAGATCCTCTACGACCAACGCATCGTCTGTGGATGGAACAGCGACAAGATCCCCAAGTGGGCCGCCGCTATTGAAGCCGGCACGAGAAGCTTCTTCTGGATCTGCCTTGCACCCGACGCTCCAAAGGGCATTCCCACCTTTACGCGCGACGCCGACACTTACATGCCAGTCGGCCATGTATCCTTGGACAAGGTCGACATCACCGAGCCCGATGCCGTACCGGACACGACACTTGCCGATCCTGACAAGGGCGTGCTCACCATAACGAGTCTGTTCGTCCTGCCTGCCTTCCACCGATCCGGCCTGGGTGCCTTTGCTATCGACGAATGCGAGCGCCTTGCCCGTGTCCCGCCCTTTGGCGCTGAGAACATCACCGCCATCACAATCAACACGCTCAGCCCGCGCTATTGCGTGGGCGGCGTTGAAGGCCCCGATGGCTTGGGCCAGTGGGAGAAAGAAGCTGGAGAACAGAGGCCCGTCCCTCAGAACAATATGCTGTGGTACCAGAAAAAGGGCTACAAGAGTTACAAGGAGGCTCCGAGGTATACAAGCGCGGGTAAGCAGGGAGAGACTCTGTGGTGGTATGCCATCTTCATGAGAAAAGAATTGCAATAGACGATACATTGTCATACAACGAATAGAAAGCCTTGTATGCCGCCATTCTTGACAACTACGTTACGATATTTTGGCTGTCAGGTCGAGCCAGCCTTTGACAAGTCACGACGTCTCTCTTGGCTGCGTGAATTTGTCTCGAGGTTCAAAACATCTGAGACAAGCTGGACTGGCAAGCTTGAGATCAACAAGTGCGACAAGACATCAGAACTCAAGACAGCCCTGCCACTATTTTCCTTCAGCATCCATGTCTCAGCACCACACGTCGCACTCTCTGTTCTTGTGACTTGAGATAGCACATATCATGGACTTGTATATAATGTCACCAACGATCAGACTTTAACTGCAGCAAACATTCACTACTCTTTTCCAATTATCATACAACACTCTCTTCGAACATGTCCGCCCCACTCATCGACACCGAACAAGGTGTACGTGCCCTTATCGAAGAAACTGAAGCATCAACCCTCGACCACCCATTCCTTTTCCTCGACCTCGAAGGCGTCAGCCTAGGCCGTCCTGGTACCATCTCCATCCTTCAGGTGTTGGTGCCGCCAAGTCAAGCCATCCGTCTACTCGACGTCCATGTCCTCGGCAACCTAGTCTTCACGACCAAAAGCAGCACTAGTACAAGCCTCAAAGATATTCTCGAGTCGACAAGATACCCAAAAGTGTTTTTCGATCTTCGCAATGACTTGGATGCTTTGTATGCCCATCACAATGTCAAGCTGCACTGTGTCGTCGATGTCCAGTTACTTGAGTTCGGCACTCGACCACGCATGGCTCGCTTCCTTAAGGGCTTGGCCAAAAGTATAGCAGAAGACAGCGGCCTCACTCCTCCAGAAACCCGCCAGTGGCAGGCCAGTAAAGAAATCGGTCATGACATGTTTGACCCAAAGAAAGGTGGTAGCTATGAGGTGCGCAATCGCAGGCCTCTGGACAAAGCTATCGAGAAGTATTGCGCAAAAGACGTGCTGTTGTTGCCTGTGTTGTTGCAGGTCTATGCCAGTCGTCTGAGAGGACGCGAGAGTTTGGCTCAGGCTATACAGGTGAAAGCTGGGAAGAGAGTTGTTCTTTCTCAGCATGCGAACTTTGATGGTAGAGGCCAGCATATGGTTGTTGGAACTGCAGGGCTTTCGTGAGTTGTTTCCCTCCTTGGCATGTTTCTGTGCCATGTTCGCTGACTCTCCCTCCCAGAAGATACAAGTATCCTGTGAAGGACTTTAACCCTGGCTTGCCGATGGGCCTTGTCGTATCATCCGCTCTTTGGAAGTATTGTTCCTTGGAGAGGATCTAGACGCGGATATTGCGTGGTCTTGAGGTGAATCGATCGAGATGAGAGAGTTGCGTGTTTGAGTACTATATACAATGGTTAGAGCGTCGATTTTTATATTTTGTCATCTGAGACCAGCTCTGATTTCTTCCAAAATGGTGTTGGCGCCTTCCGCGATCATGCTATCCGCCAACTCCTTTCCAAGAGCTTCAGCCTCGGTTATAGTTTTGACCACATGCTTGGTGCTCATCTCTACCATCTGCTTGCCGTCGAGGCTGGTGACCGTTGAATGCAAAACCAACAAATCACCTTCCCAATCAGTGTGAACTCCGACAGGTGCACTGCACCCGCCTTCCAAGGTCTTCAAGAGGCTCTTCTCAGCAAGACACGCCAACGTCGTTGTTTGGTGAGATAACGAGCTCAGCAGTTGAAGCGTCTGCTCGTCACCTTCTCTTACCTCCAACGCCAGCGCACCTTGACCAGGAGCATACAGCATACCATCTTCCGGTCCCAGATACTGCGTGATCCGGTATCCAAGATCAATGCGCTTCAAGCCTGCAGCAGCGAGAATCAAACACGCATAAGGACTGTCTTCGGCATCCAATTTCCGTAATCTTGTATTGAGATTGCCTCGGACGTCCTCACAAATCAGATTGGGATAGTGGCGCATGATCTGAGCTTTTCTGCGCACAGAAGAGGTGCCAACGACGGATCCAGAGGGAAGTGATTGAAGGGATTTGAAGGCCGAATTTTGCTTCATCACCATCACGTCGCGAGCGTCTTCGCGCTCGCAGATGATGCCCAGGATGCAAGATTCGGGCAATATTGTCGGTACATCNTGTAAAAGCAAAAAAATCAAAATCTGATACTCACAAAAAGATAGTCTTAGGAGGACCCAATTGCCATCTCTCTACCTACCTTTCAAGCAATGAACAATAACGTCAAGTTTCTTCTCCATCAGGAGTTTTTCCAGCTCCTCAGTCCAGATGCTTTTGGCGTTGNNGAAGTCTTGAAAAGATTTGACTTGATTCTCGTCGGCCATTGTGCTGACCACCTGTGACCTGTATTCGGGACCTGGTGCGAAGGTTTGGAGATGTTTGACAATCATGTCGACTTGAGCGATGGCGAGTTGCGATCGCCGCGTACCAATGTTGACGACTTTCATTCCTGGCGCAGAAGTCATTGTAATGGCTTGGTAAAGTTGTTATCGAGAAGGTCGTGGCTTCTTAGAGACGCACAGGTGATGAGAAGGGAATGTAATGTGTCGAGATTGGAGTCTTGGCGGGAAACTGCGGTGGCCGGTGGGTCTCCTCCGAGATGCGACTCTGGCTCTTTGCCTTCATGTCCAACCAGAAACCCCATCAGACAGTGTACTGCTTGGGCAGAATACACTTTCGCGGAAGTGTCACTGTAGTCTTCATGGCTGAAAGGTAGCAGCAGACCATCGCTCCCGCAACGTCACTCCACGATGAACCATGCTTTCGATTCATGATCCTTCTCCATGACGATGCCAACGCAGCCCTGCAGCGATCATCTCATGAGCTCGAATTCAGCCGTAGTATATCACACCAAAACCTGTCTGTGTGTACTGCTACGGTTGATATAGATGCAAGGATAGCATCTCCAGGACTTACCCCACCGCGGATCCCCAAAGGTAGTCTCCATACACAATATTCTCATGCGGGGCTGCATGTGAGTACTCTGCTATTAACCGGCAGAAGATAGATCCTACATGCTCACGGATTATAAACCTGATGTAGTGCCCATCATGATTAGAATTAATCAAGCTGAAGGTTACTCAAGATGTTGTCGTCAATCACTATCCTTACTCTGCCTGCCTTGATACTTGCATCTCCAACACTACACAAGAGGCTGGCAAATGGACTAGCACTCACTCCGCCTATGGGCTGGAATAGCTATAACCATTACAACTGTGCTCCCAACCAAAGCATTATCCATTCCAATGCCGAAGCTCTGGTATCCCTCGGTCTTGCAGACCTAGGCTACACATATGTGACCACTGACTGTGGCTGGACTATTCCGCATCGTACAGCTGACAACAAGCTGACCTGGAATGGATCGCTGTTTCCCGCTGGCTTTCCTGCTCTAGGTCAATACATCCACGACTTGGGCCTCGGCTTCGGCGTCTACAGCGACGGAGGTGTGCAGATGTGTATGACTGGCGGAGTAAACCAAACAGGCAGCTTAGGACATGAGGCGACTGACGCAGAGACATTTGCATCCTGGGGTGCCGACTTGCTCAAATACGACAACTGTTATTCGTCTGCTGAGAAAGACTTCCCCAACGTCGATTATGAGCCTCTCACCTCTCCTCATCAAAACTATGTCAACATGCGAAATGCACTTGACGCAACAGGCAAGAACTTGCTCTTCCAGATCTGCGACTGGGGTGTTGACTTCCCTTCTGCATGGGCCCCCGAACTGGGAAACACTTGGAGAGTCACCAACGATATCATCCCGAATTGGAGAACCATCTTCCGCATCGTCAATCAAGTCGTCCCACAGACTGATCATGCTGGACCTGGCAGGTGGCTGGACCTTGACATGTTAGAGGTTGGCAACAACATCTTCACTCATGCTGAGGAACAAACACATTTTGCACTCTGGAGCATCTTGAAGAGTCCATTGACCATCGGTTGTGCCTTGAACGATTCTTTCACATCGGTCTCGGCGAGTTCGCTAGCCATCATGAAGAACGAGAACGTTATCGCATTCAATCAAGATGCTCTCGGTGTATCGGCAAATTTGACACGCCGGTACAGCGATGAAGGGTACGATGTCTGGTCCGGACCGCTGAGCGGCAACCGTACGGTAGCTGCACTTGTCAATTGGAATAACCACTCCATTGACGCAACGCTTGATCTGCCTGATGTTGGCTTCCAGATTGCTGGATGGGTGCGGGACGCCTGGACCAACGAAACAAGAAAGAACGTCATGACTAGCTGTAAAGCAAGCATCGAGGCACATGGCACTCTATTACTCGAGCTGGGCGAAACTGTACCAGCTGGAGTGTATCAGCTTGATGGGTATGTTGTTCCTGTCTTTTGTTGAGCCGTGGCCATACTAACGCGATAATAGANNCGTGTCGGAGATATTAGCATTGACCATGTGTACGCCTTGACCACAAGCAATGCTTACAATATGACTGTCTATTTCAGCGCCCCCGTGTCTTCGCCTTGCAATTTAAAAGTCAATAAGCAAGGATCCTCTTATCAGATCAGCACAGGTCAATCTAGTGTTACCCTCCCTGTCACCCTGATCGCCGGCAACAACAACACTCTTGCCATCTCAACTACTAGCCCCATCGAATCCATCACCATCACACCTCCAAACGGAACATTCTACCCCAACACTGCCTTCACCATCTCCGGCCCTGGCAATGCCAGCCACATCACCTGCGTCCCGGGTCTCTGCGCTCCCCTTGGAGTGAAAATCGGTGACTTGTCTCCAAACAACTCTGCTTCACTTACCATCCCTGCCTCCGCCAAGGCTGTCGGATCCAGATATGTGGAACTTACCTACATCAACAACGACGTCGCCATATCTACATCATGGGGTGAAGGCCGCAATGCCAGAAACATAACCATCAGCGTCAATAACCAGACCACTAGACTTGAGGTTCCATTGAGTGGCAGAAGTAGTGAACTCTATTCAGCCATGAAAGGCTGGGGCGATAGTGCTGTATTGGGGGTTTTGGTTGACGGCTGGAAGGAAGGTGATAATGAGGTTGTTGTTGGTAACGTGGGAGGTGAAAAGGGTGTGCAGAGCCTTGGAGCCGACTTTGTTGGTTTGAAGGTCTTTTAGGGTAAGGATAGACACCGCTTACAATGTGGGTGCGTCATAGCTAATGATGAGAGAACGCAAGTTTAGACACACTTAAACCCCTCCCACTTCATCAGACGTGTTTGTTCGAATAGCCTGCATCGTGCAGCTTGGGCTTCATTCCCCTGTCCAGACTTTTGGCTCTTCTTCCGGTGTGTTACTGTGGTTGCACATTTGCGTACACAGCCTGAACATGATTGCTGGCCGCATGCGCTTCAACAAGTCATATTCTTGGAAAACCTCGAACGCCTGGCGCTTCACCATGGCGTTCATGTCGTCAGCAGACATTCGAGCGAAGTTCTGAGCAGCTGTGAGCGCATATGCCCCACGTTCACAAGTCTCGGCTAACTCATACAGCTGCGAAGCTAACGGTGAGTAGGCGTCTACTACTTGCACAGGCGCGTCTCCTAATAGCCCGAAAAGGCCGGTTTTTGCAGCTTGTGCAGAGTCGAGGTGTATGACAATGACTCTCGTGACTACCAACCATTTGGGTAGTAGCTTGAATACCGCTAGGTCTCTCTGCTTGCTGTAGCGTCTAAAGCCGTCAGAAATGTAGTGCAGCATGATCGATGCTGACCCATTCAGACGCTTTGATTCCCGGACCAAAGATTCTACAGGGTTACCCTCAATCGAATAGGCCAAGTCTGCGCTATAGCTCGCGGTCCAATGCAGATGTACAGAGTCGCGGGAAGGGTCTTGCCAGTCATCATTGACCGCGCAGTTGCCGGACGACCATTCATCTTCACATGGTTGCTGAGGATTCTCCCCTTTTCGGGACATGAGCACTGAATACCGGTCGCCTGATTCAAAGGCAATTCTTCGTGACTCACGGCAGACTCGCGTAAGCAACGGCGGGCGGCCATTGTTGTTACTGGTCGATTGAAGTGAACAGGGGACCTTGTCGTCATCGTCGAAGCTGCCGTAGACTATGAAGTCGGCAGGATAGTCCATTTCGCTCACCCGATGCGGAAGGCAGCAGCGCCATATTTCTTCGCGAAGCTCCGTGGGCAGTCGCGAGAAGAGGCTGAAAGTATCGTCGGCCATCCTTGGGTTCATAGGTGAAAGGGGGAGTCGTGTTTGCATATTTTGTCAGCTTTGAGGTGTCGGAAACAGAATAATGTATGAGTGTAGAAAAGAAAGCTGCCAGCTTTGAGTTGTGGTTGGAGACCGAAGACCGAGATTAAATACTCTATGATTAGGCAACAGCTAGCAAATTCTACTCGTTCGTAGTGTGTGTAACAAGATCAAAATGACATCCGCTTCGAAAGGGAACATCCCCCGCTAAATTAGAGAGCAAAAGTTGTCCTCCCGCAGCGCAAAGAGAAATCATGAAGGTAGCGGTAGGATGTGGACAAAACAATGTCGCAGCCGTGAATCGAACACGGGGCTCGTGCATGGCAAGCACGAATTTTACCACTAAACCACTGCGACAGATAATTGGTGAATTTGATATTTAACTAGAATATACTCCTATACTCATACTGACCAATTCCACGCTAATCTCGAATCCGCATTTGCCTTTCCAGCGGCTGGGCGAAATGCAAGGTGTTTCACCATCAAACAGCGGAACAGAGAAAGCAACTGCCACGTCATCCGATGTCCAGGGTAGACAGACTCTGAGGCACCCGTTGGACAGAGTCACATACTTGCAAAAAGCGTCTTCTTTTGACCTACGAACCTTGAGTGTGACATTTACCGCGTGCTCAAGTAGCCACATGCTATGATATTGACAGTGTACATTCTTCGATGTCTGAAGCAGGAACGAGTCACAGGTCCAGCCCCACGGCAGGATCGGCGCAGAACGGCATCTTACAGCTCGGAACCCTGCAATATTTGCAGAATGAGAGCGGTGGGGTCTCGGAATTGCCCTGCAACTTTATTTGATGATCTCACTTCGGTCGGTTATTAAGTAGACGTGCTCATGACACTTATGGGTAGATGTTCAAAGGGATGAAACAGCCCTCAGAGATCTCTCCAGTCTTGAAGCTTCTTTCCTTTTCTCTTCTCCTTCGCTCATCCATCTCACATCATGGCGGAGGGGTCTACATTCCATGAGAAGGACGTGCTGGAGGAGTCGCATCTCCTTGAAGATTTTCGAGATGAGGCAAAGACACGACCAGTTGAAGCCGAATCTAGCAATCCATCACCAGCACTTCACATCAACCTCTCGGGCCTCCAACATCCACAATGGTCGGATCTAATACCTTCATCAAAGCGCTTTCTCTTCTTCCTGCTACCAACGTTCATCCAAACTAAACTCTATCCCGATTTACTGAGGCCCGTACGCCTTCACCCCTCCGCTTACCTCGATGGTATGCGTGGACTGGCCGCCCTTTTCGTCTTCTTCTACCACTTCTCCTACTCGAGTCACGATGTTCTCACCGCATTCGCCGGCACTGGCAAGCCCGATGAGCACCGCGAGTTTCTCAAACTCCCATTCATTCGATTCATATATACCGGACCCGCCATGGTCTCCATATTCTACGTCGTTTCTGGCTATGCCCTTTCGTACAAGCCTGTCAAGCTTATGAGAAACAAGAGTTGGAAAGACCTGTTACACACTCTCTCTTCGGCAACTTTCCGTAGAGCTGTTCGTCTCTATCTACCTTGCTTTGCCTCGACTCTGATGATCCTTGTCCTAGTCCGGTTGGGCGCGTACGACGCGACTCGTGGTATCGCATACGATGAAAGGCGCCTAGACCAAGTCCGCGAATTCCATATGCCACGCTACAGATCATTGTGGCATCAAATAACAGACTGGGCTAAGATGATGTGGATATTTGTTCACCCATGGAGCTTCGGAACAAAAGACACCGATATTGAAATTGATAAGCATCTGTGGACCATCNCCGTAAGTCTACCATCTTCAGAACCATTCTAAAGCACCGCTGACTGTACTTCGTTAAGCATGGAGTTCCGGTCTTCACTCGTTCTATACCTGACTCAACTTGGCCTTGCGCGTCTCAAGCCTCTTGTCAGAATTTTGTCCCTAGTTGCACTTATCGTCTGGTGTCACGAGAAAGACCGCTGGGAAATGATTCTCTTCTATTCTGGCTTTCTACTTGCCGAGCTCGATTTCCGCCGACAAGCGCTGGCCGCTACCAAGTCTCTTCTTCCTACACTCGATTTCTCTCTTCTAAAATCTTCACAACGCCAGTCGTTGTGGACGGCACTGTATATTTTCGTCTTTCTGGTTGGCATATATCTGGGAGGCCAACCACAATCCCATGTCGAGTATGCCCCTGGCTGGGCTACACTGTACTCTTGGATTCCTTCTTATTGTGACCACAAACAACGCTATTGGGTCGGCTGGGCTGCGATTTTGCTCGTCTGGTCGACATCCAACTCCGCTCTTCTCCAGCGTCTCTTCACCAATGGTCCAGTTCAGTATCTTGGCAAAATATCTTTCTCGCTTTACCTCATGCATGGCCCTGTTACACATACCATCGGCTACGCTTCGATGGAATTTTTCTGGCGTATTATCGGAGATGATACATATATGACCAAAGAGATTGGTTTTGTTTTAGCTGCAATCATCAACATTGCAAGTACGATTTGGGCGGCAGATCTTTTCATGCGCGTGGTCGACACACCGACAGTGCAATTCGCAAAGTGGATTGAAGAGAAGTGCATCGTGCCTCTAGAATAGAAAGGTTTCAGAAGCCATTTGTATATTTCTTCAGTATATGATTTTCTCATTGTTCGTATCATGTTTACATTTTAGAAGCCGTGCTGCCTTCCGTGTTGGCGAAGAGAGAGAGAGCTATATATATACACTGAGTACCCCTGGAACATTGATGGCCTTCTTTAATGTGAGAGAACATATGTGTGTGACCTCCGCGAAGGATCACAAGAGTTTCTACAATTGCTCACCGACACATCTAAAAGGGAGCCGCAAGCCAATGAAATAAGAGCGCGTCACAAGGCCCATCAAGGTGTCTTGGCATCATCGAGTGAGAAAACGGTGCGCTCGGCCCGCGCCTTCGAGTCGCGACCTCAACAGAGCCTTCTGGACGACGTCTGCTCGTTCGTTCCCGAAGCCTCATATTCATTGTCTCCCAGGCAATCTATATTATTATCGAACATTTGCGCGGGTACCGGCAACGTTCGCTTTGGGTAGGTGACAAGGAACAAAGCAGATCCTTTGAGACGCGACGTCCTTTCGAGTCCAGAAACAGCCGAGCCCTTGTCCATCTGGGAGAGAATCATCTCTGGCTTGTAATCCCGCATCGGCATTCTTTGGATCACTTGAACATGGGTCTTTCAAATGATGAGCGTGGATGGGTCATGGCCAGTGTCAGTGGTGCTGGTGAGTGTCCAGACGTGTGTTTGCCTGCCATCTACATATCGATTGACTGTGACGNNGCAGCATGCATTATTGGCGCCTCCATCATTTGCGTCGATATAATCGTCAGGAAATTCCCCAACAAACGAAACTTCAGGATACAGGATAGTGATGTGTTCTTGTCCTCATCACTCAGTCTGAGTTTTGGTGTCATGGTAATAGTTTTCTCATTATCTCTTCCATGACTTAAAGCTAATACTAGCAGCNTTTTTTCTGCACTCTTTAGCATGATGCCCTCGGCCAAAAGTTCTCTGCAANAAGGTGGAATGTCGCCAAAAGCAGCTGCTTGGACATTAATAGGCTGTTTCTTAGCAGGAGCTCTAGGTATTCAAGTCATCAGCCGACTTGCTCATCTGTTCATGCCATCTCATGTGGTGGACTGCGAACACTCGCACGACGAAGAAGCCGCTGCCAAGGAGCCATCCGAGGAAGACGGCCAAGTAAGGCACGAGCAGGCTCATCCTCCTTCTCACGACCGCTCGCATGGCGGATCCAACTCCACCATCAAGCAACATGGTGAACACATTCATATTCAACGACCGAAAATTGCAGCACGCAAGTCCACTTCCGCTGCCGCTGATCAGGACGGTACTGCGGCACTACCTCCTGGCAAGAGCCTCTCGAGACGACCCTCACTGCAAGCCCGTCTAAGTCAGACACTTTCCTCAATTGCTTCCAGATCCAAGTCGTCTTGCGATTGCGACGGTCCCTGCTATGGCTTCAGCGAGCCATGCGGTGCGGATTGTTTCAAGAACATGCAGACAAGACAGGCAAGCACCCGCTCCATCATCCGCCAGCAGCTTCTGCGTGGCGAATCGAACGCCTCCGAGCAGACCCCTCTACTGCAAGGAATCAGGGCAGAGGCTCCGTCTCGTCCTGCACACCAGAATCGCATGGCATCAGATACGGCTCTCCAAACTAAGAGACCAAACGGCGTGCCTAGCTTGGGCGCTGACGCTGTGATTGAGGAAGAGGATGATGATACACAATCGCTTCACCACACTAAGTCTCATGCCTCGCTTTCCAGCAACCAGCAACAGAGTGGAGAGCAGCAGCACCACCATCATCATGTTCCTACCAATGTGTTCGCATCCATCGGCCTTCAAACATCCATTGCGATTGCTTTGCACAAACTCCCCGAAGGGTTTATCACCTTTGCCACGAATCACGCAAACCCCAAGCTTGGCTTCTCCGTTTTCTTGGCCCTGTTCATCCACAACATCACTGACGGCTTCGTCCTTGCTCTGCCTCTTTACCTCGCCATCAACAACCGTGCCAAAGCAATGTTCTGGGCTTCTCTTCTCGGCGGTGCTTCTCAGCCTCTCGGTGCTGGTGTTGCTGCTCTTATCTTCAAAGTTGCTGGCTCCAAGAACGTCGCCATCAGCGAGAACTTCTACGGTGCCATGTTTGCTGTGACTGCCGGTATCATGACTTCTGTGGCTCTGCAGCTCTTTGGCGAGAGTCTCGAGCTTACGCACAACAGAGGTCTTTGCATGATCTTTGCTTTTGTCGGTATGGGCATCTTGGGTTGCAGTTCTGCTTTGACTGCTTGACCGGGCTTCAATCAACCGACGAAGAGAAAATTTGAAGATGGTTGATGGAAGAAACGGATCGTACAAAAGGAATCGAAAAGCGGATAGTGGCATAAACAAAGAGCTCTATGAGTTTGTTCATGCCATTTGCTGCTCGTTCTTTCGATACGAATTAGTTCAGGTCGCACAGATAACAGGGCTGTCCCTGATACATGCATAACACCGTGCCTTTCATCTTGTGTATATTGAATCGTACCTTACTTCTTCGTTCTGGTTTTTCCGCCAGTCCCGGTCGATCGCTCCTTCCGTGTTTATAAAGTCGCTCCAAGTTCTGCTGGGTCATTCCTTCATCATATCACATTGCTCCCTCCTTGTGCTGGGTCGCTCTTTCCTTCCAATCTGCTGATTAAGGATAAAGAAGGTGCGAACCTGCATGTATAGGGAACAACAGGAAGGAGCAAACTGGTGGGTGCTAAAAATACAAGAAGGAAGATGGTCAAAGAATTCATCATTAGGATGAAAGACTGACTGGCCTCATGTGTAGAGAAGAAGCCTGGCAATGGTGCTCCATCGTCAACCTGAATCGGATTCGATTAAGACTACCACGTTACCAGCTTTTGTCCCTCGTGCCCTTCTTCATGCCCACGTTGACTCTACTTCTCTACATATGTCTTGTACATATTGGTATACTCGAAGAAACTAGCCTTATAGTGTCTCTCCAGTGACGGATCTGTAAAATTGACATATTGCATGCCAAACCTAACGCTTTTACCTTGGTTCCACTCCAAGTTGTCGACAAAACTCCAAGCCAGTGCCGCAGTAATATTGATACTTTCACTCAAAGAGATGAGTATAGCTTCCATGTAGTCATGGTAGTAGGAAGTGCGAATTGGATCCCAGAGGATATCTTGGAGTAGCGTTTTGGAGGCCTCGAATGGTTCTGCGAAACCGAATTCGGTGACTTGGATCGCTGGGGAGGGCCAGGTGGTGTTGATGTAGGACATGAAGGCAGGGAACCAGTCGGTTGCGCGGTGGAGCCATGGCGAGTGAGGGTCAGCTGCAGGACCTATGACCCAGTTGCCTTGGGCTGGTCCATAGGCGTATGTACTGTTGGCACATGAAGGATAGAGAGGGTTGCTAGAGTTGGAAATGCAAGAGTCGATGCCTGCATCAGGAGCCATGTAGAATTGAGCTGTGTAGGCGTCATGGACGAAGAAGTCGGCGGACCCGCGAATGAGTTCCTTCTGTTGAGATGTGAAAGGGGGAAGAAAAGATGAGACATAGTCGTTGACAGTAGAGGGCCAGTCTCCAGTAAGATAGACTGGGTCTGCGAACCACTGTTACCTAAGTTAGCAAAAGTTATCACTGTCTGTTCTACGACTTACGCCTTCATTGAAGTCCCATGCTCGTTGTACAGCGTCCGCGTCAGCAGAGCTATTGGTAAGAGGTATCTTGTATCCACCGTTGTGTTTGAATGCGATAGAGGCGTCTGGTACGATAGACTTGCCCAATCGATAGGCTTGAGCATGTGCAAGCAAGATATTCCGGCCACATACGAATTGCTGCTCAATCTTTGGGATTGAGAAGTTGCGCCAGTACCCATCAGGCATCGGGTACTGTCGCGTGCAGATCACAATCGGTTCGTTGATGGTAAACCAGTGTTTTACTCTATCCCCAAACCGACCGTACGCTACACGAGCATACTCTGTAAAGTCTCCAACGACTTCTTCGCCCAGCCACCCGCCATACTTGTTCTGTAATACAGCAGGCATGTCCCAATGGTAAAGAGTGGCCATAGGTGTGACGCCGTATTCAATACACGTATCGATGACATCGTTGTAGTGAGCAATACCAAGCTCGTTGACTGGTCCGGAGCCGAAAGGGAACAGGCGTGTCCAGGCAATAGAGAACGAGTATGCATTGACACCAATAGCAGCAAGACGTGCAATGTCTNNTTGGCAAGAACTTAAGTTAGCGTCCTTGTTCTTTGACGTTCAGGGCAGCTTACCCTGTTTGTACGTGTAGTAGTTGTTATCCGTGATATCTCCAGTGCTATTGTCAGCGACAAAGTTGGGTACACGATGCATATTCACATCCCAAGTTGACGGTCCTTTGCCATCAGCTCTCGCGGCACCTTCAATCTGGAATGCGGCACCTGCAACACCAAGATAGAATTCTTTCGGAAAGCTCCATGATTCGTTCTTTGTGACCAAGGAGACTTGACGGCCAGGCGGGAATGCGTAATTTCCTATATAAGGTGGAGGGATCAAAGAGCTGGACGGAATAGGGGTGGCCTGAACAGTAGTGGTGGTGTTTGCGACATCGACTGGTCCAACGAAGAAATCCCATAGGTCTNNGGAAAATGTCAGTGTTTGAGAACTGTAATGATATGCCGTTGGATAAATGGCCAGTTTACCTTCGACAGACAATTGCAAATTAGTCACGAAAGCACTGGGATTGGCCACAGTGGTACCATTGACAGTGGTAGAACTTGGTACAGCACTGGTCGTGACATTGGCGTAATTCTGGGCCAGAGCATGGTTGATTGAAGCAACCAACAGCAGAGCTGTAGAAAGCCTCGAAACCATCATATCGGTCTCCAATATTCGAGAGGAACTTTCGCATCAGAACATGAGGTGTCAGCACGCTTATGTATTCCAATTAGACAGTGAACCAGACTCTCGCTGCAACCCCGAGCATACACATGAGGGGTCAAGGCGGGGTCTCGACACATATCAATACGAGCATGGAGTGTGTTGTCAGCTTCTGCAGTGTCAATGCAGCCAAGCATGAGGCAGGTATGGAAGCGAGCGAACAGAAAGTCGAGTGCTGTTCGTTGTTCATGCTCTCTTGCGGGGTAGTCCGATATCAAAGCAAGGTTGCTTGCATGGTAAGCAAAGTGGACAAGGTTGACGACGGATACAACCTACACTATGCAGTAGGATGCCACATCCTCCGGACATTTCGTGAATAATCAACTGTGGTCGTGTCATCAAGATCAGGCTGAAGGGGAAAGTGACGAAGTGCAGGTGTTGATCAAAACGTCATGGCAGCAGGAAGGAGTGATGTCGAACATTGCTCTGACTGACAGAACAAAGAGAGGGACCTAGTCGAGGAGTTGTGGAAGGTACGGAGCCTTCAATCTTCGGAATGCAGATTCTCTTATGTCAGCAGGCATTTGTAGCAGACGCGCTTTTTACAGTAGCATATCCAATCAATCCCTTATGAGTATCCATGGCCTGTAGTCCCAAGATCTCTACGCAGAGTGCAGTAAGCAGCAAAGATGAGAGACTAGGAGAGGCTAGGGGCCGGCGCCCAGGTTCCGTGTTGACGGTTGTTGATTTTTGGTATGCCTCTGAGAAATCACTATGCTTTCGAGGGGCTGGTGCCGGAATATATCTTAACAGGTATGACCTTGATCATCATGCATTATCATGAGTAGCAAGGCGTCTTTTGTGGAGCTGGCAAAGTGATAGGTGGTGAATGTTTTCTCGTTCTGTAGGTGTATAGGGTAGGTGGCTGGAAATCACGGCCTGCTTGTTGGCCGCCCCTGCCTCGTCCAGCCGCTGGACCATCCTTAACGACAACAGTCCTCTCTTTGTCGAGAGACCCTCCCGAGACCATCGTGACTCCCGTCAGAGAAATTGTTCGTGTTCAGGACTTGTGTTTGGTAACTCCATGTCGTCGCGAGATTAGCAACGAGGAAGTGATGGCTTCGCAACACTACAAGCTTACCTTTGTTGGCATCAGATTGCCATCATCTCAAGCACAAAATATCATTCGCATGTTATGCACATACAAAATAATGCTTGCACATCGCTATGCCATGACTAAGACACACAACGACGATCCAAATTCAAAATCAACAACATCAGAGACAGCGAGTTTGTGATAGAAAGGTTTTTGATTCTTCGTTCGTGTAGAACTTTAACTGTTTCTCCCTTTGTTTCAAAAAGTCATAAAAGCGTCTCAAAATCATGTCTAAAAAGTCCGGCCCGTGAAAGCGCGAGAAGAAGCACCCAATAAATTGTGTCCAAAGGTTGTGTGGCCTGCATGCAGGCACTTTTGGAAGACACAACTGGTGAAGAAATGAAGGAAGTTGCTACTGTCTTCAAGACAGAAGAATGGAAAAAAAGTGTGAGTGAATGAGTGACAGGAAGCGAATGAATGTTGGTAACTGGCTTCAAGAGTCGTGAAATCTTCAAGATGTCAATCGACAGAGCGTGACTTAGACGGCGGCAACACGAGCTCCAGTACCGTAGGCAATGTTGGTAACATTCTGGCCACTGAGGGGAGTGTTGATGCCGAGAATGGTGTTCCCGCATGAAGGCTGGTTGCTGACGCTCAAGTCCAAAGTGCACTGCTCATCAACACCGTTGGTGCAGATGGAGTTGTAGATGTTCCAGAGACCATAGTTCTTGGCAACCCAGCTGTTGGGCTCGCTGATGCAGGAAGCGATGAAGTTCATGCTGTTGGCGGCGGAGAATGCAAGCTTGCCGTCAGAGTCGTGAAGAAGGTGCGAGCACTCGTCCATGTCGACGCTCTCGTACTCCATGTCGACACCACCGCCCATGGTAGGGTCAACAGTAGCGTTCTTGCCGGTGACAAGTGTGTTCCATGCATCGTAGCTCATGTCGTAGGCACCTCCGGACTGGTCGACGCGAAGGAGGTGGAGAGAACGACCTTGGTGGCTAACCTTGACACACATATTGTCACAGCCGACGCTCATAGGCCAGTAGGCGACCCTGTTGGTGTTGATCTTGCATCCAAGGACGCCAACGCTGGAGCTGTACTCAACATGGGGAGTGGCAGAGATGGTGCCTCTCTTCTGGAGGACTTTCTCAGTGGGAAGAGCAGCTGCAGTGGCAGCCAGAACGCTCAAAATGGTGGAGATGGAGAACTGCATTTTGTCTGATGTTTTCCTCGTGGTGAAAGATATAGACAAAGGGAGTGGAATGCCGAGATCAACTGGCTTAAAGAGTATACAAGGGTGCTGGGGTGATGGTATAGAAACCGTTAAGGAGTGTCTGCCGATTCCACAGGAACCTGGCGCAAAGGAGTGATTGAAAGAGAGAGGAAAGTAAAGACTGTTGGATAGAAGGAAGAAGCACAATTGGGAGAGAGACATACTACAGTATATATACGCGCGGGTGTAATGGACGTGCTGCCCACGCTGAAGTCTTTTACCCAGAGTTTTTCATGGCCTCGCTTTCTCGTCGAATCGGCGGACGAGCCCACCCACCATCCACAACGTGTCAACGACGGGGCGACGAGCAACGAATGAGGATGAGCAGAAATGCAAAAGTAGAAGATTTACCTTCTGGCAACTGCAGGCGCCGTGCGCTGTGCAGTGTGCACAAGGCAGTTGACTTGGACTTCTCTCGGCGGCAGTCCCGCGTGTTGGTTGATTGTGGGTCCGGCGCGCAGGGGTTAACCATGAAGGGTTGATGTTCGGGTGTGGAGACAAGGTTGTAAAGTTGGTTGAAGACGTGCGGCTAAGGGCCACCGAAAACTTGAAGAACGTGAAAAAGGTTGGAGCCACGGTGCGCCTCTCCCAAGCGCCTGTCTCTAGATTCAGGTACCCGTCGACTTCGACCTGGCTAGAAGGGTTTGTTGTGCGTCTGGCTTTGCTTTGCCTCATGCAAGCGCCAGGAACAGGCGCGCGAAAGGAAACGCTTTTGCTGCTTGCCATGAGCTGGTTGGGCCAATCAGTCACATGTGAAGTCGTCATTTTTCTTCAGTGCGCAGTTGGACCGGGTGTCCCACTGGTGGACTTCGCCGTGGGCCCGAACCATTGCCATCGAGGTCACTGTGCGCATGTCGACAACGGTAACCCTGAAAGGACCGTGAAAGCGGAGTGATCGCTTCTCGCTCAGGAACCGTGCAAGAAGACCCCACCTTGTCCACTGTTGGTGCGTATGCACAAGTCTCGGCGTCACCTCAACATTGCAAGAAAGCACCACCCATCCTTCGGACATACAGGCCACAGTGCGGAGATGGCTGGGAAAATACACCTCATCCTACTCGGTACTACTGGCCTTGCTTCATGCGGCTTTGGTCATGCGCCTGCCTTGCAAGGAAGTTTCTTGTCGTCATGATTGTGACTAAACACGAGCAAGGTCTTCTCCACCAAACACCGAGGTGGTGCCCAATAATTTTGATGGCAGATCTTCTTCACGAGAGTGAAGAGAACGTCTCAATTTGATGATCAACTTCATCAACCCATCCCTTCGGACCTCAAATTGACATTTATACAATCGTTCAAAATGCGACACATCTCTTGTATCTCCTGCGATTGTGCCGTGCAGCCAGTGACTTGCATGCAAAGGTCGTGTTCCTTGTCCTTGCATCGGTTGTCGAGTTCCGATCCACGATCGCCAGGATCGACAGAACTTTGACTCGTTTCCCACTTTGCAACACATGGCATTTTGGGATGGGGAATGGCGCAAGCACAAACCATTGAAAGATTGGACGTGGTGGCGCTAACCAAAAGACCGTGGACTACAGCACATCATCGACTTTATGTTGTGTCCTCAACCATACGCGACGAGTAATGTGAGTTCCTCATTAGTGCGATCTCTCTGCAGCTACGTTGTGATGGGAAGGACTGTGAATCTATGGTCACTGAAGTTCAGGAAGACGAGGACACACGGTATTGATGAAGTTCATGTAAAAGATATGCCACATCAAAGAAGGAAGGCACGAAAATGAGTTGATGTGGAGGGGCTTTCTCTTTTCTTGATATCCTGCAGTACCAAATCCTGACCATCGCAATGTCCAAACAATATGTGAACAACCAATGATATAACTCGCAGGTATAATGCAATGCGAAACATTATAATCCAAACTCCTCGCACGGTATCTTGCCTCGTTAAAAACCCGCTGGCGAAAGCCATCTCCAGCGGGAAAAGAGATACAAGAAGATCACATGCTCACAAAATACCACCACCAATGTTGTCGTCCTTGTGTCAAGAGCACCTCGTGAGGTGTCACCCTAACACTTCTCCTGTAAATTCAAGACCATATCGCATTCGCAAAGAGGAGCCTGTTGAACGTCGGGCCAACGCTCATCAAATCCCTAGATGCGAATACGATAAAGGTCATCCTCGTGTTGATAGAATCTCGTGAGGTAATTCTCTAACACTCCTCCTCCACGTCGTCTTCTGTCATGCTGGGTGCAGAGCCTTCAGACTCTTCGTCGGAAAAAGAGAAATCGTCATCAAAGACCATATCGGGTTCGCAAAGAGGAGTCTGGTGGACGTCGGGCCAACGCTCATCAAACTCCTGGATACGATTGCGATAGAACTGCTTGGTCGATTCGGGAAGCTTCATCTCCCTCCATAGTTGTTCAATGTCGATGTTGTCTTCCCAGGTGGTGACGGGGTATCGGGCGTTGTTGTCGGCATATTTTTGGGCCAGGGCGACGAGGGCTGTACAGTGACGAGACCAGTGGAGCACGTCATCGCCATCAAGAGTGCCCTGGTGTTGTCTGAATTCGACTGTGGCTGCTGGTTCGTTGTTGCGGATGTCTCGAGCGCTGTACGAAAAGTTGACGATGTGGCCTTTGTCGCCCATGAGCTTGACAAAAGCCTTGTGTGGATCCTCTGCCAAATCCACTTTTTCAAAAAGGGCCTTACGAATCTCTGAAAGCGACTAGTAATTCCAGACCGCTTCCACAGATCCTTCGGAGATGTTGCCCTCCTGGTCGCAAACATATGCGCGATGGGTCTCAGGCGACGGGCACTCGGTGGCAAAATCGAGGCGGTTTGATCTGGTCTCGAAATCACCTCCACGCTTGCGAGGTATAGTCATGCGAGCAAATTCATGCTCGTAGATCAATACAAGATAAGCGAGGTGTTGTAGTGTCTTGATGTCGAAGTGAGTGCCGTCTTGTTTGCCGACGTGAATGTGCATGGCACATTCATCATCAATGTGATAGTCCAGGCCATCGCTGCGAAGAGCTGCCGAGATCTTGTGGGCTTCATCACAGGCTTCTTGGGGTGAGTCGCGAGGGGCAGTCACGATCTCTGTTCCAACGAAGTCTGTGATATCTGCCTGGTCCGGAGTGCATAAACCTGTGGCAATCTTGGCAGCTTTGTTGAGGCCGTTGAGACTGGCATCATGGGTCAAGTAAACAGGAGCAGATGAGAAGTCTGCCTGCTTGCCTGAACCCTGGTAGATGGTTATTGCTTCGTAGCCTGGAATGGCCTGGATATGTTTTTGAACGATTCTCAAGGCCTCCGTAGAGTAACCCCGAAATTCGCATTGCTCTCCAGTGACCTTGTTGACCAGAGTTGTTCTCTAAGGTTGGTGGTCATCGTCGCGGAAAGCGAAGTTGAGATAGTTGTTTTGGAGATATTGTGGCCCGACCTTCGTCAGTCTGACTTGGCCTGGGTTTGTGGCGACTTGGATTTGCTTCGTGGTGAGATCGCTTGAGAGTTCTTCCTGGAGTTGGTCGACGGTGATACGAAGCTTCAGCTCATATTCGACACCGAAGGTAAAGTTGTTGATAAAATCCATGTTGAGTCTGGTGGAAGAGCTAATAAAAGAGTTCTGGTGCGAGATAGAAAGGTGTTCTTGAGTTGATAAGCTGTAAAGCGGTATGATAACGACACTTCTGCTGGAACTGCAAGAGACGAAAGGAAGAAGAAAAGGTACGGGAGACGAGAGCGAAATTATACCTGGAGATTCGTGCGATACTGGCAGCTGACTTACAGAAAGCTTATTTTTCCTGCTCATTGCGCACCCTCTTTGGTAAAGGCTTGGGTATTGGAGCAGAAAACAGAGATAGAGCAAGATAGCGTGCGGAAAGCCTGGGACACACGTGGCAGTTGACCGGTGATCAAGTCAACTTACATGTTGGTGAGGAGTACGTTGACATTATGATCATAGGAAATGCTGCAGTCCAGCTTCTGGCCCTGTAAGAGGTTGTGATGTATGGACTATTCCATTGTGCATAAAGAAGCTCGAAACTGTGGTCCAGTGTATCTTCGAAGCTTCGTCGCCTAAAACACATTCCCTCTATGCCAAGAGAAACACCGAGTAGGATATATCAAGCTGAAGGCAGCAGCCTGAACATTGAGTTGTTTTGAGTAGAACATTCTCACATCAATTAGTTGAATCTGGTGCAGCACCCGAGATCTTGTCGGATACTGTGTCGTACACTCCCGTCGCCCAATCTTTGGCGCCGTCAAGTTTTCCTTTGACCCAGTCCCACCATAAGTTCGTGTCTTTGCCATTCTTGTCTTCATCTTCCTGGCTTACATCATCATGTATGACTGGTCGTGATGGAGCAGCCGCGTCTGTGGTGACGATTGTTGGTCGTGAGGCTTGCGTCAGGGACGAGATTGTTTCCGCGACTTTGGATGACGCTTCAGTCGACGCTGTGGCTGTTGCACTCAGTTCGTCGCTACCTCCACTAGAAACAGAGTCTTCTGGCATATCTTCTGGGATGTCTGCAGGTGGCATAGATTCATGCAGCCCGATAGGTTTGAGCGGTAGACGAAGGGTGCCGTTGTTTTCCTTGGGCAAAATTCCGACAGAGTCACACACAAGGTTGTAGACCTCAATATTTTGGAAGACGTCCACCTTGCTGCCCGGTGTGTGAGGGAAAGCAGGACCTCTAGCCACAAAGATTGCACGCATCAATGGATGTTCATGATCATATCCATGCACACCTCGAGGATGATACACTTGGCCAGTCTTCTTAGCCCCCTCGACGTCAAATTCTTCTTTGACCACGATGGCCCACCCAGTCCAGGGTATCACCCAAAGAGGTGCGATGCGGTCATTCTGCGAGAAGTGGTAACGTTCAGGCATGTCGCGATTCTTCAGATAGACATCGAAACCTTTCATGTTTGCCGCTTCTTGCTTCAATTGGTTGTATAAGGGCTCAATATCTGATTCATTCTTCGGGCGAAGTCCGTAGAGAGGCCAGCCGTCTGTGCGTTCGATGACGGACATATCGATAATGTCGTCGAGCTGAACCAAGCGAGAAGTGGATGTTGTAGCCATACCGTGATCAGAGACTATGACAATGTTCACAATGTCTGTCAAGTTCCGCTGCTCTAATCCAGAGAACAGCTGACCCAACATAGTATCAACTCTAGAGATGGTGGACCTGATTTCGGTACTGTTCGGACCGTACAAATGACCATCACGATCAACATCCGGCACATAGGCGGCGATTAGTTGGGGTCTTGGGGTATCTGAGCTTGCACCTTTGTCGAATGGCCCGGGAAGGTCAAGCAGACTAAGTATGCGATCGACCTTGTTTGTAAGTAATTCGTGACCTTGGTATTTGTCGACAAAAGTAGGCTCGATACCAATGTGAGCTTCGGATCCAGGCCACATGTGAATTGCAGAGCGAACGTCTTGCTCCTCGGCGGTGACCCAAATAGGCTCTCCGTTCCACCACTTGGGCTGCATGCTCCTAGAAGGATCAGTGTAGAAGAAATCCTCTTTCAACTCAGGGTCCCAGAAGCTGTTTCCGACGACTCCGTGGGCTTCAGGATATAGGCCGGTGACAAGGGTGAAATGGTTAGGGAAGGTGACAGAAGGAAAACTTGGCGACATGTACTCTGGTGAAACGCCCGCTCGAACAAATGCATTTAATGATGGTGTGATGTTACGGTGGAGGAAATCAGCGCGGAACCCATCAAGTGAGATGAGGATGGTTGTTGGAGTAAAGATAGAACTGCCGTTCGTAAGAGTGTTCGGTTGAGGATGGGCTAGAGATTTGTGGTTGCGAGATGCCATATAAGCACCAAGTAGAAGGCCAAACAAGGCGATAATGATAACGATGTGGATGGCTGTGAGTTTCCAGAGTCGCGAGCTGCGACGTTCGACGGGTTGTGGCAGTTCTTTGAATCTTAGCCTGTCCACGTCTGATGAGTTGGCCGAGTCGGAGCTGTCCTTGTGGCCTTCTTCCATGTCGTACATCAGTTCACTCTCTTCCCCCTCTTGATGCTGTTGGTTTCCCGTGCGCTGGGCCTCACGCTGGTATCTCCTGCGCTCCCTCTTGCTGAGCTTCACACTGCTCGATGGACCATCTTTACGTGCAAAGAGTCCTTGGAGTCTTCGGTCTTTCTCTTTGCCAGTCAACAATTCTTCTGCTTCTTCCTCTCTTTCTAATATCTGCCTGTCCAGCTGTCTGATGTCGGTCGAGGTTCGTGCTCGGCGCATCAGACCATCATTGTCGGAGTCGCTTGCCGAATCGTCGCTGGTGTCGGCTGGAGGTGAGCGATGGAAGCCCAACCTGCCATAATCAGACATGGTTGTGCTGATGAGTGTGCTAGAGTTGTGTCGTAAGGGCTGTTGTCGCTCGGGGGCGTATTACGACGCTCATGAGACACTCATAGATGTCCAGGCAAGTTCAACACTGCCTAGTGAACGTTTCGCGATCGCGTCAGAAGCAGGTGTAAATGAGTGTCTCAATGTTGAAGTACATGACCGTTGGAAGAGGAATGTGTTGGGTTTCGTCGAGGTCGCAAAGCCAAGACAGGGTGCTCATCCAGACAATGTATTGATCGGCGGGCAGTCTACCTACTTTACATGATTGGGACTGTATGGGTACATAGTATGTGCGATGATGGCCCGCAGGTCTTTTGGGTTATCTGCCAGGTGAACATGTTCTTCGTACCCTGGCTAAGATAGACTATAGCTGGTTGTCGCACTGTGTACTACTTTCCAAACTAAAGTGAGAATATCACGTTCAGGCATTTCCATGCCTACACCTCTGGTCAGAGAGCTAAATATGTATTTTGATAGCTTACAGTGATCTCACAGGTCATCGGGGAGAGCAGTCGACTGCAAGGCTGTGACATTATTTTGCATCCAGAGGATGGTTGATGGCATGACAAAAGGTGAATGTGGTGAGAGATGGTGAGAATGCGGGGCAGACAGGGTCCAGACAAAATGACATGATGCGACTGCCTTGATGGTTTCGACCTTCCAAACCCGACGACTCTTCTTTCCGAAGCAACCATGTTTTCCTTTCGCTCCAACTTCTTTTCAAATCTCCTATCTGGTGGCTATGGGTCTGCCCTCAAACTCGACTTGCCGCCCGTCGAGTCCATCGACATTGAAGAAACACCCGAGAAACGAGCCAGAACACTCAAGCACCTGATCAAGGCCAATCACATCAACCACTCCATTATCTACCACCACCTCGAGTTTCACAACCACTCGCCCCACGTATAACTCTCCTTGTTGTCCTCTTGCTGTTCCAGACCGTGCTGAGGTTATGTCCTCTAGATTCTGGGTTCTGCCTACTTCCTTGGTGCCAACGTCGACCAGCTACTAGACATCTATGAGAAAGAGTCTAAAGACCTCGAGCCATGGGAAGACTCGCCCTCGGAGATTTCAAGACATGACTGGCGCGACTATCTGGGAAAGAGAGAGTATGGGGCCCACAATATAAAGCAGTCGACCGTGGTAGCTGATGCGAGACTGCAGGNNTACCAGCGTGCATGGATAGACTTCCTCGAGGACCAGCTCGTTCAGTTCGGCTATGATTGGCGAGAGTTACTGGACGACTTTCTCTATTCTGGCAAGCAGCCTTTGATCAACAACTTGATTGCCGGCCGTAAGTCATCACACTCGTCCAAAGAAGTGCCTCTCTGACCTACCTCCANNGTCGCACACCCTCTTATTCACCTCGGTTTCGCCCTCGAACTCGCCTCTCCTACAGTCGCCATTGAATCGCTCGCTCTGGTCGCTTCGTTCTACAACCACCAACATGTCTATCTAGACGACCCGTCATACACTAAACCCTCGCCTTGGTCCTCGCAAGACCCGTTCGAAGTCATCCAGAAGATGCACCAAGACTCTCGCTTGGATCCCTTCTTCCAGGAGCCTGGAGAGGACAACTATAGCCCCTTAACCGAGGATAAAGAGAAGGAAGCCATTCTGCTCGAATACTGGAACAGCTGGACCATAGCGGATCCCAAATACCAGTTCGAAGCCGCTCAACGTGCTGCGGTTGCTCTGCTGGTCGCTACACACAAACAAGGACAGAAATTCGACTTTTTCCTCGTCCACATCCTCACCAGCTCTCACGCCGTACGCGTGATCGCTCCCTTGATCCGTGCGACATATCACGTTCCTCTGCTCAGACAATGGTGGCTGTTCCTGCTGACGGCATACATCGGTCAACTTCGTCCAGCCATCGATAAGAGCAGAATCTCGAACGTGGATATTGCAGGCAGAGATTGGAAGTGGGTAGCTGACCGAGCTGTTAATGGCAAGTGGGCAAAAGATGCTCACTTTGTGANNAAGGTATACACGGTCAAAATTTACTGCTTCTCATCTCATGCTAACTTTTGTTTGTCCTTAGCCTGTCGCTCGATGCAAGAAGCTGCAAAAACATGGGGTGACGAGGATCATTATTTCCTCAAAGCAGCCGTAAAGCTGTCCGAGGAATTTGACGGTTGGGGTGGCTTCAGTGCGCCGTCAGAAGATGAGGCAGAGGCCACTGCTTCGAATGTTGGCTTTGCTGCAAGACATCATGGTTGAGTATCATACTTGTGTCGTCCGTAAAGATGTCGAAATGCAGCCCAACACTAGAAACATAGTTACGTGAGTTGTAACCTCTGATATATGGGAGGTGAGGTTTCTGGTTGAATTACGACACTATACATTGCAATGTTTAAACCTATACTACAGTGGACAGTAGTCTGTCCTCGACACCATCGAGAAGGCAGTGGTGCTCGAGGACCTCGAGGTTTTCTGCTTCGTTCAGGAAGTCCTTGTCGGGATCCTGGCCACCCATGGGGTTGGCGCCCATCTGAGCCTGGGCCATTTGCTGCGTGACCTGACTGGCCGCNTGTGCATATGATCAGTAATCTGACTACGTTGGCAGAGGAAGAAGAATGAGAGACATACCATTGTTGCTGCCGAGGATAAAGTTGTAGACGGGCTGCAGACCGAACAGGGTCAAAAAGTACCAAGACAGACTCGAAACCCATCGGACATCGAGGTCTCTGGTGCCAACACCCGACTGCAACATAGACTTGAATTGAGGAGTCAAGGGGAATGGCAGCTTCATGATGACATAGCCAGAGAAGAAGGCATTGATCCAGCCCATGATCAAACTCTGGGGCACCATCATGGCGACCTGGCCCTTCATCATGCCCATCATGCCTTCCATGGCAGCAGGGTCGGCCATGGGGTTGCCCTTGGGTTGACCGCGCATCTCGGGTTCGGCGAGGAAGGTGCCGTCCTTGTAGGCCTGGATCATGTAGGCTTTGCGGGCAGCGAAGGAGGAGGGGGATAGCTGGTGGTAGTTGTTGCGGAGGTTGACGCCGCGCATGAGGGAGCGCTGTTGGCGCACGAGATTGATGGCTTGCTGCTTGGGGGCCGACTGGAGGAGGGTCGAGAGGTAGTGGCGCAGGATACCGGTGAGGATCTGGTGGAGGTGTTAGCTGTGTGTTGGTGCTGTGTGGGAGCGGACGAGACTCGCCATGACGACGGTGATGGGCAGCAGGATCCAGTAGAACAGAGCGGGATCCCTGTAGATGGTCTGTACCACGGGCTCGGCCATGACGGGCGACATGGTAGCGAAGATGGGTTGTTGGTGTCGTCGAGTGCTTGGTCGAGGAATCGCGGGCGTTGCTGTCTGTCGCAGTCACAGCCTCTCCGCAATGTTGGAGCTCCGGCCACGCTTCATCTTCAACTCTGTCATCCACCACCCACCAACCCTTCTTTTAACCACTCTCGCAAACATGGCAGACGAGTCTAGAATATCGCCCTACAATGTTTCTGGTATCTAGTACACTCATCTCTCTTGTTAGAATCAAGACTGACTCTCTCGCANNGACTGCAAGAACACAACCGACGATGCCCTGCAAAACTACCTGAACGGCCTCAAGTTCCGCCAGTCACACTGGTACACCGACGTCAAGCTCGGCCTAGGATACACCGCTGTCATAATCGCCGCCGTCACCTTCGCCCTGGACTACAAGTATGGCTTCGAAGCCACAAAACAATTCACCACGGCCGCTGTTGTCGTCTACTTTCTCCTGAACGGCGCCTTTACCTACTGGATCTGGCAGGTAGAGAATGGTCTCATATACGTCGGTGCCTGGAAAGGTCGTAAGGTGGGTTTGCTGTCCTACTGCTCTTCATCTTTTGTTCTGCCAGCTGACACTGCCAACGCAGNNATTACCATCTCGACCCGCACAGACAAGTTCGATCCTACATACAGACTCAACGTCACATTCCACCCCTCGTCCCTCAACACCATCCCTCCCGTCGACAAGGAAATCTCGGCCCCTTTTATGCAGTGGTTCACTGCTGACGGCTTCTTCGTCGCTGCTCCTTTCCAACAATGGCTCGCTACAAACATTGACATGGTCGGTGACGCAGACCCCAAGAATATTGTCGACGAAGCAGCTGGCCTTGTATCTGCTCAGTCTGTCCAGCCGGATGGTCTTCAGGATCTGTTGAATGTCATCAAGACTGGTCCTCCTGCTGCTGCCGCTCCTAGGAAAAGGGGTTAGTGTGGTTGTTTGCGGACTAGATATGATAGCCAACATGCACATTGCAAAAGCACTTTTTCCTCTAGCCCTCCTGATGTTGCTATTCTATTACTTGTTCTTCTTGATTTCCGATGTTCACTGTACACCCACCTATTCTCCGACCATTATTGACACTACATATAGTGATGGGAGACTCTCAGTGGATGTGCGAAGGCTTGCGCTAATGATTGTGCATTTTCACAGACGTCAAACTGTTCAGCTTGTTCCTTGAGAGACGCAAAGTCTGCCGTCGTAGTCCGTGGGTGTCTCCTGCCGTGAGAGGTGGTTGCCTATTGCAGACCTCTGACCAGACCTCAAAACCCGCTTTGCGTAGACCTCGCTCTCCTCCTCTCTGGCCAACCTCCAACTCTAAAAAAACTTTTTGCATTGCGACAGTCAACTCTTCACGCTCTCGAGTACAGCGGAAGCTCACAGTTCAAGATTTCCTTGTCAAAACACTTGCAACAGCAAAGTCCGTCATGCTGCTTCATCCACCTTCTAACCAACCAAGCATCCACCCACTGCCAAGCCCTGAAAACCCAACGTCCACCATCTTTGTTGCAGTTGATGCCTTGCTTTATATCACTAAATGTGCATCCGCAGTATTCGTTAGGAAAACCGCGATGTCCTCGTGCGTTTCTGGCAATGTGCGCACACAAGATGATGATACCATCTTTGCTGACGTCGGGTGTGCGTGGCTGCAGGTTACAGGTAAAAAAGCAATCAGGTCCTTCAGTGTCTTTNTGGAATTCGCTGATGCCGCAGTGGACTTGAGTGAGTGTTGCCGAGTCGGCGTCTCTGGTGATTTTTATCCAATAGTGATTGGAGATGTGTTTGTTCAAGTGTTGCCATTCGTTGGAGATTAGATACTCGGTTTGGGAATGCGAAGGGATTGCTGCAGTTGTGTTGCTGGTATTGTTGCTGGTGGGATTTGTGACGGTTTGCGAGTATGGTGGTGGAGGATCGAACTCCTGGGAGTTGGTGGGTGTTGACGACATGAGGGTTTGAGTCGAGCAGACTGTGGAAATAGAAAAGAGTAGCAAAGTGCTGAATGCCATCGATTGTCTGATATTCTACAGTGCAAGAATCATATAGTGAATATCGGCCTTGAATCACCGCATATAGACTCACACTGGGTGCAGGACTATCACAGAGCTACCAACTCCCTGCGTGCAAAGACTGTCATGATGTAGCTTTAGAAATGCACGATAGTTTGCTGAGGGCAGAAATGGCCACGGCGAGACATGGTTTTAGGTTTGTCTCCATGGCCATGCTTTAAACCGAAAAGAGACTGTGCATTTCGATAGATTTAAAAATTACTATACCTCTCCATAGCGGAAGTGTCATAGATGACATTGTGACAGTCTTCCGTAGACCAGGAGGCAGGTCACAGAGTCTGTCATTTATTTACTCTCAATCGACGACCTCTGCTTTTACAATCGCATCATGTAATTTGACAGTAACATGTACGACTAGACAGAAACTCGGGAGAGTGTATCTGCTTGATAGCCCTTCGTCAGAGATAACCTAGGCCCATTAATTACATCGTATTCTCTCCTCACTCCTGTACAAATATAGCGCTGCCAGATTACACATTAGTTTTCAAATCTTGATATATGTCCAGGGAGAGCTTGCCATATTCACTGCAACGGCAATCCAAAGTCCGGCAAATTCATATTCAAGAAATCGCCAAACACGGCATCCATATCCATCAACCCGTCATAGGCAATGTCAAAGTCACTCAATCCACCATCAGGTTGTGGGTGTTGGCCTGCAAGAGCGGCAGAAGCGTTGGTCTGCTGCATACCAGCTTGATCCATTTGATGATGAGGTGGTCGTGCAGGCCGCCATTCAGCAGGTCCAGCGTGCACTCGAGATGTGCGACGTAGCTCTGGCGATACAGTTGCGGCTGTCATATGAGCCGTCTGCTCCAGTGCTTTGCGACCCAGCATTGCCATGTTTTTCGCTGGCTGTGACCATTCGCTCAATTGTTCAAGGGCTTGCACGCAGCTATCTATGTGTTCACGGGCTGCTGTGCGTTTTGTTTGGGTACGAGCACAACGGAGCTGGTTGTAGAATGTCGATACGGCGAGTGAGATGCCGTAAGGTATAAGGGGTAGTGGTACCAGATTATTAGGAGAAATGTGACGGAGAATGGTCACGATCTGTAGTGCTGAAAGTTCCTGCCGTAAGCTTGAAGGTGTTGGGAGCAATGGTCGAGAGGTAGCGCGAGCGCGATGAGATATGATTGCCACGCCATGGTAGTATATCTCCAAAGATNNGCTAAACAGACAAGTTGTTAGGTTTGGTAATCTCAGCAATGAAGACTATGTTTGTTTACTTATAACGTTCGGTTCGAGATCCCAAGCACCGCATCGGTCCAAGATGTTTTCGAAACTCTCATAATCTTCTTCGATACCCATGATGTCCAAAGCAGCTGTGGGTTGATAAAGGCCGATGATTCTCGTGAGTAGCTGCGAGATGGCGAGCAATATCCGTGTCCCTGGTGCGGAAATCTCGTATGCTTCGTCCAACTTGAGGCCAATATCAAGGTCCAGAATCTGACGTGGTCTTCCGTTCAGGCCTGCGTTGAAGTTGGACAGAACCCACAGAGACCAGAAGAGTCTCGTCTGGCTGCCTCCATGTCCACTAGAACGACCCAGATGTAGTCCGATGGTCTGACCGTGGTGTATTGCTTGCGATAAATGCATAGACGCGTCCACTGTGCCTTCTGGGCCCTCAGAGTACAGTGACATTAATGCTAAAATCTGTATAAGGTTGATTTTGTCGCCCTCGCGTTCCAGCTGTATCCCCCAGCGTAGGCAGGCGTATACCCTGGACGCGAATATCCTCGGTGTAAGTGGCTCAGGGCTTTCCAAGAAGCGGAGATAGCGTCTTGCTTTCTGATCTCGAGACGCGACCAAACACATCGCGTGTATAACGAGCTGGGATTTCCTCTCTGAATTTCGGAAAGTGGCTTCATCCACTATCGGCAATAACGGATTCAGTCTTCCGAAATATATGTCGATGAGAGAATCCCTGTCTTGCGTGTTCATCAAAGCGGAAGGTGGGACTCGCTCCTCGCCACCGATCAGTCCTTCCCTCTCTGAAGAGTTGACATCCGTAGACTCTCTTTTGCGTTGGTCATGATCATGTCGGACATCATATGCGTGGCATCTTGATTCACCCACCCATATACCAACATCATGTCTATCGCGATTTCCACTTCCAGGATCATGTTCGGCTACCAGACTGGCCTCCGGGTTCAGATCTCCAATGAACCTAGAATTGGACGGATGGTCAAAAGGCCGCGCGTGATGTTGGCGCTCGTCACTGGAGATGGTAGTAGACTTGTCCAATACAGCTGACGGCGTATCGAGATTTTGTATTCTACCCGGAGTCGTAGAAACAGGACGAAGATCAGTATGATGGTGATTCTCAGTCTCTAGGCCGTGTGTGCATCGTTTCTATTATTGCTCGACTATTTCAATCACTGCTTGTGGGGGGATTCGAAAGGCTAGGTGTATACCTTTNCGCTTTTTGCAAGTTTCGCATGCTCCTTGAGGTGCTTTTCTCTTGCGGCTGTTTGGGTCGCCGTTAATGACAAATGTATAGTCCATTGTTGGTTGATCGCGAGAGAGGTGGTCGACTGGGTTGGAGGCGTACTGTATATATACGAGCTGCTAAGGCCCGAGCTTGAGCCGTTGCAAACCGTGTTCTTCTGGCGCCGACCCTGTCCTTCTTCTCTTCACGCGTCTCCGAGTCCATCACAAACAAATGCAGAGAATACCGAGAGATTACTCTGTTCTACAAGTCCACATGCTTTCAAAATTCGAATAATCTACGGGCGAAATGTTTGTCAATGGTGATGCTCTATTGTTCGGGGTGCGGGAAAACATTATTGTTTCCAGCAGGGTTCTGTCTAGAGACTATGGCATCTAGTACTAGTCAAGTGCAGACACGATCATCTCCAGATGATCAAACACGTCCCAGGTGGTAAGCCTTGCTGCCGCCTTCGGAGTCGGCCACAGAACTGACTGCATAAGCAAAGACGAAGGCCAGAATAGCAGCCACCCATTGCAGTCCGTAGAGCAGAGTACCGCCCTGGACCGAACCATTAGTCGAGACTTCCAACGCCTTGACTGCCGAGTTGGTTGCCCATGCGCTAGCGATCATCAAGGTGGCGCCTGCAAGACTGGTGACCTTTGCTGCACTGCGAATGAGACGTCCGGCAGATGAGCCTCTGAGAATGACGAGAGAGATGAAGACGAGCGAGATGAACCAGATGACACCACCAGCAGTAAGGAAGGCGACGAAGACGTCGTGTTGCAGCTTGAGATCGTAGTTGAAGGTTCCCTTGTTATCGGTGTCGATGTTGAAGCCCTTGACAAGATCCTTGCTTGAGCGGCCAGTAGTGGTCATACAGTGGTCACCGCCGTGCTTGCTGTGGACGATGCACAGGCCTNNTTACAGTGATTGTCAGCTAGAGTGTAGGGTAGGTATTTCTTTCGATGGCGACTCACCATAGTAGCCCAGTCTCAACCAGCTATGGTCATCATCGTTCCACTTGTGCGTGAGTAGGTAGATTCCAGACAGGCCGTTAGAGGTCGAGGAGATGAGTGGAAAGACTGCACGTGGGTTAGACACTGTTGGCCTTGAAGAGCATGCGCATCACCTACGTGTGAAGAGGAAGATTGGCACGGCCAAAGCCCAGATCATGATGCCCAGGCCTAGTCCGCGTGCTTTGGACATGACACCCATGGTTGCGAGAGGTGTTTGTAGGGTGCGTGGTGATGATGAGAAGAAGAAAGGACAGAGTGTTTTTCACTCAGGACGGCTTTGACTGGAGCAGGAGATGAAAGTGATGGTGAAAATGAATTGAAGTTGCAGCCACAGAAGAAATCACTTATTTATCACCAGCAGCACGAGAAGAGCCGCAGCTGCCTGAATGCAGAGTTTGTACCAGTTTCGGAAACTTGCAGGCGCCAACACCTTGATTTCGAGTGGTGAAGGAGAAGCTGTTTCGAAGCGCGCCATCCTTCGACTGCAGCCTACCCATGAAGCCACCCAGCCTGGTGGTATCTGCAGACCTGAAAATAGAAGAACAACAGACACAGCCTCTTTACCATAGCCTCTTGAACCTACATTGGGCATATGTGCAATTTTGATGACTCTCTACCAGTATGCCACGTTCAGGAAAGTGAGTCTAGAAAGGTCGTCGACACTAAAGTTGTAAGCACTGGACCTCTACCAGCTCGAGATGAAGCAGTCCTGTATGACTCGCAAGGATGAGAAGGATTCAACCATGTCTCGGAGAGAGACCTCAACCATGACTTTGGGTCAACCAAAATTCAGTATCCATGGGACTTCAGCACTCGGTATGCAGGCCTTTCCAGGAAAAGTCGAAAGGATCTCAGAGGTTCAAACGACCAGCGCAACAGCAGATTGTGTCGTCAGACCCAAGCACCAAAGCTTGCGCGACCGTTGCATTCCTGCAACGCTCTGCCTCTGCATTCTATCTTTACAAACATCATGCATCTCTGATATACATCAAGTCTCTCAGGCCTCAGAGTCAGAGTCTGCACACCGTTCTTTTTCCTGTCGAAAGCGGCTCAGGGCAGAAAAGACCCTGGCGTGTCACACCCAAGCGCGGCAGCTGGACTCCCGGTTGGCCCGTCCACCAGCCCAAGATACAAAACAACAAATGACAGCTCCAGCCGCTCCCTCAAACGTGGGCTGAACGAATAGATTGAAGATGACGTGAAACAAACAAAAACCAGGAAAGTAGGCAGTCCCGCTGGTGAAATACATGGCTACTTATGCCACGACCACAATGACCCTGTGTATCGTTCGCAGTCTGTCGTGGCTAGCTCCTTGTAAGCATCATCCAAACTCCTTCCCCTGCAGCACTGTTTGCAGATCGCGCTCGCAAGAAAACGAAGAACGTCCCCGTTGAAACAATTCACTTGTGTTTCTTTTAGCAAATTACTGTAGCTACAACTGGACATTGCTACACCATACATCCATGGAAGTGGGCTCGCCCAACATCGACAAGGCCATACCTGAAATCCCGAAGACGCCAGAGATGCGCAACGACAGTTTCGATGCCAACATGCCGTCGGGCGATGTGGATCTGACGGGCAGAAAGACGCGAGGCAGTATCGCCAGCGACAGCTCAGAAGAACCTCTGGACTCTCTCGTCGGCAGTCCCACTTTGCCCTTCCTCGCATATGGTCGCAGACGAAGCTCTTTCATCAGTCCTTTCCAGATCAACAAAGCTCGCTATCTCTTGAGTTTCGCCGATGCCGAAACTGCGCAGGAGTGGTGGACATTAATGCAGTCCGAGTATGCCGATACCTTGCGCGAAAGCCCCAATCTTTTCTCGTTCAAGAGCGATCGTACTCCCATCAAGGCGTGGGAAAACCCCAAGTTTGCGCATCTGAGGGACAAATGGTCATATCGTCAGACCGACGGAAAGGACGACAAGACTTCACATCAGCAACAGGTGTCGTCGCAAAGACGCGTTTCATCAGCCCGTACGCCTCTCATGCCTACATTGAGCGAAGGACATGTGTTTGGAGGCTTCGAAAGACTCGACGACCCTTTCACCCCAGCAGGCGCAAACAACATGGAGTTTGCTCAGCTCAATCTGGCTTCAGATCATATCCAGAAATCTGTCAGCCAGTCAACCTTGCAACTAGATGCATTGCTCGAAGGCCAGCAAGCCAGTGCTAGAGGCTTCCAGAAATTGTCCGCAACCATAGAGCGCATGACCCAACAGATGGAAGCGCTAGCCCGCAGACAGCAAGACCACGAGATAGTCCTGCGCGAGCTAACAGCGGCCGCCACGGCAAACAATGCCGCCAGCGACGTCCAATACCGACACCAACAGGCTGCCGCTCTGCAATCCCTGCAATCCGTGATTGAAGAAACCTGCTCACGCGTCCAAGAGCTGTACCTCAAACCCNCACCCACCCCAGGTCCAAACCACGAAATCCTGCACGAACTGCAAGAAGAAGTATCGCAAACCTTGACACTGCTAAAAGACCTCTACAACCGTCCATTGCCAGAAAGCGACCCTGCTCAAACAGAAACCCTCCAAAAACTTCAAAAACAACTTTTGCAAAACACAAAAGCCATTCGCGCATTGACAGATCGCCCAGAACCTGCTTCCAACACCGAGACCTTGCAAAAGCTGCACAAGGAAGCATCACAGACTACAGCCATCTTGCGCGGAATCACAGACCGATTGGCAGCAACAGAGACACCTCCAGCACCAGTATCAGCGTCAAACACGGATCTTCTTCAACGACTGCAAAAGGACATGACAAACAACACGAGCCTCCTACAAACCCTCTCGAGCGATCAAAAGACGACGAAAAGACACCTCTCAGCTTTAACCTCAACCCTCGACACCACCACTTCGACCCAANAAGCACTTGCCGCACAACTAAAACAAACCCATACGCTAGCAGAATCAACCCAAGCCTCAATTACACAGCTATCCTCCGTCCAAGATGCCAAGTTCTCCGCCTTAGAGGCAAAGATGGACAAGCAGATGCAGCAGATGAAGAAGAGCTTTTCAGTGCAATTGGAGAAACAGCAAGAAATCTCCAAAGGACAACTGGACGAGATTCTCGGGGCAGTGAGGGGAAGAAATGTGGTCAGAACTGCCGAGTGTGGGCACGGAGAGGTTCTGCCACCGCCCAAGAAGATCGGGAGGAAGATTGTTGGCTATGTTTATGAGAAGGAGTGACTTGTGGTTGGAGGGTGTGTTTGATGACCTTGTGAATCTAATTTATAATATATCTGATTTACTTGCGTTACTTTTCTTGCCTTGCATGTTAGTCAATTATTCATAACATGATTACTGCAAAGAGGACAGATGCAAAGTGGTAATACGGTCTCTTGATTCGTCTTTATGATTCGACTCCCAGTATGCTTCGATACAGAAACGGACTTGGGCGGTATCTGCCCTTGGTCGTGTGACATTAGAACTCCTTGATCTCCATGCGCTTATCAACCCAGTGCTCATGCAGTGTCCATCTTGTCATCATCGCCATCCTTCTTCTTGTCGTCTTTTGACTCTCCGCTGCCGCTGGGTTGGCCGCTCTGGTCAAGCAGAGGCTGGCTCTCGGAGGTCTCTGGTACGCTCTCCAGCTGTGTCTTGCCATCGGCACCTTCTGTGGCGGTCGCGCGTGCCTGACGAGCAGTTTCCTCCTCCATACTCATACGCAAAGCCAGAGCCAGTTCCGGGTCCATCGAAGGGTCGACACCAAACTCAAAGTCGCCGCCACCAGATGCCGGTGCACCACCCTCACCACCAGCTGAGCCACCACCCATACCGCCAGTCTCGCCAGCCAGGATTGGTGATGCGACGATAGTGTCGGAGAGAAGATTGGGGCCGGGTTGGACAATCTCGAGGTATGAACCGTCACCACCCTTGACGGCATCGTTAAAGGCCTGAAGCTTCGAGGTGACATCGTCGCTGAGATCACCAAAGGCAACAATGTCGATGCTGACGTTGTTCTTCTTCATGCGCTTTGCCAGCTTGACGAGAGATGATTGAGATTCTTGGGCGGAGTTTAGCGGCGAGCAGGTAAGGACGATGATGCGTTGGCGTTGACTCTTGTTTTGACGGTGCTTGAGGGCGAGCTGTTCATGATTAGTGTTGAGTTGCTAGTGTTGTCTTTCGATGCGACGTACAGAGGCGATCATGATGGCGGTGTGCAGGTGGCTTTCACCACGGATCTTTGTGCGATGCAGACCATCGAGGATCTTGCCGGGGTTTGTGGTAAGGGTAGTAAGGACTTCGGGACCGCTGCCGCCCATGGTCATGAGGCCGACTGAGGATTCGGGGTTGGCTTGTGTCTTGTATTGGAAGATCAGGTTGGCGGCGTCTGCTTGGGCATCCCATCTCGAAGGTACGTAGTCGCCGTTTCTGCTGCTCTCGCTGTTGTCGACACTGCGGTCATGGTCAGTACGAGGTGGTGAGAACGAATTCACGAGCTGGACATACACGATCATAGTTGCCTCCAAGCCCATGTTGGCGGTTGTGAAGGTAGACGGATTGGAGAGGGAAGGGTGCTTTTTCGCGGGAGATGTGGAAACTTGACGAGGAAGGAGGTCTAGTCAAGATGGAGTTGGCCGGAGTGAAGAGTGGAAGGTGCGGTGGTTGAATGGTGCTTGATGGTCTCGAAGCTGCACCTGCTGCTGCTCTCTCAATGACGCTGGCCGCCGCCAAGAAGTGCTCCGATCCCCGACTTTGATGTTTGTTGATACGCGACTTCCTTTCTTTACCATTCCCATTTCTCGACCAGCATACGCCAACATCGCATTCGATATCAAGACTCGGCCTACACATACGCGCATATCTACAACAGGGCCCTCCGACAGTCACCAAGAGCCAACATGATGAGCCTCGTCGCGACTCCCGACGCGACAATGGCCGGAGATCGAGTTGCCCACATCACTGAGGCTCAGAAACAAGCTCTGATGGACAATCTGCAGCTCGAGAGTGTGTCGTCCACGTCTGGTATACTACAAGCGCTGTTCTAACATGTCTTCANNGTCGCAGACCGTGCCCGCAAACTACGCGCCCAGTATGCTCTCCAAGCCCAGGGCCTTCGCACTCGTCTGGAGATGCGCATCAACCGCATCCCTCGCAATCTTCGCAAAGCAAATATGGGTGACTTGCTGGAAAAGCACCTCGAAGCCCAGAAGAAGACTCAGCAACGTCTGCCTAGCCCGAACAAGGCAAAAAGCTTGAAGCGCAAGAGGTTTGTTCAATTGTTCGGATTGCACTTCTCATGTGCTAACTGTAAAACANGCGAAGAAGCTACTATGGCTGACAAGGAAAATACCAAACCTGCCTCGGCAGCTCTCGCGAACCCAAAGAAGCGCAGCAAACCTAGCCCTGGCCCTACCGGCATTCCTACCTCGCCCAACCTGGCCCGTTCTAATAGACCTCAGCCTCTCAACCCTACCGTTCTCTCTCCCAAGTCTCCAAACTCGCGTACACTTCCACGATCTCCTCTGAAGTCTCCTACAACAAAGTCTCCACCACCGCTTCCCAGACCTCGCGGCGCAGCAGCTCTTCAAGCAGCCCAACCGACTCTGAAGAAGGGCACGCTTAAGAGACCTGCCACTGCACCCACGACCACCACCCTAGACTCAGTAGCATCTGCCGCTCAACCGAACACTTCTACGCGTCGTGCCCTTCGCGCAAGCAATGCCTCAGCAGAAAGCACCAGCAGCGAAAAGACCACAATTGTCAGTAAATCACCTGCCAAACCCAATCCTCCTAGTCGCCCGCACACTGCAATGGCCCTAGCATCGCCTAAGAAGTTGCCCGTTCCCACCTCGCCTGTCAAATATAATTCGATCAGGGAAAAGCCATTGCCAGTCCCCGCTGCAGCACCAACTCCTGTCGCAGGTACACTTAAGAAAGGAACCTTCAAGAGCGCAATGGCTTCGCTTACAGGAAGCAAGAGAGGGAAGAAGACAACCGCTGCTGCTGCTTTCGGCACTAACGGGACACCACCACCCGCTGGCAGAGTGTTGAGGAAGCGTGCACCTTGAGGCTGGTGTCGTCTATTGCTTTTGTTTATGAATAATGACCTCTCTTCGTTTCTTTTCTTTATCTTCATACCTGCTCGAACTCGGACGAGTGAGGCTTTTGGATTGTTTGTTGGGTGGGCCTTCTACAATAATGAATGGATGTTGAGTTTGCCAGTGAACAAGTTCTTTGCCTGATTCATGTCATTTCGTTAGCATCTGTTACAGTTATCTAACAAGACAAGCAAGGTATTCTCGAGAAAGAATTCGATATGATCTTGTCAGGAAGAGCGTGAGGCCATGATTACAGAGACACTTCAAAAGTTGTGGACTTCGACACGAGCATAATCATATAGGAAGGGACAGAAAGAATCATGAAGTGGTGAAGAGTATCATATTGTTCATGAGTAGCGGCACAGGTAGATCACATACCCGCCCACTCGACACAGAAGGCCCTAACTTCTTCTTCACCTTCAATGTACTCCTTGTCCTCTGTACCGCCAATGAGAAATCCTTTNTTAACACCAGTGCCCAGACGACCGCCTCCTACCAGCGTCAACAAGTCAAACTCTTGATCCCAATCCATGCCGTCACACAGGAAATGACTGTGGAAGCGCAGTGGATCACCAGGATATGCTGTGTATCTGCAGCCGAACCTGATGCCTGGGGCCATGAAGTAGCCTTTGGAGTGGAGGTGCTTGAACAATGGGTAAGAGACAGGGACTTTAGGTAGGGGTAAGGGCGATGAAGGTGTAGAAGATGTGAGAGGAGGATGTGAGGATGTAGGTGTAATCTTCATGGTTGAAGCAGAAGATGACGCGACAGAGGCCTCTGAAGGAGCGATTGAAGGCGCACTGGGTGCAGGGCTAGAAAANAGCGATTCTTCATCATCTCCAGCAGCATTGCCGTCCGCAGTGACAGCCTCGGAGCGCTCTTTTTCAAGCTTGGCAGCGAAGGTGGCATTTTTNGCTGCAACCTTTTTCAATGCTGCGATCTTCCTGTCGTCGGCACTTTTGGTCTGCATCCTCGTTGCATCACTGCCTTGCTTTTTCAAGCTGCGCAGGAACTTGTCCTTCTCCTCTTTACTGAGGTTGCCTTGAACGAATGCTTGTTTGTGGGCAGCGGCATCGTCGACAATGTATGCGACACCCTTCTCAACCAACAGACGTGCCTCTTCGGGCATGAGCTCCAGAGGNATACCCAAGAAGACGTTCTGTTGTGGTGCTTGAGGCAAGCCACCGATCAAGACACCAGTGATGTTGTGGACGCGGCGCGCATGGCTGACGGTGTTAACGTCGTAGAACGTGTAGCGGCCGCCAACCAAGAAGACTGGAAAGGGCTCGGCTACTGTGAGGCTGGCCATGGTGATACTAGATTATACCGAGACTCCCGTCAAGGCTTTACAGGACAGTCAGCATGTGTCGCAAACAGGAGACTGTGTGTGAGGAGGAGGGGTTGAGAAAGCATGTTCATAAAGAGCATAGCATTTTTCTGTCGTCAATGACCGTAGTCTCAGGGGATTGACAGATTGATTGAAAAGATGTTGTTTAATCATTGCAGCGGGTGTAAATGAGAGAAAGCGATGGATCGCACATACCTTTTGACTATGTAGAGACAAAAAAGAGTCTCGTGATTATTTCAGCCCATAATGGAATGCGTGAGTTTGCAGAGGCTGCAGGACGAAAGAGCTTTCGGCAATATATATTGCAGGCGCTCGGACCTGCCTCGGCGGTCAGGGCAATCGGCGGCAGAAATCGTCGCTCTCTCCAAATTCTCCAGCCTCCAGAGTTCCGACCAGACTTTTTGTTTGGTAGATATTTAATTATCAATCAGCATTCCACACACATTCAAGATGGCAGCAGACAGCAAATCCTTGACGACAAAGGTCGCTTCCGGCACCCCCTACCAACTGGACCCCTCGCAAACCCTCCGTGCAGCCACTGCTCNNCTGCTCAAGAAGATTGCCAGTGACTCTGTTGCGCGCAAGGACAATGGCGGCAAGGCCAACCTGCTCGAGGATGCCGACGAAGACGAGGACAGCGACGAGACCTCGACCACCGTCTGGCTCAACGTCACCACCAAGAAGCATATTGCCGACCAGCGCAAGATGAAGCCCGGCAAGATCATCGTGCCCTTCCCTCTGCAGTCCGCCGCCTCGCCCTCTCTGCGCATCTGCCTGATCACCGCCGACCCCCAGCGCAAGTACAAGGACCTGATCGCCAGCGACCGCTTCCCCGCCCAGCTCTCTTCCCGCATCACCCGTGTCCTCGGCACCGAGAAGCTCAAGGCAAAGTACAAGACCTACGAGTCGCGCCGCCAGCTCTTCGCCGAGTACGACATTTTCCTCGCCGACGACCGCATCATCACCCGTCTGCCCGCCCTGCTCGGCAAAGTCTTCTACGGCACCGGAGCCAAGCGCCCCATCCCCGTCGCCATGCAAGGCAAGCCCGAGAACGCCCGCGACGAAGCCGGCAACAAGCGCGTCAAGCTCTCTGAAGGCGGCGAGAAGCTCAAGCGCTCAGACATCACCCCTGAGGCCCTGGCCCACGAAGTCGAGCGTGCCGTTGGCGCCGCCCTCGTCCACCTCGCTCCCAGCACAAACGTCAGCATCAGAGTCGGCAAGAGCAGCATGTCCGCCGACCAGGTCGCCGCAAACGTCGACGCCGTCGTCACCGCCCTGACCGAGAAATACATCCCCAAGGGCTGGAGGAACATCCGCTCCCTGCACGTAAAGGGTCCCAACACCGCCGCCCTGCCTATCTGGCTCGCCGACGAACTCTGGACAGACGAGGCCGACGTGATCGAGAGCCTCNCTGCACCCGTCGTCAAGGACAAGAAGAAGAGAAAGCGCGCCCTCCTCGAGACCAGCGCCGTCGACACCGCAGAGACCGACGACGCAACTTCTGCAAAGAAGTCAAAGAGCGACGGTGCCAGCGACGAGACCAAGGCCAAAAAGTCAAAGAGCGACAATGCCGAAAAGGCCGCCAGGAAAGCCGCTCTCAAGAAGCAAAAGGAGGAGTCCAAGACTGCCATTGCAGCATAAAGAGACATGACATCCAAGAAAAGTTAGTTCTTGTGATTGACGGGGGCCTTCTATATATCCTGGTTGTTGTTTGCATTGCATGGCGCTGTGGAGTGGGCGTTTTCTTTCTATTGGAGTGCGTCTTTACAGATCTATACTATTTTGGTTCACAGGGGCGATCAACCCAGCGAGAGATCAGCTGTACATGTTCTGCTTTCCTCGTTGAGTGAATAAGAATGTTCTATACCATATCAAAGCTTCAAGCAAGGCACGAACTTAATTGACGACTGCCTGAATCATGTTTTCCGCCTGCTCGACAAACTTTGATGATCTCATGTCGCACCGTCCATCAGATCATCTTCGTGCTGAGCTTCGTTGGTTAGAGATGCTTGTGACCATTAGGCGGGTAGAGCACCGAAGGATGAGGTTTCGCCGCCTGGTCCAGCACCAGCGGCACCCGGTCCGGGCCCACCGCCAAAGCCTGTCACGGCCATATCTTCCTGCTTCATCGTACCGTTGAGCATCGGGCAAAGCCTTTAGTGTTGATTGTCAGCCGTTCTGTTTCGCAAAGGTGAAAGCTTCCTCTCACAATGTGAGAGAAGGATATGGATGAGAACGCAAAAGGAAAATAAAAGCAGGTGCTGAGTGAAGAACGGTGGCTTTGAATCTCTCGTGTTGAAGTCGAGATTCGGGTGGCTCAAAACTGAGCCGAGTCGACAAAGAGCCAGTCGTTCGCCTTGGGGGCGGAAGGAGAATCATTGCTTGTCTGCTTTCTCTTCCTGCCCCTCTGACTGCTTACCTGGACAGTCATTGCAGGCGAGGACTTTTTCTTTGCCGCTTCTTTCTTGCAGGAATCGGAGCAAAAGAGATCACTTGCTGACTTTTTGTTGGTCTTGATGTGGCCCACTTGACCACAGTTGGCACACTTGCGAGCTGTGCCTTCAGTATTCTTCTTCGATCGGCCCTTGCCTTTACCGGTTGGTGCAGGGGTCGCAGCGTCGGCACCATCGGCACCGTCACCTCCGGGCGATGCAGCAGCAGAAGGCGATGCGGCACTGCCAATACCCTTTGCGCGTTCACGAGCTTGTCTGCGGCCGATGTTGCGCTGGAGACGCTCAATCTCTGCCTGCATNACTGTGTAATTTGTTAGCGAAAGATAGTTAAGGATATATGGGTTACGATACAGTTGCTTTTGCAGTGCGTCGAAATCTTCGTCGCCGGTTGCTTTGGTGTTCATGATGNNCTGTACGTAGATGTCAGCATGCGTTCAAGCCGAGTTTAATAAGTCATGGGCTTGCTGCAAGGGGTGTTCAAGGAATCCAGGTAAACCAAGATTTCTGACACCACTTGCAACCTTGATAGAACAAAAAACGTACTCGATCGCTTGGCTTCGTGCCAGCAGCTTGCGCTTTTTGTAGGCTGCGATGACCCTTGGGTTGGTGATAGTCTCTATCTGCTCTTCCACGTTGCCATACTTGTCGCGCACACTTCTCTTGATCGTCATGAACTTGTTGTTCTGACTCATACTGTTGCGACTGAACTGACTTGCGGACTCGTCGTCCCTCCTGTTGTTGCCATAGACAGATGTTCCGATAGAGGATCGAGGTGTGCCGGCTCTGAAACTTTGTGCTGGCTCGGGCTCGTCGTCAACGTCGGCTTCGCCCTCTGAGTTCTCCAGATGTGACGAAAGACTTTCGTGCTGGGACTTCCATATGCGACGAATCGATTCATCATAAGCTCTTTGCTGCTTGGCTACATTGTAGCTGTGACCTCCATTTTCCTTGAGTCGCTTGGCATCGAGTCGTTCTTCAATACTCTCGCCTTGTGCTCTGAACCCACCTTTCATAGAAGTCTTGATGAAACTGAATGCTTCACCTCTGCCAGATGGATCGCCTTCGCCATGCAATTGGAGCATCGCTTTGCCTTGGCAGGCATTGAGAAAGTTCTTGGTTGTGTTCCATGGTGCAAGCTTGAGCTCGACATTCGTGCCTTCTTTAGCATCGTCCTCCTCGTTTTCGTCATCCTCTTTCTTGAGTCCGAGATCTTTGAGGTACTGCACACCGACTTGCATCGAGTCAAGAACACATATGTCCTCGGGCTTGATCCATCCACGAAGAGTCTCTGAGTCAGGAACAGAGTCGCCTGCCTTGAGATGCCAAAGCTGGTTGTTCTTGTCGTATTGCATGAACTCACGCATTTTACCACGGTTTTGACCGACGTCACTGCCAGGCAGATGAGCTTTGACAACTTCGTTGGTAAGGGGCTGACCNCTGATAGCGGGATCGATGCTCTTTTTGAACACACGATAAGATATTGCACGGAGACGACGCTTGGCCGCATCTGTGACCTTTCTGGAGTGCTCGCCAGGGACTTCCACAGAGGGGAATTGCTGACCAACAGCATACAAATTCTCTATGTTGCGCATATAATACTTCTTGCCATTCTTGTGTGTTTCATTGCAAATGACAAGGAAGTCGTTCGATTTTCCTTCATGGCGAAAGACAGGCGCCCTGTATAGACCGTTGTGTATGGTAGGTACCATTTCTCCAGGATCGACTTGGCCGAAGTTTGCGAATGGACTGCGATCTTGAGGTAAGAGAACTTGTGTTTCACCGATCTCTTCCTTGGGTCTGGAAGAATCTTCGGCATCTTTCCTTCTGTAGTAGTTAATGAGACGATTACCCATACCAAAGTTGGAGAGCATGACAGGGTGTTCTTCAGAGTATTCAAGAAGCAGCGCACTCGAGTTGTCGGCCATAGACAAGTCTTCGGATTTTGCAAAGAGGGTTGCGACATCCTTGCCACGCATCTCTTTCCTCTTGAGTTTCTTGGGTTTGCTAAACGTGATGGTTCTGTTGGGTCTCTCGCCTGAGAACAAAGGACGATGAAATGCTCGTTTCTGCTTGTCGTCCAGACTGACTCTGTAGAAGGGGAACTGCAGCTTGGTCGCTGGCAGACTGTGTTCGACAGCCATACTGCCGAGTGTGCTGCGGACCTTGTGCTGGTGGTTCTCTTTGAGGAGTTCATATGCTTCGTCGTTGGAGATGTTGTATCTCTTGGTCATGTCGCGAGCCATGGCAGTCCTTGTTTCCCGACGCATGTCGCCAGGAACATGACGCAACCTCTTAGGTTGAGCGGCAGGAGCATTCTCGTCTAACAAAAGACCCGGATCATTCATGTCAAGGGTAACTCTCTTGGCAATGTATGCAGTTGCACGCTCTGGCTCGTCAAGAGAGGGATATGTGTGCGATATAGCGACGGCAGCTTTGAGGTCAAACCCGACAACCTTGAGCTTTTTCGCGGTCGGCTCTTCCAAGTCGAAACCAGGAATCTTGCGTTTCGCTGCGGGTGGCGAGCGTGAATCTCGTCCCATATCGACACCACTATCCACAAGCGAGTAGTGGCCAGGTGAGGGTGCGGCACTCGTCATATCCCAATCCTCACAAAGCACTGTCAAATCTTGCCACGATACACCACCAATCTGCTCATTCGGGTCGATCTCATCTAGATCAACAACGTCTTCGGTGTCTTCTTGCTTGGTAGAAGTATCCTCGACACGAACGACACCCAACTGTTCACCGAGTCCTTCTCTCGCATGTTTGCCCATTGTAGCGGCACCCAAAAGCCTGAAGCTCTTCTCTTGATCATGTTGAAGATCAATACTGAGCTTAGTGGGTTGTACGGGCTTGGGAGGCTTGACAGGGGTCTTCCACCCGTAGATACCTCTTCTAGGAGGGAACAACTCGGTAAAGCGCGGGCGCTCTTCTGGGTCGTATGATGGCCAGATAGAATAGAAGACTTCCATTTCCGTCTCTGGAGCGGTTGGCGGTTCGTAGAATCCTCCTCTCCTGCTTCGCTCAACTCTTTCTTGCTCCATAGCCGCAAANAGGGCTTTCTGCCGTAGCCAGTCCTCATCCTCTTCGTCGTCCTGCTCCTCGACAACAACCGCGTCTTCCATTTGATCGTCTTCGATAAGATCGTCAGATACTTGGGGCAGAGCGAGAGATGTGTAAGCCCCTGGCAGAGCGATAGTGGGCTTAGAGGGGAGAGCGAGACCACCATGGCTGACAGACGGAGGGTTGGCGAAGCCATTATTCTGGGCTTGGTCGGATAGCTGTGGAACATCGGGCTTCGCATCTTGGTCGCCGTCGTTGTCGTCTCCAAACAAATCGTCCTCGAATCCGAAAAGGTCGTCATGGTTCTCGTCTTGCTCGGTTGTTGCATCAAGCTGAGTCATAAGATCATCGGCGAGCGAGCTTTCAACCTTTGGCTTGACATCGGTCTCGTCTTCGGGCAAGTCATCGTCGCTAATATCTTCAAAGTCGATGGCGTCGGCGGCTTTCTCGCCTACTTCCAGATCTCGGTCGAAGTTCAGGTTGTTGTTGCTCGGATTCTCGTCGTTGAGAAGGCGTGCGATTTCAGCATCATCGGCCTGGTCTTGGAGCTCGAACTCATCGATGGCGTGCGGCATGGTGGGCGCGCCGAGTTGGTTCTTGTGAGATAGAATGGTTTGCCGGACACTGGTCTAGAAAGCAGGGCGATGCGCCATGTGTGTAGCGCGTTGACAGGCAAGTGACGCCAAGTGTGGTGGAATGCAGGTGGTGAAGTTGTCGCGAGTTTGTAGTAATGGCGGCGGAACGGCGTGCACAGTGAATAGATGGCAGTCGCAAGGGTCGTGTGGATCCAGTGGCGCCTTCCTGGCTGTTGCTGGACGCTGCGGCACCCAAAATGCTTCTTGTCGTTGTGACGAGTTGGTTGCTTGCCTGCGACTGCCTTCGCGCATTCAAATGCCAAGACTCTTGGGTGACTGCCCGCTCGACACTTCCGAGACCGAAACCTGAGGCTCATGCGCGCAAACAACCCCCTCATCCAAAATCCCACTTCCTACCGGTCCATCTCATTTGAGCTTGTATACATGATCACTAATCAGAGATCTGGATAGGGCAAGGTTCGATTTCTACAATACGGTTCGATGTACGCCCAACTATGCAGAGTGAGATGGATATGGCTGTCCTATTCCAAGGTCCCATAACGAGTCTCGAAGTTCACAAAGCCTCTTATGCCTTCCCATGAATTCATGTTCATATGACATAACAACATACTCATCAGTGTCACACCCAGAGGGGATGGACGTTTTGGTTCCGTTGTATTTTCTCTGCGGCCTGCATGCAGCTAACTATATCTTCTCCAACGCTCTATCGTATCTCGGTCGCAAACCCGCACAACATTCGGTGTAGACAGATGCAAGATGGACGAAACGAAGCGAGATCTGGCGGATGGATTTACATACCGCGTGATGTTTCTTGACTTGGCTTGACTTTAACCGCTTGAGAAGTACGGACCACACTAACCACTGTTCTCATGCACATAGGCTTCTAATAGAGGAAACAAGGGGGCCGGGGCCCTTCGGTGGACTTTTCCGCGGCCATGCATCAATGATGCAGCATTATGCTTGACGCGTGTGTTACCTGTGTACTCCTGTACTCTCATACAAGCAAAGTAGGGCAGGTCACCGCAAGGCCACCAAGTGGAGGCATGTAATTTGATGACCGCAAAATGGTCTTACACCTATCTCGTACTTCAGGTACAAAGCTGAGACTTGGGATCATCAGACGTGAGACATGACAGGGATCGGCCGCTTCCTTTTGCCCTCTCCGTCAGCACCACTCCCTCGACCAAATCGTTGTGTCATCTTTTGGTAGCAACTCGCATCATGCTCAAAAGGTCAATTTACCGTTGGTGAAGCACTGATACCTCGCCAGGGCGCGTTGCCATCTGCCAACCTTGAAGGAAGGTCGGCTAACTTTTGGCGAGTCATCTTAAAGCCCACTTTCTGATTACTGAACGAACAGTTTTGTATCGGTTTAACGTCAAGAAAGCCAAACTCCTAACCGGACCTAATTGGCTTTTTGTACAAGCTTCTGAACCACGTAGACTCGCCTACCTTGCGGCGGGTCAACTGATGAGTGCCGGCCCGGCAGTAGGCGGCATTCTCTACTCGCTATTAGACTCGGTCGATAGTGACATACGAGCACATACGTTGACCTTCAGATAGGGTTTCGGTCTGTTGTATGCGACTGCTACGGACGTGGCGAGACCATAACGCACAATAAGCGTTCTACCTGAGCGTAATGCACATGTGCACGCGTAATGCGATACAATCGTCGTTGTCACAGACCCCTTTCCTCAGTCCTCCCTCTTGTTCGCAGGGGGAAGTTGGACAGTTGCTGAGCGCAACGGCTCTACTGCCTATTGCACCTGCACAAAGCAGATCGGGTCTCGACGGGGCCGCATAGTTCTTGTACTCGGCGGCCCCAACTCCTGGTTCAGGATGTAAGCGCCTATTGTCTACCGCCGGCGTTAACCGCTCACTCAAAGCCATCTCCAATCCGCGCTATCGGCCAGCCTAGACCGAAGGCACAGAATCTATATGGGAAAGTCTCACCACTTTTAATTACTCGATATGTACCATTGCTCGGCTGCGCCAGGCAGCGGCACTTTCCACCCTATCGACTCGAGTCTTCATTTCTTCCTCCATCGTCCTAGCGCAATCTATTCCAAATTCGCCGAGCAAAGTCAAAAATACTTGCATAATATTAATCAACTAAAACAATAACGGAGCCCTACTTGCCCTGCTGCGCGCATCTGCTAATTAACCTATCGCTCCCCCATATAGTCGGATCCAGCCACTCTCGCGCTTTCTTTGCTACGGATCACTTGGCATCCAACTCCAGATCTCGGGTCGAGTAAGTGTTCTTTCCTTCTGTCGCACTTGCATCTCTTGGTTTCCTTTGTTTTTCTGGTCATATCCTTACATATCGATGCCTACAGATTGCGTGAATTCCTCGAGCTCCCCAGATTTCCGTCCATAGCCAGCACTATTTTGGAGGTGGGACCATACAAGGCCATGCCAGACGAGCATCGGCCTGATGCATCGCACGTCGGCAACCTTGTCGACAGTGAGCCACGGCAAGTAGCACCACCTACTATGCTTCCAGGCCCACGCGATTCTCTTTTGCTTCCTCCGGATCGAAATGCGACTTCGTTGCATCTGCCCTCGTTGTCTCAACAACACCCAGCAGCACATGATGGAATCATTTCTCAGCTTCAGTCTTCCCTGCAGTCTCAGCTTCATGTCCACAGCCAGATACTCGAGGAACAAAGACAAGAAATCGAAAATCAACGACACCAGATGGCACGCATGGATAGCACCATAGAGGCTTTGCGCCACGAACAGAGGAGTATGTATGCCGTGGTTGACGAAGTCAGACATGAATTGCGAGCACGTGGCCCTGCACCGGAACACCAACACCCTGACACTAGTGAAGTCGACATTCTAACTCAGGAAGTTCAGAACATCTCGGCCAAGGCAAACGAAATTGCTGGTCTCAAGATGCAGTTGGATATCCTTAGAAGTCAGGTAAGACGTCTCGAACGTCACGGATCGCCTGGAGCAAGTGGTGCAACTCCATCGGAATCTCTGGGTCACGAACAGGTGAGCCATGCGCCACCTGTGGTAGCTGGATTCGCGACAAATACGCCCTCTGCACCAGAACAGAGACCGCTGCTATACCAAACTCCTATGGAGAACCGTCTTCCTGCTCCCATGGCCGTCAACCCCGAACTACCAGATCCTCGTGTTCAATCAGAGTCGCGCACACTTCCCGGTATTCGTTCTATCGATCCAAACACTCCCCTATCTTCATGGCGTCCTGCTGGTGCGATTGCTCCCCCACCATCAGCACCTATGGTTGGGTCCTCACCACAGATTGAGGCACCAGCACCTGGTAGTGGTTGGGCAGCTGTAAACACAAACACTGCGCCCAAGCGTTTGATCTCAGAACCCTCCTTCGAGTCTACGACCCCTGGATCGCCCAAAAGACAGCGCTTGGCTCCTTTAATGCCTCGGACCTACGATCAACAGAGCCCTGCACAAGGCTCATCGCCTTACCATTCGGTCTCTGGTGATTCATTGCCGACGGTTCCTACCTTGCAATCGACACAGAACCCTTCCAACGAATCTACTGGAAGTGTGCCTCCGCAGCCTAATCCTCTGCGTTTTGTGCAGTTCGCATCGGGGCTAGAATCAACATCAGAGGAGTCGTGGCGTCAAGGACCGGGATCATTGACGGATAAGACACGAGAAAGTCCGAGAAGAGGAAGAGGAGGTAGAAGCCGAGGTGGACGTAAGAGCGGGGGTTTAGAGGTAGATCGCGCAACACCAGAATGGGAGGCACGTCCCGACAATGTTCACATCTTGAATCCGTCCGAAGGACACGGAGGACCAGTACAAGCTTCGGAACAACCTAGCGAGACAACAGCTGGCATGTACCCCGACCCGCATTTCATGCCCATCACCACGACGGCCGACGTAGCTTCCTCAAACCATCCGACCAAGAAGACCCGCACCAAGCCCGTACGCAACGCAGATGGTGTTCTGATACGCAAGGACGGACGACCAGACATGCGTAGTGTAAGCAGTGCCATGAATCTCAAAAAGGTGCATGCGAAGAAGGAGGCGGAGCGCGCCAACAACAAGGAGAATTCCGCCGCTTCCGAAGACACAAAGGACAAGTCCACGCCCTATTCAGCATCAGAGCATGATGCAGGAGAAATGAGTGCTGCAAGTCCCAGTGTGGATGGGCATGCCACCGATGGTGAAACCAGCATTCTGGAGCGTCATCAGGAGACCATGCGTAAGGTTTTCCCTCACGGCATCGACAATCCCAGTGTACAGAGCATGGCACAACAATTCTTCCCAAAACCGGACGAGACTCGCGCTGCACCACAGGTCAAGATCGAAGCTATGGTCACAAGTGACACTTCGAAGGATGCACCTCGAGGACACGAGGGACTCAAACCTCTGATCGATGGGGAGAGGAGTATGGTTCACCACACTGCAGGACGTGTGGATGTCGAGATGAACGACGCTAAGTAGGCATGCATGCATCGCCGATGATCATCATGCACGCCGTTACGCCTTACGATCTGCTCGAGCAGAAAAAGACACGAACAACACAGCTGAATTCACGCGGATGGAAGCCTCTCACGTGGAGAGAGAAACAGCCACGTAAGTAGAGCATAATCGAACCGTTACATTCGCTTGTTGGAACACACTACCATTTGGGCAAGCAGTGAAGACGAAAGGATGGTTGGTCCTTGATTCGACATAGTCGAGACTTCCCTGGTTTATTCTGTTTTCGATTACATTATTTCAAGCTATTTACCCGTACACATATACCCAAGGCGCAGGCGTTGGGATTCAATTCGACAATGTAAAACAACACATCAAACATCATACATACACTTTCGTCTACATGCATCATCAATCTTTCTGTCAAAGGTAGACGCCACGCTTGTGTTGGTAGGGTAAGACTCTCCGCTGTACCTTCCTATGCGTTTTATTCCCAGACCGAGACTTTAAGGCGGCCTGAACTCCCAAAACAGAGCGAACCGCCAGACACCGCTTTACTCGGTTGAAACCCAACCACTAACTTTGTGAGCTCTGTCGCTCTACTCTCATACTTTGATCTCTTCTTCCATCCTTGTATGTTTACCGTTCATGTGGTGTCGATTGGCTTCTCGTTCCCAGAGTATTCGTCCACTTTTTGCTTTTACCAGACAACAAGTTTTGGTTTGGCTTCCAACTTCGTACTCCCATCTCGTCTCTTTTTACTTTGTTACGTTGGCACATATATTGTCAAGGCAAAGTAGAGCGAGCCATGTAGCATCTTTTTATATCTCGTAAGTGCATCGACGCCTTGCTTGCTCTCTGGGACGAATCTAGTTTATTCTCGTGTCACTTCTATCGGAACAACATGTGTTAGGGCAAAAGAGAAGCCCAATCTCGCCCTTTAGCTGTTCGGAAGCCTATTTCTCGCATTCGGAGGTCCGTTTCACCCTCCAGAACAAAAGAGAAGCCGTTATGACTTCGGCTCTTCTTCTTTGTTCGGTTTTGAAGCTCGGAGGCTGCCCCCGAGCTTATCGCTATAAGTAGTAGGTGCTTTTGCTTGGCGTGGTCTGGCTCAAGAATCCTTAGGATATGCTGTTTCCTGCGCCGTCGGCGCGTTGTTTATGTGTAAGCCTACGGCGACGACGGCGAGTAGGGCAGCACCATCCCGTGCAGAAGTCTAGAAAACAGCTTTATGCTTGCATGGCCAATCGGAAAAACCTCGGAAGCTATCATGCCAATCGGAATTGCTAGACGATCTTAGGGCTTTTTCTAGACTTTTACTCGCGATGGTGGCAGGTAGAACTGTTGCAACTTGCATCGCTTTCACTGCTCCATATGTTGGCAAGACCTATAGGACTGCGATCTGCGATCTGTGAAGAATGCAGGAGCGAAGAGTGTTTCCTTGCGAAACAGGAGCAGGATTTTCGTCTGCAGAGTGCTCACTTTCCGTGATTTTGATATGGATCGTCTTGAGGCTGTGCATCTTTCTTGATATCATAAAATCAGCCTTGCTATAAGTATATAAGATCCTTGTATTGTCGTCGCGTCGGCAGCTGAAGTATCGGAAGGTGATCGTCAGATCGTCTTATAGCCTTGTTGATCTGCCCTAGTTATTCGAACAACGCGTCCTTATGCATGACCAACATGTGTATAGAACCTAGACTTGATTTGATTGCATTCATGCTGCTATTGACGTTGCTCTCGGTCGCTTCGCAGCCAGTCGAACAGAAACAGATCCTCATCACTCTAATCAGAATCCCACGCTCCTTCCTCAAATCCACTGCCCATCTTCCGCCAAGGCCCCGCGACGCCTGCGCAAAAATTATGCACCCTCCCACTCCAATGCACCACAACTCTGCCAAATCTCGCTTATTTTCGCCGATTTTTTTCCTATGCATTCAGGAGCCAAAAATAGATCTCCTTCGATCGCCAAGGTGGCAAAAAGACCGACGCCTGCAGGACTCGAACCTGCGCTCCCGAAGGAAATAGATTTCTAGTCTATCGCTATAACCACTCAGCCAAAGCGCCTCTGAAAAGGCATGGTTTTCAATTCATTCATGTACTATTACAATCAGAAAAGTAAGGAGCGACCCAGGATTCAAGAGAGGAAGGAACGACTGAGAAGATCTCGTTAGTAAGGAGGAACGGGGTAAGCGATCATAAGGAGTCGGAGAGATGCTGGCGGTGAGGAGAACAAAGGAAGAGGAAAGCCAACCACTCCTTCCCGTGCTGTTGTCGTTGTTGATGACGGTGATCCATACTTTGTGATTATGTCTAGTGTGTCACCCTGGTCTATACATTTGGCCACGAGTATATCTCAAACACAGGCCTATCATCATTTACGGACGAGTGAAGTCGACACCTTGATATGTATAACAAGTACTCCAACCATCTCTATGCTCTATATTTGGCTACAGGACAAAGTAGTAGTGAATGTTGGTTTCCTTGTCACCAAGCATACTTTCCATCCTAAACTCGATTGTGTTCCAGTAAGTAGCCAAACCTGTTTTGACGAATGTTTTGCAACTTACAATGTTATAAATTAAACATGGAATGTATCATCTGAAGATGACCTACTTGTATCAGAAATGTCGTAATAAGTGTGGTTGATATATGATGTGTTTTGGGAGCAGTTAACTGTAACCCTGTTCCTCCTCCATCACAGAAATATCGATCACGAAAGGAACGACCAACTCGAAAGGAACAACCAAAACAGAAGGAGCAACCACAATGGAAGGAGCGACAAATACTGAAGGAGAAACCCACACTGGCATAGAGACAGCAAGAGCACGTTGGGAGAGACTGTCAACCTTTTAAGACGGCACGACCAGAGAAAGCGATGTCCTACTGGATTAAGCCGAAGACAAGTGAAACAAGATAGGATGACAACGTGTTGGACTTGTGTTCCAGTAGAGAGAGTTTCTTCATTGATCTGCACTGGCAGTGAATGTGGTGTTTTGTTGCAAAAAGCCATTTGCGAGACAAATCTCGTCCTCCAGAACCAAACCTAACACCATTGCTAATAAGACTGCAAAGAAAGCAAAGGAAGAATCATTGTATCAGCTCAACCCGCGTGATCACTCTCCATTGTCCTCATCGTCAACCTCCATGCCAAAGTTTCTGCGCTTCATGGCGAGTTCGCTCTCTAGACTCTGCAGCTTGTTGATGTTACGCTGTCTGAGCATGGGGTTCATGGAGCGCTCGACGTTAGCGCGCGCATTCGCAACCTCCTTCTCCAGGTCCTCAATCTCTTCGCGTACTTGAGCTTGCACTGCCTGCTCCGCCACCATCTCCTCGTCAATGGTGTCTGGTCCTTCATCGTCGTCCTCATCGGACTCTTCAGAGTCATCATCCTCGTCGCTTGAAGCTTCTTGAGCTGCTGCAGGTGTTTCAGCTGATGCTGCCGGTGTCGGTGCTTCAGTCTCTGGTTCAGCTTCGGCCATGGTGGCTTGAACGGCGCTCAACTCGGCAGCTGCATCGGCAGGTGGTAGTAACGGCGCGTCAGCCATGTCTTCGTCGAACAGAGCAGCGCCCAGCATGCCTTCCAGATCCTCGTCGTCTTCCTCCTCTTGCATAGGCTCCGTGGTATAGGCTTGACCGAAGGCGTCCTCGGTCGTCGTTCTATAGTCGGCTGGATCTTCGTCGTCGTAATAGTCCATATCTTGATCTCCTTGGGCTTGCGCATCGGGAGCGTCGTTATCGACAATGTCGTATCTGACGCTACCTCCAGACTTCTCGACCAGTTCATCGGCCTTGATCAGACGTTCCACTTCATCATCGACATGCTCAACAGACTTATAACTAGCTCTCTGCCTGAAGCGCCTCTTACGCACCCAGTGCATTGGTGGTGTCAGACCGTGTGCGTATGCAAATGTGTTTTTGTCGACTTCGCGTGGCAGAGGAGCGTACTTGGCTGTCGTCTCACCCTCTGTGGGACCTAAAACCAGCAGCATCTGACAAATATCGGCGACCTTCCACCATCCTCGTTTGTCCCAACTCTTCATTCCTTCGATAATGCACGGTAGGTCGACCATGACGGCGGCATAGTTGGTCTTGTTGACAGTGACGATGGCGCGACGCAGATCCTTGTCCAGAAACTTGATATTAACATAAGCTCCGCCTGAATCAGGCTTCTCGCCCAGCGTCTTGTTGGTGATGGCTTCGCGCAAGTAATCGCAGTCAGGACCTGGCTCCATGCGCAAAACCCATTGCTGCTCAACAGCTGGATCCTCTTCTGCGTCGCTTGCTTCTGAATCGTAGCCGACACCGACAGGTCTTTTTGGCACGTATTTTCGAGAGACAATCGAGATTGATTTGGGGCCAATGCTTTGTTTTCTCGCACTCAACTTGAGACGGGTCGGAGTTGAAGAAGCCGACTCTTGTCCTCCAGCATTACCAGTATTAAGCTTCAGGGAAAAGCGCTTCTTAGGTGCAGTGTTGATACTGGGACGTTTGGGGGCAGGAGAGATATCATCTTGAGCGGAGCGTTTCTTGGTGGCATCGTCGGTAGGTGCTTTCGGCTTCTTAATCTTCTTAGGGATGGCTGAGGGCGTTGGTTGAGGCGGCTGCGGAAGCTGAGAAGGCGTAGATTCGTTCTGAGGAGTTGGTGGTTGTGAATTCTTGATCTTGAACTTGAAGCCGCCGCCGGTGCTGGGAGTGGCAGCAGCAGGTGTTGGCGGTACTGATGGTGGCGCGTTGGGGTCGGCCGGTTTGGCCGAGAGCTTGAGTTTCATGACTGGGAGCGCATCCAGTAAATATGCCGCTACCGATGGACGTAGAAGAGCGAGAAAGCGCTGTACAAATGTTGCGACAATGACGAAGACGGGAAGGTGGGATGAATAGCAGGCGCCGGCGGAAACAGCAAGCGCCAAGACACAGTGAAGTCAGGCAGGTGCGACTTGCATGTGAAAGAAGCCCTACAGCTGCTCAATCATTAAAACATCGCATTCCTGTCCTCTCTACCATCCATACCGACATCATGTCGGCGACACAGCAACTACATACATCGCTACTGCGTGCACCCATTCTTCACATTCTGCGAGCCCAGGGCTTCCACTCAACCCGACCTTCAGTTCTGGACACTCTGGTCAACATCACCGAACGCTACCTCATGCTACTCGCCGAAACAACCAGAGATCATGCTCTACTCAACCACAACGATCCCATCCCGACCATCACTGACGTCCGTATGGCCTTGACCGACTGCGGCACCCTCACTCCCATCCTCACAGCCGCCGAGCAAGACTGGCTAGAAAAGTTCAGACGCCCACTGGAAGACTTTGACGATCTCAAACACGGCGACATCAGAAGAGAAGGAGAGCTACGGCGACGTGATGAACAGGACACCCAAGATGTACGCGACTTTATAAAATGGATCGTCGGCGACCAGAACCGTGAGATCCGTCGCATCGCTGGTGTCTTGCCCGAACCTGGCCCTGGAGGTACCGTCAATGGCGAAGATTACTTGACAGTTCTTAAGAAGAAGCACAGCAAAACAGGAGAGGAGTCACGATTTCAGGGAACGGTGCTTGGAAAGCCAGCCGAGGACAGGCCCATCAAGATCGAAGGTGGCCCAGTCGAGACTCTGACCGAGTGGAACAACCTCATGCACCATCACTCTGAACACCAACTACCAACCACAAGAGACGCCGCCGAAAGCCCCCACGAAGCCGAAATCGACGAGCAGCAACTGTTGATGGATGTGTCTTGAGCCGTGACGAACTTTGATACAACAGATTCCTACAGCAACTCCACCTGCTGCCCTCCATCACCAGCGCAACCATATACTCACGTGTAGCTGAAAGCGGCCGCCAAACTAGCCATAAGATTTTGCTTGCAGAGAACCCCAACACGTCGCACACCAAACTTGTACTACACGCGCCTAGTACACCGAAGAAAAGGTGTGTGGATTCGGAGGAAGGAAGCAAATGGGCATGGTGGAGGACAGAGACAGCCATGTGCTGCACACTTGGTCAAGAGCCAAAGTCGTCGTTATAAACGGGTCTCAATCACGCCATGCTGGACAGGGTGCTAGACAGATAGGCAAGCAGCCAGGCAGAACCAGAACCAGAGATTGACATGACAACTCTTGCATCCTCTAGAATCATGTTTCCCAGAAAGAGCCGCATACAACGAGTGCATGCTCTGATTTCATGTAGAAGCCACGTGCTTGGAAAAGAAGCCAACACCACCAAGATACTTGATGGCCTGCAATGCAAGCTTATTCTCCTCATCCATCTCCTGTTCAACAAGCTACACTCTCATATTAGCATACTTCTTCTCTCATACACAACATATCTCAAAACTTACCCTCTGATACAACGTCTTCCTCTTTCCCTTTTCCTGTCCAGAAGACGCGTCGTGCTTGTATCTGCACTTGTTTCCGAATTTGCATCGTCCTTGATTGAGGAAGCTGATGCATTGTTTGGCTTCGGATTGTTGCTGTTTCGGCTGTGTTTTGGGGTTGGTGGTGGGTGGTGGGACGCGGATTGGATGTGAGAGTTTCGAACAGGTTTCTTCGGGNGGTGCGTCGCTGTTTGAGTCTGAGAGGTGTTGGTCGTCTGCGGGAACGTCTTGACCTGGAGTTTCCAAGGCCTGGTCAACGTCCATATCCTCTGTCGCTGCTGCTTGCTCGGATTGTTCTGTTCTGTCAACAGTTCGTTCGGCTGTCTCAGTGGCAGTTGAATCCTGTCCTTGTCCCTTCTCGGCCAAAAGTGTCTGTAGCTCGTCCACTTTCTGCGTCTGAAGTGCAAGTTTCTTCTGCGTATCTTCCAGCGTCGAATTCTCGTTCTGTCTTGCTTGTCTCTCAGTAGCAGGTTTCCTCATCTGCCTCTGCTGGCGGTCATCCCTTCTTTCCACAGGTTGATACTCGCCTCCCGAAGCACTAGCAATAGCTGCTCTCGTTTCTTGCTCAATACGTTTGCGTTCTTCCATACGCGATTGAACTTCTAGCTCTCTCTCCTCTACTCTGCGTTTGCTGGGCCAGCGCTTCTTGCGCTCTTCAATCCATTCGGCGATGTCTGCTGCAGAACCCAATGTTGACAATTCTCCATTGAACTCGAAGCTTAATGGTCCGTTTTGCAAGGAACTCAGCGCGGCTTCTTCGTCGACTTCTTCTTCGTCTTCGTCGTCTTCTTGGTCTGAGTTTTCTGGTGATCCGTAGTTTTGTGGGATGAGGCCAAGTCCGGTTGAAGGCCGTTGTTTTAGACCTCCTCCTGATGAAAGCGGTGCGGGAGGCTTCTGCGGGAGGATCGGGGCACCGAAGCTAGGGACTGCGGGCGCAACTTGAGCTTTTGGTGCGCCAGAAGGCTTCTTCATGGGATGTCCTCTGTTTGAGTTACCGAAAGCCTGGTCTCGTGTACGTTTCCTNCCAGGTGGAGAAGTCGCATGGTTAGAATTCCCATATGATGGTTGGTTACTTTGTCCAGCGTTATGTACAGTTTGCTGTCCGTATTGTGGCATCTGAGGTTGAGGATAGGCTTGAGTTTGCATGCTACCAAATGCAGGGTTTACATAAGATCCAGGTGGCGCTTGATATTGCTGAGAAGGTTGATACTGCTGCGGCGCCTGGTAATGTTGACCAGTCTGATATTGCAAAGGATTTTGGTATTGTTGCTGTTGATTGCCATAACTCGGGTTGCCAGTATTTTGTCCATATCCAGTAGAATTGGTGTTCTGATGATGGAAATTTCCTCCACCTCGTTGAGGTGCGCCTCCTCGACCTCTGAACGAACCACGGTTTCCACGTCCTCCTCGACCGCCTCTACCTCCTCGATTATTGAATTGATTGGGTGTCTCTGGTTGTGATGATGATGCTGCTTTTGGTGGAGGCGGAGGAGGTGGTGGGAAAGAGAATCCGTCCATGATTTGGTTATTTCCAGTATGTTATCCAGATCCCAGAGTTTCCGAGAAATGAACTGTTTAGTTGTTAAGATTCGAAAACTGGGTGATGAGTCTATGCAAGAGATAAAATAAAAGAGCATTTCGAATCTTCAAAAGCTTGGGGAGAGCAAGAAGACGCGTGCCAAGACTCGACCCAAAGCGCCATCACTTTCATAGGGCTGAAGAATGCCCGACCCTCGAGCGACCGAAACTCCATCGGTTACTCACACTTCTGCATAAACACATCAACTGAAGGGAAATGTTCTTATAGCGACGTTGAAAGAAGTTCTGGAATTATTATGACTTCTGTGCTGGACGAATATTTGACCATAACGCTACCTGAATATTTGACCTGAAGAAAAATCTGCCAGGGCGTCGTCCATCCATCATCGAAAAGATGTATATCATCGTAAGTTCGAAATATTTCCTTGCCAGAACGAAGAGGTGGAAACTAGAGAGAGCGAGGAGATACATGGAACACGGAAGAGACGAAAGCATCCAAAAGCCGGCACTGACGACAATATCAAAAAAAGGTCACAATCGCGGACTTGATCCAAATCTCACCACAAGACTTTGAAAAGCGCAGCGCGCAAGCAATCGAAGACAACATTAACGCCAAATATGCCGACAAAGTGATCCACCGCATCGGCCTCTGCGTAGCCCTCTACGACATACTCCAAACCAGCGAAGGTCTCATCGGCCACGGCACCGGCATCGTAAACGTCAATGTCGATTTCCGCATGATTGTCTTTCGCCCTTTCAAAGGCGAAATCTTGATGGGCAAAATTCTCAGTGCGTCCGACATGGGAGTTAGAATCTCCATGGGCTTTTTCGACGACATTTTTGTGCCTGCCCCGGGGATGCTCTTTGATCCTGCAAAGTACATCAAGACGGAAGACGGAGAGTGGGTTTGGGTCTGGGAATCTTCGCCGGAGAATTTGCTTTACTTTGATGTTAACGAGATGGTTCGTTTCCGTGTCGAGGCCGAGACGTGGACGGATTTGTCTCCTGAGAAGCAACCTGCACCTGGCGAGGAAGTTGAAGTGTACAGACGCTCACCATACGAGATCACCGTAAGTGCTTGCAAAGAGAGTGAACCATCACACGATGTGCTAATCCATCTACAGGCGTCCATGCAACTCAGCGGTCTTGGACCTGCTCTCTGGTGGGTAGAACCTGACGCGGAAGAAGAAGCGGCCGAAGATGAAGGAGAACTGGACGGTGAAGCAGAGGAGACAAACGGCGATGCTGTCGACGAGATGGACGAGGGAGCTTAGTACGACCCCTCTATGCCATCTCGTCCGCTCGCTAATAAGAAGAAAGAGCGAGAGTTCGAGGCGGCCCCAGTCAACCTCAGTCCAAAAGTCCTGCCCCGCAGAATCACCAGAAGAAAAGGCTAGATGACCTTCTCTGCCGAGAATCTTGAAGATGGCGAAGAAGGATAACTTGTCAAAGCACGGGTGTCTCGAGGTCAAGTACAAAATCCTTGAGGCTATCTTACAGTTGTATACTCGACTAGAGGAGCGAGAACAAGGGCAAGAAGCAAGGGCCAGCGACATGCTGACTGCAATCACAATCAATTGGAGGTAACAGGAAGAGAGAAACATATCAACCGCTTATCAATTGTACCTGAAACTTTTCGGCGCTCAACACGCGATGCAAGATATTTATGGAGGAGATTCGCAAAACTCCTTCTATTTGAGCCCCAACCTGACCTTCAAAACCCCCTCCCAAGCATCCAAAGCACTTGCTTCAGCCCTGGTAGCGAACGCTCTGATTCCCTGGCTCAAGAATTCAGCCTCGGCCATAGCATCACCAGTTGCTCCTTCGCGTAATGCTTGTACCATATCTCTACCGTCGACCTTTGCCTTTTGTTCACGTGCAAGTGCTTGCAGAGCTGCAAAATGCTTGGTTACAGCATCACGAATGCGCTGGACGGGTTGGGGTGGCAAGCGGTTGCCTTGACGTTTCTTCTTTTCAATCTCAGTAGCGACGTTGCAGAAGAAGGCGGCACTGCGGATGAGGTCGAGTAGCAGGAAATAAGGCTGCAGTGTATAGCTTGATGGAGGCAAACCAGACGCCTTTTGAGTGCCGAGAATCTCAGTCACGGATAGCTGCTGGATAGACGTGGCCAAACGGTCGAGCAGACCAGCATCGGGCTTGGTCTCATTAGTGCCCAAAAGGGACTTCGTGGCTTGAAGTAGTTGTGCCCAAGGCTTTACAAAAGACTTCTCTGTTGGAGTGAGCTCATTGCTGCCTGCCTCTGCAAATGCAGCGGCTTCTTCTTCTGTCACGTTACTTGGCTTAGAGCAAACTGTAGGTCTGCTAGAAAGCAAAGCCCAGACGTCCTCGCTTAGGATAGCTTGCGAGATCCAGTTGATGTTAGGGATCTTGCCTCCACTATGTAACCTGCGCTCAGGCGTGCTTTCGGTTCCGACACCGTCAAGGTTGAATGTCTCAGCGTAATCTCTGCTGTCTTTGAGATCCTGGGTCCAGTATTCTAGAACACTTGGGCGGATGTCTGGAGTGCGAGGATGGAAGGGGTTGTCTGTCAGACGAGCTATTCTGCATTGCTCAAGAATGAGCATGCGCCTGGTGAAGCTGTGCTCGAGAGTGTCGCGTAACTCTTGCAGTTCGAAGACCAAATCGCACTGTCCCTGCTTCATGAGTGATGATTGAGAGTGTGCGAGTTTCTTGTCGGTAGCAAAGAACATGTCCAAGGCGGTGTCGATAATCTCGTAGGGATCGACAGATGCCTCACCTCTTTGGTCAAGTGCGAAGGGGTGGTTGACAGATACCCTTGTCAGGAGAGAATGGGCCATAGTCTCTTGCTGAATCTCTCTAACACGCAGACTGGCATATTGTTTCATAGCCAGAGAATGAAGGCCGAGTTCTGTCTCAAGGTATACGAGCAAGACTTTGCCAGGATGTGCATCTTCAGTAACTGGACCGGTCTCGAGGAGATATGCGGCTTGGAAGAGATACGTGATGTCCTGCTCGAGTTCGTAGAGTCGGATGAGTGCGGCAACAGCCAGATAGCAAGCATCTGATAAACGCAACTTGCTCTGAGAACTGGTCTCCATGAGTCGAATACATTCGCAAGCAAAGTTCTTGATGACTTCTCCATCAGGCTTAGTAGTTCCGATAGTGATGCGGTACTGGAACTTCAACGAGTTGATTTCGGAATTGAGCATGTCAGAAGCCTATTTTACATCTGTCAGTCGAGGTCTGTATCAGTAACATCGAGACTTCTTACCTTTNGCCGACCTCTTAGCATCTGGTTTTGAGGGCCTCAATGACGAGTCCGAGACGTGCCCGAGGAAATCCTGCTGGGCCTCGGATGGTAGATTATCCACAAACTCTTTGATATCTCCATAGCAGAATGGATATGACTGCCACTCGACGAAAAACTCCTTGGCAGACTGCAAAGTCTTTTGAGACTTGACGTCTGGATCTGTCTCTGCTTCTGAGAGAACAGTGGCCTGCAGCTTGGCCATCGTGTGTAGTCGCTTGATTCTCCAATCGTCTTTCTCGTTGACAGCAGGTATGACATCCTCCTCACCGAGCTTGGAAGCAGCCTTCGCAAGGCCATCCCAGACGACCCAATCATCTCTGACTCTGCTGTTTGTAAGCTGTTGGTATTCCTACTGATATGTCTCCGCTTACCTCAGTGCACCTTCCACAGAATTTTCGCCAAGCAGGGAAGAGCATAGGTCGAAAAGCTCTTGCCAGCGAGACTCTGCGATATACAGTTGAATCTTCTCTCTGGTGAACGGCCAATCGTTAATGATCTGCTTGGCAAGCTTATCGTCTTTTTTATCCTTAAAAGAGTCCAGAGCTTCAATCATGTCTTTCTTCTGACCCTGTCTTCGATAGAGATTCATCATGAGCCTCAGTTGTGCGGAATCCTCAACCGGTAGCTGCTTCAGAGTTCGGAAAGCAAGAATGCGGTTCATGCCAGCCACTTTTTCGTCCTTGTCTGCCTCACTCAACAGTTGTTGGATAGCGATATGAGCGAGCTTATAGCGCTTGTTAGCAGGGTCGGCCTTCTTCATGGCAATCAATGCCTATGTGATAATCAGTATACAGTGATCTAAAAGGGCATACATCATCTTACGGTANGCAGCATCCTGCCATCTCTGCTCGCTCACTGCAATCGTGAATCTCTTTTGATTGATAGCAACTACACCGTTCTTGCCAGCCGCATTCGTCGCGTTTGCCCACAACTTGCCAGCTCGCGGACCATTGCTCAGAGGGCGTGGGTAGTCGTCCAACACAGCCATCGTAGCCAGTTCATCCAGATCCGATATAAGAGTAAGATCAACAATAGGAGGATTTCTACTACAAAGCTGATCAAGAATCTGATTGCCCTCGTCGAGTTGCATCATGCTGAAGAGGAAGTTTGCCTTGAAATACAAAAGCTGATTGTTGGCCGGCGACTTTTTCAAAAGCTTGTTACACTTGCTCAAGCCATCTTTATATCTTCCAGTTTGGAGGTAATCCTCCAGTTCTCTCGCGGCGGCCATGGCGATTGTTCGAGGTCCAGCCAAAATTCTGCAGACGTGTGAAAATGCGTGTCTAGAAATGATAACAACAAATGTCAATATAAGAATTAGAAGCCAAGACATACATGTCAAAACTGTGTAAACGACAATCGACGGACCAAATATTTATATTGTCAAGACTTCACGGAGGAGGAGCGACCGGTATGAGTTGCAGAATTGAACTTGCCCAGCGGCCGCCGGAGGTCTGTGCACTTTGCTGCAGAGAACAGGGTCACACTTGATAGACGGGTAATGTGGTTGTGATGACGATAGTAATCATACACAACATACATAAATCTAGATATTCGAGACAGAGAAAATGCTTGACAGATCCTTGGTGCTCAACGGGACTTTCCCCAGCCTTCTTCGCCCAGTGTGTCATACACCTCTTCTATAAGACTAATGCTTCCGGTAATCGAGGTGGCTGCCCCNTTCGGTCCTGGGTTATTGAACATAGGGACCACACGTGTAACGGAATGCCCGATTTCCAAGATGGTTCCTCCCACCATACTCTCATCTTCGACCAGAGTCAACATTGCCTCCGCAACCTCTTCTGGGGTAGCCCAAAGATCTTTTTCCTCGTCGAAATACTTCATTTTGTCGGGGTTGTCTGTCCAGAGAGGTGTCTTGATGATTCCGGGACAACATGCATTGACACGAATGCCATACTTCTCGTCTAAGCCGGCCAAAGAGCGCGTGAAGCCGACGACAGCATGTTTGGCAGCGTGATACAAAGGTACCATCAAAGAAGCACCCTGGCCGGCTACACTACTAATCATGACGATACGCTTAGGATTCTGAGGGGTCGCCTTAGATTGGTGAGACAGGAATGCCGAGATGGCAAGCTGAGAAGTTCTGATCGGATGAGTGAGATTAATGTCAAGAGATGCATAGCGATCCCCATCAACGGTGTCCTTGGATTCTGAAGATCCAGGTGGATGCCAAAAGGAGGACCATTTTGGTTCGAAGACGCCTGCACCCGGGCACACAAGGTCGGTACCACCAAACTCTTCTTGAGCCACCTCGAACATCCGTGAGAGCTGTGTCCAGTCTGTGACATCTGTTTTCTGGAAGAAGGCTCGAGGTTGACCAGTAGATCTCTGAGAATACTTGTCGGTTATGGCTTTGGCCTCCGGACGCAAGCCAAGGTCGGCAAAAACGACATTGCAACCTCGCGAGAGCAAAAGAGAAGCAAAGCAAAGATTGATGCCTGCNTTGATAGTAAGAACATCTGGCATACACCTTGAAATATTGAGCTGCATACCAGACCCTGCTCCAGTGACGATTGCAGTCTTGCCTTTCACAAGGAAGGGCGCAAGACCTGAGGCCATGATGGAAGATTGTCTGTATAATGTGACTTTGTGTTCCAACACCAAAGGCTGCTTCAAAGAGTTCTGTGAAGACCTACTCGAGGGTTTGTTGTTTGATATACCTTACGGCAAGCAATGGCGAGGGGTAGTCCGATGGCGGGGTCAGCCTCCGGATGCTGCAGGAGCGACGATCTCGAATCGGAAGCACCTCTTTGGGTAGTCGACCGAGTTGTACCAAGTCCGACTCATCCGATGCCAGAATTGATGGCAATCCTTAATCATTGTATGTTAGCTGTGAACTATCTCTTCGATAGTCGCAGGAGGACGACGTTAGAGAATCAATTGCCTCGCAGTAAATTCATCAGCGATATCTCCTGGTCGAGTCCAGTTTGTGAGTGAATGATTTCAATGGGGAAATAGCGATTTTTGGTAATGAGACGAGTGGGTATCTTTGGGTGTAGTAAGTGTCTTTACCACCATCTGCCTTGCCTTCTCTTTTCCTCCTTCATCTCTAGCATCTACGACAAGTCAGCATTTGAACGTTCCGAAAATGATATATTCAGCCATACCCATTGCTTCTTGCACTCGCGATATGCNTCTGTTTCGGTATCAGCCCAAAGATCAGAAGAATCAAGAATCAAGATCAATTGATCATACTCAAAGTAGTCTGAGCAAAGCGCCTTATCACCGCCGTTTCTTCGTAGACATCTCAGACTTCTGTCGGCAGCTTCTTGACAAGGATCAAAGTATTCGCTGTATGCTTTGCTAAGATTTGGATGCTCAGTCAGCCTTCTGAACGATGATGGTGGTAGGAGAGAAAAGCGATAGACATACCTGCTGTACTTTGCGCCACCCTTCTCCCAAGCCTTCTTGTTCTCTTCCTCGTGGGAGTCGGCTTTTTGTTCTCTTCCTCAGCCATTATGTTTTGCTTTTGTAGGATATGTTCGAAATAATCGAGTTGATGGTGTTGCCACGAGGGTAGAGGCCTTTGGGTGTAAGAGGTCTGTGCTTTTCGGCTGATCTTGCCGTCTTGCGATACCTATGAGCATCTTACTTCCAAGCAATAATGTATCCTTCGTTCGCATCCAACATAATGGTGATTTAGAAGGAAAAGGTGTTGTAGACTTTGGTCAGGTAGTTAGTTCATATTGAGCTTGATGGCTCATGTATGCGAGAAATGTATTCTTGGTCGGTCATAACTTGACTCGTTCACCAAGCGGTCTCATTTCTTTGACTATTTTACTTCTTTTTGGCAGCGACATTGCTTCTTCTCCTTTCCCAGACCATCACGTATGCTTCCTTTGTACTCAGAAGCTCAGCTTCCACTTTTCCAACCCACAAATCTTGCATCTCGACCCAGCGGTCTGTGTCAGCATTACCGCCTTCTTCCCTACCTCTATCCAGCAGCTGCACACGCCAGACCTTCTTCTCGGCTTCTCCCTCTACACTATCGTCGCGTACACGAACACCTTCGTGAGTGATGTTGGCTACCAGGTCGTATATGATAGGCTCTGAGGGCGAATGAAGCGATGGGTTAGGTTCAACGTAGGGTGACATGTCTAGCGAGCGTGGAGAAAAGGTAACAATTGTTGGATTGCGTTGAGTTTGAAGAAATTTGTTTGGTGCGAAGCGCTTGACGTGCATGAGAAGGTACGGCGGTAGAGGGTGGAGGAGGCGGTAACGGAGGCGTGTGTTGAGGCGTTCTTGTGCGCGAATGCCATCATATTTGCCCAAGATATTTGTAAGACTGACTTGAGGGATAATGTTCTCGTTCCTATCGTCTTGAAATAATGGTGCTGCCGGGAGATCCAGGGTAAGCATCATGAAAGGTGTGACGGCGCTCTGGATGGCGGCGTCTTCGAAGCGCAGGCGATCCTGTGCATCGGCGCGAGCAGTGATAGATTGCGACTCGACGCGCAATTGACCTTGGAAGATCTTTTGTACAATACTACTGCGAGGTTTCGAACGACTTCCGCCTAGGCCTGTGTGTAGATTGTTGAGGAACCAGGAAAGAAAATCTGCAGGATCGGCTTGTTCTGTCAGGGAAAACTTCTTGTTGGACCTTTGTGAGATTTCCTGCAACAGCTCGTGGGGAGAGACGTGTGCTTTGAACGAACGCGGGTTCCAGATCTTGCGCAATAGTGTGCCGAAGCGCTGGACAAGCTGTGGTCGATCGTGCAAGTCCTCGAGCATGAAGAAGTTGCGGAGCGGAGGGACGTGGGCTAGAGCGTGGCAGACGACGTTGAAGTAATCGTTGGCCTTGATGTTGTTCATACCGACATAGCCGGGCGTGTACTTTTTNCCTTGAAGGTCCCAGGCATGTAGGCGCACCTTATCCAATTTCGTGACGTCTTGCTTCGAGTATTTTGGATCGACGACGAACTTGATATCCTCCAAACTCTTGTGCTTGACCTCATAGCCGTCGGGCAGGACATAGACCTGCTTGGTGTGCATGTTGATAAAGACATGGTGACCGATGTCGAGAGCGTGGAAATAGGCTTGTGATTTCGGACCCCGACCCTGGTAGTAGGTACCGCAGACCAGACAGGCATAGACGTTGATATTTGATAGCGTGACACTGCATAGTTTCTCGAAGTCGAAGTCCAGCACGCCGCGGTTGATGGTGTCGAGGTATAGATCTGAGTAGCCTTCGGCTGGCGCTTTTTGTCGCGTCGGACCCGAGACAGCAGGTTGATCGTCCTCGTCGTCCTCCGGTTCAGCCCTCTCTAGCGCTTCGTTCTCTTGTGCAGCAGCTTCAGCTATGCCATGGGCATGTCCGTTGGTCGGCTTCGTGGTGGTATTCACAGGCGCATCCTCGTCGACAACGTCTTCGACCCTGGCGCGTTTGGAGAAGGGAGATGCAGTGGACTGTTCCAGTGGCTCGTCTGCCGGGCGCTTGCTCATTTTGAATATAAACAGTGACAATAATCAAGTTCGGAGGTTCTACTTGATCGCCGCAAGCTCGCATGCAGACGCCAAGGCTGGAGCATGACAGCGGAGTGGGATTTCTTGAGGGAGCAACAACCAAGGCCAACATTTTGTGCCTTCCTCATCCACATATCCCACGTACATCGCAACGATGGTTTGTTACTGTCCCACTTCTCAGTTCTCTGACAATTCACTGATCCCCTCCAGTCGTACAACAACCCCACGCAAATCTTCGCCGACGATGTCACAGAGGAAAAGGGCGAGAATGCCCGTCTGTCAGCCTTCGTTGGCGCTATCGCCGTAGGAGACCTCGTCAAGACCACTCTGGGTCCCAAGGGAATGGACAAGATCCTGCAATCCGGCTCCACCGGTCAGATCATGGTCACCAACGACGGTGCCACCATCCTCAAGTCAATAGCCCTCGACAACGCCGCTGCAAAGGTCCTCGTCAACATTTCAAAGGTCCAGGACGACGAGATTGGCGACGGTACCACCTCTGTCACTGTTCTCGCTGCCGAGCTGCTGCGTGAGGCCGAGAAGCTCGTCGACCAGAAGATTCACCCCCAGACCATCATCGAAGGATACCGCATCGCTTCCCAGGCCGCCCTGACCGCCCTCGCTAAGACCGCCGTCGACAACAGCGCGAACCCCGAAGCTTTCCGCAAAGACCTCATCGCTATCGCTAGCACCACCCTCAGCTCAAAGGTCCTTTCACAAGACCGCGAATACTTTGCCAACTTGGCCGTAGACGCCGTCCTGCGCATGAAGGGTTCCACCGACCTGTCGCACATTCAGATCATTAAGAAGGCCGGCGGCAAGCTGTCCGACTCATACCTTGACTCTGGCTTCATCCTCGACAAGAAGTTCGGTGTCAACCAGCCCAAGCGTCTTGAGAACGCAAACATCCTGGTCGCAAACACTGCCATGGACACAGACAAGGTCAAGATCTTCGGTGCCCGCGTCAAGGTCGATTCGACCGGCAAGTTGGCAGAGTTGGAGAAGNGCAGAGCGCGAGAAGATGAAGCAAAGGTCGAGCGCATCAAGTCGCACGGCATCAACTGCTTCGTCAACCGTCAACTCATCTACAACTGGCCCGAGCAGCTCTTCAGCGATGCCGGCATCTGCAGCATTGAGCACGCCGACTTTGATGGTGTTGAGCGTCTTGCTCTTGTTACTGGTGCTGAGATCACCTCTACCTTCGACCACCCCGAGCTTGTCAAGCTGGGTCACTGCGATTTGATCGAGGAGGTCATCATTGGTGAGGACACTCTGATCCGCTTCTCGGGCGTCGCCGCAGGTAAGGCCTGCACAGTCGTCCTGCGTGGTGCCACCGAGCAATTGCTCGATGAGGCAGAGCGCTCCCTCCACGACGCCCTTGCCGTTCTTTCCCAGACCGTTAAGTTCCCCAAGACCACTCTCGGTGGTGGTTGTGCCGAGATGGTCATGGCGAAGGCCGTCGACCAGGCCGCCCAGAACGTTGCCGGCAAGAAGGCCATCGCCGTCGACAGCTTCGCAAAGGCTCTACGACAGTTGCCTACTATCCTCGCCGACAACGCTGGTCTCGACTCTGCCGAGCTGGTCAGCCGTCTCAAGAATGCAGTCTACAGTGGCATGACCAACTCAGGTCTTGACTTGCTGACCCCTGGTGGCGGTATCACAGATATGCGCGAGTTGGGTGTCGTCGAGGCTTACAAGCTCAAGCACGCTGTTGTGAGCAGTGCTAGCGAGGCCGCTGAGCTCTTGCTGCGTGTGGACAACATCATCCGCGCTGCCCCGAGGAGGAGAGAGCGTATGTAAAGTATTAAAAAGTTCAGATACCCGACGAGTAAAAGAAAGTCTTTCGGAAACCCTTCAAACATACTGTCCCTTCTCTATTTTCTATTGCGACGTGGCCGATCAGACTCTTGGTTTGAAAGCATGGTGTTCTCGGAAGAGCTACTGGAAGGGTGCGATACACGAGGAGCGATGTTCGCCTTGTACGTATGACAAAGCCACTAAATCATGACAAGTTTAGCATATCCTTTCTTACAGCATAGCCCTCAACTCCTTGGCTTGACCTCTATCCAATCCCAAGTGCTCAACCACCTGTCCCAGATGATCAAAGCCCCAGTACTTCTCTGTCACACCTTCCTTGTTGGTCGCCACAAACCACGGTAAGCCGAATGCGCCCTCTTTGAAAGCAAGATCGGTATTCGCCTGCAACTTTGCCTTTGCCTCTGGCTTTGTACTCTGNCACGTCTCTCATCAGCCAAACCCGCATCTCAAAAAGAACCTTGACTAAAGGGCAAATACACATACCTGCTCAACCACACTCTTCGCACCCTCTTTACCCAACACCTCCGCCAATACAGCTTCAAAGACTTCTGGTTTGTGGACAGTTTTTCCATCTACCCACATGCCTTTGTACAAAACCGCAATCGAGTCTTGAAGTTTTTCTGGTTGTTGCTGCTCTACCACTGCCAATGCCCTCATTACATGCAATGTCATGGGAGGAAAGTCTTTGGGCATGTGATCGCCCATGGGAATATTGGCGTATTTGGACCAGCGCTTGCGGTCGGATTCGATGTATGCTGCTTTGTCTGTTTTTTTTGCCTTGTATCAGTGATTGTTTGCGAAGGAGAACGGGGATAAAGTACTTGTGATAGAGATGGGAGGACGGTTATTGCATGCTTTCATGACACCGCCCAGGAAGATTGGGATGTAGGTTATCTCTACTTGTTTGAAGGCTTGGGAGCGCTGGAGGACGTGGAAGGCCATGTAGGCGAATGGACTGACAATGTCCACGAAGAGGGTGAGTTTGGGTCTTTGAGCCATTGTTTTGGACTGAGTGGAAGTGTGAGGAAACTGTTCTTTCTGTTGATGAGATATGACAAAAGATGGTACCTGTTACTAAATGTAAGGAAGAGTGTTGACTTGACTGCTATGTATGGGTCCTCGTTGTCCTCGGATGGAGGTGACTTTCCCATCATGAGCCGAGGTGCGGGGGTGGGTGGTCATTTCAGTTTACATGGAGATGGGAATAACACGGCAATAAGCAAGGCTAACATCAAGTGGTACAGTAGTATTGGGAAGACAACTCTGACAATATGAATTTCTAGTTGTTATTTAGATTTCTACAGTATATGAGTGCTCCCGTTAAGATGATGTGTTGGTGTCATGATCGAAAAGACAGACGACCCTTCTCAAGCGGAGGGAGACTTGTAAATGTTGAGGGTGCCAGATCCACCGCACATCTTGGTGTTGTCTCCACTGCAGGGTCTGTTGCATTGAGCGTCGTTGGGCAGCTTCTTGGCTCCGTTGATGATCTGGATAGCATTACCACANCCTGTGATGACAATGTGTCAGCATGATTGAACCTTGGACAGATAAGAGAGAAAACCAAAGACTCACCAGCACTCCTGACCGTACTCAACACCAGCAAACTTTAATCCACGGGCCTTACAGAACGATTGACATGCAGCAGGGGTCATGCTGTTCGTGTCGATGTAGTAGGTTGAGTTCAAGGCACGGTTGTAGTTGGTGGCCTCGCTGTAACAGCCTACGGAGGCCCAACCAGGGTTTGCAACAGGCTTGACGGTACTGGTACAAGTGGGTGAAGATGGCAGAGACTCGCCGACGATTCCGCAAAGCTGTCCTGAGAACTGCTGTGTAAGGAGCAGATCTCCAGAGGAGCATGAGGAAGCGACGCAGCAGGCAATCTCGTTCATGAACTCAGGATGGCTGCAAATACACTGGGGGTTGCCATCGCACTCGGCAGGAAGGCTCTGGGCGCANTTTTTGCTACATACGAGTCAGATCATCCGTGTGTTGCCCTAGATGAAGAAGTGTCATCCACTTACAGCGCAGGCAGGGACCTGGGCGACATCGATGCTGAGCGCCTGACTCAGACTCACAGGAACAGCAGTTCTGCTCACGGGAGTCAAGGCAGCAGCGGCACCAAGACAGGAAATAAGGGCCGTGAAGCCCAAGAAGAGAGTAGAAGTTTGCTTCATGGTGAATTGACTGCTCGATTCGATCAAGTTGGAACGACTTGCATGGAAGAGGGCAAGGCAGACTAATGCATTATATGATACGATTGGTCTCGATACCACATGACGAAGGCAATTTCCTTGTCGATGAAAGAAACGGTGTTCAGCCAAGACTCAATAAGTTTGCCGCTCACGGCTTGACGGTTGAAAGATGGTGGTTCATTGTCACAGCACGCCGAATGCAGAAGGGCAAGTTCGGCAGGCATTTCCACAAGCAAGCCTCTATGCCTCAGGTCCTATATGCATGACTTGGATCCCATTCATGACCCAAGTCCTAGACCACAGCACTTTTATATCGAGTCATGCATAGCACTTTATTTGACAAATGCAACGTGGGTGACGCAGTCACATCTCATCCTCATCGCAGATGCGCCTGATCCCGATGTGGGGATGAACAAAGAGTTGACGTCGATTTCGATCAGATGTTGGGGCGGAATGTAGGCTAATTGGCGTTTGATGACAAGGAATGTAGTTTGTTCTTCAAGTGGTCCCATCCAGTATTCTCTCACTTTTGACTGTCTGTCCCCGAAACGTTTAGTAGACATGTTGTTGGTTGTATCCATGTCAAGATAAGTGTTCGAACGGGAATCGCGTCTATTGCTTTCGGAGGCAAGAGTAATTCGTCTTGAAAGCCAGAACGGCAGTCGAGTTTGCATGCAAAGTGATCAAGGTGGCACGGCTCGCCTTCGTGTCGAGAGATGTGGACGTGGAATTCGGGTAGATTGGCGGTGGTCTCGTAGAAGACAATTCTGTGTGGCGCTAGGTAGCGTGTGAAATCCGGAATCAGGTGGAGTGCGGACCATCAAGCCTGGAATAGCGTTCCCTCCTGGTGTTGAAGACAGCTTCGCCCCGACGAAGGGCGTCAGAACGGTTGCAGGTGCCGTTCTGGCGGAATCGTCTTTCTTAATCGGGCATGACATCTGCTTTCGCAGTGCTGAAGATAAGGTCGTCTTCTTCAAGGTCGTCGAAAGTGGCGTTGTCAGTATTGTCTTCGACGCGGGTACTCTCTCCATTGTCGTCCGAAATTCATGTTGAGGTTGTCGCAATCCTTGTGCAAAGGCTGTTGGACATCGTGAGCACCTGGGCTTTGTCAACTTCGTTCAGAAAGCGGTTGCTCACTAAAGGAAGGAGCTCGGGAGCATGTCGGCGAGGCAAGCGCACTCAAAGGACTCTGACGGGCTGGCAGTTGGGCAAGCTCGATGGCGTGACGTTGACTTTCGGGTTGTTTCTTCGTGATAAGACTGAAGGAGGCGAGTTGATTCTTCGTGCTAGCATTGTATGGGTACCGTCCTCTCGTAGCAGCAAGGCAGACGCATATATAAAAGACTGCGTGTTCGTGATCGCGCATCTCTTTGCTTCAGAGGCTGGTCGGTAAGTCGACTGCTTGTTCTGCGATTGCCATCATATAGCATTTCGAGTCTGCCGCTGCCTTGAAACAATATTGCATTCCAAAACTTGCTGGGTATGTGTCCTGAGGAGGTAAGGCAGACTTGAAGGAAACACTTGAGCTCATATTTACAATACAAGCCATCCAAGTGGATCTGGAACACCATCCACCGAGGGCAATTCTAAGTCTCCAGAATTCATGCCCCTCAAGAATCCTATACCATGAATCGGATAGATGACCTTGTCTCCACCCCTGTTCTCTGCAGCATGATTTTGTTCTCTCAGAAGATAATGCCAGGCATTTTTGGACTTCATTGAGTTCTGCTCTGCTGTGTTCGCGCTCAGGGGCTCGCCGAAAGCCGCTCCGACTTCACTTCGTCGGGTGTGAAAGCAGGTTTCGAGTGAGATTCCACGTGGTTGATGGTTCCGATGGTCAGCGCTCGCCCTTAGTAAGCGGAGAGACTATAAAAGCAGCCATTTCCTCTTTTCGAATCTCTTCTTCTTTCCTTCACCCCATGAGGGCGCATACGCTTGCTACCTCTCATTGGCCGCACATATGGCGCTCAGGCACCACCAGAGGTCGCAGCGTCTGACGCGGTGGCTCGCACCTCGTCAAAGCACCTGACTTCGGTAATCACGGTTTCAACAACTGTAGCTACTGAGGTTGGATGCTCTGGCGAGTGGCCAGCTGTACGCTCAGATGGACTCCCTCTGGATGACCTGAGCGCCAGTGTGATGAGCCGATGAGAAGTGGCTTTACCTACTTCCTATCACTCCCCAGCGCCCTCCGGGGGGCGGAGTGCGCTGGGTGGTAGGGGTGTATATGCTCGAGTGGGGGCGTCGGGGCACCTCTGATCGTGTTCAACCCATAATCAGGGCGAGCTTCTGACGCCCGGTACAAGCTCTCACCTCACCGTGGTGTACCGGTCTAGTAACCTCTTCGGGGGTGAAGCCAACGAGAGCACAAATTTCTTTTTCATCAGTTCTGACTCTGGTTTCTCAACCGGAGGCTGAAGAAGAAGAAGATGCCAGTATATGGTTTGTAGTGTGTGCCTTCACAAGTGTCTTGTCGTCGCCATCGTCGCCGTCGTCGCTGATGTCTAAGTTGATTGTGTGACCATATATTGCTGCCTGCCAAGGACAACTGCCGCCTCCGTATGCATGCCACTCTTGATGAATGTTCGTCGTAACCAGATACTCGGCGCATTATCACAATATAGCAGACTAGCATCTGCTCACGAAGGGCGAAGTTTGCTCAAGCCGGAATCAGAGTCGTATGGTGTCTGATCATTCCTCGTGACTGCCTTCGCATGAGCACTTTTACTCAAAGCCTTTTTCTTGCAAGCGTGGAATGTACGAACTGCTTCGCTTGAAGTATGTCGCCATACTAGGTTTGAGGTGCACATTCTGGTATAGAGACATAGTCGAAAAGGCACAGAAGTTTTGCTAGAGCTGATATCACAGCCTTATCATAGTGTTTTGTATATAGCTATCAAAGTACACAGTGCTTTCCACGCTCAGTCTCACGTCCATCGGGAGCAACGATTTTGCGCTCGACGCAGATTTGACTGATTGCGAAACCATCGTGGCTTCTGACAACTAGGTACTTGCGCTTTGACAGGTGCAAACACCATTCTTAGCACAAACATTCTCGAGCCACAACTGTTGAGTGATGGCGAGCGGCGAAAAGCGTGAGACCATTGGGAGCGTTGGTCTTAGAAGTTGGACCTGTTGTATGCCAGCCATGTCTTCCATGGCTGTCGCCAATCGGTCACTCTGAGCTTCGGAGCAAAGACGTCAAAGTCGTGCTTTTGCAATCTCTCGAGCCACAGACTCGTGGGCACAGCAGAGAGGTAGACAGGGAGAGCCTGCTGAATCTCCTGTGCGTGCGTGGATGATTGCGACGGTGCGTAGTTCATGTGTTCCTCCTCGTGACCATGCTCAAAGTCGTGGCCTGCGTCCTGACCAGCTCGCATGTTCTTGACCATCTCTCTTGCAGTAATGAGATGGTCGCTGGCTCTCGTTGCGACCTCGAAGACAGCGTCACGAAGGCCAGGAGCCTCAGCGCCCTCACGAAGCACTTGTTCCTCTCGTACGCCGTGTCGAGCCATAATGTCCAGAGGCAACATAACAGAGCCTTGTCTGGTAGCACCAACATCGCCAGCCATGCCTCCTTGGTTCGAGTGATGGTTTGCAGGACCCGGGAAAGCGAGTAATGGCAAGCCTCGTAGAATTGTGGTAATACCGGTTGCCTTGCCAATATGCGAAGCAACGTGGTCGGCAGTGAGTGAGGCCATGGGCATGGCTTGGAGGGTCAGGTACATCAAGGTTGAATATGTGTTCTCAGCGTATGACTCAACGGCGGCCAGGTCAGGATACGGTGGGTTGGTCAGGTATTGCTCTCTAGTGGATATAATTCTGTGGAACCAGCTCTTGCTGAACTTTGATTTGCCGTTGGTCCTTCGCTGCAGGTCCTCGGCGGCGTGAGCGAGCAGGACGGCGATGGGCTGTTTCGGTGGAGTTCCAGCCAATGCTTTGGATATAGCATCCCGCTGGAATTGCAGGCGCATTGAACCAATAGTTGGAGTACTCGTTGTATCGGCGGTCCTGGCGACTTCTATGTTGAAGGCACGGATGGCGAGGTAGGCATCACGAGTTTTNGGTGGCATGTACGATTGCAGCAGAAACGAGGGAGTGTCATACTTTCTNGTGATACAGTCAGACAGGATACGCGACAGCGAAAAAGATATGGCTCACCTAAGAAGGTCTAGACAGTAGGCTCTCGCGGAGCCCACCTCTGCCTCGGACGACACTGTCGCAGCAGGTTGTTGGACTTCTGTAGCATATGTCCTTCGTAATTGGCATTGCTGTCTGCCGAGCGTACCTCTCAGAATGCGGCAGGCTGTATGATTTCTCATTGTGATTTATGTCGCAAGATGGTACGTACGAAGGCGAGATGGCAGCTCCAACTTGTCGCAACCAACGGCGACTTTGGCAAAATCATGACCGCGAACATGACGATGTTATGCTAAATAGAGGCTAGTCTTTCACAATATTCACAAATCAGAGCTCGAGTTCACAAAATAAAGTAGAACGCGTCTTCCCGCTCCTTCCACAACGCGTCTTCCTTGAGTTCGCTCCTTCTGCAAAGAGGCGTCGGGATAAATTCATTGTGTCTTTCCTCTCACGCGATACAAATCTATATCTGGTGGCAGAAGATGAGCATATCGCACATGGACGAACGACCAAATAAGAAGAGACGCTTCTTCGTCGACAAAAACTCAACTCAAGATGCTTCATTCGCCTCCGATCCCTCTGGCCCAGACGAAAACAATGCACTTCCTGAGAACGACCAAGACACCGCCACTACTACACAACTAGGACAAGGATCAACAACCTCGAGTGTCAACCGCTTCGATCCATCTCTTTTCCAGGCCTTTGTCGGCAATGACGCCCCTCAAGCGACCATCCATGCTCTACAACGTATATGCGGCAATGATGTCGAGCGAGCCGTCAACATGTATCTGGACGGCTCATGGCAGAACCACCCTTTGATATCCAATGCCCCTTCGCCCGTCTCACATCCCAGCCGACCAAAGGTCAAGGACACACCGTCTGCTGCCACACAAAAGATTGACCCACCCAAAGCCAATCTTGCCGCCATGCCGACAAAGAGATATATCGGTGCTATGGGTGTTGTTGGCTGGACCACCCGTAGTGGTACTGGCATTATCACGTCAGGAGAACTGGTCAAGATTGAAAGAGCTAGGCCGTCACAGCAANAGGTTGGCAAGGGAGGCAAGTCACGAGCCTCAACGCGTCAAGATGTCATTGTTCGCTTCACCAATGCTAAGGGAGAAGAGGTTGGTCGCTTAGAGCAGGACTCTGCCGCCTGGATATCTACCCTCATGGACCAGAACATATGCCACTTTGAAGGCCACTGCATCTTTGCACCTGATCGTGTCCGTACCAACGATACTGTCTATCTCCAGTTGCGATGCTTCTTTCTGAAGTCGTGCTTTACTGCCGGCAGCTTCATCAAGCCATTGGACAATAACAGAGAAACTGGCATTTACGAAGCGAAAGAGACTCAGGACGAGAAGGACCTCCGGCTGCGCCAGGTCGGCCTTGTGAAGTTGTTCTCAGAGGTCAATCTCCACCCGTCACGCGCCAACACTTCAACCGAAAAGCACAAAAGAGAAGGCATTCTGCGCGCTGCCGAGATGCCTGAGCAACCCGAACAGAGTACTGCCAAACCAGTCAAGTCTTCTGATCAGGCTCCTTCGTCTCCTCCTTCGGACGATGCTGAAGATGGCCAAGAACTGGAGCAAGACCAGCTTGACAGCCTTTACAGGAAAGCACAGTCTTTCGATTTCAACACACCCGTGATGCAACCTGCCGAGACATTTGTCATGGATCTCCGGAAATACCAGAAACAAGCTTTGCACTGGATGGTAGGAAAAGAGAGAGACCAGAAATCTGATCACAAAGAAGCCTCGATGCATCCGCTATGGGAAGAATACATGTGGCCTACAAAAGATGCAGACGACGTCCCAGTACCTCAGGTTGAGGACCAACCAAGTTTCTACGTGAACCCTTACTCCGGTGAACTGTCATTAGACTTCCCTGTCCAGGAGCAAAACTGTCTTGGTGGTATCCTGGCAGACGAGATGGGTCTGGGTAAGACGATCGAGATGCTCAGTCTCATACACACGCACACTTCAGAATTTGGTTTGCAAGGCTCGAGAATGTCAACGGTTATGGACCTGCCACGTTCGCCTAAGAGCTCGCCTGGTGTTTCTCGCGCGCCGTGTACCACTTTGGTCGTTGCTCCTATGTCGTTGCTAGCGCAATGGCAGAGTGAAGCAGAAAAGGCCTCGAAGCCCGGAACACTGAAGACGTTGGTATACTACGGCTCAGACAAGAACGTGAATTTGAAGACCTTGTGTTGCGAAGCCAATGCAGGATCGGCACCTAATGTTATCATTACGAGTTATGGTACTGTGCTCTCAGAGTACAACCAGGTCGTTGCTGCTGGTGGTAACAGAGGATCAAGCGGTGGATTATTCTCGATCGAGTACTTCCGTGTTATCCTTGATGAAGCCCATATGATCAAGAACCGTCAGTCAAAAACTGCTCGTGCTTGTTATGAGATTGCCGCAGAACACCGCTGGACCCTGACAGGTACACCCATCGTCAACCGTCTTGAAGATCTCTTCAGTCTGGTTCGCTTCCTTCGCGTTGAGCCTTGGAGCAACTTTTCTTTCTGGAAGACATTCATCACTGTACCTTTCGAGTCCAAGGACTATGTCAGAGCACTTGATGTCGTCCAGACTGTACTCGAGCCTCTTGTCCTGCGACGTACAAAGGACATGAAGACTCCAGATGGAGAGGCATTGGTTCCATTGCCGCCGAGAACTATCGACATTCAAAAGATCGAGCTCTCGAAGGTGGAACGAGATCTCTATGATCACATCTTTGCTCGAGCCAAGAGGACATTTGCCGCCAATGTCGAAGCTGGAACACTGATGAAATCATATACCACAATCTTTGCCCAGATTCTACGACTCAGACAATCCTGCTGTCATCCAACATTGGTGCGCAACAAAGGTATTGCCGCAGACGAGGATGACGCCGAAGCTGCAGCAGACATAGCTAATGGACTCGCTGATGATATGGACTTGCAATCATTGATTCAGCGCTTCGAGTCTGAGGCTGAAGAGGAGGATGCAAGTCGCTTTGGTGCCCACGTGCTCAAGCAGATTCAAGCAGAGTCAAACCATGAGTGCCCCATCTGTTTCGAGGAACCCATGGAAGAGCAGTCTGTCACAGGCTGTTGGCACAGTGCTTGTAAGAAGTGTCTTCTCGAGCTGATCGAAAACGCAACCAACAAGAACGAATTGCCATTGTGCTTCAATTGCCGCGAGCCCATCAACGCCCGCGACATTTTCGAGGTTATCAGACATGACGATGAAGACGACGAAGAAGCTGGTGTGGCCAAAGATAAGTCACAGAACAGTTTCGAGGACATTTACACAGCAACTCAACCTAGCGACTCTGTTGACTCACAACAACGTCTCGCTCGTGTATCACTCCGCCGTGTCAATACCCTCTCCTCAGCCAAGATCGCTGCTCTCTTGACTCACTTGAAGCGCATCAAGAAAGCTTCACCAGCTACAAAGTCGGTCATCTTCTCCCAATTCACTTCTTTTCTCGACATCCTCGAGCCCGCTCTCGACGGAGCCTCGATCTCCTACCTCCGCTTCGACGGCAGCATGGCCCAANAAGCCCGCGCCGCTGTACTCACCGAATTCGCCAACCGCACCAAAGGCTGCGTGCTTTTACTTTCTCTCAAAGCAGGCGGTGTAGGCTTGAACCTGACGTGTGCGAGTAATGTCTTCATGATGGATCCTTGGTGGAGTTGGGCCGTCGAGTCACAGGCTATTGACCGCGTGCACCGTATGGGCCAAACCCAAGAGGTCAAGATTGTGAGGTTTGTGGTTGATCAGAGCATTGAGGAGAAGATGCTTAGGGTGCAGGACCGCAAGAAGTTCATTGCTAGTTCTTTGGGCATGATGAATGAGGATCAGAAGAAGTTGCAGAGGATTGAAGATATCAAGGAGCTGTTGAGCTAGAAGGGTTCCGAGCATCCTCTCATGCTCGAGTTGAGTTCTTGGCCTCTGGAAGAAGGGTTTGGGTGTGTTTGCTTCAGGGTCATCAGGAGAGTATTATAGGCATCATGAGCGTTTACGACATTCTGTAAATTTGCATTTTTTCGACTGTGTAAACACTAGACTTTCCTTGCTTTCTCTTATTCCAGAAAATTGCTATCTGTCCTAGTCTGTTCGTGGTCACTGTCTGATTTCAAGCAACATATGCTTCCCTGCTCGTCGCAATCAAATATATATGCTCAACAGCCTCTACATAGAATCGTGATTTGACCAGCTGTTTTCCAGATCTTGCCTGCCAGACCATTATATGTACCAAGGCTAAGCAAGGGTTTGTCCTGTCCAAGAGCTCAGAAATGCCGTATCATGGAAGGAGAAAGTCCAGGTTTTGGTGATACTTTTTCCGTCAATAGACCAGATCGTAAGAGGTGTGAATGGCCGGTACTCACGGGTCTACCAGCTCTTGAGTAGAGCCGTCTGGTCCAATTGTCACAAGCTGAGTATTTTTCGCTCAATTAGAAAACCCCGGGGACGAGTCGAGCCACAAACGAAGCGCAGACTGGCGCTTCGGACACTTTAGAGCATCCCTGAGTCTCAAGTCTGTCTGTCGGCTGCCTTTGAGCGGTACAGTAGAGAGCCAGGGTCAAATTCCGCATGCCGCGGCCGCCATTGCGATGTTAATCTTGCAAATCAAATGTCAAAGAATGAGGCATCAAATTTACTTTCACCGCCCTCGCCGGCGGCACTCCCAGAAAAGTCGCCCATGTCAAACTCTGTAAAGTTCATAATGTCGTCGAAAGTGTCGTCTCTATTGCCCATTTGAGGCTGCTGTTGCGCATCTTGCTTAGCATCAACCTTTGGNCTCTGCTGTGGCTGAGCATTGCCAAAGTCACCAACACCCGCCGCGTCAAAGATGTCAAAGTCTGCAGGAACCGATTGGGGNTTTGATTCCGTGCCTCCGTTGCCACCGCCAGAGTTTGCATAGCTCTCGAGGCCGGGGAGAAGGGAGGATATGCCATCTGTGTCTTGCATGTCTGTGTCAGCGGGGCCGAAGCTTGTCAGGTCGGCAAAATCGAAGTCGTCGTCGCCGTTGTTGAAGGATGCTGGTTTGATGGGTTCATCGTCGGGAATGGTCATCGTTCTGGTCGGAGGAGGCTTTGTATCTTGTGCTGGAGGGTTGACTGGCGGTGCCTCTTTTGCTCGTGGTGCAGGTGGTGAAGGGTCGGGTATATTTTTGGGNCTTGCTCTGGATCCGCCACCTGCACTGCTTGGGTCGTTGAAGAGGGACTCGAAATCGAAGTTGCTGTATGTGCCAGTGTTTTCATCGCCCGGATGACCCGCGGCTTGGTGGTCTTGTCCAGGAATGTCAAGGTGAAGTGGTGGGGTTCGTTCAGTGGGTTTCTCTCCTTCCAATGATGAGATTACTTCCTTAAGTGGTGATAGTTTAGCATCTTGGACTGGTGACTCGCCCATGACAACGTCATCATCTAGGTGGATTGCTGTTGTGTTGTCTATGCCACTCGCAGGTTCTACTGTGGCGGTAGCCTCGGTTTTCACTCGAGCTCCTCGCTGAGAGCGGTATACAGCGAGATCACGTCGCATGACTGCACGTGCCAGAGTCNNTGATAGCATTATCAGTGGTTGTTGTCGATTGAGATGATAAGATAGAGCGGAAAACGTTGTAACGGAGTTAGACTGGCAAAGTAGAAACGTGGTGGTCAAAGCAAAGAAATCATAGCGACTTACCAGTTCGCCTTCCAATTGATCAAGCGCATCGTGAAAGTTGTTGTTTGCACCAGCGATGACCTGTTTTAGTCGTAGGGGNTTGTTGATTTGGCCATGGTTTCTCGCATTGTTTGCAAAAAGACGACCTGTATGTTCCAANCTGCTCACGACACGGTATATCAGCACGACTTGCCGATGATATTGAGAGCAACAATGCTACGAGTGAGTACGCACGACGAGATTGACCTGCGCCTCGAGTTGGTCCAGCGGCGATCTGACGGCTTGGGCACGATCCATGTCGAGATTATGGCGTGACACGTGCCGGATTGGCAAGGCCGCGCTGCTTGGGACTTTACAATGAGGGGGCACAGAGGAGTGGTCGATGTCAGACGTTGAGATAGAAGCAGTAATAGTTGTGGGCGAAGTCTCGGCAGGCTCGGGCACGACGGGCAGTAACCTTGTTCGCTCAAGTGTTGGAAGCAAGCTCAAAGTGCGACAAAGTTGAAAGGTGAAGCGGCTTGAGGACCCTGGGCGGCGCGCTAACTAGGATTAGATAAATAAGAGTCGTGTGTGGAGCCAGCGCCAATCTGTCACCTTTGGCTGTGACGAGAGCTCCCATCCTGCTGCTCGGCTCTCCGTCTCCTTCTTCCCATCTCTTTCCTAGCTGCTGTCACGTCGCTTGTCCTTTCTTCCTACCTCTCTTCTCCTGCGTTGACTCGGACATTTCTGTGTTTTGTTCAGCGTTTTGAAAAGTTGCTTCTCTTTGGCCAAGTCTCTGACTTTTTCCTTGCCCTGAGTCCGTCGTCTCCTTCTGTCAGGCCGCCCGTCCATCTCGACTCCGACTGTACTCTTACAGCTCGAGATCCTTCGATCAAGTCCCCCGGCTCGTGTTTGTTGACCTCCACGACCAACGACCCTCTTCAATCTTGTTGAGCAGGACATCAACCCCGCCAACATCCAGCTTCTGCAGCAGCCAACACACGTGCTTGTCGAAGCTTCAACCCCGGCCTTTGTTCGATTAATTGTCTCGGCCTGTTTCACCGCAACTCCTCCCGACTCGATTTCTTTCCCTCGTCAGATACAAGTCCAAGAAAAATGTCCGACAACCAGAACCAGATGCAGATGCCCGCTGCCCCTCGGCCGCCGGTGCTCCTGGCCAGTACCCCCGCTCAACATCCCCCAGAGCACCATCGAGGCCAACGCCATGACCGATGCCATGAACAACAACGGCAATGGCCTGAACTCGCCTGGCAGCGCTGGCGGTCCTCGCCGTGCCGCTCCTGAGCCAAACAAGAGAGCCCTCTACGTTGGTGGTCTTGACCCCAGAGTCACAGAGGAAGTGCTCAAGCAAATCTTCGAGACCACCGGACACGTTCAGAGTGTTAAGATCATCCCTGATAAGAACGTAAGTCATGACTGTCCTGCCGCCTCTCCTTCAACCAGCACATGGCCGTGTCTGCTGTCCCTGCTGTTACCTGCAGCAATCATGGTTGCCTGGGCTGCATGCGCATGCATGTGCATGCATCATGCGGATTCACGTGTTGTTTGCACCGTCTGCGCTGGCTGCGCTGCCTACTTCCATTTCTACCAACGCGCTTTGCTGTGCCAAACCACCATCCACTGACAACACTTTTTCCTAGTTCCAGTCAAAAGGATTCAACTACGGCTTCGTTGAGTACGACGATCCCCTTGCCGCAGAAAGAGCAATGCAGACTCTCAACGGAAGACGTGTCCACCAGTCGGTAAGCACTTGATCACTTCTTGCGCAATTGAGTGACACAGTCGTTGACACGTAAGACAGGAGATCCGCGTGAACTGGGCCTATCAGTCCAACACCACCAGCAAGGAAGACACTTCCGGTCACTTCCACATCTTTGTCGGCGACCTTTCTAACGAAGTGAACGACGAGGTTCTCCTTCAGGCATTCTCTGCCTTTGGCAGCGTCTCCGAAGCCCGTGTCATGTGGGACATGAAGACTGGTCGCTCTCGTGGCTACGGCTTCGTTGCCTTCCGTGACCGCGCCGAAGCCGAGAAGGCTCTTAGCTCCATGGATGGCGAGTGGCTGGGTTCTCGTGCTATCCGTTGCAACTGGGCCAACCAGAAGGGCCAGCCTTCGTTTGCTCAGCAGCAGGCCATGGCCCAGATGGGTATCACCCTCCCGGTCCTTTCGGTCAGCACCACCAGTTCCCTACTCAAGGCGTCCAGTCCTACGACACCATTCTTGCCCAAACCCCTCAGTGGCAGACTACCTGCTATGTTGGCAACCTCACCCCTACACCACCCAGAACGACCTTGTTCCTCTCTTCCAGAACTTTGGCTATGTCACCGAGACTCGCTTCCAGTCTGACCGTGGTTTCGCCTTTGTCAAGATGGACTCTCACGAGAACGCTGCCATGGCTATCTGCCAGCTCAACGGTTACAACGTCAACGGCCGTCCTCTGAAGTGCAGCGTAAGTTTGTTTTCTTTGTGCTGCAAAAGCTATTGCTAACCAATGTGTGCAGTGGGGCAAGGACCGCCCTCCTACTACCAACTTCGAAGGCTTCTCTCCTGCCGCTGCCGCCGCTGCTGTTGGTGGTAACGCTGGTTACCCTCCAACCCCTCAGGGCTTCGGTTTCCCCAGTACGGTGCAGCTGCTCCCATGTCTCCTCAAGGTACGATCACATTAAAAAGACATGCCGTCAACGTGTCTGACATTCTCGTAGGACCTAGCCCTGTTGGCTTCCAGCAGCCTGCCGCTCAGTTCGCCGGTGGCAACATGGCCGCTTATGGTCAGATGCCTCAGAACGGCGGTGGCTTCGGCCGCGGCAACTACATGGGTGGCCCTCAGGGTGGCGCCTTCAACAACTACGGTGGTTACCAGGCTTAGAAGGCCTGCACTCCTAGTTCGTCGACCAAGGCTCAGCAACTGGCTCCAGCGCTGCGTGGCGGAGATGGCAGATACGACCAGAAACCGAGATACACCGACGACTAAAACATCGACGAGTTTGGCTCAAGCGAGTAGCCGTCGATACGAACATTTCCTTGCCAGTCCTGTCGTTGGATAGGAAGTCCTTTTCAATTCTGTCATTCGTCACTCGATGTTTCCAGCTCTTTATACCCTCGCGACTTCTTTGCACACAGCATGGGGTTCGTCAAAGTTGTGCTTTTACTCTGTATGTGGGAAGCGGTTCTGTTTTGTGCTCTCAAGAAAAATCAAGCATCTCCTTTCGATTTCATGGATACAGACAATGTGCAGAACGAGGCACAAGGAAGGATGGACGGAAACGTTTGGAGGAATCGAACAAAGGAAAGGCGTCTGATGTAGCTCTCTGCCCTTTCTCGTTTTCTCTTCTTCCTCTTTTTCTCGTCTTCTTTCTCTTGAAATCTCTCGATGAACACGTCTTTTCCTATGTTGCTCTGTGTTGAACTTGACGAAAAGCTCCTCTCATCTCTCGAAGCTCTATACCCATTTCTTAAATATGTTTTTCTGCCATCTGCTTTGGGACTTTGAGATGGTACATAGCTGGCGAGCAATGCAACGTGAACAAGTTGACTGTCTATCGTGTATTTTAAAAATTGATGGCCTGAGTGATGAGATATGTGCGTACATGCTTGCTTCCGTTCAAGGGCCAGACACGTGAATTGGCAGCCTAAAACGGTAACGCGTCGTAGCAAAGTTTACGCGTGCGCACTCGATGGCGACAAAAGTGGTTTCCATCCGGGAAGACGTGGGAGTGGTTGAAATCGTCGCCTTGATCTTATTAGCGCTGGTCGTGGTGTACTGCATGCTGGGAGGAGGTTACAGCGCTACGGGATTGCTGCGCGGGTGGATTGGAAGAAGGACAATCGTCAGAGCTGCTGCCGCCCATCGTCGACAACAACTCGAAGCACAAGCACATTCCGCCGCCATTGCCAGGTCGCATCCAAGCCTACGCTCCTTTTCCTCACACGACGCCCGTCTGCGCTCTCGCAACATGCTCAAAACAGCAGTCAACAGGCACAACGCCTCGACTGCTGCCTCCAAGCCCCTCGATCAACAGCTCTTCTCTTCTAGCCCTCCGGCGCAGCAGCAATCCCAGAAGTCTTCCGTCTTGTCTACAGCCTCCAGAAATTCAAAGTCCATCAACGGTATCAAGCGCACACACAGTGGTCTCGCAAAGACCTTTGGCAACACCGCCTCCTTTGACGATGCACAGAATGAACCCGTTGTATGCGCCGTCCCTGAAGTCANCCAACAGCGAATACTTTGACGCCGACGACTTTGACGACGACTTTGATCTCGATGATCTGCTTGTCGAAGAGCCCAAGGCGGCTAGAAAACCCACTCCGCGAACCTCTGTCTCCAAGAACACCATCTCGTATCCTACCCTTCCCAAGATCACCGCCCCGCAACACTCTGCATTCCATCCAACTCTGCCGAAACGTCAGGTCCGCGATTCTGGCGCCCCCGATGATTCTGGCTACGTCTCTACTGAACACACTCAGCCAGCTCAAGAAAACTTTGAAAGTAGTACTCCTTTGCCCTGGTCTTCATCGCCTACCGAACACTTGAACCCTTCGCTCAACGCATCCTCACTTAGCCGCTTTGCATACAACGGCAGCAATGGCCCTACCGGTCCTCGAGCACAGCCGACATCAGCCCCTGTGAAGACCGAGCCCGCAGCTGCTTCCAAGCGTAGAACATTGCCATGGCTAAAGCAAGAGACATCACAACCAGAACACGACCTACATTCTGTTCCTCCTTCCAAAAGACGCGTCGTCGATGCGACGCCTGTTCAGACATCTAAGAAGAGCGCTCTTCCCTGGAACACGACCGCGAGTGCCATCAAGGAACAAAAGACCAGTCTCCGCGAGATCAACAAGAAAAAGTCCAAGCTCAATGAGCCCTCTGACGAGGTTATCCAGAAAGCCAAGTCCAAGAGTCGCAAAAACACAGTCGCTCGTGTCTTCCTCAGTGACGAACAACAACACGTTCTGGACCTGATCTCGGAGAAGAAGAAGGCTGTGTTCTTCACTGGTGCTGCTGGTACCGGTAAATCCGTCCTTCTACGTGAGATCATCGCAACCCTTCGCNAAAAGTACCTACGCGAACCCGATCGTGTTGCTGTCACTGCTTCCACTGGTCTTGCTGCGTGTAACATTGGTGGTGTCACATTGCACAGTTTTGCTGGTATTGGCTTGGGCAAAGAAGATGTTCCAGAATTGGTCAAGAAGATCAAGCGCAACCAGAAGGCAAAGCACAGGTGGATGCGCACAAAAGTGTTGGTCGTTGACGAAATCTCAATGGTCGATGGTGATCTGTTCGACAAGCTCGAAGCTATCGCCCGCCAAATCAGAAACAATGGACGACCCTTTGGCGGTATTCAGCTTGTCATCACTGGCGACTTCTTCCAGCTACCTCCAGTACCGGACAGCGGCAAGATTGCCAAATTTGCGTTTGATGCAGCCACATGGTCGACAAGTATCGAATATACAATTGGACTGCATCACGTCTTCCGTCAGAAGGATCCCATATTCGCGAACATGCTCAACGAGATGAGAGAGGGTCGCATGAGCGCGGAAAGCATCAAAACATTCCACACGCTTAGCCGGCCTTTAGAGTCTGAGAGTTCCATCGACGCTACCGAGCTCTTCCCAACAAGAAATGAGGTCGAAAATGCCAATCAAAGCAAGATGAGCCAGCTCGTTGGCGAGATCAGAACATTCGAGGCACGAGATGGAGGCAGTATTACTGACAAAACCTTCCGTGACAAGCTACTCGCCAACTGCATGGCTCCTGAACTCATCACGCTAAAGAAAGGCGCTCAGGTCATGCTTATCAAAAACATCGATGAGAGCTTGGTCAACGGTTCGCTGGGAAAGATTATTGGTTTCATGAACGAGATCCAATTCGACTCTTACAATAACAATGAAGAGGCTTTCATGGCTACTCAAGGTGGGACTCTCAAGGATGAAAACGCCATAGGTGGCCTTGACAAGAAGAAGACTGCCCGTGAACGCCTCATGGACAACCTGCTAGGTAGTACTACACAGATCTGGCCTGTGGTTCGTTTTACCCTCGCAGACGGCACAACTCGAGACCTTCTGTGTCAACGCGAGACTTGGAAGATCGAACTTCCAGATGGTGAAGTCCAAGCCTCTCGCGCACAAATTCCGCTCATCCTCGCCTGGGCACTGAGTATTCACAAAGCTCAAGGTCAGACACTGGACAGAGTCAAGGTAGATCTCGGCAAGGTCTTCGAGAAAGGACAGGCATATGTCGCACTCTCTCGTGCGACCAGTATGCAAGGTCTACAAGTGCTGCGCTTTGATCCACGCAAAGTCGTCGCTCACGAGAAGGTTCGCACATTCTACCAAAACCTTTCCCGGGTGGAAGGTCTAGAGCAGAGCAAGCCCAAGGCCGAAAGAGGCAAGACCACAAGTCGTAGCAATGGTGTTACTGCCAACGAGTATGAGCGTGGCTTCATGGATGGAAAGATGTAGATACAGATTCATGGTTGCCGTTATTTTCATTTGTTTCGGATGCCTGTGTCAGGCTGGTCGGCAGGCGCTTTTGGGGCCCATGAGTGGCATCACCGATACCCCTATTCCCATTTTGTGTGTATCTTGAATCGAACATTATACTATTCGATGCTTTATTTCCTTAGCACAAACGGCTTTGTAGAAACTGTAAGCAGAAGCGAGCAGTCCGAGTATCTGCTTTCGGTATATGGCATAGATCTGCTTCTGCTCAAGTCAAGTTCACGGGCCTCAGATTGGTAGAAACGCTGATCAATCCAACTCGCTTGTTGGCATTTTGCAGTTGGTCCTAAACAACCAACACACAACCAACACACGCGACTGTGGAGATCCTCCAAAGCACAATCCTCGACCATTTTTTTCGCACTGTCTGGAATATGACCCAAATCTGGATAGCTTTCTCACAGACGAGGCATCCTTTGCTCGACCTCCGTCTCTAGCAAAGCATAGCCACACGACTATCTACAGAAAGGAATATAAAGTTAATCATCTCGCCGGTGCATTCTGGATATCACTATTGGCATTTCAACTCTTTTTGTCTACTTACAAACCATCCACCACTGGAATCAGTTCATACAATGATTGGCCTCAAGAATGTCATCATCTCTAGCATCCTTGCTGTCGCTGCTCTAGCCGCACCCACTATTCTGGACCGGNAAACCTCGACTTCATCCCTCGTTCGTCGCAAGAACACANAAAAATGCGAGGCGCACATTCAAGTTAGCAGTGAGTCCTAGACAAGCTTGGGAACCAAGTCATTGAATACTGAAGCCTAAGGTNCAGGGTCCGGACTCGATCTATACTCTTGCCCAACCACGTACAACATTGACCTTCTCGACAGCTCTGTACCCGCCCAGCCCATGGGCAAAGACTGGAATTGGGCAGACGTCGGCACATGGTCAGCAACAAACCCTGACTATCAGATCAAGATAGGAACCACCAGAGGCCCTGAGTTGTGGATCGACGGCGATATCCCTAGCGGAACGGTCAATAATTTATGGAGGAGCTCTTTCACTCTTCACTATGCCTGGCAGCACTGGAACTCGTATAAGTGCGAGAATTGGAAATACGAGAGCCCTGGATCGAGTAACGATTGGCGCGATGAGTTTGATCTGTGGTGTGAGTTTGACTGCTAGAAGGCTATGGTCAACACTGGGGTGGCGCTTGATGTCTCGTGTTGGGATTGCTGTTTCTATCACAGTATCAAAGTCGAAAAATGCTGTTGCGGGACGAGCACAAGGTGGTAGAGTTTGTACTTCATTATCTGACCCTTTGCTTTCCGGAGATCTTTGTTGATGGTAGTGCGTGTTACGCGTTCCAGGACATCACCGGCTACGTCACAAACTCCCGTCTCCTGCTACCTTCCCGACAAACAATTTTCCTACAATTGTATCTACCTACTACTATACCTAATTCCGATAACATTAACCATGCATCATATCAAAGACGCTTTCGGGCATCTGAAACATAAAAACGACGCTGGTCAGCAGCCTCTCCACCAACATCATCAAGGTGGAGGATTCCCAGGCAGCCAGGTCCAACAGCCTACCCGACCTCAGCAACCACTACATCCACAACCTCCCACGAGTTCCCATGAACAAAGTCCGCTATCTGGAACCACCCAAGGAGCGATCGATGTCTTCATGGCTTCCAAGCAGCCGAACGGCGAGATCGGCGGTATAGGGTATTGGCAGACGGCCAACGGCTACACATGCATTGCTCTTAGAGATGCTTGGTCTGGAAGCAAACGCAATGCTACACTCCTCCGAGATAGACTGTCGACCGTGGAAAGTCATCACAGGCATTTCATCAACGAGTTCAATGACGATACTCTATGGTGGGGTAATTGCTTGCTTGATGCTTATATGACCAACCCAGATCCTTATTACCTCGAAAATGCTCGCAAGATCTGGCAGCATGTCAAGCGTAGTATGCTATCGCCAGGTCAGGCTAGGGTAAGAGATATGGATATGGCTGGTGCAGTGATGTGGACCACCAGACCAAATGAAGAGCAAGTCAATGCTATAACTACTGGTCTATTCTCCGAACTCTCTGCACGCCTTGCCTTGCTCGAGAAGCCAGGTAGAGGGACTGCAGAAATGTTGGAGGCGGCTGAGAAGAGTTTTGCCTGGATTGAACGCTGTCGTTACCGCTCAAACGAGTGCATTGTCCTCGACACCATCAAACTCAAGTCGCAAGAATGCGTCGACTGGACTTTCACCTACTGCACTGGGCAAGCTATAGCTGCTGCCACTGCAATCTTCGCAGCATTCAGCTTCAGTCAACAAGGCTCGCATAGCAACAAGTCGCCACACGAGTACCTCGCGCTAGCATGCAACATGGCACGCAAAGCGATACGCCGAGATGGCTGGGTCGAGAAGGACGGCACATTGACCGAACATGGTGCATATGGCAAAGGCAATCACGAACCCTGGAAGAATGATGATTCGGTCGGCTTCAAGTCTGTCTTGCTCCGCAGTCTGGCCAAACTGCTCAAGGTCTTGCGCGACACAGATCAAGAACCCGACTTACAGCGTCAGTTGACCGAGTTCATCAAGAAACAGTTTGACAGCCTGCAGCAGCATAACACAAACGGGAATAACCAATATGGTCCGTGGTGGGCTGGTCCGTTCGATATGCCGACTAGCCATAGCCAGATGGCAGCACTAGACGTGATGGCAGCTATCCATCTTGTTCAACAATAGTTAATTGACCTACCTACATACATACAACATGCTTGTTGTGCAAAACAACAAGGCTCCGATTCCACGATACTGAATGCAAGATACGTAAGATGGCAAAAGAAATCTCCTCTCTCTGAGTCGAACAAAGGACCTTCTGATGACAATCGAACAATTACAGTCAGACGCTCTAAACCAACTGAGCTAAGAAGAGATTGATGAGATGTGATTGAATCTTATCATCAATAACCTGTACAAAATTGGAGACCACGCCACGTTTCTAGATCTCGGCAGATATCCAGCAGTCGCTCTGAACTTCAGCAGAAACATATCCGCATAACGAACATTATGAGAAAGAAGTAGGAAGTATACAGCCATCCACTCCAATTGACTATCTTCACTCATGGTGCACATAGTTTCTATCGTCTCTCTTGCTGCCTCTTGTCACACAATGTACTACTCGTATATGGTGCTCTTTCCAAGCCTTGCAATCTGTGCAAGCCTCAATAAGATACATAATTACGGGCAAGCAAATCAGTCCGAGTACAGTCACACAACACTCCCTTGAGTTTCTGCGTGGCGCGAAACGCTCTACGTAGCTTATAATAATCGTAGTCGACGTAGGCCTGTGTGTTGGCTCAAATCACAGCTTGGAAACCATACTGATGAAGCTACCCTGTCACGGAGGAGTGTTTCAAGGATGATTTGGCGGTTTCAGGCGCGGGTATAGGGTTATATTATTTATTATTCCAAAGTGCTCCATCAACTGGGGTTGTGGTCTAGTGGTATGACATCTTCTTAGCATTGCTCTTTCGGCATTACTGAGTGGAGAAGGTTCTGGGTTCGATTCCCAGCTACTCCAAATTTTGCTCGTGCTCATGATATGAGCCGTTTCAGTTTTGACCCTGTGCATCGTGTCCATTCTTTTTGTGAGAACGTGGTTGTGGAAATTTCAATGAGAGCCGAAGGTGTTTGCCGGCTTCTCAGACAACCGTGAAAGTGCCGGGTGTATCTTGACTCGTCTGTCTTACCCAACTCATGGCCCAAATGGCTCTCTATCAGGCGATATTTGGCTCATCAGCATATCTATCAATCAATCATCGCTTTCCAAACGAGATCATTGTCACATACTTTCCACCATCGCAGAACTATGAATATTGTGATATTGTGGCACTGAACAGAACCACATCTTTACAACGCCTGATCTGTCATTGCCCGCCTGTCAAACTAACTTCGAAGCATCAGTCGTCGGCGCATTCGCTCTTTTCTCGCGGAACAATTAGTACACGGCTCGCCTTTGATCGAAGAATTCATCCACATGTCTTATGGCTGGGGTCTGTTTTCCTGCACGGGCCTCTGCTGCACGTGGAAAGCTCGGATCCCGCTCGCAGAAACCTTCCTGTCATGCATCCATGCAGGTCTCCAAATATCGACTCGTACAGAGTCACACAGAAGTCTGATAAACACATGGTCTTGAAGGGCTTCATACTCGATAGGCTTAAGGCCTTCACGGCAGACCACGAACAATCTCCATACCGAGACGGTCCCCGAACGTGGAAAGTCGGTCGGATTCAAGGCTGCCCAGCTTCCAAAGATCGCCAGGGCGCAACCGTCAGATTAGCGGGTAGCGACACATCCGAGTCACCAAAAAGCCCTCCATCCTGACTCGAATTTGTTCTGCGGACTGACAGAGGCAAACAGAGGGCGCGTTCGAGCCATCTCCGTCGAGTGGACAAGGGTCTCCATTTCGAAGAATCCAGAAGCTCGAGCGCCTCCCATGTTGCCACGAAGACAGCTGCTATATTGAGTGGGCTACTTTCCACAAGCGTCGTAACCCATGCAAATATCTGGAGATGTCTCACCAAAACAGCATCAAGGCTCTTGCGTTTCATGCCATGATGGAGCCGTTACAGGTGTCTGTGGTCGAGCTTAATCTCACCGGCCTGATGCTTACATGATGCCGCATTATTACAAACCATCATGGTACTCGAGAGTTCGTATATATACCCCTCCATGTCCCCACACCAACCACCTCGAGTTTGAGCACACATCTTCACCTCTCACAATCGACTCCCCTCCAACGCCCACAATCATAATGTCTGCCCCAAAGTCTTCCCACGCATGGGTTCTGTCCAACCCACCCACCGACATGCCCGATGACAGCACTTTCAAGCTTGTCAAGCAGGACCTTCCCGAGCTCAAGGATGGCGAGGTTCTGGTCAAGACTACCTACCTCTCTAACGACNCCGCCCAGCGTGGTTGGATTCAGAAGGGTGTTATCGCGTGAGTACAAAGCAGTAACCATTATTGCGAGCAAAAGCATCAACTAACATGACAATCAGTGNAGCGTATGTACTTCCCTCCCGTCGAGCTCAACGCCCCCATGTCTTCTTTCGGTATCGCCACTGTCGTCGAGTCCAAGGCCGCCGACTTCCCCAAGGGCTCTCTCGTCAACTGCCTGACCAACTGGCGCGAGTACGCAGTCATCGACACCACCCTCGGTGCCCCCTACGTCTCCAAGGTCCAGTCCATCCCCGGCATCAGCGACACCCACTTCCTCGGCGCCCTTGGCCTGACTGGTGTCACCGCCTACCATGGTCTCGAGAACGTCAACACCACCAAGGACGACGTCGTTGTCGTCTCTGGAGCCGCCGGCGCCACTGGCAGCATGGTTGTCCAGATCGCCAAGAAGCTCATTGGCTGCAAGCGCGTCATCGGTATCGCCGGCACAGCAGACAAGTGCAAGTGGGTCGAGAGCCTGGGCGCCGACGTCTGCATCAACTACAAGGACGCCGACTTTAAGGACCAACTCATCAAGCACACTGACGGCTACGTCGACGTCTACTTTGACAATGTCGGCGGTGAGATTTTGGATTTGATGTTTACTCGTGTCAAGCGCTTCGGCCGCATCTCTGTCTGTGGCTCTATCTCGGAGTACAACAACAGCTCTCCCCCTGGCTTCAAGAACTGGTTCGAGGTCATTGCCAACCGTCTCACCATCAAGGGCTTGATTGTGCTTGACGCTGGTGCCCGTTGGCCCGAGATGATCAAGGAGCTTTGTGAGGCTGCCGTCTCGGGCAAGATTCAGGTCGGCGATGCCAATGAGACTATTGTTGACACCAAGTTTGAGGACATTCCCAAGACTTGGCTCAAGCTGTTTGAGGGTGCCAACACTGGCAAGCTCCTCACTCACATTGTTTAAGCGTCTCTACAAAACAAAAGCATTTGCAGGAGTTGGGCTAGTGTTTTTCCTTCATCTCGTCATGACCTTTCCAGATACCACAAAATCTACATCACAATAATCTAAGACTCAATTCAAGATCAACTTTCTACGTTATCGTGTAAAATCAGCCTGTTGTATGCTAAACTCAACGAAGAACATATGGTAAGCTCCAGTGAGGACATAAAACGATGGTGGCCTATACACACGTCTCAAAATCACAAATACCAAAAACAAGAGACGAAAAACCTGTAAAGCAGCAAAGAGTTCGAATTTGAAGTGTTTAGACTAAAGACCTTCTGACCTCCCTCTCTCCAGTCACATGAGTAGAACAGCACTGGTAGCTAATCAGCGCCATCCACTCCTGCAACCAAAAAGATTCTCAAGTCATAGCTACAAAAAGGTCAAAACAAAATGACTATCTACGGCAAAAGCAAACCGTGATCAAAGTACTCCACCACCTGATCCGCTAATTCTCCATTGATGTTACCACTATATATAAAAACACAAAAGATGGGAGTAACAAAAGCCCAAAAACGAGGTTGCCCAAGCCACGTCTGGTTTCGCATATTGAGATCGTCGAAAAGAGCAACTCTGTGTATTGGAGATGATGCTTGTTGTCGAGTTTCCGATAATTCTCCAGAGGCTGTTCCGTGTACTTGTCACGATGGATGTTTCGAATGTAATGTGCGCATGGGATCATACAACATCTGTCGAGTCCGTGTCACTGGTCTACCTGTAGATGAAGATAATCTGGCCGATAGAAGAGGTGAAGAGCTGATTGTGATTTATGTTCTATATGCTCATGCAGCCTCCTGGAAGTTTGCGATTCAGAAGGTGCGGCAGAAGTATCGTTGCTCTGCAAGTGGTCAGCTCCAATTAAGATCGTCAACATGGCGATCAATTGTGGCAGAGTTCTGTTGACTCTTGAGCGGAATATTCGATGAACAAGATGACAGCAGCGACGTGTCGTTGAATATTGAGTCGATCCTGCTCCTCTTGGGTATATTGCGATGATCGCATTGAGAAGGTGCAGCCGAGGCATCACTTGCGACAGCGACGTCCGTTACACGCGACAATTGCGCAACCAGTCCATCCCATCTACACCGACCACCACAACCCATACACCACAATGCCATACTTTACATCCAGCGAAGAGTGGCAACGCCAATCAGCATTGCTACTGCAAGCCCGTCCAACCACCGTACGTGCCTCTTCTCGCCATCACATACCTGCCCTTCCAGACCTAACACACGACCAACAGACCCGCATAACAACAAAATACCACATCCCCTCCGCCAACTCCGTCTCTNCAAAACCGACGACCTCAACAGATGCCGCTACCTCAGAATCCAAACCGATAGTCGCCCACCTCGAGCTCAAAACCTACGATCCCGTGTCTGGCACAACGCTAAAATACAAGACCGACAAGGCCGCAGAGGTCGGCAGATTGGTCGCTGCAATGGGTACTCTGGGCAGGGAGATGGCTGCGCTGCCAGAGAAGAAGGAGGACGTGGTTATGGCAGATGTGGGCGCTGAGTGCACCGAGACCCTCGTAGAAACTGCGGCGCCAGCAGCGCAAAACACGGCGCCCAAGAAANAGAAGAAGGGCAAGAAGTGAAAGACTACAGAACAATGGTGGAAGCCTGGAGTTTGGGAGGGCGAGAGATAAAATGGCTATGCTTGCATGTCACGGTCACGAGGAAAACATGGACCTTGTGAGAAGATGAAAACGAAGAATATGGAATTTCCCTGATACCCTCTTTTCGGATAAAAAGCTACACCGCAAAGAATGTACAAAAATAGGTGTATAAAGAACGAGTTTCGTGGCTGTTATGGTCGTATATGCATCTTTTCTGCGCCTTCTAGTTGGCAGCAAGGTAAGCGCTGCCTTGGATAACGAGGGAAGCAACAACTACGCAATGTAGCTGTACATGTTGCCCTCCTCGCGTTCCATGTAATCCTTCTCGATGAGCCTNGTTATGAGCAAAGTGTCAGTACAACATTCTTTCCACATCAAAATCTGCTGATCGAGCAGTCGCACTCACCTGTCGATGTTCTTCTTGATGTCCTTGACATCCAACACTCCTCTACTCCTCGTCGCCTTGATGACTTCTGCAATCAACTCCGAATGTCCAATCGTCTTTCTCGCCTTCATGACTCTGACGACGGCAGCCTGGCATTCAAAGTTTCTGTCCTCTTGCACACGTTCATGTGTCTCTTTGTTTTCTTCCTTCGTCTCCTTGAGTTGCACTTGGTTGATCTTGACGCGGTACTTGTCGTGCCAGAAGGTTGGGTCAACAGTGAACGTATCGGTAGTCGAGATCTCTCTGCCTTTGGGATGCTTTTGCAGAGGACGGAGTTTTGCACAAGCCAACGATTGAAGAGTCCGGTTTACTTCTGCCTCTGGAAGTCCTGATTCTGACTTGATGAAATCATATGTCAGGTGTTCGGATGGCTCAACATTGTTGAAAAGTAACAATATGATGGCTTGGAAGGACGACACTACCAACTCCTTGGTACCCTTGGAGAACTTGGCCTTCATCTGACAGTGCGCCAGTGAGTGCTTCCAGTCGAGTTTGCGACCACTATGCTTGGACTTGTAGTGGCGTTCATACTCATCGATAGCCTGCTGAATATCTGCAGGAATCATGACAGGAACGACTGGATAAGTCGGCCATGCTGCTTGCGAAAGTACGTTGACGTTGAGATCGACCTTTGGTCTCTCTTCCCGCTCTTCCATCCGTGATTTGTAGGAAGACATCTCCTCACGCGCCAGTTCGACATCCTTGAACATTTGCTCTAAGTTGTGGGTAAACTCCGCACCACATTCAGTCTTGAGACGGGCGAGCATACTTCGCTCAGCGTCTGCACTGGCGGAACGACCCATGAGTAGACGACGTGCAAGATCCTTCTTGTAGAACGCTTCAAAGACCGCCTTGCCGTGGACGAATCTGAACAGGTCCAGGACCTGATCGAGTTGTGCATTGACTTCACTGTCCTCGTCCATAGCCTCGTTCTCGTCATACTCTTCCTTTCCAGCATTGTCGCGGGCATGTAGAGTAAGATCTGTAGGTATGGCCTTGGCACCTCCACGCAGCAGTTGATCAACATACTTGGCAATCATTTCTCCAGTCTTAGAATTGTCTGTACCATGCGTCGCAGCAGATTTCTTGGTCTTGTTGATAAAAGTCTCAAAGGATTCGCGCAAGGCATGTCCAAGTTCCTCACTACGGTGGAATGAAGTGCGCCAGATGTTGTCCAGGCGGGTCTTCAGTGATAGCAAGCGTACAACCATCTGTGTATCGTTCTTGTCGTCAAAGACAATCTGTGTACCTGTGTCATCAACCCAGCGCTCAAATGCGGGTCGGATCTTTGAACCAAGTCGTCGCCTTTGCAGCAATGCGTAGAGTTGTTCCAAATCCTTGGTAGCGTAATCATCCAGCAGATCCGCAACACTGTCTTGATTCGTCAGATAGTCGACTTTGTTCTCAATGATGTGTTCTTCGAGCAGAGCCAGAAGATCCCGTCGAGTACTTTGATCCAAGCCGAAGAATTCACAACGATCAATCTCCTTGGTCATGAAGTTGGCAGCGTCATTAACATATTCAGGAAGTGATTGCTCGGCACTCTTCTCATCTGCCCATTGCACGACGTACTGTTGAGCAAAGGCGAGCATGCGAGGTTCGAATGAAGTAGAATAGGTAGCGAGGTCGTGGAACATGGAAATGGCCTGTCTGAGGCGGCTCTTGTCCAAGTCCTTGCCAGATCTGTCGGCAGAGATTAAGTCGCAGGCGCCATCGATTATGCCGGGCTTTAAAGTAGCATCTTCAAAAATATTGTCGCGGAAGATCTTGATGGTGACATCCTGAAGAGAACCCCTAGATGTCTGGAGAAGATATGAACGGTCCATGTAGTAGAAGATGCAGCGTATAGTGTGCATCTGCTGATTCCAGACAGTCCAGGCATCGAGAACATCATGCAAGACTTGAACATTGGACTGTCTCTGCTTGGACAGTAATGATGTTTTCATGGGCCCCCTCACATGTTGCTTGCACCTGGTGCTCAGTCTAGCGTAGATGTCCTCTGCTCTTTTCTGACGACACAGATTCTCGACACGACGGTATAGCTCTTCCATGGAGAAGTCGACAGGAGCTTGCGTAAAGATGACGTTCAAGGCCTGATCCAGCTGTGCCCATGTCTCTTCGAAGTACTTGTTTGCATCCCAGACCGGCTGGGGCTTCAGTGTCTTGACTACAAGTCTTGTAGTGCCAGTCTTTGGTTGAAAGCCTCTGTTGAGCTTGCCAGAGAGGCGACGGTTGGTGTTGGTAGGTTGCGGATTGCCACTGGCCAGCTTGCTGGAGAAGGAATACATCTCTGACTGCATCTTGGATGGCTGCGTCTTGGGTTTCTTGCGGTCGGGCGAGGAGTCGTTCGGGGTGGACTGGGAAGCACTGGCCGAGGCTTGGGCGGAGAAGAGGTTCTGGATTGATGGCTCTTTGGCGAGTGAAGGTGGTGGCTGAGAGGCGGATGCCGTGGCTGCTGTTACTGCTGCCGAAGGTCTCTTTCGCTTTTTAGCTGGGAGATGAGGTGGAGATGAATCGGGTGAATGCTCTCCGACCGGAAGGGACGAAGTCGATGGTCGCATCGGAACAAGAGTGCAAGTGTCGTTGTCGTGAGATNNGCGCCAGCTTCCTAGACTGTTTAGACTCCGCCCGGCGATAAGCTTCCATGACGCGCCTGGAAGCTCCGGCTCATCCTTGCCGTCCCGCTGACAGGGTCACCTTTGAGCCTAGACTCTGGACATGCATATTTCATTATAACGAATATCATACTGATGTTTGTTTGACTATACCATAGCCGATAGCAGCAAATCTGTAGAATAACATATGCTCTGCAAACAATCTCTCCCCTCACACGAAGCCTCCATGTCTAGCTACATGCATGACACCCTGTATTACAAGTCCTCTTCACTCCCCAAGATATCCCACCCGATCAAGGTCCACAGTTCAGCTTCGAAAGAATCCGTTTTCCCTTGTATATCATCTAATCTTACAGCTTCGACAGCTTTTGGTGCCTCTCCTAACGCCTTCGGCAAGTTGAGCACATCTTGACTTGCGTCCAGTCCTCTCGTTCCTGGACCAAAAATACGATCGACCAGCGTACGCTGAAGTCGTACCCGTGCTGTACCGGCAAATGGCATGTTGCGTAGGTCGGTCACAGCCTTTCGCAAGCTGTCGAGCAACAGAGGCGCTGATGTGAGTACAATCCTCAATTCTGTCTGCCTAACAGGGTCGAGTAGCTTGTCGTCCGGGAGCGGTAGATTTCGCATTTCATGTTCGATGCTGTCGTTCCGTAGTCCATTAAGTAAAAGCTCGTGTGTCGCTTCTCCCAGTCTATGGAGTAGCTGGTAAACCGCACCTTCGAGTATGTGCGCGTGTGAACGGCAAGTCTGAGCCGACTCCCGCAGATTATCAACCAGGCCCTTTGCAAGTTGTGATAAAGCTTGCAGAGCTGGCGTCTCTTGGTCGGGGTGCCGGGACTTGACTTGTATAGCGGCACCTTCTTCAAGACTGGTGAAGAGTACATCAAAGAAGCAGACGCAGGCGTGTACAACATGACTGCCAAAGTTGTCGTTGTTGTCGAGAGAATCCATGCGTTTGAGCCCGTTGAAAACACTGATACAACTTCTGGCCACGGCGACGACAGACTTACTGGCCGTATCTGCCACATGAACTTTGCGTGGTAAAAATTCGACGATCAAGCCCAGCGCCTCCATAGCCTGAACAAGATTGTACGCCAGCTCATTTGAGTCAGTGCTCCACATACGGCCTCTACACAGTGCCTGCACACGGTGGATATGCCGCATGGCTTTGATGACTATTATGCGTTAGCGCTGGAATTGACATGCCGTAAGGAAATGAGACCTAGATCCNACATCGGCCGCAGGGCCAAACTCTGCTATGGCGAAAGAAGCCGCTTTTATCTTCTTGACTGTCTCGGGCTCTTCTTGTTCTATCATCTTACGTTTTCGACCAGGTTTTGAGCGAGCTACAAGCTGGGTGACTCGGGCTTGCAGTGCTTCATTCTCTTTCTGAAGAACGAACATGGCGTCCAGCTCTTTCCCGAGCGCCCCATGCAGATTGTCGTGCTGTTTTTGCCAAAACGTAGAGTGATTCAAGCGCCGCAAAGTCTGGCCATTGTGGTGAACGGTTTGAATGGAGGCGCATAGAGTTTGAACATAATCTNNGAGAAGACGTCAGAAGAGATTCCCGGCTTGACTGGAAGGCGAGTGACCTTGTATGGTTAGGTGTTTCGGTTTTGACTTGACTATAGCAAGGGCAGCCGAAAGGTGCAATGCCTGTGGTAGCGACATGCTGAGTAGTACAAACACCTAAGCAAAGCAGCAGACATGAGATATGTGCGAGTAGGAGCACGAGAGGCGAAAAGAAAAGCCATGCAATCAAGGAAAGATTGGGTTAGAAAGAAGCCTCCAGAGGGAAGGAGCGTCCGGCGGTCTGCACTTGTCACATGCTCCATCACCTACTCAGCGCATCTGCCATTGCAAGATTGATACTCCATACTCGACACTCAATAGGATTGAGTCCCTTACAAGGATCCTGACCACTGTCTTTGCCCTTCTCTATGATCAAACTGGTAGTCGATGGACAGACTTAGTCTCTACAGTAATGGCCACTAACAATTTGTCGAGGCTTCACAAAAATCCCTAGTCTGACCGAATCAGGGCCTACCCATGGCTCCCAGCGAAATCAAACGACTCCTCGTGGGCACCAGAAATATGAGCGGAGACGAGGGCACTTCCTCTCGAGAACAAAGATATAGGCTTATCGATAAGAAACAAGCTATGGCCATGGCGGATGTTTTCCGTCTTCAACGGCCGCAAACACCTTGATCTTTCCCGAGAACCACGCACTCGACCAGACGCGACAATTGCGCACACCATTCAGTATGACCACACCGGCAGTGGTTCGTGACAAGTTGGTCTACAACGATACCTTCTTCGCCCAGGTCCATGACAACAAATGACACANNCGCGCCTCTGTTGCCGAATTGACGTCTCTACTGCGACCTGAAACCACCTCAGCTCCGCCAGCAAAGGATCAAGTTGGTCACTGGTATCGAGCTCAGCTCTTGCACTATGGTCTGCCGCCTAGTAAAGATAAGAATACGGCAAAGGTCCGACTTCTTCAAGCCATTAACGCCAACACCCTCTCTGTACCTGATCATATCGCCAAGCTTGAGAAGGACATGAAGAAGGAGTTCACCACTGCCACAAGAAAAGCAAAGGCTGCCGAGAAGGCTCCTGCTGCTCCGTCCAAGGGTAAGAAACGAACACATGAAGAAGCCACAACAAATACAAAGACCACCTTGACTATCGATGGAGTCTCTATCACTGTTGATCGGCAAACCGCTGCGTCTATCACGTCCGCCGTCGTTGGAGCTTCCCCTGCTGCCAAAAAGGCCAGAGTCACCAAGGACAGCGCTGCTCCCGCGAAGCCAAGGCAGATCAAGGATCCCGCTCCCGCAGCTAAACCGAAGAAATCTGCTCAAAACACTGATACCGCCAAATCTAAACCATCGGCCACCACTAAAGGACCAGTAAAGAAAACTGCCGCAACAAAAGCACAAGCTAAAACTGCCGAAGCGAAACCACAGGACAAGGTTGTGCCAGCCAAGTCGAAAGCAACACCCAAACTCAAGGACTCTTCCACTGCAACCAAACCAAAAGCAGAGCCTAAAGCAAAGATACCAGCAGAAGAGAAACCCCCACACACCAAGTCTAAATCAGTGAGAGACATCAAAGTCACATACCTTCTGCATCTGCGCTCGTACTCTCCCGACGATGTTCCCGAATTCAATGGACCACCTCGTATCTCTATCCACCACGACAATTACACTAACAAGCTCTGGGGACACTTCACTATCGGGTCCAAGACTGGCGTGATCCGTGCCGACAACTTCTTCACTGATGGCTTTAGCGATTCCAAATCCAATTGGCGCGCTCGCGACATGGGCAGTGGACAGCTGCGCTTTGGACGTGGCTGTGAAGGTGTAATGGAGTTTGGTATTTATGGTGTCGACAAGGGCACCTTCTATCGCTTGTTCGACGGCCTTGATGTGGATTTTGGTGTCAGCAGTTTTAGAAAGCCGGCAGAGGACGAATCTAGTCAGCCACGCTTCCGCACAAAGCAGACAGCCCGTAAGAAGTAGGTTTTTGAACGTGCTACACCCACGACCACACTCTTGGCAATGGATCAACTTCAAAGCTCAGGTCCAGGTCAGATGAACCCCTCAATAGTACTCATGCGGTTTTCTGCGTCTGGATCTCACCCTGCCGACGATCTCAACGAATCACCTCATGACGCCACAAATCACGATCTCTACACAAATCTAAGCTTTAAGGTCAGTTCACCACTAGACCCAAGATTGGAATGGTTTCGATCACCTGTTTGACGACCTCGATATCGGGTTGGTGTTAGCAGCAATACCAGAGATATTCAGTCGGTCCGACTCGACAACATGAACTCGAGGAAGGGTATACTAAGGAGGCGTGCAGTCGTTGATTAATCCTACCAGGTTTGGTAACGTTGGAAGACAAATGAAACATGGTAGGTCGTGAATGCACACTCGGCTCTGTAATCATTTGTCATCTGCCATCACGTTTATTCTGACCTGCTCAAAACAATAGTCTAGATGATGCTAGAGTGTCAGACAGAATGTCCAAAGCTCATTCTTGTAGGTTGATGACCCCGTATTCGTCAGTCCGGATCTATTGTGCATATAAGCGACTACGTTCGGTCTGCGAAGAGAAATTCGGTTCAGCAACACGGTCATTACCAAGCTCCAAATTATCATGAGCCAGCCAATCATCCGAGCAAACATTCAGTGGCAGAACCGACAGTGTGGGTGTTGAGTGTTTAACGACGTAGACCACGTCTAAGAGAATAATAGTACCACCATGATGAGCTTCAAAGGTCTTCGATTTCGGCTCGAAATCGTTGACTTGAAAAGATTAAGTGTTGCAGATAGGCATCTTGTGTGTACTGATTTCTAAATCATCTACCATAAACAACTTTGAGAACTTCAGATCAGGGATGATTGTTGGGAAGACGAGACGAACGAGCAGATAGCTGGAAACAGGCAATCCCTTTTGATGAGAGAATATCTAGATGAGAACCTCCAATGGCATCCTCCAAGCAGTCTCAACCAGATATCTCCAGTGCAGACGACTGAATGCGATTACTATATCATGTCGTTCATCAGGAAGAACATTGAAATTTGGAATCGGAAGTAGTGGAGCAAAGGGCGACTTCCGCTTTGGTGTGGAATTGATAAGCACAGACAGAGACAGGGTTCGTGGCAGGCTTGGCGCGTCAGATGTCGATCTCCCGATTAGTGAACAGAGGCTTGGGATCCGAGGCGGTACTTTTTCTGCCCATTTCCATCGCAAACGAGACTGAAGCAAACTGCTGTGGTTGCTAACCTGAGTGAAGACTGGTCCAAGGGACTTTTCGGACACATCGACCTCACAAGACTGGATTTGGAAAGAGGAACAAGCAACAATCAGGTCGTAAGCTCGGTACATGCTGGACAAAGCCAACCTTCCTGCCACACATGCCAACACTCAAACGCGACCGCGAAGCCATGGACGACGACGACGGTTCAAGGAAGAAGATGAAGACATCCCCTGTCGATGCAACACACATCCCTCACTCAGTCATGGATCTGACCGCCGACGAGCCACAAACGATACCTGGGGCCGCCATTCCTTCATCACAAGAGCTTCAAGTATGAAACACTTGACTTACCTTCACAACCCATACTGACCTGCGTCCACAGACCTTGAAGACACTACGAGGCGACTTTGACGATATCCGACAGCTCATCACCTGCAAAATCTGCGAACGCCTTCTCTACGAACCTTACGTTATCTCATGCGGCCACACGTATTGCTACAGCTGTCTCTGCACATGGTTCGCCACCAGCAAGAAAAAGACATGTCCCAATTGCCGCGAAGTCATCAAACAACCTCCAGCTCCATCCTACGTCATTCGAGAAATGATTAATATCTTCCTGCGCAGCCACAATCTCCTACCCGATGGCGAATCCCTGGAACAACACCAGCAATGGGCTTTTGAAGAGGCTGAGATGGTGCGCAACGACAAGAACAACAAAGATACGAAAACTGGCGGCCTGTTCAAGAGCATCTTCCGCCCTCGTCGCGCCAGGTTGCTACCCATCCATGATCCCACCGACCATGTCGATAGATGTCCACGATGCCACCACGAGATTGAAGATGGAATGTGCAACAACTGTGGTGTCCATATGGATTCCTGGAGCACCACCGACAGCGAAAGCAGCTCTGATATGCATGGAGAGAGTATACCAGACGAGTTCGAAGACGACGATATGGACGCTGATGCCGACCACGGAGAATTCGATATCGACTTTACCCCTGAAGACTACGATGCCTGGATGAGAGAGCATAACATAATGGATCAAGACTGGTCCGACGACTCACAGGATGATCCCGAGGCCGCCGCTGTACGTAGCGAGTTGGTGCGTCAAATGGTCAATCGACAGCGGTACCGTCAGAGGTTTCATAGATATGATCGTCCTGGTGTTGTGCAAGACGAAGCTGAAGATGATTTGATGGGTTACGATCTGGATGAAGAAGACGAGGACGAGGATGACGACGAGGACGCAGGCTCGATCGACGATTTCCTGGACGACAGAGATGTTAATGATATCACCGCCCACACCATTAGTTCGCAAACAGCCGAAGACCCTACACCGGCCCGACGAAGGAACCGCCATCACAACGAAGCAACTCACAGTAACTCTGACAACTCAAATTCAGACTCAGACTCAGAGTCCGACTCTGATTCGGATGGCGTGCGCCACAACCCCCAGTTCCACCATCCCACAGTGCCTGTCTACACAATTCAATCAGACGACGAAGAAGAATCCACGGCAGCCGTCCCACCTCGCCGACGACGCCCTCAAGTCCTTGACCGCATTGAGATCGACATAAGCGACGAAGAGCCAGTAGTAGCACCATCTCGTCGTCGCCGTCCCGCCCGCGTGGTCGAGAGTGAAGAGGAGAGTTCAGCTTCCTCCAGTGAAAGCGAAAGCGACGACCAGGCCCCCAGAGCCTTTGCCCGCTTCCCTCGTCACCGCCCAAATCCACCAACACTTACTCGCAGACAACCACGTGCCATCCGTGTCATTGACAGCGATGACGAAGAAGTCGGCAATACTTCAGCTGATGACGCGCAAGAAGAACTTGCTAGTGTAGATGAAGCAGACAACTACAGCATCAACACCGATGAGGTGCATGAAGGAGCAGGCTTTTCTCCCTTGCAGCAGAGTGGAAGTGAGGGTGAGGATGTGGAGGAGATAACCAAGACGCCATGTCCTATTTCAACGTCTATGGCGATGGAGATGAAGGCGTGGATGAAGTTGATGAAGAGGAAGAGGAAGATGATTATTGAGTTGCGTCAACTTACTACCACAAATATACCCCCTACTGTAACATTGATCATTGAATGTTAAATTTTCGGCTGCATCAAAGCATTTTCATCTTCAACGTCGCTTTTGCGATCTCCGGCGTCACGGTTTCGATCCAAGTATACTGATAATTTAGGTAGTAGGTGAAGAAAACAGTTTTTCTGATTCCAAGATCAACTAAAGATAGTCTTTGCCCTCCCTTGCTTTTCCCACGCATCTCCAGTCTTGATCTCCATGTCCACTTTCTCATTGTAGAAACAACACAACCCTGCGATAGTGCCGCATTCCAAGGTCGGTCGAGTGTAGAACCACACAACATCTTTGTGGGTTTCGCCATCAACGACTACATCATAGTACTCTGCTTCTCCTTTGTACGGGCATTGTGTTGTTGTTTTGCTGGCTCTGAGTACAGAAGTGGAAATGGAGGTTAGNGGTATGTAGTACCGCACTGGCAGCCCAGTCTCATAGAGCTGCATACAAGTGGATGATTCAGCGATGACGGTGCCTTTGATGGAGACACACAGGCTGCGGGAAGAGTGGAGGATATCGATGCGTTTGAAAGGATCTTTTGGGTGTACGAAGATTGGTGTGTCTTCTTCGAGCCATTGGTCTGCAAAGACAGACCATCAGGACTGTAGAGACCTGGAGTAGAGGTAAGAGCACTTACCTGCAGCGCTGAAGTTTACTTTGAGCATGTTGCTGAGGGGGCTTGCTTTACCAGGGAGATCTTTGCTGAAGACCACGAAGCCATCTTTAACCTCTTTCATGTTGTTGTCTGATTTTCGCTGAACTTTGACTTTCAGTGTGGTTGCGATGGTATTGTTGTGAGTGTCTTTGACATCTAGATGGTTTTCGTAGGTGATTCCATAGCCTGAGACGTTTTTCACCAGAGCATCTTTTGGAAAGTAGAGTTGTGGGTAGTATGGGTGTTCCCAGACGAACAGGGCTCCTGCTGTACCGAGCGTATCCGCGATGCAGGCGCCGTTGATCAGGATTCTTACGCGTCTTTCTGTGGGAAGCGTTTTGTGCGGACCATGCTCCGCGAGGTGGCGGGCAAGCGTAGATAGATCAACTTCACGCCCTGGAACAGCCATATCTGCTTATAGAAGATCGAGTATGAGAAGAAGACTCGAATCAAGAATAGTGAGAAGTGGTCAGGCAGTGGGAGAGTGCGGGGAGTTGAGATGAACTGATGGATGGATAAGATAAAAGTCTCCGCGTGACTCGGAAAGTCGATCCGCAAGGGTCCCGTCTTTCGGAGCGGGGAGCACAAGGAAAATAATTAAAATCGTCTAGGTTGAGCAGATGAAGTGATCTAGACTTCTGTTGGCAATCAAAGCAGTGACAGAGCTTGGCTCGATATGACGAGTGCTTTAGGAAGAAAAGAAACGACAGCGCGAGGCAGGAAAGTGTTGGGCTGATCCTTCATGTGGTCGTGAGCACACACGAGATCTCGGCAAGGGCTTCTTGGGCGTCGCGGCAAGGGATTCAGGTCGAATCGTCTCGAATAGAGCGTGGAGAGGCTGCGCTGACGAGCACTTGTTGCACCTCTCAATAAGCAGCAGCTCGCTTGTGTCCACACACTCTTTCCATCTTCTCATCCATAATATCTTGTTACTTCCAGCCTCCGTCGTCAGTCTCAGCTCAACCCCACCACTCGCGCGATCAAGACCCAACGGTCGCTACTCGGGACGCGCGAAAGTCGTCTTTGCTCCACAAAAAGCAATCCAGCCCACTCACGCACACGACTTGCAGGCCCCTGATCAAATTCATCACCAGGTCCATCATTCATCCATCAGTCCATCGGTCTTTTCTCTTCTCTGGCATCTCTCATGGGTGCTAAGTGCTTCCGCTGAAGTTCCTCTCGTCCACGACCTATGCTCGACAAGGCTGGAACCTGATTCGTGAATCATGCCTCGTCGAAGACCTCCAGCACTGAGTCTCGGCAATGCTCTCTTTNGCATATTTGTATGGCTGCCCCTCATAGCCACTGCTCAGCAGCAGCAGTCCGCAGGCAATGCCAACAACATCCGCAAACGCCCTTCCCTCGGTAACGCGCGCTCGTCGCCAGAACTGAGATCCACCCACAAACACCTTAAAGACACCGCAATCGACCCTTCAATTGAGCGCGCCCTTGCGACTTTTGCTCCAGCCGAGTCTATCCCGGCCGTCCGAGCACCTCCTGCACGATCATCGGCCTCATCCGGTGGTCTTTCTTCGCGACACCCGGCGCGGTCTCTGCAGGATTGGCAAGTCGAGGATATCATTCTCCTGGCGACCGTTGATGGAAAATTACACGCAAGAGACCGCAGAACCGGCGCTCCCAGATGGGAGATCGAGGCCGACAAGCCCATGATCGAGACCGTCTACCACCATAACGACTCAGATCCGGACGCTCAGCCTGAGACCAGCCTCATCTGGATTGTTGAGCCTTCTCAAGATGGAAGTCTCTACGTCTACTCCTCTGAGCCACAGACCGGCATGCAGAAACTCGGCTTGTCTGTCAAGCAACTCGTCGAAGAACTTTCTCCTTACGCTGGTGAAGACCCGCCGGTGGTATATACCGCCGACAAGAAAAACACACTTTATACAGTCGACGCATCCAATGGCAAAGTACTCAAGATGTTCAGCTCGGGCGCATCAACTTTCAACAACGACCAGAATTGTCGCCGGGTCAACGGTCTTGGTTCTCTTGAGGACAACGAATGCGAAACTATCGGCACTCTTACATTGGGCAGAACAGATTACACCGTATCCATCGCAGACAAGTTGAGCGGCAACCCCATCTGCACCATTCGCTACTTCGAGTGGGGACCCAACAACCGCGACAAAGACCTGCACAACCAATATGCCTCGACTATGGACAGCAAATATATATACACACAACATGATGGTAGTGTGGTCGCTGTTGATTATAGGGAAACCAATCGTTTCGGCAATGCTATCCTATACAAGCAAAAGTTCTCTTCGCCAGTAGCCCGCGTCTACGATATCGTCAGACCACTTGATGAAGAAATCCTGGATGCTTCGCTTGTCCTTCTCCCACAGCCTATTGGCCCTGCTGGTGATGACACAATCGAGCAGGACAAGGTATTTGTCAACTGCACCGAGTCCGGCAGCTGGTATGCTATGTCGGAGCTCAGATATCCCACCGTCACTGACGGCGCTTCTAACGCCGTGTGTTACACCCAAGGATATGCGCTACCTGTAGGCACTTTCAACCCGGCCAAGCAAAGAGCAAGTCTGGTCGGCATACATCCTCTCCACCCATTGAGTCAGGACCAGAGTGAGATCCTTACCATCGGCGGACCTGACCAGTCGCTTGGTTCACCTAATGCCTACAACACCGACAATGCTCAAGTCATGCTACCCAATGTATCAAATCCTTGGGCAGGTATCTCATCATCATCAGGCTTGATTGGCTTGCTTGCTTTGATTGGACTTTTTGCCATCGTGTCCCGATGGGTCGACGTGCAGAAAGTTATACAACGCCAAGCTTCTGATCCCGTCAAGATCAGAGAGGCGCCTGTTCCTGTGACTTCCGGGCCGAGTGAAACTATTCCTGGCCAGGATGATGCCTCTTCCCTAGCCGAGTCTGTTGACCGTAAGGTTCGCTTCCCCGAACCTGCGGAAGAGACTATCTTCCCACAAGGAGAACAGGAAAAAGCAAAGGGATCGACATTGTCCAAAGAAACGCTAATTGAGGTCAAGGTCGACTCACCCACTCGTGCCTCTACTCCAGTTCCGCCAGAAACAGACAAACCCGCCGAAGAGCAAACGCCTGTCAAGCCCAAGAAGAAGGCGACCCGCGGTGTCAGAGGCGGCAGAAAAGCGAAAGAGAAGAAGGAGCAACTCGAAGCGCAACAGCGCCGTCGCGAGAATAGTCAAAGCAACAGCGACAAGGAAAGCAATGGTGCACTTGCCACACCTGTTCCCAAGCCTCTCTCCAAGATTGACAAGATCGATGGCATGGATGTCATCAGTGTCGATGCTTCTGAGAGCCCCAACGTGTCTGGCAAGATCCAAATCAACAACCTCACCATTGACACAGATCGTATCATTGGCCATGGAAGTGCCGGTACCTGCGTGTTCGAGGGTAAGTTTGAAGGCCGCGACGTGGCAGTCAAACGTATGCTTTCGCAGTATTACGAGTTGGCTTCCCAGGAAGTTTCGTTCCTTCAACAGAGTGATCATGACAAAAACGTCATTCGCTATTACTGTCAACAGAAGGACCAGCATTTCCTGTACATCGCCGTCGAACTCTGTCAAGCAAGTTTGTGGGATCTTTTCAACCTCCCCGATGTTCGTGAGGAAGCCCGCTATCAGCAACTCCAGTCACTGGCTCAAGCTGTTCAGCGTGATGCTCGTGGCGCTCTCTATCAGCTTGCGAAAGGACTTTATCATCTTCACGATCTTCGCATCATCCATCGGGATATTAAGCCTCAGAATATTCTCATCGCCTTCCCCAAGCCGAACAAGCCCAACGAGCTTCGCCTAGTCATCTCGGACTTTGGTCTGTGTAAGACCCTCCCAGAGAACGTCAGCACTCTGATCGACCCTACAAGCAACGCCGGCACATGCGGATGGAAGGCTCCAGAGCTTATCTCCCAGCCCAAGGATGCGGCCTCTAACAACGGCCACAGCAACATTTCACATCCCGGCACCAGCGAGAGCTCTTCTGGCGGGACAATGGGAGGTGTTAAGCGAGCAGCGGACATCTTCTCTTTGGGATGCCTGTTCTTCTGGGTTCTAACTGGAGGTGACCATCCTTACGACGACAAGGAAGGCTGGATGCAGATGCGCGAACTCAACATAAAGAAGAATAACCTTCAGAACATGCACAAACTCGACCTGGGCTCCGACAGCGAAGAGCCACGCCAACTGATCACTGCAATGCTGGCTCACAGCCCCGAAGACCGCNCCTCGGCCCTTCAAGTTCTCTGTCACCCATTCTTCTGGTCACCCAAGAAACGCCTCGATTTCCTCTGCGATGTTTCCGATCACTTTGAGCACGAACCCCGCGACCCACCCTCGCCTCACCTCTGCTACCTCGAATCCTACGCCGACATGGTCATCTCTCCCAAAGCAGACAAGGACTGGCAACGCAAGCTCGACAGAATGTTCCTGGACACACTCGGCAAGCAGCGCAAATACAACGGCGCCAAGATGTTGGATTTGCTTCGCGCACTGCGCAACAAGAAAAACCATTACGAGGATATGAGTGCGGATGTCAAGAAGAGGGTTGGATCGCTTCCTCATGGGTATTTGGAGTACTTCACCACGAGGTTCCCGACGCTGTTGATGGCTTGTTTTTGGGCGATCAAGGATTGTAGGGTGGAGACTAATGCGAGGTTTAGGACTTATTATAGTATTGAGCATCAGGAGTGAGGGAGGAAGATGGGGAGAACGGTTTCACTCATTAGGATGTTATTGTCTAGGAAGTTGCAAAGAATTGAAGACCTGCATTCGTTTCTATTTGAGTTGCACCTGCCTTTTGTTTGCTTTGTGCTTATGACCCCCGTTGTGGGAAGATGAAGAGTCACTTGTTTACCTATCCAGCCCATCCAACTCAACCAACCTCGCCACCAAATCCACCAAACCTTTCTCCTTGTTCCCCAACTGTTCGCCCGGCCTCTCTATCATGCCTTCCAACACATTATCCAGCATTTGTCTCAGTCTTCCCACTAACACACCAATCCTTGCCCATCCCTTTAATCGTATCCAGCCGTCGACCACCAACCCCNNCCTGTTTTGGGTATCTAGATTGATGTCCCCAGCAAACAAGAGTAAAGTATACGCGTTGAAAGGCGTGAGATCACGGATAAATGTCTTGGAAGTGCTGAGCAAAGAAAAGTAGGCCAGGAATGCTGTGCTAGGTGGGAAGTTTTGACCAGGCGCAGAGGAGAACAACACACTACTTGGATGAATAAACAAGCGTGAATTTCCACTTTCTTGTTGCTGTGGCTGTGGTGTGGATTTAGTGGCCAAAGAAGGTGCAGCAGCGGCATTAGGCTCGCGGAAATACTTTATCGTCTTTGCTTCTGGGTCCAGTGCCACAGCGCCAGAGACAGAGGCCGCGTACTTGGTATCCGGGAACTCTATCCTCGCGACCTGTGGTGAGAATGCTGCAGCCACTAATGCGCGGACTAGAGCCAAGTTGCCATTTCTGCTGTTGTACTCTGGAGTCACAGAAGAAGAACCCAANAACCCAATTTCTTGCAATGAAGACATGTATTGGCGGCGATTGATGTTGATATCGAAAAGGGTTTGCGAAGACAGGAAATTGGAGTCGCACCATTGGCGCAGAGAAGAGGAAGGAGTACCTTCACTGCGTTTGGCAGTCCAGAGCTCAAAGGCGCGCAGGTCGCAGAGTAAATCGCCTTGGCCATTGGGTGCAAAGGCCAATCGAGCGGTTTTGGCCTCATCGCGGCGGGCAGGAGGAGAAACAAATGGCGAGCGTGCGGTGAGGATAGATGCAATGGTAAGACAAGCATCCAAGCACCCAAACACTGCGCCATAAACAAGCAACTTGCCGCAACGCAAGTCGGCAGGAATGGAACTGAGATGACGGCCCAGTGCTGTGAGCTCTGCGCCATCGAGAGCACCCATACGGTGTAAAGTCATCAATGCACCGCTAACAGCCAGAGTAGAAGGTGGCGTAATGGCGCGAGACAAAAAGGAAGGCACGTCCAATACACCCATAGCCTTGACACTCAAGCACAACTGCTCCAACGGCACTCGCAAGATCTCAGGATCAGGACGCTCAGCCATCTTTGTGGTTTCCGCTTGCTTGGTGTATAGTTTGTAGCAAGTGCCTGCTCGTACACGACCAGCACGACCACGGCGCTGTTTACACGCTGCCCTCGATGCCCATACTTCTTCAAGCTTGGTCATGCCGTTTGCAGCGTCAAAGCTGGTTTCCTTGACACGGCCAGAGTCGATGACGGCAACGATGTCTTCGATTGTGATGGAGGTTTCGGCGACATTGGTAGCGCAGATGACTTTTCGCTTGCCGGCGGGTGCAGGAGGAAAGACTCGCTTTTGCTCGGCTGGCTGTAACGAGGCGTGTAAAGGTAAAGCATGGATGTGGTGAAGATGCTGCAATGTTTTGAGTGTGCGATCAATCTCGGCAAGACCGGGGAGGAAGATCAAGATACCACCATCTTGCGAGCCTAGTTGCTCGTGAATGGTCTGTACGGTGTCGGAGATGAGATCGTAGTTGATCCTCATACCAACACTGCGGAGAGCTGCACCCATACTGGGCTCTTTGCTGCTTTCCTCGTCACCCTCTTCTGTGATGCCGCCAGCAAAGCCAGTCATACGAAGAATGTCGTCTAGATAGACATCTTGAACCGGGTGAGTTCTGCCTTCAATCTCGACCGTGCTGACAGTCATTTTGCCCGCAAAGTAACTCTTGAAGATCTGTGCATCCAGAGTGGCAGACATGAGGATCAGCTTGAGGTCTTTGCGGACCTGCAACACATCTCTTAGAAGCACCATGAGGAAATCAGTGTCCAGACTGCGCTCGTGAACTTCATCGATGACCACATGACTGACATCAGCCAGAGCATCAACAACATCTTGCGGCTTCCCACCAGACGTCTGCAATCGTCTCAGTAAGACACCAGTAGTGACAAAAGTAATCTTTGTGGTGCCAGCTCTCTGTTTCGACTCTCCTCTGATTGAATAACCGACCTCTTCACCGACCTTGACACATCGCTCATCAGCAACACGATCTGCCAGACCCAACGCAGAGATTCTGCGAGGCTGAGTACAAATAATGTTTGCCGCTTCTCCAAGTCCTTGCCCGATCATGTCATCAAGAACAAACTGAACAGACTGAGTAGATTTTCCCGAACCAGTCTCACCAGAGATGATGGTGACTTGAGAAGACGTGACGGCCTCAACAATAGCATTCCGCAACTTCCAAGCAGGTAGAGATTGTCTTGCAGCCATCATTCGTTGTTGTGCGGGAGTCGTTTGTCTGGTTTGCCAGTCTGCAAGTATCTTCTGACTCTGTTGTGATGAAGGCTGCCAGTTGATAGGTCTAGGCATACGTTTCTGGCGCGGGCGTCTGCGGCTAGCGGTTTCCACATCAGGCTCGGCTGAGGTAGAAGAGACAGAAGCGATACTGCTAAGTCTACCTGGGTTAGCAATGATGTTCGGGATCTCATGTTCAAGCCAGTCGATGAGATTGAACAGCATTTGCTCGCCAAGGAAGTCAGACTGAGCTTGCAGCAGAACTTGCTTCAGAATACTCAAGCGAATATATGCTGGTAAAGAAGCCTCGATAGACAAGACAGGTACCACGTTTGGATATCCAGCCGTAGGTTTTCGAGCATGGAGAATGATGCGTTCTTTTGGCTTCTCAGCCACCTCCAAGACGATTTGACACGAAGTCTTGGTCGATTTGTATCTGTCACTGTAGATAGAAGCCAGAATAACTTGCTCTTCTTCCCACACATCGACATCATCTGACATGTCGAGTTTCTCAGTAGCGGACGTTAAAGACGACGAGTCCAGGCTTCCTAGGAGTCTATGCTGTAATCTCTCTGCTGCCCCCGCCTCGTCGCCGGAGGATGCGTCAAGGGCTTCCTCACAAAGTTCCATGGCATATCCAGTAATTGCAAGACGTTTCAGCTTGCCCTCTCTGGCAAGATCGCTACTAGCCATCGAGACACCAGCAGAGTAATTTTCAGGCAAACTCCATTTTGGCAAATCATCTTCAGGAACGTGGATCAGTAGCCATTCGACAGTTTCCTCGCGGTCCTTGCAGATCTCCACTGCTTCTTCCACGTGAGAAGGACGAAATCCTAGTTTGGTCAAATCTTGGACGATGTGCTTCTTTTCAACATTTGAAAGAGTGACGCCATGGGGGTTCCAGAGTGCGGCCTGTCTGACCAAAGCTTCGACGTCTCTACGCATCTTCTTGCCCATCTCGACCTTGGGAGCTCTTGTCCAACCTCTTCCTGGATTTTTGTTGACGCCTGGCGTGCTGTTATCCTTCTTCTCAGCTTCCATCTGCTTTTCCCTTTCTTGCCTTTTTCTTGTCTTNTTTGCGGCTCGTTCATCGTCCCATTCTTTTCGCGCTTGGAACGGATCCGCAGCATATAGCCAACCCATACCCTCCTTTGTGGCCTCCTTCTTCATATCTGCAAATTCTCCTTTCCATAGATCACGGTAGTTGGGCGGCATCATCATGTGCAAGTTCTTCGCATTCGCAACCCGATAAAGCGCATAAGTAGCAGCAAAATGTCTAGCCTCCACAGCCGTCTCTTGCACGCCCAACGCTCTTTTCGCCNNAGGGGGAAGCGACATGGGCGGTAGCGAAACCATCTCCTGCGTCTTTGGGTTCTTCCAGCGCAAAATGACAGACGAAATCTGGCCTGGCGGGTCAGATGAGCGATGCATAGTGTATTCCGGCTTTTCCCATTTCTGCTTTTGACAGTGCTCAGAGAGCATGTTGACGGGGAGTTTTCCTGTCCATGATTGTCCACCAATCAAGGTTCGTGTGTCGGGTTTCTTGACGAGGTCGCCGGCGATATCCAGTTCAGGGGCAGCATTCTTGCCTTTGGCCTTAGTGGGCGCTGAGGAGCTGGTGGCGGCTGGCGGTGTCGAGTCGTTCTTCTTGGTCTTCTTCGAGTCTTTGCCGTTGGAGAAGACTATGTAGCTCGTGTCTTCGCCGTTTGCAGTCGCGGCCGTCGCGGCATTCTTCTTGCCTGACTTGTTAGTGCTCCTGGGAGCGTGAGGTTTGTTGACCATTGTCTGGGTTCATGGCAGGCTCATTCTTGAACGCCGTCAATAAATAATTCACTTTGATGACGGCGGAAGGCGGAGTTAAATCTGGGGTCCGCAATCACTTGGCATATCAAGCATACTCGAGTAATTATCTCCCTGTTGGTTTTACCATGTAAAGGATGAGAACGTAGGGGCGATTGACGTGTGATGGAACGATAAACTGATATAAGAAGAATAACAATGTTCGTCATTCATCTACTTGCTAAACATGAGCCGCGCTATCCAGAAATCCGCCCATTCTTTTTGGTAAACCGCTAGAAATACATCCTCCATATGCAATATACACTTCTTTCCAAGCATGCATGCTATCTCAAGCTCAAGGCATTCCATATATCCTCGCACATCCTTATGCGGCAGGTCTGCTTCTCGATCTGGGCTTGGCGCCAGAAGCAACACGCTTGGCCTGAGGGCGAGACAAGTGGTGGGCAGGGATCCACGACTCGTCGTATGCCTTAGCACCGCTGGTGACAGCAGGGCCATCGGCACCGACAACGCTGACCTGGTCGGCGGGGTCGACCTTCTTGGTGCCGCCTGACGAGCGCTTGGCACGCTCACCACCCTTGCCGCGACCCTTCTTCTGGGGGAAGAAGGTGGTGATCCAGGTGTTGTAGATGAAGTAGACGGTACCAGCGAAGACACCGGTGAGGACGAGGTAGAGGAAGATGCTGCGAAAAGACATGTTAGCTTGTGCTGGATCGCACGAGTTGGGCAGAAAAGCTTACATCTGAGGGTCGAAGAAGCTCATGGGGGCCTCGACAACAGAGACGGTACCGTTGAAAGCAGGGTAGGTGTGCAGCATTCCAGCGTTGTCCTGGAAGACGGCGGCCAAGTTGAGGGTCAAGTCCTGGGGNTGCATCTCGGTAGCGAAGCTGTAGGTGGCAGTCTCCTTCTCGCCAGCAGGAACCAGAAGGTCGTACTTGCTGAGAGTCAAGTTGCTGATGGTCTTGGGGCTCACGAGGGAGCCACCAACGAAGCGAAGGTGGACGGGGGTGGTCTCATGGTTGGCGATGGACAGGATGGCGTTGGTCGCGTGGCCATTGACGAGCTTGACGCCAAAGACCTCAGAGTTGGGGAAGGAAACCGAGACGGCGACGTTCAACTTAGGAGTCTGCTGGACATCAGGATCCTCAATCTCCTCTACGATCTCAGGAGCNCTATACACGTCATCAGCTAGGTACTTTCAATTGCTTGCCATTGGGGCGCAACGAACCTGAGCGTAGGCAGAAATGGCCTTCAATGCAAAAAGCGCAAATGCGCTGAGCTTCAGGGATACCATGTTGACTAGTTTGAATGTGTGGTATACAATGTCTTTTCAAAAGTCACGGAGAACAAGAGAGAGCTGCGGGGAGCTGAAGAAGTGCGAGGCCACCGTGGCACAGAAGCTCGGACTCCATTCCTGCTTGGCGATCATCTCCACTGTGAGGCCTCGAACTTCGAGAACTTCTTGTCTCGACATGCGATGAACGACAGACATTACTTGATCAAATAGTTAGTCAAGCAGCTTGAATTTGTGCTACATAAGAGAGTGTAGTCTCAATACAGCTTGCTGTCATCCCTCCATCTTTACCCTTTCGACGAACGACCGCATCCTTCTTCCTCAGACGATTTTCAAACGACGGACAGCAGTTAGATCCATGTTGTGCATCTCTGGCGGAAACCTGCAGTTCTCGCCATTGATGCATGGCTTTCCCTTGGTACCGCTCTCTCTGCTCTCGGGGAAAGGGCAACGATGTCCATAGATGCATTTGGCATCCGAACACTCACTACCGTGAATGCAGGCAGACATGCGTGCCACAAGCTTCAATGTCTCCAGCTCCTTTGGGTTGCACTTGTACAAGTGGTCGTGTTCACATTTGCCATCGGGGTATGGACAATCGCGGCGAAGATGGTAGGCGTTGCAAAGCTTCAGCTTCTTGAGACGGTTCACCTCGTCCTTCTTGAACTCTGGTGTTGGTGGGTCAATGCGTTGGCCTTTTCTGTTGCGACGTATGCCATCGGCCGAGAGTTCCTTATACTCTTTGGCAATACTCTCCGGCGGTGCTTTTACTGCTGCTCCCTTCTTTGCTGCCATAGCCCAAGACGTGGCTGGCGCTGCTGACACCGGGGCAGATTGATTCGAGCTTTCCGATACTTGACGGCTATGCAATTCGCGAACAGCAGGACGCCCGGTCCCAACTGCTGTGCGGAAGCCAGAATACGATGTTGCGGGAGACGACGATAACGGCGGAGGAGATACAGACTCNCTGAGGAGAGCCGGGATGGAGCTCGCTTCTGGTATCTGGTCAACCAATTTGGAAGTGTCTATTCTGGTGTTACGAAAGATTTGGTCCATCTGAGTGCTAGCAAGCTGAAGCCATATGAGACGACTGTCGAGCTGAGCACCATGGAGCAAGGTGATGCGACCCTTGGTGTCAGCCATCTGCGCCAGCTGCTTGAGCATAGGCGCGTAGATCTCGCCATCTTCACAGCCGACGAGTATTTGCTTGCAGTGCGTGTCGGCTATGTTCATATTCAGGTTTTCNTGTGCGCGTGTCAGCGTACGCACAAGCATAGGCAAAAACATGTTCGAACCCTCCATCTTGTCAAACACCACGGCTCGACCTTTCATGCCAACATCAATAAAGTCGAATAGAGGCTTATCATGGCAAAACCCGCGAACGAAAGCCTTGATCTGGCTGCCGTGATCGACCATCCCAGCACGAAGGCAGAGACTGCACAACTCATCCAGATCGACAAAGACTCGGACGACGACTTCAATGTGAGCAGGAAGTGTGGCGATGGTTGAGAATGCATACATGTTGATGGCCTGGAACAGGGATTGCGCCGCATGACGACCACCTTGGTCGCCCTGGCTCAGGAGAGTGTTTCGAAAGATGAGTTCGTTGCCGTCAATCAACACTAGGACGAAAGGACGCTGGTCATCATCGCCGCCATTGAGCTGGATGGTTTCGAGTCGTTGCTGGAGACGTGCGCGTTCTGTACGCTCCAGTTCCAAAGCGTTCGTCAGATACAGTAGGTGCTGCATAACATTCTACACGCTTAGCCTGAGACCTGTATCATTATGAGCCCAAGAGACTCACATCATAGAAGGATGTCTTTTCCACATCAAGGATCTTATAAGCGTCGTGGTGCTCGACCAGTGCTTCGGTGGAAGGCTCGGATGAGCCGTGAAATCCAGTCGATGCCATCACGATTCAACGAAAGTGCGACGAGTGAGAATGTGACAAGAATCGAGCAAGATATGAATGCGTGATGGTGGAGGTTGCTAAATTTCGAAGCAGGAGCTTGGAGTTTTGAAGATGAAACTTCGAGGAAAGCGCGAGTGAAGGTGACTGCAAGAAGCCGCGTGTTGTCAAGCAATTTCGGCGCCTGTTTGATGCAGAGTGAGTGAGTTTCTGTTAAAGCACGAATCGTGGATATCTTTGATCAATCTTGGAGTAGGAACAACGATATCGCCTCGACAACAAGCCGGCTCGTCTCACAATGCTACAGACTCTGCCGTCGTCCTTCACTTTCTGGTTGCTGTCTATGTCGATTCGTCACAAACGACGGATGCGCCTTCGGGAACATGCATTTGGCGGTGAAATACGACAAATGACTCTTGATGATATGCACCGACCCGCTCTACATGCATATCATGTCCCTACTTTCCAGGCAATGGAATCAATCCTCACCCATGTCCATCGTCTCTGGCAAAATTGCAGGCATAGGTAAAATCACTCATCCATTCTCGCTCTGCTCAGGCTACTACTGTGAGAGCCTATGAAGACCAGCGCTAGAAACTCAACACTACTACGCAGAGAACCGAACCACGCTATGCTAAAGGAACAAATCTTCTGCAAACAAGATCGATCGGTTATTCTCTCTTCCACTGATCATGCTCTTCTGCCAGATGCGCCTTCAACTTGGTGACCTTGTTGCTGAAATTCTTCTTGCATCGCCAACAAACAAGGTCGACAGTATGCCAAGGGCCGTATCCAATCTGGCGTACAGGATCATCTTCTGGCAAAGGGAATTCCTCCAACGGTACCAAGAAAGAGGTCTGAAAGCTGTTGTAATGCGCGCTCCTTGTCAGACAGTCATTCACCATATCTTTCGACATGACGTGGACGTGGAGATGGTTCATCGAAGGCACCGCATGAATACCAGTGATGATCTCCTTCATCCAATCACGCCCTGCCGGAAGGACATTCGGTGGGTCATCCGCGTCTCTTGCTTGGATTCGTGCTTGTTCTGATTTGGAGAACTGTCCGTACTTCCGTCGCAGTTCGCTTGCAACCATCTGTTTGGCCCTTTCCACTTCGACTTTGATATCGGCAAGGAGCTCTGGATCTTCGAACGCCTTGAATGGATGCAAAACATTGCGTTTGGATTTCGGAAGAACCAACAGATGGACGGATGACTTGGGAAACATATCCTGAATGATGACCGCATTCTCGTTGTTGAACAAAACTCTGTCGTAAGCATAGGGGTCGGCAGTGTATACTCCCAGGCCGTCCCTTCTGTCGTAGGACATTTTTGCTTTTGACTTGTCAGAGTTTGAATGCTTGTCGGATTTCCCAGGAGACTTTTCAGGATTAATAGGTTTCTTCGACATTAATTCTGTGACTGTCAACAATGAGAATAGGGTACCGGATATGGCTAGACGAATTTACTCACATGCATTCTTAGAATTTGTCTTTGTAGTTGGAAGCTCCATTCCAACAATCTCATCTTCTGTTATGGCTTCCTGAGGTGCTCCCATGTTGGCGGTTCTTCGATGTCGTCTGCTCCTTCCTCTGAACGATTTGCTTGTTGTGCTGAATCCCTTGGATATACGCTCAACTTTGGAAATGTCCCTTTGCTGCAACCGAGAAAGAGGTTGATCATGCGAATGCGTAAAAGGACAAGATCTGATCAACAAGCCTCAAGCACGTCTACTTGAAAAGAAAAGCAATCTCGTCAACATGATCCTTCCATTCCCTCTCGTAAAATCAAAACGATCGATGACGCACCATTTTCCGTTCAATCAGTTTGCCCGATTGGGCTGATCGCGTGAGACCGCGGCCGCTGGAATCTCGAATCGCGTCTTCCAGCTTTCTGCCTCGCAAGAAACTAACTTTCACTTCACCGTGTTGCTCGACGAGTGAAACACGGAGTGAATAGATTGCTAAGAGTCGGGAATCGTGATCAGGACATAAACAACAACCATCTCTATCGACTTTTGGACACCCACTTGCCTTCGCTCTCTTTCTCAGAGCTGTGCTTCGCTTGCGCCACCACCACCATGCCTCGCTCGTCAAAGAGACAGACGAGGCTGACCTTCGATCCACTTCCAACCTCGTCGCCTGCCCCATCTGATATCAGCAAATCACAACGCGACCGCGCAGCAACCGTCCGCTTTGAAGGAGCAAGCCCGTCCAAGAAGCGCAAAGTGCGCGATGCACCCGGAGCCTCGTCACTTGCTACAGTCGTCACACCTGACATACCTAAGAAGAGCCTGCCACCTACACCCGATCCCACTGCCACAAACTCCTTCGGCGCATCGGCTGTCAGCGACGACGAAATCAGACCCACACAACGACTGTCGAGTCGCAAGAGTCAAAAGAAACAGCAGAAGCTCGACCTTATACCATCGAGTCCTAGGGCCGCCATCAACAACGCACGACCAGTCAGAGCTGGCTTCTTTGGGACCCAGCCACAGTTGAATGCCGATTCAAGTGACGAATCGGACCAGGACCTGCCAAAACTTCCAATCAGGAGTCAGAAGAAGACCAAGCGTCAGAAGAAGCACAAGTCGCCATCACCAGAATTAGAGGAAGAGGAGGTGATTGTACAAGAACCGCCGACAGTGATCTCCGACAACGAAAGTGAAGACGATTTACCCGCTACTCCAGCACTCAACCGCAAGCGCAAGCGGCAAGCTGAGAGTTCTTCTCCGCTCGCTCTCATCCCTGACGACGAAGACGATGACAGCGATGTTGTCGTCACTGGCTCACGGAAACGTTTACTGTCTACAAAGAAACGAGCACCACCAGAACCTGAGTCTGAGCCCGACCTCTCTGACGAACCGCCCTCATCAAGATCTCGCAAACGCCTCCGAAGAGTCAAGGATACAGCACCCATGAGCACAATCACTGAGGAAGAGAAGCAAGAGCTGGAGGATGATCTGATGGACCTGGCTTCTAGTGGTAGTGACACGGAGGTCCGAGTTTCACAGAGAAACAAGTCTTCACAANAGAATGCTCGTCAGCTCGCGCTAGAGCGCCTCAAGGCTAGGAGAAAGGCTCCTATGAGCAGTATTGTCGAAGATGAGGATGACGAGGATGAAGAGCAGGTTGACGAAGAGGAGAATTATGCCCAGAGCTCGGACGAGGATGAGGAAGAAGAATATGACGATCTGCCAGAGCCCTCGACAAACAGGACGACACGAAAGCAAATGTTCGCCGAAGATGACGAAGATGAAGGCTTTGTTATCGACGACGATGGTCCTCTTGGGGTGTCTACGAACGTGCCCATCGCCTTCACTCGGTATGCTTCAATGAAAGCCAAGGATCTCTTCCGCTTCGCCATCGACTGGATGGTGCAGAAGAAGATCAACCCAGCGTTCCAGATGGACGACGAGATCTACGACCTAACCTTCAAAAAGCTCGACGATGAGGTCAAAGGATTGGCAGGCTCCAAGTTTCAGTCGGCGGCATGGACCTCGACATTCACACTCGCACTTCAAGCACGTCCTGACCTCCTTTCAGCTCGGTTAGACCGTCAATCATCAGCTCACTTCGGCCGCGATAAATGTGACGCCTGCAATAGATCAGGCCATCCCGCCACCTACGAAGTCAAGTTCGAAGGCAAGCCCTACGACAAGAACTCTCTAGAGCCAGTAGCACCTCGCAAAGACGCCAACGACGATTCTGACGAAGACGGCGACGACTCAAGTTCAGAAAGCAGCGTCGATTCCAGCGCACCCATCAACCACGACTCCCTCGGCCGCCACATTGCCTCCGAAGAAACAGTCTTCTACCTCGGCAAATTCTGCATGTCCAATGCCGAAACCGCACACTCGCTCCAACACTGGCGATACCATCTCTACGAATGGGTGGTCGAGTGGCTGGAGTCTGCGGGCTGGAACACTCCAAAGCTGATCGTTAAGCGCGATAAGTGGAGTATTCGTAAGCGCAGAAAGCATGCCAACAAGATTGTGGATATCATGGAGGAGCAGGGCAAGATCAAGGCGTTATATTCGGACTTCAAGAAGGAGATTGATACGGCGAGGAATGCGAAGCAGGGGCGCTGGGACAGTTCGCCGTAAAGGGAATTGAGCAAGATTTGGGCAGGGCTGGGCGAGAGTTGGTTTCTGAAGGCATGAGCCCCTTTACTTCTTGTGATAGCATAATGAGACCTACGATCAATAATTCTTACCAAGAAAATACGTCTCTTTTGCATACAAGCTTGCTTTGCCGAGTGAGAATATGGCGAATGGTTGGTAATAGATAGTGTTTTACAGCCCAACGTGAACAGGGTGATATTTGTACAGAATGTTCCCATGCAGTGATGAATCTGACCATGTTACATGGACATTTCGAAAAAGTAGATGAAACTCTTTCCGCCAACTCAGCAAGGATGTATGTTTCGTTTCCATCTCTTGCCAATGGCAACCCAGCCCATAGAAAAAGCAAATACCATAAACGCCCTCTCTCTGACCCCAGAGAATATCTCATGCACTCTCAATTTCTTCTCATCTCTTTCTCCTTCAATCTCTTGTCTCCACGCTCAATTCTGCACCGAATCACCATCAGCCCTCCACTGCACCTCTCCCACCACACTCCTCAACTCATCCAACGTTCCCCCNATCTTCACCACCGAATACCTCAACATTCTAGGATCCAGACCTAGCGTTCTGCGCACCGCGTGTTGTGTCCTTGCACTGCTGTCGAAGCGAACAACGAAATAGTGGCCTGTGTTGTGGGTGACTGTGTTTTTTCTCATGGGCTTGGGCAGGTGAAACACGCCCCAGTTTGTGATGCCGCGGACGACGCCGCCGGCGTTGAGAACGATGTTGCCGGTTGTTTTTGCGATNTCTGCGAGAGGGTCAGAGGGGGTGAGGGTGAGATGGGAGGAAGAAACCGACTCGCGGACTTCGGCTAGGTTGCCTGGGCGGACCTGTGGTGGTTTGTTAGCTCTTTGACAGGGTCTGGGGAGAAGAGAGGATATGTGCATACTACGCCAATGAGTTCGTAAAGCATGATGGATGTGTGTTGTGTGATGTATCGCTCTGCCTGTCGCAAGCCGACTGCAATGGTATGCGTCGCGTGCATGGACGTCGGGCAAGGCAAATTTCCATCTTATCTAATCTTCGCTCAATGGCCCTTTCCCGCATCTTGCATCAGCTTCCCCGAGTTGCTTGGCGAACCACTCCGTCACTGATGTGAGCAAGCTCTCGTGCTGTTGCTGTTCTTTCGCAACTTGTACATAACAACCTTGGAACAGCGCAATTACAATGGCATCAATCGCTCGCTCAGTTTTCCGTTCTTCGCTGGCCACGGCAACTAGACCCGCATTCTCCTGCCGCATCGCCAATGCCCAACTCTCGCGACCCTTCTCGGCCCAGTCAGCTGGTGAGCAACCATCATATCTCCTCTCTTTTATCCAGACTAACATTTGCCTCGCAGCCCTCGCCAAAAAATACACCCAAGACCACGAATGGATCGACCTTTCCTCTGACAACAAAACCGGCACAATCGGCATTTCCACCTACGCCGCCAACGCCCTCGGCGATGTCGTGTTCGTCGAGCTGCCAACAACAGATCTTGAAGTCAGCTCTGGCGACACAATCGGCAGTGTCGAGTCTGTAAAGAGCGCGTCAGACATTATGACCCCTGTATCAGGTGTAATTGTGGAAGCCAATGCAGTGTTGGAAGAGAAACCCAGTACCATCAACAAGAGCCCCGAGGGTGAAGGCTGGATCGCAAAGATTGAGATCAAGGACCCTAAAGAGGTGGAAGGTTTGATGAGCGAGGACGAGTACAAGAAGTTTACAGAGGAGAGCGAGGAGTAGAGGGTTTGTTCTGCAGCAATTGGGGGGGAGATATGGATGGAAGCATGGTGTTCAACCACGGTTTTTGATGATTCGACGTATAGGTCTGGTATGGCTTTTTCTTTTCGTAACATGAGTGCAGAGACATGATAGCAGTATTGAGAGCAGAGATCGACTGGTATTCCAACCGCTGAGCGACTTGAAAGAGCATTCGCAGATTCGTGATCTCATAAAACATATGCAGAGCAGTCGAGAAGCATGAGCTTAATTTAATCATTTTGTGATTTCGCGTCTTGGACATTTGTTCAGGTCGTCTCTTGCGCTATGATACATAATCAACCCAATTTTTCGTCAAGAAGAAAGTAAAAGTGCCTCCCATAGAAGGTACCTTTTCGTCAAGTCACTCTGCTCATCCTCAAGTAAACATGTTGCCCAAAGACCTCTGGGTCAACGGCACCTCGTCACCCTGTGAAACAAGTCAGTAACTTTGCATCGTGACAACCACAGCACAAGCGATCAAAAACTCACTNTCAACAAAGTCTGTCGCATGGATCAAGGCACTGAAACAATCAACCAAGTCCTCTAAAGCTTGCTTGATGCTCGGGCGAATCTGGGGACCTTCTCTGACCGCAGCCTTGAAGACGCCCTGCATGCACTGTCTATTCTCAGTCAAGAAAGCTCTGCCTTGAGCAAGGACATGCTGGTTTCTCGATCCTCTGCTGACAACGCATGAAGTCAAGATACGCAGCATGGAGATGAGCAAGCGGTAGAAGTTTTCCAGTGCTTCGACATTGTCGACGTCGAGACCAATGTCTGGGTCTGTGGCGAACAGCTGCGAGTCACGGACTGCGCTGAATAGACCAGCTTCTAGTATGGCAGCTGCGCCTTCGTTAGTGTGCGACATGCGCAGCAAGACGGATAAAGCGGTATGGATGTATGAAAGAATTGTCACAATATCTNNGTTGGGCAATTAGCTTAGGCCTTCACGAGAGTCATGACTTTACTTACCTTGTCCTTCACGTTGTTGTTGGAATTCGCCAGCAATACCACGGATACCATCCACAAGCACAGAGGTGAAGTTCAGCTTAGTCATTGCCCGTGTCAGGTATTGCGACTTGACCATCTGGAACAACTGCAAGCAGGACTCTAGCACCATCAAGGCAGAAACTCTACAGCTGCCTGCACTAGACATGACGTCCTCGCAGATGGTGTCCATCAGTCTCTCGCCACCATGTTCGATGATCTTGGCGGCCTGACGTTGCAGAGGCGACGAACCGCTGCCAGTTGCACCAGTGCTTAATCTGGGTGAACCACTGATACCTGCACCGAGACCGGGAGAGGCGGTTCCTTGAGCACCCAGGTTGTCAGTACCAGTTGCGCTTGTCCTGCACACCGATCTGATGAAGTGACGGATGGTCTGGTAACACGTCTCGCGCAACTCGGTACCACCAGAAGCACTGCCTATGCCGCGCAATGCTGTACGGAAAGTCGCTGTGAGTCTGTCGTGTACCGCACTGACCTCCACATTCTTTTCTGCTGCAGAAGAGTCTAATACCCTCATCAGAGTGTATGTGAGCTTTGCAAGCGGAACGGTAACAGGNGAGTCCTCTACAATCGTTCTGTCCAACTTCGGCAACACAATCTGCAGAGCTTGCAGTGCGAGTGCAGTCTTGGGTGCGGCTTGGAAGTCGCCTAACGCGAGCATCATCGACATGAGCTTCACCCATACGTTGAGTGCTGTCCTCTGCGCAAGCATGATCGAGGCGTAGTTGTTTTCCGATTGCAGACACAACATAGCAGCGTCAATCTCTGCGGCACACTGTTGCTGTGAAATGGGGTCGAGCAACCTGCCATTCTTGCGTAAGTCGGCTTCGCGGAGGAGCAACAGCTCCTTTGCCAATCCAAGATCATAAACAACTCCGGACTCGGGCTTGTCAGTCCTACACGAACCAAAGTCAAGACCGGTGATGAAAGCTTTTTCTGCCATCTCAAAAGGCAAGGAAATGTCTACATCAATGAAGTCGAACAATTCAAAGATCGAAGCGTTTTGGACTTGTTCACCAGACGACAGAACAGTGACACCCAACAGTGATGATAGGACTTTTTGTCGTTGTGTCGGTGTGTTGCGCTGAATTGTTGCTCGGATGTCCAGNGAAGCTTCTTCAAAGAACATGGTACGCTGAACCAAGAAATCCTTGAAGACAGCAGCAGAGCCTGAAATGAGAAAATCAGGGTCAGCACAAATTCTGTTATTCCACAGACTTTCGGCATTGATGGGTGCTTGCACTATGGCCACAGCATCTGAGTAACCGGATTCTCTGAGCTCCTCGAGGATAATTCGCTCAGTCAGCGAAAAATGAAGTAGCCTCGAGATGATCTGACAGGATGTGCGACGTATTGTAGAGAGCCACGGGGCTTGGTTGACCTCGGGTAGAGCAATAGTGTCGGCTGAGAGCTTCGCCACAGCATGGAACAGCGAAGCTCCTGTGTCGAAGAGACCATTAGATGGGACACTGATAGCTCGGTCGGTGCAACGGAAGCCTAACAGACAATGTGCTAGGGCTGGTCGGTTGGCCGCAGTTTCGAGCGAGGTATTGAGTAAATCCAAGATGCCTTGTTTGATGTTGATGCCTGGCCCTTCTGCTCCCATCTCGAGCTCTCTGGGATCGAGCTGAAGAGGAGAGATGAAAGACGCGGCGATACGGTCGACATCAAAGTCTTGTTGCAAAGCCGCAAGCACACGGCTGCCTCCATAAGATGTGCCAGTCGCAATTGAGAGCTTGCGAGCCGTTGCCAACTTTTGAAGTAGTTGTAGAGAAAGCATTGTCAACTCTTGATGGCCAGTTCCGCAGTACAAACCAAGGTCAACTATGATGTTGACATGGTTCAGGATGACATCCTCAAATGAGGCAAGTGCAGGATTGGCAATGGTCTTCTCACGCCCAACGTATTGTGTCTTGACAATAGGTCGAACAACGTCAAAGTAGATTGATTGGAGCTTCAAAACCTGGTTAATGACCTCAATGCTGCGACACAATGCAACGACCATAGGAGAATCTGGCGAAGCAGCACTGATTGTATCGACGTCCTCATGAGCGGCGGCAAAGAGCGCACTTGAGACTTTGTCATTGAACAGCCATTCCATGACACGGGCAAACGGGTGGAAGCGAACATAAGCCGCTAGAGAGGAGGTGGAAATGATCGAGTCAACGGGGATGTTGGTGCTGTTAGCAAAGATGACAAGGTCCTCGTTGAAGCTCGAAAGACATGTCGAAATAAAGGCAAGGCAAGTGCATCTCAACTCCCAAATCTGGTTCACGTCGGGCAGATCGACCATTCGTTCCTGGAAGACATTACCCAAGATGAAGTCGACATAAGGGTCCATTCCAGGCATGCGGTATTGTGCACCCAACTGTTCAGGGAAGGGCAGCATGTCACGCAGGCTGCTCTCCTCTGGACTGGGCACGACCATGCTTTGGACAAGCCTGGTGAATGCGTTGGGTAACTCGAAGCCTTCCAGTAAAGATTGGAAGCGACCTTCCTTTGCCACGGTAGGGTTTTGAGGTGTCTTTGTGCCCAGGTAATTCCGTAGGCTCGGCGAATCATACATCCAAGAATCAATGTAATCCCAGAGCGCGTATCCAGCATCGATACTCTTGTCTGTCAAGCTGGCCGCTATGGCCATGAATGTACAGGCCTTGAGACGGTTAGAGACACCAGAAACGGCAAGATTCAGTACGATTTCGTGCAGATTGAATGTGGGGTGGGACAAGACAAAGGTTCTGGCGCTTACGCTCGAGCGACACATGTGTGTAACAAGACGCAGATAACACTCGAGCATAAGTTCACTCTCCGGTTCGATGAGTGGTCCGGCCAATGCACCCTCGCCTTGCAGAGATGTGGACGTAAGCTTGTCGCTGATACCAGGAGCATAGAAACTCAACTCGTTGAAGATTTGTGCCCAACTAAGAGGTGCTCCGCGACGAAGTTTCGCTACCGCAGTAGTTGCATCGTCCATGAGGAACTTATGTGCAGCTTCTGCGCATTCGGTATCTTCTGAGATAGAGAGAAACATCTCGCAAAAAGCAGCGGCTCGGGGAGTAGATTGTCGCTTCGAGGCCCATGACAGGAAGCCATAAAGGTTGCTATCGGGATCTTGCCAGAATGATTGGGCAGCTTCGGGNAAGCCCTTGAAGGCATATGAGATGATGACTAGGAATCTTTCGAGGTGCAGACCATGTTCCGGAGTGCCGTGGGGCTGGCGAATGCTGATATTACGGCGCTGTTCGTCCTCCTCAAACTTCAATCTGCGGATAGTGTCGGGCATGTTTGTAATGAAAGCGTCGACGAACAGCTGCAAATTTTGAGCGAGGATCTCCTGGAAGTAGTCGGATGCCTTGATGGGGCCATTTCTGAAACGCTCCGCTCCAGTCAAGAGATAGGATACCAGCCCAACCTTCGCTGGATCGTGCCACAAGTCTGTGCGCACTTGGGCGCAGATGAATAGGATAAACTCGAAAGCACCGTTGCGGACAGCATCCAAGTAACGCTGAGAGCGCGACTCAGTCTCTGCTTCCAGGTCCACGCCTCTCAAGGGCGAGCCGATAGGGTTGTCGATGTAGCGACCGCTGTATTCGGCCAACCAGAAAACGGTTGCGGCAGCGCGGAAATCAGGTAACTTCCACTTTGAGTTGTCGGATTTGTCTGCGAAATACTGGTCCAAACCGCGAGCATCCCTCAAACCGGCAGCACTATCGATAGGTCCAAGTACTGAGGCACAGCTGACCAGAGCAGGCAAGTAGTGCAAGGTGATATCGTCGGGGCTGGCGAGTTGCGCTGTCTTGTTCAAGAGATAGCGATAATCGTCAACTGTTGCGATGCCGACCTTGATCAAATGTGAAATGATAGCACCCAAAGACTCGTGTTGTTTTGTCAGGCTCTGTTTCTCAAACTGCAGCGTCTCCAGAGCGTAGCCATTGGCGGTCTGGCCAATCATGGCAATTTGGTTCAACCGGTCCTGGAGCTTTTGTAGCCATTGTTCAATGATAGCCATAGCATCGACACACTTGCGCCAGAAAGTTGCGTCGGAATTGTCGGTGATCAGGCCGGCACATAGAGCGAACTTGTCGCGATCATCGGTATTCTCGCAATCAACGGCCTGTTGAATTGTCAAGCGCAGACACTCGAGCAATGTTTCCCGGTGACCATGAAAGCGGAATATAGCAGCCATGGATGTAGGTCTTCCGAGCTCCTGTGCAGTGTTCTCTGATTGCAGGTTCAATCTTGCGGCGTCCAGCTCGTCCAGATCTAACTCGTCTGCGACTTGGATAACCTCCTGTCTCCAGTCTTCGTTGATTTTGTATTGGACCTCATCGACGGTTATCGTGTCTGGTTATCTGTGTCAGCGCGCAGTCCTCTTCTCCCCGCTATGGACAAGCGTACCGGCCTTGAGAGCCTGCCGACTCTTGTCGCTCTTGCTCTGACGATCCAGTAACTTTCGAAAGTCGGCAATGCTGTCCTCCAGCTCTGTCCAGAGGCGATCGACATTAAGTAGGCGAGATTCGGAAAAAGCGACAAGGTCGGCCTGGAGACCTTGCAGTCTGCTCAAGCTGTCGTTCTGGTCCATGGTTGGAGGGATGGTTGCTCGTCAACCGACGAGGGCTAGGATCTAGGATTCCAGTTCCGGAAGTTTGCGCAAAGATTATGCGCGTGCTGGATGTGGTGGTATTGGATGTGGTGATGATTGTGAATAATGTTTTGTCTTGGAAGCGCAAGCCGCAACACGCGCAAGAAGCTCCACCTCGGCTTCTCCCGTCTGCAAACCGCGCCTTCCATCAATCGCGTCCATCCTTTCGGCAACCCACTGCGAGTTTTGATTTGGCTGACTCTGTTATCGTCATTCATGCACAGACTCACGAAGGACGTGAAGAGAGTGCTCTGACAAAGTCGCATGGTTTGTATAGGTGCTTCTGAACTCATTGACCGGGCTTAAGCAACATATGTCCGAGCAATCGTGACTGCCCAAAAAGTTACCAGTCGCAACTGTGCCGTAACCAGCCTTTGATGTCTTGTTGTGTCGTGATTGCTTCTCGAACTCTGCTAAGCACATTCGCCGACTTCAATCTCATGCCATCAACGTAGAACTCTCGCCCAGCATGGCATCTGATATGAATCTGGCAGAGGCTCNNTTGGTAGGTGCACTTTTACATTCTACGCAATCGCTTTCCTAATATTGAACAGCGAGTATTTCTTCACGAGGCATCAAAGAAAGGACCGATGCTATGGTCAATCTTCGCCAAATATTGAGACACAATCAAGGCACTTCCAGGATCGATAACCTCAAAGACTCCGCACTGCTCAAGATCTACGATACCATTGTCCAAGCCATCGATGTCGAAGTCACCCAGCTGCGAGCGTTGAGAGGAGGCGCGAAAAGCAAGACAACCTTGTCTGCTACCGAGCAACGACTTGCCAGTTGCTCAACCACATTCCGTGTAGCAGTCGAAGTTGGCATTCGCAATGGCCGCTCTAAATCTGTCAAGTTTCTTGTTGATTACCTTATCACCAACTTTGACGACGATCAAGGCAACCCCGAAATTATACTGGCAACCGATTATGCTAAAAACCTCTCTGTCGTGCTCAGCCATGAGCCTCACGTCGAGCATTTGCCTCCAGACTTGTGGAAAGCAACCTTGATTTTCTGTCTCGACAAGATGGGATTCGCGCCCAAGTCCGATCTTGGATTAGGCTCTAGCATCTTGACTCCGAGATCATCACGTCCTTCACAAGCAAGTCTCGACAGAGGCATGCTTCCCAGGCATGCTCTGGACGACCTGGTCAATGTCATTCGTTCGCTAACCAGCGTTCCGTTTGCACCCATTCTCAAGAAAGGCCCCCAGATCCTCAATGCAATGGCACGGTTCTTGCACAACTCACCACACATGGCGAAGCCTCAAATTGATGCCCTGGTGGTGATCAACACCGTTCTACTCCAGATACGTACCGAAGACATCAAACTTACAAAAGAATTCACTCGAGATGCTCTCGCGATGAGTAAAGCATTGTGGAACTCGAAGCTTTCGGCCCTCAAAGACGAGATTTTATCCATGCTGGTCTTGTTGCATCCCTTTGTGGAAGTCCTCTCGCAGTCTGGTGAAGATGAGTTGCTTCTCACCGAGATATCCAATCTTGTCGAAACTATCAGGGGTGAGTATACTAGACGACCAATCAAGGACCAACTCCAACTCAGTCAACTTAGTCTCGAACTCAACTTGAAGCAAACCCCCAATGGCTTGCGGGGCCGTATCTTTGGCCTGCAAGACGGTCATGTAGTCAGTGAGAACGCTTTGAGTGCTGAGCACAACTGGACTTTGTTGAAGTTGCTGGCACATTTCTCGGTTTGGGGTCATCCTGCTGACCAGCGAAGGCTCGGACGATTTGTGTCCCCAGATGCTGGTCCTCAAAAGCGTCAGCGCGTTGCACATTGGTCAGACGAGCTATTTCGCATGCTTTCTGACTTTAGCATTCCCAGCAAGTTATGTTCGCTGCAGATTTTATGTTTTACTGTCCAGTCTGCTCCTATCGAGGAAGGTGTTCTGGCCAGGTTGATTGAGAAATTGGCCATGTGCATCATTGATGACAACAGTTCTGTCGCTTCGTGGGCCTATCTGGCGCTCGCAAGGTACTTCTTCCGCCTTCTCAAGCTCGACCACCAGGCTAACAAACCCATANGTTGTGCTAGTCAAACTACAGCTCGAGTATCTAATCTAATTGACGTCTGGCGATCTGTTTGGCATTACACCTTGAGGGGTGTCAACCCCGTCCAAACATGTAGGCCGGCATGCCATCTCCTTCACACCATGATCCAGACAGAATTGGTTGATCGAGCAACGATTCTGGACGATGTCAGTTCTATGCTTTCGAGTATCTCGATCAGTGGGCCATCCGTATTTGCTGATTCAGTCGCTGGGCTGTTCCAAACTATCATGGTTCGACTTCAGCGCGAAGGCACGTCGTCAATTGGCGAGAGAGTGGAACAAGTCTTGACTTGGATCTTTCGAACATGGACTCCAAGCAATTTCCTCGATAAGATATTCGCTTCTCAGAACACGACTACTCAAGTTGTCGACGTCATGAACCTCATAAACGTTTGTCTAGGACTGCCCACAGAGCAAGAGCCACATCAAAGCCTGCCGATATGGGGTTCCGTAGCACAGACATGGATTTTACATGGTCAAACCCAAGATCTTCTTGACTATTTGCTACTCAGAAAGAAGGAGATGTCGATCAAACCTCTGGATCGAACTGAGCAGGCTCCGGAGAGGAACCTTTCCATGAACAATGTCGCTGTCACATTGTTGCTCGGTCTTTGCACAACTGAAACAAATAGTGCAGTGGACAAATGGCAAAACATGAAGGAGCAGAGTGCTGGGCATCTGGACCAGTACATGATCCGTATGGTTGGCAACTTGGTCACAGTGGGACTATGCCTTGCCAACTGTTTAAAAGCGAAAGACACTCATCGAACAGAACAGCTTCGTGTTGCCAATGAGAAACTCATGGTGCTCTTTTTCGGCGATCTATCAAGCCCTGTTTGTGAACAAGATAAGGTGGATGCCCTCATTGATCTTGTTGCCCACAGGCTTCTGGCTTGTCACTCGGACACATCGACCCAAGAAGGCCATGATCATCATGCTTGCATGGTGAAGCTCTCGAGTCCCTTGCTGGAACTTCTCGAGAAGAGGCGCTATATGACACAATCGGAGTCTTCGGTCAAGAAGACCGATACTGGTGACATGATGGATTTTGACGCCGACTTCGAGTCCCAAGTGACTTCATACACTGCGCCAGTAAATGAGATCCGATCTCCACGAAAGGTTATCCCCACAAATTACAGCATCGTATCACAGAGAGCAAGTGTGACAATCTATGCGATGCTGATGCAATCGCTCGACTCGTCCGTGGGACATCACGACACCATTGACGGTCCTATGAAGGAGCTCATACCTCATATCCTTGAGCTTCCGGCGCCAGAAATTCTTGCCAGTGGGCCCTTTCTTACGGCTCTGCCTCGCTACGGTGTACAACTCACCTCCAAGCAGTTCGAACCACTTCTTGAATTCTTCGCCGACAATACACTTCAGTCTTACGAGTACGAACGTGCTGAGACGAATGTCGACCTTTTGTTGGGTGTCATGGAGAGCTTTGTGTATACCTGGGCAGACACTTCGGACCAGGATCTCTACACATTTGGCCTCGATATCTATAAATGGTTCACTGTGACGGCTTGGAAAGCCAATCTTCTCTCGCCAAGCGTGCAGAAGCGACTTGTTCATCTCATGCTACAAATCCTGCAGATCGACGCAGATTATGGACAAGCAGACAAACTACCGAGCATTCGTTCTATGCTCTTTCGTCTGATGCAGGAAGGCACCCTGGAGGTCAAGCATTCCATTGCTGAAGACCTGTCGTCACTCTTCAGCCTCTTCTCTTTGCCTGTTCATACAGAAGTTTTCGAAGAGCTTAGAATAAGTCTACCTGCTGACACAGATTGGATCGAAGGGCTTGCCGTTCGAGTTTTGGTGTTGGCGAATCTGGCCGCCAATTGGCATTCTCTTCGGCGACAGTGCATCTACCATATATTTGAGACTGCGGGCATGATCGCAGACGTTGAGAAATACGCTGCCACATGTATTGCCACAATCTCAGGCACACTGGACCTCAACTCGCCTAAAGAACTGTTCCAGCTTTTCTCCNCCCAGCTGCTGTTCACCTGGTTGGAATCTCAAGCCGTAGCAAAGATTCCATTCAAAGTCTTCGGTTATGAAGCCATGTCTGAGCTACTTGAACACAACATTGACGAGATATATGCACAGCTGGTCATTCGCGAAAAAGAGGACGAGATTGGTTGGTTGGCAAGCACCCTGAAATTGCCCGAAGGACAGATCCTACGTTCTACTCTCAGTAAGACGCTTGCGTACGCCATTTCCTGGGATGTGTCGGGCAAGCAGGTATCGTCACAAGATTCATCTCAAGTGGCGACTACATGTGAATCCCGTATCAGGACCTTCTTCAAAACAAGCGGCGAATACTCTATCGCGGTTCAGAACAATCTTCCAGACATCGTGGCTCAGATATTTACCTCGATGTACCATGAAGAGGTAGTTGATAAGTTTGTTGAGAAGAAACCTCAGTACGCTTACGCTCAAGATGCTCTCTCCGCAATGAAACGATACGGATTCCTCGACACAGATCTCTCGCAAGCGCAACAGCCAAGTTTCAAAGGCAGATACCTCATCGATCAACTAGAGCGAGTCTGTCGTAGAGCAGGAAATAAAACACTCACGACTATCAAGGACGCCTTAGATGTCCCGCATATCACCGCCACTCTGCGGTCCATCATCGATTGTATGCACCCTGCATATGGTCCACTCCACGCTTGCCGCACTGTCAGAAAATTGCGTATATTCATTGCGCTGGCTGGGGATGAAGTCTTCAGTGGCTACCCTTTGCAGACCTTGATTCGCACCCTGCAGCCAGTCATTGTTGACCCACATTGCTCTGATGACGGTATGGGTGTTTTGCACTATCTGCTTGAGCGTGGAAAACAATTCCTCAAGCAAGAGTTGTCGATGATCACCGGTACGATTCTCTTGATTCTCTTGTCCTTGAAGCAATTCATGACGTCTCGACAAGACAAGACCACCCAGGAGAGTCAATTCCGCAATACAGTATCGAAGATGCAATCCTTCCACGATTGGCTTGTCGATTATCTTCTGGATTTCCGCTCCACCTTGAAAACGCCACGCCAAGAAGCTTTCTGTTCGCTTGTTCAGTCGTGTCGCGATCTTAAACTACCAGCATCTTCAGGAGTGAACCAAGCTGCGAGTACAATGCTANAGGGGCTCCTAGACGATGAAGACTCGATCTCGCCTATCCTGGGATCTATCGAAAGAAGACAAGTCATCTCAACTCTGTGCCGCTATTTCCATGTAAACGACAAAACAGCTCATGACATGTTTGGTTCTGATGAGCTTTCACTTTCTTACGCTCGGCGAGTATGGGATTCGACTCAGACCCTCACGGAGGCTGATGATTATGGAGCCTGGGCTGCAAAGGTTCTAGGCCGTGCTTATGCATCGACAGTCTCTCTAGAACAGATCAGACCTACTCGGAATCTGATCCCCCACCTGACCAGCGGTACTGGAGAGAAGACTCAGTCCATGCATGCCATTGTGACCAAGCTTAACAACCTTCTATGCAGTCAAAATCGATCACACGTTGGTGTTGCTGAGCAGTGTCTTAGGAGCATTGCACATCGTTTTCTGACTCTTGGGGACCACAACGGAGCCATCGAGTTTGAGAAGGTTCTGCCAAACCACGTTATCGACTCGATAGCCAGAGTATACCAGAAGGACGTTATAGGCACAAAAGACCGTCAAAAGTTCCGTAGGGAGGATCTTTGGCGCGCCGCAAAGCTCGACATTGATAAGCCTTTCGAACTCTGGGTGCAAAATCTGGCAGTCTCTATTTGCAGATGGGCCAAAGACGATCCACTTGTTGGCCAGTTGGAGAAGCTCTTTCTTTCTGATGACAAACTCTCACCAGAACTTTTCCCTTTCGTCGTTCATCTTGCTCTGAGCTCCGAGATCGAGAAGGAACAAGTGGTACGTACTTACCTATCAGAGTCTTTCATTGCGCACTTCGGCAACCACAAAGCAGACACTAACAGGAAATCTCGACTGTTACTCGAGTCGCTTCTATATCTACTCACTCAGAAGATACTCAATGAGAAGACGAGAATGGATCGTCTTGAATGGCTAGAGCTAGACTACCTTCTCGCTGCAGCAGCTGCTGACAAGTGCAATATGCCTACAGCTTCTCTATACCTTGGAGAAGTAGGAGCAACCCCTCAAAATGTTTCTCAGTCATCACGCAAATCATCAACAACCCTCTCTAACCCAAACTCACCTTCAAATGAGCTGCTTTTGTCAATTTATAGCCGTGTGGATGACCCCGACTCTTTCTACGGCGTCAAACAATCACCATCTCTGGACTCTGTGCTTGCACGTGTTCATCACGAAGGCGATGGAATCAAAGGTCTGATGCTGCACTCTGCTCGCATGGACGCATCCATGCGACAATCTGGATTGGCCAATGAGTCAGACAGATTTGGTCTAATAGGCTCTGTTGGCGCCATGAACCTAAGCAGCCTGACCCACGACCTGCTCAATCGTAAAGGCGGGAAGTCTACGGCAGCCACAACAGACGTCATGCTCAATGCTGCCCGCAAATTGGAGCAATGGGATGTCTCTCCTCCTCAAACGAACGGTTCGGCTTCAAGCACAGTGTATGGTATGTTCAAAGGGCTCGCTACTGCTACCAATCTGGAGTCTGTTCAATTGGACCTAAACAGAGCTCTGAGATCGTCGATACAGCATCTGCAAGATGCGCGCCTTGACGCATCCGCAGTCCGCGCCACATTGTCGAATATCGCTGTACTCGGCGAAATCGACGAGTTGACTAACGTGAGATGTTCGTCGGACCTCTCCGACCTCTGGCATCGAATGCAAGAACGACAGAGTGGATGGGACATCGGTCGGTAAGTATTTCAATCTCTGTTGTGCCCTTCCCTTGTGATATGCTAACGTATCCAGTNNTTCAACGATGCTCAGGGAATTATTTCTTGCCGAGAGACTCTTTTCAGTCTTCTGAGTCAAAACAAGCACCTCAGAGAGGCTCTTCATATCAACATTCGCGATTGTCGCGCTATAGAGGCTCGATCAGTTATCAGTTCTTCTCAGTTCGCCAGGAAGAACGACTTGATTCAACAATCCTTAACTGCGGCAACCTATCTCTCTCAGCTGGTTCCTATATGTCAAGAGATCGACGTGAAAATGGATGCAGCCGCCCACTTTGAGGTTGCAACTACACTTTGGAGACAAGGCGAGATCTCGACATCGGTGCAGATGCTGCAGGAACTTTGTTCACGAACAGATTTATTGAAGCAGTCAATCCAGGTCGGCCGTGCAGGGATGTTAGCCCAATTGGTGAGTACAGTGTAACGTGATCACAGTGAAGCATTACTAATGTACAATAGGNGTCACGAGGTTGCAGACGCGCGTCTTGAGAAGCCTGGAGAAGTCATTGCAAACTACCTCAGGCCGGCAATTGAGCAGCTTGACCAAGCGACGTCAGGGTCCGAGGCTGGGAAGGTCCACCACGAATTTGCCTTGTTCTGCGATCAGCAACTTCAAGATCCTGGCAATTTGGAAGATTTTCAGAGACTGGCAAAGCTTCGAGAACGCAAATTGGGTGAACATCGACAGTTTGACAGACTCATTAAGGATGCTTCGACCAAGGAGAAGAAGCGAGAGTTGCTGAGGGCGCAAAAAACCGTACATTCATGGTATCTTCTAGACGACGAAGAGTTCCAGAAGATGAGACGCAGCCGCGACGAGTTTGTGCGTCAAAGTTTACAAAACTATCTACGAGCTCTGATCGTGTCTGACGAGTTCAACCCCTCGGTTGTTCGCTTCTTTGCTCTCTGGCTCGAACATTCGGATTCGGAATCTGCAAATGCGGTCGTGCAAAAGACCTTGCCAAACGTCCCTAGCTGGAAATTCGTTGGTCTGATGAACCAGCAGACATCGCGCTTGCAGAAGGACTCGAGCATATTCCAGCAATCCCTTGCCGACCTAATCACTCGCATTTGCACCGACCATCCTCATCACGGCGTTCATTACCTGTATACGGCCTTCTATTCATCTGTTGCGGAGACCGATCAGGCTGCAAAGTCCCGACGTGACGCTGCCCACGACATAGCGACGAGCTTAGGTAAGAACAAGAGCATGACTGAAACTATGCGCAGGAGCTTCCAAGTAGGGAATGCTTACCACCAGCTCGCGGAGGTCAAATTGAACCCCAAGGAGTTCAAAGGCAAGATTACGGTCGGTATGGTGCCTGCAGCGAAGGAGATGGTCAACATCGTGATACCCAGGAAAGTGCCACCTGCGACTTTGTCTGTCAAGCTCCGCCCCAACCGCGATTACTCTTCCGTTCCAGTAGTCGCCAAATATAGGGATGATATTCGCATTGCCGGCGGCCTGAGCGCACCTAAGATCCTAGTCGCGATTGGAACTGATGGCAAAGAGTACAGACAGCTGTTCAAAGGTGGCAATGACGACCTCAGACAAGACGCCATCATGGAGCAAGTCTTTGGAGAAGTCAGCAAGATGCTGCAGACGCACAAGACCTCCCGCCAACGCAACCTTCACGTCCGTACTTACAAGGTGCTTCCACTCACATCGACTTCTGGTATCATCGAATTTGTGCCGCACTCGATGCCTCTGGGCGAGTTCCTGGTTCCGGCACACGTGAGCTACCATCCCTCGGACCTGTCACAGGGCAAAGCACGCGAAAAGATTGGTGGTGCACAGAGTCTGCCCAAAGACACGCGCCTCAAAGTATACCGCGAGGTAGCAGCCAGACACCAGCCAGTGCTGCGCCACTTCTTCTTCGAGCGCTTCCAAGATCCAGACGACTGGTTCCAGAAACGACTCAACTACACACGCAGCACTGCCACCATATCTATTCTGGGCTGGATCCTCGGCCTCGGCGATCGCCACTGCCACAACATCCTCCTCGATGAGAAGAGTGGTGAAGCCATCCATATCGACTTGGGTGTAGCCTTTGAAGCCGGCCGCGTGCTGCCCATCCCCGAAGTCGTGCCCTTCCGCCTGACCCGCGACATCGTGGACGGCATGGGCGTGACAAAAACCGAAGGCGTCTTCCGCCGCTGCTGCGAATTCAGCATGGACGCCCTGCGCGCCGAAAAAGACGCCATCATGACTTTGCTGAATGTGCTGCGCTACGATCCCCTGTACTCGTGGACAGTATCACCGCTCAAGGCTCGCAGAATGCAGGATCCGAGCCGCGATGGCGATGATGGCGGTAATGGGTTGGGGTCTGCGAGCAAGCGGCCTGAAGACGAAGCTGGAGAGGCAGCACGCGCATTGGCGATTGTGGAGAAGAAGTTGAGTAAGACGTTGAGTACTGCTGCTACGGTGAACGAGTTGATTCAGCAGGCGAGTGATGAGAGAAACTTGGCTGTGCTGTTTGCTGGGTGGGCTGCTTATTGCTGAGAAAGAGGTGGTGTGGATATGCGAGAGCACTAGAGTACAGTTGCTTCTTCCGTTCTTCGCTACATTTACATGTTAATCAGAGCTTCATGGCTTTAGTATAGCAGCCGAGGATGGCTGATAGAAAAGAGACCTGAGTTCCTTCTTCTTGTTGCTGCTTTATGAATATGATAGGATGGGATGCGACTATTGGCGTGTCGTAATGGAGGTGTCTTTGTTGATTAACCTGTATCTATATCATTGTTCCTCTCCATCTACCCATCATATCATGAGCAAAAATTCATCCCTTCTGCTGCACAGTCAAAGCAGGACCAAACAGATCTTCACCCTCCCTAAAACTCTTTTCTCTTGCCAACTTTTTCCTCTCTGCTTTTTCTCCATCTACTTCGCCTAACCCCAAGCCTCCTCTCTTGGCTTCCTCATGTCTACCTACTAGATCCCTTGTCCCTGGATCTCTCACTTGCTCTAGAGTAGCTTCCAGCTGCGCTCTTTCGTCTTTACTCATGACGGCTTTGTTGTCGAAGCTTGACAGCATGTCTGCGCATTGTGCGATGGTGGATACAATGATATCGTGAGCAGCTGCCGTAGCGGGGATCTTGGTGCTGAGGTAGAAGGTAAAGAGGATGGGGTCTGAAAGCTTCAAAGCTGCGAGATAGATCTGGGGTGGTGTGAAGAGGAAATAGACGTCTGTGAGGAGAGCAGGAGCGTCGAGTATATGGCGGGCGACTGCATAGGCACAGTGTGCTCTATCTGATGCTTCTTTAGCGCCTATATGTTGCGGAGGCTGCCATTGTGTCCTTGAGCCTTGGGGTGGTGGTGGTAGAGCACACATTTGTTGTTGTAAGTGCTCTGGTGTTGTAGAGAGAAAGGGCAAGGGCGCACCGTTACCAGCAGCCAGGTTTAAGAGATCCATCAGACAGCCCTTGAGGGCGCGGAAAGGTTGCCGTACGTCGAGGGTAAAGCGCAAGGCTTGAATGATCTTGTACTCTGGAGCTAACACATCTTTCGGATCCGTCTTTATGCGTCTGGCGTATTCGGAAAGAGACATGTGTACGCCCTCAGTCTTGCTCGCCAAAAACAAAACACTCTTGTAAATTTCCTTGGGCGGGTAGGTGATGACGGAGTTTGTGGTGTAGAAGCGCTTCAGATATTGCACGGCGGTGGCTTTGACATTGACGGACCACTGGAAGAAATCGGACGTGTTGCGTACTTGGTCGCAGTAGCGCTGTACTAGACGGAGCTCATCCTGTGCTGAAGGCAGAGAAGCCATGTCGGATTCGGGGAGATATGTTCGAGCTTGTTGGACGGCAGCTTGGTGGGTGTTTTGACGGAGGGAGAGGAGAGCGGATTCGCTGAAGGACCAGAGGCGGAATTGGGTGGATGTGCGGTACATGTCGTCCTCGGTGAGGCTCTGGACTGGCGGTGCTGCCATTGTGGATGTCGAGGTGTTGTGAGCAGCCTTGGAAGGGCGGTTGGTTCGAACGAGGCAGTAGTGAGAGCGTCGCAGATGATGGAGAAACGGATTAGATGGCGGCAAGAGTTGATGTTGAGATGATGCAGGTGTCGGCGCAAAAGTGGACAAATGTTTGACGACTGACATTCACTCGGGTCGTCATTGACGCGGGGATAGCGAAGGCCGCGACGACGGCGAGTCCGAACAACGTGGCTCCTTCCTCTTATGACTGTGCAAATACATATGACTACTCTCCTATTCTTTCTCTCATATAGATAGACAACAGATAACCGCCATCGTCCCTTCCCAACATGGCAGCCAAAGGCACAACCATCAAGCGCATCCGTAATGACCCCATTCACTCGTTCCCTGCCACCCACCACTAACATCCAACACAGNTCAAAGAGGCCGCCGAAATCACCACAAACCCCACTCCAGACTTTTACGCCGCTCCCCTGGAAGAAAACCTCTTTGAGTGGCACTTTACACTCGCCGGCCCACCCGATCCGTCTCCCTTCGCCGGCGGCGTCTACCACGGCCGCATAATACTCCCTCCAGCATATCCTCTGCGACCACCTTCATTCCGCTTCTTGACTCCCTCGGGCCGCTTCGAACCGAATCGCGAGATTTGTCTTAGTATCTCTGGACACCATGAAGAGACCTGGCAGCCCGCGTGGGGTATACGAACCGCTCTTGTCGCCATAAGGAGTTTTATGGATACCGATGCTGGAGGCCAGGTTGGCGGCATGAGCGCTCCTGATAATGTAAGGAAGCAGTTTGCAGAGAAGAGCAGAGAGTACTCCTGTGCTGGTTGCGGCAAAAGCTCCCTGGCTATTCTGGAAGAACAAGAGCAGAGGTGTAAAGAATTGGGCATCGAAGCAACAAACGACGAAGAGAACCCCCTGGTTGGCAAGATTGGCTTGATTGAACCCAAGAAGGAAGGAACCACTGCCGAGTCTTCTGCTCCCGCGCCTGCATCTTCTCAGTCTGTCGAAGCGTCTTCTCCACCATCACCGCCGACGGTCGCTACTGCCCAGGAAGTCAAACCTACGCCTACGGTTGAGCAATCACAATCTCAACCTCAACCTGCTTCTCAAACACAACCTCCTACACGACTCCAACAACAACAACCGCTAGCACAACCAGCAGCAACCACAACAACAGACGCTTGGGTTGACAGAGCCATCATCGGCATAGTCATCGCTCTCGTCCTCATGATCTTACGTCGCGTCGCTTGATTAGATACCCCTTTTTCTGTTCCTTTTCGTTCCTTTCTTTTCCTTTAGTTGTATGCTTGGCGTCATTGGGTCTGGCGTTTTGTGGGATAGAAACACTCTGGTATGGAGCTGGATTAGGTTGATAGATTCTGACATCAAATACTGGGGACTTTACCTCCTCTTTTCACTTCTGCCATTGTTTACACATTTGCGACTTCTACGAAACCCCTTTTTGTTGGAGCTGAAATGTTGTTCTTGAGGGGTGGGTCTTTGACAAACGGTATCCTGATCGACTTTCGAAATAACTTGTTCTCGATCCAGGGATATCGATATCATGCAACAACGACATACCTTATGGCTACGAGAAAGATAAGAGCAAACACTCAAGACCCAAGATATCTGCCAAAGTAATCAGACAGAGATAAATATATGTCGTTATCGCGCAATCTCGTCGGACGAATCGAAAAGTATTGTTTTGGGGGTGACCCTGCTCATGTATAGAGACAGGGTCACTCTCGACGAACATGGTTATGCAAGAGCACAATCATACAAGCATAAACCTGTACAAGTCGCCAAAGAGCATGATAGTGAGAGAAGAAAGATGTAGACACAGATAAACCGACACCACTGATACCCTGCTATAGAACGCCGAGCATCTGCCTGCCATCCACAATATATGCACAAGAAAGCAAAAGGAGAAGTGTATACAGAAAAAGATCGCCAACACATTTTACACAACCTTACCCACCGCACTAGGGATCTTCCTCACCAATCCTGGATACCAGTCCGAATTCGCCTCCGCCTCTTCTCTGTTGATTCCTGCCTTTCTCGCCGCCATTTCCCGCTTCTTGTCCTTCATCTCAGACACACCTCTTGGTTCAGTAGGCATACGTCCTACATCCCTCCAATCCGCAAAAGTAGTAGGCCCGCCAGGCGAAAGACTGTAGCGCGAAAACGGCACATCGTCTTCAAGCAAAGAAGGATTCTGCATGTTAGGATCGTTCCTGGGTTTGGATTTGGTCGCTTTCTTTGCGTGGGATTTCGATTCTGTGAAATGGGGAAAGGCGTCGGGGAAATCAGGAGCTAGGTCGTAGAAAGGTGAGCTAGCGGCAGCAGCAGCGGGACCGCGGAATTCTTTGATGATTTGGCGGAGTTCGGTGTCGGTGGTGACGGTTTGGGCGCGCAGGTAGGCGGGCGCTTCGGCTTTNTGAAGGGTGGTCATTACGGGTTCGCGATCGGCGTAGGAGAAGCGCTGGGGTTGGGGTGGGTCCTCGGGGATGATGGAGGGGTCGAGGTAGGCTTGCTCGCCTTTGGCGAGTAGTTGTAGGATATCCAAGCTTTCGCCGACGGGGATAGGGGTAGTGTGGGATGGGGTGATGCAATCCATGTCTACTTCCTTGCGCAATACTGTATCCACATCTACGGCGGAAAAGTAGGCGCAGGATTGTGGTAGGTCGTGGATGCCCATCTGTTGGGAGAACATTGCGCGGGTCCAGACGTTGCTGACTTGGAGGGCCATGACGGCGCGGTACTTGTCTTCTTCCTTGACCAAGTACCTGATTTCGTCGTGCACGGTGATGGATAGTCGCGCATTGATATTGTAGCGGCGGCACAGATATTCCATGGACACAATGAGCAAATGCAGGTAATCGACTCCTGAAGACTGGATAGCCCAGTTGATTCTCGAAGTCATGAAGCCACCTTTGCTGACGAAACGGCGCATCAATGCTTCGGTGATTCCAGCACCCAGCACAGGCGTCCTTGGACGTTCTTGCTCGGCGAAGTCTTCGAGTTTGTTGAAAACAAAGGACTCGGTACCTCCACGCCAGAAAGGTCGCTCGCGGAGAACTTTGCGAGTGGTCTTTTGGCCCTTGGTACTGTCATATAGTTTCGAGGCTGTGTCTATCGCATCTTGGTTGCTGAGAGTCGGGTTAAACTGATGGAGGAGAGTAGAGGCAAATCGCACACCGGCACCGTAAATACGGCCATAATTGAAGACTTTAGCATCGTTACGAGAGATACCAAGAATCGAAGCGGTACGTGAGTGCATGTCTGTGCCTTGCGCCTTACTGCCTTCGAGGTTCATGAAGCCGATCGCGTTGCCACCGTGGATCTGGAAAGACGCATCACCTACCAGTCCAGCAATCCAAAGTTCTTGCGAGTCCACATCTGCGCCGACGAAACAGTAGCCTGGTGGTGCCTTGACCATGGCCTTTAGTTCGGAGCCTACACGATTCTTCTTCGCATTGCTGGCAGTGAGCCATGTGTTCTCGACGGCTCGCCGTGTGATGGTACCCATGGGGATGATTTGCGGCAAAATGAATCCAAGCTGATCATCCTTGTTTTCTTCACCACGGTATACGACCATCTGCGACATGATCCGGTCTCTAGCACTGATCCAGTACGAGCAGGAGGCGTTCATCTGCAGTGCTTTNTTAGCATACGCAAACTCTGATGAAAGAGTACCGTTTTCGAAGAATTGTAGGTATCCTTTTGCAAGAGGATTTGCACATCTAGCTTGAGGCCCGTCCTTGTGCGGCATGCGGAAATAGACATGCCCGTTGTCGTCTCGTAACTTCAAGTCCTCCTCTTCAGACATGTCGCAAGGCTCAAGTTTCCGGTTGGTGTACTTGCCTGCTTCCCTCTTTGGTACCTTGTAGGTCCATGCATATTTGTCGGACCAGACGAGTGGATAGCCATCCCAGGCAAGACGTAGTAGCAATGGTGATATCCTCGTTCGCACTGTGAGACCAATAGGTGCATCGTTCTTCGCAAACAAATCCTTGTACCATTTGGGCATGCCAGGCATCTTTTGGCGTGCGGCAGGCCTTGGCTCCTCACCCTTCTTGCCCTTCGTCATACGAATCTTCTGGCCTGACCAGTCCAGCTGGCTCAACCACGGATCATTTTCGTATTTCTCAACACTGTCTTTCAATTCGAGTGCTTTGACGGCCAAATCATGTAATCGCTGCTCTACAGCATCCGATAGCTTACGATATGTAGCTTCTGCGTTTGCAATGTACGAATCCCACGTTCGGTTGACAGGCAAGATCTCAGTCGAAAGATGACGAAGCGCAGCAAAACTAACAGGATGAGGGCAAGTTTCCATGAAGGCTGGAAAGACCTTCTTATAGACTCGATGGGTAATGTCAACATCAGCAGCACAGTAATCAAGCAGCTCGTCAAGTTTATCGCGAACGCCTTGTCGATCGAGCACTGAGAACCATTCACGCTTGGCCTTGTCAATGGTAATACCGCAATGGAAGTGGGCAACATCGCGCAGGGAATTGACAGAACTACGACCAACCCAAAGTTCCTCCTCTTCATCTACATCTCCCTTGGCCTGGAGAAGTGCGGCCAAATCGGCCGTGGCTTCCGAGTTCGCAATCTTATCTCTGGTCTCGCGGTTCTTGCGGTGCATGTTCCAGGTGGGCCTTTGCCTCGAGCACATTCCATTGACAGCGACGTGTAGCGACATGGTATCGATGAAGTTGTTGCGCGACTGATCGAGTTCGTACTCCTCGGCGATTCTCGCTCTATCATAGCCGATATTGTGGCCTACGATTATGCGCGGCTTACGAGGATCTCCAAGTGGGATAAGATGGCGATCGCTCTCGGATTCGCCCAACAGCCAGGGCGATAACCAGGCATACCAGGATTTGTCACTGACAGCGCATGCCATGACAGCATAGGATGAGTGGTGCCATAAGACTTCGACATCAAAGGTCAACATTTCCTCGTCCGGAACTTCTACAGGCTCAGAAGAGCCATCCTGAGAGTACTTTGTCCATCCGCTCCGCCTGACCCATTTGCGCGGTCGAGGAGGCGCATTCGCGGTCGAGTACTTTTGNGCAAGACCTAGGTACGGCTCGGCAGAATCCATAGCCAACTTGTAGAAGTGTTCATCCAACGTCTGTCCTTGTATCTCGGGCATGTCGAAGGCGACGGGCTCTGACGAGTCGGTATTCTTCCCCAACAGGTCATGTCGTCGCAAGTGGTCCTTGGACAAGGTCACGAGGTCTTCGGGGGCCGGTGGAGGTTTGCCGGAGAATATTTGAGGATAGATATGGCTGCTAATTTGCTGGACACCGATCTCATTGAAGCGCGATGCAGCCGGAACCGACAAGGAAGAGCGACGACTGGCAGCGGACGAGGCAGGCGAAGGGCGTTCATTGTGGGAGGTGTCGGTAACATAGTGTCGTGTGCATGGATACGGTGGGCGTTGATGGACGACACGGCGGAGGCGCAACAGCGAGGCCTGCTGCGACCGCATGGAGTTGGCGGCCATTACTTCTTAAGAGTACGGTGGAGGGTGGTGCTCTACGGGATGCGCATGGATGAGAGCTCTGGGTCTGTGGTAACTTTCAGCGGCTCCATGGCGGGGGCAAGTGAACTTTCTTCTCGCACAGTCGACATCATGACCTTGCGCGCGAACTGCTTTGTCAGGAACAGCGCTGGTGCAAATAGCGCAACCGTCGTCTGCCAAGCCCCGCTCGGTCGATTGTTCTTCTGCAGCACGTCAAGTTGCGGGAGCTGGAACATTCGTGGCCGAGAGGCTGGAAGCAGCGCCGCCGCAGGCAGGGCTGACGCTTGACTAGAGGGTGCAGCATGCGTTTCCAGGCCCCTCTCTCACACCTCTTGTGCGACAGTTGACGGCCGCCAGCAGCAATAGCGGCGACACCATCAATCGGCAGAGCGGCAAACTTCACTATGGCCCCGTGTCGTTACTTAGGTACCACTCTGTAGTTTCTTGCAATAAAGTGCCATGAGGCCTCGTCGTCCAACAGAGCAGTCGCTATCCATCGCTATTCTTACGCCGTAATGTCCTTTTCGAGTAACCACTGGCCATTTGATGGCACTTCCTTCAACTTCTTGTCCGTCCCCCATCCATCCCCTTGCTGCTTCTCGCATACCTCAGGCTCACTGTCGGAACAGANNCCTTGGAATCACAACCCGACCTCGGACTACGACAACTCTCAACCTCAGCAGCAACCCATCAATCCACCCACTCCACGCTACCTTCCATACCCGCCGCCACACCACTCGTCCTCTGCTTCGGCCCCGTACCCTCGGCTGCCTTTACCGAACTTCACACAGGCAAGACTTCACTCGACGGCCGCCCAACCCCGACCACAGCAGCACTCGACTCCGTCCGCTTCATTGCACGCCGCATTGAGGGAAGGTACCGACTTTCTACCACGACCTTCCATTGTCCCACGACTACCGCCGCTTTCTCGTGTCAACTCTGCTTCCAACCAGCAATCCAGCTTTGGCTACATCCCCAACCACTTCTTCTATTCACCACCTCAATCGCCTCTAGATTCTGATCCGCCACACCATACCACCGCCACAAATTCCATACGCCAACCTGCCGCTTCCTTGTCTGTCCACCCCTTCGCAGGTCCATCCTTCACAAACCACTCTGTCGGTCCGTCTATTGCCAACCCGCTTGCACATCCACAATCTATCGATCATCCGACCCCACGATTCGATACGGAGCATATGGCTGGTGCTTTCAGGAGTGAACAGTCGCAATCACGTTACCAGAACCCTGCCCATCCACAGCACGTGAAAGAGGAAAGCCCAAACACAATGCCTGCTTCAACATCTACGGCCGCCACTTCTCGCAAGCGTGCCCGTCCCTCTGACCCGGGGTCGCCGCCATCCGCGACTAAGCGTCGCCTGAATCATCCCCCTGCTCCGATAGAGCTGGACGATACAGATGAAGATGTAATCGAAGAGCTGGGTCCTGACAATGATATACTTGCANAAGAGCGTGAGGCGTTGGTCGCCAAGCAACGTGAGGAGAGTAACAAGGTCAGCAGAATCGGAGAATTGAACTGCATGATTTGTCTGGAGCACTTTACCAACATGACTGCTACGCATTGTGGTATGATTACGCTGTTCTACGAATGGAACGATCAAGCTGACACGAACTTCANNGGCCACATTTTCTGCCACGAATGTTTGACTCAGGCTTTAGTAGCAAGCCAACGCAACTCAGACCATAATTACGGCACATGTCCAGCATGCCGTAAACCTATCAAGCCAAAGGGCAAGACACAAATCGTTCCGCTAACCTTGAAGAAAGCAAGGAAGAAGTAGAGCTCTATTCATTATGAAAGTGATCTGGAGGAGTACTGAGTGCAGGATTCTGGCGTCTTTTGGAAACAATGGTTTCAAGCTTTATACCCAACTCGCTGTTTACGATCACCACAACTGTTTATAGACAGTTAATCAAACCATCATGCGTCTGGCACATCATGTCTTGTACCCTTGCATCAATCACTGTTTATTCCACGTGCATTAACCTGGAATGGTACAAAGACCAGCAAACAAGCCGTGCCGTTCCTCCATCCTTCGGTGCGAACCAGGATTCTTGATCCTGATACGCGGGTACATAGAATCTATCCCGTGGATACATCTATAAGCAGGTATATTTGCAAGTTAGAGAAATAGGTCCCAGGAGTGCTATTTGATCCGCACGCGATCGGCCCCGGATCGTCACCCCGCCATGACATAATAACGATGAACAGCTTCCCTCGTCATGAACAACCTCGAAACCTGCACTCGACACTTGCTCATATAAGCTCTTGATCACAAGTTCCAATCCTCCTTGACTCTCAATTCATTTACACTTGACCTTACCAAAAACAAACAATCGAAACAACATGGAATCTATCAGAAACGCAGCAACCGCCGCCGCTAGCTACGTCGGCTTGGGCGGTACTACTGAAGAGAACAGAGGTAAGCAATTAGACTGGCGCCGAGAATGTGAGAACCAACTTGCTTGAGTCCAAGAGAGCACGATCTTCCGCAGCTGGAGCACGCATTGATGAGCTGTGGCCATATCAGCTCTCAATCAATGACTGCAGTTGATCAGAGCTTATGGCTTGGATTGCTCTCCATGCCATTCACTTGTCCCTATACCAGAGAAAGCTACTGACTGCCACCACCCAGAAGGCGAAACCAGCCACATCGCTGGTGGTGAAGCTCCCCAGAACGTTGCTACAGGCACATCTCAGTCTGGCACCGAGCCAGTCTCCGGCAAGCTCGGTCGTGGAGAGGCCGGCGAGCCCTACGATGCTGGAAACGTTGATGGTATGTCAAGTCAACTAAGATCTGTAAACCTCTCACATGCTGACACTACAANNGGTGCCTCAGGACTTGGTGGTGGCTCGGTCCAAAACCCTTCTTCAGATTACACCTCCCAATCGACCACCAGCCGCAGCACTGGACTCGGCAGCGGTCTGACCGGAAGCAGTGGTCTTACTGGCAGCGATGGCCTTACTGGCTCGAGTGGCAACAGTGGACTCACTAGCTCTGGTCTCGGTTCGACCACTACCTCGTCCAACACTCGCTCTTCCGTGCCTCTCACAGAGAAGGCCCGTGAGACTTTCGGAATCGGTGGAGGGGACAAGCATGCTTCTGGTTTGGGCAGTCGTGAGGACGGACCTGGATACGGCACATCCTCGAAGCGTGACAAGGACAGTACTCTCGGCTCCGTCATCGGACACGGATCCAACCCCGACAAGTACTTGTACGACTCGAAGACTGCTCCTGGACTCGGTGGCCACCGCATTGGTGACGACTTTACCGACTCCAACACTAGACACGAGGGTAACACGTCGCTTCCCGCCAATCTAGGCTCTGATGCTGCTGCTGGCAAGGCTGGTGGCCACTCTTCCTCTGGAGGCCTGACAGGTCGCTCCGACAACGACAGATACACTTCCGGTACTGGTGAGAGTCTCACTCAGAAGGCCAAGGACTACCTGCCTGGTACAAGCAGCCACTCGAGCACCCAGAACGACTCAGCTCTTGCTGGAGCTAGAGAAGTGATCACTGGTTCTGGCCGCAACGAGTCTAGTTACGGAAGCTCAACCTACGGATCTAGCAACACCTCAACCCTTCCTGTCCGCAGCCATGAAACCGCCGACAGTATTACTCCCGGCTCTCTCAGTGGCTCGCTCGTTGGAGGCACTGGATCTGACCTCACTAGCACTTCATCAGGTCTCACTACTGGCCTGACTGGCTCCAGAACCACTGGTGGCACTACTGGTATTGGCCAAGAGATCTGTGAAGAAGGTAAGTGCCACCTCTTAATCCCAGCTTTCGGCACTAACAAGCGATCTACAGAACGTGAAGGCTACAAGCCCCATGGTGGCCACCCCATCGGCGAGGCAGCTCACAGCACCGTGGACGGCAAGCAGACTTGGCTCGACTACCGCAACGACCCTACCCTCCCCGTCGCTCGTGCCGAGCCTGCCGATCTGTAAACGTAGTCAGCTGTGATTAGCATCGAGGTCTGACGAATGAGACATGACGGATGGACTGTGTATACTTTATGATTACGGAAAGCAAAGCTCTTGCTCAACTCATCAAGTTCATATATGATAATGAGTATTTCTTCAAGCTCAAATGTCTATATCCTGACGTGACAGTATCTTTGAGCAAACAAAGGCATCGCTATTGGGAGACATGCTAGTAAATCTCAATAACAACAGTGTTGTGGACCTGGGGAATCTCGAGTGTCTCGGGCTGGCCGAACCTTCCCTGAGACCATACCGATCAACAGATGTTCATTGTGCATCGTAGCTACTTCTGAATCTCTTATATGTTGTGAGATCAATTCACATTCGTCACTCGTCAGTCGATTGATGGCTTTCGTTGAGGCTTGATCTCGTCATTAGCTTTCCCTTGCCTTACGACAGCGAGGTAGGAAAGTGCAACTCCTTCCCACCTTCCATTCACGAAGCGTTGAGGCGTGTTTGCTCAGCCATCCCTTTTCTCTCCCTCAGCTTCGTTCTTCTCTCTTCTCTCTTCATCAACCAAACATCAACTGCTTTGTATCTTCCAACGATAGCTTGTTACTTGCTTTACTACTCTTCTCTGCTTTACTCACTGTTTAATTACCGTACCATTAACTCCCTGATCCAAAGGTATCGTCGTCGTCAACGACTCTTCGACTCTACCATGGCTAATTCATCGTCCATCCATCACAGCATCCCATCATCTTCCATTCGTCTCCAGCTCTCATACGCACATACATCAAGGCTTCATCGATCAATCCCGACGCCATGCATTTCATCAAGCTTGCCACCGGCACTTGCATCATTGCAGCCTTCAGATCTGCTGCTCAACCGAGCCTCACCCAGACACAGTCTTACGAGCAGGTCTCCAACATGACCGTCAGCGCCATCGTCAATGACTTCCGCTACAATGGCGATGTCACTGTCCTCCGTGGCCTCATCGACATTGCCTTTGCTGCGTTGCAATCCGAAGCTGCTATGGTTGCATCTTGCCTTCAGTCCAGCAGCACTTCCGCTGGCAGACCATCAGCTACGTCGGCTCCAACGTCCAGTTCCATCCTCAACCCAGTCATGCCCAATCCACCCCCTCTCAGTGTCCCAGTGCCTGTACCAGCAGATCCTCCATCGGCATCTCCAGCCAGTCAACCTGCCGCACCACCTATCAACGCTGCTCCACCACCTCTCCAGGCACCTCCCGCACCTCCTGCAGGCAATGCTCAATCGTCTTCATCACCTCCATTGCCACCAGCAGCCAACAATGCCCAATCACCTCCATCGCCCTCATCATCATCCAGCGGCAACAATCCACAATCTTCTGGTCCATCGACCAACCCAGGCAGCTCTGGCTTTTTGACTTCGATCACTCCCAACTCACGATCAAGTATCAATGGATCCATGTTTCTCGGTCTACCCATCAGCAGCTCCAACATTTCTGGTCTCCTGAATGGCATCGGTTCTCTCAGTCCTCTCACTTCAGCAGGAAGCAACTCTCTCGGCGGACTCGTCTCTGGCGTCGGCAGTGCTGTGACTGGAGCTCTCGGCGGCGTTGCCAGTGGTTTACCTACACCCCTTGGTGGTGTCGTCTCAGGAGTCAACAGCGTTGCTGGTGGTGCCCTCTCAGGCGTTGGCGGTCTCGTGTCTGGTGTTCTCGGTGGCGCTGCTGCGTCACCCACTGCTGGAGGGCTGGTTCCCGGCGTCGCTGGAGCTGCTGGCGGCCTCCTTCCAGGCGTTGGTGCTGCTGCTACTGGTGTCCTTGGCGGTGTCGCCAGTGCTCTTCCAGGTCCTCTCGGCGGTGCCGTCTCAGGTGTTGGCAACTTCGCTGGTGGTGTCTTGTCTGGTGTTGGAGGCCTCGTTTCCAATGTTGGCGGTGCTGCTGGTGCCCTTCCTACCACTGTTGGTGGAGCTGTGTCGAACGTTGGCGCAGGCGTTGGTGGTGCTCTCACCGGTGTCGGAGGTGTCGTTAGTGGTGTGGTCGGTGGTGTCGCTGGAGCCCTACCTACACCTCTCGGCGGCGTTGTCTCTGGTGTTGGAAACGCAGCTGGCGGTGCTGTCTCTGGTGTCGGAGCTGCTGTTTCAGGAGTCGTCGGTGGCCTTGGTGGAGCTGTTGGTGGTCTTCTCGGCGGTCTTCTTGGAGGCGGAGCCTTGCCATCATCCATCACGGGCACACCCAGTCCAGTCTCTGGAGTCGTCGTCAGTGCTACCAATGGAGCCGTCGCCACTTGCACAGATCTTGTCTGCCTTCAAGCATCTCTTCCTGGTCTATTGGGTTTGAACCTCGCCGCTATCCCAACTGGAGGCTCAGGAGGTTCTCTACTCAACGTCGGTGTCAAGATCCTTGGAGGTGGCAATGCACCTGCTGCTGCACCAGCTGTCACTACCAACATCAACGCCATCATCTCCGCCGCCAGTCAAGTCTCTTCAGTCGTTGGCGCCAGTCAATGCAGCAACCTTATCTGTCTTCAAGCCTCGCTTCCTGGTGTGATCAGTCTGAGCGCTGGTGCCATTCCAACATCTGGTGCAAACCTCGGCAACCTTCTCGGTGTTGGTCTCAATCTCTTCGGAGGTGGCCAAGCACCCACTATCGCCACTGTTTCTGCAGGTACAGGCTCGGCACTCGTCGCTGCTGTCACGACTTCAGTCTCAATCACTCCTTCAGCCGTGGCCGGACAACCTGCACCAACTGGATCATGGGTTCCAGTCACCTCGTGGATGTACGTTGCTCCCGCTCTCTTGGGTGGTCTGCTCTGAACTGGCGGAACTGCATTATGATGACAATGATGGATTGATGGTGTCTGTAATTGATTCTGGGAGTATTTTATGACAGTTCTAATATCAAAGCATGTTCTACATACCATTCTGTGTCACTACTCTCATCACGCAACGTGTGTATCATCCATCAGCGTTTCAAAATCTCCTTTGCGACCTTCTTCTCGGTCTGCTCCAGCAAAGTCATCATGGCAGTACGTCTGTCTGTAGCACTGTCGCCTTGCAGCACAACCTTGGTGGAAGGTGCGATCTTAGGGTACCTTGAATCTGCAGCTTCTTCACCAACGATGGCACAGTAATGGATCATGCCATTCGGCGAACGTGCCGTGACCACTTTGAGATTCTTCTCTCTGGGATACAAGGCTTGTGCATTTGCTNNTTTTGACGATTGACAAACCTCAGTACCGACCTTTTTGAGTAGAAGCGTTACACACGTGCAAGACAGAAAAGACCTACCCGTTATCTGATTGGTAATGTCCGAGATGGTGATGACCTGGAGGACTTCTTCGTGTCCGCCTATTTTGACGGCTGGAGGCATGTTGTGCAAAAGAAGTGATGTTGTGGGTGTGAGTGCTGATTTTGCTGGTGGTGATGGTAGTGGTTGTTGCTGACAGAGTGTTCAGGAGGTTAGAGATGTTTGGGGTTTGGAATGGAGAAAAGGATGCAAGCAGGATGAAGTTGTGTGGATGTGTCGTCGATCTGGGTTTGGGGAGCGGAGGGTATTGGTATCAGACACAAGGGGTTTGCTTATGCGACGGTATGATTTGTAGAACATTTCTAGTTGTGCGCATTGCATGGAACTGCGTGAAGTGCGTGGGCTCAACGTGGCCGCCAGATCATTGTGTTTTCGTCTGCGTCATAGTGCCTGTTGTGCAGTTTCCCACGGCTCTTAATCTCTATCTTTGTACGCAAGTATCGGCAAAGCAACATGCGTTGGATAGGAGAACCGGTTGCTGTTGATACCGACATCATCGTCACTTTCCCACATGGCTAGCTGCGCATAAAACAGCCGCTCGCCGGTCAGAGCCGAAGGCAAGTTTCGCTTGCACTTGCTTGCGCTCGCGGCGGCAGCAAAAAGACAGACGCCACCACTGTCATTCGTGGTTCACACAACGCAACTTCTTCGAGAAACTGGGAGTCGAGTGTTTCTATTATAGAGAGATGGTGTTGGAGAGGTAGAAGATCAACACGGTATTCGCCTATAACAAAACTCTATGATTCATGTCTGTAACAAGTCTAAGGAAATAAGAGTAGGCGGAGTAAACGGAAGAGAGAGAGGCAAAACTAATAAGGGTAGATGTGCTGTTTGTTTACTCTACACCCATAAAGGCAAGGGATCAACATATTTCGAGGGTACTTGAGAAGGGAGGAGATGCTCGATGCAAAGCAGAGATTCCCGCGTGTCGATCAGGAGATATTGGTGGGGTGATTGTGCAGAAGGGGAAGTGTGACTGGGATGTGGTTCGTGGCCGAGAAGAGAGGGGATGCGACAAGAGACACCGAGAGATGAATGGTGACTCGCATGCTTGATGATGCAGTTTGCAGGGTTCACGGAGGTAGACGGAAAGAAGCCGCGGAGGAGAGGGCAGGAGTCATTGTTCAGTGGCTCTGTATGATGACTTGGTTCCTGGAAGAGGAGTCGTATAACACTCTGCAGAACTGCCGGATCGAAAGGATTCGAGACAAAGGACAACCATCCACAAGTACTCTTGTATATGAATCGAACAGAGATTGATATCTCTATTACCATGTTGTTCTTGTGAGAGCCCAAGTTCACCAAAGAGCGTTGCTGTCTCAAGTGGTCCCTTTGCCAACGGCTTTCTGATCGAGTCAAGAGCAGCAAGCGGAGTTCAGGGCACCGAAACTTTGCTTGCGGACGGAGCAACTCTGTCTCTTTTACACTTTTCAAAGCTGCTCTTGTGCTTACTTCTCGTCCTCCTTTCAACTCTCTCCTCTGGACTCTTACTTGTTGATATCTAATACAGGCGCAAAATTCAACCTTCATACCGAACCCTGGGAATCTGTCTGGACCCTGGAAAATAGGACTTTACTATCAACGCGACCTTTTTGTACAGAGCTAGCACAGTATTGTCGAGACGATGCCGTCGAGCGTACCTAGAGAATCTACACTGNGGGTTTGCAAGCAGTGTCAGATCAATGATGCAGTGGAAAATGTTCGATCTCGGCCAATGTGCAGGTGAGCAACAGCACTCTTAGCACCCGTCTCCGCGACCAAAGTACTGACGCTATCTCNNAGGGACTGCTTCTGCAAATATATCGCGACAAAGGCTGTAAAGCGCATGGAAAAGTTTCGCACAAGGTTCTCCACGGCAGGCCAGCAACGAATGCTACTGCTACCTCTCTCGATGGGCGTATCTTCGCTGGCACTACTGCAATGTCTGGACGAGCAACTCAAACGCCAGATCGAGAACACAGGACGCACTGGATTCGCACTGCAAGTGCTACATGTAGACATGACTGCCGTCGTGCCCGAAGGACCTTCAACAACAGACCTCGACGCCATCAAAGAACGCTACCCGACACACGCATACACATCCATCCCCATCTCCTCAGTCATGGAAGTAGAAGACGTACAAGACCTGCTCAAACAATATGGCATCGACACCNCCGCCGCCGCCACCGCCGCCCTCACCACCTCCGGCCTCGAAACCACAAACCTCCAATCCCTACAGTCCCTCCTCCACGCCATCCCCACCGCCACCGCCCGCGCCGACGTCCTCCAAATCCTCCTCCACAAACTCATCGTCGATTTCGCAAAAGCAGATACCTGCGAAGCCATCCTCTGGGGCGACAGCACAACCCGCCTCGCCGAAAAGACACTAGCTGAAACCGCAAAGGGAAGAGGTTTTGCTCTGGCCTGGTTGGTGTCTGACGGCNCCTCGCCCCACGGAATCGATTTCTACTATCCTCTACGCGACCTGCTGAAAAAGGAAATTCACGCTTATGCGACATATGTGAATCCACCGCTTACACCGCTGGTTGCCCCTGAAGCTCCACTGGAAACGGTGGTGAGTGCGAAACACAGTACCATTGATGGACTTATGCGCAATTACTTCGACGCTGTCGAGAAGAACTATCCCAGTATTGTTGCCAATGTGGTGAGGACGACTGCAAAGTTCCAGGCACCGGGTGTGGGTGCCGGAGACGCGAGTTGCAGTCTTTGCGGCTTGCCATTGCTGTTGACGCCGAGGACGGAAGAAGGGCTGGTTGCAGAGGGCAAGGCGCCGCCGCCGCTGTGCTATGGTTGTATGAGGAGTGTGCCCATGTTTTCGCCCTGATGGGTTTGCCTATGGTACATCTCTATTTTTGCTTCCCCTTTTGTTCTTTTCAGCGTATCACGACAGCCTTTGTTATTATTTTGGATGAGTTGATCGACTAATCAGTCAGGGACGAGGAGCATAATGATGAATGGTGGCAGAGAGAAAGGAAGATGATACAGGAATAAACTTCAAAAGCACGTCAAGAATGACATTCTTCACACCCAAACTTCTCATGGGTCCGTAATTAATCTTCTGCTTGCTGAATCGAAGGTTGACCTTGAGTCTTACGCTTGGGAATGAAAGCACAATCATGTCAACAGTCACATCGAAGTAAGCGTGGGGACTGAGGTAATAGTGGATAAAACTTGACAATTCAGTGGTATCTTGGAACGCTAATCGTAAACAGGGGGAATCAGAACCGCTAAGGATCATAAGAACCAACAAACACAACGCCCCTAGGCAGAACAAACACTTCTGGATATCTCAATCTGCTCATCTCTCTTGATGGTAAACTCTTCTCAGCATCATCTTCTATCAGTACGCACAGTACCGGTCTCCAAGGTGTCGTCGACACGGACTGGGCGAGTGGGAGCAACCCCTCTCTCAAGGTCTTGTTCTCTTCTGTTGTTACCACCACCAAAGTTGAACCAACCGCCTGATTTCTTTGCTCTGGGATCAGGGGTTGGTGCAGGCTGGCGAACATCGTGGGCGCCATCGGCGTGTGGACGAGTCTCCTGGAGGAACGCTCTACGGTCGTCTTCTTCGTCACTAAAGTCTTCATACGCCGTGGCTGGAGGGTTTGCTTTGCCCGAACGATTCTTAACTGCCTTGAGAGCATCGGGCTTGTACAGACTATCCAGATGTTTTTCCAGGAGACGGCAGTTCTTGGTGTTGGCTTTGAAGTAGGCATCAGCAAGATCGCCGACGAAGGGGACGAGACCAATGAGGAAGTCGATGGCGACGTTGATGAGCATCTGGATGAGGATTCCCACGGGCAGACCGCCCTGGACCTTCATGCAGCCTTTGACGAGCAACAGAGCAATGCCAGCATCCAGGGCATCGCCGGCAGCGGGGACTATTCCGATGACCGAAGACCATCCGAAACGAGTACCGAGGAATTCGAAGAGCGCCATGTCCATTCTGTAAGAGCGACGGCGCATTTTGGCGAGTACATTGGCGTCGTGTTCTGGGATGTATGAGGGGACGGTCTTTTTGACTTTCTTCTGCTTTCCAGGCTTGCGTGGGTCGTCGATGTAGACGAAGAATGGGTCCNNTGCGAGAAATAGGTTAGCTTCTGAATATACACGGCATGTAGGAACCAGCGAAAGTGCATAGTTGCCTGATAGAGGGAATGATTGACTTACCTCGTCGCCGCAAGGTTGCTTGCTCTGGTATTTCGCCATCTGACCACGCAACATCTTGTTGGCGGCATATTTGCCTACCGCAGCAGCCATGTTTGTGATGTTCTTTGTTGTTAAGTCGATGGTAAAATGGTATGTCGATTGAAGCAGCGAGGTTGAATTTGTATGCTGGTAAAAGTGATGAGGCAGATCAAAAATGGCAATAAATGCTGATAGACAAAGAAGACTGAGTCTGGTTGTCTCAAGAGCTTGTTGTAGCACGGCGCGTGGTGAGACGGTAAGGAGAAGGAGCAACTGGGCGTCAAGCTTCAGAGCGGTTGTTGAGGGAAACGACGAGCTTCAGAAGAATGTAGCGCTCGAATGAGTTGGCGTGTCCAGATAATTGCTTGTGAAAACACACTGATGTTCTAACAACGCAACAATGACTTGATACAGCACAAAATGGGCAGCGGCGCTACTTGATTTTAACCTGCTTGTCGACCCCATGATGATGGCATTTCAGAAAGTGTCTATCAGAGGCTCAGCCACAGTTGATGTCACTCGAAAGTTCTAGCCACAGGTCGCATCTCTGCACCGCCTCACACAGGGCGTGTTTGCATACGATGGATAGTGCGTAGCTTGGAGTCTGCTTATGTCGAACTTGATAACAGCTGCGATTCGCTGTAATTCTGGTATACTCCGGCGCATGGATGTGCGCGCTATTCATCGGAAGTGAACGAATTAGAAGATCGGCCCGGCGTCAAGTCCAATCTGCACGGGGCAATTAGACCCGCGAACGCGTCTGTAGCTGACGTGGGAGCTTCGAGGGGGATGCGATAGCCAGAGAAAACACATTTTTCTTCTCGTGTTTACACATAACAGAGTCTGTCTACTGTAAAGACTTTTGAGAACCATGCGGTCATGGTACCAACTGTGCACTGCTGCGCTGCTATCGTCGCTAGTGTTAGAAGTTCGCGGCAATGAAGTCAAGATTGTATGTACTGCTGCTTCAATTGGGTCGAGTCTTGACAACAGAATACTGATACTCTATCTAGNNGACCAGAAGGAAGTAAATCGACAACAATGCTCGGGCATGTTCAGCCGCAAGGGCTGGGGTGGAGCTGTAGACCCCTTCATCCTGACCAAGTTCGTCAAGCCAGAAGACATACCCGAAGACCAGGATCCCGTCGTGTCGCTCGTCATGTTCGAGTGGTCAGATCGCGAATACGTCGGCAAAATCATGGACGACACAGCCTCGGATCGCGCATACATCTGCGACGCCACCGCCATCGAAGCCAAGTTCTGCAATACCACCGAGGAGGGCGAGTTCATTCTGTCTCAGGACTCGGAAAAGAGCACGAGTTTGATCATCACTCAGGCCGTACACCTCAAGAACCCACCCGCTATCAACTACCCTATCAAGCGTACTGGATACTATTGTGTGGGCACATATGGCTATACGACAGAGAACTACGAAGGCATCGTTGAGTTCCGTAACAGCTACGGCGAGCTGCCTGCTGCTCAGATCGCAAAGCTGCCCTTCTACGGCGCTCTTACTCTCGTATACGCTCTCGCATCGGCTGGCTGGGCTTTCCTCTACTTCCAGAACCGACATGATATTCTGCCCGTTCAGAACTACATCACAGCCATTCTGGTCTTCCTCGTCGTCGAGATCTTCATGACATGGCTTTTCTACGACTTCCAAAACAGACACGGCCTTAGCACAGGCGCAAAAGCATTACTTATCGTGGTCTCAGTCCTCTCGGCAGGCAGAAACTCTTTCAGTTTCTTCTTGCTGCTGATTGTGTGCATGGGATATGGTGTCGTAAAACCTAGCCTGGGCCGTACGATGATCTGGGTCCGCTGGCTGGCTATTACTCACTTTATCTTCGGTGTGGTCTATGTCATCGCCTCATTGTCTGTGACCCCTGAGAATGCCGGCCCTCTAGTCTTGCTCGTAGTCTTGCCTCTGGCAGCCACACTCACAGCCTTCTACATCTGGACGCTTAACTCGCTCAATGCCACCATGAAGGATCTGATGGAACGCAAACAGACCATCAAAGCCATGATGTACCGCAAACTCTGGTGGTGCATCCTCGGCTCTATTGTCGTCATTTTTGTCTTCTTCTTCGTCAACAGCTGGACTCTTGCTGGTGTCAGCGATGAGGACTTTGTACCTACCCATTGGTCCACACGTTGGTTTATCCTGGACGGTTGGCTTAACCTAGTGTACCTGGCAGACGTTGCATTCGTTGCCTGGCTCTGGCGCCCAACAGCAAACAACCGCCGCTTCGCCATGAGTGACGAGGTATTTTGCCCCTGAAAATCCGCAAGATTAATATTTGCTGATATTATCCCTAGANTTGCCCAAGATGATGAAGGGTTCGAGATTGCAAGCATGCGCTCTTCCCTCGACTTTGACGACCCTGACCTCGAAGGCGCACCGCCCGCCTACGATGCCCCCAGGAACAACGCTTCGAGCTCCACAGCCAACCGCGACGCATCGCCTTTGCCAGCACCCAAGCCAACGAAACCTGCACCATTGCCTAGAGAGTCTCTAGACGGTGAGACGATATTCGCAGTTGGTGGAGAGGATGACGATGACGAGAGGTGGAGTGAAGACGACAGCGAGAATGAGGGCAAGCATCTGACAGGCAAGAAAGGTTAGAAGGGTATCGCCAGAAACAATCAGTGTGTCTGCTCTTGCAAACCCTCTTTCTTGGAGGAAGATGGCGGGTCTGCGGTGATTTACTTTTACTCATTGGGCGGCGTTGTTTTGCATCATTTCTGTCTTTTGTTAGAGGAGCCTTTTCTTGGATCACAAGTTCTCCTTCTCCAACCTGTTTTCCCCCTGTGATATGACAGAAGTGTGTAGAGTGACTACTCTGTGAGAAGATTCTCGTGAACGTAGTCAGTAGCGATCCAAAAGATCGTGCATCCTGACTTTCAACGATCAGACAATGGTCTTCTTAGTCGCCAGAGCCTGCCAGTGCTGCAGCCATTCCGTCGAATTGATTCGTTCTGGCGCGGATGTCTCTAAGGGATGTAAGATATTCGTAACCCGCAGGCATCGCCTCAAAGGGACTTCGCTGTGACACGTAACAACGGACGCATGCTCTTCGCCACGATCAAACACATCCTCCTGGCCTTTACCACGCCACCACAGCCTAGAACCATTCTTCCTCGTCCATTCGCAACCGGCACAGAAACGCTCCTTCCTCGCATCATACCACAGCGGCACATGTGTCTTCCAAAGCAGCTTCTCATGCATCCACGCAGACCGACTAACCCAACGCCGCAACGCAAAGAAGAGCTTTGTATGTTCGTCGTGATACAGAGCCGCGATACGGGCTCTTTCCCGTTGCTTGCGGCGCTCGCGATATTCCGGGTCGTTGTGGTAGCGGGATTTGTGGTATTGGGCTTGGAGGGCGTAAGCGGCTCTGCGCGCTGCGTCGGTGGGGTAGTATTGATCATGCGCCTCTGCCTTTTTTTTTTGCGGATGTGGAAATGCTGGAGAAGGTGCGGATGGTTGTTGAGATATACGGTGAATGATTCTCATATCGATGGTTTGAAGATGCAAAGGGTGATGCGTATTGATTGTAGCATTTTTTCCAAATCCAAGAGATGAACAAGACCTTGTTGAAAATTACGTCGCAAATACAAGAGACCACAGCCCGCCAGAATCTCTCTGGGTTAAAGGATATTCGATAGTAATTTGGTTGGATGGTATATGCGGACAAGATATGTTCTTGAATTTATAGAGATTGGGAAAGACGCACGGTCGTTGTTTTGGTGACCATCCGAGAACGGAAGGGTATAGTCCAGCATATGAACACAAGTGTTTTATCGCTTACTAGTACTCGATTCTCTTACATCCGTTTCTCTCCACTGGCGTCGGAGTGATAACTTTGTTCGGTCTTGGACACTTTTCTCTACGAGCAGAAAAGGCCTGGCTAGCATGAAATGATGAGAACCAATCACACTTGCAAAGACTGAGAAGAAACAGGTTGCAAGACACACAGGAATGATAAAGCATTAGTATGGAAGACGGAAAAGATTCTCATTCAAAGAACAAAAACAGAAAAAACGCCGTGGTTTCTTTCGCTAAATCGAGCATGCAAGAGGAAAACACAAAATAACAGAGCTCTCTTCAATCCTTTGCCCCGGTGGCCCAGAAAGTTCAACCCTCCTTTTTTCTCCGATCCAATGCAAAGATTCTGTGTGTATTTCCTTTCTCTTCAAAAAGCCCAGCCGAAAAAGTGATTAGAAAAACTAGAAAGAAGAGAAAAGGCCAAAGTGTTGTCTTCTCTGGTAAGACAGTCTGATGGTACTGGTGGTAGGGTATGCGTCGTTTGGGCCAGGCAGTGGGAAGTGGTCAATCTTGAGGGTGTGGATCTAGCCTACGTGTTGGTAGAGAAGCAGAGGCTCGCCCACGTGTTCGATCTCTGGAATCGTACAGCGCAGGTCGAATGCTTTTGATAGCACAATCTTGAATATCTATTCAAGGTTAGTAAGACAGTAGAATGTTGGAGAGTTTCCGAGACTGACCTTCTGAACGTTGATGCTGTGACTGGTACTGCTGAAGATCAGACTTGCCTTCATTGCTTTGGCGAAGCGCTTAGCCTGTNNTGCACGTTAGATGGTCCATCAGATATTCATCAAATTGACAGAACTACGCACCTGCATACTGATCTCCTCTTGCTCCTCGCGCGGGAAGTTGACAAAGTGGTCGTATTTCGTGCCGACCAGGAATGGGATTGCGGTCTTGTTGAAACCCCTGCCCTGACGATACCACTCTTTGATTGAGTTTAGGGTGCTCTTGCGAGTCAAGTCGAACATGAAGAGGATCGCGACGGCGTCGTTGCAGACAAGGGGCAGCATGTTGACGAATTCGCGCTGACCGCCCAAGTCCCAGATTGAGAAGGTGATTTCTGTGTTGCGGATGCTAATCGTCTTTTCCATGAAATTGACACCNTGCGAAGGGGGTTAGCGCGTGTGCAGACAGAACAGCGAGATTGTTTGCGCACCCAGAGTCTGAATGTAGTCCTCGTCCCAGCTGCCCTCGACGTACTTGACCATCAAAGAGGTCTTGCCGATTTGCGCATCACCGACCATTCCAACCTTGATAACGACGCTGGCGTTCTTCTGGGCCTGTTGTCGCTGGCCATTTTGGTCCGAGTAGTCTGAGTTTTGACGGTTCAAGCGAGAGCTCGGTCTCGAGGGGTACTGTGGCATCTGGTCTTCGTGTTGTTGTTGGTCGGGATTGTTGTCTTGAGATTGGTAGTTGGAGGCAAAGCCAGTGTCGGAGTAGGAGGTCTGAGGTCGGCGAGTGGAATCGGCAGAGTCGGAGATGTTGTGGTTGTGGATATGGGGCAGAGCGTTGACAGATGAGGCAGTAACGGTGTGCATGCTCGCGTCCTCCAGCGAAGCGTCATGCGAGGGAGAGGGCTGCGGGACGGGCTCTGAGTAATCCATTGTTTAATTGTACTGAGTTGCTGGGCGGGCGGCCTGAGATTCGTCGGAGCTTCTGATGTCGTTCGGGTAGAAATAACACGGGTGCTTGTGACAGTCGGGCGTGGTTCGAAGATTGGGCACTAGGCCGTCGCAGCTGTTCGTCTACCAGTCAAAGCGCAAGGCGGTCAATCGAGTCGGAGGACTACACGTTCCAGCGCGAGATACAAAGGACACCAGGTCGAATGTCTTTCTTTCAAAGAGAAGAGGCGGAGATGCAAGAGCGAAGGTTTGTTTGTATGCAGGAAGCACAGGATGCATGCCTGTTTGGGGCCGCACCAAGCCCCTCCAGCTTCGCTGTGCCAGCCACACACGATCGCCGAATGTTTGGTCCGCCCGAGCCTTGGCAGCGTCAAGCGTCATGCTTATCGATAAGCCGTCCTTTCTTTTCGTTCGCGCCCAGAGCGTCAAAAAGCCATTTTTCTACACCACATCCACCACACATAATGAGCAAACGCACAGCAGACCAATCCGAAGAGGACGAGATCCGCGCCCTCAAGTCCGGTCAGAGGCCGCAGGACGGCCAGCCCGACGACCTCGAGTTCGAAGACGAGTTCGAGGACGAGTTTGAGAGCGAAGATGAAATTCTGGAAGCCGGTGTCGATGGCAGACCCGACGAGGAGCGCGAGGCCGAGGAGCGTGAGGGTGTGTATCCTCTTCTCTAACCAGATGTCCATTCAGAAATACTGATCAAGACCANNGCGGCCATGGACCTAGATCAAGACACATTCATCCCCGGACGACACAAACTCGAAGCTGGACAGACGCTGGCCCCGGATACTTCAACATACGAGATGCTGCACAACCTGGAAGCCCCGTGGCCCTGTCTTTCGTTCGACCTCGTCAAGGACCAGCTGGGCGACAACCGCAAGTCCTATCCTCAAACCGTCTACGCCGTCGCAGGTACTCAGGCCGCACAAGGAAGCGAGAAGGAGAACCGCATCATGGTTATGAAGATGAGCAGTTTGGGTCGCATGGACCGTGGCGAACAGTCAGATTCCGAGGAAGAAGACGACGATGAGGACGAACAATCGCTCGAGCCCATCCTCGAGACCAAGGACATTCCTTTGAACACCGTCACAAACCGCATCCGCGTTCACCAAACCCCGCAAGCCTCGTCATCCACTCCTCCCACCACTCTCAGCGCCGTCATGACCGAGTCTGGCGATGTCTTTATCCACGACGTAACTCCTCATCTCGCCTCGTTCGACAACCCTGGCATGATCATCTCCGCCCAACAAAACAAGCCCGTCAGCACCATCCGGGCGCACAAGAAGACCGAAGGTTATGCCATTGACTGGTCACCACTTTTCCCCGCTGGCAAGCTGTTGACTGGCGATGTCGAGGGTCGCATCTTTGCTACCACTCGCACCGAGGGCGGTGGCTTCGTCACTGACACAACTCCTTTCACTGGCCACAGCAGCTCCGTCGAGGAATTGCAATGGTCTCCCTCAGAGCGCAACGTCTTTGCCTCTGGCTCTGCAGACGGCACTGTCAAGATCTGGGATGCCCGATCCAAGTCGCGCAAGCCCGCTCTCAGTGTCCAAGTCGCAAACACCGATGTCAACGTTCTCTCCTGGTCACGCAACACCACCCACTTGCTCGCTTCAGGCCACGAAGACGGTGAGTGGGCCGTCTGGGACTTGCGTCAATGGAAGCCTTCAGTCACCACCTCGCCCAAGCCCAACTCGGTTGCCTCATTCAAGTTCCACAAGGAGCAAATCACAAGCGTCGACTGGCACCCCACCGACGACTCGATCGTCGCTGTCTGCTCTGGCGACAACACACTTACCCTCTGGGATCTGGCCGTCGAGCTCGATGACGAGGAGTCGCGCGATACTGCTGGTGTTCAGGACGTACCACCTCAATTGCTGTTCGTCCACTACATGGAGCAGATCAAGGAGTCCCACTGGCACNCCCAAATTCCCGGTACCCTCATGGCTACCGGTGGCAATGGTTTCAACGTATTCAAGACCATCAGTGTTTAGGTTATCTGTTTCCCTTCTCTCTGTCTGTCTATATCCCAAAATCATTTACGAAGAAAGAACAAATTTTCAAACCAACCACAATCTTCATTTTTTCATGTGTAATATCTTTGTTTTCCTGGCATTTCCTTGAGCCTTGCCATCAGCGTGTCTCTTTTTGCTATCTACATGAGCCCTGGTGTCTCCACTGCACCCTTCTCAGCACGAACCTCCGCCTAGCAACGATGCGGGAACATGACCCCTTACTTTTCGTTCTTCTCGAATCCACAGAGTCCAAGTCCTTCACTTCATTCCACTTCTTAGCCCATTTTTCCACCATCCCTCTTTGGCGACCCTTGCGAGTGTCCAGAAACACGCTTCTGCTGCTGTGACTTTCTCGCCGGCGACGACTTTGCATCCTTTGCCTGACCTACACTCTTCTTTTCCTGCAGTCTGGGCGGTTGAGCAGCTGAAATGCTTCTGAGTGATCGTGCTGCAGGCGAAGAATGCTGCTTTGGCGTGGCAGCGTTGACTTGGGCAGAAGCTCTGCGAAGCGGCTGCACGCGAGAGAGTTGTGGCGATGAGGGTGAAGAGGTTGTGGATCGTCTCTGGAGAGCGGGAGGGGAGAATGATGAGCTGCGAGATGAGGGGGTTGGGCGCAGTCGTTTGGGGATAGGTGAGGTGGGCCAGAAGGGTGGGGAGGCTGGGTCTCGGGGGCTTGAGGGAGTGGTTGATTTGGGGGTTGGTGTAGTTGTTGGCTTTATGAACGTATTGTCGTTGTTGCGCTTTGGGGTGCCTGGGTCTTGAGGAGTAGCCTGTAGATTGCGATCTGGGGTGCCCGGGTCTTGCTCAGGGGTGCCTGAGTTCTCATCTGCCTCTTGCTTACTAGTTCTCGTTAGTTACATCACTATAAAAATGCACAAAGCTTTTCACAGCAACAGTCCTGTCCAGCGAGAGCAATGAAACCAAATCAATCAATGTAGACAACTTACTCTTCAGCAAAACGTGGAAAAGTGTAGTATCTTCCAGGATCTCTGGGATCTGCATCAGGATCATAGCTGGTGCCGTCGACGTGCTCTTCTTGTTGCTCTTGTTCTTCTTGCTTGGTGTCGTTTTCCTGTGTTGAATGTTCTGGCATGTTGTTGCTAGGGTGCTGCGAACTGCTGATCTTTCTGATGAGAGAAAACATGTTTGCTGCTCGCGTACGTTGGGTGATGGAGAGATATTGAAATTCGACGATGTATGGCTGACCGAGACACAAAAACAAAGCCACATGATGGAAGTGAAGAAGGCAAAGCTATATAGGTAAAACAATCCCCAATGCAAACGCGCCGAGACAATTACATCGTCGAACAAGCAAGTGCAAAAAGGGGTCACTGAAGGCAAACCGGTCAGAAAGCGACAAGCATTTGAAACTGCCTGTCGTGTCAATGCCCATATAGCAAGTTTTGAGACAGGTATTGTTCGGCGTTTGTACGCTTGTCGTGCAGATATGTCAGCGTTTTCTTGGGCTCCCCCTCTCCAGTGTTACTTGATGGAACTACTAGACGGCTGCAGTATCCTGACTGGGTTGGCTGGGTTTGGATCAAGCATATTCAGGCAGTGAGCATATTGCTTCTTTTTTGCTTGTTTCCTACCAATTGCTTGAGCCTTTGTGGTGACTGGAGTGCTGGATGAACTCCGCTGGCAAATGTCATGTGTCTTTGGTTGCATGCAGAAACCCGTCTGTTTTCTGTCTCGGAACCAGGACATGCAGAGCAACAAATCATGCCATAGGGCTGCATACCACTTCCTGCTCACAGAATGCACAACATACGAGACTGCCATGTAGATGTCTCCATAAGCAAAGATTTTTCCATTTCTTGTCCTTGCTTTTCAAACCACCTTGACCTTTTTCAAGTCGTTCAGAACCATATATCGAGATACACTGATCCAACCCCAGCGGAACCATCTCATTTGGCTTTCGTGCGCGTTCGTCATGGCTCGTTGAGCTTTTCTGTATCCGCCTACACCACTGACGACCAACAGTGGAGCAGGAAACTCGCCAGCTTCCTTCTTCATAAACGCCGTCCTTGCAATCGTCAATGGCGCGTCCAAAACACTCGCGTATTTTCTAGCCACATTGACTGAGGACAGCGTATACATCTTAATCGGATTCTCCCAACCAGAATGCCTCTGCATAATCTGCTTTACAAAAGCAACACCACCATGATAGAGCGAAATATGGTTTGGATGAGAAGAGACACCCACAGTGTCGAAAGTGATCAAGACGTCAATGTTGGCTTCAGGAGCAGACTTTGCACCCATCTTTGCCATCTTCGGAGCAAATGTAGAAGCCAGCAGATTTGCAATCGCCTTGCTCTCCCACGTCTTTGTCATCGAGTCAGGGAATCTTTCATCATCCAGAACCAAAACATCCTCTGCATTTCTCAGACCTAGTAGTAATCCGCTTTTGACCAGTTCTTGCTTGCGGATGTGGCCTAAGCCATCGGCGTCTCCGGATGATAGGCAGAGGATCTTGAGATGGTTGCCAAGTTCGGGGCGTGTGAGGGCGAGTACTGCAGGGGCGAAAAACATTGCTTCGTCGTCTGGGTGGGCTATCAAGAGACAGATTCGCTTGTTGCGGAGCATGGGGAAGGAGGAGGTGAGGACGCTGGTGTAGAGCCAGAGGATTGAGATGATGATGGGTACTGCCGCCCACCACAACCCACGCATCTCCATGACTTTGGCGTGATCGATTGATTATAAAGTTTCGATCTTTGTAGCTTTTGATGTGGTTCCAATTAACGTGGTGATGATTCGACAAGCAAAGATCAAACTCGGGAGAGGTTGATGAATGCTCGCGTGCCGATCACGGGCCGAAACGACAACTCTCCAAAAAAGTGAAGCCCCTAAATTCCATCTCACCATTACCAAAACCCTTCAAAAACTAAAACACCAAGATCAGAAAGCGAAAGGCCCAGAAACTATCAGCATCATGGCCGATGAAGACAAGCAACCACGCAACAGAAAAGAGCGCCGCGCCGCCGCAAAAGAATATGGCAAACACCCTTCATCAGCAACCATCAACGCCTTTGGAAACATCCCGTTATCGCAACCTGACAGATCCGGTCCCAAAGGAAAAACACTCTTGGAAATTGCCGATGAGAGAACTGCCGCCCTGCAAGGTATGATGGCATCCGGCCAACCCTTCGAAAAATCCCTCGGCGATGGTCTAGCTCGCGATGAAAATGGACGAGTGCTATTACCAGCCAAAGACAGCGATAGCGACGATGAAGTTATCCTTGGAACTGGTGCCGAGTCTTTCTTCTTGGCCACCAGTCTGGCAATGGTTCATTTTACCCTGGATGTCTTGGTGTTTCAACAGTATGCGCAAGAGATTAGTTGGCCAGCCATCATTCAGCGCACAATCATCGCATACCCGATTCTATTCCTCATCGTCTATATGATGAAGTCTGAGATGGCGAATCGCTTTCAAACACTCAAACAGCTCTTTTGTCTGGCTGTTGCCATTTCCTCGGGCTGTTATATGATTTATGCTGGCAATACTTACGACTATTTTGCGGTTATGAAACAGGCGCCTCCGCTTGGCACGCTGTGGATCTGGAGTGTCATTGAGATGAAGTTGGCATATGGCCTTGCTAGCATTGCGGTGGATGTTGGTNTTTTGTTTTGGAATGGCTATACTGTATTTTAGATGCATGCATCAATCAAAAAGCAGATTACATACTTTGCCTGCCACTTCATCCGCCCTGAGAGTTCGACTGATCATTACAACTTCCTCGTAATCATCGATGTAGCTATGATCGTTCTCTATTGAGATGGGCTGGCAGTTTGAGTTTCTGTGCTTACCTCGTTTGGGTACGTACAGTCTGCGCAGGCGATAATGTGAGTGTAATTATTGCTATCATCTTTCTTCTTTTAATATGCATGGCACAAATCAAGGTAGAAGGCACCTGGGGCATGTGTAATGGCATCTTTGAGATATTAGACAAACACAGCAAGTAAAAAATAGAAGGAAACCACTCCACGCGAGAACAATGAGAGGCATAGGTAATTTCCATTCACTTTTCATCTCGCTGTCATATTGCAGCCAATTTGATCTCTTATCATAGATCGGTTCTGTGGCTCACACAGTAAACCACTCGATGGAAATCTCTTTCCCAAAGGCTAGCGTAAATGGAATCCAGAGGTGGTGAGTTCGACTCTCTGCCTTGGTTGGTCGCGACGATGACTTTGATTTGTTTCCCCCAAGTTAACCCTTGGTTCTTTTTGCTCTCTATGCTTTGGTAATTGATCAGGAGATAAAGATATGCAAAGTGACATTTCTCTCGCTGTGCACAACCAAAAAACTACTCTAAGCACTTTCCATATGCGCTCAACGATTTTACTGGACTTGTAAGAACACATACGTATGCAGGTTCAACGAGGACCATTGTAGCCCTATCTATTGAGATAATCATCGAATTTCTTGTTGTCAGCAGCCGAGTAGGGATTCACACACGTGCCGTTTCTTTTGGCTTCTTGCTCTCTCTCATAGGGGATGTTTCTTGTGATCTTGGGTTTGCATTTTAGCTTGTAGATCTCGTCGAGGCAATCGCCCAGGGATGACATGTCCATTGGGTCATTTTTGTTGTTCGACATCTTTAGTGTGGTTCAATGATAGATTTGGATGGGGATTTGAGCGAATGCAAGTGTGTTTGGTGTATGATTGGGCTTGCTGGTTTTGTACACTGTGTTCTGGTTGGGGATGGGGAGGACTTTCAACTTTGATCTTCGAGGCCTTTGTATCAAGTGTCTGACCATAAGAGTAGTGGTCTAGCTGACAAAGAAAACTGACGGTATGCACCGTGGGAGAATATCTTGGACATGTTCTTTCATGCTTCGAGTATGCTGCACAATGGTGTTGTAATCGCACAATGGCAACCTATTCTGGATAAGAGCATTGAGACAAACCAACACAGACAAAGAAGCATTGGCCACCGAAAACATGCTCCGCTACGAAGATGAGTAAACAAACACAGAGCCTTGCGACCCTATTGCTCGGATTATACGAGACACAGGTAGCATGATATGATTTGCGAATGAGAACACATTGTAGCTTGTTCATATCTTGGATTCTCTTCTTCCAGCAGCACGGCTGATCGGCTCTACGTGAAGGTTAGCAGGAGCCATTGCAATTGGCCTTCTTGCTCTCTGTCTGCTCACTCATTCTCCTACAGTAGCAGGATGAAGTCACAGGAATATCTGCCATCTGAATCGCCAGTTGATATGGTTGCTCGAGCTGGTTGTACTCGGCCTCACGTCCCAGCAACCTCAAGCATTCACGGTAGCCGACCAACGCCCACACATTGTTGGGATGTTGATGACCACGTGGGATGTCCGCGACGAAGCCAAGATCTTCTGCATATGCTTGCGCTGCCTGTTCAACCAGACCTTGTTCGAGTGACAAAGCAGCGTAGGCATGGCGTGTAGGTTGCATCCATCCCCAAGGCTCGCTGTAAACGAGATTATCGTCACGCTTGATGGACTCTCTCAAATGCTCAAAAGCGAGATCAAAGTTGCCCTTGCGGTATTCGATTTCTCCAGCCAGCATCGCCTCACCAACTTTGAGAATGTCGGTACATTTGTTGGGGAAGTCGAACCGAGTCTCGGGAACGAGTTTCTGGGCTGCTAGGAAGAGCTCCTGCTCTTTTTCTGCTTCGGCGATATTTCCAAGCGCCGAATGGGCCACACCCTTGGCATAATGCAGAGTAGCTGTAGTCACGCAATACAGCTTCTTGTCCTTTGGCATCTCCAACGATATGATCTCCTCCCAGCGGCCAAATCTGACAAGCAAATGGGCTCGTACGCTCAGGAACGATTCAAGCCAGTTTGCCATGTTTGGAGATTCGATAGCTAAAAGTTCTTCGGGAAGGTAGTTCTCCATAAGAGTACAATTTTGAAGGGCGATCTCTGATTTTCCAGAAAGCAGGGCCGCATAGATGAGTGAGTGTGAGTTATGGGCGCGGTAGAAAGTATACATCTCATTGCCTTCCATCTGAGCCACGTAGGCATCGTCAGCGCGAACGGCGGAAGCGTTAGCAGCGATGCCAGCCCTATAATCTCCAATCAAGACGTATAGGTGAGAAGGCATGTGCTCGAGGTGGCCACTATCAGGAACTAGGCCTCTCAAACTGTCTGCTGCCTGCACAGCACACTCAGGTGTCTTTGACATCTCCATCAGATGGATATAGAAGTGTAGTAGGGCGGGATGCTCCCAAGCTCCAGGAAGAGTAAAGGCATGGTCCAGTGCGGCTTTTGCTTCGTATGGACGAGCACCACGACCAGGTTCTCCTGTGTGGATGTTCCACAAAGCCCAAGGTGTTAAGACCATGAGTGATTCTGCGTACAGGCAAGCAACATCGAGATCGTCCTTGTAGCACTTGTAGACTTCTCCCATTGCGTCAACATAAGCCACGTTCCACGGCTGATAATCCTCGGTTGGTGTCTTCTGAGGATAGCGGGCAATGATGGCTTTGATGAGAGCTTTTTCGACAGGTGTCGCATTGTGCGCAAGCTCCAGAGCCTTACGTGACGTCTCGTAGGTGATCACTAAAGCTTCCTTGAGTTCTTTTGGATCAAAAAGTCGCCACGCCTTGTTGTAATAGGGTCCCTTCGTATACGCGATGCCCCAGTAGCCCATAGCACACTCAGGATCCAAGCGGGTAACCTTTTCGAAACATATTGATGCCTCCTTAATGTTGAATCCATATGCCCAAATCAGGCCACGATCGAACCAAAGCTGAGCCTCAGGGTTCTTGGTGCTGATCTTGCGACTGTAAGTTCCGAGATTGAAGTAGCCGTCCTTGGGTTTGGCATGCGCCTCTGCGTTGATAGATACAGCTGGCATAGTGTAACTTCAGCTGGATTAATGTTATAAGAGGGGTGTAGTCGTTACAAAGTCGACACTGTCCTGCCACTTGTAGAGGATGGAGCTCGACAACATTGCCGAGGCTTCGAGTGGGTTTGGCGGGGAGTTGATCTGGACAGCGTTCACACTCATGACTTCTCCGAAAATCCACTTACATACCAACTACTATCTGCAGGGAATAGCGAACGTACGAATGATTTGGACATTCATATAACTATCCATCAAACAACGCGCAGCAATATTGCTCACCAACTCCGGGCCGCAAGCTCCTAGGCTTTGATGTGTTCGCATCGAAGTAGATGCCTGTTGGCAACAGACTGTGCAACGTGAACACTTCCGAATGGTCCCACATCGTTCTCTTCATGAAACACAAGTTTACCAGCATACACCCTATGCTCTCGAAGTATACTGTACGACCTATCGGATGGTATGGGATTTTCTCAAGGCTCTTACTAATAAAAGATGGAGCCAATCAGATGATGAACATTCACCCTCTACTGCGAAGACACAGCTCAGTGTCAACATATGTTTCAACCATGCAAGAATGTGTGTAAGAAGTGTGATCGCAACACGTCAAATCTCATCCACACAGAACTTCGGATTTTCGCCATTTGCAAATGATGAATCGTTCTCCGATAACACGGGCCGGACCTCTAGAGCAAATCTTTATGCTGCATTGTCGAATTTCGAACTGGATCACTACTCGGTACCATGCGCTCCAGCCGCGCTTGTGCAGAGATTCCAAGATCTTCTCAACGTTTGATCTTTACACGACTCGCTCGCGCGCGATCAGATCCGGCTCTGTGGAGTTGTTAATTGTCATCCTCGAACAACAGACTGTGCGAACAACCATGGTATCGATGGCCATGCAAGTAAAAGAGTCGCAAAGTCCGTGACAAGCCCGGCACCGAGGCACGGAGCTCGTGGAATCCGGAGTGCTTTGATTCCAAGAGAAGCGAGCAAATTACCCATCCATCACACAAGCGAATTTGAATGGATGTTCTCGTTATTTGACTCCTGATGGATTACAATCTCGAGCCTGATGCCGCAGACCGAGGACCACCAACGGCTCACGAGGGTCAACATATATCCAAGATTATCATACAGCAGACGTTTGGATCTGCCGGATTTGAAGACGGCAGAGCTTCGGATAACGGTAAGCACGGTCAACGTTCTATGATCGATTGTTTCGCAACAATGGGTTTCCCTCTTAGCCGGATACTATTTTAACGTCTTTAAGCACTCGTGCTTCACTATTGCCAGTCTGACTGCAACATCAAACGCCGCAACGTACACTCAGACGGATTTGTACCAATCTGAGGCATATCAATCGCTCTATCGCAGACTGGCAATATGCATGCGCGTCCTACTCTATTAACCACGTGCGATCGCTTGTCTCTCCTCATCTGGTCAAGACCCATCTATTAGAGCCTCTCCAAGTGCACGCTCGGTCCATGCTAAGGCAATTTAAGAACACACCCGAGAGCAAAAGATCCCTTGTTGGCTGGTGTCCAGCCACGCCGCCACTAGTCCTAATGACTACACAGGTGACTACATCGACCTAGCCCGCCGACGTTCGATCATACAGGGTCTTATATACTATGACTCGCGGCTGAAACGTGAAGGATTTCTCCACGACATCTTGCCTACACGCGCGGTTGACCAGAAAAGTGCTTTGCGCACGCGGATGCTTTCGCTTGCCGGTATTGCGAAACCAATGATCTTCTTGAGCCCTCACAGTCAGACAGATTAGCAATTAATCAAACACTCGGAATAGCACCGCCTCCACTGTTAGGTAGACCGTCTAACCTCCGGGACTACAACTCACCTCTGTGCCTTGGCGGTTGAGAAAAATCACAGTTTGTCTAGTACAAAAGACGTTGTTCCCCATTGACTCGGGCAATTGCTTTTTCCCATTCTCCACCACTACCGCCCTAATCACGCAACTTCATATAAGCTATACAACTTTCTGAGATTCTTGTTTGATCACCTTACATCGCATACCACCAACATCCAAAATGATCTTCGTCAAGTCTCTGCTCACCATCGCCCTGCTCTCTCTTGGAGCTTGTGCTGCTCCCCAGCACCCGCAACAGGTCCTGCCGCTCCTGCACTTCCAGCTCAACCCGCAGGCAACAAGACTGCCACTAACGGCGTTGGAAGCACTCCCGCACAAGTCAGCACTGATGTCCAAAAATCTTGTAGAGCTCCACTGATAAGTTTTGCCNAGAGACATGTCATCTCGGTCAGCCAAGCTGAGGAAATCATTGCCGCTGCTGTGAAAGAAGCCAACACTGTCATTCCCGAGAACATTGCCATTGTCGACCCCAGTGGCATGCTGGTCGCTTTCCACCGCATGGACAACGCTTTCCCTGGCAGCATTGACATCAGCATCAAGAAGGCTCGCACTACTGTTCTGTTCAACGGTGCTTACTCGACCGCCGATCTGACCGCAGCCGCTCAAGGTCCTCTTTACGGTATGCGTTCCCAACTCGAGGGTTAGATTCTAGCGTGAGCTGATAAGTCTGTACAGNGTGTTGAGGAGACCAACGGTGGTCTTGTTGTCTTTGGAGGTGGTCTCCCTCTTTACAAGAACGACTACCTTATCGGTGGTATTGGTGTCAGCGGTGGCTCCGTTGACCAGGACGTTCAGGTCGTCAAGGCCGCCGTCGCTTGGTTCAGCAACACTACCCTGGCCGCCTACTAAACTGGGCCTTTGCGACACGAAAAGTCTTCTCTTCTACTATCTGTTTCGGAGTGGGGGTTTGTAATGTTCCTCAACACCCTTGATGCTCCCTAATACCCTTATTGCACATTTTGCCTCTGGAATCCGAGGTCGTTGACTCCAATCAGCTCATTGCTATGTACTTGAGTAGCGAGAGGTTCCATATCTGGAAAGAGAATAGAGCCTATTTATGTTCCTGCATCTTGCTGCATGTGCTGGAGATCCCCCATGTTTCACTATGCCCCTGTGCGTCCGAGACCCTCATCAAGATCCGGTGAACAATGGATCGATCGCAAGTTTGGGTATAAATGCAAGATGCTATTGACTGGCATCATATATAGTAGCGGCTTCTAAGACCGACTGACCGCTCTTTCTGGGCATAACCGCCGGACCGAGCATCAGGGCTTTTTGACCTTCTATCATCACGCATTACCTTTGTCAGTGTGGATTTCACCTTTTGTTTTCAGAGCAGACGAGTCCGCCAGGAATACGAACGAGGATTGCAGCTGAAGACCACTGGAAGCTTAATTAATATGCAAAACGAACACATTGCTGAGATATGTTCTCAATTGTCGATTGATATGCTGATTGGTTGCTGTGTTTTCATGAAGTAGATGTGTTCGTTGCTCGAGATTCAACATTGAGGTTGGTATAGTTTGTTGCAGATGCTAACATTGCAGTCCATGTATTTTTGTGCTTGTTCAACGACTAAAATCTCATCTATCTATATTGTGCACTGCCGACATCGTCATAGTTCTTCATAGCAACTTTCCTTGTATTCTAACATCCTCTGCTGCTTGTCAAGACTTTTGCGGTAGTAGTGCTCTGATATAGAGCTGGACTCGGCATTACTTAGAAGTCGACCCGGGTCATATGGTCAACATGGTATTTCGAGTTTACAAAGACGGTGCTTTTATCTCTCCTTATACAATGCACTCTCTGTCGTTGATCTGAAAAGACATACATGCTCAAAACAGTGAGAGTCAAGGAAACATGAGGGTCTTCTTAAAACCCCGATTGATTGACAGCACCCCGCAGTGCCCGCACCTGCATGACCATGACGTTGTTACTTCGACATTATTATGTCCATATGAAGAAGGAGCGAACTTCTGTTTCCAATCACATTTCTAATACGCACCCAATGTCTTTCGATACCAATACACGACTCTCACAAACAACAAACACCACAAAACCAACCGCAAGAATGACGAAGAACCTAGTCCTTGATCCTTCTCACGCCGAGGCGCCTACTCGCGACCACCAGAACTATCCCAGCAGCTTGCCAGAGGCAAAGGAGACCAAAGTTCACCCTACCAATGCTGGAGGAGAGAATGCAAGTCTGTATTTCGTCGGTACCGCGACAACAATATTGTAAGTTCTGGCGATAAAGATAAATTGAATTTCGAAAGGCGATGACTGACCGACACTAGAGNAATGGGAAGGTGTCCGTATCATGACTGATCCCAACTTCTTGCATGCTGGAGATCACGTTCATCTCGGACCTGGAGTGACGGGCACAAGACAGACAAACCCTGCACTTGATCTCCACGAGCTTCCTCGCATTGATGCAGTACTGTTGTCCCACTACCATGCAGATCACTTTGATGAGAAGGTCGAAGCCTCGCTTCGCCGCTCTTTGCCCATCATCACTACACCTCATGCCAAAGACCATTTGACCTCCAAAGGCGACGACGAATCATTCAGCCGCGTCTACGATCTCGACTTCTTCCAGAGCATGTATGTCGATATCCGCAAATCTGGAACCACGCATGAAGTCACAAACAAAAAGGTGCCGGCTGTCAAGGTGACGGGTATGCCTGGTAAGCATGTACCTCAGGGAATGCTGAGCAAGGCCAACGACATACTCGGTGCCGTGCCTCCCACCAACGGCTGGATGCTGGAGTTGGGTTACAAAGAGGGCGATGGCAGTTCCACCGACAGTTTCAAGAACGGATACAGGTATGTGCTGATTGTCAATCTTCTTCAGTCCATTTCTGACGTGGACTTGCTANGAATCTACATCTCGGGCGATACTCTCATGGTCGACGAACTCAAAGAAATCCCGGAACGCTATAAGGGTCAAAACATCGACCTCATGCTGATCCACTTGGGCGGCACCACGATTCCTTCGCCGAAACTGCCAATGTTGATGGTGACCATGGATGCAAAGCAAGGAATCGAGCTCGTCAGAATGATCAACCCTGATTTGACAATTCCCATCCACTACGAGTGAGTGCTGCTGTTGTTTCTCAGCCCACAAAGGAAATGGCTAATCACGGTCTTGATACAGTNNGATTACGATGTCTTCTTAAGTCCTCTGGATGACTTCAAGAAGGAGATGGAGAAGGCAGGGTTGACTGACAAGGTTGTGTATCTGGATCGCAAGGACGAGTACAAGTTTGGTGTTCAACATGGATAGTGATGGAAGGTCGTGAGGACAGGGGTCAACAAGTTCAATGCTTTGAGGGCAGAATCGAAGTCAACGTCTTAGGCCCTTGCTCGATGACTTAGCTTTACTAGTCGAAAGGAGAACAAGCTCATATGAACGGAAAAGAGAAAGCACTTGCTATGTGGAGAGACGGAACAGAGGCCTCACGGCAGATCAAAACTATGTGACCATGGGATGGGGTCTTGTCAGATACGACAAGAGGAAATGAATGATGAGCGAGAAGACATGCAGAGATATCAAGAGAAAAAAACGTATACTTGACCGTCGACGAACACGAGACACGAACGCACAAGGTCTACGCGACAAAACATGAAGACGTTCAATAGAAGGCGAGGTACTTGTTGTCGCAATCGGGATTCTTTTTCATCTTATCGCAGCAAGGGAATGTTGAAGCCTGTTGTTCCTCCTCTTGTCTTTTTCTTCTGGCACCCATAGCTCGACAAAGAGCAGAGCCGCTCTGATGTCCCCATGCTTCTTTTGCTTGTCATTGGAAGTCCCTTGCTTTTGTCACTTCTTTAACATGGTGAGCCTCTTTGCTTTCTTCAATTGGCATCAAAACGCGCATTGTCGTAAGGTTCAATCAGAGTTCGGGGCAGATGAAATCGTGGATTTTTGATTCGTTTGGTGGTCGCTCAAAAGGTTGTTTTATTGACACATTTGTTTACTTGGCGACGCGCTTGCCCTTCTGGTTCTTCTTGGGGGCGTCGGTGATGGTAAGACCTTTTTGTCGCAATCGTGTTAGCCAATTGTCGTTCTTTTTCCTCGGATGTGCTGTTGGAGGCAGTTGTCGCATACCAGGGGGAAGAGACTGCTTCAGCTTCTCGGCCTTGTCCTGGTCCTTGAGGACGAGGGTGTAGAGGTAGCGGTTGCAGCGGACCTTGAACTTGATCTGCTGGGCGGAGGTCTTCTTGATGCGGGCAGCNTGTAGAACATCCAAAAATCAGTATTTTGCTCCTTCGACGCTCCAATTCACGGAAAACGCACAGGAAGCGTCCTTGCGGCGGCAGATCTCAATGAACTGCTTGATGTCGAGAACTTGGGAAGGCATGATGGGCGGTGATTGAGACGTATGTGGTATGCGTTACTGAGGTGCGGACGGCGGCGAGCTGCTGTGCTGTCTCTGTGGGACAGGCTAAGCGAGGTCTCTGCTGGATGCCAAGATTTCTGGCCTGCGGTTGCGTTGTGCTGTGAAGGGGGAGGTGCGCTTTGACCTCTGCCTTCTCGACCATCAAGAGGACAACATAGAGGGTAGTCAAATCAGGCAGACAACTCAAAGAATACCAGAATATTTCAGTTACCTATACACCTACGTATCTTCGACTTCCTTGGTCGCTATAACTTCAATTCTTTGACATCAAAAGATATAACCTCCTCGCTCAACCCATCATGCCTACTCAACTCGACAGAGCACTCAACTCGAAGGTACCCAAACACCGCTCCTAATCCTTGACATCACAAATACTCACGATAAGGATACTAACACATGACGTTTCCCACAAACAGAACCTCTTCTTCGGCTTCGCAGGCCTAGTTGCCGCATCAGCAGCATGGTCCATTTTCGGCAGCGACATCTTTCCCCAACAGCCCGATCCCACTGGTGGTAGGTAAAATACACATTATTGCTTCCAATCAGTACGAAAAGAGGAAGAAATGTATACTAAAGCGAAACACANNGAACCAGAAAACTGGACCGAAGAGGAAATGAGGAGATGGTTGAACAGAAGAAACCTCATGGCCAGCAGTTCGTCAACAAAGGAGGAGCTTTTGGCTAGGGTAAAGGCCAATATGCGTGCGCCCCAGTAAATGCACTGCGCTTAGCATGAAGAGGGATCAGGCTTGAGACGAGGGTACAAGGATGGAAATGCGTTTGTCATGACTGCTACGAAACTATGATACGACTATCTTACAAAACCCACTTGCTATAAAACTCTGCCGTGGGCATTCTGCTACGAATCGCTCAGTAGAGGTGCAAACAGTACGCCGGCTTGTCCTTTGCCTACCGGCACTCGAGACTCGCCATAATCCTCATCTGCACCCAACTGCGCATCTGCAAAGCTTCTTCTATCATCTGCTACACCAAGCATATCAAGCAACTGCTTAGCCTTTGCAGGCATGACCGGCTGCAGCATAATCCCAGCGAGACGCAATGTCTCCGTGCTCAAGAAGATGATATAGTCCATTCTACGCTCGGCCTCAATCTTCCAAGCGGTCTCGATTTTTTCGAAACCTGAGGAATCTGCNTCAGGGGTCGGCTCTCCTTTCTTAAGCCTAGCAGCGATATCCCACGGAGCGTGTGATTGCAAGAAGGCGTTTGTCATGTAGATGTGGTTCATCAGATCCTTGAGGGCAAGATTGGGTCGCAGAGCTTCCATGCGCTTGTTGACAAGTTCTGGCAGTTTCTTGAGTGACGATTCGAAATCGACAAACTTGGGTTCACTATCGTGATGTTGCCGAGCGCGTGAAGCGTATTTGTCGCCGGCAAATCTTCTGACAGCACGTCTGACGTCCCAACCTTTTCCGCGTGTGATTCTGGAAACCAGGTTTCCCAGACCTCCTTGAAGACCCTTCTTGTAACGCTCAATAATGTAAATGTTGTCGTAGTCTGCGTCATTGTCGATGCCACCATCGTGGATCATGTAATAGCGCATTGTGTCGGTGCCAAAGCGATCGAGGGCAAAGAAGGGGTTCACAACATTTCCAGTACTCTTAGCCATTTTNTGCTTGCCCAGCGTCCAATGAGCGTGCGTGAGGAAACGCTTTGGTAGAGGAAGATCAAGAGCCATGAGGAAGGCAGGCCAGTAGATGCAGTGGAAACGGAGAATGTCTTTGCCAATGATCTGCACATCAGCGGGCCAGCCGCCAGCGTGTTCCGAACCTGGAGCCCAAGGATAGCCAGCCGCCGTAACATAGTTGATCAAAGCATCCAACCAGACATAGATGGTCTGCGTGGGATCAGTAGGCACACGGATGCCCCATGTCAGCCTTGTGGACGGGCGTGAAATGGACAGGTCCTCGAGACCAGCAGTAACAGCAGACACAACCTCTTTCATCTTGGCCTCGGGGCTGATCCATTCTGGGTTCTCGGCATAGTATCTCAGAAGCTTGTCACGGAAGGCGGAGAGTTTGAAATGGTAGTTGATCTCGGATGTCCATTCGACTTCCTTTCCAGTCTCGATGGAGGCCATGACCTTCCTTCCGGTAGGTGGGTCCAACACGAGATGGACTTGAGATTCGGGATAGAAAGTCTCATCGCTGACCGAGTACCAGCCTTCGTGCTTGGATTGATAGATGTAGCCCCTCTCATTCAACAGATGCCAGGCGTACTCGACAGCTTCTTTGTGTGAAGGGTCGGTGGTCCGGATAAAGTGTTCGTTGCTGAGTTCGGCTCTCGCAGCCAGATTCTTAAAGATGTCGGCACCCTTATCACAGAAGGGTTTCGGGTCACTTCCGGCTTTTGCTGAGGCTTGCTGGATCTTCATGCCGTGCTCGTCGGTACCGGTCAACAGGACAGCCTTCTTTCCCTTTAGCACCTGCCATCTCTTCAGAACATCGGCGAGGACCATTGTATATAGGTGACCGGCATGAGGGGCGGCATTGACGTAGAAGATGGGAGTGGTGACATAGTAGGGTTTGGAATCATCTGCCGTGGGAGACACAGTCGTGGAGTCGTCTGTCGTAGAAGTCGTGGCCAGGCAGCGTGCACGCACAAGACGAGGCACCCATATCAACCGCAGCGAATGTGGTCGCCAGGAGCGTGAATACAAGGAGCGTATCAGTGGAGTCATTGAGAGAATGCGCCTGTGGAACAAGAAGCAGTCGCCAACATTTGTCCAAGCTGGTCCAAGCTTCCATTCCTCGTTTGCATGTGACAGTAACAATATTTTGTTCTCAAGGTACCTTGAACACACACATCCCATCACTCATCATGGCTGCCGCACTTGGAGAGGACGCCCTTACTCGCGTCTCGGCCAACGGTATGCTCTCTCTGTATCTACGCGACAAGACATGCCCTTTCTAACGACACCACANNGCTGCCGAAACCTTCACCGACGCATACTATGTCGCCCTGACCAGCGCTCGCGGCTCCCTGGCCGACTACTACGTCCCCAAGACCGTCCTCCCGACCGGAAAACTGCTGCCCCAAATCTCCTACAATGGCACCGTCATCTCCGATCCCGACGACTTCTCGAACACCTATACGACACTGATGCCCTACACCTTCTTCGAGGTCCAATCCATCAACGCACACGTCCTCAACCAAGCACTCGCTCCTCTGGACAAGACGGCAAAGCCCAAGGAGCAAGAGGCAAATATGAGCGTCCTTGTCCAGGTCAGCGGTTACGTGCGGCTGATCGAGCGCAAGGAGGGTCCAATGCGCGCCTTCTCAGACACCCTCGTCCTGGTCCCCAACAAGGAAGAAGCCGGCGCAAAGGGCAAATCAAAAACCGGCGAAGGCAAGAGCTGGCTCATCCAGAACCAGAACTTCAGATTTGTCGTTTGAGAGCCCACCTCTTCTCTCTGCGACATACCACCCTGTCTGTCTCATTCGACAATTCCACCGTTGACAACCAACATCACTAGCCACACCAAAATACACCACACGGAAGCCCTCGGAAACCTCCTGGGAATACGCTTTGAGCAACTGCCTCAGGTATTTGAATTGATTTCAATACTTTTCTCTATCAAAAGCATATCGGAACTTTTGGCCGCTGTTCGCTGTCGCGATTGCAAGCCACTTCCATCAGCCAAAGCCTAAAACGTTATACCAACTGTTTATCCCCACACCGCAAACTCCTGGAAATACGAGATAGTCGGGCCATTCCAAAAGCTTCGTCCTATAGGTTACGCGGCTGAGTTTGGGGAAAAAGTAAACTCTGCTTTAATACGGGAAAAAGAGAAGAGATGGGGCTCCTGTGGCTGGTGATTGGTATTCAGCAAAAGTTAGTGATAACAACAAGATGATGATCTTCTGCTCGCGTGGCTGTCAGATCCGAAATCCATTTGAAGGAAGCAAAATCATGATCTCGTCTATGTGGTGCTACAAGTGTTGGTGCTCAAGAGTAAGTCGTTAAGGATAACATTGTAAACCAACACCGTCAAACATGAGGCACCTGTGGAACGTACAGTATGTTCGGTCAGGCACAATAGACGTGACTGCAAGCTCCGCAGCAACGGCACTTACGCTCACTACACCCGCGATGCTGGGTAAGGCTTGTCAAGCCACAAGTGAACAAGACACACCACCAACAACTTCATGAGCCTGTCCTGTAGACCTCACAAAGCCTGTCAGACCATGGCTCTATTCTTTGGTAGTTCCTCTCATCGCGGTGGGCTTAGATAGCATGCTCGGTTCAAATCAAGACGAGATATACCGCCGATGCATCCATAGAGCATGGTCGGCCTGGCCACTTCATATATATTCGAGAAACACCATGCAGGAACATCTCGACGTGGAACATCATGGATGGTGGTCTTGCCCCAAGGGCGTCTAACCCACACTGGGCCGTACTGGTCCGCCATGAAGATTGACGGAGCGAGGCGCCACGAGGATTGACTGAGCGTTACCTGCCACGATCTCGTGTTCTGTTCTGTTGATCGAGGCACTCGGCGTCATGGTGGTGGTTTGCTGCCTCGATAGTCATGACCAGAAAGCTGCCGGTTACCCACGAGCTCGCTCTCGCATCGATGGAAGAGTAACAGAGTGATCATATCCGAATCGATCAGAAACGTTCGGGAATTAATAGTTGATGACCCCTCTCGCGTGTAGGAGTATCCTGCTGAAGCAGCGGCCGGCGGCCACTCCGTCGCACTCGTGACGTTTGCTGAGGCTCAAAACCAAGATTGTTGGCATGCTTGTCTTGTGTGCTGTGGAGAGGTTCCTGGTGTTGTGGAGTCTGTGGGGTCTTTGTGCCTACTTTCTCTTTATTGATCGACCATGTAAAAGAGGTATTCCATAGCTCAAAGACGCATGGAGTGGTCGCTGAGAAGGTCAGTCTCATCATTAGCAATCTCTATTGTCTTGGCCGATAACATGCACAATGTCTGCCATTTGCCTATTTGTACTGCCGCTTAGAAGACGAGTGACTTGATCCAACATGAAGTGCTGACAGGGCTTAGGGTCAGAGATCAAGATCAAGGCACTGCACGATATAGAGCAAAGGCGCCACAAGTCATCATGGTGACGCATCGGTGTCGGATTGGCCGTGATACAGCATGTAGCGGCTGGGGAGAAGAACGAGTCCGGCAACGGGAGAAGCTTTGTTTGCTGCAGGACGAGCATCAGTCGNNGTTAGAGACACTTGCCTGCATCTCGTGTGAGGAAAGCATAGGCTGTGGTGCCGATGATCTCTTCAGAAGATCTACAGTGGTGGCGGCGACGTAAATGAAGAAGAAGCAGGCGCAGAGGTGAGCGCTTCGATGAGGAGGTTGGGGTTGGTAAGGAACGACGATTCCATCTGATCAGATCAGGCATACCATGGTCGATGGAGCATTGGCAAGNAGAAGCATCAACCAACAAAGCACCGCCTTAGTCAGTTGACAGGAGAACAAACCGTGCTCCTTGTCGCTGATCGGCCAAACGTGTCAGAATCTAAGCAAGATGTGCTCTCGGACAAGCACCCAAGACTTGCACAGCCACAGTCTCCGCTTTTTGGTACGAGCAGAGGCATGAGCAGCGGCTGGCATCGGCAAGCGAAAAGCCACGGACATGGTTTGGAACGAGCGTGAGCAGAAGGAGTCGGAGAATTGCAAGAGAATCGACGGGTCGCTTGCAGAGTTTTGAGGCTCCAGCATGCGCGACTAGACTTCTGTAACTACGAGTCTGCTCCCCACGAGAGCGGCGGACGTTGAATGAGCCTCGAGAGCGTCAAGTCTAGATTGCAACACAGGGACAAGTGATGGCAGGTGTTCCATAAAGCGGATGGTTGTTCCATAAAGCCAGTTTAATGCGAGCGAGGGAGGTTCAAGTTGTCAAGATCTGCGGCGCGGTTGCCTCTGCGTCATGGGGAGCTTGATCAGGGCTGTCTTGAACCTTAGCTGCCTTCCAAGGTCTGTACAGCCTCCAGCTTTGGGAATTTCTGTTTGCCTCTGCAGTCATCAGCAAATACATACATCGGCGTCGCGTTCTGTTCGCGGCATGGACATTGAGCCCGTCACAAGCACCCACGCCTTTGCCATCATTTCGCCTCTTCTGCCACAGCAAGGCGTCTCAGTCTGACGTACCGCCCAAGCAGCCACAACGACCTACAGCACGCTGCACCAGCAGCGCAGCAGCAACGGCTCCGCGCCCATCTTTAGTAGCTGCGCCATCGCGCCGGGCCATCGCGCTGTCCGAGCATCCTTGATCGATTCTCAGTTCTCGACTGACAGCACCAGTGTTCTTGCTCCATCCTCTCTTCCTGGTTCACGGTGCAAAGAACGCTGCCACTCTCTGCCCACGCCACTTTGTCGCGTCGTCAACACCGCTCTGGCTTGTATCAACGTCGCCGGTGTCTGCCCGCATCACAGTGTTTACGCCACAGTCTTGGATCTGATGGACGCTTGATATTCGCGACTGTTTCTAACCCTGCTTGTCCCACAATTCTCGACAAAGATTCGCGAATGCGCTTTTGACCTGGCGCGCAACATCTCACTCCACCGCGGACCCTCTATAGGTTCGCATAACACGGCGACCTTAAACACATCACGTATGTGGGTCTCTTTCTTTTTCTTTTTTTCTTTTTCCTCGCCCTGTCGGAGTGTTTGCGAACGGTGGCTGACGTGCGCATAGCTGACTGCTAACACCTTGCGGCGAGTCAAATGTATGTATCCCTCGATGGCCACACGAGTTAGATCAGACAGCCCTCAGGTCGAACCTTTTCCTCCTCTTGAAGCACCACACACGCCCACCTCAGCCCCTCAAGCCGCCTTTGGCAATTCGAAAGAAGCTCGACACCTGCTCAAGCCACACGCACCAGAGTATACTGTTGTTTCACCAAAGTCCCCGGCACGGTACTCGCCCAGACCTCTTACAGGCGCCGCTGCTCAGGCTGATGCTAGAAGATTGCAACAACAGCAACCAACCCGCGAATCCAGTCAGACTACCCCAAACCCTGCCACCACTGCTCTGCATGCACTGATGAGTGGCCCTCCGGTATCGAAGGCCTCAGATCTCTCTCCTGTAAACCACTCTCCAGCTAGCCAGATGCGCAAACCAAGCACACACCTCACTGTGCCTGTCACAACGACTGCTGAGGCTTCTCAGCCTAGCCCTGTGAGCCTCAGAAGTTTCGGAGACTCGGATGCCGTTTCACCCAATGGCGCAATGACGGCAACTGCTCATGACCATACTCGAGACAGTCAACTGGTCGCCGAGCCTGGAGAGATGTCCAGCATGGACTATCCCGAGCCGACACGTGGATACAACCCGCCAACGAACGCTCATCCTTCGCACAAATCATTCACATACCCTGGTCCAGCATCCGTAGCAGCAGAGGCGGCCTCAGAAGGTCAGTCGAGAGCCTCTCCATCGACCAAACGGCACAAGTGTCCGTATTGTGCGACTGATTTCACACGTCACCACAACCTCAAAAGTCATTTGCTTACGCACAGCCAAGAAAAACCATATGTTTGCCAGACTTGTCAATCACGCTTCAGAAGGCTGCACGATCTCAAACGCCATACCAAGTTGCACACAGGCGAGAGACCACATATTTGCGACAAATGCGGCAGGCGCTTCGCGCGTGGCGACGCTCTGGCTAGACACAACAAAGGTCCTGGAGGTTGCGCTGGCCGCCGCTCTAGTTTTGGAGGAGATGACGACAGTAGAATGGGTGATGAGGGCATGGAGGGCATGGAATATGCTGATCACGGCGACAACGGCCACGACATGGATGATGAAGACGACGACCCGCGCAGGGAGAGCGAGCCGAGTCGCAAGCGTGCTCACATTGAAGACTCGCACGATTCCAACAGGTCTATCTACCGTCAACACTCGAGCACTTACCCACCACCTCTGGCTAGTCGCACGCACAGAGGCAACATGGGTCCTCCGAACCATCACATCCTACCATCATCCAGTTCTGTAACCTCTCCTGGCGAAAATTCCAACGTCAACTCAACAAGTAGTGTGGGACTGAACCCATACGGACCACCTACAGTTGTGCTTGGTGAAGGGGGCATCTCTCATTCGCCCAAGCCGCTATCTCCCAATCAACAAGATCAACATCGCCTCAGTATAGCTGAGGCCACCAGCGCTATGCGTAACAGATCGCCTAGCCTCACACAGATTCAACAAGCGCACAACGCTCGAGGTGGACAGGCTACACCGCCTGCTCCTCACCAAATGACACAACACAACCAGCTACCTTCACTAGCAGGTCTTGCTTCCGGTCATTCAATGAGATTGCCTATCCAATCAGCAACACACAATTCTATGCACAATAGCNATGCCTTCTGGACCTATTCATGGATCCAATCCAGGGAGTTTGTCAAGCCACGGACACAGCTCCGGGGGCAGCATGCGGAAATCATTGGTGACAACATTAACGATGTCTGGAACTATGTTAGAAACCTGGAGCAACGGTTCTCCCGCATGCAAGACGAATACGAACTGCGCATATCACGTCTTCAGGAAGACTTGATAGCCATANAGGGGCACCTTAGCTTCCAACAGCCACGTTGAAAGCAACACCTTTGGATACGACCAACGACGGACAACACGTCTTCTAACGAATCTGAGCTGGGATTGCTTGACAAGGTTAACATCTACCCAAGCATATCTGCAGCTTTTTCTTTTTTCTATTTTCTTCTTATACCCGAACACATCTCTTGGATGTGATGTTCTTCCTGTAGCACATGGTGGAGCGGGCGTCCCCTTGAGATGAGAGCATCGGCGTTGGCAGGCATGTAGCATGGTCGCTGCCGGATCCTTGTTCGTGAAATACGAAGCAGCTCAATTGTTCGAATTCTCCAAAAGCGTAAGAGTATTCATCACTTCTTTGCTTCCATTCGCTTGTTTTTCTCATCTCGGTACGGCTTGTCGTTCGACCATAGAGCTTTCTAGCATGAGTAATGCAAAATGACATTTTTGGTCGCGAATCAAGCTGTCATCCATCGAGACGTGAAACATACAATCCCTAGCGTTTGCATTTCATTCGGGTACAAACAGCGCTGTAGACAACATTCCATGCCAACCCCCAAGCTAATATGTCAGGAACGCAAACAATTGCGAAAGCATCTCTCTTGCGCACCTTCAACTGTCGACAATACCAGGCCTCGCAAGCGTTCAGACTCTGCACACCTACGCTGTCGGAACGAAAATGGGCCTTTTCAACAGAAGAAAGGTCGACGGCGACCTCGATGTAGACGCGCCAGTCAACGACACTGCGAGATCAACCACAACAGATGGCAGGACCGGAATCAGCAGATTTGGCAGAAACCGCAAAGCTGCTAATACACCGTCGTCTCGCTCTGCCACAACTGGAGTGGGCTCTCTAAAGGCAATACGCTTTGTGCAGTCGCTGGTGGACGTCTTGATCCTGGGACTTGTCGCCTATGCTGTCAATGTTTTCTCGGCCACGTTCGTGAGTGGATTCTCGAATCGATAATGTAAAGACCGCTTGGCTGACGCGGCATTGTAGTTGCAATCTGCATACATACCTGCACTGATGGCGGCTATTCTTACCATCCTGGCCACGATTCCATTGGCTTTCCTGCCGCGTTTGCCAGGTCCTTTTGCGCATCCACTCTCTGCTGGATTGGTCGACTTGTTCTTTGCGCTGTTCTGGCTGGCCATCATGGCTGAGCTTGCTGCGTATTCCGACGTTGCTGCCCCTAGGGATTTTACATACTACACAGGCGGCCTCGGTCAGCAGACAGACGGCAATGCTGCATACGACGCCTACAGCGGCACGCTGAACAGACTCAAGACGGCATGGGCATGTGGAGCTGCGGCTGCTGCATTCTCTGGCCTGGAGTTGTGAGTGCTCAGAACTATGGACTGTCTGAGTGTTGCTAATGTGCCATAGTNNGTTTTGTTCCTTGTCAGTGCATTGTTGCCTCTACGTGGTCGCTTCGTGGGGCCCGTCACAGGAACTGACAGCGCTGGCGTGCCTACTAATTATCATGGGTCTGCTCTACACAACGGTACTGAACCACCGTTCGAGATGCAGACAAGGAATGCTGGTCACACTGGACCGGCAAGTCCAACGAGTCCAGCTACAGTGCATGGTGCAAACAGTACAGGCGGCGTTCTCAACAGCGGTAACATGGTCGGAACAGCCAACAGCAACACATTTGTGCCTACTCCCNCTGGGCAGCATGAAGGTGCTTTCGGAGTGGGAGACAGAGCGAACATGATCTGAGTGGAAGCATGGTCTGATATTGACAGTCAGCAGTTGGCGAGGAAACTACTGCGGGGTGAGGTCAAGCTGCCAGGCACAGATGAAGTTTATGCAGGTCCTTGGTGCAGATTGTGCAAAAAGTGGGCTGAGGAGGAGCAGATGTGTGGGGATGGCCAGAAAGGAGATTAAGGTTATTGCAATGCGCGTGCTCCCATTCGTCGAGGGCCAAGCCAAATAATAAAGTAGTCCAACTCCTTTGTCTTGATGCCATCAATGTTGGTGGACTATGAACAATGACAGTCGCCAACGGAAGCCTCGAAATGCGCAATGGCGCAAAGCACTCAGTAACAATGGCCAACGGCAGCTCTGACGGACACAATGGCGTGCACTCGTCCAGCAGCGACGAAGACGAGTCAACTCGACGCAGCAGCGATCCTCGTCCAGCATACAAGCGCAAGATGTCGACACCATTGGCTCCTNCCTTTATGGTTTCAGCTCCTGGAAAGGTCATTGTCTACGGCGAACATGCTGTCGTCCATGGAAAGGTAGCACTCCTGCGACTCTCGCTACAATTGCATACACATGGCTGACCCCCTGGACAGGCTGCTATGGCTGCTGCCATCTCACTCCGTTCCTACATGCTCGTCACCACGCTCTCCAAGTCACGCCGTACCATTACTTTGCGCTTCCGCGATATCGACCTCGACCACACCTGGGACATTGACTCTCTCCCGTGGGATGCCTTCTCCCACCCCGATCGCAGAAAGCGCTACTACGACCTCGTCACCGAACTTGATCCCGTCCTTGTCGACGCCATGAAACCTCACATACTCAACGTTTCTCCTCATATCCCACTTCACGAGCAAAAGATACACCAGGCCGCAGCATCGTCTTTCCTATACCTCTTCCTTTCTCTCGGCAACAAGTCTTCGCCTGCCACCATTTACACTTTACGTTCTACGATACCCATCGGCGCCGGTCTCGGTTCCAGCGCCAGCATTTCTGTTTGCATAGCTACTTCCCTTTTAATTCAGGCTCGCGCTCTTTCTGGCCCGCACCCTGATCAGATGCCCGAAGAGGCAGAGAAACAAATAGAGAGGATCAATCAATGGTCTTTTGTGGGCGAGATGCTCATTCACGGCAATCCTTCAGGAGTGGATAATACAGTTGCTTCAGGCGGCAAGGCTGTCTTGTTCAAACGCGCAGACTACGCAAAGCCCCCGCTAGTACTGCCTCTACGAAACTTCCCAGAGCTACCGCTACTTTTGGTGGACACGAAACAACCAAAGAGCACTGCTGCAGAGGTCGCAAAGGTGGCTCAATTGAAGAAGACACAACCCAAGATCGCCAACCACATTCTGGACGCTATAGATAATGTCACCGAGTCGGCACACGCCTTGATCACCAGCCCTGACTTCGATCCCAAGGACCCTTCAGCACTTACTCAACTCGGCGAACTGGTATCGATAAACCATGGTCTACTGGTCAGTCTAGGAGTTTCACATCCCAAACTCGAGCGTCTGCGTGAACTCGTAGATACGGCGGGAGCTGGATGGACCAAACTCACGGGTGCAGGCGGAGGCGGCTGCGCATTTACTCTGCTCAAGCCAGATCTACCTGCAGTCGGTGAAGAAATGCCTGTCGCAGAAACGGTAAATTCACAAGCAGAGACACTAGCACGGCTGGAGAAAGAACTCNAAAAGGAGGGCTTTGAGAAATACGAGACAACACTTGGAGGCGATGGTGTTGGTGTACTGTGGCCTGCCGTACTCGACAATGGAAGCGACGAACTTGGAGGCGAGGAGATTGACCAAGACAAGTTTGAAGCAGTCGAGGGCCGTGAAGGTGTCGAGAAGTTGGTCGGAGTCACAGGTGGAGTTCACGGAGGTGTACGAGAAGGCTGGAAGTTCTGGAGGATATAGTTGGACTAAGAAGGCTTTTGTACAACAGAATTATGATGTTCCAATGCCAGCCAAATCCCTCGAGGTCCTCATGTGACAAAAGGAGGTGTTCCAAACAAGAGCGGATAGGGTGGGCGTTCGCGACTTGATATTGTTCTTCGATGCTTGCATGCGGCCTTGGCATTTCCCCGTTGCTAAACAATGACGCTTTTGATGTTGGTCCAAGCCATTAAATAATCCTACACCTTTTCTAGACACTCTTCACCGACAACGTGTACAAACAAACCATAGGAACCATGGGCAAATACTCGGACGACTCGGACTGGGACGACATTGTGCCCCTGCCTCAAGATGACGGCGGCCCCAATCCTCTCGCCGCAATCGCATACACAGACGAATATGCGGAAGCAATGTCCTACCTCCGCGCCGTCATGGCCAAGAACGAAATGAGCGAGAGAGCTCTCAGTCTGACCGAGGACATCATCGACATGAATGCTGCCCACTACACTGTCTGGTACGTCCACTTTCCTCAACCCTCTTACCCCTGCGAAACAGACTCGCTAACCTTCCAACAGGNNCTATACCGCTCCGAGATCCTCAAAGCCCTCAACGCAGACCTCGCCAAAGAGCTAGAATGGCTCAACGAAACCGCCCTCGCCCACCAGAAGAACTACCAGATCTGGCACCATCGCCAACTCGTCGTGGACCGCTTGGATTCCTGCAAGGGCGAGGCAGATTTTATCTCGCAAATGTTTGAGCTGGATTCGAAGAACTATCATGTGTGGAGCTACAGACAATGGCTGGTGCGCAGATTCGACCTTTGGGATGAGGGAGAGTTGGAGGCCACAGAGAAGTTGATTGACGAGGATGTGAGGAACAATTCTGCTTGGAACCATCGCTTCTTCCTTGTTTCTGGGAGCACACCGCCAAAGATTGGGGACAAGGGTGTGGTGGATAGAGAGATCAAGTAAGTCTTGGCTGTTCCGCTGGCAACCTACTCGCAAAGCTAATGTATAACACAGGNNTTTGCTCAAGATGCCATCCGCAAGGCACCACAAAACCAGTCGCCTTGGAACTATCTCAGAGGCATCATTACTGCGGCCAAAATGCCATTGTCTTCACAATTGAATTTTGTCAATGGGTTTGCAACTGTAGACTCGGAGCATGAGGATGCTGTCAAGTCTAGCCATGCACTTGACATACTTGCCGAGATCTATGCTGCCGAAAAGGAACAGAGTGCTAAAGCTGTCAAGGCTTATGACTTGCTGGCTTCCAAGTATGATCCCATCAGAGCCAACTATTGGGCATACCTCAAGGATCAGTTGAGTGAGGGTCAGGTGGCTGCCTAGGATATCAGGGGCTGCAAGTCAGGCAGATGGATGGTTTTGTTTTTCATTGGCATAGGTAGCGAATCTGCTCTTTCTTAATTCATGATACCCAGAAGGGCGTTTTGTCCATTTTCAGTCTATCTTGCATAGTTTTTATGCTCTCGGTCGTCGTAATCTGAATCTGATCGACTTGCCATGAGCATGGTTCTACTGGCTCAACTCTGCATCAACATGCAACGAGTCCTTTTTCCACTGCGAAACCATGTCGATGGTGACATTGCTGCCACCACACACGATAATGACAACCTTGTCGTCTTTGGAGACTGGTCGCTGCAAAGCTTTCTCCAAGCGACCCCCATAGCACAGAGCCACTGTAACACTACAACTCAACTCGACCAACAATCTCTCGTCCTCTGCTAATCTCCATGCGCCCATCATAGCTTCCTCGTCACTCAACACCACAGTCTTGACTTGCTCACTATTCTGCATGGCCAACTCGAAGGTCCTCGCCGACACCTTTTTGGCACCTAGGGTGGTTGCTTGAGATGTTATTGCAGGCAACGTGATGTGAGATTTCTGTCGCACGCTTTCGGCCAATGAGTCCGCGCCTTGGGTCTCCACTGCGAGTGTCTTTGTGGCGTGCCAGGAGTGGCGGGATACTCCCTCCATGATGCCGTTGAAGAGACCTCCGCCACCTACACTGCAAGCCAATACGTCTGGTGCTGTGTTGTCTTGGCCAGTCAACTGCGACAGTTGAACGCTGATCTCGTCGATCAGCGAGGAATGCCCTTTCCAGATGTCAGGGTGATCAAAGGGAGGCACATAGACGCAATCTTCTCCATTTTCTGCTGCTGTCTTTATGACGACGTTTTGAAGGTAGTCGTCTGCTTCTTGCCAGCTTGCGCCGTGTTGAAGGACGTTTGCTGCGCCTGCCGCGCGCATTTTTTGCTGCATCATTGGTTTTGTGGTCAAGGGGACTACTACTGTGCATGGTCTGCCTAGCTTTACGGCACTGTGGACGGCGGCTAGGCCGGCGTTTCCTCCCGAGGAAGAGAAGAAGTGGACAGTAGATGGGTTTGGTGAGGCAGAGAGGGCGCATTGCATAAGATAGCCTATTCCTCGTGCTTTGAAAGAGCCGGAGAGTTGCAGGTTGTCGAGTTTGAGGAATACTCTNGCTGTTTTTCGCGTTGGCCTTTTGGCGTTGTCTCTGAGTGATGGAGGGTTCGGGAAGACTAACCAACCTGCTGTTTTTGAGAGAGGTGTAGATTCAATCAGTGGTGTTTCTACCCAAGGGTTCTTGTTCTTGGAAGGAGCCATGCTTGCTGGTGGATGATAGACTCAATCTGTAACGTATGGGAATTGAAGTGTTTGATGGTTGAGTTGGAGAAAAGCAGATGTCGTTGAAGAAGCCTCGGCTAAATGCGATAGCTGTTGTTGTCAAAAGAAGGGCGGATGAAGCCTGGCTTGGTAGAACAGACTGGTGCATAGAATGCGATCATCTGTTTCTCCTGGATGGAACCTTCATACATATGCATACGGCTGCTCTTTTCAGACGAGATCTTCAAAGTTCAAAGACCTGATCACAGTCGATGCATCCATGATGCATCTCAGGGTCCTTTTCGGAGTTTGGAGAACAGAAAGTTTAATACCATGATACATTTTGGACTATGGTAATACTGCATTAATGGTTCTCGCCCCATCGTTCTGATAAGTCATCTCGCGAGTTGCCAAGTTGCATGACGAAGAGGTTGCCTGGCTCTGTAGAATGTTCGATGGTTGGGAAAGGCGTCATAGGCTCGAGCGTACGACTGGCCGGCCCCAGGCCCGTTTCAGGACGTTTCTACCCCTCCACAAGTCGTTGCTACAACAAACTCTCCTTTGTTTCGTCTCTCCTTGACATTCCAGATCACGCACACTGTACCGACCGACACAATGGCCGCCTCATCGGCATCCATCCCGCGATTCCTTCTGCCCAGGTTGTCATGGTCTCTTCAGGCCCCGGCTCCGTTTCATGCCGCCGCCCGCATCCACGTCCCAACGCTACCGTCAGCCTCGATGAACTACACCACACGAGCACTATCAAGAGCACAGAACTTTCCTTCCGCCGGCCGTATCGCATTTGGACAAGCTGCAGTACATCCCAGGAGACACTTCTCGGCCACCACCCAGCGCAACAGAGATCACCACTTTGACACACTCAAGTTTGTGCAAAGGCTGAAAGATGAGGGCTTCACCGAGGAGCAGGCAGTGGCCATGATGAAGGTCTTGAGCGATGTCGTCGAAGAGAGGTACATGACAACCCAACGTTACTGCAATGGAGTCAAGCTGAACGGGCATCCTATCACANGTATCCAAAACCTCACGCGGACAATGGTACTTCGCGAAGACCAAGAAAAGGCCACATACACGCAGAAGGTCGACTTTGCCAAACTTCGCTCCGAACTGCTTTCAGCCGACTCTACCGAATCATCACTGACGCGCGCCTCACACGAGCGTCTGACCAACGACCTGGCCAAACTCAACTCGAGGCTACGCGATGAAGTCCAGCGTACACAAGCCTCAGTGAGATTGGACCTCAACCTGGAGAAGGGGAGAATCAGAGAAGAGGCAAACTCGCAGGATCTCAAGATCAAGGAAACCGAGACCAGGATCGAACAGGAAGCGGCAGCACTAAGAGAACGTCTTGAGCAAGTCAAGTTCTCGACGCTGCAATGGTTGATGTACGTTTCATCTCCGAACGGACCGACGGCAAATGGAGGCTTTGCTAACATGGGGATTCTAGGGNGTGTAACGACGGGTACTGCCGCCATTATTCTCGGTGTGTGGCGCTTGCTCATGTAGCGGCATCAAGACTCTTGATACAGGGTGAGAAGTCGTTCTCTATGGTTTCGTTTGTTGTCCCACGTCATTGATGGGAAATATACTTTCCTTGTTTGGTTGTTGCTTTTCCTATGTCATGGTCAAGGAGGGACAGGGGCGTTTAGGAGATATATGGCTTGGAAAGATGGCAGGGAAATTGAGGGCATTTGACTAGACTGTCATGGTGGCTCTCGAGATTATCAGATACCCTTTCTCAGAGTAGCATGATGTAGGCAGGCGCCAGAAATAGAAGGCTCTTCGGACAAAAGTCTCGTCTTAAGGACCAGTTTGCGTGTTTATTCTCGGTGAGTCCTTTGTAATTTTAATGGTGATGAGGGGTTCTACGCTCAGGGCAGGTTTGCTAGTCGCGACATGTCGCTAGTTCAGGGTCGCGGTGTTGATGGGTCACGTGGATCGGAGGACTGCGATTGTGGCCCGCTCGCAGCAGCGCCTTGGACTTCTAAACAAGCAGCTTCAACCTTTCTCACAGACACACCCTCCGCCGCCCAACTCCTCACCGCCTCAATCCAACCTCCATCCACTCCCATCCCACACACATTCTACAATGGCCACCGAAGTAAGTCGCGTGTTCCGTTGCATTAGCCATCCAGCTGCGCAGCCTCCAAAGCCCAACAAAACTGCTCGACCCCTCACTCGTCCCCGCGACCCGATGCGTCCAATGATAGATAGATCGCTGACTTTTTCTACCTTGCAGCGTGAAAGGTATCCAACGACTACACCAAGGCAACTACGACCCGAGAGAAATCTAACATCCAAGCAGCAAGACCTTCCTCGCCAGACTGTGCGAGCAGGCTGAGCGTTACGATGGTACGTTGGTCCGGAACATCCATAGATCGTGTGTTGAATGCTAAACATGTCCAACAGAGATGGTTACCTACATGAAGGTTCNNGCAGCTGCATCACCCCCTGACGATCTCCACCTTGCTAACCATCAATTCGCCATAACAGGAAGTCGCCAAGGTAATTCCAACTCGGCCCAGACAACTCCCTCAACCACTAACAACAGCCAGATCGGTGGTGAACTCACCGTTGACGAGCGCAACCTCCTCTCTGTCGCCTACAAGAACGTTGTCGGTACCAGACGTGCCTCGTGGCGCATCATCTCCTCAATCGAGCAGAAGGAGGAGCAAAAGGGTTCCGACAAGCACGTTACCATCATCCGCGACTACCGTCAGAAGATCGAGACCGAGCTCGAGAAGGTCTGCCAGGATGTCCTTGACGTCCTTGACGAGTCCTTGATCCCTAAGGCCGAGTCTGGCGAGAGCAAAGTCTTCTACCACAAGATGTGTGTTTACATTACATCATTGATTTTGAGTTACTTTTCTGACACTCATCCAGGANAGGGTGACTACCACCGTTACCTCGCCGAGTTCGCTTCCGGCGACAAGCGCAAGACTGCCGCCACCGCTGCCCACGAGGCCTACAAGGTATGTGGCCATTCAACCCTGTCGCTGCACTGGACCCTCGCTGACCAACTCTTCCTCAGANGCGCTACCGACGTCGCCCAAACTGAGCTTACTCCTACTCACCCCATCCGTCTGGGTCTTGCCCTCAACTTCTCCGTCTTCTACTACGAGATCCTCAACTCCCCTGACCGCGCATGCCACCTCGCCAAGCAGGCCTTTGACGACGCCATCGCCGAGCTCGACTCGCTCTCAGAGGAGTCTTACCGCGACAGCACCCTCATCATGCAGCTCCTCCGTGACAACCTCACCCTCTGGACCTCGTCCGACGGCAACGAGCCAGAGCCCGCTGCCGCCTCCGAGGCCCCCAAGACCGAGGAATCCAAGACCACCGAGTCTGTCGAGGAGCCCAAGGCCGAGGCCTCGTAAAGAGATGACTCGAGTATCACGAAATCCACTTGACCATTTCACGTCTTTTTTTCGCACAGACGCCCTCTGGCTTGGAGCGTGTCGTCTGGCCTGGAGCACTACTGAGCGTCGAAATGAATTGATTCCCCAAAATGCGTTGCAGCTTGACGAATACACTAGCCGATTTGACATTTTTCTACCCATCCCTAAACTCTCCACAAACCTCTCTTTTCATTTTGGCTCACTCAGTACTTGCGAAACAAACCTCGTGCTCCTTGCTTTGATTGACCGCCGTCCCCTTTGACTGCGCTGAAATACCCCCTTTGGTTGTTTTTACTGTATTCCCTTTTACGTCATTCCTTATACCTCACCTCGCTCACGAAGCGCCAAATCAACATTTCAACAAAAAAATTGACGGTGCTTGACTTTTCTATGACGTTGATGTTTCTTTGTCTGCAGCACAAGGTTATTATTGACGACTTTCCAACAGGATTGCATCGCCATCCGCCTTCATCTCTTCCCAACCGCCTGTGCTGACCTGCAAGGTTTGCCGACAGAATGTAGAGGAATAGGACGACACGATTCAGGATGGAAAGGTTTGCAGATCGAAATCATTGTCGGAACTTGAAAGGAGCACTTCACGCAACACAGCGGCGTGCTCTACACCTTTCTCATTCAAGAGAACCAAAACGGAAGCCCGACACTTCTTAGAAGACAAATCATACCGATCTCTATATATACAAGAACACTTCATTCAAAGGAGCAATCGAGAACAACAGTTGAAACATGACGATAGCATTATTCAGAAAAATATGGCAGCATCAACTATAAGCTTCCACACATCAAATACTCACTCACACAACACTCTCCACATCTAAGCAAAAGACCCTATTCCTCCGCAACACATCTCAAAGGTCTAACAAACGCACCACCCAAACAATCCCCCAAGTCCATCTGCACGTCCATCTCTCCCTGCATCTTGATCAAAAAATGCACGACTCTTTTGTCTACAACATAGCCTGATTTCTTCCACCTGGCATTCAGCCACTCGGTGAGTGCATCGCTGCTATTGTGCCAATTGTATTTATACCAAGCACCGAGGATTTGGGCTGTTATGGGGGAAGGGGGACAGGTCAGTTGTGCGGTGGAGGAATAAGTGAAGGAGGTGCTGGAGGTGCTGGAGAGATAAGAGGAGCAGGAGGTTGAGGGGTGGGAGGGGATGGTGAGGGTGAGGTCTGACAGGTTGGGGAGGTGGAGACGGAGGTGAGAACGCATTTTTGTTGTTGTTTTTGTGGTTGTCTTGGGAAAGGGCGACTGCTCACCGGAGGTCTGAAGTTGTGTTGGAAAGCAAAGGACTGATGTATAGAAGGATCAATGATCTCTCTCGTTTACGTTTCGATATGATCTTCCTAGCCTGAGGAAAGTTTTGATCGTGGGAAACGTAAAAAATAGAGAGGAAAGGTGAGTCCAAGCTAACACAATCAAATGTCCAGGTTTTCAGAGTCTGATGGTGGTGAGCAGATAGGTCAGATTGGAAGGGTGAAGATCATTGATATAGACAGGATGCTCAAAGAGCTAATCAACAAAGAAGTTCGTTGTAATGATATTGACAATGACCATTGGTTCTTTCTCCTTTACGAAGAGTTGAGACGCAGAGAAAAAGATACAAAGAAAGCTTTGATGTCTTTGATAGCTTTTTGGAAAGGTGATGTTTTTGAATATCGCTCGCAGAAGCTGTGTAGACCTGGTTACCAATTGCGCCGCTCTGGCATTGTTAGGCTTCTCTTCCTTGAATCACCCGACAGAGATCTGAGGCTCTAAACCTTTTCTCAGTCATGCTGCGAGGTTCCGATAGTAGTATATAATGCCGATAAGCATACAAAAGAGGCTTGTGGGACACATATCTGGCAGCAACGGAAAGGTGAGTAATGCATGGTGGTCTAAGATGATGTCCTCTTGAAAGGGTGGTGCCCAGTCCTCCTGACTCGACTTTGTGATACTTTTCTCTTTTGGTGACGATTGACAGTAGTGGCGGTAGTGATATTATCGTAGTGTTCGACACTGCCTTCATCGTCGGACAAGATAGCTGGGTCGCCGAGTTTTTCTGTTTACCGAGCCATGCCTGATCGTATGGAGTAGGATTCGTCCTTGTCTTCTTCATTCTTNGGTCACTTCATTCTCATCTCCTCGCGTGCGTCTTTCTTCTCACGCCCGCCTTCTGTGCCGTCTTGCTCTGACTGTGTTATAATGGCAGTCTCATCATCGGCTTCTTCTCCTCCGTTGTCCAGGGGCTCGAAAGTGCCTGGCTGCTGCCCTCTCTTGAACTTGAGATCGACCAGTCCGAAAAGGCGTGCAACTTCGTTATCATCGCTGACATCGAGGTTGGCTCGAGCGACTCATGACTTGGTGCGATTGTTGATGTCCATCATGCTTGGTCTTGAGGAGATGGGATCGAACGGAGGTGGTTCCAATGAAGAGGCTGTACAATGATCGCTCCGAATTTGTTGTGGATTCATTGGTGTGTGAATAGAAGCATATGTTTCGCTTGAGCAGTTTGAGGCAGCGTATCTGAAGTGAGAGGTAGAAATGTGAGGGTGGTGTCGCTGCTTAGTCTTGTTTTTGAGTTTTGATTAGGTCGCTGCTTCCCCATGCAAGTTGCACAGAGAAACTGCAAGTCAGCACTGGCCCTTGAGCAGACAGAAGGAGCAGTCCACTACAGCTTAATGGAGGAAGGAGCAGTCTACTAAGGCCCAAGGAAGCCATGAATAGTATTCCTGCAGTGTGGAATATCAATTCGATTAGCCGTAGCAGCAAGCAACTCGGCACACACCATCACAGTCTTCATGGACGCTCGAGTCATCGAGTTCATACCAGAGTAAGGATGTTGGTACTACCGTAGCCACTGAATGATGTTTGCTCTTGGCGACGAAGCAGCGGAAGCACCGACAACATTGTACAGACTGGAAGCGACAAGAAATGACATGGTAAGATGGCTCTTAGAGGACAGAATATGTGTTGTCGTGGTTGAGAACAGGATCATTAGACTCGGTTGGTGCCATAATAAACTTGTTGTTTCTTAGATAATATTGTTTTCCAATCGTCTTTTAGATTGCAAAGAAAATGCAAGCAAGAAAATGCGCATGAAGATATTTAATAGAGTGGAGTTGTTTGGGCGTCGTTGCGATGTTCAGATGCCGATGATCGAGGAACATCGAGAATAGAGGGCATCGGCGGGTGCGCACGGCATGTCACTGATGACCAACGAGTTTACAGCAAACAGTGCTGATGGAGAGGACTGGAGCTAGGAAAGGAGACAAAGACGGCTCAAGGGGATCATCGATTTGAAAAGGGTACAGCGGGAAAACAGACGGCATCACTCGTTGCAAGGTGGTGAGGTGGGGATGGTCATGGATTTCCTGAAAGAAGGTCTGTCGGCAGCATGACGATTGGAGTGCACGGTACATTTCCTGGGGGCGTTGAGGAGCGATTTTTGGCCGCAACACTAAGCCTGAGGCTGGCTACGCACACACGGACCTTGAGCCTTTTCTTACCTCTCTGTCTGTTTGCCGCCTCTCCTCCTTCTTGCAACTCACATCGCACTCAAATCACGCATCCCACGCGTCCGCTTCATCCTACCACGCACACTGCGTCGTTGAATGAACCTGGGCGACTGAGGGATTTTCGTCACCTCTTCTTGTGGCTTCTTACAACGAACTCTACCGTCTGCTTTTGGTCTGCACCAGACACCGCTATTAGATTCGCCCGAGTCCCAGCTGCCGCATAGGACTATCTCTGGGGTTCTTCCTCTCTCGGAGGAAGACTCGTGGAGGCCTAGCCGTCAATCCAGTCTAGGTTTCGCGCCCTTCAAGCCGCCATAAGACGTATTGGACAAGACTGTACACCACTCTAAACACCACTCGATTGCGAGCCTCACTCACACTTCTACTATCTGGTTATGGCACCTTCGGCTATCTCTCCGACCACTGAGCACTATGCATCTCTGTCGCTGAAAGAATCCTACAACCCCCGTCTCGAAGAAAGCCACAATGGAAAGGCTCTCTCCAAGGCCCTGATTGGCCGTGCTCTGCAGCAGCGTGTGCAGAGCATTGACGAAGACACTTGCGAACCCGGCGAAGAGGACGCCTTCTTCGTTGCCGACATGGGCGACATCTACCGCCAGCACCTTCGCTGGAAGAAGCACCTCAACCGCGTCAAGCCCCACTATGCCGTCAAGTGCAACCCCGACCCTCAGGTTCTGCGTCTGCTTGCTGCCATGGGCACTGGCTTTGACTGCGCCTCCAAGGCCGAGATTGATATGGTTCTCCGCCTCGGCGTTGACCCCTCTCGCATCATCTACGCCCAGCCTTGCAAGACCAAGTCCTACGTCCGCTATGCTGCCAAGCAAGGCGTGCGCCAGATGACTTTCGACAACTCTGACGAGCTTTACAAGATCAAGGAACTATACCCGGATGCCGAGCTGTACCTCCGCATCCTCACCGATGACTCGGCCAGTCTCTGTCGTCTGAGTCTCAAGTTTGGTGCTTCGCTCGACGACACGGGTGATCTTTTGGCTCTCGCCAGAAAGCTCGACCTGAACGTTGTCGGTGTCGCTTTCCACGTCGGATCGGGCGCTTCTGACCCTGCAGCCTTCCTGAAGGCCGTCCGTGACGCCCGTTTCGTCTTTGACCAGGCAGCCGCTCTTGGATATGAACTCAAGACTCTCGACGTTGGTGGTGGCTTTGTTAGCGAGACCTTTGACGACATGGCCGCTGTGTTGTCCGTTGCTCTGGACGAATACTTCCCTCCCAGCGTCCGTGTCATTGGCGAGCCTGGACGCTACTACGTCTCCTCGGCCTTCACCATCGCTTGCAACGTCATCGCCCGTCGCTCGGTCGAAGACAAGGCTCTCGGTGTCAACAGCTACATGCTCTACCTCAACGATGGCGTCTACGGCAACTTCAGCTCCATCATGTTCGACCATCAACACCCCATCCCCCGTGTGCTGAAGGCTGCAAACTCGCCCGCCTCTACCTACGACGCAGTTGCCGCTTACGATGCTGGCAACCAGCTGCCTCTCGAGTACTCCATCTGGGGTCCCACTTGCGACGGCATTGACTGCATTTCCGAGAGCTGGACCTGTGCCCAGACTCTCGATGTGGGCGACTGGCTCTACTTTGAGGACATGGGCGCATACACCAAGTGCAGTGCCACCAAGTTCAATGGATTTAGTGACAGTCACGCTACTGTCTACATTTCCAGCGAGCCTGGCGCCTCTGCTCTTTTGGGATACTAGGTGCGATTCTTGAATTATCAAAAGGTGGATGCTCGTTCGCGGAAAAGTGATTTTTGTTCATGTTTTTTATCATTGTTTTTCGAGTACATATATTGCTTAGCTGTTTAGCTTAATACACGTACATGGAATTTGTTTATATGCATATTTGCTCCTACTTTGTCAGTCATTCTGTGTCGTGTGACCGACCAATAACCTGTTCTTGTAAACTGCTCCGGGTCTTTGAACTTGTTGATATGTTTTGATCCATGTGGGCAACCAATGAACACAACACCTTGTGCTGTCATAATATAATTGGTACACTTTTCTGTGTTCATCGTCAATACTTTTTGGCCTCCCCTTCTTATGCAGAGCTTAGAAATCGATCTCTGCATGTTGGTTGACTCTCACGTCCAATCTGATGATGTTATTCACGCTTCTAGGCTTTTCTGTTCAGTGATATCAATTTACTAACGAACGTCTACATGTTCAAATGACCGCATACAGATAGATAGACTTACCAGGCCATATCATAGATAACGTGATATTACCGTATAGACATCCAGGCAACTAGTGAAGAAGTATTTCGTTGATAATGTTTAGAAGGGCAGGGTGGTCCCCCGGTCAAGATCGACGGCCAGAAAAAACAGTCGATGGTTACAATCCGATAGGTCACACACGCAGAATGCCCAGAAAAATGGCAGGCCAAGAGCAACAAGGAAGGCTTATCTTTTCCGGAGATCGATATCGGCTGCTTGTGTACAAGATCGTCTGTCTAGACCACCGTGTAGACCTTCTGTGTGGTAATTCTCAACCCGCGACTTGGTTGAACCTCTTGGTCAGCCACGTCGTTCTAATCCTAGGGCGAACTTTACGATACTCGAGGACGTGAGGTTTGGGATGTTTATGAATTCTCAAGCATGCATGTACAGAAATAGAGCTTTGAGGAGTTTGGAACAAAAGTGGTAAACAAGAAACAACGCTCATGCTTTGAAATCTGATCGAAGTCGAAATATAGTAGATACAACGTTACAAGCCTGCTCCCCAGGAGCACAAGAGGGTATTTCGTACATTTTCTCTGCTTCCGTTGTGTAAAGACTTCCTCATCGTGGAGGGACGTCATAATGCTAACAACCCAACCCTGCATTGCTTCGTTTGCATTCATCGTAACGAAAAGGCGTGCTTCGTGTTGCGGACTGAACTGAAAAGGGAAACAAATGATCTATTTGCCCTTCTCGGTGCCGTAGTGAGCCTTGTTCCAGGCCTTGTCGAAAGTGCCGGGCTCGCCAGGACGCTGGGAGATTTGGTTCTCCTGGAAGTGTTCACTGCGGATGCCTGAGGCGTTGGTCTTTGTGTTAGAAGTCAGTCTAACAGGATATTTTGGGGGATATGAACCTTTGGGATCTACCTGGTTCTCTTGTGTGTTTTCAATGTTTCCGCGGGGNGTAGCGGCGCCAGGGGTGTGGACGTCTGAACCGCCGCCTGCCGACCAGCGGGCGCCGATGTTTTTNGTGCCTTGGGTCTCGAAGACGTTGCTANNTGATTGGAGAGTGAGGTTAGCCAGGAGCTCAGGAGAAGCTGCGATGGGGAGGATGGCATGATTGAAAGAGAAAAAGCAGCCAATTGCTGAGCTGCGTTCTTTGCAGTTGCTTCACAATGTTGTTCTGAGGAAGTTGGGTTCTGGAGGCATTGAAGAGAACGGAAGAGGAGAAAACGCGTACGAGGTCTTAGAGCCGGGAGTAGGGATGAAAGCAGCACCGACAAGGACACCACCAAGGATGACCAGGTTGCGAGGGCGGCTCCAGAAAGACATGGTTGATGTGAATGTGAGTGTTGGTGGACTAGTTGAAGAAAGCTGTTCGGTAGAAGTTGTCAATTGAAAGGGTTCAGGGAAGTCGAGTGTTGATGATGTAGAGTCGAGGAGGAGAATTGATGTCAGAGGGGACAAAAGAGCAGAGGAACTCAGTTTTGGTCAAATAGGTTCGACATCACCTGTCTCGATGGTCAGTGACGACATTTGGACGATTTCAGTTTAACACGGTCCCTGATCCAGATCGGGTTAGCTGATTGCGGAGTAGCTTGATCGATTTTGTGCTTGCAGCTGCGTTTATGCAGCCTTCACAGGGGTTGTTGGCAACGCAAGCTTGCTTGGACCAACGTTTGATTGTAGACATTTTGGGGTGGCTCCTGTTTGCGACAGCACGCGACTCCTTGAATGTCCATCTCTGTACACATTCAAACACAGGGTCAGCCGTCATGGATGGGGATCCGGCAGTCGAGTCGCAGCTAGATGGCTTCAGCCTGGTGCTTCCGCTGCCGTATCGTGTTGCTCTGATCATCGTTCTGGGTACGCCATGTTTCCACGTAGCAGCAGGCCTTCTATAGAGGAGTTGACCAAACATATAGNGCGTCTGGGCTTGGGGACTGAATCTACACTATCTGCACTTGATCAAGATTGTATGCAATTCTCTGCCTCGTTATTCATATCATGAAACTGAGCCAGTGGCTCATTGTACTCGCATAGNNGACGTGCCATCCCTTATTCGCTATCCTGCTCGTAACTCTCCCACCGAACCGCCGCACCACCTCTCGACCTACCGCCTTGCGACCCTCCTTACAATTCCTCTCGCTTTCTCGCTGTTTCTCTTCTGGATCATCACACATGGCAATCCTGCCTCGGTCGCAAACTGGGAGATTCTACCCAATCTATACCTGCTCGTACTTGTACTCGCATTCGTCCTGCCCATCCAGCGCGTCTCACGCAGTGGCCGATACCGAACCCTCGCCACCCTCAAACGCGTCAGTATAGGTGGGTTGGCTGAAGCTCACGATGGGAAATTCGGAGATGTTCTGATGGCCGATGTCTTGACAAGCTATGCAAAAGTTATGGGAGATTTGTTCATTGCTCTCTACATGTTCTTCTCTTCAGGAAGGAGTTCAACAGAGAAGCCGGATCGACAAGCCGGAGGTTCATACTTGGTGCCTTTCATCATTGCTATTCCTAGCATGATTCGCCTGAGACAGTGCCTGATTGAGTACTTCAGAGTCCGCAAGGCCAATGCAAAAAACGGGGGCATAGGTGCTCATGGATGGGGTGGCCAGCATCTTGCCAATGCTCTCAAGTATTCGAGTGCCTTTCCAGTCATCATCCTGAGCGCATTGATGAGAGGATACGACCCAGCCAAAATTGGCATGTCTGAAGCCGGCTTGTTTCGCCTATGGTATGACAATCTTCCTATCCACCGACGGCATCGCTCATAATCTGCAGGCNTTTTCTTTGTTTTCGTCAATTCCTTCTACTCGTTCTACTGGGATGTCACAAAAGATTGGGATCTGTCCTTGTTCTCGACAGCCAGGGAGAGAAACGATCCTGAGCACCCGTGGGCTCTTCGTCGCAATCGCTACTTCCATGCTAAGGAGATGTACTATGGTGCTATCTGCATTGATCTGATGCTCCGTTGTACATGGAGCTTCAAGCTCTCTCCACACTTGGACCACTTTAACGATCTGGAAGGCGGCATCTTCGTGATGGAATTGCTTGAGGTGCTTCGACGCTGGATTTGGATCTTCTTCCGCGTCGAAACCGAATGGGGTAAGAAATTTTTGCTTGCTGTTCGATCGAGCGCCCCGTAGCTGACTTTCCCGATAGTGCGCAACACTCGTGGCCCTGCGCCAGACGACATCCTACTCGGCGATNTTCCTGCAAACAAGATAGACGAAGATTGATCGCGCTCTGATTCTTCCGTTGTTGTCGTGTTACCAGCGTCGGAGCATATAGATAGTGGTCCTGGGCTCATATCACCCAGTGAAGAATCATTTCTCATTCATTATTGTTGGTCCTCTGTTGTGCCAAGCTCCTACTCATGACGATTGTCTTGACTTCCAGAGCGTATCAATGGCTTTNTGCGTGCCTTGCACAATCAACTGCCATTCGTTCTCGTGAATCCTTTGCTCGAGGTCATCCTGTGATTCACCCTTCCGCATAGGAATCTCTCTCGTGACAATTGGTTCCCCCATGTCAACTTCCAGGATAACGTAGTGAATCATGATGCCAGTCTTGTCAATTTTGCCCTCTTGGAATGCCTGGTATGCCTCGTCAATAGCGTGAGCGCCGTTGAACTGGCCAGGAAGTGCCGGGTGGAGATTGATGACAGGTACGCCAGCCTCCTTCAGGGGTTCCAAGAAAGTGGGAGCGAGAATGTGCATCCAACCTGCACAGACGACCAAGTCGGGCTTGTCAGCGAGGACCAGAGAGGCCAAGTCGCGGTCGTATTCGCTCCTGGCCTGCTCGAACTTCTTGGATTCGCTTGCATCTGGGAAGCGCTTCTTGTACTCAAGGAGGTTGTGGTAGGCGGTAGGAATGTGTGCCTTCTGGGCTCTTTCTAGTCCGTAGGCGGCTTTCTTGTTCGACACAACACGGGTGATTTCTGCATTGGGGAGAGTTGTGTTTGCGCAGGCATCTATCAGCGCTTGAAGATTGCTTCCCGATCCAGAGATCAAGACGGTCAACTTGGCCTTGGTGTTGGACATGTTTGCTGTACGATGTATGAAGTTTGGAAAAACGCTGAACGAAACAGCGCGCGCAAGCTTCGAAGATGCGATGTCGGAGTATACAGAGAGCTTGCAATGATTATTTGCGTGACGTGCATGCGGAAGAGTCAGTCAGGGTCGCCGCTTCCCGCCAAGGCGCGCTTGCCTCTTTGGTTCATCATCAATCAGCAGCGAAGTCCGACCACATTCAGGCAGTCGTGGGACTCGTACACTTGTGGCAACACGTTTATAGATCGTTGTTTTATCTTGCTGCTGTTTTTCTGGATCCTTCTTATCTGCCATGCTAACAAAAGTGAACGACTGAAGTACTCCCGTCTCACCTTCCGCCCATCCACTCTTCGACCAAAAGCGTCAACAACATGGCTACCGAACAAACACTAGAGGCAAAGGAGTTGTCCCTTGTGGGCAAAGTAGAAATGCGCATAGCACTTGCCGACGGTGATCAGAAGTTGCAAGCTACTCTAAACACCTACTTGGCACCCCTCCTCCTCAAGCTTGCCTCTGAGCATATGAGCGTCCGAAACAAGGTCATCAGCATTTGCCAACATATCAATCTTAGGATAAAGCCAGAGTGAGTATTCAAAGGTCAATTTGAGGATTGTTCTGACAACATCCAGGNNTCTATCAAGCTACCTGTTGCTGCTCTTGTTGAACAGTTCAAATCAAATCCTAACACTCCGCTGATCCGCCACTTTGATCTTTTGTACATACAGACTGGTGTCCGACGCATGTCGTTTGTCGAAAGCGTCGCTCTATTCCCAGTCGTACTACAAAGCGTTGCTTCTGCAGCCAAGACGTCACCTACCCATGGCTCTCAGATGTTCAATCTGCTCCTTCAGCTATTGAAGTGCTTCAAGCTCCCTCCAAGAGGTACCAAAGAAGACGGCGAGTTACGTTCAACTCTTCAGCTCAGTATCGAAGATACTTCGTTCTTGGCCTTTTGGTTCGGAAGGTTGATTCTGTTCTCTGTTGTCAGAGGCACTAGTAACACCGCCTCAGTGACTTGCCCTGGTCTCAGACCCAGCGAGTACTCCTTTNTGACATTGCAAAATAAAGAAGATGTTTGGAATCCTGCATCTCCCATGGGTCTTAACCTGCTCGAGATCAAGTCAAGTGTCACCAAAGTTCTTGCCAGCGGCATGTTTACAGACAAGGAGCGTGTTCTTCCTGCTTTGTTTGCTTCCACTGAATCAACTTCTGAGATTGGAGAAGACATGCTGAAGAGAACTCTGCCGAATATCTCGCTCGAAGACTTAAATTTTATCCAATCTCTGTATACTTTGTATTTCGGCGACGAGGGTGTCAACTCGCAGAAGAGAGTTCGAGTGCCGCTGCAGCTGAAGATTCTCGGATTGTTTGCTAAATCAACGATAAGCACCACGTTCACCGAACAGATCGTCAGACTCGTCAACGATGGTATTGCGACCTCAGACAACAACAACCCATCTTCACTTGGGAGAGAAGCGACGAAACTTCGTGCGGCCATATTCGTCTACATCAACTTTGTGGCTCGTTTTAGTAGTGAAGAGAGTCTCTACGCCATTGCCCCCAGAGTTCTCGGAAGATTGCGAGAATATATCGAGGGACAAAGTTGGCCAAAGCCCAGTCAAAATGAGGATCTTGTCTCCCGCGGCTATGCTTATGAGGTGATTGGCCTTCTGGCTAAAGCTGGTCCCAAGGATCTGGTGGTCGAGCCGAACCTGGATATCTTACGCTGGCTTCTCGAATCCTTAGCTCTGGACACAACTTCAAGCTCAGTCACTGTTAGCATTGAGGAGTCGCTTTCAACCATGCTGGGAGCGTTTGCAAAACATCAAGATTCAGAGACTGCGATCAGTCTTGAAAATCTTCTGATTGACCAAATGTACAGATCTGGAACACCTCAACGTCGCAGTACTCGCTACGTCGCTGTTCGATACGCCAATCGTTGCTTACCTTATGCGTCTGTAAAGGCTCGCTGGGTCAACTTGCTAGCCATTGCTGCTGAAGCCACTGACAGACAAGAAGTTGTCGAAGAGGGCAGACGTGGGCTTAGTCCATACTGGTACCGTATGCTAAACGGCTCGATCGGAACGTCCGAAACAGACGAAAGTGTCAGATTCCCTCCCTTCCAAGACTTGATGGAATACGTCTTCTATCAAACAAGCACGGATACGCTGGGCTCTTCCGAAGACTGCGACCCCATAAAGGCAGTCGAACAACTCTTCCAGCGACACCCAAGTGCATTCATGGACACGATCAAGTACTGTCGGCGCGTGTTTATGCATAACGCCATGTCCAATAGCTCGACTCAGGTCAAGCTCGACGCCGACTGGGAATACAAGTTCGACACTGCTATTGAGAATGACGAGCAAATCAGACAGACGGTCAAAGAGTGCATTGCACAACTTGCTGCTGATGGACACAGTGCTGCCACAAATCTGCAGCTTTTGTTGCGGGCGTTCTCTGTAAGCGTGTTGATTCCTGAAGGCAGCAAGGTCAAGGTCGAAGACACAGATAAGCTGTTCCTGGATCTTTGTGCCCTCAGCCCTGATTCACTTGTTGAAACAGTGGCTCCGCAGTTTGCTGGTCTGATGCCCTCGATCTTCTCAAATAAGCTCACTACAAGACAATCTGCTGCTCATGCTTTCGGTCTGCTCGCTTCTCATCCTAGGAACCAAACCGACCGCCCAGAAGAAGTGCTGCAGGCTGTCCAGCAGCTTTTGAGCAAGGTTTCAGGTTGGCGCGATGCTGTGGGCGCAGCAGCAAATCAAGTCCATGGTGCCGTGTCTGCATTGGGTTTCTTCTACAGCAGATACGCTTTGAGGGATGGTAACGACTTCGAGTCTTCAGCATCCTTCTCGGAATATACATCTAAGGTTGTAGAAGTTCTTCTTCAATCCACCGACAAGGTATTGCAAGAGGCGAGCTACAACGCTATCGGTGATTTGTGTCTATTCCAGGCAATCAAGCCAGCTATTTTCGAGGAGTTAGGCGGCTTCAAAACCATCATCGACAAGACGGCCGACATAGCCAAGGGAGGTAGCGAGAGTGCAGCTCTGGCTATTGGACAGATGGCCACTGTACTGGAAGAGTCTATACTCGAAGCAGGCACGGAAGAGAAGTCACTCCTTGAGCATACCTCAGAGCGTTTGCACCAGCTGCACGACATTCGACAAGCCGAGACACACTTTTCAGTGGGTGAAGCTTTGAGCTATACGGCGGTTGGCTGGAGATCCAAAGCTCTTATCCATCGCATTGATGTAGAATCCTCAGTGCCGACTGGGCCCCATCGAACCAACGCGTTGCGCAAGCTACTCGACAGGACGCTTCAGGATTGCAAACAAACAAAGCCTTCGCTCAAGAAGGCATCAGTCATCTGGCTACTATGTCTCGTGCAATTCTGTGGCCATCTAGAAGAAGTTCAAAGCCAGTTGGCTGCCTGCCAGGTGGCCTTTAAGAAGTGCCTTTCTGATCGAGACGAATTGGTTCAGGAGACAGCTTCCAGAGGTCTTGGTCTCGTTTACGAAAAAGGAGATAGGAGCTTGAAGGATGATCTGGTTAGAGACCTGATCGGATCGTTCTCTTCTGACAATAAGGCACAGCTGGCCGGCAGCGTCACTGCCGAAACTCAACTCTTTGAGCCTGGAGCGCTTCCCACTGGGGATGGATCCGTCACCACCTATAAAGATATTATGAGTCTTGCTGCTGAGGTCGGTGACTCTAGTCTAGTATATCGCTTTATGTCCTTGGCATCTAGCAATGCTATCTGGTCCAGTAGAGCTGCATTTGGCAGGTTCGGGCTCAGCAACGTTTTATCAGATTCGAGTGTCGATGGATACCTAGCCAGCAACCCGAAGCTATATCCCAAGCTCTACCGATACCGATTTGATCCCAACCCCAACGTTCAGAGATCGATGACTGATATCTGGAATGCACTGGTCAAAGATTCTACAGCAACCATCGACTCGCACTTCGATGCCATTATGGATGATCTGCTACTGAACATCCTCGGCAAAGAATGGCGAGTCCGTCAAGCGTCATGTGCAGCGATCGGTGACCTCGTGCAAGGCCGACCTCTGGAGAAGTACGAAAGGTACCTTGAGAAGATCTGGGGCGTCTGCTTCAAAGTGCTCGACGACATCAAGGAATCCGTTAGAGCCGCTGCAGCAGCTCTGGCTCGCGTACTCACGGGTATCCTCACAAGATCACTCGAGGCAGATTCCATGGCATCGAAGAATGCCGCAGTGCTGCTGAAGAACGTACTCCCTTTCCTTCTTTCCACATCTGGCATCGAGTCGAGCGCGGAAGAGGTTCAAAGCTTCTCCTTGCATACCCTGTTAGAGATTATCAAAAAGGCTAGCGGCAAGATCTTACGACCGTTCATTCCTGAATTGGTCGAGCGTCTGGTGGGTCTTTTAAGTATCCTCGAGCCGCAAGCTGTTAACTACTTGCATCTCAACGCAAGCAAGTATAACCTCACTGAGCAGAAGATTGACGATATCCGTCTGTCAAGCATTCGCAGCAGTCCTCTAATGGAAGCCATTGAACGATGCCTGGATCTCCTTGACGAGCCATCGATGGAACAACTCCAACCTCGTCTCGAAGCTGCTATGAAGAGTGCAGTGGGGCTGCCTTCGAAGGTCGGCTGTAGTCGCGTTCTGGTCTCCCTCAGTACACGTCATAACGTGCTCTTCAAGCCCTACGCGGACCAGTTTTTGAGGCTGATCGAGAGACAAGTGATCGATCGCAACGAGACAGTATCCAGTTCGTACGCTGCTTCGTCAGGTTATGTCGCCCGTGGTGCATCCGACAAACAGATACTTCGTCTGGTCAGCTTTTCTAGGAAGCTTTATTTCGAAAGTGGAGGAGACCGCGAACAAGCAGTCCCACGCCAGAGCATTGCGGCTGCCGAAATCATGCAAGCAATATCGAAGCATGCAAACGATCGTTTCAACTCTCTTGCATCGGATCTTTTACCATTCATTTTCTTCGGCAAGCATGACTCTCACGATCAGGTCAAGGAGATCTTCCGTAACACATGGGAAGACAATGTTGGCGGCAGCCGAGCCATCTCTCTTTACCTGAAAGAGATTCTGTCGATGGCTCAGGAGCATATGGACTCACCGCAATGGGTGATCAAACATACAGCAGCCCGGTCAGTCGCCGATGCTACAACGGCTCTTGCGTCAATGAGTAGTGGATTCGATACCACGACCAGCCATTTGGTATGGCCCATTCTTGAGAAAGCACTTGGCGGCAAGACCTGGGACGGCAAGGAGGCGGTACTCTATGCATTCGCCAAGTTCGTAGAAGGCACCAAGCATATCTGGTCGGCTGAAGATGCTGTCGCAAAGACATTCGTCAAGGTGAGTGACGTACCCTGCTTTACCACGCGCGAGCCGCATGTTGCATCCTTTCGCAACATACCGATCGTCGGATAATCGCGAGATAGCCTACCAGATTTACTGACTCGATTGGCGACAGNNATTATTTTAAGAGAAGCTAAACGACAGAATGTGACGTACCGACCGCATGCGCTCAAGGGTCTAGGCCTCATCGCTACAAGCCGAGAAGACCTTGACCTGTTTGACGCAATGTGCGATGTGATTAAACCTGTGTTCACTGACGCAGTGGAGACCGAGAACGAAGACACCATGGATGTGGACAATGGAATTGGAGCCGGCGACAAGGATTCGTAAGTGACGTCCGACCAACGGTTTTTTCCCGAAGCTAATGAACATTCTAGGCGGGAAACCACTATTGTCAACGGTGTCGAAGCGCTGTACAGACCCTTTGACCATTCGGATGTGGCTTGGATGGCAGATAGGAGACTCATGGAGAAGAGGTTGGAGCGTGTCGTCGAAACCCTGCAGGTTTTGCAGCCGATGCGCACCGAAGGACACGCGAGTCTCCGAAAGATGATGGACAAGGCCAAGACGAGTCTGTTGGCTTGTCTTCGAGGGGAGTTTGGAGAGAGCAACTCTGGCCGCGAATGGCGCCGTCGAATTGAGGGGCTGCAGACGACGACGTAGTAGTGACATTACTTGCACATGTTTACGGGCGAATAACCGAGCGCCACTCGATTTTTCCCAGCTAGAGTTACGAAATAGGTCAATACAGTTGCTGGCTTACTGCACAACCACAAGGCTCGTGCTACAACGAGGAATCAAAAGGGAAGACGGAACGATGACAGTCATGCAAGCTACAGCAGCCATGAAAATCAGCACCTCCGAGGGCTCACAACGTGGATCTCCCGTGGTCGCGTTGTCAGGGTGCCAAACGTCTCGCGAAAGGGGCAGTAAAAGGGTCGTCGGTTCTACCCGCTAGTCTGTCAAACGCTGGTTCGTCAAGTCTTCCATGATTCCATGAATCTCCGCTCACACCACACGTGGCTTTTTGCAGACCTCCAACCATGCCAAGTTCCGCCGACGTCCACCGGCCCCGTCGAAACTTTCCTTTAATTTGCAGCTGAAGCCTATTTTGCTGAAACCGTGCTTGGTTGCCTGTGATGATGCGGTTTATCAAGCGGTCTAGCGTCACGGTAGTTGCGACCTGCACGACATGTTATTCAAAAATGGGACAGGCTATCCGGTGGGGCCTGGCGGCGGGGCTGGGGTTTCCACGACGGGGCAGTTGGAGGAGTCGCGGTTTAACAGGACGATCCTCGAAGCACGAATCCCAAACACTTTCGTTGAATGGATGGACCCCTATCAGGGCGTGAAGTGTATCGTCATTCTGCCAGTCGCATGCGCACTCTGGTGACCGCAGCTTCTACTTTGGCATGGCTTTCTAGGGCTTCTTCGGATAGCACTTGGCTGAGCATGTACCTAGGACATGGATAGCGCGCACATGCATGCGTCTGCATACAAGAGTCACAGCGAAGTACGAGTGTCAACGAATTCAAAATAAGCAGTCTGCAAGCCATGCACTATTCGTCGGTTGCAGCTCTGTACTTTTGGTTGTGGTGATGGCTCGTCAGCTCCTTCCGCAACATCACTACTTGGTCGGGAGCGCGTGTCTACATTCGTGCCTGCATTGCGTCAGTTGGCGCTGCAAGCGATTGTACCGCTGGTATACACATGTGGCTGCATCGACAGATCCGTGAGCATCCTTCAGTGGCATGCCGCTCCCATCGTTTGTCCAATGCTCGTTTGCAGCAAGATAATTTCCGACCACCACGGCTCATGCGTCGCCCTGTGTTTACCGGCAGAGAGCGCTGCTATATGACGAGATGACATCTGGGTCTTGCCGCTCGCGCCGTTGCGACTGCATGCATCCGGGGTCGTGGTTCAATATCTTCGGGCCGCAGAAGCCGCCAGTGATGTCGTACAACAGTTTTTTTTTTGAAAATGCCTGGGCCTCGCAGTGGTATGCTCTCAAGTCCAACATATCAGGTACGAGAATGGCTCCGCAGGAGAAGGTCTGGCCTTCCTGAGCATGGACTATTATACATCAAGCTTTGCTCGGGCAGACAATTTTGCAATCTTCATGTTGCAACATAACGTGGACAGTCGTGGCGTTCTGGTTGAACTTCTTTCCAACGTGGACGGCGTGGTGTCTCCTGCTAGCGTCAACCGTTATCGCTTCCTCGGTATGCACACGCGCGTTCCGAGAGCTTCCGACTTATGCATACGCCTATTCGCTCTTACGCGGAACACACAGCTTCTGTATCTGGCAGATGAGAGGCCCGGCGGCGCTCCGCCGCTGGAACGGGTTCTGTGACTGCTCTACGCTGTTGAGCAGGAGCAATGACAATTCCAAGGACTGAACTCCTTCCTGGTAATGGTGCTCTCACAATGCACAGCATTTGAATGAATCAAAACCATGTACGATTATATTTACACGTGGTCGAAGCTTACAACTTGCCCTTATACAGGTAGTTATATCTCGCATTCGACACCTGACGGATCGTAGATGGCGATATCCATCAGACATTGACCGCCTGCATATAGAAGGGATCGTCTGGAAAAGGGAGGCCAAGCGAGAAAAGCTCAACCTCGAATATTACCAACCCACATATGCCAAGGGCTTCTCTACAAGATGTTGTATCACAACTCGTTGAGCACGTCGGGTGGCCGTGGCTGCCACGTTTTCGAGCTAGAATTACGCTAGAAGCGACGACGTGTCTGTGTTGCTGAGCCTGTTGGAATTGTCTTCATTTCACATGGAACGCTTAGACACGACAGCAGCGCTAGCACCAACCTCCTCTTTGCGATGTGAGATGCATCACCTCCCGGCATGACACACTCCACAGTCCTGATTTCTTCGACCGTTGATGGCTCGTCCCCATTCATGCTTCACCACTCGCGATTGCCTCTTTCTAGTGCCTCCTCCACAAAAGCCATGTTCGCTTTGCTCCTAATAGAGTCCGAAACTCTTTAAAGCTAAACTAGTAGGTAACCAAAGCGGAAAGATGCAAAATCCTGGCACTTTCCCACGCACACGGCGCCTGCGTACCTTTTGTCTTTTTACTTTTACTCTTATATCATTCGACCCTCCGACCTTGCGGCGCCCGCCCTCCGTCGGCTCGGTCCCCTCACTGGCTTTTGTACTTACTCCTCGCCGGTCTGTATGTCTCTTGAAACTGCATGGTCACTGCTTCGAGTTTGCTCCATATCGCCTTTTCTAATTGGCTTGCTGGGTCGGCACGACGCTCCTATACTGGGATTTTCCCAAGCTGCCCCGCTAAAAGCTGCTCACCTTCCTGTTAATACTACTCTCTGTTGTTGCCGTTCTCTTTGACTAAGAAGGTCTTGATTTTGCGTACCGATACCCGCATATCAATGTCTTGTTGCCTCGATGCAACATCGAAGAGCTGATGCATCTTCGAACGCCAGAAGCCAGCTTCCACCTCTAGCACCTCGAGGCCAGCAGCCTGTTCCTGCTACTTCTGCTAATACAGACATCGAATCTGCTGGCGGTAGTACTTCCTCAGCGCGACCGAGACTATCGCACCGCTCGAGGGCTGGCTGCTGGTAATTCAACACTCCCTCCCAAATGCTAGAGAATTGGACAATTACTGATTCGGTGCTCTTAAAAGGANCATGCAGAAAACGAAAGGTGAGTTGTATCGGGAGATGAGGACACGAAAACCTCTGCCACGTTGAGAAAAGGATCGACTAACAGGGATTTCAGGTCAAATGTGATGAGACCCATCCACGATGTGGTGTAAGCAAGATGTATTGAACCCCCTCACAATGTCATCTGGCTAATCGTTGTAGCNCCTGCACTCGTCTGAATAAAGAATGCGACTGGGAGTTCCGCTGGAAGTTCGACGATGTCACCCAAAACACTCAAAACAAGTACTCCAATGTATCAACAACAGGCAATGCTGTCTGGGATCGTAAGTTGCCACTTGTCGTTCCCTCTACATCAGGCTCTGGGTGTCAACAAGCTCTCTGCACTCAATGATGGACTCCAACACCAAAATGGCTGACGTTGCTTANNGCACGAGCACCTCGTACGACAATGAACAACAGAAGATCGCAATCACCTGCTTACGATGCCCTCCCCTCTTTTGCTGACTTGACAAATGACGAGGATCGTGAGAAGAAAGCCGAAGGGCAAGTGCCCGGTACTTTCAACGTCGTCGTCAACCCTGAGAGTTTCGCTGGCCTCCCGGAGTATGGCCCCATCTCTGGACCACGGACACGGAGATCTAGTCTTCAGTCTGGCCGCAACAGCTGGGACAGCCAGATGTCGACAGAAGTACCACGGGCTAGGCCAAGGAGGAATCCTGCTAGCGGTGACCCAAATACCGTAGTGCTGGCCAAGTTTGAGGACGCTCCATTATCTTTGCCGAGTCTGGCGAGCTTCCCTGTTGGTAGAAGAACCAGTCTACCAGAGAACCTACAGTCACTAAACATATCTGGAGGATCGCGAGGATCCAGCATGCCATCCGGACGGCGCAATGACTCAGTCACTCAGGGGCTTCGAGACGAGAGGCTCATGGTTCATTATCGAGGCTTCATCTCGAAGCGCATCTTTCCCATTGGCAAGAGTGTGCTCGTCGACAGACCGATGCAGGAGGACCCCATTGTTGCTGAAGCTAGAGACTTTCCTCCTGTAAGTTACGAACTTCCGCTTTGCCTTGTTCCAATGTACCTCGGGCATGCCATTGGTATACTCCGCCGAGATCACACCACTGCAACCCAGTTCCATTCAGTGCTCCTACAAACACGACTTGGCTGCTGGACTCATTCAAAACCATGCGCAATTGTCTTCTGATACTTCGAACGCCTGCTGACTTTGTGTCAGCTCTATCATGCTATATGCGCAGTCTCATTGCTCAGTCTGGCACTCAAGGGTCAGCAACAACTCTTGACAGAAGCCTTCCAGCACTACCACCAAGCTATATCCTCCAGCTTATCCTCGCCATCCGACCTACACTCCGACCGACTTCTATATCTTCACTTCCTATTACTGGTCTACGACATCAGCTACGCAACACAAGGCTCAAGCAACACACAAGAAGTTTTTAACATGAACATGTGGGAACACCACATCCAGCACCTAATTCGGATAGCTCAACATCGTAAAGGACAATCGAACGGAGTCTTGCAAGCATATCTCTTATGGTATGTGCTTTACTTCGACAAACAAGCTTGCCTGTCAGGAAACGGCAACGGGCACTTCGTTCGTGCCTTCCTAACAAACGAATTGACGATGCCTAACTGGAACCGCATCTTCTCAGGCTACGACATCGTACAATCGGCCGGAGGCTACCAGGGCGAAGACACGAGTGCTCATACTGATGTCTTTAAGTTCGCCCACCAAGTATGCATACAAGGTGCCAAGCTGTGCCAGTTGCAACTCAAACTGCGCGCTGAGGCTACGGCACAAAATCTGCGTGGTCCGCAAGGTAGCCAGGTACTAGCCGCATGTACACAGATGGTCGCTCAATTGCAAAGCGAGCTGTACGCATCATGGCACCGCTACTGCCCGTCCTATCTCTTCCAGCCAAACTCCGATTATGCGACAGGTCAACTTCCCGTCATCGCCCGCATATTCCTAGACTTTGTAAGCACCCCTTTTCCTCCACACACACACACACACACATACACACACATACACACACGAAAGACTCGTTGTGTTGTCTTGATAGAGGGATTCCCAGACTAAATCCACGTGCTTTCCGTCTCACAGGCACAACTACAATTCAGCACTTGGATCGTCTACTCGAACAGCTCGCTCTACCCCACCCAGCCTTTCCATCTGAACCCCAACCAACGCTCCGAAACCCGTCTCCACAGCTTGAAAATCCTCTCCATCGCCGACGCCGCCGTCGCACTTCAGAACTACGATCAACATCAACTCGTATTCCCAGTGTTCATCGCAGGCTTCGCGAGCCTGGACATGGAGACTCAATCGCGAGCCCTCGCGCTGCTGAGGGTGATGGAAGGAACGGGTATATCGAGGAACGCAACGAGGAGTAGGGAACTGCTGAGTATGGTATTCGACGAGCAGAGGGCGACGGTGCTGCGTGGAGGGAGGGCGGAAGAGGTGGATTGGATTGATGTCGCAAAGTCGAAGGGTATGGGTGTCGTCAACTTTGGACTCTGAGGGCAGAGAGAAAGTGTTCTGGACACTTCAGGGCTCTCACTACCCAGGCATTCTGCGCTCTCGACTACCAATCATCTACCACCACAATCGTCATACGGGACCAAGCGACTGTAATAGCAAAAGAGGGGCTTTTGGATACAGTGAGAATGCAGGAGATCCTGCTACAAGTAATACCACAGAGAGGAAGCAAGTGTGCTCCTCAAGAGATGCAACAGAGACAACGCAAAGGGGGTTTCACGACTATGGACATTTTGGATTGTAAAGAGCTTGCATGATGATAAAGAAAAAAGCGCGTTTGTGATTTCTTGCTTCTCGTTACATTGTTTACTGTATCTGTTTTATCTCTCTTTCTGCTTTTCTTCTTGTCTGTTTACGTGCGCAACCTAGCGAGGCGTTCGTGCATATGGGTTGCATTCTCCTTCCTGCCTCTCTTTCTCACAAAAGTCATGGAGTACCAAGCAGCACTGTGGCATACGGTTCTCTTGTATTGTACTAGCTTCAATTGGGCAACTTCAGCTCATGTTCTCCCAAGCCACTCCTCTTTCGCAGGCAACTTTCGCCAATACATACCTCCCAACGCGCGTCTACTTCCCCTTTCCTCGTTCTTCTGGATAGCCCGAAACTTATGCCTTCGGACCGATCGGAAACCGTTACAAGACAGGTTGCATGTCTCAGACCCCTTGAGTGTTTGCTGGTCAAGGTATGCATCATTTGCCTTTGCGTTAGGGTCTCGTGCCCGTCCTTCGATAAGGTTACAATGTGTAGTGCACGAAAGCTCGTGAAGCTACGCTCCTTGTGTTGTGTGTCAAACTTTCTGGAGACCCTTTTGCTCTTTTGCCTGATGTATTTCTTGCCCTAGTCGTCGCATAGGATTGCCAGTGGTGATGTATGTTTCGATATCGTTCGGACGTCGCTCAGGTACAAGGAAGCGGTGAGGAAGGTTTCGAACGAAGGCTTGTCGAGTGCGGCTCCACAAGGAGTGTCCTTTCGGACGCGGGCTTGACGAAAGGGATCGGTGGGCTTTGATGGCTTCGTGGAAATAACACGTCAGCAAGGATGATTTGATATGTCCTCGTCGCAGTAGGCACCAGTCGCTATACTTTGCCAACCCATCGGATCCGCGGTCCAATCGAAGCTGACGATTTGTATATCTCTCATGAGTTTCTTCACACGTAGCGAGCTGGATACGAGCATCTGGCAGGATGTTGAGGTGACTGCTCCAAGCATCAATGTTGTTGCTGCCAGGTACCGATAGCATGATTCAGGACCATTATTTGAGAGCATCAAATCTTATATCCACGAAGGAGTGAGAAGAAATCACAGAAGAAAGCGAAGGACCTGAAATGGGAAGGAGTAGGAGAATGCAGGGACCATAGACAGGCCTGTCGATCGCTTGCTTGTGCTGTGTTGATGCTCATCCAAAGAAGGCAGGATTTAGGCCAAACCCCTACAGTAAGAGCCTCATCTTGTGACTTTCTGGACGCTCGAGGAGTGAGAAGAAAGGTTCGACATACTTAGACTTGCCTAGTGGTCACAACGGAAGGTTGGATAGAATACGAGTATCACTGGTTTGCAGCGAACAAGAGTTGGTCAGATGGGCTTGAAGATCAGTGACGTCCAAGATGGTCCGTTGGTCGGCGTCCTTTGCTCTTTCCCATAATATAGTGCTGCATGGACGCGGCAAAACTCATCTCTTGTGCCTTGGCAGGAGGCTCAGACGCAGTGCTCCTGCTCAGGAAACTCCTTGATGGTGAAAGCTCCTGCCTTGTAAACCTTTTGATGATGACAGCTACAAGCGACTATCCTAAAAGGTGCTGTATAGCGTTTAGATTCGTTATAGTAGAACCCTGTTGTACCAGCAAAGCTTTTGTATCACCATCATCCCGATTCCATTGTATTGTGCCCGGTGTTAGTCCGTGCCGCTTCGATTTCTGTTCTTACGGTCGTAACAGGCACTCTTTTCACAACGGATCGTCCCATATATCGCGGCTTCGGGCGACTTGGCCGGAAGACTATGCCATGGCATTCTCATGTTGTGGCAGAAGTCGATCCGGAGGGGCACGCCGTCGCTTGAAGCGAAAACGAACGTTCCTATCTCATCGCCAAACCCACCATCTTGAAACGGTCCCCGAGGAGCATCATGTGTGGCACGTACACCAACACATACACCGATGCGACCTCACTAGCATCGGGATGTCACTAGTAAAGAGACTCGCGAGGGAACTATCGGAAGAGATACCGTTTTGAAGAGATTCATATCGAAAAAGGCGTCGTTGATCAGGAGCTACGACCTCGCCGAGCGCTTTCAATGGACACATTTGCGGATCGTGCTCGAGAAACAGTATCCTGGCATAGAGTACTCACGATGCAACTTCCCTGTGGCTCTGTCTTCGCTTCTGGGTCAGAGCGGACACCAAGATAATTGCTTGACACGACATCTATTCAACCACAACCTCATCAGCCAGATGTCGCCAATTCTTGATACTTCTCCAAGAGCCTTATGACTAAACAAATGCCGAGCAAAATCACGCCTATGTGCGGTATGTGTCGCCATGGCGCCGCACAATTCCGTTGGGGAGATCAAAGTGTTCTTTTTGGATTTGAAATCAAAGAGAAAAAAATTGAGGCTCTTGAGACGGTCAGCAGTGGTCGTTCGGGGAGAGGGTGGGTCCGCCAAAAGGAGTATCATTCCGCGGCGACGGATCCGAGCTTTTTTGGCGCTGCGGCCTGTCAACCAAGAATTGTGAGAAGGCTGTCATGGAAGAGACGGCTGCATCAACCCTAATCTGGAGGAAACTTGTGAAAGAGAACAATCCTCTTCTAGCTGAGCCGATAAAGCGTGCGGAGCAAATCATTCTGACAAGCGGGTGCGACGGTCCGCTTCGAGTACCATAACTTCATCTTGTACAGCATGCGACCGAGTCGAATCTTTGAGGTCTTTCCAAACAAAATCTCACGATACTCAGGAAGCCAGAGCAATTTTCTAGTTAGTTAATTTTCACACGCAAAAACTGTTTAATAACATGAACCAGGTAAGATTTGTTAAACAGTAGCAGTTAAACATTGTCCTGATCACATAGCATTAGTTAAACAACATCTATAGCCTGGTTGAACTAGTTTTCCCAAACAATGTTGATATAATGACTATTTAGACAGTGTTACCAAGTAGCTCTAGTTTAACAAAAGTTCGCCAATTTGCTAACTCTACGGTTTCGAATCAAAATCTCCACTTGATCGATCGTAGTTGCACAATCGTAGTTAAACGATTCCAGTTAAACAACCCCAGTCAAACGATTTCGGTCGAACTATTCGAGTTGAACAACTCCAGTTCCAAATTCAACCATACACATTCGCTCAGACAACCTTAGTCAACCCAATATCAAAAAGCTCCAATAAAAAAATGTCAATCAGACAAATCCGCTTAGACGACTTCACTCAGACGACAACCCTACCATCTCTTTGCAATTGGCTACACTTAGACTATAGTCTTCTCCAACCGGACCTTTCATCTCCGGTACCTAACGGGTCCTGGGAAGGAGCAGAGTCCCGGCATGAAGCCATGATCTCCGCCATGTATGCCATCTGTTCTCACCAACATGTAGGAGTCTCTGAACAAAGCGTCCATCCTTGGCTTCGACGCATCTCTCTTTGACATTCTTTCAAACACCGTGATCAACGACTCGAGTCGCATATCAATTAATTGCAAGACTCCATTCCAAGACATCTTCATTGAAAGAACTCCTTACCACTCCAATCTTCCAGCACTATTGTACCATGCAATGTGCCTTTTCACACACCCACCTTCCAAACCAAAAATCTATCCTCAAACAACCATCAAATCCTATATTCTTACCTGCCAGTCCACCAAAGACCCAAATATCTTCGATCCGTCATCAACAAATGCCAATAGAGTCGCCATATCACAAGTCTTCAAGGAAAATCTATCTTGCCAGTCATGACTTGCCAAAGAATCGAAGGATCATAGGATGTAGACGACAAACAAGGCAAGAGATGCAAGTAGAAAGCACTCGCATATACTTGTTCAAAGAGTAGCACTTTCAACCCTCTTAGATAAAATTGATAATTGAATATAGCAAGTGAGATAAAACAAAAATGGAAAGAGCCACTCACATACACTCCAAAGAAGCTGGCGTAAAGAAAGAGCGTGAAAAAATTTGTGCCGAAGCAAGACAACACGGTATCCCGAGGAAAGAGCAGTCTTGTAAAAAGTTATTTGTATTTGCAGGTTTCGTTCCTGCCCGCTCGTGTCTTCTTCTTTTGACTTCTGCGCCCTGCGCAATGCTCCCTTCAATGCCGCTCCAAATGCACAACGACAAGTAAAAAAAACGCAAAAAGACAAACTCAAGCCGCTGTATCACTCGCAGCTGATGCCTCCCCGAAGAAAGAAGAAAAAGTCTACACAAAAGAAGAAGAAACGAGTCTGGCCCAACTCACAGAGTTCAAAAAGGCTCCATCTCTAGACACTCCTCCCAATTGTAGAAAACAAGAAAGAGCGGGAATCTTGTGCTTGTGCGAGCAGCTCAAGCATCTTCGGCCTCTACACGACACAAGACCTCCTCCAACACACCTTCGAGGAATCCTTCGACGCCGTCGCCCATGCCCACGGGGGCGACGCTGTCCCAGTGGTCAATGTCCTTCATCAGACGGCCCACCTTGGAGACCAACCTGCGGATCTGCTCGTGCGCCTGTCTCTTGAGCAAAATGTCTTGTGGAGAAGGCGCGGGTTTCGATTGAGTGCTTGCCGACTTCTGCAGCTGTGAGAGCTGATATGCGCGGCGGTGGAGAGCGGCTTCAAGGGCAGGGATCACAACGCCCGACAGAGCTGTGATTTCGTCGTTTTGGGGAGGAGGTGCCAAGGACGAAGGTCCAGTCATTGATGACGAAGAGGAGGAAGAAGGTCTGCTGCTTGACGAACTGCTCTGCATGGAATCGAAAGATTGCTGTGTCTTGAGTTGAGCGTCGGGGCCTTGTCTTGCTCTGATCTGAACGTCGGAATCTTGTCTTAATCTGCCTTGCGATTCCGACGCTTGCGGTTTTGATGCTGCTGGAGTTCCGGGCCATGCAGATGGACTTGATCTCCGAGGTGCCAGCGCTGGTAGAGGTTGTTGCTGCTGTGGCCGTGTTTGTTGTGGTTGCTGTTGGTTTTGCTGCTGCTGCTGCTGCTGCTGCTGCTGGTGATGCTGCTGTTGGACACTCAAAGAAGAAGATGTTCTCTCGAGCGGAAATGGAGCATAAGCGGGCTTTTCTGGAGATCTTGACAAGTTGTGGTTCGATGCGCTGGTTTGCTTCTGGGCCGATGGCGTTGAAGGCCTGGCCGGCTCATTCGTTCTTTCATTTATGGAAAGACCATTCATGTAAGAAGTCATGTCTGCAGCAATGGACTGCTGGATGAAATCATCATTGATCTGTTGCGGNGGCGATTTTAACTGGGCCTGACCGGCCATGTATCTCGAATTCGTCGACTGCGGAGTGCGTGGAGCCTCAGGTTGTGCTTGCGACATTACTTTCTTGATGGGTGAGGCAGGTAGAGGGACGCGAGCAGCAACGCTGGGAGAAGGAGGCACAGTGCCTGACGATGAGCTTGGTCGCTTTGATGGGGACAGGTCCCTAGGCAAAGGTGGTGGTGGCATGCTGGGCGCTGCTCGGACGGTACGCCGACTCGAATTCTCTTCACCGACTCTAGAAGCAGACTGTTTGGTAGGAGACTGAGGCTCAGGGACAGATGTCTGATTACGAGTGTTCATGGCGGCCTCATTCATAACCTTCAGTCCCGGTGCTCTTCGAGAAAGTGGTCGAACCGTGCCGAAATCCCAGAGATCTTCTTCGTCAGAAGTGCGTGGAGGCGAGACTTCACGGATATCATCGTCATCTTCTTCGCGACCACCGTGACGCGCCTGCCAGCGTTCGTATCTTTCAATCAGCTCAGTCAGATATGTGGTTCTTTTGGCCCTGCGAATCCAAGGGTGTTTGAGGAGTTCTTTGGCACTAGGTCGCTCTTTGGGCTCCTTGCGCAAGCAAAGATTGACAAAGTCTTTGAAAGCTTGGCTAAAGTCGCCCTCGAGTTGAGGAGGAGGGTTCTTTGGAATGAGGAAAAGGACTTTCATGGGATGAATGTCGGCGTAAGGNGGTTCTCCGTAGGCGAGTTCCAGGGCAGTGATACCAAGAGACCAAATGTCGGCTTTGTGGTCGTATCCCGACTGTTTGATGACTTCTGGAGCCATCCAGAATGGGGTTCCTACAAATGTGTTCTTCTTTGTCATGGTTGCAGAGAGTTGGCCAGAAACGCCAAAGTCGGCAAGCTTCACTTGTCCATTTGAGCCAAGCAGAATGTTTGCGGCTAGTTAAAATTAGAATTGTTTCATGAAATCAGCTGTTTGTCTCACCTTTNNGATGTCTCTGTGAAGCTTGTTGTCATTGTGCAGATATTCCAGACCCATGAGCAATTCTCGAATGATGATGATAATGTAATCCTCGGGGATACTGCCAGGCCTCATGAGGTTACCACAACTGCCACCAGAGCAGTATTCCATGATGATCCACAGGTCGGAGCCCTTGAGATATGATCCGTAGTATTTTGTTGTGTAGGGAGAGTTGAGACCAGAGAGGATAGAGATCTCCTGGATGATATCGTCGACTTCGTCTTCTGCATTTTCCACATCGATGACCTTGATAGCGACGGCTTGGCCGGTACGTTTCTCAACACTGGAGACAGCAGATGGTCAGTGGTCTAGACAATAGGTTCTTAATCGTATGCGACTCACCCCNTTGTACACCTTGCCGAAGCTGCCACCTCCTGTTGGACTGTATCAGCATGCGCTCTTACAGCCTAGATCGGCAGTCGTGTGCTCACCAATGCAGGCCTGCTTGGTATACAGCGTCTCCGGGTCTACTGCCCCTCCACCAAACGCGGACGCCATGTCGAGGTCGTCTTGTTGCCTGTGCCAACTGTGTGGTGTAGCCGTGCAAGAACGCTTTATGTAATGTCTTGTGCCAGTTCGGGGAGAGGTTGACTCGATCCAATGTATTCGCAATGGGCGGGGATTTCGTTTGCGATCGTTACTATATCGGCGGGTCGGGGTGATGTCGTCAAGCCAGCGACGACACAGCCATCAACACTGGGAAAGAGTCGGTTGTTGGTTGTCGAGTCGATACGAGGTCGAGTCGGGTGTCGAGTCTGCGTTGGCATGCAGCAGCAGAGACGGCTCTTGTTCAGCAACGCAATGCCAGCCGCTGTTGTTGACCGACCTGCTTTGTTGATTGTCCACCGCCCCGACCCGACAACGCCCGTGCACCTCCGCAACCGCTTTTGTTTCACCATGACATTTGCCATCAGACGTCTGCTGCTCGCCAACAACTGCCGTGAATATGCGAACCATTATCATGAATTAACTTGTATGTAAATGTCTATGTGCCAACTGGCCCTTGCTAACGTGAATGCTCAAAGAAAATGCTCAGTAGCTGGAACTACTCTAAGGGGAATCTCGGGTGATAAAAAATACTAGATCGTGTAGTGACAATTAGGCACTTTTGCGCGTAACTTCTTCATTCTGCCACGCCATCGTCTTTGAGCGCCAAATAACTCCTTGTAGATGCCATCTGTAAACGGCAACTTGATCATCTCCTATTGTTACCCCACTCATTCGTTATTGTCAGCCTCCCGGAGACGGCTGAGTGGAGACTCTCTCTGACTCATTGGTCCGAGATTCATGAACAATGTGTTGCTCTCCCGCTTGGCTTGCTTGCTCATGGGATTGCTCAGCTGTGTTGTGCGGCTCCCATTCGGTCCTGAGAGCCTGTCACTGTACGATGGCGGTCCATTCTCCTTGTTCATCATCTGAGATGAAGCGTTTCCAGTGTCGTAACCATCGCGGCTGGAAGGTGCAGCCTGTGGGAAGAAGCCAGCCTGTTGGTGGCTATGTGCTGGGTAATCACCGCTCGGCTTGTGTCGAGGTGACCTGACACTTTCAGGCGTTACCCCTGAGAGTGGTGTGTCTGCAGGATACGACGTCGTTACTGGAGTGGTTATGTCAATCGGAGGTCCAAAAACTCTGTCGTTCTCCATCACAAAGAGAGATATGAGAGGAGCCGGTATGTTGAGTGTCGGTGCAAACACAATGCCAACNTAATTTTTATGTTAACAAGCCATAAGAAGACTGTGAGACCGGGAATACTTTGACTTACCATTACGGACGCTCATCTTGTTTACACCCTCTTTGTCTACGATCTCGCGCAAGAATGTGCTCAAGATGTCGAGTAGCTCCCGATTTGCGCGTGGCAGTTTGTTCACAAGAACATTGAACATTTCGACCTTGATCTTCTCATTGACATCCAAGCCCTTGAGGAACTCGAGATGATGTTCTCTTGTGAGAATACTGGCCGGCAGTTCTCGAAGATAAAGCTTTAGCAGACTTGCAACAGCGTGGATGTCGTAGTATGGGCCTTCGAGTAGTTTGACGTCACCCTCTGTGTTAAACCGCTCTTTCAATGCCTTGATAACAACGTTTGAACCAGAAAGACGGAATATGCCTTCTTCAGATGAAGCTCTCTTGGCTCTCAAGTATTCGATGGAACGATACACCACGGCAGGAAGGTGGACAGGAACATCCATAGGTGGCGCAATCTCTATGGCTTCAGCCAGGGGAGCACCGAAGACTGGCCGAGCAAGAACGGGTGATTCGCTCTGAACCAAGTCCTTTGGCACACTGCCAGGCACTGTGTCAGATGAAGACCGACCCCTGAACCCAAAGATACTTCGCTTCTTGTCCTTGGTCTGAGTAACGGGGTCTTTCTTGTTACCCCATGATCCTGCGTCCTGTATTACTGCACCATTGGTTGGACCAGAAATCTGTGGGTGGTGCTCGCTCTCGCCAATAGCTGGAGAGTTGATTGGCGAAGGTGTAGCAAGGTCGCGGTTGGGGCCAATCACAGGCGCTTCGGCAGGCACTGTAGCTTGGTAAGGAATACTACGCAGCATCGAAGAGCTATCGGACTGTCTCGAGCTTGCCGATGAGAGGTCATTCATGGACTTCTGAAGGCGCGGACTGCGCACTGCATGCAGTGAATCCTGCTTTCTCAAGACTGTGGGAGATGCAACCTGATCGACATAATGCAGCAAAGCCTCAACCCAGGCGTCGCGCTCTTCGTCACTCTCAGCGCAAAGCACATGGCGCACATGGTTCGAAGAGTCCTTGCGTTTAGGCTCTAGGATCAAGAAAGCGTGTCGATATTCGCTATCGCTGTCGTCGTCCTCGTGCCGTGTTGTATGTTGTGCTTGTTTGCCAATTTGCGCATACGGCAACTTGATTGAGCCCAGGATCGCACCNCCAGGAGCTTCAAAATACTTGAAGATCGGTCCGTCTAAGACAAAGTACCTGGCTTTCCAACCACCAAAGTTCTTTCCACGTTTTGTCAAGTAGCCATCTTTGCGAACACCTCCACCTTGGGCCGCGGGAGCCTTGACCGGGTTGGTCGCTTCTTGAGGGAAGTACTCGGGCATTTCGGGACCAACTGCGTCAGCAGTCAAGAAGCCACAGATGATGACGGCAGCTTGATCATCCATAGGAGTGTCAAGCATGCTGTCGAAGTAGAGGCCGAGGGCATTCCTGCGGGCGTCCATCCGAGCAGGAGCATGTCCAGTGAACAAATAACGATCTGGAAGCTTTGTTCTAAAATTGGATGCTACCTTGATTTGTTGGTCAAAGACGGACATAGCAGTCAATGACTTCTCCACGCGCCATAACTGGGTTCTATCAGATCTTGCAAAAACGGCAAGCGTAATAACGGGATTCTCCTCAGACGGCTTGGGTGCCATGTAACTTTGCCTAGACGGTCGCAGACGCGATGAGTCGACTTTTACATATATCGAGGGAAGAGCATTTGGAGGTAGGAGCAGACCAGGGTATTGCTCTGATACGAAACCGCGGTAGACTTCACCAGGAGATCTTGGAGCGGGTGCATTCGAGTTTTGTTCGAACTCTGCCATTCGTGGTTGCGAAGGGACAGAGAGCCTATCAGACATGGAGCTTGCTGCAAAGGTTTGATAGGCCTCGGCACGAGCCAAATGAGGAGACGCGAATGACAGAGGAGTATGGGGTGGCATAGGGATAGATTGGCGAGGAGCGCGTGGTGACAAAGGCATCTGCCCNCCTACTCTAGGAGAGGTGGGTATTGAGGTCAGTGATTTGTTGAAAGCTCTAGGCATGGGCGAATTCATAGGCCTGTCGCTAGGACGAGGACTCATGGGCAGACCAGGACTCAGCACAGTCAGAGATACGGGATGACGTTTTGGTTGGGCAGGAGCATCGGCTGATACCATCTGGCCCATGCTCTGGAATGTTTGGACCTGGGCAAGCTGAGGAGAACCAAAATCAATCGTTTCAGCATCACTAAGTACGCCCTGGTCCGTGTCGCTGAGCAGACCTGGATCTGCGTCGAGATCTGCAGGAGCAGGGACACGTCGGTCGATAGCAGGNGGAGGAGCGCTCCTGCTGCTAGCTTGTGTCACTTCTTTGTGCTGGCTCTGGCTGGCTAGCGCCCCTCTCAGCCTATCATCGTCGGCTCTTGTCTTCTTTCTTCCTCTGGATAGTGGAGGGCTNTCGTCCGAATCCGACGCTTCGCAAAGCATGGTTGGGGCGCTCGACAGATCCAGCGGGGCAGGTTTCTCCCTGCGTAGTCGCTGGTTCGGACTCGANAAGGATTTTGGCGATACCACTTGAGGGGTGTCGCTGATCTTGGGAGTCTGCGGGCCACTTGCGGAAGAGCGTACTGGAAGGCCAGGCAAAGAAGACGCCGAAGCCGATGGCTGGACACGACCGGAGCGTTGCAAGCCTGCGGACAGACTGTCTAGGGATGTGCTCGTGGGCAGTGGTGGACTAGAAGCTGGAAGATTGGGAGACTGGCTGTCAAGACTGGCAGCACCAAGACTCTCCCTCATGGTAGGTGGACGAGAGGACTGCTCGCCGAGCAGATCCTTGAGCCTCTTGCGATACTTCTCTTTCTCCTTAAGTGTACGTTCCAAGTCCTTGTTAAGGCCAAGGATCATGGCTCTCTGCTTTTCCACAAGCCTCCATAGTTGTGTTGTGTGTGCCGAGGCCGACTGTTTCTCTTGCAGCAGCTTCGCGATGGCGGCCTCGGGCGAGCCAGCAGCTGCGATCAGGGTGGGTATGTCGGTTGTTTCGAGCGAGATGTTTGATTGCGAGCGGACGATGGGCTGTGGAGCGGTCGACGAGGAGAGCGAGGACAGAGTCGAATCCATCGAGACGGTGCGTTGGGCGGTCGACGAGGGCGGAGCGCTGCGCTGAGCAGCGGTGATGGGTGCTGACGGGACCATGGTCGGGTTTTGGGAAGCACGCAGGCGACGAGTGCTCTCTAGCGGCCTGGCACGGAAAGGTGGCTGCCCATGCAGCGGATGGAAAGGCGGCGAGCTCCTGGCAGTCGGCGAGGACGGTGGTGGTAGGTCGTGTGCAGCCTTCACGGCGCCTTGGGTCGTCGGTAGGGTGGCAGCAGGAAGCTGATACGTGGTGGTGGGATGGCCGGCATGCTGGTGCTGCATTGCGTCCAAACAACAAGAACAAGACTACCTTGTACTTATCTGCAGCCTGCTGAACCAATGACGCTAGCGCCCTTCATTTAATGTATCTGGCGTGATGCCCTTAACAACGATGGCCTCTCTTGTCCGATTCAATATCGCTGACTTCTGCTCGTCGAGTCTTCGCCGGCCGCGTGCAAGGAAAGACGGTCGACAGCAAATTGCTCTCGACAAGTCATCAATCAAGCAAACTCTCCTCGCCTAACTACCATCGACCCTGCTTGACTCGTCAGCCAAAAGCCGTTATGTTTCCAGTCTCTCGCGCCAAATCTCAAGCAGCGAATCACATCTCGCAGAGCCCTATTTTCGCTCTCGCAGAGACAATCACATCCGTCACACGGCTCGACTTTGCTCCCAACTTTTCCACTCGACCTTGCTTGACGTCGCTTCCCAATCTGACGACCTAATTTCCATGACTCTCTATTTTACAGATGCAGACCAGAGATCGTCAAGCCACCCCCGGCTTTAGGCCCAGTCCGAGACAGCTCGCTTGCCCGTTGTGCTCCATTCAGACGTTGCCATGCCTGTCTCTGCTGCAATCCACCTAGATGAGGAACTGCTGCGACTTACAAGAGAAAGACGGCAACAGATACGGTCATGGAGAGAGGAAAAAGTTGTATCAATGACGTCCACTCCTGAAGCCAAGCATTCATTCCTATAAAGCAAGCTCTTTCTGTGGATTTTTAGCTTTCACAGGGTTGAATTAATTAAGTGCGGCGGCCCGTCCTCGAGCCTCCTTCTCACTTCCAGACCCACATCCGACACAAGCAGGCTGACACCGTGAGGTAGGCTCTCTAGCAATATGAATGAAAGAAGATTCGGTATGCACATGAAAGTCGTACTCTGGTCCCTGTCCGTCAATCTGCAGACGCCAGACTCCATCGCTGCAAACATGAGCTGTTCGTTTCATCATGAGCCCGTGAACCGTGGTAACTGCGCTGGCACGAATTCGGGTTCGTCCTCTGTCGCTGCCATCTCTTCCGGGTTGAAGATTGGGAAAGGAACCGTGTCATTATTCGTTACCTTGTCATTCTCCAGCGATTCGGGAATCAGTGGTGACTTTTGCTCCAAATTCCGGTCATTGCGCACGTCCTGGGTGATATCAGGACTCACCGCAGGCTTAAGTTCTCCGGACGTTGAGACAGAAGTCACGGCTGACGATCCATTGACACTCAGCCCTCGCTTCAGTGCAAGACCTCGGGCAGCGTCTCTCTTACTAGCGATGGCGGCTTCTTCCTCTTCTCGTAACCTGTCTTCTTCATGTTTGAGCTCTGTGAGAGATGGTATGGGCTTGGGCTCCACAGTAGCTGCCTTTGATGGCGAAGCGCTAGCTGCACGAGACCGCCGTTTCGAGCTGCGTGTGCTTCTACTTGACATGGTCCGCGTCGATAACCTAGAACCGGTGCTTGGACGCTTCCCCGGCCGGCGAGGTTTACCGTTGTTGTCTACATCTTCTAGTCCAGCGCCTGTGGTACGACGTTCGAGGACCATGGCAAATTCATCATCGAGTTCGCGAGCATCGTCCTCGTCTTCGCTTGGGAAGAGATCACCTCTCGAGCTGAAAGAGTCGGCGGTGCCGTTGCTTCCGGCGGTATTGCTTCTCTTTCTAGGAGAAAAATCATCACCCTCCTCGGTAAGCGAAGGCATGTGCCTCGAGGCGCCAGGATGTTCTTGTAAATCGGCTGCGGAGGGCTTGTAGCGTAGAGTCTTGGCTCCAGTAAGTCTACTAGAGAATCTGCCGAGGAAGCCAAAATAGGACGAGGCAGGAATGAGAGTAGGGTCCGATTCTGGGTCGTCCCTCGGCTGACTCTTGCGACGGCCATACTTGTCCCGGCGGGCGCCATAACTCATGGCACGCTCCCGGGCGGGTTGGTCAGATATAGCAGGGGCGCCGTATGCTTGCAAGTCATCATTGTCCCATGCCAGCAGGCCGGCGGTTTCGTCGTCATCCCAGTCGTCATAGAAGTCGAAGCTCAGCTCGGGGCGAGGACGTGTACGGGCGCGACTTCGATGTAGGTGGTCGTCGCAGCATGGAAGGCAGGAGGAGCAAGATTGGAAGCAGTTCCCGACGGATGAGAAACAAGGACCAAGGTATCTGTGGGAAAAGGTAAAGATGTTGGCCTGGGCGGACTCGTTGGCGCTCTCGATGGTCTGGGAGATTTCATTGATGGTACGGCGGAAGCGAGGGTCGCTGCGTCGATACATGGCGGCCGAAGGGCATCAGTCGAGTGGGTGATTTATGGTAGAGAGACAGCACGCGGAGTGGACGCTGGGCGCTGGGGATGATGACAATGGCGTGCCTTAGGGTTTGGCAGCTGGGCGCCTCGATCCGTTGGTGGGAGTCAGGATGGGTTCGGTGGTGAGCAGCCCCAGGGCTCGCTCGGATGCATCCGGCCGACAGCAACTGCGGGGAAATTCTTGGGCAGCGGGAGAGGGCGATGAGATAAGATAATCGCGTGTCGAAAAGCAAAAGCAAAAACATGAAAAGTCTAGATGCACACAAGTGCCCCCCCGGGCTGTGCCGCACCCGAAAGGCTGGCCTAGATTGTCCACTTTGGCACTCGCGCGAACGCCGGCAGTCGCTCGTTGACAGCGACAAATTCAACATGTAAAACACAAATCACTGTACACGCGCCTTGTCCGCCCTTCCTGACTCTTGCCCGTATCCCCCGGCAGCTGTTTCTGTTTGTCGTGCACCCTCTCCTGCCTCGACCAACACAAGCATGCACTACGGTAAGCCACCACGTTCCTGTTATCAATCACCGCCCTATACTGTATCGTCACTGCCCTACACTCCTCCCTGTGCCCCGGTCGCCATCTGCCAACGTCCCTGCTCCGTACCTGCCCTTGTTGCTGTCTGCTGTGTACCCGTCTGCTGCTTACCCTGGTGCTGCTGCTCAGCGCCTGTCCTTGTTGCCGTCTGCTCACTCTCTTTCTCACACAGTTCGCTTCCTCAAGACGCCCAAGGTGCACGTCGAAAACGGCGCTGTAATTCTCACGGCCGTCGTCACGCTCACTACCGATCTGGGCGAGACCTTCTACCCACACGACATCCAGCTCGCTGCAACCCTTCGCCAATCCGACCACGATGGCGACATCTACCTCCGTCGAACCCTACAATGGCGAGGAGACATGCGTTCCCTCAACATCTCACTCGACCTGACCCGCACAGAGATCGACTGGCCCGTCAGACTCCATGTCCACCCAAAAGCAAATGCTGCCACGTACGACTGCTTCGAGGACCACCATTCTCACGGTCATCTCCCAGGCATCGTCTCCGTATGGAGCGAGTCCTTGAACCCCACANAGGGCACCTTTGAGACACACAGACGGGTCGAGCGCCGGTTCACTCCTCTGACAGGACGTGCCTTGAACATCTTCGAAGACACTGGCGAGAGCATTGCCCGCCATCTGTGGGACGGCAGCTTGTCTCTGACTGCCTACCTTGACCGTGTCGTTGCCCTTCGCTCCGTTCACGAAGCACCCTTGCTCGAAAGCGTATTGTCCTCTGCCACATACAAGAAGTTGAACGTAATAGAGCTGGGCTGCGGCTGTGGTGTCGTCGGCATTGGTCTCGCTCAGACCGTACCCGACTGCAACGTCCTCCTTACCGACTTGCCCGAGGTCGACGAGTTGGTCGAGCGCAACATCGAAGCCGCAAATCCTGCCATGTCGTCCCACATTGACTTTGCTGCCCTGGACTGGGAAGCCCCGTTGCCAGCAAAAGTCGCCTCGCGCACGTTCGACCTGATCTTGGTCGCCGAATGTATCTACAACAGCGACAGCATTCCTCCTCTGGTCGACACGCTTGAACGCCTCATCCAGCGTTCGCCAAGAGCAGTCGTCCTTATCTCGACCAAAGTTCGTCATGAGAGCGAAGCCATGTTCTGGGATCTTTTCCACTCCAGGGGCTTCCAGAAAAAGTCACAAACCTCGCTGCCGGTTCCTGGTGAACCTGGCCATGGTTATGGTGATTCTGCCACCGCTGTTGATATATACATCTACCAAGGCCCAAACCCTCGCACCAGCCACTCACCTCCTGGCTCAAAACCGATTAGTCCCGCTTGAGAGTCTAGCATCAACACGGAGTTCAAACGGTCTTGCTATTCATTCTTGTTTTCTCGTTGCAAATCATTGGGGCGTTCTGCATTGTCATCACATCACTCTCTTTTAGGGGAGCTCCATCTCATCGCACATTGGATGCAAGGCGTTTCAGGTGTGGGGTTTGCAACGGATCAGGGAAGATGAGAAACAAGTTGCGCAGTGTTTATCAAGGCGCAAGGATTTCCCCAAAAAGATTCATGTTTTCATGACCCATTGTTTATTCTTTTTTTCTCGTTATAATTTTCATATCTGAAGAATCGTGTGCATACTCTATATCCTGTTGTGGGTCTACGTGAAAGTTGCTTGAAGTGATTCTAAGACTTGGTCCATCTTCACCAATATCTATATACATATCATAGACTCCTAGGTAGCGATGGATACACACCTTCGAGTCCCATGAGCAAAAACAACCCCACGACAATGGACACGACGTGAAACTTCCCTTGCTTCTTACCATGTTTCATCCCAATTCACACAGAACATTAATACTCTTTTCTGCTTTTTCTCACACTACAAGCAAAACAGAAGGTTGCAAAAACAAAAGAAGTTGATCCTGGCAATGGGCGGAATCGAACCGCCGTCGGGTCGGCGTTGCTGGACTTTAACCTCCACAACGACACATGCTACCACTACACCACATCACCTTAGCTTGTAAGGGTTGAATCCGGTTGGCCAGATTCAGGATCTTGAAGAGAACGTTGATAACGTACAATATATACCTTTGTCTACCACTCATATTGTCGGGTGATAGAAGATCACCAATATTTTTGTGATCGATATGAAAACTGTGCTCCTCTGGACTCGAGGCTTTGAGTGCAGAGATCTCTGGCTTTGTGGGGGACTTGGAGTGGAGTATGATGTCCAACATATTGTGGCTGAGAGTATCACCCTGACTGCATGCTTCCGGCGACGATGTCAACACGAATTGGCATCGAGTGCTCTCATAACTCCATGTATAGATACCTTGATGCACTCTCATCCCAAAATGGCTATAATTAGATCTCTACGTATCCTCTTTGCTGCATGTGCTGACAAAATCAGACTTACCATGGACACAGGCAGACAACCATAGGGACATTGTGCAGTCGCTTGTCAATAAGTTATATCGAAGAACAGGTGAAAGTGTCCAAGAGATCCAGGGATAGAGAATGATGTCCAACAGTTTTTGAGCACACGCAATATGGACAGGACGGCATATATAGCTCGTGGTGTTGTCAAGTTGTTGTAGCCGCTGTCCAACCTGAGCCTCAGAGTTTGTCCGCACCGGTCCAACTGCTTCACCCCACTTCGTCGAGGGCTCGAGAAACGCAGTGCTTTGTTTCACGACTCAAGACATAACGCTTTGACGCATATAAAACAAATATGGGAACCGATTCATGCAACAGACGTGACTTCATCGAGACTACTCATCTATCATCGTGACATGCAGAGTGCAAAGAACAGACAGCTCTAGAAAGCAAAAGAGCAGAAGAAGAGAGTCAACTAGTGGTAATACAATTCGAGACCCGTCAACAAGCAAAATGACCATCATTCATAACCTTCCACAAAGCATCCAGCAAAGTACTCTCACAGGGCCGGAGACTCCAACTAAGAACCAGTAGTAAGGAGAACAGATGGGCGACGGCCGCCAGATCCCTCAGGGGCAGATTCGTACGAATAGTTCGACAGCTTTTGAAGCGCACTGATGAGACCAGTCGTGCCCTGAGTGATAGTAGTCATGGCCTGGGTGTTGCGCTTGCCCACTGACACAGTGGTCACATGGCCTATCTTGCCCTGCTCTGAAAGGCTGTTGGCCCACTGGAAGATGGTCTCGTCCTCACGGTCGTTACCAGCTACCAGCAGGAAGTCAGGTGGTGTACGTCCCTTGCCTTCGACATTCTTCTCACGAAGCTTCTCGAAGATCCTCGTAGCCGCTGAGCCCTTGCTCCAGTCGAGTGATTCCACGGTGACTGCCTTGCTAGTAGGAATGGCCTGCACCCTGTAGCTCTGGCAGCTGTCGTTGATATGGTTAGCGCAGTCACCTGCCTGAGCACGAGCGGCCTCTGGGTCCGCGGCCTTCTCGTAGTGGAAGACGAGTGAGCAGTGACGCTCTTCAATCCACGATCCCTCCACACGCTCGGAGTAGTACTGGAAGATCGACTTGACATCTTTCTTCCAAGAAGCACATGCATCGACGTCTGCGAAGGCAGTCCACTCATCGTCAGAGACACCCCATTCGCGCAAGAAACACCCATTCTCTGCAATAACGCCGAGGTTGGGCACTTGACGGAAGAGGCGCTGCAACTCCTCGGGTGTACGACCTGACATGACATAGACGATGTTCTTCTTGTCAGACAACAGCTCATTAAGTGTGTCAAGGACACGCTGAGGNGAAGTCAAGACAACGTCCTTGTCTGTGCCGTATGTAGCAAGTGTACCTTCGTAGTCCAGAATGAAGACTCTGCGCTCTGCCTCCTTGTACTTCTGAGCGAGTGAAGTAACTGACAGACGNGGAATTGACATTGCGTCGCGAGAAAACTGTTCCTTGGTGGCCTTCGAGAGGGAGTCACCCAAGCGGGTAGCCCAATAGTCTCCAGTCTGCTTGTGCACAACATCTGAAAGCTTGTTGTAACGGCGTTCCTTCTCCTCAGGAGACATCTCCAAAGCGAGCTTAATAGCCTCAGCACACTTCTGGTAATCCCAAGGGTTTACAGAAATTTCACTGCCACCAAATACTGAGGCACTACCAGTGAACTCGCTGAGGATCAAAGGACCAAACTTCTTCTCTGTCGTAGCTCCATCCTGACACAGGATGAATTCGTGAGCCGTCAGATTCATACCTTCACGAAGAGAAGTAATCATCATAACATCAGCAACAGTGAGCAGAGCCACATATTGCGAGAACGAGATGTCCTGCTTCAGGAAAACCAAAGGCTGGTGCGCAAGCGTCGAGTGTACGGAGTCGATACGTGTATTGATGTCCGAAACAGTTGCTAGAAGCTCGCTGTTCTCGGTGGTAGATGTAGCGACTTGTAAAAGGACAACCNNTGCATGAATGATGTTAGACACGTAACAGGATTTGAGAGGTACAGTACTTACGTTTTGACGCCACTGTGGGTATTTGTTGAGGAACAGCTCAAAAGCGAGTAACTTCTGTCTGACGCCTCTGACATTGTCCAGCTTGTCACGAGCAACAATCAAATGCTTGCCCTTGTATCTATCCTGAATCACCTTGATCCACTCCTTTACCTCAGGCTCTTCTCTAGCCTTGGCCATTCCTTCAGGATCAACGCCGATGGGTTCGTGGCTGACATTAACGAAACGCTCTTCCAGTTGCACTCCCTCAGGAGTAGCCTCGACAGTGAGGAGACGACTGCAAGTCTGCAGGAAGTGGTGTGCGTATTCTTTGGTTTGGAAAGCAACAAGGTTGGCACCAAGCATACCCTCGAGAAGCTCCGTACGGGTTGAGAGACATCTAAATACCTCAGAGGAAGGGAAGGCTGCGTGAAGGAAGAAGCCAATTTGAGCATCAGGCAACTTCTTACGGATCATACCCGGGACAAGGAGAAGGTGGTAGTCGTGGACCCAGATGACATCGCCACGCTTGTAATTCGCAATGATCTTGTCGGCGAAATTCTGGTTAACGTTTCTGTAAAACTCCCAGGAATGGTCTTCATAGGCCTTGCTCTTGGGATGGTCGGGAATCTGATAGTGGAAAACTGGCCAGAGAATGGTCTTGCAGTAATGAGTGTAGTGTCCATCAATATCACGATCCGAAGGGTAGACAGTCACAGCGTCGTATTCGTTGGCCAGTCTGTCAGAGATCTCCTCCTTCTTGGAATCGAGCAGAGCGTCAGTAGGAAANCCAAGGGTACCGACCCAGATCTTCTGGAAGTCTTCATCAGATCTCAGAGCGTCGTGGGCGCGAACGGCATTGATCAAACCACCATTTCCTTGGATGGCAGGTTCTACCGTCCAAGTCTTTCTGGCAAAGTTTCGCTCGTTACTTCCTCTGCGTGAAGTGCCAGTGGTCGGCCTGCGTTTCCTCTGGGCAGTGTACTTGGCTACTAATTCCGGATCCTTCTTCTCGGACTTGACGTAATCAAGAATGCTACCAGAGGGAAGAGGGCCAGCGGTAGATTTGGGTTGGTTCAGGAACTGAGCAGCAGCACCCCATTCCGGAGGAGCTGCTTCAGTACGAGCAAGTGAGCGCGGGTCACTAGGCTTGATACGAGGGTCATTGTGCAATTGCGTGAAGAAATCGTCCTGCTTCTCCTCTGCAGGAGTTTTAGGAGGTAAAGGAGGACCATTGAACAGACTTGCTGCCTGGGTTGCAAGGGTCTTCATATCAGTCGCCGAGGCAGCACGGCTGTGCATCCTCTGCGGATTCGGCCTNTTGGGTGCCTCTGGTTCATCATGAAAGTCAACCGTATACGGCAGGAACCTAGGGATATCAGCATCTCAAGAGGTCAATTGGTTGTCGTGCATGGCAGTACTCACAAGCTAGCGACGAAGGTCGACATGATGTGTGAAGGAAGGCAGAGATTGTGTTGATGGCGAGAAAGCTAAACGTGGACCCTGTTTCGAGAGGCCAATGTTCGACGCAGAGCGATGGCTAGGTAAAAAGGTTCTTGTAGGCGAGGGCCAATCCAGATTATGACCGGTGCTTGTATGGAGAAGAGGATGCCGACCAGCTTAATAGGTAGCAATGTCCAGAAAGTTCTGTAGACAAAGCTGATGGACGTGCGTGCCTGTTATGCAAGAGTGACGGTCGAGCTTTCCGAAATAGACTAGTAGCTTTGTCGCTGCGCGTAACCCCAATCCTTGGCCTTGCTGTGCTGTGGCTGTCGGTTTCAGGTTGACTTCACGTCGCAGATGTTTGGTCGCACCACAAGAAGTATGCTTATATCTAGTGCTTTGCAAAGGAGAACATCAGTACTTTTGAACGATGTCTTTACCATTCACGTCTCTGTTCCGGTCGTGAAGAACAAGAAGTTTCAGGAGGCCCATGACCAACTTTCGCCCTGTTTGCCAGCCCACCCCTTCGTTTGTGACGATCGGCGCAAAAAAACAGGCACCCGAAAGTGCCCGCTGGGCGCTGCGGCCGCTGCCATCGAAGTTGCGAGTTTCCTTGCAACGATCGTACAAGTGACGCATTTTTACCAACGATTGAAACAGACCCACCCTCCAACCAAAAGTACATCCTGTTCTGGCGCTCGTTTAGGCATGCTTCATCCAGGTCCATGCGCTCCTAACTGTGATCGTTCTGGGCTGCTTGCCGAAAGAACAAAGCCGTCGAACCCATGTTCGACAGCACATCAACATGTATCTGATACTTCGTTGCCGGTGGATTGACAAGGCATACTATTTGCGCACATCTCTGCATGTCTACCGATCGAATCACAAATCTGCCGATGCATCTCTAAATCATCCATACCTCGCTTGTATTCAACACTTCTCGGCCTAGATGAACTTTAAATAAAACGTTGCATGTCATAACGAACCCCCACGTGCAAGGCTGGAACAAAAACGATTTGAGGCAGTCAACATAGAGACTATGAAACTGTTCGTAAACTTGGGAGCGCCATATCAGAAAAGGGCGAAAGCGCTAGAGAAGCCAGAGCGACGTGAAAGGAGACTGGGTATATCGGAGGCATAAAGCAGAGGCTAGAGAGCAAAGAAGAACAGAGGACAGAAACCAGATGCCAAGTGAAAGGGTCAGTCAGGGTATGTTGGATCTATGAGGCTCTAAAACAGGACAACACCGCGCTCTAATATACCTCCCTCATCATATGCCTCAACAAGAGGCCAAAACAGGTTGCTGTCATTTCGTCGTAAAGAATCCGGGTTCTCAAGCGAGCTGTTCGCGAGAGACTGGTAGGCGATACACTCCTGCGCGCCTCGTAATCGACACGTATGCATAGTGCTGTTTGGGGTGGATGACCGGTTGCCAAAAATGAATAAGCAACCAAGCATATTATTCGGCTTGCTCTGCTCTCTGAGCTAAAACCTCTCTGGCATAGAACTCAACCAGTGTGGTTCCGTATGCTTCGATTTCTTCAACAGGGACGGATAGTCGGAAGTCGTTCAAGAGTAGAAACTGCAACTCAAGATGATTGAGCTCAGGAAGAGGGAGGCCACCAACNCTGTAAGAAATGTTAGCGCAAGATTGAAAACATTTCAGGACAGAACGAACCTTAGCATAACGCGAATTTGTGTAGAAGATGTCGGAAAAGAATTTGCTGGCGCACGTCACACCTGCAATAACCAAGCGATGAATGTTGAAGCTGTCAACAACAAAGAGATGTGAAAGGTCGAGAGTATCTGCGTCCAGAGCAGATGCCGCAGGAGAGTCGGGCTGACGAGCTTTGCTATGAGGAGTACCAGGTACGGCTCCTTGATTTTGTGTTCCGAGCTCACCAGACAACGGAGGTGTTGCTGTTTGTGCGTAGCCATGGCTCGCAGGTGCCACACCCTCCATGAAATGTGTAGAAGTAGGACTCTTGAGTTCTTGCTCAGAAGCTATAGCGCGTTCGTGTCTGTCCATCTCTCGTAGGTTTTGCATGGCGCCCGCGTTCACCTTTTCCATCATGCGATCAAAGTAGACTAACAGGCTGAGAAACACCTCGTAGCTCGTGGGACAGTATTTGTTGATGCGAAGAAGGTAGCTCAGAATTGTGATGCTAGGCACGTTCTTTCCGTGAAAAGCCAGTACACTGTTCGATTGCATTCGGTTCGAGGACGAGCCGCCCTCTGGTGGGGTCATCTGGTGGTGTAGGTGCTGGTGTTGTCTATCGTTCGTAGCTGTGATTTTGGTCAAGAGACCAGCGACCATTTCGATGATGTTTTCAATGGGCATGCCGCTGATTTCATATTGCGGGCCCTGATCACCAACTTTGTTGCCATCTTCCGCAAAGGGATGCATTTCGTTGTCTGCCATGGTCTGGATGTGTTTCAAATCGCGGACCTTGATGCGCTGAGGTGAGGACGTCGTTTCTCGTGTAGAATCGGTTTGGGTTGGCGATGAGTCGGGAGATGATTCGGGGGCAGCGGCAGGGCGCGAGGAAGGGATGTTTGCGACATTAAGGGGAGTCCGCTGGCCTGCAGCAGGTTGTAGAGCGGGTGAGGCGGGGCGCTGCCTTGTTGACGAAGGAGCTGGCGACTCGGCTGCCATTTGTGAAGCATGCGAGCTGCTTGCCCGTCGGCTTTCAGTTGCTGACATGTTGGTTTGCGACGGACGGGTGTGTGGTGCAAATGCAGTCCGGGCTAAATCTGGAGTGTGCCGTGGAGATAGTGGCGGAAACAGCAGCGTGGAGGAGTGAGGTGTAAAAGCGTCGATTGCTATCGAGCCCCGAATCTACAGACCCTCCGTATTCTGTTCAATCATGCGTTAGTCGCGCGGCAGAAATGGGGTGGTGTGGGTTGCCGCGATGCGCGTGCTGAAAGTCGTGAGAGGTTGGGGATAACAAAGCTCAGCGACCAACAAAACGGCCAAGACAGGCTCGGAAGAACAGGGCAAACAGAGCGAGATGCAAGAGCAATCGCAACTCTGTTCTGCACACAGCAAGCAGGTGCGACAATGGTAGAATGTTCTGGACATGGCGACCGGCCATCAAGCGAGTGTCTTGTCACCAACTCGTCGCAGCCTCGACGTCACACGGCGATTGAACGCTGCGGTGCTGTATACACGCATGGAGAGACCGTGTCAGGCTGAAGGGGAGGGAAAGCAGATGCTACTTACACATACAAGGCATCTTTCTTTGCACAATGATCAAATGCACCAGAATGCCTGGAAGAAGTCTGTCTCTAGACGTAGAGAGGTCGGACAATGGGATCAACAGAAAACAGAAGGAGCCTGAGTACAAGACGAAGGGGCCCTTGGGCCAAGGGACCCGGCTCCCGTCGTTGACGCCGGCCGCCATTTAAGCTTCCGCGCCTTCGACTCACCCTGATTTGCGTCGAGACCGAGCATTACTCGCGCCGTCTCACGTCCGCACGTGGGCTGCCTGTCATGTAGAGCACGCACAGGGGTTGAATTCATCCATGAGACATGATTTCGTGTCATCTATCTGGTGCTTCTTGTCCTTCTCGTGTTCCATCAATGCTGCTTCAACTCCTTGATATGCTTGGGAGTGACATGTTGGAAAGAGATGGGTGAGAAGCCAAATGCACGCTAGCATCTAGCTGCCCGGACCACTTGCTCCGCTGCGTACAAGCTGCGGCATCACAAGCAAGAAGCGTCGCTGTATGGCTGGCCTTCGCTGCAACCCTCTCACTTGGTACCAGGACCGGTGTAGCCATTGTCGGGCAAGTAGAGATGTCTCACAGCACCTTTCGCGGTGAGGACGACCATACGGATCACACCGCCTGAGCTTCCATCCCACTTGATAGCCTCCCTCAGAGATCCCTTGACGAAATCGATACCCTCCTCCTCGGTCATGCCCTCCTTCCAGTTGGCGTCGCAGTAGCCGTAGATGTAGGTCGAACCAGAGCCAGCGATTGCGTAAGCCTGCTTGTGAAGAGAACCGCCCAACGGTATTGAGTAGACTTGGCCACCATGTCTGCGATCCCATCCTGCAATGATGATTCCAGCACTGNNCGCACATGATCAGCGTCGATTCGACACGTCCCTACGTCTCTATTAGACCGTGTCCAACTTGCAAACATACCTCAGCATATCCTTGTTGTCATAGCACAGCTCTTGGAAGATGGCGGCGGCGGTTTGTGTGGTGGGAGCTTCGTTGTTGTTGATGCCGTACATGTTCAGGTGGTATTGGACAATGTCGGCAACTGCTTGGGTGTCTGCGGCGGAACCGGATCTGCAACACCAGATGGTGTCGTGAACTTGGGTGAGCTTGTCGGTGACACGGTTGGCGATGTAGGCGCCGGTAGTGGTTCTGCTGTCTGCGCCGAGGATAACACCATCCTTGAAGTTGATGGCCATGCTGGAGACGGTTCAGTATAGTGAGAGGCGTGCGCTTGGAGGTGATTCGACGTACATGGAAGTTCCGAGGCTNGTTTAACTTATGTTAGCCTTTCGTCAAGTTCTATGTCAAGTTCTGCGCAGCACTCACTTGACCTCGCCCTTCTTGAGATGGTTCATGTCGATGTGAATGCCATCNTGGACATCTGTAAGCTTGTGGCACAGCTATTCTTCAGAGGCAATCCTACCCTCGCCGAGCATGCCCGTTGCTTGTCCGATCATATTGTAGTGTCGTGAATGTGCGGTATGAGATGACAGATGGGTCCAGAAGTGTGCAGATGAAGAAGCGCGTGGGTATTGTTGAAAGTGAGATGCAAGTCGGATGCTGCGAACAGCTCCAGGCAAACCATCAATGATGCACGCCAGTCGGCCGCCAGAGCGCCAAGCTTCCGGCGTCACCAACCCACCACCAATCACCTTTCCCTGAGCAGCTCTCCGATGCACAAGGTATATACGCAGTCTCTCGTTTTATTCCTTCGCGCCTGCCTATGTCAACTCCCCGTCGCTTCCCCAAATACCTTCCGCGCAGTTTCAAATTCAACTTCGACTCACTTTTAGCTAAACCTGATGTTCCTCGACGGCCTTCTCTAAACAATCGAACCACCTCACAATCCCGCCGTTTCTCAGAAGCGTCTGGGGACATGGCTACTCTGCTATGGGGTTATCTTCGTATACCCTTCATATTCGCTTCTGGTTTGGGCATGGTTCTTAGTAGCGGCCTTTTCTACTACCAGAAGTATGTCCTCTGATTTCATTCAACTTCGCTTTCTGACTCGACCGNNAGTGAACTCATCTATCCTCGCAACATCCCCGCGAATGCTCGTACCGACGTCCCAAGGCCATCGCAGCTAGGACTTGATGCCGAAGAACTCACTCTACCTACACCAGATGGTGAGACTTTAAGTGCCTTTCTCGTCAAGCCAGGAAACGCCAGCAAGGCAAAGAATGTGACTCTCCTGATGTTTCATGGAAATGCTGGAAATATTGGCCATCGACTTCCCATTGCTAAGATCTTGGCAAATGAAATGTATTGCAATGTCTTGATGCTTCAGTATCGAGGTTACGGCTTGTCCACTGGTAATCCAAACGAGAAAGGCATCGCAATCGACTCGCAGACTGGACTCGACTACATCCGAAGTCGAGACGATCTCAAGAAGACCAAGATTGTCGTTTACGGCCAAAGTCTGGGAGGTGCTGTCAGCATTGGGCTTGCTGTCAAGAACAAGGACCAAGGTGATATCGCTGGCCTGATTCTCGAGAACACTNTTTTGAGCATCAAGAAGATGATTCCAAGGTAAGGATTGCAACATCGGTTGTGTTGGGAAACCAGCTGACAATCACNNAGTGTGATCCCTGCAGCCAAGTATTTGACACCGCTTTGCCATCAGGTTTGGCCTAGTGAAGAAATGCTTCCCCAGCTCACCAATATTCCCATTCTGTTCTTGAGCGGGCTCCAGGATGAGATTGTACCGTATGTGTCAATACCCTAGCTTTCAGGCCGCGGTTCTAACCAATGATAGANNCCATCGCACATGAAACGACTCTTCGACATTTGTCGCTCAGAGCCCAGGATCTGGAAGGAGTTTCCTTACGGCGATCATAATAACACTGTTACAGAGGCCGGATACTTTCACTACATCCAGGATTTCGTCGATCAGTATATTATTTCATGATGCGGCCTTATAGTTGAGTGCTGTTGCACGCTTTTGCGCGGACCAGTCGTGCATCGAGTTTCGAATCGCAGTGTGGCCAAGTCGCTGTCAATCCTTAGATCTCTCTACACAGAGTATTGTTAATTGTCAGCTGCTTTTCAGTCCTCTAGAGTCCTGGTGAGCTCGTATATGGATAGGCCAGACGAATAATTACAACAGAAATCTTGTCTCCAATGAAGCACCTACGGATATACAGCCATGAAAGGGCAAGCAACCCAGCAGACGCGATCCTCATCATAATAGGTTCCACAGTATGTATGGGCATTCGGGCGCTGACATCTCTTTTGGTGGAAATGACGAGAGAAGAGAAAGGATTCCTTTGTCTTGTTGCGATCATCCGTCGGCCAAGCAAGGCAACAGGCAGCAAGATTGCCAACGTATCATCCCTGCATATATCTCCTTCGTACCCAGCAACGTCTTTACAGCCAAGACATCAAAAAATACTTAGCCATCGACAGACATGGCGCTATTGAGGTCAGATAAGCTGCTCAGAGCGAGGGTGATAACCCATTTCCACACATTTTGTATACCAAACTCATGTTCTTCATGATCGTTGATAAGCATGGCTGTGGTGCCTGTCATGTGTCGATAACCAGGCAATGTAAGGCTTGTGATCAGTCGACTTGTGGACCAGATTTCTCTAGACGTTGATGCCGTGAGTCGCTGGTCAACGTACAGTACATGTATCAACTGCTTACAAAACACGACTTCATGTGATATGCTCTTGCAGGCCAAGTATCTGGGCAGCCCAAAACAGACAATGCTACTAGATTCCTCGGGCCCACACGGACGGGCCCGGAACGCGGAGGAAGGTAAAGACACCCTTAGCGATGTCCCTACGCGATCTCTGGCGACAAACTTTGGTATGCTCTACGGAACAGCTCTGGCCGACTAATCGCGAGTTCTATCTTCAAGGCAAGATCAAAGAAAAATATCTTACCTTGGAAATACACAGATGCAAAGATTGAAATTTGGTGGCTTGCTTCGATCACCAGCGAGCCGTGGGTTTCAAAACCAATCGGGAAGGAGCAATTGATCCTCCATCCCTGGTCAAGAAATTTCCCCCACTGTTCGAGACAACATCGTCTCACAAACGACGCAGGGATGCATCAATCACAACGAACGTAGAGAATCCAAGTTAAGCGGACAAATGGGCGCGGTGAAAACCAAAACCCGATATCCGTCTGGTAGCAACACGGTCGGGTGTCAGCTTTCGAGATTCGCTGTCGAAATGCGCTAGCACGATGTCGTTATACTTGCACCCTTGGTAAGGTTGAGGCGTTTCTAATCCGGCAGGCAGCCATCTTTTCGTTGTCTGTCCGTGTTTGGCCGTCGGTGAGTTTGGTTCGGTGACTCCGTTTGATTTCAACCGCAGGTATCTGTACCAAAGTTTGCTGTAGAAAAGAGCTCACATTCCTCTCCTCAGTAACCCGTTACAACTTGTCCTACCTCGCCATACATCGAATAAAACATCCATTGGTATCGACAAAATTCTCCAGCCAAACCCTCGACATGGGTTTCTTCGACAGGAAAAGCAAGGACTCCAGTCGTCCAGAATCGGTGGAAGCTACCTCACCTGGTGTGCTTGAATCCTCAGAAAAGCTCGACGAGGCACAGATTCGTTCTGCATCTGTTACCTCTGGCGATGAAAAGCCAGTTGCTGGAGTCGACTCCGACGCGACGCAAAACGATGAAGAAGACCCCGACATCGTATACCCTGGTGGTTTCAAGCTCACCCTGATCACTATCGCTCTATGCTTGGCGGTGTTCTGTATAGCTCTGGACAACACTATCATCGCAACCGCCATCCCGAAAATCACCGATCACTTCAAAGCAATTGACGACATTGCATGGTACGGATCCGCATACCTTCTTACAACTTGTTCTTTCCAGCTGTTCTTCGGCAAGCTCTACTCGTTCCTGAGCTTGAAATGGGTCTTCCTTGTGGCACTCTTCATCTTTGAGCTTGGCTCTTTCATCTGCGGTATTGCTCCGACTTCAACAGCCCTCATCGTTGGACGTGCCATCGCTGGAGTCGGCTCAGCTGGGTTGTTCTCAGGAGCTATTCTGATCATTGCAAACTCTGTGCCCCTTCGGTCAAGACCATCATACACTGGTCTCATTGGTGCCATGTATGGTCTTGCCAGTGTGGCAGGCCCGTTGATGGGTGGTGCTTTCACTGACCATCTGACTTGGAGATGGTGTTTTTATATCAACCTTCCGTTCGGAGCCGTCACCATGATCTTCATCTTCTTCTTCTTCAACCCTACAAAGAGCGCGAAGAAGCTCTCTCTTGGCTGGAAGAACCGCGTCATGGACTTTGATCCCGCTGGCACCATCGTCTTCCTGCCCATGATCATTTGTCTCTTGTTGGCACTCCAGTGGGGTGGTAGCCAATACCCTTGGAAAGACGGCCGCATCATTGCTCTCTTTGTGGTGTTTGGCGTGCTCTGTGCCATCTTCATCGCCATTCAATTCTATGTCGGAGAAAAAGCCACCATCCCGCCTCGCATTCTCAAGCAGCGCACCGTTGCTGCAAGTGCATGGTTCGGTGTCTCTCTGGGTGCTGCCTTCTTCTTATTCGTATACTACCTTCCTATCTGGTTCCAAGCAATCAAGGGCGTCTCTGCCACAAAGTCTGGCATCATGTCTTTGCCTTTGATCCTTGGAGTTGTCATCTGTTCGGTGGTTGCTGGAGGCCTGGTAACAACTTTTGGCTACTACACACCCTTCATGATTGCCTCTTCAGTGCTCATGGCCATTGGAGCCGGCCTCCTCACCACCTTCAAGATCGACACCGGACACGCAGCGTGGATCGGCTACCAAGCCATCTTCGGCATCGGCGTCGGCCTCGGCATGCAGCAAATCCTCATCGCTGTCCAGACCGTGCTACCCGCCGCCGACATCCCCACCGGCACCGCCATCGTCATGTTCTTCCAAACCCTGGGTGGCGCCCTCTTCATCTCCGTCGGCCAAAACGTCTTTACCAATAAACTTGTCTCGGGGCTCAAGGCTGCTGTTCCAGACTTGAATCCTGCCATTGTACTGCAGACTGGTGCTACCGAGCTCAAGAACGCCATCGATGAAAAGTACCGTACTGGTGTGCTGCAAGCTTACAACGATGCCTTGACGAATTCATACTATGTTGCTGTTGCGCTTGCCACGCTTTCGATTGTGGGCTCATTGGCTGTGGAGTGGAAGTCAGTCAAGGGCAAGAAGATCGAAGTCATGGCAGCATAGAAACAAGAACACGATGAGCACACGATATAACTGGCGTTTGATGGTTTGTCCTGCAGGAAAGTCAGGTTTGGATCAAAGGGACAACCAGGCATACAGCATGCACAGTCTCACTCGTAGTCACCTCTCTACATGTACGATAGCTCTTAGAACGTAATACACAAAGCAATCATCTCTTGATACCCACCTCCCACCTCTTCATGCCCAAGTCTTGCCATAAAGACAAGAAGCAAGGTTCCTGTCTCCGTCTATCTTGCAGTGCATAAACCCACATAACACAGTTTCGCCTTAAATACGGTAAGAGCGAAGCAACACAATCCTTCCTCTTTGCTCTTTTCCCTCACTCACTATTGTGCTACTGTGATATGCCTCTCCTTCCCCCTCTGAGCTTTGAAGAAACAATGTCCACACAACCAAGCCATGTATTTTGAAATGCATCAGTGATTCGATCACCACAACATGTCTTCTTTACCTTTTCCCAACCCCTCATCACCCCAGAGCGCCATTCCTTTTGATATGGCGTATTTGGATAAATCACTTGACACTCATCTAGTAGCGGAATCAGCAACGAGAATGGAAGAAGGCTTTACTACAACTACACAGTTTTGGAAATGTCCCTTTTGGGTTCTTTTCTTTCTCGGTGATAGATTCTGTGGTCTCATGGGTGGCTGATGGATCTACGATACACTATTTTCGGATTGAAGAGAAATCAAAGATTGCACTTTCCAAACCTCTTTTCAAGAAAGAAGCATTGATCTATGTGAACAAGGGGCGAAAAAACGAGAAAGAAAGATTTTTCGACATTAATCTATTCAAGAAAAGTGTATCTATCTATATACCCATACTTTTGACCAACAGCCACAAAGCGACAGGAACAACAACATTGTCGTTGGCCCCCGTAAGCACAGCTTCCATAAATGAAGCCCCACAGCCACAAACAAACATCTTGAACACCTCTAAACCCCAAAAGCCCATACATGAAGGCAACAGAGAAGAAGCAACAAGCGTCTCAGGAGTGTCATACACTTCAGCCCACCTTCCAAACCTCACCCACGCTTTGGCAAGCAACAACCCAATGGTCACGGCAACAGCAAAAGCCGCACTGCCCTCAAGGCTCTTGCCACCTATCCAAGGCCACTTGCAGCGCCCAAAGCGTCTACCGATCAAACTGGCTGCTGCGTCGCCCATACCTACACAGATGACTCCCGCCACCATAGCCACCTCGCGACTCTCGTTCTCCGTCTCCCAGCCAGGCCAGCGACCAGATTTCGTCCTGCCGATGCCAGCAAGAGAAAGCCATAGCGGGATAGCACAGCCGATGAGCAGAAAAACGTGGCTGACAACCATAGGCCCGCGCAAGTCTCTGCCATCAACGTATGGTGCGACAAAGCTGCCAATAGCAATGCCGAGTGGAGGAACCTGACCGGCGCGGATGATTTCTAGGATCAAGAAGATGGCGAGGACGAGTCCGAGGGCTAGCGAACAAAAGCAAGGGTCTACAAAAATGGAGGGCAAAAGCATGGTAACCATGACCGCGTGAAAAACTTTTCGCCTTGTGTCCACTTCGATGAAGGGGGTCAGACGCAAGACTGCAATCAAACCGACACAGAGGACAGCCGCCCAATATGCAACGATGAGAAGCCGCGTATTGGCCGCACCCACTGCAGCTCTCACACCAGGAACAGAAGACCCATGGAACGACAGATTTTGCAAAATCTCATCTTTGTAAGCAATGCGATCGACCCTGGAAGAGAACGCATTGAAGAACGTGGGTATGTCTGAAAAGAGATACTCGAATGCCCAGATGATAGGCTCTGCCGAATTGAGAGCAGCATCTGAGATCGTTCTGCGTACTGGGACCAGAATGACAAAGGCAATGGTCGTGAAGATGTAAATGGCATACGCCCATTTATACATGAACGCACCCTCAGGTGTCAAGTTTAGGTGCCAATCGCGCAGTCGACGATGTCTTCGTTGAGCAGCTGCGTTTGGGGTGTTGCCGAGCAATGAAGTGGGAACATCCATACTGGCAATGGTATGTCTCCTTTTCCTAGAAAAGTCATTCGCATCGACTACCGAGTCTCGGTGGGGTGGTGGATTTGCTTCAGCTGCTGATTTTGGTTCATAAAAGTCGTGGTCAGCCAAGATGGTGTTGATACCAAGTTTGGGCGTTTTGCGAGTTTGAGACTGAATCTTCTGAAGTGGAACATCCTCATCGGCATCGCTGTCGTCGTTCTGATAGCGCGTGAAGGGATAGACCCATTTCGTGAGGTGGGAAAGAAGATCGTTCTTTGCATAAGGCGAACGACCGGATTTGGAGGCGGTCCGTCGAAATCTCCATCTAGGGACACGTGCAAGGGCTACATTCCAGCGTGCGACATGAGTGCATAGTACCAGAATCCAGACGCCTCCGACCCATAGGAGAGCACGCAGAATAGCAGTCTGGGGCGAGGTTGCGAAAAGGAGAAGATTGATTAGTCCAGCTGATAGAAGATGCTTCTCAGCCGCCAAGAGACTGGTTGTGGTTAAGTAGTGTAGTGGGGGCAACAAAGCCTGATGGAGAGGATATAGCAGAGTAAGGAGCTCAGGCTGCAAGAAGGCAGGCTGGCTTGCCTTGAGCTTGTACGGTGAAGGAGGATATGCCGAAGAGGGCAGCTCGGTGTTCTCGGAGAAGATGAGCGGAGTGATGGAAACAATCCAATGGAGCGTGTTGATGTCCTTGAGACGAGATAGGGGTGGAAAGAGACGTGGCGGTAGAGAAGCCAGGCCCAGGATTAGGTTCGGTAATAGTAGAGCAGGGTATTGTGGTAGCAAAGAAAGGGCGATCAGGACGGGAACAAAGGTAGGATACAGTATCGAGGCAGGATCGAAAGAGGCGGGCACTCGGAAGCGGCGCCATCTGGGACGAGTCGTGTCGTCGGAAGGAGAGAAGATTATCACCCTCACGGGGTATACGGCAATCAAGAGGGCAACAATGGCCAATTGAGAGGCGACCTCTNNACTGCAAGGCATCAGTGTTTGACTCACGAGTCCAAGACTGCCGGAATTACCTCGATGCCAGTTCCAGAGAGCATGTGTCACCGAGGGAGCAAGTGTGATGATCAGCCCAATGACAGCAAGCAGAGCACCCTCGGAGATGCGACGGATGCGTTCAGCTCTCCTCCTCTTTTCGAACAGCCGTCGGGCGAGCAGCAGTTCATCTTCTTCGGCATGCTCTGTTGGCGTCTGCGCTGGTTTGTGATCAAAGTAGCCTTCGGATAAGCGGCGGCCTTGGTTGTCGAGTTGCGAGGGTGTGAGCAGTGGGGTCGGCGAACCATCTTCCTGTCGCAGTCCTTTGGCAGGCCGTAGAGAAGGTGGTGGCAGGGCTTTCAGGTATTGGGACGGTCGCTCATCGTCGGCTTCGGTGCCGCTCTCGCTCGACAGGTTTGTTGATGTGTGGTAGTTGCTGCTCTCTTCGGATTTGGCAGCTCGGCGGCCACGGCGGGCATAGGGGTGTGGTGAGCGCTCTCGTTCATCGCCAGCGGTGCGCATTCTGTGTCATTTGTCGAATCATCTTACATCCATCGTGTCAACTGGAAGGAACGACCTCACCGTTTGATTCTCAAGGCCACGAATGCCATCGGGACCGTGACGCACGCTTCACTTGGCGTCACCATTCCCGACCGCTGCCTGCATCCTGAACATGTAAATCCACACTATCGACGATCGTCACAACGGCTGTCGTTATCTTGAGCAGAGATATAGTCGTGTATATTTTCTACTTGATCCTCACATGTATACCATGTAATATTACATATTTATCAAGTCCTAGATCGCTCACAGGTACTTGTTGGCCTTGAGCCATGCCTCTACGTCCTCAGCATCTCTCTTCAACCATCCCTCCTTGGCTCTAATTGCATCGAAGCTCTGTGCCAGGCTCTGGTCGAAGCCCTTGGTGCTACGCTCCTTGAAGAATGCATCAATCTCCTGGATCTGCTTCTCGCTGGTGAAGCTGCTGGTACAGAGGCTGACAACACTGCCGAGCATGCTGAGACCAGGAGGAAGCTTCTTGTAGATAGTGTCCCAGTTGACCTTGACCCAGTCCCAGAGTGCGATGATTCCTTCCTTGTGCGAACGAAGTCCACCAAGAGGGAGGTAGATATCTTGGTCCTTGACTTCCTTGCTAAGAGCCATGGCAAGCGAGCGCTTGATGAGCTCGGGCTGTCTAGCACGTCCAATCGAGCGCAGCGCTGTGTTGCGTGCATCTGCATCCTTGGCAGTTCTGTACTCCTTCAAAATAGCGTCATACTCGGCCTCGCCTCCGTTCTGCAGGGCGACGGCGTATACACCGGCGCGCAAATTGGGGTGGATAGCTGACCTGTCACCGTTCTTGAACTTCTCAAACATCTCAAGTGCTGCTGCCTTGGTCTTCTCGTCACCGGAGAGAGCTGCGCTGCTGAAGAGGAGCGACTTGAACTGCTGCTCAATGTGACCATCACTCTCCTTGAACTCCCAGCCGAGCGAGTGCGACTTCTTGCTGACAAGGTCGCGCTGGAAGGCCTTGAGTGCATTCTTGACCTTGTCGTCTTGGAAGACCCAAGCTGCGCGCACCGAGGCAATACGGGCAGTAAGCTCATCCCAAACGACGAACTCGGGCTCAGTGTCGAAGCCTTGGAGCAGGGACAGGACACCGGAAGTCTTTTGGTAGCCAGATGCGGCAAGAGCACCAGCGTCAGCAATCATACCAGCTCTGTCCTCAACGGTAAGAAGACCCTTCTTAGCGGCCTCTCCAAGCTTCTGCAGGCGCTCAGGAGAGTATGAGGTTCTGTAGATACCCGAGTGGTCTGCGTTGATCTTGTAGAAGGTAAGATCCTTGACCTTGAAGCTTCTCTCACGGCCATCGAGTGTGAGCTCCTCGTCAACACCGTCCTTGGAGCGGAGACCAAGGAAGACAGGGTAAAGAACCTTGTCCTCCTCAGGCTTCACATCTGCGGTGCGCAAGAATCTGTTTTGCTTGACGTGGACCGAGTTGTTCTTGGCATCCTCGGTAACACTGACGACAGGGAAACCGACGTTCTTGGTCCAGATATCCATGATCTTCTCAACATCCTTTCCACTGGCATCGCTCAAAGCAGCCCAGAGGTCGTTGGTCTGAGTATTGCCAAAGGCGTGCTTCTTCAGGTAGCGTCTGACACCCTCCATGAAAGTCTCCTCGCCAAGGTACTTGGAAACCATACGGAGAACGCAGGATCCCTTGGAGTATGAGATGGCATCGAAGATCTGGTTGATCTCGTCTGCACGCTTGACAGGTACCTCGATAGGGTGAGAGCTTCGGAGAGAGTCGAGAGCGAGAGCACTCTGGAGGTTATCCGTGACGTAGCCTTGCCACACCTTCCACTCAGGGTAGAACTCGTTGCAAGAGTACCACGACATCCAGGTAGCGAAACCCTCGTTCAACCAGAGACCATCCCAGAAGTCCATGGTCACAAGGTTACCGAACCACTGGTGAGCAAGCTCGTGCTGCACAACCTCGGCCACTCTTTGCTTGGTGGAAGCACCGCTCGTCTTCTCATCGAACAGAAGGTCAACGACACGGTAGGTGACCAAACCCCAGTTCTCCATAGCGCCAGCGCTGAAATCGGGGATAGCAACCATATCCATCTTGGGAAGGGGNAACTTGCTGTCGAACTTGGTCTCGTAGAACTCCAGGGTTTTGGCGGCGAGTTCAAGAGAGAAACGGCCATGCTCAATGTCCTTGTCAGGTGTTGCAAAGACACGGACGGGGAGTCTGAAAGCGTCGGTCTCAATCATGTTGAGCTCACCAACGATGAAAGCAAGAAGGTAGGTCGACATAAGAGGACTCTTGTTGAAGGTGACGGCCTTCTTGCCGTTGTGAGCATCTTTCTCGTGGGCAACATCCATGTTACTCAAGCAAGTCAACTTCTTGTCGGCGACCAGGGTAATGGTGAATTCGGCCTTAAGAGCGGGCTCATCGAAACAAGGGAATGCCCTACGAGCATCGGTGGGTTCCATCTGAGTGGTGGCGATGTACTTGTCACTGCCGTCCTCGCCCTTATAGCTCGAACGGTAGAAACCGGCCATGTTGTCATTGAGAGTACCGGTGAAGGTCTGTGTGAGGGTAGCCTTGTGGCCAGCGGGGATTGTGTCGGGGAACGAGACGGTTGTTGTCTGGGTGTTCTCGTCGTAGGAGACCTTGGGCGAGGAAGTAATGAGCTTGGAGCCCGAGTGGACCTCGGTGGACTTGATGTCAATATCGATTGTGTTCAGCGAGATGGATGTGGTATCCTCGACGACGTCAAGANNCTATGTGTATATTAGCAGTCGAAGCAAGAGCTGAAGGCGATATTTCAGGTCAACACACTCAATGACGACCTTACCCTCATATTGGAAGGTCTCGAGGTTAGGCTCCAGGGTCAGGTGGTAGTGGAGGGGCTTGACGTTCTTGGGCAGAACCTCACGACCTTTGGCAATGTCGAGGTTGGCACCCATGGCATCGGCATCGCGGCGACACATCCTTCTATGCGAGCAGTGGCGAGCTTGGATACGGGATCTAGGGAGTCGAGAGTTTGAGTTTGGGCGAAGAGAGGATTGGCGTTGGTGGGCAGTGGCGGGGTTAGATGTGGTCGAAGATGTAGTGAAGAAGTGGGAGCGAGAGGCTGAAACAACAGCACGTCTAGGAGCTACAGATCTGACGGCCTGAGAGCGGACTGTTCGAAGAAGATGAAGGTTCATCAGAGGAAGGAGGAAAGAGAAGAAAGGGGCAGGACAAGAAGGAACGTAGATGATACGAGTGCTCGATAGCTCCTGCTCTTTCGAGACTCGAATGTTTCGGTCACACGAACGGACCTTTGCAAACACCGACCTTGTGGATCGTACCTGCCACCTGCAGCTTGCATCTTGCCGATCGCTCCTGCCCCGCGTCTCGAAGACACGACACTTGGCATGATGTATCGTTTGCTGGTGATGCCTCCTGCGCTTGACAAAATCCAACATGTCCATTAAATTCTCATAACAGTCGTTCTTTGCTGATCGAAACACCACGACCATGTGGATATTACCCCTGGTTGGCTATCTAGGCCTTGCGCTTGGATTCTCCTTCCTAACACTTGCGATCGCATCTGGCCTGTACTATCTCTCGGAGCTGGTTGAAGAGCATACCGTTCTGGCCAAAAAACTCTTGACCCGGCTGATATATCTGGTCGTCGCTATCCAAGTACTGCTGGCTCTCTTCGACAAGTTTCCGCTGGGGCTCTCGGCTCTTGCCATTGCCAGTCATGGTGTTTACCACCAGAATCTACGCCGCTTCCCCATTGTCAAGCTCACTGACCCCGTTTTCTTGCTGTCGTGTGGTATGTCTCTCAGGTGCACAACTTACTCCTTCTCTTGCTGACCCGATTCCAACCAGNCACTCGTCCTTCTGAACCACTGGCTATGGTTCTGCCATTTCTCCGCTCCGCCTTCGTCTCCTCCAAGACACTACAACTACTACGCCCCAAATGAGTCCATTCCAAGCTTTAGCGAAGTCGCTGCGTTCTTTGGACTACAAGTCTGGCTTGTGCCTTTCGCACTCTTCGTCTCGCTGTCTGCTGGCGAGAACGTTTTGCCGAGTATGGGCAGCGAATACGCTACGGGCGCTGGCAGCAGCTTCATCTCTGCTGGAAAGGAACCCGACAATGCTGCGACGGCTTATGCCTCGGCTTCTGGTGCGCGTAGATCGCGCTCTGGAACAAATGCTGGTATGGCCAAAGCTGCTGTCATGGGCGTTCGTGAATGGATTGGCGAAACAGGAGAGCTCATGGGCTTCTGGAGAGGCGAGCGAACGAGGCCTTTCTGAGTGGTTGTCAAGAAGGGTTTCCCAAAAGTCAAAATTAGTCCAGGTGCACGAATTCATGAATCAAAATAAGAATTGTTTGAGGTATACACGCTATACAACAGACCCCCGCCCAGGCCTTGCGATCGCTGTTTTGTCTACAGTGACTGCATTTACTGCTTCTCCATGGCGCCGAGAATGGCTCTTGTGAACTCCTGAGTGGTCGAGTTGCCGCCCATGTCACGGGTGCGGGTNCTTGCTGTGCGGTTGTTAGTGATGTGCTCAATGAAAGAAGATGTACAATACACATACCCCTCAGCAATAACATCGTAAACGGCCTTGGAGATTCTGTTGGCGTGGTCGTCGAGACCAATGTGTCTCAGGAGCATGCTTCCGGAGAGGATGAGAGCGGTGGGGTTTGCCTGGTCCTTGCCCTTGATGTCGAGACCGACGTGTCTGCAGCCGGGCTCGAAGACGGCGACATCACGACCCATGTTGCATCCGGGAACAATACCGGGACCACCGACGAGACCAGCTCCAATGTTGGAGAGAATACCTCCGTACAAGTTGGGCATGACCATGACGTCGAACTGTTGGGGTCTGGAGACACACTGCATCGAGGCGTTGTCGACAATCATGTCGTTGGTCTCGATGGTGGGGTATTCCTCGCCGACCTTCTTGATGGTGTTGCGGAACAGACCGTCGGCCAACTTCATGATATTGGCCTTGTGGATGCAGGTGACCTTCTTGCGGTTGTTGGCGAGGGCGAAAGCAAAGGCGAACTTGGCGATGCGCTCCGACTTTGCGCGGGTGATGATCTTGAGCGACTCGACAACGCCATCGACCGACTGGTGCTCGAGGCCAGAGTACTCTCCCTCGGTGTTCTCACGGATGATGCAGAAGTCGACGTTCTTGTGGCGGGTCTCGTAGCCGGGGATGTTCTTGATCAGGACGATCGAGGCGTAGATATCGAGCTCCTGACGGAGGGCGACGTTGAAAGACTGGTGACCGGAGCGCTCGACGGGAGTGTGGAGAATACCCTTGAGACCGAGCTTGTTGCGCTTGAGCGAAGCAATCGACTCTCTGAACAGCTCCTCGGAGTGCTTGTCGCCAGTCTCGATACCGGTGACATCGACCTGCTCCCACTCGACGGGGACGTTGTCGGCCTTGAAGATCTGCTTGACTGACTCGGAGACTTCGGCACCAATACCATCACCAGGGATCAGGGTGACGGTGTACTTGCCGCCAAACTTGGTGGGCCTGAAGATGTCCTGACCGACAGTGGTGGCCATGGCNTGTGGGCAGAGTTCAGTAATTGGATCATGGACGGCATTGGAGCATTGGAGTCGAGGTGGGTACTGACAGCGCGAAGCGATCGAGGGACCGGCAAGGCATCTGGATGCAGGCTTTGCGCCGCGAAGGAGCGTCTGGAGGGCCGGGTCAGGGTCTGCTATGGGGTGGAGGGCGTCAGCGGAGGAGGCGTACCTTGGAAAGCATGGCGACTGGTGCGGAGTGGAGCGGTATAGGGTGTGAGGAGAGAGGGCGACCGTGGCAGTGAGGTTAGCAATAGTTCGGGATGGAAATCACAACTCGAATCCACCTCTCCGCCCTGCTGCTGCCAAGCTTGCACCTTTGCGGGACCACTCGGGCAAGTCGGGCCAGCGCTGTACCCGAGTTGCTCCTTCCACTGCCGACTTTCTACCCGACCTTCTTCCAGCTCTGTCCTTGTCACTAACAAATGGCCCACCACAAAACATGTTTTCAGCAAGCTTGCATCTGTGAAGCCGTAAAAGCGAAGTGCCAAGCCTTGGTTTTCCAAGCTGACTACAGCCCAACTTCCTGCTGGTAGAGCATCTTGACTCCGAGCTATCAACCAAGCCAGCTCTCAAGCCATGCAAAGATACCCTTACAGGACCACCGAGTATCGTAGTGTTCTCTCGAGGATCGAGGCGCAGCAGACAAGACATCTCACTTTCCTCTCTTGTTCAGCACCAAATCTGGCAATTCTCCTTATTGACACCTGCATTGGACATCGTCTCGAAGCCACATCTTACATCTCGAACCTGACTCCATTCACTGTCTACAAAGCCATCCGAATTAACCATGCTAAGCTTCCAAGTATGTCCCTCGATTCTTGGTCGGCGACAAGCATTTGAGTTGGCGTCGAATCAACGTCCTTTGCTCTCATTCTCGCACCTAGTTTCCACACTTTGATGCATACACAGCTCTCTTTGCCATGCTACCACCTACGTTGGTTCGATAAGTGAGTTCTTTGACATGTTTGTTGTCGGTAGTGTTGCCACGAGGCCAATAGCCCAATGGCGAAGTCGCTCAGGTCCAGGTGTTGTATTTCTTTATTGAATCTTATTGATGCACACTTACATCCCCCAACACTGTCGATGAGTATATATAACACTTCTTAATCATTCTCTAACTCGATCACCAACCCACAAGTCATTCATTTCCGACTATCTCTCTTATCACAAGCAACTCAAAAAACCAACCATGAAGGTCACCACCGTCGCTATGGCCACTATGGCCGCAGTTGCCTCTGCTGCACCTACCGCTCAGCCTGCCGCCGTTTCTGAACCTGCCATCTCCTCTTGGGGTAAGAAGTACAACCCTCACCTTTGGAATGGCTGGGGCGATGCTCCCGATCAGGTCTACCGTCGCGAGGCTGACCCAGCATTCTCATCCTGGGGCAAGAAGTACAACCCTCACCTCTGGAACGGATGGGGTGATGCTCCCGGACAAGTCTACCGCCGTGAGGCTGAGGCTGACCCTGCTTTCTCATCTTGGGGTAAGAAGTACAACCCTAAGCTCTGGAACGGCTGGGGCGATGCACCTGGTCAGGTCTACCGTCGTGAGCAGGAAGCTGCTGCCACCACTACCGAGGCTGCCGCAACCGAGACTGAGACCGCTGAGGCCAAGTAAACTTGCCAACAAGCAACCCATACCGATCAATTTATGGCTACCTCATCTTTTGATGGCAGTCAGACTTTGATCGTTTGAGTACTTCTTCTTCCACTTCCGTTTCTACATATCCGCGATTCGAGATCCTTGCATGAGGACTCGGATGTTTTGTCCTTTCATCGCTATCATCAGTCGGACTCGGTTTTCTTCTTTTTGGATGGCGAGGCACATGGCTCTTTTCTATTTTCATATTTGCACTTTTGCAATGACCTTGTATTCAATTATCCTTTCTTGTTCCCAATATTATTTCCACTGTCCTTGCTTGCAATTAATTTTTGTTTGTGTCTCCTTAATTCCTTATAATCTTGCCATCTGTGTGTGGGAGATCTGGACAGAGAAAGAAGAGCCATGGACCTGCTTCTTTCCTCCCCTAGTTTGGCATCTGTTGCCGATTGTAGTCGAACTGTCGTTGACAGTAGGCAAATCGAAGCTGCTGAGATTTCTTGTCGGTACTGGTGGGTATGTTACTACCGGAGAGGACGAGGCCGTTGTCAGCATAGTGACATATCGCCGTCAACCAACCCAAAGGCAGCGTCCTGGCCTTCCAAGATCCAGCCAGACGTTCTCCCGCCAAGACTGCTACTACAAAATGAATTGCACAGTAGTGTGGTAGTGTAGATGTTTGATCAGCAAAAGAGGGAAAATTGGTATTAATGATATGAGAAAAGGTATGACCCAGCGCCGCCATCCTGGGATTTTGACCTTCCAACCCCCCTCCTAAACAACGCAACATGATGCATGAGGATAACCAACGCATGCGAGAAAAACAGAAACAATGCTTACCCACCCCATATGTACATGTAAAAAGGAAAATCGTTACAACAGATAGATCGCAACACCACAGTGATTAAAAGGCTGGATGCTTTGGATGGAGAGACATGAACAATGAAAAGGAGACTGAAAAAAAGCATCTAGTAGCGTTCACGAGGACCATTGCCGTGTTCGTGGAGAACATCGTCAAAGTATGCGCTGGGGGCACGTTGGGCGGGTAGGTTGCTGCTGACATTGCTGTTGTCGTCTTGAGCGCCAAAGCCGACGGCCAAGCTGCTCGTGCTGGGTTGACTGTAGAGCTGGTGTGATGGGTTGAGGAGTGCATTTGAACCGGTTCGTTGGTGCGAGTTTGGGTTCATGCTGCTACGGGGGCGAGAGCCGTCTCGGCTAGATGGTGGAGAGTAATCGGCACGAGAAAAGCGGTGAGACGTGGGTCGCAGGCTTGGTGCGGCGCCCAGGACCATCGAGTCACGGCCTCCAGCGGCTTGGGCACCGGGAGTAGCATAGTATCCAGCAGGCAAGTAGGTGGAGTTCCGGTCCTGATTGACGGGCATGTAGGCAGAGTTGCGCTGACCGGCGGTGGGGGAGAAAAAGAGGGAGGAGGGATCGGCGGTAGGTGCTGCGCTCTTGCGGTTTTCCTTCTTGACACCCGAGGAGGATACGGGCTTGCCAGCAGCAGTCAGAGCATCGAGAGAGAGAGACGAGCCTTGAGGCATAGCGTAGAGGTTACCACCAGGGCCGTATTTGGTCTTTGCATCCGAGGTCATGACACTTTGCATGGCAGCACGCTTGACGGAGCGGTTGATGGACCAGGCAACCATTGCACGCCATGCCAGGACAGCGGCGCCCAAGAAAGCAAGACAGGCACCCACGGCTATGAAGATGGTACCCTCAGGGGCGTTTGACTTTTGCATGAAGGGAGCGTCGGCGGTGAAGGGAATGACCATGTCGGGAACGGTGGCACCGGCGAGGGTGGGCAGGTCGGATGGATGTGCGACAGTGCTGGATGCAGCACCAGAGGTCTTGGAGGTAGCCGAAGAAGCCTTGGAGGAGTTGGCGGTGGACGAGGCAGCAGCACTTGATGTACTGCTGGACTTGACAAAGGACGAGACTCCAGTCAACTTGTCTGTGGTAGCGGCATTCGTCGAAGCGGCCGACGAGGCCTTGGTCGAGGCAGCGGCCGTGGTTTGGGCATCATTGTTGTTGTTCTGAGCGGCGACCAGGACGGCGCCGGCGGCGAGTGCCAACAGCAGATTGTTCCTCCTCATGCTGGTGGTTCCGATGGGATGTGTTGGTGGGCGAGGCGAGTGTTTACCCCGGCAGATGGAGCCCCTTCGCGACGGGGACAAGGACTTTTCGGTCGTCGGAGAAACCACAAGGCGCAGAGAGAGATGTCGAAGAGGGCCAAAAGGAGTGACGCAAGTGCAATGCAGCGAGAGCGAGATGCAGCAGATTTGCAGACCGAGTGCTGCACTGTAGATGGCTCTTGGGTTAAACTTGTGCCTGTGCCCGTCTATTTTCGTCCCTCCCGCATGCCCCAGCCTGTGGCGCAGGGCAACCTTTACCAAATCCTTGGCATTGTTGATCCATGTCTTGTCCATTTCTTATCACCTCACGCTGTTTGACGTCTGTTTCAGCAGAGCATGAGAAACCCTTTCCCACCCTCCGATTCTGCGCCTGGTCATGGACATGTCCACCTGGCTCTGTTACCACCAGGCACTCCTATCCTTCAAACCCTGACCTATCAGTATCCTCTCAAACTCATCTCACCCGCTCCTGTGACTATAACCTCGTCTGCCGACAATGACTCGTTTCATCAAGTTCACACTCTCTACATCCTGACTTATGGCGGTGGTATAGTTGCTGGGGACACCGTTACCTTGCGCACTGATCTTGACACCACCACCCGTCTGCTTATCCTCACCCAAGGCAGCACCAAGATCTTCAAAACGCCCGCTCCCTCCACTCTCAGTCGTCAGGACATGAACATGCATCTGAAACCTGCTGCTGCTCTGGTCTATCTCCCTGATCCTGTCCAACCCTTTGCTCAAAGTGCATTCGAACAGACTCAACGGTTTTACATACATCGTCAGCAGGATGTTCCCAATGCCAGCATTTGTGTCCTGGATTGGGTTTGCCAAGGTCGCAGAGCCTTAGGTGAGGACTGGAATTTCTTCAAGTATTCCAGCAAGAACGAAGTCTGGCTTGTTGATGGGTCCCGCGGGTCCGACGAGAAGAGGCTGCTATTGCGTGACAATGTCGCCTTGGACGCTAGTGACGAGGCTATACGAACATCCTTGGCTCGACGCATGGATGGTCTTGGTGCTTTTGGAACTCTGATAATATATGGATCTGTTTTTGCGAGTCTTGCGACATTCTTCATGGACGAATTCAAGGCGATACCCCGGATCGGAGGCAGGAAATGGGATACTGGCGATGAAGCTGACGACGCCGTCCAAGATCTGGAACCTCTCGTATCGAAGCGAAAGGCCAGACAAAAACAAGAAATAAGCGATGGCCTGCTTTGGTCCGCAGCCATGACACGAGGATGTGCCGTTGTCAAATTCGGCGCAAGAGAAGTCGAAGGTGGGAAACGTTGGTTGCGCTCCATGATAGAGACAGAAGGCAGCGTTCCCATTCAATTTGGAGAGAGGTGCTTGCTCTGCTTGCGATAGACTTGAGTTTCTATACCCGGCATCTGATCTCAAGATGCATATGCTTGATAATTGTGTCGTACCCTACTCTCCAGATGCCTTTCTCATCAAAGCGCGGTACTGCTCGATGATGTTCTTTCTCTCTGCGCCGAGCTCCTCTCTCCTCGCCAAACTGCCAGCAGCATTTGGAACATCGGCCACATCTGCTCTGGCTCCGTTCTTGACCTTGAACTTCTCCCTGGGTACCACGGTGAATTCAGGAGGAGCCTGCGCCACATCGTGGAGGCCCTTGGGTTTGTCTCGTTTCGTCTTGAGCACTGCCCAAATATCGTCGTTGTCTTTGGACTCGCCAATCATTCTCTGGCGCTTCTTGCCATAGAGCGTCGGCACGCCCGAGTCCTCTCCGTACAGTGCATTGCGTTCTTCCTCCTCTTCCTCGCGCTTCTCTTGCTCCTCCTCGGCCTTATCCTTGATTCGCTGATCCTCTTTCCTCCATTCATCGTACATTTTGTGCATTCTCTTTTCAGTCTTTGTCCGTGTGACCTTCTCGCCAGGTGCCAGGCCTTGGTTGCCCTTTCGCGCCAGACCAGTCACTGGCAATGTCTGATCTACGCGAGCATTGAAGTCTCGTAGCTTCTCGCCAGGTTGAATCTTGGGCATCTCCATCGTTGTTCCTTTGGCCTTTTGCTTAATGTCTTCCTGGCGTTTGCGCTTCTTGCTGGCAGTCTTGGACTCGCCCTCGACCTCGTCCGGTGTAGATTTTGGTTGCTGGCGTTGCATCAAGCGCGCAAACGCCTTTGGTGTATCGTCGAATTTGTATGCATTCTTCTCGGTCTTTCTCTTCTTCTTGCCGTCCGAGGTAAAGACGGTCTGAGCATTTTTGCCTACGGGCAGAGCCTTTGCGACGGCCGTGGGAGGCAGATTGAAACTGTGCAGCTGAGTTTTAGCATTCGGACTTTGGTCGGAGTGTTCAGCGGTGTGTAATTACTCGTCGGCATTATCATCTCTCCTTCTGTGTTTGTGAGGCATTATGGCTGATTATCGCTAAATGGAATCGGTTAATTGTTCCTTTGCGCCCAAAAAGTCTCGACTGCAGGCGTTGTAATGCGTGATCTGCGGCGTTTGTCATCTAAGCAAACTTCAGATCTGGGGTAACCGAAGCCTACCCCGCGCACCAATCAAATGCTTCACTTCGGACATCCGCTGTTCGAGTGGTATTGGTAAAGCCACAGCCGACATCGTCGCTGAACATGTTTCTCCTCGACTCGCTCAAAGCGACGGGTCAAAGTGTCCCTGTGTCCATGTGATTGGCCTGGCTGCATAACGCCCCTCGCGAAGTAACTTTCCCTTCGCATGTTTGGGACATTTCCATGTGCGCGAAATCAAGCCTCGTCGCGGTCTAGCCCGGTGGAGAGCGAACCATCGACAAGCTCCGAACCCGTGTTGCTTGTCGACTTGGACTCTGATGTCCGCGCCCGCTGTATTATAGATATGTGTGCTACCCATCCGCTGCAGCCATTCGCTATCGTGATTTCCTGCTTCTGACCACGCTCATTGCTGATTTGGTTGTCTCACTGTCGGCGTCATTCCTTATACTGACAAGAGCGAACCGTTACAAGACCTCTAGGGCTCTGCCGCACTTCACACCGTCATCGGATCCACCTGTGGAAGATACCAAGCCCATTGAATATCCATCTATTCGACCTGAAAAGCGCCTCATTGATTTCATTTTGTATGCCATTCACCTTGCTCTATGGCAACTTCTGTTCTGGAAATTACTCCCTCGCTGGAACAACCCACATCCAGAGAACCATCTCCTGCCGAGGTTGAGAATGGCTATTATCAACCAATCCCCTCGCGACGCTGGTATCATCTTATCCTCGACGGTCTTACTCCTATGGCCCTGAAACTTCGCTCTCAACCTCATCCTCACCATCCTTTCGTCTCTCAGAGTTCTCGTAACTCGATCGCCAAGCGGAAACAAGAATATATCATCACAGAGACTCCTATACCGGAGTCAGGACTGGAGTCCTTGGTTACGAGAAGATTTCAAGTAATTGCAGTCCTCAGATTGGCATGCGTAATTATTCCTGTGACTGTCTTGTGTCTCTTGTAAGTTGACCAACCTGATTGAACTGCTATCAACACTGACTGAGACCTCCAGTNNGGCATTTTACATATTGTGTCGTATCTCTTCTATGGCAACGCTCTGCTCGTGGAGACCAATTTTGATTTCTTGCCAGACTGGGGGCACTCGGGAANNAAGATTGGAGATGGCCTAGCACATTACCCTACTGATGCTACTCGAGATGTCCTGCCAATTCGTAAGTGCTTGAGAAGTCCAAATGTATTTGTGTAACAATTTGACTGACCGAGCCATTGTANNGCTGTCCACTCGCACAACGACTACTGGTGAGCACTTTCCCACCTCTAATGAACTCTTCGATTGCCGTTCGTGTCACTAAACTTGCACGTAGGANGACGAATTCCTTTGTACGAGGCTTTGCATTACGGGTGCACAGGTGTCGAGGCAGACGTTTGGCACATCGGAAATGACCTATTTGTGGGCCACAGTACATCCGCCCTCACTCCAAACCGTACATTCCGAAATCTCTACGTGGACCCTCTTATTGCGCTGTTGGAAAAACAGAATCCTGCCACGTTGTTTGCTGACACCAAGAACCATGGAGTCTTCGACGAGGACCCAAATCAGACACTGGTCCTACTCGTCGATCTCAAAACCCATGGTCCGGACACTTTTACGAAAGTGGAAGAGCAGCTCGAAGGTCTTCGCGCGAAGGGCTACCTCACCTACTTCAATGGTACACACACCGTTCCCGGAGCGATCACTGTGGTCGGAACAGGAAACACGCCCTTTGATCTGGTGACTGCCAACACAACATACCGCGACATTTTCTACGACGCTCCCCTGGGAATGCTATACGAGTCATCACCAATATCAATACCCGACATCAACATCGACCCTAAATTGCACCACCTGACAGAAATCGACGACTATCATCCTTCATTAGCAGGTCAAGGTAAAACCGGTCTGCCCGCAAACACACCAGCCTCCGCATTCAACGCCAGCACATCCTACTACGCCAGCATAAATTTCAAGCGCTCCATCGGCCGCGTTTGGCGCGGTAAGCTCTCGCGCAAACAAATGAAAATCATCCGTGGACAGATCCGGGGTGCCAAANAGGCAGGCCTCAAAGCAAGGTATTGGAATACACCGGCTTGGCCTGTTAGTCTGCGAAACCACATCTGGCATATTCTGGTGCAGGAGGGTGTTGGTATGCTTAATGCTGATGACCTTGAGGGTGCTGCGATAGAGGACTGGAGGCGTTGGAAGCATGAGTGGTCTGATTGAATGTTTTGTTTGTTTGGTTGAGTGATGAGAGATGATAGATGTGCTTTTGCTTGTTCATGATTCACGAAGAATGAAATCCTTTTTTCCTTGTTACCTCAATCCATTGCTCTGTTTTCAACATCCAGTCGGAATGAATCATACTGTACAACAGGGTCAGGCAATGTCTTCGGCCAGATGCAATCGCTTGCGAGTCTTCTGCATATACTATCCGAGATGAGCCTACTCTGGTACTTCACGCGAGAAGTGGCAGTGCAGAGTTATCATGGTCCCTTTTGGTTCGAGTGAGATCATCCATAAGATCGGTCCGTACAAGCCCTCATATGTCCACAAAGTTGTTCTTCGAAATTCATGACATTATGGGACGGATCGAACTGATTCCCGTCGATAGACTTCGCGCCTACACCTGTGCATTTCGTTCTTGAGTATCGGTGTCAGGGGAGGAGGCAGAGATGATGGGGTCAGTGTTGCTGGGTATCGTTTCATGTATCCCCTGTCAGAATTTCGAGTTTTGTGACGTTTTATGGGATGTTGAGCTGGTGTGGAAACGAGGAGAGAAGACCGAGGGTCGCTGACCTGTATCTGTTCACCCCTGTTCTTTACCACGCTCAGACTTTTCAGACCAGATGAATCAGCCTCAATATCGCCGAGTTCCTCTTCAGCTTCTTCTCTGGACGCCCTTCCGCCAGCAACTCTTCATCTCTTTTCCACTCAGGTGTTTGAGTTGATGAATAATTTCACGTCCTCGGCTTTTAGGCTGCAGTGTATAGAATCTCTTGAGTGCTTTGAGTCTATTTATCCTCGAGGTAGAGATTTGGATGTGGCTAGTTTGTAAATTGACATAGAGTATATATCTCTCTGCTTACTATTACTTTCGTATCCATTGACTTTGATCCAAGATTTTCTTGAAGTCTTCTCTGTAGCCATGAATCGAGAAATAACCGAAATCTCGCTCTCTGTTGTTACCCTTTCTTTGTCCTTTATCGGTCATCTGCATATCTTACCCGCGTGAATTTCATTCTTGACATCTGGGGCTGCAAAGGACAACACAGGTCCAGGTGGAAGATTGAGCGATTCTCTCGAGGAAGAAGAGAGACAACGATATGAAAAGAAAACTGTATCTCCTTGGTTCAGCAGGATATGGTGAAGTCTAGTTTTCTTACACATATACCCGAGCAGGAAAAATATCTCTGGGGGCGGAACGATAAGTTGAGCGTAGAAAGTTGGAAGTGATGTTTTCCTTACCATGGGCAAGATCGAGAAATGCACAAAGCTATAGGAATACAAAGTGGACCATCGTCTCAGAGATGTGTCCAGAGAGAGAGTCAGCGAAAGACAGCACTGCACTTCCAGTAGAAAACCGCTCTACTTTGCAACCTCAAGCACACTCTCGGCAGCCTCAACAAGCAACCCAAATACCTTTCTAATACCCTCCTCACTAGCCAACGGGTTCGCACTAACCACACGAATAGCATACGCATCCCCCACCAAAGAACTCGTCAAGAACACCTTCTTGCTCTCATCCACAATCTCATATACTTTCTTCGTGTTCGCATTTGCCTGTTCCAAAACTTCTGAATCGGGTTGTTGAGGAATGACGGCAATGTGAGAGTCTTGGTAGGGAACACTATTCTCGGCGTCCGGTTCGCCTTCTGTGGTTGAAGGTTTGGGGGCGCGCTGTTTGAGTGTTGGGTTTACTGTCAAGACGCAAAGAGCAAAAGCGGGTGGTGTGATGATGCTGAAGAGATCGCTTCTGCTCTTGACGAGGTCGACGAAGAGATCGGATAATTTGAGATGGTGCTTTATGTGTGCTCTCAAGCCTTCGACTCCCCATGTTCTGATGACGAACCAGACTTTAAGAGCGCGGAAGCGGCGACCGAGGGGNATTTGCCAGTCGCGGTAGTCGGTCACGAGGCCTTGGTCTGAAAAGTTGTTGCGAAGGTAGGCTGGTGTGATTGACAATGCATCTGTCAGATCGCGACGGTTTTGGACGAATAGGCATGAAGCGTCGAAGTTGGTAAGCAGCCATTTGTGCATGTTTGTGTCAAAGGAATCGAAGGTGGAGAAGTGTTTGCAATAATGTTGGTATTCGGGCAGTACCAGTGCGACACCAGCGTAGGCAGCATCGACGTGGATCCAGATATCGGGATAATCTCTCTTGACTTCTGCGATTGAGGCAAAGTCGTCGACAGCGCAAGTGTTTGTTGTTCCCAGCGATACGGTCAAGAAGTAGGGCTCGAGGCCTTGTGCTTTTAGCTTCTCGATAGTGGAACGAAGTTCGTGGCCTTGAAGGGCGAACGCATTAGACAGCGAAGTGTCGATGCTACGGAATCTTGTGCCTGCAATGTTTGCACCCTTGTGGGTAGAACTGTGGGTGTGTTTTGTGGCCAGGGCAACGAGTTTGCTCCTGATTTCTGCAGAGCGATCCTCCTTTTGTTCTTCGGTGAGGACAACGCCTTCTTTCTCGAGGGTTCTTGTGACGTAGCGTTCGCGTGCTGCGACCATGCAGGTGACAATGGCTTCAGAGGCGGAACCCTGAATGACACCACCACCTTTGCCTTTGGAGAGGAAGCACTCGGGCAGAGCGAGCATTTGGGCGACCCAGTCCATAACAATAGTCTCGAGTTCGGTGACGGCGGGCGAGCAGAGCCAGTTGAAGGCGGGCACGGTCAATGCTGCAGACCACAATTCTCCCATCATACCTGGGTATGAACTGCTGGCTGGGAAGAAGGCCATGAAGTCTGGACTCTGCCAATGTGTCATGCCGGGCATGATCTTGGATTCCATGTCTGCGCGGATCTTGTCCCAGCTCTCGGCTTCGGTCGGCGGTGATTGGGGTAGTAGTTTCGCAAGGTAGCCAGGCTCGACTGAAGGAAGGACAGGGCGTTCGGTTATATTGTCGTAGTAGTTTGTGATGTCCTGGATGGCCTCTGTTGCTGCACTGTTGAACTGATGCGACGTCATGCCCATCGGTGGGACGGTGCGTTCGTCGCGGACTGTCTTGTTGTCGCCATTGCTGCTACCATTGGCACTGCGGACAGGGAGGGATTGACTGCTCATCTTGGCCACTCTTGTATATTTCAATGCCTGCGAAAGGATATGGCGACGTGGAAGAAGCATCAAGCTGTTGTCTGGTCAGGAAAGAGCCCCACACAGCCCGCAATATATTCTCCAGATCGCGGATAAATTCCGCACCTTGCCTTACTTACGCCCTTCTCTCGACATCCTGCACTATCCTTCTCTCAACATCCTCATGATCAACATGGATCACGAATCAAATCATCCCTTGCATACCGTATCGGAATCCTTTGATATCTCATAGAATCACTCCCTTGCATTCTTCTAACCTGTTTTAAAATCATCTCCTTATACCCACTATAGTCCTCTCTCAACACAGCAAGTACAACCATACTAAGCTGTCTTTAAAGACTCGGATTAGTCGACGTACATTTTCTACCCTCTACTAGAGATATGTTTCTCGACAAAGGATAGACCCGAGATCCGACGTCGAATAACGTACTAGGTCGATAACGCATTAATTTTGTCTTCTTATCCCGCGTCATCGTGCCCATCATCAATAGACCGATGGAAGAGATCATTCTATGGGAAGGGTAGAGAGATACTTCGGGTTTATCGACCCTGTTTACAACGTTCTTTTGCGATGATGTTATATTTCTAAATAGAGGAGATGATATGTATAACGCATTAGCGCCGATTACCCCGGTAAAGAGCGATTCTTGCTCTTGCTGTCTTAATGCGGTTGATAGTAAAGAATGAGATTTTCATGATTCTTATACGACTGACATATCTCTCTATAGGCATTACTTCTCTATGGAAAGTACTGTGTATCTCTATAGCTATAAGAAAGTAGCTACTATATAATAGGGATATCGTATGGATGTTCTTAAGATTTCGGTACTATAGCATATGGTGATGCAAAAACAAAACATTGCTTTACTGTTAATGTAGAACTACAAAATAAAGCAAAGCCGTACAATTTTCATCTACTATTCCATTGGAAGAAACAGGCGTCAAAAAGTCATAGTACCAGCTCACAACTTCACTTTGTCTACTAAGAGCCTAGAAGAAATCGCCTCTGGCAATTCGGTTTTTTCTTGTCAACTACACACACAGATATCGTACCGTCCTTGTTCCAAGATTACGATTACCCCTTGCTTTAGGCTCTATTATGAAAAATCTACCATCCCAAAATCTGGCGACAAATATTTACATGGACTTATGACCGAACAGTTGATATGTAAGACACTGTCCGGAGCACCTTGCCGACTGGGCAATCAACCAGGATGAATAAGATGGAATCCGTAAGTGTAATATTCTCGGATGTTCAAAAAGCCCCTTAGGTAACTGTCCTTTCTCCCATGGATATCGGCTATATCATTAAGATGTGGTTTGTCTAGAGAGTCCTATATGTATCTGTATAACTGATATGTTTCCTTCATGCTAGAGTTGAGTTGCAAGAGCTTGGGTCGTGAGATCTACATTCCAAAGATAGCCTCTAGATGGAGCGTTTGACACCCTGCTCAAGGAATCAAAGTGATCTGAATAGTTTGAGTTTACTGCATTGAAGTATTCAACGTCTATCTTTCTGTTCATATGTATAGACAGCATAGCTCTCTGTGCTGTAGAGAATTCTGTCAAAATACCGCTAGAGTCACATTCCTGAGTATGATACAACTGCTCATGCTGTCATAACAGCACGAACAACCACGCCAGTCTCCTAGCTCAGTACGACTGTTTCTGAGCTAACGGTCAGTGGCAGACACTATTTGCTGTTACACCCAGAAACAATCATCATCTAGAAGATATTAGTAGAAAGGGTTGACAGAAGAGCGTTGGGTGTAAGTTTATCGTGTAGTTTTCTATCAAACGATACTCCTCCGCACTCGGACTAGAGCATCATCAGGGCACATACCACTATAACCACTACCATTGCTGACCGCCATCATCACTGCTACTGCACTTCTCCATTCATTGGGCCAAAGCGCGCTGTGGCAGATCTTTGGCATTAGGTTGTCTTCGATGGCAACCTAAGGTTTCATTTGCGACTGGCGGCGATTAGCGACAGGCGAAGGAAGCAATCAGGGCTGTAACCCTCTCCATATCCTCTTTCTCCAAGGTTTAGTGGGATGACTACTACAGAAGAATAGCGTGGAGACCTCGAGAGAGCCTGAGAGTATCATGAACCTGGTCATTCCATATCTCCTGCCACGGCTCCACTGCACGATTTAGTGAAGCATATTTCTTGGTCTGCCCAGACAGTCGTAGCGCTTTACCGAAAATCATGTTCGAACGTATACGATCGGCGGCGGTGAGGAGGGGAGTGACAAAGTTACGAACACGTTAAGTGGCAGTCTCGGTGTCTAGGCTGGGGCTCAACACCCCTTGCAGAAAGCCCTGCATACTACATCTCAAATCCACTTGGACTTATCGCCACCGTCCCCAGTCTTTGATCCCTGCATCCCCTTAATCGCAACGATCAGCCTCACTCCTGCCTCCGCTGTCCCCACAAACTCCTTTCTAGCATTCCAGAACCTCTCGGCTTTTTCAGTCTTGTACTCACTTCTCACAACCACTGTTTCTTCAACCTCAGGGATAATAGGCAGATGTCCCCTTTTCCCAGGATCTGTAGGCGTTGTAGGGACAGACCGCTTATGGTTTGCAGTATATGAGTGAGCTTCTTGACGAGCGGACGCGCCGGCCGCCTCTTCAGAAAATGTCTCGAGGTAACGTTTTCTTACCAAACGGCGGGAGGCTTCTTCTGTTCTCACAGCGTCTGAGCCGATCTTATCAAAGACAAATCGGACGCCGAGTTTTGTGACTAGATAGGCTTGTTCGGCGATGAACACCGTGAGCAATAAGTGGCCGAGACGGATGTTGGTTACTTCGCCATTGCCATACAGATACAATAAAGCAGCAGTTGAGAGACTTCCCAGCCATGTCAGAAACTCGAGTGCAGAGATGCAAGGACCAATTGTGTCGGAACGGATTGGAGGAGGACGTTGTGATTCACTGATAAGTTTGAAGAAATCGCCGCGAAGCTCGATCCAGTTGTTGATCAGAAAGCCCAGAGGCATGAGCGGGTATACGATTCCGAACATGGCGAGATAGCCAAATTGGACGCACATTTCCATGATATCCTCTTGTACATCGTAAGGCGTGGCAGCTGCCTCTGCGCGCAGCCGATATAGTAGGGTCGCCTCCTGTGGAGCATCGATAAGGAGAGTCTTTGTAAATTCAGAGTGCATGCGCTGGTGCAGTGAGGTTTCCTGTCGGGCATCTTTGTATCGACGATATGCTTCTTGAATGTGTCGCTTCAAGAATGGTAGAACAAATTCCTCGCCAAAGTTAATGACTTGTCCAGCCATGGACAGCGAAATGACTTCTTCTTGTAAGCGATGGGCATCGATACGAAAGTCCTTGGCTGCAACATGCGACTGCCAGGCATCCGGTAGAAAGTGTGGCAGGAGCCTTGAGCCGAGAGGCACGTAGATGTAAGCAGTCAGTATGAGTGGCAGGAATGAGGTGACAAAATTCAAGACGAAGGCTTTCTGAACTTGAGCCAGTTCAAACTCGTCATTCGTGCGATGGTTCTCGTGTTCCGACAGTCGTGATGCAACAGACGTCAGAGCCTCTGTAATATATGGCAACGAAACTGCGAGAAGTATTGTCGGGAGATACTGTATAGCCTGACTATCATTAGTACAGAGGAACGTACAGTGTATTACAGGTCTTACCCAATAGCTTGCCAATTCCTCGTCATACACATCTGAAATGATAGCTTCGACTAAGAATGTGACGACTAAAACACTGCTGAGTGCCAGACTAGCCAACGCAGCGAAAGGCAAGAACAGAAGCTGTCTCGTCAGACGCTTGTGAGCGGGGAATATCTTCTTCACCTCACCAGTGATTGAGTCCATCTCTTCTTTCTCCCATGTATACTGGACGCGATTGACTTTGAGCGCGCCAACACCTCTGACGTTCCATCTGATGCTCAAATCGAGTTCTTGTCTCTTCCACCACTCGACGAATGTGATGCTCCATATACATGTAACTGCCCCGAATGTGATTGAGTATGGTTTGGAGAAGAGCCAGAACAAGGTGCCGCACGAAGCAGGCACGATGAGAAACAAGGAATAGGCTTGTATGAAGGCGTAGTAAAAGGCAACCTATAAACTTATCAGCAGCCTATCATGTAGCAGATACGTTGTTCATACCTTCTCTCCAAAGAGTGCTTTGATCTGATCCAAATCATCTGCGTCCAAGATAATTTTTGCAGACAGCCGTTTCAACAGCTTCTTGTTCGCAGTCCAGGCATGCGGTGCGAAGGATGCGGTGACATGCTCCCATTGTCCGAAGTTTGCAGTCACTCCTGCTCCGCCCTGCTCTTTTGTCCAGGTAACCAGATGGAAGACAGATCGTATTTCTTCGGAAGGTGTTGCAGCGTCGACGACCGTAGAACTGTCCCCCAGAGGACGAACATGGACGATTCCAAATAGCCAGTCTTTGACTCGCGAGCGGTAGACTTCATTGCCGAGCTTATTGCGAGGAGTTCGGATGATTATGAGGATGGTCGCGCCGTGTCCATGTCGAACTTCTGCTTCCAGACCAAAAGCCTCGATGTCGTGGATCAACGTCTGATACTCATCAATCGCATGATGAGCCTCTNNAGTAGCATCTTAGCACAGCACGACACACTCAAGAGAAAATGCCAATCGTGGCTTACCGATATCCTCACAGTCGTAGAGCAGGACCCAATCGATCTCGAAGTCCTCGTCTCTTGCCCTTTCTTCTTGACTGCTGGTTGGTCGGCTTGTAGTCAACTGCATCCTCGTAAGGTGTTCCTGATTGGAAAGAGAAGCTCATCAAGAGAAGGGATATTAGTCAACTCCCTATTTACTGCCTCTTGTGGCCTGTGTGCCCGATGTCCACGTAACCCTCCATGCTGCCAAGTAGCGTGTCCGATATTTCCGCAGACGCGCGCTCTGCCAGATGATAAAGCCGTGGGGACAATCAAATACGAGCATCCCGCTTAACTGACTCTTACACCAGTCGAAACCTCGAACATGGTGAGTTGAGTCTTGGCGTGGCTTGGCGTTTGATCGAAAACGCCGGGCATCCGTCAGTGACCTGGTCTCTGACAACGATCATCAATCTGTGATCGAATGACCATGCTCTTTTGCCTTATCGAGGAGCTGAGTAGGAGCGAAGAAAGAAAATAGGTAAGAACGAAAACAACAAGCATGACTTACCGATCAGGAAGAGGGGCTATGGTGCTTCTGCAGCATGAAGATGTCCTACACCTATTCACTGCAAGCGTACTCGGCACCTGACTGAGACATGAACACAACTCCTGTTGTTTGACGATGCGGTGCAAAGTCCAATAAGCGAACAGGTCGTGACGGCCTGTTTGACTTGGGTGGTCTCGCTTATGTATGAAACAGCCAGAAGCTCAACAGAGTGTAACTGTTTGGCGCATTTTCTGAATGTTCTTGCAAATGTCGGATAGCACCGGCTAGTATGTAAAGCGAGATAATCGAAGCGATTGCTGCTGGTTAATAGATGCTCAAAGAAAAGGTGTACCGAATGGTGCCAGGATTCTGATCGAGAAGACTACGAACAGAAGCAGGGGTGACTGGATAGAAAAGGCACCTGCCTCGATATGCGTCTTCTCAAGCCTTACAACGCCCTGAAAGTGAGGAAAGCAAGAAGGGTAGTGGCAAGTGGTTATATACTTGCATCAGAATGTCCGTGCGCGATGGTCAGTCTACACAGCCACCCCCATCTTCTTTGAGTCCTCTATACCTCATCCGACACAAGCATTATTGCCAGTATCATCTTGCTTGACTTGCATTGGTACAAGACCATGAACACTCGCAGCTCCTCCAAGCCATATACGAATCGATTTTCTATTCCGTGAGTCACTGGAAACTCGAGCATCTCACAATTATTGCCGAATGCTACCTGCCTATAACGGTATCGACTCAGAGCCACAGACTGCATCGCTGTCAACCAAGCATATCAAGCTACACACAAGCTTGCTTCCTGCAAACCTTATCACCGATTAGTCTGTATGGCTGCGCAGCTTGGTGATTCAACTTTCGTATCATAGATGAAACGACATACCCGAGCTGCTTGCATGCCGTGCCCAGCTACGGGCTATCACGTTTGATGGATCATATCCTGAGCCCTGTGAGTTCCATTATAAACCCTGGCGCGCTCATGCGTAACTACCATTGGGTCCAAGTATCAAAGAACATAGTAGACATTTGGCTTGACCCAATCGAACGCTCAGCCGCGAGGCGAGCCAGCGTCTGTTCCTGTCTACTGCTACAACATCCATCGACGAGGCTGACCAACTCACGACCACCGAACAGGAGATATGAGGTAGCCATGGGGAGAGGCCGTAGAGGGCTGGTAGCCAGGCCGCGAGGAAGCTGCAGGAGTCGACAGCTGGCGATGCTAAGATGAAATAAGGAGAGAGCTAATGTGCATGAACGAGATGTCATCATCCGAGACTTCGTCATCATTCTCGGTCTTCTGAGGCTTGTTGACTTCGTGCTCTGGATGGTCAACTTTCATGTTATTGTCATGGTTCTTGGACTTGGCATCGTCATTGTTGGCGGCATCAGAAGTGTTTACGCCTTTAACGATATCGGTGAGAGCCGCATCGTACTCGTCATAGTGCTCCTCTAGCTCACCAGCGTAGTGGTCTCATTGAGCTTTAATCAGCTCCTCCTGGGTGGACTTGGGGTCATGAGTCTGACGGAAGCGCTTGAACAGGCGCTCTTACTTGATAGGGCACTCAGTGATAACAGTGCGCAGGTTGATAAACACTCGCGAACACTTAGGCCCTGCCGAAGAAGTCTTCAGTCTACGTACACAGAAGTCACATCTCAAAACCTCTTCACGCAAAAAGAAGTGAAGATTGAATTGCACGCGAGAGCCACAAACAACAGAAGCAAAAGTCCCTTCCACCACCGACCAGAATCGAACACACAATCGAGCAAAAGTACAGGGCGTTAGCCCCTACTTCTCCCGGCTGACGTACAAGAGATGTAACCATCGAACAAGTACGTGCAAACAAACCGAGCTATTCCGCTCAGCCAAACGACCGCACCACGGGTTTGTTGGCTGAGCAGGTGAAGAGAGGCAACGTTTGGGTGGTATATAGTCTTATTCAGGGGGTGTGTCTTCACGATTGTTTGTGAAATGAGTTTTCACTTTGCTTCTGGTTACTACTTTGGGTTTTTTCTGACCATTTGTCAAGGATATCTCGTCTCTTATATCAGAAAGGTGAACACTTTGAAAGTACGAATCTTCTCGTCTTGCTGGGCCTTCTCAAATTCCTTGCAAGCACATGTAATAAAGGCCTACCTAGAGAGGCAGTAAGAGCATCACCCGAGCTCACAAAAGAGCTTCTTGTGATAATTTTCTCCACTGACCGAAAGTCTGACAAAGTGCCAGCTAGTCATCAAGAGGACGAAAAGTAAGTCTTCACGCATACACTTCTCTCTCATCCTCATCAGTTCTCACACGTGGGCTCTAGCTCACAGAAGCCGAACAACAGATCTTAAATTCAACCGCTACACGATCCCACCCTCCGACAGTCAATCCAATCTTGCGTCAACGCTTTCTACCAGCAAAACACTCCATATAAGATCAACAACTCATCTCAAAGCTACCTCTCAATTCGATTGTCAACAACATTCCTCCGCTGTCAAAATGCAGAAACCAATCTTTTGTCCTCGCACTCTGCCATCGAGAGCCCCTGCTAACACGCCGATCGTCTTTGGTCTCTCAATGAGGCGGTCGAGCTTTCTACACATGACAAATCTATATTCATATACACACCACTTTTCTTTTGAGCTCATGCCTGAGCCGATGGCAGGGCATGCCGCATAGGTCTGATCATGTGTCATTCTCTTCACGAAGCACATTGTCAAAGAGAAATTTCGGTTCCGTGGAAGTTCAAGGGTGTGTTGGATACGGGGAAAATTCCGATACTGCTGCTGATGCTATTGCTGCTGATGTATAGACTGCTACCACTTAGCAATTGACAGGAGACTTCGCTGTCCCCATCTCGCTCGTTCCGCCTCTCTCTGGCTTCTCATGATCCGAAGTTGATAAACCATGGATCTTTGCCATTGTACTCAGCGCCTGGGTACTCGAATGGTATGTCCTCAGATCCGAAAGCGTTCATGTTAGGAACCTCAACCTTGGCTGCACCTGGCTTTGACATCGTCATAGAAGCTTTCCAGTTGTGGCTTTGACCCTTGTCTTCCTTCTTGTCGTCATTCTTCTTGTCGTCATCCTTCTGTTCACCATCCTTCTTGCTCGTTGTCTCGCCTTCACTATCGGTCGAGGCGTCTTCCTTCTCACTCTCCGTTTCTGCATCGTCATCGCTGAGGACCACAACCTCTGGCGTCTTCGGCTTAGTCACCTGTTCATCTTCCAGGGCCCCAAGAAGCGCNACAGGCAGGATGACACCACATTCCCAATTTCTGCATCCAAGTTTCCACTTCTTGTTCTTACGATCCCAGCTCAGCTTACCCCAAGCACTCTCACTCAAGTTTGCACTTCCTACATACCGCCACGCGATCCTTTGTCCCTTGTCGTTGACGCCTCTGGCATACAGAATCTTGTTGTGAGAAAGAACGCCAGCGCGTTTTGAGCAGTAGTCCCGGAAACATTGACGCGGAAAGAGAGGGCCCTTCCACCAGTCAGATTTGAGACAAATCGTTCCGGCGCTACCGGCTTTGCTGTTCGTGACGGTGGCGTGCAGAGGATAGTATACTCGGAAGAGATCCCGAATATTCGTTGTTGAGATGGTGTCTTGAAAAGGTTTGGGCGCAGGTCCGGTGGTGGTTGAGGGCACGGCTGTTGCGTCTTCACCTCGAGCGGCATTGTGCATGGTTGTGAGGAAGCCATCGTTCAGAGAGCCGATGGAAGAGGCTACGTAGTCGACGTGGAGGTTAGATAGAGAGGAGAGAGAGGACTGAGGTGAGGAGTATAGTTCGCGGATTGCTTTGCTTAGACCAACGTAGCCAGTACGTTTCATGTCTTTGCCATAGTGAGCGGAAGCACCAACCGAATGGATAAAGGCAAGGTCTTTCGTGTTGCTAAAGTCGAAGTTCAGAACGCCTTTGAGAATATGATCGTCACACCCCTTCTTTCTCATGAAGAAGAGTAACTCGCGGCCAAATTGGGGTAATAATTCTGCATCCTTGGTGACAGTCTGTTCGAGTCGAGGCAAGTCAATCAGAAAGACGGAGTTCTCCATGACACCTCCTTCGCCCCAATCATAGGGGACCAGATTCGCCGACGGTACTACTACTCTCAACTTGTGTGGATGAAACAACAGCATAAGCTTGGAATGCATGCAGTTGACATTACCCTCCATGGATGGGAAGACGAGTCGAAGAATCTTACCCAGATACTCAGTCTCTTGGCGGTATTGCTGCTTTACGGCATCGTTCTCTGCCTGCATGACCATGATGACTTTAGTCTGCTGCAAGTCAAGCTTTGCCATGATCCAGTTTGTGTCCCATTGGAAGGCAGAGAGTAGGGCTGTTCGTAAGGTAGACTTTTCGAGCACTTCTTCGATCTTGATATCGTTGCTACTTCGAGTTTGACCAAAAGCCCAGGTGCTCTTGACAGTGCCATGGGGATACTGGAGTGATGGTGACCCTTCTGATTGTTCTTTCACTTTCTTGGCAGGCCGGAATGTTGGGGGTGGAGATATGGACCTTTGCCTTTTGGTTGTCGTTGCTTGTGTTGTATTGGGAACGGTCTCGGTACTTGTGGGACGTTTTGCTGCTATTCTTGCAAGACGTTCTGCTTCCATGGCACGGCGGTCGAGACCTGGAATGCCCGCCATGATGATGTGAGACTTCTGACTGATGATGAATTGTCGTTTGAGTGAATGAACAGTTCCCAAGCGGATCGTATGGGATATACTCATAAACTGGTCGTGTTAGGTGAGCGTAGCAATGCAGATCCTGCTAAAAGTATCTTGATGATGGATGTTGGTCGCAATTGGGGCGAAAGGAACAAGAGACTGAAGGTGGATTAGGGTTGTTGTGCAAGCGCAAGCGGAGTTTGTTGTTGTCTCGGCTGCACCTGCCGAACACAGAAGCGACTGCCTGAGCGACCCTGCACTTTTGGTCAACTCCCCCAATTCGCGGCAAGAGCGAACAAGAAGCGCAGAGCTTGATGAGAACCAAGCAACAAGATCTTAGAAGAACGTTGACATCGGTACCTATGTCTAGAATCTAGATGCGTATCCATGATAGGGCCAATGTTCATCGACGACTGGTAGTCAAAGAAGTGTATTGCCTATCAGACAATCATGTCTTGCTTATCAAGTAGCGAGATGCGTGTGTGCTCATAGTGGTATCTATAACTAATGGTACAAAGAAACAATCCAGCCCGACCAAAACATCAATACAATGGGTTCTTCTCCTTCAAGGATTTACTCAGGGTCATACTCCTAAAACAGACCCCAGCCTCTTTTCCTTCTGTCGCTTGAATCATCATTTACACGGTCACGATCAAGTCGAGAAACTGGATCCCTGCTGCCTCTGCCTGCCCTCTTCTCCCTGGCTTCCAGAGCCTTGAGAGCCTCCATCTCCTTGAGTACGTGTTCCAGAAGTTCTTTTCTGTGCACAACATCCAGATGGCGACGGACTTTTGGATCTTCGCGTGCAAGTTGATCGAGTTGTTGAGGTGTCAAGGAGCGGAACTTTGAGTCAAGAGCGCGAGGGAACNNTTCTCGAGTTAGCACAACTCGTCCTAAAGCACAACATCGTTTTCTTACCTGGTAATAGAATTTGCTAAGCAATTCAGCATCAATGAAGAGATCGGCGGTAGTGGTAAGCTTATCTGCCACTGCGTCGAGGAAGATTTCGGGGCAGATGTATTTGTTGTTCTTGTTAGCGCAAGCCTTGCTCTTAACAGCGAGCAGACGCATGCGTAGAATGTCGGCGCGATCGCGGAGGAACACAGCCTCNCTACCCTTGGCAAGAAGAGCAGCCGAGAAGCCGCCAGCACCTCCACTGCTGTTGCCTTCGAGGTTGATGTCTCCCTTCCTGACCTTGTCGATGAAGGTCACGACATCCTTGAAGCGCTTTTTACCTCCCATCTCCGCTTCGACAGTCTTGACGGCATCTTCGCAGTCTCTAAGTTCGTCTTTGAGAACCTTTTGAACATTTTCGCGGCCGCGCATCCATTCGGAATCTTCAAGATCGATGCGATGTTTGTAGGGCTTGACACAAATCTCTAGCTCATCGCTGGTATCGTATGCTAGATCGTGCAAAATTCCCTGGGCAGCTTGTGTAATTGCTGTCTGAGCGAAAGGATGAGCATTGAAAGTGGAAGATGAGATGAGACGCTCAACATGTGCTTGCAAGCATTCCGCAGCGACAGTTGTGGCAAGACGTCCAATACCGAGTTTGGTAAGGGAAGCGGAGCTGGCATCGAGTTTGAGACGCCAGAGTTGTTCGTTGGGGTCAGCTTTAGGTAGAGCGGAGAGGATCTCAACAAAGCCTTCACCTTCTTGAGCGGAAAGGTCCTCCAGGGGTCTGTTCCAGTAGCGCGACGCGAGTAAGTTGAGAACTTGCTGATCGAGTTCGTGCTTCAGGATGTCGCGCAATTGGTGGCGACCGAAGGAGTCTGAGAAGCCCTTGAAAGAGTGCTTGAAAGCGTCAAGGCTCTCGGCCAAATATGACTCGGCTGAGAGGGGACGCTCGTTGTACTGCACTTTGAACTCGTAGGTGGCTTCTGTAAGCTCATGGTGGATGGCTTCAGCAGTGGTGGCAAGCGATGCCGACATTGTTGATTCCAGGACGTGCATGAGCTTCTTGCGAAGATTTGTGGTGCCTACGGTGACCTCGCTGGAAGGACCGAAGCTCTCGGGGTGAGAAGAGAAGTATGCTTTTTCGTTGCGGGTAATGGCAGATGTGATGTTTGCGTTACCACGGGAGAAGAGAGAATTGGAGTGCTGGGGTACACGACAGACGACGCCGACATAGCCGAGTCTCAGAGGGTAGTTCTTATCAGTCAGCATAGCATGGCCTCTTTCGGCGTCTACAAGGTCCATCTTGGTAATGACACCAATGGTGCGCTCACCACGAGGGTCGACGCGACGGCTGGCACGGAGAGCGGTGGAGTTGGCAAGATCAACATCTGCGGCAGAGATGGCCAGAATGACGTTGGGTGCTTGAATGTACTTATCGCACAGGGCAGCAATCTTCTCCTTAAGTTGAGTGGGCTGGTCGAAACCAGTCACCTGGATGTAGCCGGGCAAGTCAATCAGTGAAAGGTCGGGGACGTTGGGCGAGTAGATGCGCAGCTGGATGGGATCGTCAGACACGCATTCGGTCTCTGGTACAGCCAGGTTGAGATCGGTCAGAGTCCTCTGAATCTGAGCAAAGTCGGTGACCTTTCCCAAGCCGAGAGCAGGGAACTCGCCGTACTCGGCATGCGCTCCAGGGGTATTGACCAGTGTGAGCTCGATGGGGCGACGAGTGACCATGTTGGAGCCTTTAGGCAGAAATTCGTGACCGACGATGGCCTCCAGCACTGAACTCTTTCCTGACGATTGCGAGCCAACGACAACGATCGAAGGCAGTGTGAGGGTCTCGGACTGGCCGACAGTCTGAAGCAGACTTCTGATCTCAATCATCTTGCGTGTGAGGAGCATCATTTGGTCGTCGCGAGCAGCCACCTCTTCGGATCTGTCGTCTTCTTGGCCGTCATCCAGAGCAAAAGCAGCGGCCGTGGCTGCACCAGCAGCAGCAGTTCCAACACGAGCCTCCTTGGGATCCGGGCCATTCCCACCGGGACCTCCATCTCCTCCAGGACCAGATGATTCTTGTTGTGGGAACAGCTCCTGTAAGTCCCTCTTAGTCTTTTCCCAGCCAGCCTTTGTTTGAGCGAAAATGCCGCCTGCGCCTTCGAAGATGGAGCGGGCTCCGGTCGTGGTCGCGTCTGAGGCTTTGGTGAAGAGATCGATCGCATAGTTACCAGCCTCTNNGTATTGAGATCAGCATTGTTTGTGGGAGTATTGCAGGACTGACTGACGAGCGGCTTGGTATTGAATGTATGCTAGACTTCCGACAGCGGTGGCACCTAGCAGGGCAGGCAGACGAATAAGCTTGAATGCCAGCTTCGGTATGGCGCGAGCGAAGGATGCATGTCGGACTACTGCCGTGTTGGCGCCAGATGATATGGGTCGACTCCGAGGGATGCAGTTTCGTGTGATTAGACCGCCTGCGCGTTGTTGGGCTGTGTGATAGGGCGACCTCAGGGCCATGGGAGAGCTATGTCGAGCAAGCGTCGCATAGCGCGACGACAGCAGCCTCCCGCTCATAGTCACTGCATCTACCTGATGGTTAGTATACTGAGAGTGCTTTGGTCAACTTCTTGCGGACTGCGACATGCTCAGCAGTGACGTTGTTTCGGACTTCCCTCTCAGCCACAGCCATCAGCCACAATACCTGTCTCACTGCTTGTTCCGTTTTGCCGGTCCTTTCCACTCGGCACTTCGTCCCCTCGTCCGTCACCCGTCACGACCCTTCGTTGAGACAATCATCGCTATGAACATCAATTCTTGATGAGGTCTTCTGTCCTCTTGTGATCTATATCGTATATTATGACTGGTGCCGGTGCGGCTCAGAATCGACGCCCTCCACGTCTGAACCATAAGAAGTCGCGTGCGGGCTGTCAGCGATGCAAGGCCCGGAGAGTCAAGGTGAGTTTGTTCTTTTTCCATCTGTGAATTAACATCCTTTTAGACTGCAGTCGCTGTGCCCTAATGTCATGATAAACATGTCTGACGCCATTCACAGNNTGCGATGAGGCCAAGCCCGCCTGTGGAGGATGCAACCGCCATCAGGTGCCCTGCGTTTATCTTCACACTGAAGTTTCCAGGACTGCAAGTGCTGAGACAAGCGTGTCGCCTCGTATAATACCACCGCCAGATCAGCCCAAAGTCAAACCCGACGTCAACCAGGTCCTGACGCCGCCAACCGTCAATGACCCCGTCACAACTGATGATATCCTGGACCTTCCGGAGTCACGCCAGCGCCGTCTGCTCGAATTGCGACTATGGCATAATTATGTGACCGTTGTAGCCACGCCATTCCACCATGCTGCTCCTAAAACTTTTCTGATCGAAATCTGGAACAACCACCTACCTCACATTGCCATGCGCCACGATAACCTGCTTTATACTATTTATGCTTTCTCCGCTACCAGACTGTTGCGCGATGCTCCCGACGACATTGAATTGCTTACTGCTCAAAGAGTCTATCTCAGTCTAGCCCTTCGTGAGCAGCGCAAAGCCATCATTCAGTTTTACACTCAGGCCGAGGAACCCGATTCTCTCTGCTTCACCTCCATCATGATGACAATGAATGCTTTTGGTTCTCTTCAGGAACGAAATCGCCAGCCTTACAAACCACCCACTAATATACTTCGTTTGGGCATTGGCGCATGTGCCGTCTACGAAGAGGCTCTGAAGAGTGCCCGCAAATTTCCTTCCTCCAAGATTGTCAGCTTCATCGAAAACCAGCCTTTCTTCATCAGTATACCTAGGATGTTCGACGAAGAGCACCGAGGCCCTTTCATCGGCATTTTAGGGCCAAAGAATCCCCAGGGCGTTTATGAAGACTCTGAACTCTGGAATCCCGAGGTCAGACAAGCTTACGAATGTACATTGAGCTACATTGGCACCATGTACACGGCTGTCTTGGACGGCGAAACACTTCACCAAATTTGCACGCGAATCGCCGCATTTGCCTTATATGTGCCGAAAAAGTTTGTAGATATGGTTGAAGAATCTCGTCCCAGGGCTTTGGTCATCCTGGCGCATTTCTTCTCCATTGCTACCAAAGGCAGTGCTCATTGGTGGGTTGGTCAGACACCTATGAGAGAGGTTCAGGGGTTGAGGAGGATCGTGCCTCAGGAATGGCAACGACACATGCGATGGCCGCTAGTCATGTCTGGGCTAGAGCCTGTCTGAGGTCATATCCCATCTCTCACTCGGCTCTCAACCTAACCTGAGTTACGACACGAAAAAGTCGCATTCGACCCGCCGCGACACGAAACATCGACGCCCTCCCTGTCTCCATCGATGAGTGAGGACTGTATCTTACCTACGGAACAGCATGACGACTTCATCATTCAAACGCTTTGCCAGTGAGAGGACCTCATGGGCATCTTTCTGAAACTCGTTGTATGCCTATCCTGTCACGCGCAACTGCAGAAATGCACAAACATCTGAAGGAACAAGGCTTCTGCCGCTGAGAGCCATCGATCAACGCGGCTCTCTCTGGACGTACCTCTAGTCCAGAAACAATCGTGTGTTTCTATAGCTGGCACACCGCCGCAAGAGAACGATCGGAGACGCGGTCTAGCATGTGAGGAATAGCAACAACGCACTGATTATGAACTCGTCGCGTCTGCAAAGGACATCGCACTATCTCCATGATTATGGAATCTGCAAAGATCACTTTTTAGTATAGAGGCTTCTCATCGAGCACGGATATCAACAATTTTCAGACTAGGCGCTTCAAGGCTTTCACTGTTTTTACTTTGGCATCAATCATATAGCAATTCCCCACATAGATCCATCTAGTAACAGTGACAATCAGACTCACAGGAAACCATATCTTTGACCTACAAAACTCATCAGTACCAAACTATCCACAAAGCCCAAAAGGTGCATCATCTCAAACGCAACATATACATACTTCCCTTGCCCGTTTGTACAAACGACCTTACTAAACTCATATAAACCCCACTTCTCCTTCCTTTGAAATCTTCAACCCCAAACTCAAGACTAAGGACGACTTCGTTCGCGTCCTGAACAAGATCAGAAAGGCCCTAGCCGCGTTTCGTCATCCGTTTACCTTTGGCCGTCCATCGACAACACGTGTAACGACGAACCGCCGGTCACGGTCCCGAGATATTACTCTCCTGTCCCGCCACTCGCGCGAGACGATGGTACTATGTTGTCATGCAATAGTTCCGTGGACTCGACGTTCAATGTAATAAACTGCGACGTTGGCGTCGAGAGACGGCCGAGGACCCGGTAGTTGATTTGACAGATGCTCTCACTTTTGATCTACCTCATTGTTTTGCTCTATCCGTGATGCACGTTATGCATTCATTCCAACTTTACGGCGGTCTTGGAGATGTGAGTACACTGCCAACGGTATAGTTACCTAGTGTTGGATCACACATCTGGCGGGATTGCTAGACTGCAGCGCTACACCATAAGCCAGTGTCTTCTATCATTCACTCCTAGCATGGTTCTTGTCTTTGCGATGATCATGTCGCTGGACAAGTTGGGTGGCGATTTGTAGTCGTGAGTTTGGATATAAATATTAAAAGCATTCTTGTGGATTTCCAAGCGAAGCAGCTGGGGATAATGACAGCTCAACCACCCCAACTCTCTCGTTGTTTCAACGTACGGCTATCCTCGTCAATATACGTCCAAATTGTGAAAGACAAGAAGATCGGAGTAATAAAACTTATACATTATATACACAATAAACCCTGGACATCTAACCAGTCCTCCCAGCCTCTCACCCACCATACTTGGGATATATACTCAAGTTTCCTTGCCCCAAGTAGGGAACTGCTTTCCAAGAGCGCTGTTGCAAGGATATTGCACAATATCCACGCTGCTGACTCAGAGTTCTGTCCCGCATTGCTCGAAAGCACAGAGCTACCATCCGGAGCATAGACATTGAATCTGAGGTCTCCTTGGCCTCCACCGTTGGCCCACATCAGACGTACTGAGTCGAGTTGTTAGTCATTGTATCAAGGTCAGGGACTTATAGGAACTTACCAGGAAGATATGTGCCCACAGTGAGATAGTAAGCCAAAGTCTGGGGTGTCTGTGTAGCAATCTGACTACTCCAGAATTGTGTGATGTCGGCATTTGCTCTTGTCCATCCACTAACTGCATTATTGCCGATCCACACAAACTGAATGTCATCGGTATAGGGAATATTCAATGAGTAATATCCAGTCTGGGAAGCAAAGAGATAGAAAGTGTGGTCGAGCACAAGGGTAGAGCCATCAACAGGGTAATAGCCATAGACGTTGATGTAGTCGCCGGAAGCATCGTTGGACTCGGCGATGTATGTCGTGTCGTCGGAGAAGTACGGGGATACCTTCTTGTAGGTCTCGGGGATGAAGGAGGGGTATCCATAGGTAGCTTGGCCGCCAGAGTACTTGTTGGCATAGGCTGCAAAGTTGATGCCTTGGTTGCCGCAGCTGGTGACAGGGGTGGGATAGACGATAGTTACGGTGGTAGTTGCGCCGGCGACTTTGGGTGTGGAAGTGATGTAACCAATCGAAGTAGCTGTACCAGAGTGTGTGGTGACAGTGGTGTAGGAGGCTTTGGCTGAAGAGGATGTGCTGATCACCTGTCCTTTCTTGGCTGGGGTTTGTACGTACACCGTGGCGGCAAGACCGGAAACTGCAGTTGTGGTCGTGGTGTATGTGCCAGTCCAAGCAGTGGTAACGGTGGTGAACGAAACGGTTGCGGGAGCAGTGTTGACGGCAGCAACGGAAGAAGAAAGACGAGATTGAGGTTGAGGTCGAGGTGGTCGAGGTAACCGAGGAGGAGGATACCTTGGTGGAAGACGACCCGATTGAAACAGATGATGTAAGAATCGATGAGAGAGCGACGCTCAACGAAGACGAGGAAACCACGTTAGAGGAGCTGGATGAAACAGATGTTGAAGTGGGAGCAACGCTGGATGATGACGACGATGACGAGACAACAGCAGGGCAGGTGGTGGCACCCGAGTTGATACTGTCCGCAACAGAAGTACGGTTGAAGTATGCATCAATGCTGCGAATCTTCAACACACTGTCAGCTAGGGGTGGCCCTTGAGCCCAAGCATTTCCGTTGGACCTGTGAATCATGTCAGCTTGATTGAGTCATTGCACGGGTGTTCTTGAGTTTTACCAATTGTTCCAGATCCAAGATCCAGGTGTGCTTGGCACATTGTCTGTGATGGTCTGCACCAAAACTCCATCGATGTAGAACTTGCTGACTCCGGGCAGCCAGTCAAGTCTATACTCATGCCAAGCAGTGTTGGCATCGGCAGGCGCAGCGACACTGTAAGTTGAGTAGGGAGCGCCATAACCGGTTTGCTCATTAGTAAGCCAAGCCTTGGAGATATCAGAGGTCAAGAACGCAAAATCGACCTCTTGGGTGTCGTTGGCATAAAAGATGAAGCCATGGGTAGTACCCGGCACATTGGAAATCTTTGCTACGGTGCGGACAGAAGCATAAAGGATATCGGCGTAGTTTGTTGCAAGCTGAGCGGTAGAGATGGGACCTNNACTCATTGTGTCAGAAGAAGGTGCGGACGGCGGAAACCTCAAATTACCCGTGGTCTGTCCACCAGGGACAGTGAGGGTCAAGGCAAGATCAGTTGAATCGAGGCCAATGTTGACAAGATCAAAGCGACGAGCAAGAGGGTTCAAGCCTTGGTTCACAGTATAGGTATTGGGAATCAGATCCTGAACTGTTCCATAAAGGTCTTGAAGGAAGTCATGACCAAAGCGAGTGTTGAACGGTCCAGCGTCAGTGTTCCAATAGCAACCACTCTTCGAACCAGCAGATGAGCTAGTGTAAGCGGAGGCCGTCGAGCCAAGGGCCAAAAGATTGATAGCAGCCTTCTTCATGGTGGAGAAACAGTATTAAAGAGGGTATATGTTGTAAAAGAAAGACGCAGACGACTAGAAATAAACCCTACGTGAACATGCAAAGAGCCTGCTATATACTCTACCGCAAGCGAAGCCACATGGTGTTCGTATAGAAAACAATACCGTCGTTGGCAATAGGGCTGACAGGCTAGTGTTCGATGTTGGGGTCAAGCGCTTATTCTGGAATTTGATTCAAGGCCTCGACCAGGCACAATGTCTTGTATATCGATATATCGTTACCCTAACGGCATGGAAGCGATAAAGCTGCTGGAGAGAATGACAGAAGTGCCGGTGGGAAGGGCTTTGCAGCCGTTGGATACTCGGCCGTTATGTGATGCGGTCGGCAACTGCTTGTCCGCATGCGAAGAGTCTGCAGCGAAATTGCGTTCACAAGGCGCAAGCATGGTTCAAGCCTTGTGATATATGCGATGAGCTGTCTCTCCTTATTGTTTCTTTCATGATATGTATCTGGGTTAAGGCGCAGATGGCGTTCATGACGGGTATTGAATATAAATGAGGCCAGTAATGATTCAGACGTGATGAGCGCAGTCCAAAACTCGTCATTGTAGAGAAGCATGGTGAGTCCATTCATAGCCTGCTGCTGGTGCAATAAGATCTCGAAGAGCGGAAAGTTGACGTGTGATGTTCAAGTACTCATAGAGCGAGTCAAGTGCCGAACAGTATGTATATATGTGGCCCAAGCGTTTGGGCCGTTGCAATGGTCGTGAAGCCGGTGGGCTCCTTGACAATGCTCAGAACACCCTATGGGTCAACAGAACTGCCACTGCCAGTGAAGAGTGTGAACCGCCAGCATGCGGACAGGCGACAGGCGTGTACCACGTGGCTGCAGCTCAATTGCTCTCCTCTTGACACCTTGTGCAAGCACAGTCAAACTTCCAATGCTCCTTGAGCTTTTCCCTCCTCTCTCTCCTCGTCATATGTTTCTCGTCGCCTCCCAGATAACTTATGCACAGTGCCTCTCCTTCCTTGACGTCTCTTTCCGCCCAAAACTTCCACATTCGACCCTCACGTCGTTTCCGTATGTTTGGTCCACAACTGTGGTTCCAGTAACTCGCTGCCGTCCAAAGCCCATAGCCTAAACACTCGCTACCACCACTTGTGTCCTCGTCCAAGTCCTGCGACCAAATGTTGAAGACGTTGTGTGATGATTTTGCTGCCAGTATGCGGAGGTTGGATGCGATGATGTGGTCGAGGAGAGAAAGAGGTGCGCAAGCTAAGAGATGGTGATAACTGGTAGTTTGAAATTTGAGGTCTGCTGGCGAGATGTACGGCATGGCTTCCGATTCGAGGATCAGCACATCGGACCACAGAGACGGCGAATGTGCGACTGTGAGAAGAGCTGGTAGTTGATAGGCTATTACGCCACGTATCGGTGGTGTCGCGAGAATCTGTGTCAAAAGACGTCGCTCGGGTTTTGAGGGTTGGGCCGATACTCGTGCAGCACGGATCTTTGTCGCAATCTCTTCTGCCGCTGCCCATACTGTGTCTATCTCTTGTATCGTCGGTCGAGGTAGGAGGTGTTCTGGGTCTTCATCCGGGTCTGACGTGTTTGATTGTCCTGTCTTTCCAAGTCCTTCAATGGCGACTGCTGCAGCTTCATCGTTCACTGCGTCCGTCTTCCATATCGTTTGACACTCCTCGCTGCAGAACGCAAGTCCAGCTTTTGCATCCCGAATGCGCCAATTCCGACCTCTGTCGTAGAGGAAGCATTGTGCGCAAACTTCTTTCCAGTACTCGCGATAGATGACACTAGCCGCGATCTCTGCTGTCTCGAAGAGAAGTGTGCCTTTTGAAATGAATTGTGTCGCGTAGACTCCTCGTCCAGATTCTGCCGTCTCGCGGACGGCAAATATTGATGAAGCGTGAAGCGATGCTGGTGCTGACATTTCTTCTGGCAAGATTGATTCGCTGGGGAGATTTTTGTGAAACCTTGCCGATCCAAGTTCTAGACCCTGATGACGAGAAGAAGAATAAAAGGGAAAATTAGAAAATAATCGTTGCTCTGTCGATCTGCCGAGGAAAACAAAGGCTCGTACCTTCCACAACTGTTACTGAGTTTCTTCTTGGGCTCCTTTGCAGTTTGTGCTGGTAGTTGTTGCTAAGCATAGGGTCGCGAAAACAGAAAAGTTACGTGGGAGATATACATGGTTGTAAACCTCTTTGAGATGGAGCGAATGCATAAATTCATACTAGCTTATTACCAGGTCCGCGATCATTACTATTGTTCATGACATGTTGTTTAGTCCTGACCAGCGCCAGGAGTGTCGGCAACCTTAAAGACATACTTGACAGCTGAAGCCTTACCAGACTTCAAGTTGGCAAGACCTTGCTCGACACCAGTCAGACCACCAGGGATCACCTCCTGAGGTTGAGGCTTGAACCAACCCTCGTCAACACCCTTTGCAATGTAGCGGAAGAAGACTGAGCCAAAGTCCTTGTGTTCGTTGTGAACATCTCCCACCATGGTGATCGACCGCTTGACATGCTTAGGGCAGTCGGAGAAGTCCTTGCCAGGAAGGACAAGAGTAATGTGACCATTCTCTGGCATAACCGCAGCGACGTTCTGGTATGATCCCTGCTCTGAGACACCGTCGAAGCAGTGGTATAGCTCAGCACCCTTGAGTGCTTCCTTGATGCCCTTTTGTACTGCCTCGTTGCCGTCACGGTAGTCGACAATGACATCGCCCTTGCTGGGGTCAAGAAGCTTCTCGACATGTGATCTGGCGCGACCAGCGACACCAATGATGGGGTGGATGTTTGAACGGACGGCAAATTGGGTGGCGTAGTAACCAATGGAGGACGAAGCTCCGTAGATGACTAGAGGAATGGGCTTCTCATCGTCCTTGCGAGGAGTCCAGGGCTGGGGCAGCTTCAGGCGGTCGTAAAGACCAAGGGCAGAGGTCAAGGCAGCGAGAGGCAGAGCGGCACCCTCTTGGAAAGAGACGTGTTCGGGGAGGTATGCGGTGGTGTGAGCCCAAGCAACAGCGTACTCGGCATAAGAGCCACCAGGTGCAAGCATCTGGTGGAAAGCAAAAACGCGGTCGCCCTTCTTGAATTCGGAGACTCCCTGGCCGACCTCGTGGACTGTACCACAGATGTCGTCGCCTTGGTTCAGCTCGCCCTTCTTCGTCATATCAGGGTACTTNCCTGTGAGTCTGTCAGAGACATCTTCCGGTGTTCTACTATTACGAACATACCAGTCCTTGGGATTGCTACCAGAGTAGACAACCTTGATGACAACCTGACCCTTCTCGGCCTTGGGAACAGGCGAGTCAACAATCTCGACCTTGGGGCCGGCGCGGATGATTGCTTCCTTCATGTTGAGTTTGACGGTTGATGTGAATGGTCTGAGCTGACAGGAGATACGATTGATCCTTGCAAGTGATCTATACTGAGCTCGAAAGACTGAAGAGAACATGTGAAATGTTATGAGGCAAACCAGAAGGTCAAATGAGAGCTCCACCTTCGACTTACAAATCCATGAGACCCCGTTGCGTCATAATGCTCTTCATGCTCTTTATATATGAGCGGCTCCTTCTGGAACCACACCGGCAGTTCTATTGGTTGCATACTTCTCAATGCATCGTATCGCCAAAGATCTTCTGCTGTTGATTGTGTGTCTTCCAGTGTACTATCTCCAGGCGAAGATGTTCGGCGAAGCCTCTTGCGAACCTGTTGTCAAAACAGCTTGACAGATTTCGGCGATAGTCGGACTTTTCGGCAGCAGCTCTATCCGAAAGCTCTCATCAAATATTTGTAGAGGGGACGACCCTGTGTGTGCTGCGAATGCTTATTGCTCGACGACAACCCATCAAACCGATCTGTTTACCATTGGAAGCTCAGTATTATCTGTCTTCTAATATTGAGTCGTGTCGCTGTCCAATTTGCTAAGGTGGCATTGTTGTTGAAGCTCCTGTGGCAAACGTCACTCGAATGTCTTGAAAAGAGTCATCTCAACACTGCCCCTGCCTTAGGAACTTGAAGAACAGTGATCGCTCATGTGTTGTCTGCAGCGTGACAGGAAGGCTTTGGTCAACCCTGTCAACCTCTCACGAAAACGCATTCCAGACTTTCGTCAGCATCCCTTAAGCACGTCAAGCAATGCCGTCAAGTAAGACCAAGAAATCGGACACACTCGGCATGGCAAGTGGATGCTCTCCAGATGGATGAGAAAGCTACCACGATCGCGTCATTCGTATTGATGAATCCTTCGAAGACGTGCTCTCATCAGTATTGCGAGACTCTACTTATTCGAGAAGGCAGGCGCTGTCGCATTGGCTAGACGGCACGCTCATATATCTTATGGCGTTTGCGACAACTCTACTGATAGGTCAAGATATGCCGAATCGACCTGCTGGCCTATCTGCGGTCGAATCGATTCAGAAACTATCCAACATTTCTCGAAGAGAGGAGAAGATATCCGAGACCCACTGTGATCAGACGCTTTCGCTCAAGATCGGCATACTACGGTCGCATCCGAGGTGAAATTTACAAGCTTTTCTCGGCAGGCTAAGCTCTTTCGCGTAATATCCACCAATCCTTTTGCTCGTTCAGGGCTCCATCAACGCGAACACGAGCAAAACTTGACTACATGTCAGAATCGTGGCACAGACTGTGATCATGTAATAAGATGCACTTTTGATCGACGGACTGCAGCACGCCATATCTGCCCTATCAGACGTGCTATCCAGATGGCAAAATTCAACGTGCTGTCTGCGTGGCACGAATGAGTCTTGATGGGCACGAATAGACGTCTTATGACTCTATATAGAATCAGGCCCCTACCCGAGGCACTTCAAACCTTTTCGAAAACTTATCCCTAATACTCCAACATCTTTCCGATGGCAGGCTCGTTGTTCAGGCGTGCCGTTGCACGTGTGAAGGGCGAGAACAACCATACCGTACCAAATCCGGATGGCTTTGCTGAATCGACAACACTGGATGAGAAGACTGCAGCTGGACTTACTGGCACCGGAAAGATCGAGCCCACATCAAAGACCTACGGACTCGAAGTTGGAGATGAAGAGGTCAAGTCCGGATCGGCTTCTAACACTGAGAGCGACGACTTCGCTGATGATGACGAGGCCGTTCGTGATATTCCGCCGGCTGTTCGACGTATCGTATCCATGACGGACAATCCGGAGGAACTCACACTTACCTTCCGCTACTTTGTGCTGGCTATATTGTTCATCGTCCCGGGTGCTTTCCTGTCTCAGATGTCATACTTCAGAACGACGTCAGCAGCATATTCGGTCTTCTTCGTTCAGATTGCATCGAATTACGTCGGAATGTGGCTTGCAAAGATTCTACCAAACAAGAAGGTGTTAGGCATCAACTTGAACCCTGGTCCATGGAGCACGAAGGAGCACGTATTGGTTACACTATCAGCAGCTTCAGGAGCAACTTACAACCTTGCCTACGCACCAGTCTCAATCGCTGAGCTTTACTTCGGTGAGCCGATGAACCCGGCTGTCGCGATCTTCTTCATGTGGAGTGTTGTCGTGACTGGCTACTCGTTCGCTGCTATCTCCCGTCAATTCCTGCTTTACGATCCGCAATACCCATGGTTCCAAGCTCTGTGTCAGACTGCTCTATTCGAGTCGCAAAAGAAGGAAAGGAACAACCCGACACCGATCTCGAAGAGACAGATGAGAATCTTTTTCGCTGTGTTCTTTGCCGTCGCAATTTGGCAATTCCTTCCTGAGTATGTGTTCCCTATGACTGGAAGTCTTGCTTTCCTCTGCTGGGTCGCCCCAAAAAATCCTGTGGCCAATTTTATCGGCTCTGGTTTTGGAGGTATGGGCTTCCTCAACCTTAGTCTGGACTGGTCTAATCTCAGCACAAACGGTAACCTCTTCTTGTTGCCATGGTGGACCCAGGTCATCATGTTCTTGGCCTTCGCTTTCAACTGTTGGATTCTGCTTCCTGCTGCGAAGTGGGGAAACCTTTCTGAGTTCAAGCCGGGTCTCATGTCTACAAGCGTCTTGCAGNGAAATGGCACCAAATACNCCCTGACCAAGCTCGTGACTTCTCAAGGCACTTTCAATGAGACCGCATACGAAGAATACGGCCCCTTGTATCTTGGGGCCCAAATGCTCTGGGGTATCTTCTTCTCCTATGCCGCGTTCTTGTCCGCTTGGGTCTGGGCTGCTCTTTTTGGCTGGTCTTCCTTCAAAGAAGCAATCTCGAAGTTCAAGAAGAGAAACAGTGGAGGAAAAGACAAAGGAATTAATCACCAGTATGATGACCAATTAAACGTTCTGATGCGCTCTTACAAGGAGGTTCCGCTCTATTGGTATGCAGCTCTTTTCGCCTGCTCATTCGTCTCTATTATCACCATGGCTGCAGCTGGAAAGATCTATATCCCGGTCTGGACTTATATCGTCGCTCTGATCACTGGAGCCGTGGTAGTCACTCCCTTGGGCTGGTTATACGCCGTGTCGAATTATCAACTTCCCATCGGGTAAGTCTGATGTCCTCGTTACTCAGTTCTTCATATTCTAACGTTAATACCGTCAGAANCCTTCAACGAGTTATTGTACGGCGTGATGGTCAATTCCATTAGCGGCCACAAGAACCCAACAGGCGCTACTATTTACAGTTCTATCGCTGGAGACGCGTGGTATAGGGCCCAATACATGTTGCAAGACCAGAAAATCGTAAGCAGTTGCCCCCTACGTCCCAGGTATGAAAATGAGGCTAATTCGCTTTAGGGACATTACATGCACATTCCTCCTAGAGCAACGTTCTTCAGTCAGGTATTTGGCTGCACCATCGGTGTGCCCATCAACTACGGCGTCGTAAAGTGGGTTCTGTCCTCCAAACGCGATATCCTGCTTGGACTGGAAAAGGACCCCACACACCAATGGACCGCCCAACATCTCTCCTCCTCCCTCTCAACATCCGTCGAATACGTCCTCATCGGCCCCACAAAGATGTTCCAACAATCCTCCTTCAAACCCCTGCCCTACGGCTTTATCGTCGGCGCCGCTGCCNCCTTCCTCATGTTCGCCCTCCACAAGTTCTTCCCAAGCTCAAAGCTCAAGTTCCGCCTCTGGAACACCACCATTTTCTTCTCGTGCGTTTCAAACTTTTACGGCAATGTTTCTACTGGCTATACCTCTGCGTTCATCGGTGGGTTTGTGGTCATGTTTTGGGCATTCAGGTATAGAAATGCGTTGTGGGCGAGATATAATTATCTCATGGGCGCGGCGTTTGATGCGGGATATAACTTGAACTTGCTGTTGGTGTTTTTGTTCTTTGGCAGTGGCAAGATTGTTAACATGCCGTATTGGTGGGGCAATAACGAGCAGAGTAGTGAGAGGTGTTTTGCTCTTGATTGAGAGGTAGAATGGGTAAAGGTAGAGATAGAGGGATGGAAGTTTGTACAGTATATGACGATGAATGTTTAAATAATGAGTTTATGTGTCAGGAGCCCCTGCTGGCTCGATTGGATAATGTAAAGTTTTGGTCGAGTACAACTCAGACTCGATTTTTGTCTGTCATGGATGGGTGTTTGTATCCAAGTATCGTGGTCTCCCCTTGAGACGCTTTATTGTATATGCTCTCAATGGAGTATCTGTATCTGGTAGCAGGGTCTGCATGTTACCCCTGACACCCTCGCTTCCCATTCGCAAATGCAGGCCATGAACAAGCTTTCAACAAGCATAGTTGATTTTTGATAGATGCGTGTCCGAGAGAGAGCACTTTTTCATGTGCTCTCAATGGACGAGCTCGCTTCTCTTAACCCTATTGTGCGTTTCTACGACTACATGTTGGCAGACTACATTACGTGGAGACTGCTTTCAGTTCCTTTACTAACAACCACAGTAGCTTGGCGAGTTCTTGTCCTCTCAATTTTACCTCTTGTTCTGTTTCGCTTGAACTCTATGAGATGAGCAGTCAGGCTGGTCTGCCACAAGTTGGTAGATTTTGTGAGGTAAAGAGAGAGATTCAACATGTTTGTATCATGTGTGCTACAACCTGAACGAAAATGTGAAATGCGACCGTTGAGACTTTCGACCGATCCAAGAGTGATAGGTGAAGTTGTGTATATTGCATACCACCAAGACAACACCAGTAACTTTCATCGGGACTCTGCTAATTAGTTGTGTACCGTAGCCGCCAAGCCGGGAAGAATCTCAAGGTCCTTGGGCTTATAGAAGTACTTGCCCTCCTTGATCTCCGGCGTCTCAGTCTTTCTCTGCTGCTGCGTCTGCCGGAGTTTGACCCACTCCTGCATAGTGAGATGTTGGTTGAGATTGGTGAAAGCATTGGAAGTGAGACCCAAGCGATCAAGGACTGGACTTTTGATAGGGTCCAAGACGACGTGGTTGTTGGGTCGTGCAAAGTACAATACACCCAGTCGATCGATGTGGGCTTGATCGCTCGGGGGTGCGCGGACACGGTGAACGCTGCTCTTGACATATCCCGCTGTCAATGCAGTCAATGCGTCACAAGTGTTGATCGTGATGGTCGCATCTTGAGGCTTGACCCACTTCCACTGGCCTTCGTTGTTCAAGATCTGCAATGCTGCAACTGGTTGGCGGAATAGGAGTGTCACAGAGCCCAGATCGGTGTGACCAGGGGTGTAGAGCTCTCCCACCTTAGCATTCTCTTCTGCGCTGCGAGCGGCATAGTGCATGTAGCGTAGGTGATCTTCACCAAAGTCATCATAGAAATGGTCCTTGATGAAGAATTCCTCGTCGATCTCGAGCAGAAGAGCAAAGAGCTTCAACAACTTGACCACAACTTCCGAGTGACACTTACGACTGAATGTCTCGATATCCTTGATGTGGTCTTGAAGTACAGCAGGTTGCTGACGTTTATGATGTCCATCAAACTTGGGAATGTTGTAGACTTGGATGTTGTCCGTGATGCCAGATGCGAGTGAGCGAAGGCCGGCAGGTCGGTATCCGTTGTACTCTCCGGCTTCGAGGTCTTTGATGTTGTGGTACTTAAGCTTCTCTTCCAGAGGCAGGTCGTAGAACTCGCGGCCCAGAGCAAATTGACGGTCGACTTCTTCTTGGCTAATGTTGAAGTTCTTCACGTAGAAGAAACCTNNGATAAACGTCAGTGGAAGAATTATTAGCTTGGTTGAGAGGAACATACCAACATGGCGAACAGCGTGCTCAAGTTGCTTGACGAGCTCTTGCTTGCCGCCGGGCTTCTCGAATTGGCTCAGATCGAGGGTGATGAGCTCGGCCCAGTCAACTATCCAATTGTTAGGGAGAGTCAATGTTGGTGAGAAGGCGGACGTACGGTCTTCCTTGGTCACGGGGACCTGTTCGTATGGACTCAATGTCTTTCCGGGCATGGTGACTGACAGTTTATCTTTGAAGATGTAAATGCTTGCTATGCTTCACTATCACTCTCTGAGCTGGTAGTTGTCGACTTTTATGGTCGTTTTCAGCGACCTCGGGCGACCCTCATCACGCACACCATACATCGAGTCATGTCTTGCTGACTGGTAGGCTCCACACATGTTGTGATATTATCAGTGAGTTGAATGGATTTCAGAGATTGTTGCACGAGAAGTGCCAGGGTGGCCAATGGGAAGTTGTGGTTTGGTTGTTGAAGGAACGAGGGGTTCATCACGCAAAGCGGGGATGAAGTTGCGCAACTCCATCTCATGATCAGGAAACTTCCAACAACAACTTGATTTGCTTTGAGGTGATGGTTGGCTTATTTTTTACTACTCCTAGACAAGGGATTGGTTACAATGCTCCATCTTTTGCGTTGCCGAGCCTTTGTCTCCAAAGATGCACTCAAGCTTTCATGGTGCTGTGTCCAACATGCCATGAAAGGTGATCAAATGTCCAAGTCCACTTGAGACAATCGTTAAGTCATGCCCGTTTCCCAGCTTGGCCTGTTGGAATCTCGGAGGATGCTAGGCTAATTAGAAGCATCAACAGAGGCTCCGATAGCGCTTATTGTCGCAGGGATGCATCTGGAAATCCCAGCACCTCATCATCGCCATACCTGCAGGATATGGTGTGCCAGGAAGCGGATCTAGCGCGTGCTTACTCGAGCCAGTCCCGCCACTATCAGCAATGTGGTGTTTCTCAACAAGTCAGCTATATATCATCGCTCGCGGCCATCATGTAGTACTTCATCACTATTACTTGACCAACATTTACTACGATGGCAGACCTACAAACAGTTGCCGATCATAATGGTGACATACCGAAGAAGGACATCTCCTCTATTGATATCTCCAGCAACAGAAGCCAACCTATTAGCAACAGCGACCTGGAAAAGCAATATACACCGACCCAACGCTTCTTTCGCTCAGTCCAGAGATACATCTGGGATGACCCAGACAAACCAAAACACGAAAAGAAGTTCTTGCTCAAGCTCGACTTCTTCCTACTTACGTATGCATGTCTCGGGTATTTTTGCAAGAATCTGGACCAGCAGAACATCAGCAACGCATATGTCTCTGGGATGAAAGAAGCACTGCACATGGATGGAAACGAGCTCACGTACATGAGTAATGTTTTTACTGCTGGATATGTTATCAGTCAACTCCCAGCCGTCATTCTCGTCACCAAGCTGCGGCCGTCCCATGTCATCCCGACCCTCGAATGTCTTTGGGCAATTTTCACCTTCTGTTCTGCTGCAGTGACATCAGTACCTCAGCTGTATGGGCTCCGTTTTCTCATTGGTTTCTGTGAAGGGGCCTTCTTTCCTTGTATCATCTATTTGATAGGTTGGTGCCTCCATAATCAAGTCTTGCATCGAACAATTTCTGATACATAATTGATAGGGTCATGGTACACCAAGCATGAGCGAGCGAAGAGAACAACACTTTTCTATTGTACTGCATCTCTGGCACATATGTTCTCTGGTTATCTTCAAGCAGCAGCCTACGACAATCTTGACGGCAAGCTAGGTCACGCCGGATGGCAATGGTAAGCTGGAAACGTGACGAAATACAAAACATAGTAGCTAATCATATACCCAGGCNTCTTTATCATTTGCGGTATCATAAGTCTACCCGTTGGAGTCATCGGATACTTCTTCAACCCCGACTTCCCAGAAAACACCAAAGCTTTTTATCTGACCAAAGAGGAAGCCGTCTATGCAAGGAAAAGACTCGTCTTGGATGGCTATACACCTCTCGGATCGCAATCGTCCAAGTGGGACAAGAAGAAGCTCTTCCGTATCGCCACAACATGGCAATTCTGGGTCCTGTCCTTTGGCTATTTCTTTGTACAATCTAGCCATCCCTCTCAGCAGCCATTTTACTCGCTGTGGCTCAAAGCTGAAGGCCATAGCGTGTACCAGATCAACGTGTGGCCAACAGGTCAATCAGCAGTCGGCGCCGTCACTCAGATCATTGCGGGTATGCTCTCAGACTCACCTCTACTCGGTGGCAAGAGATGGCAAACGATAGCAATACTCCAAACAGCATCTTTCTTCGGCACACTGATTCTGGCTATCTGGAACGTACCCATCGGTCTCAAATACTTTGCCATGTACATCAGTTACTGCTCTGCGGGCGTGCCTGGACTTTTCTATTCTTGGTTCCCAGATTTGATGCCGCACGATCACGAGATGCGTGGATTTTTGACTGCTTTCTCAAACATGTTCTCCTATGTCAATCAGATCTGGTTTCAGGATGCCGTCTGGAGGACCGAGGAAGCTNCAAAGTTTCGACCAGGCTTCATCGCTGCTGCATCGTTTAGTGTTGCTCTGATACTGACAGCTTGCCTGATACGAATTTTGGAGAAGAGGGACGTGAAGAAAGGTCACCGGTCGAAGGAGATACAAGAAATCAATAGAGCCGAGGACGAAGTCGTTCCTGAGATTCAGGCTGACCCTGTACACATAGCGTGATCGTACTGCCATTGGCCACATTACAGTCTATGCCATTGTCCAACACGAACAGAGAACCAAGGCACAGCAAGACAATCATACTCTCAAGAAAGACATGCACACGTGTTCAGGGCTATCACCGTTGGCATAATCACATTTGTCAAATTCGTTGGAACAACTCATCGTAAACATTCGGAAGCAAAAAAGACTTGATGGCAATCAGACGTCAAGACAAAAGATTGCTACAAGAAAGTACGTGATCTTGTTCATGGCTCGAGCTGCGGGCCATGAGTTTGGTCGATAGTTGAGGAAGGAGCAGTCACCTGCACTTTCTCCTCATAGAACCATTTGATGTACCTCGAGAAGATATCCACATGAGCTTTCCTCCGTCGTGTATTTCCTCTTCTGTATCATCCCCTCTCTTACAATCTCCTCTTATACCATCTCTTGTCTTGTGCCATCTCTTTTGATACTATTCCTTCTCTTATACTGTTTTCTTTAATACTATCTCTTGTTATATTGTCTCCTTCTATACTGTCTCCTCTCGTACCCATCGTAACCGTCCGCTACTACTCAAACATGCTTCCCGCCTCACAACCCATCTATATCGAAGACTCAGCATCGAAGCCCGGAACTCCCATCAAAAGTCCACCTCGCAAGAATTCCGGCCGAGCTGAGAAACAATTTGCAATACCACAAGACGACGAAGCCTCAGCCGCTAACGATGATGAAACCTTGGCCTCGACTGATGAGTGGGCGACCAAATGGGCCGAGACTCTCAGAAAGCTCCATTTTTGTCAGATGAGTGACAAATACGCCGCCGCAATGTCAACAAGAGAAGGAGAATGGGACGTGGACAGGGACCTGCAATTCGCGATGGTCACGTTATTCCCATGGACCAAGGAGTTGATTTCATCCTCAACTCGACCAACAATCTCGTGGCTCAAGGAGAACGCCCAGTGGATTGACACCAAGGCTCCGGGTGTCTATGCCTGTGCGGCAATCAAAAGAGATCAGGAAGGCCGCATTATCACCATCGTCCTGAAGGTTGGGTGTGCATGGTCCGTTGATGCTGGTATGAAGTCAAGAAAAGCACAGCATTTGGACAGCAGACTGTCCAAGGAATGGTAAGTGATGCTCTACAGTCACATTGGGCTCGAGATTGACAATATCGAGTNNGCCAATGAGGGAAGCACCTTCCATCAGTTCGTCCAGTCGACCCTCCCGTCCGAGACACTTGAGCTCAGATGGTACACCTTAGCAATGGGTAAACCATTCGTCCGAAACACACAAGAAGACGAGTATCTGGCCGCCAGGTTTTACCAATTGGAGGCGATGCTTGCAAGCTCCCTCGGCGCCCTCCACGAAAAAAGCGCCGACTACAAGTTCCGTGCCCTGCAATGGTGGCCATTTGACGACCAGTCCAACGAAGAGCTGCCCTGGGCTGGAGGCGACTCGCACTGCGCGCTACGCGATAGTTGGTCGAATCGATCAAACATGCTCAATGAGGACGAGATTGCTGAACGCAAGGCTACTTACACCTTTCGCGAGGGCATGCGACAGAGGGAGCAGTACCCTTTCAACATCGAGCATGATAATTACCTTTGCACCATTGATGGGTGTCAGAGAGGCTTGCCCGGCTAGGGCTTCGGCCACTCTCAACCACTCCACTCTGATCTGGAATGGTATGACTCAGACGAGAACATCGCCTCTATCTCTGCACCATCGAAGGGTGTGAAAGAGTAAGATCAGGCAATAGGATGCCTCTCTTCTTCAACACATCAACGGGCACAACCATGTCTCATCCAACTCCCTCCTCTGCAGCTATTCCAGCCGTGGCAGATCGCAGTCCGGAAAAGGCTTCAAGGCAGCCCAAACTCTAATCTGCCATCTTGACAACCACGAAAGAGGCGTCGCGATTTCCGAACTGCTCAAGAAGCATACTCGCACGAAGCGCATCGACCCATGAGGCTCACACAACAGGCCGAGAGATGGACTTGTGACACGAGTGATGAGATTGCTCTAGGAAGTGAATGGTCCGGGAAGCTGAAACGACGACTCTCCATGGATATCGCTGCCTTCACGGAAAGTGCTGTGAATATCTGAAGCCGTAACATTGATACCCCTTGTTCCCAGGAAGGACGAGGAAGCCACCGCCGAACATGTTGCCATCGAGGCAAATCGCCACCGGGCCATTGGCCAGATCAAGCCTACTCATCAGGGCTGGTTCCTTGGCCGCCGCTCTTGAGAGCACGGGAAAGTTTTTGCTGGTTGCTAAAAAGAATTAAAGATGATTGTCGTCCTCATCCATAGCGACGAACGAGTAGCCAATCACAGAGACGAGCAGGACAGGTTCCTAAAGCTGGACTGAGGCGTTGGGATCTCCATTCTGGGAAGCAATTGTGCGTTGTTACAGTTCAGGATGCTGTTGTATGTCACGGTGCGAGAAGAGACTGTGCCAGCCTTAATCGTGAACGACTCTCCGTGGACATTATTCCCCTCTCGAGACCATTCTGTATCTCAACAGCTTTGACATAGTCAGTATCTGGCAAACGGAGAAGGATTATGGAATGAGCATCTACTGACCGAAGCTCTTCGACAAACCAAAGGTTCTCCGTGGCCATCACTCCCTTCCAGAAACTACTGTATATTCCAACAGCAACAATCAAGACTGTGATTGGCAAACGGGGAAGAACTATGGTACTAGTACCTGCTTACTGACGCTCCGGAAAAAGAGACTCCGTCGCTCTTCGAATGCTGGATTAAACCCCAATGAGCTGGGGGAAGTAGAGAATGACTTTCTGGCACGCTGACCTGACGATGGCATCGGCCTAAGACCGTGTATTGGAAGATTGTACTCTGCACGGGTCGGCAGAATTGGCTTACCGCATGTATCTGGGACACGCATACTCCTTGACGATCATGTTAAAGTGGTGCTGGAAGACTGTTCATCTAGGCAGTCGGAAACGATGAGAAGCACTAACCAACCAAGTGAAAGCTTGCCACTACCAACCAAGTCCCGAATGAGCACTAACAGAGAGAGAAAAGTAGAGTATAATAAGAACATTTGATTCGTATTAGAGAAGTTGGTATCAAGGACTAGTTTGTAACAAATGAAAATCTCCTACAACGAAAGTCATGACTCGTAGGGGGTCCGAGTACAAATACATCAGAGATGCTTTAGAAGTTGGCAAAGGCGGCACCGATGGCACCGAATAGAGCAGCACCGCCAACAGCGCCGGTCGCAAAGGCATTGGCAGCACCCGTGGAGCTGGCAGCACCAGTGGTAGCACTCTTCTGAGCAGGATTGGTTGTGCTGGGGGTGGCCTGGCCAGAAGTGAAAGGTACGTCCGATGCCTTAGTGGTGACGCCAGCGAAGGCTTGAGAAGTGCTTGAGGACGATGCAGTCTCAGTAGCGTTGTGTGCGACAGTGTTGTTGGGATTGAGGACTCTGTCGATGACCTGGATGACACCGCCGCTGAACAAGATATCGGGAGTAACGATCTTGGCGCTGTTGACATAGTAGCTGCCGTTGATGTTTTGGAGAGTGAGGTTGCCTCCGATGAATGTGGGGACCGAAGTGCTACCGTTCATGATGTCGGCGCTGTAGAGGACGCTGTTGTTTACGACGTGGTAGCCCAGAACCGAGATGAGCTCAGAAGCGGAAGCGTTGGCCAGGGCAGAGCCGACAGCTTGGAAAGCGTCGTTGTTTGGAGCGAAAATTGTTACGTCGTGGAGACTGCTTAGGGTGGATGTCAAGTTGAGCTCCTGAGCTGCACCAGCAAGTGCCGTCAGGTTCGAGTTGGTAAGAGTGGAAGAGAGATTTCCAGGTATGGTAAGAGTGCCATCAACGATGTGGATGACACCACCAGTGAAGTTGAGGTTCCCAGATGTAACCGAGACGTTGTTCTTGAGGCCACTGAAGAAGGTGGCTGTGTTGTTGACCAGAAGAGCTTCAACGACTTGTCCTCCAGTGACGTTGGAGAAGGCAGGGTTGGTTAAGTGAGTGTGAGGGAAGGCGGATGTGACATTGTTGAGCTCAGAGGACAAGATGGTGCCGTTCAGAGTGTGGTAGCTGATCAACGCTTGGACAAGCTCAGAGGTGACAGCAACACCAGAGCTGTTCAAGCGAGACAAAGCTTCGTTGCTAGGAGCAAGGAGGGTAATGTTTCTCATGTTGCCGACACTGCTCAACAAATTGAATTGCTGAAGCAGCGTCCAGAACGAGTTGAGCTGCTGGTTTGCGAGAGGGACGGTGCCGTTCGTCGACGTGGTGATGTTTCCGCCAGTGGTGAGGTTACCACCTTCTGTGGTGTTCTGTGCCGAAGCAACAGATGCTGCAAGAGCGAAAGGAGCAATCTTTTGGAAACGCATGTTGGAAGATGACAGCGGGGAAATGGAAGCTGTGGTATGAATGAGAATAACAGTAGGTCTATCGGTCGACTTGCTCGAAGGTAGAAGAGGGGCTTATATCTACTTTTTCTTGGTCGAGAGCTCGACTTGGCTGAGTTGGCTAGTTCTTGGCTGCCCACGGATCATGCAGCTCGTATGGGAGCCGTTGCGCGTGACAAACCATAGCGGGACCTGCGGGATCAGTGGCAAGGTTGGAGTCGCCGGGTATACCACGCAACATATCCTAAGGTTCGTTGCTAACAGGACGTGCAGCGACCCAGCTCTTCGTAGACCCTGGGAGGATTTTGGTTCACAGCTTCTAGGCCTCTTGGATCTATCCGTTCTGTGGAGATCTTCATGCATGTTCGAGATTCACCTCACAGTCCTCTCGTTCTGTAAAGCACCAGAACAACAGAGTCAAGTCCGCACAATCCGACTTGGATCTGTCTCGAAGGACCAGGAGACTAGAAAAACTCATGTCACATCATCGTGCAGAGCAGGAAGTCGAGACGCACCCCACAAAAAGGCTAAATCTGGAGGATGTGGGGAGCTGCTGCTCGACGATCGTGGAGGAACATGCTTTTAACATAAAGATCGGACGAAAAGCAGCAGAACTCTTTTTGTGGTATCGATGAGGCTGTGAGACGCGTAAGCTGGCTTGTCCACTTCGAGTCGATATAGGCTTGATTGACGGAAAACTGATACATGTGCTAGCCCAAGTTGATTGCCTTGATTCTGCACTTGGAAGCAGTTAGACATTCTGGTGTGGTGGAGGGGGATTCTGCCAAGCGAGGGCGCTGTATGATGAAGTCATGATCTGGCTCCTTCAGGAGTCAGGAGTTGTGAAGGAGCCAAACGTGAGAGGTCAAGCACTTCGTATTCGCAGGTTCAAGAACGATAGAACGCGGATTATTGGCAGAAAACCAATCGAACGAGAGCACGGCGTTTTTATGCCGATGTACTGCGTGGATTGGTATCGTATCGCCTCATAGATCGCAATCTCAGCTTCTCGCTTGTGGTAGCTTGGAACTTCCTGAACATATCTCTCAGGATGGAACAACGTCTACTGGACTCATAAGCATTCTTTCGAGTGCTCTGGCGTATTCGGGATCACAGCCGCTACCACCAATGACTTTTGCAAGACCAACGCCCCTGATGTTTTCAAATAGCTTCAAAGTGCTGTCGTCTCCGTAGCCGTAGGCTGGTTGAAAGTATTCAATTACCAACTCTTCAGCACCAGAAAATGCTTGCTTGAGCTGCTCTGCATTGAATCTGGCATCCACATCGAGCCTGAGATAGATATACCACCGCTTTATCTTCCAGCGGCCGGGACCTTCTGTGATTGGTTGCCGCGGGCTCATGAGGTATGGCAGTGCAGTAAGTAGCGATGGGTGTGATGCGAATTGATTCGCGCCATACAGGATGCTTGCCGCTTCGTCGTGAATCTGCCGACATGTTCGCAACAGTGCTGGGCATAGATCGAGTGGTGGTAGGATGTAGTCTGAGCATAGCCCCCGTGTTGCAATGCGACGCGACTGCTTCACATGAGTGGGAGCTGTGAGTAAAAGCGCATAGATGGTATTGCGCAGTTCAGCCGGCAGCGTGAGGAAGGCAGGAGTGCGCTGTGCCATAGTCGACTCGGAAGTCATCGTGTCGACGAGTAGCAATGTGGAAGGACGGGGGCGACATTGAGACGACACAACGGCAGCTTGCCATGATCTAACATGGCTCTGGCGGACAGATGGAATGCGACTTTGTTGGTACGTAGAGATAAGAAGCAATCTGTATCGCGATTAGCTTTCGATGATGTGCTGTATTCTACGCGGAATGCGTAATACTGTAGCAAATAGCGACAACAACCCATGATGTCTCTCTCCATCTCGACCTCAGGCCGTCTTCTTTCATTCGGATCACATCGTCAGAATTTGCGGCAGAACAAGTCGTTTGCAGGAGGCTGGTTACTCAACATTCGGTGATTCCAGACAGAGTAGTGGACACTGTCGCCGGCCGTCGTGAGGTGCGGCAGAAACATGTTGCATAGCCACATGCAAGAGATTACCGCCAGAGCGAGGCAGGATGCTTGATAGGTCTGGTGTAAGGTAGAGGTTGGTACTTTGCGACATATGGTTCTGATGCGGGTTTGGACGATGGTATAGGTTTGCTGTGTTGCAGTTCACGTAGCGAGTCGTGACGCAGGTAGGCGAGAGCGTGTAGCAGGGCATCGCGCAGTGAGAGAGGGGGCTCCGGACAGGTCCCTCGGTCGCCCAACACAGGGCTTTAAACAAGTGAGTGGTCGAAGCCGTCGAGATGGAAGCTTGTTGTGTTGTTTCATGTGGTTCACTCTTTCCAATTCTTTTCGCCTTCCTTCCTCAACGCGACCACACCAGAAGAAACGTGCGTGCATTTGCCCTATCACCTCTAACCCTGCTAACAACCTCAGCACAATGGCGCCAATGTCATGCGATCAGCGGGAACAGGATGCGGCTGCCTTGATTCTCCTCCAAATGGCAGACCCGAATTGGGACTCGCCCGGCTCTGAGGAACTCGAGCAGGAGAAGGAAATCGAGGACGAAGAAGCTGAGCAGAAAGCTCAAGACGTCGCACTCGAAACAGTGGTCAAGCCCAAAGCCCTTGCCTTCAACACTCCTGCCTTCGTCGCCGGCTCCACCAGTGCTTCGCAGTCCAGCTCAGCCCCTAGCACGCCTTCTTCTACATCGTCCTTCTCGGTCAAAGGCGCCTCCTTTGCAGAAATCGACGCACACCAACAGACAATCCAGCAGATTCGCGCCGCATTGACACCCAAACAACGATCAGCTCTCAACCTCAAGGAGTACTCTCACTACGACCTCGCCGGCAACAAGATCGGCACCCTGTGGCAGACTAGAGCTGAACAACGTACATTCCGTCAGGCCCAGAGAAGAAGAGGTGCAAAGACTGTTCGTGCTGGTACTACCAACGGAATGAAGCTCAACAGACGTTGTTAAGCTGTCGTCTTGCTGTCCGAGACGTCTTGTCAACGAAGAACCCCTTTTGCTTTGTTCATGTATCGAACCACTTGTTTTTCCTTTGTCCGTCTTCTCTGATTGCATTGTCAAGTCACAAAAACCACTTTTGATATTAAGAAAACCCCACAAAAACACCCCTAAATGTACACTCTGAAGCAGAGCCTCGGACGCAGGTGCATCGTGCCGAGCAAATTGATTATTAACAACAAGCGGTACCTCGACATGCACATCCTCTGACTGTCGACAACAAGAACCATCACAGCGGTGGTCGAGGAACAAAGCAGCAGCACAAAGAGCCTCGACACAAAGAGACAATCGCTCGAGTCCAACAATGGCTTTGTTCATCGCGTATCGAATGGTGGTAAGCTCTCTATCATATCGCATTTTCACACAACACCGCCCGTAAGAACATCCATACGCGTAGCAACAACACGCTCTTGATGCCATGGCGCCGCTCCGCCAGCTTTTGTACTTAATGGCCTTTTCTCTTCGTCTCAATTCTCTTTTTGACACAACACAACAACACACTTACTCTATGCAACATGTCTTCAGGAACTGGTCAACACCAGGACGAGGACGAGCAAACTCAACAACAGCCCCTTGATCCGAACGAGGAGGTCGACATGGCCGACTTGACTCTTGATTCTCCATCCAACACAACTACCTTCGACGCCATTGACGACAGCACCACTCAACGATCACCTCTCGACATCGGCTTTGGATGTGGTTTCGACATGAACGACCTTTTCCTTTCACCCGAATCCTCAGTCAGATACACTTTGCCGCACGGCTGTCTTCCTCAGCCTCCCCCTCAACAGACATACTCGGAGCCTACCATCTACCCAACGCCTAGCTCGGTCTTTCCTGCAGCAAAGCCAGAAGCCTCATCACCCAAGACCCCTACCAAGCCCAGCAAGAAGCTTCGCAAGTCCAAGACCAACAAGAACAACAACAATGACAACAACAAGGAGAAGAAGGAGTTCCCTTGCCCCTACGATGGCTGCAAGCGCATTTCCACTTGTCAGTCGAACCTTGATGAACACATTCTCACACACACGAAGGCCAAGAATTATCCTTGCGAATACAGAAGCGAGAGAGGTGTCATCTGCAACAAGAGCTTCGCCCGTCCCTGGGGTTTGAGTCGCCACTACGCCGAAGTCCACAAACGTGATATCCGCGTCCTGAAGAAGAACTCTGTGAGAGGTATAACTGGCGATGGCAGTCCGAAGAAGACTCAAAAGGGAGCAGACTTGCGTGATCAGAAGCCTCTTCCTGCTGGTCCTCCCCAACTCTCTTGGCTGGCAACACTTCTTCTCCTCGCGCTCCATTCATGCCTCTTCCAACCGGTATCCACACCGGCATCAACATTCCTAGCTTTGAGGGACCTTACTGGTGTGCCTACTGCTCTATCTGCTTCGACGAAGGCAATGACCTGCTGGAGCACAATCACATTGAACATGGACTCAAATCAAGCTCTTACTGCTCTTGCAAGCTGTGCAACGCTGAACACTTTACCGTCGACGATATGACTGACATCCACCCAACATTCCCAAACTTCAATGAAGACGGTCTCGACGACATGGATGTTGAGTCTGAAGACGATGACATGAAGATCGACCCGAGACTCCGCGACCCCAGGGTCAGCAACTTCGGCCACGACTTGGATATGTTGAATACCTCCTCCTACACCATCCAAAACTTCTCCAACTCGGCTGCCTCGCCCACCTCGCCTGCTCCTCTCGTCACCCTATCACCCACCTCTTCCGTCTCTTCTGCTTGCTTCTCAGACCAAGGCTCAGACATCCTCACTCCAACGCAGTCTCCTCCCGACCTCGACACCGAGATGATAACTTCAACTTCTGATGACGCTGTTACTTACACCACAGATGGCTACCCTATCCACAACTATGCTGATTTGTCGTCGACTGCCTGGTACTCTACCTTTGATGTGGATGACACCAACATGAGTGCCGATCAACGCGCTACCTTCGGATTTGTTCGTGGTTGGGAAGGGATGTAGAGCTTTGATACATTTCTCTACACGCGCTTACATCAAACATCATGAGTTTTCTTCTTTCTTTTGTTTCTTCTGCACGGGATCGGGGTCTGGAGGGCGTTATTGGAGTTCAGGATGGTAGAGAGGGTCTTTCCAGCATTGCATGGTTAAAAGGGGAAGAGGAGAGAGGTATCCAGACGACAGGCAACGGCATCGCAAGCACACAAAGCATGAATTATACCCAACAGCATAGACTAGATGACAGCATTGAATCAACGAAACATACACTTCAAGACCCTCTTTTCCGCATCAGTATCCATCACACACGAATTCCCAGCTGCAATGATAGCGGAAACTATATCAATAACAAGGCAGACCCCTTTCCAGGTTGCGATAGTGTCCATTGAGATCGAAGCTGTTTCAATGATGATTCTTGTATCAGATGTCCTGTATACCGTTTCTCGTGTAGTGTCTCTGCCTTGCAGCCCATCAAGAAAAGCAGACGTAGAAGTAAAAAGAAGAAAAACAAAAACGCCATCGCTAAATATTCTTTGCAGCCCCCAAGACCCTTGCCCAATAAACCCTCATTTCCATCGCGAGAAAAAGACACATCACTGCCTTTGTTACTCCTTGATCTCTTCAATGTATAAAGCTCAAAGTTTACTCCTCACCCCCTCTAATCTAAACCTCACATCCTTGAGCACCTTACTAACCGGCCTCCACTCCTCAAACTCATTGACCAGATTCTGAACTTCATCCTTCATGTCCCCTTTCACAATTTCTTCTTCAAGAATGCCTCGCAATGCCCAAGGTAAGAAGTAAGGATTGGCATTACTGCCACTAGCCGGGACTTCAAAGTCTGCAAATGTGGGAGTGATGCCAGAGATGGAAGATGCAGAAACACTGCCTCTGCGTAGGGAATTTGCGGCGCTGACGGAGGAGGGAGGGCCAGCTCGGGAAGAACGAAGGGAAGTTGCGTCAGGGGTAGAGGAAGCGGTGGTGGGTAGGTCGGTGGTCTCGAGGCAGAAGCGGAGGGCGAGGGTGTAGACTGCTGGATCGTCGTAGATGCGGGAGTGGCCTTCGCCGCCGTAGAGAGAGCCTGCTAGAGGGAGGGAGAGTTCGCGGATGAGGCCATGGTCGGAGACACCCAAATTACGGAGTTTAAGGGCGAAGGCGACGAGGTGCGAGAGAAAGTCGGGGGCATGCAGGCGACCGTCGACGAAGACGGCACGATAGACGTAGGGATGGGTGAGGGTTGTGAATGTGGAAGANCTATGACCAAGAATTAGTAAGAGGATGACAGAAGGAAACCGACGGAAAATACATACCTCAAGAGAGACCAGCTGATCGTCGATGCTACCACAATATGTTATCCTCACGCCATGTCTCAACACACCATCGAGAGCAGTTTTGTATTCGGTACTGACTCGACTGTCCTGTCTGCTAAACTCGAACAACTCGGCCGCGGCGCCTGCACCTAGCCATCTACTTTTGTAGTCTGCGAAAGGCCCCAGGTTGACGCCTGCCATGGCGCATATGCCGATTTTGGCATGAGGTGAAAGGCAACCTAGTTGAAGGAGTTTGTGAACTAGCATGATGGCGACTGGGACACCTTGAGAATGGCAGGCGACGAGGATGAGATCAGCTTGGCGAAGATGAGACAGCCAGTTCAGCATGAGTTTCCACAGAGTAGCGACCCGGTCAGCGATGAAGCCTTCGCCCTCCAGAGCGACTGTTTCGATCTCGCAAGGCGTGTCGGGCTGATTGGTTTGGACCCAATCACGGATAGCAGTCGAAGCATAGTTGGCAAAGCGGATCGAGGTTCCTGTAGGTTGACCGAGCACCTTTTGGATCAGGGGTGCAGGGAAATAACCGTGCACGCCAATGGCGATGGCATTCTTTATCTTTGGTGGAGTTGGTGTGATTGAAACGTGCTTGGGAGCGGTGGGCATGTCGATGAGACGAAGAGTAGAGGCGACGTACGTGGTGAGACGCTCGCGGTACGAAGGGATATATTCAGGAGAGTAGCTTTCGTCGAAGCTGGGTATAACGAGATTGGAATGTGCTTGAGGCTTTGGTGTTCTTGCATCGATCGCATTCTTAGTCGTGTCAGGTGCTTTGATGGCGGCGTCTTTCAGGGCAACCTGAGGCTGACTAGTTGACGAGAGTGATGTGGAACTGCTGTTGTTGATGGTTGAAAGATTGAGCTTGGTTGGCTTTGCTTTTTGCTGGCGCTGCTCGTTGAACTGAGCAGCTTCGGGATGAGATTGCGAGGGTGTGTCTGCAACGGCAAGTTCTCCGACCTGTCGCTGTGTACCGTTGGGGGTTTCGCTCTCGTCTTTTCCTTGAGCTCGCGACCAGAAAGCCCAGCCTGACGACTTGTTTTGCGGCGTCTCTTCTCTTTGTCTGATTTCTGGTGCTGTGGGCTTCTTCGTTGGTGTGTCGGCTGGTTGGGTCGCTTGCTCTTCGATAGCCGCAGGTCGATCAGGCGATGCGTCCTTGGAGGGAGTTGTGGCTGTCTCCTGCTCTGCCTGTTGCTGGTTCTGAGCATTACTCCATAGGCCAAACCAGCTGCGCGACGATGCAGTGGTACCCACACTACGGATAGAGTGCATTGTATCATTGATGTTGATGGGCTCGACATTGAGACTAGTTTCCTGGGTAGGTTTTTGTTCTGGCGTCGAAGGTAACGGGGTGCTCGAGGCTTCTTTACGATCATCTTGTGCTTTCAACATCCTAGAGTGATCAGTGTATCCATCAGGACGTGACCACCATCCTCCAAACCAGCCCGAGGCAGCATCGTGTGTGGGCTCTGGCGGTAATGGAGCTTCAGGCGCGGTTTGTGGTGTCTCCTGATTGGTTACATCGGCTGGAAGAGGCTTCAGATCTGTCGAAGAGGATGTAGTGGCAGCGACTCTGACATTTGCATGATCTGTCTTGATTGCGACTTCATTGACACTCTCGTCTGGCTTTGAGTTCTTGTTGTCGGTAGTGTCATCTTCTTGTTCCTTGATGGGAGCTTTCTTAAAGTCGACACTTGATTTCCTGATATTGTCGGAGAAGAAGGCAGGCTTGTCGGTCTTGACATTGCTGCCTGTGGCATTGATAGACTCTGACGAGATTGTTGGGATTGACTTGGAACTGCGTCGCAATGAAGGATGGACGAAGCGGCCTCCAGATTTGGGAGTGTCTGCTAGCGACTCGTTGGTCGCGCCTCCACTTACTGAGATGCTTTCATGGGTGGCTTGGGCGACAGGGTTGGCTTTTGAGCGCCATGAAGCACCCTTGTACCAGCTGCCTCGCTTGTCGGCTGTGGATGTGGATGTCGTTGGAGAGTCCGAGGCATTGAATGGCTGTTTCGCATCAGGCAGAGCTTTATCCGTATCGCGCTGCTGTTGAGAGTTGCCCTGGGTGGTTGATAGTGGTGGGACTTTGTGCGGTAGAGTATTGTCAGACTGAGTACTGTCGGGGTCGTCTTGAGCAGTAGATGGCTTGTTCTTTTTNCGCCGTGGACCCATGGTGACGGCGAATACGTGGATAAGATTAGGTACGCGCAACTATGTGAAAGGAGCAGAGGGTAGCGACATCAAGACAGCGAGCAAGTTGTCTCGCACTAAAGTCCCAGCCATGTCAACTGACAATGCCAACATCTGACAGTGACGATCGTCATTGGCAGAATCCCGAGTCGCGTCCGATGCTGGCAGGCGGTGACTGACTCGCATCACGGAGATTCCATCTTCTCCGCCCGCTAGCGGCGAAAGATTCCAGCCCGCGCCTGCCAAACGAGACTTTTTCTCGCTGTCACGCTCTTTCTGTATCGCGTCGACCGCTGTAGAAAACAAGCAGCAATGGCGATTGAGAAGAAGGTGCGCATTCTCGACTATACTACTGTCATGCTTTCCGGCTAACGCATTCCTTCCAGCACGGCAAAGGCCGTTTGGACAAATACTACTACCTCGCCAAAGAAAAGGGCTACCGCTCGCGTGCCGCCTTCAAGCTCGTTCAGCTCAACAAGAAGTACGGTTTCCTGCAAAAGTCAAGATGTCTGATCGATTTGTGCGCTGCTCCCGGTGGTTGGCTGCAGGTCGCCGCAGAGACCATGCCCATCAAGTCCTTGATCGTTGGTGTTGATCTGGCTCCCATCAAGCCCGTCCCCAAGACAATTACCTTCCAAGGAGATATCACCACCGACAAGACTCGCGCTATCATCCGTGGACACCTCAAGACCTGGAAGGCAGACACTGTCATTCACGATGGTGCTCCCAATGTTGGTACTGCCTGGGTTCAGGATGCTTTCAGTCAGAACGAGCTGGTCTTGCACTCTCTGCGCCTCGCATGCGACTTCCTCGGTCCCGGTGGAAACTTCGTCACCAAGGTCTTCCGTTCCAAGGATAGCGCAAAGCTCGAGTGGACTTTCAAACAACTCTTCGACAAGGTCGAGCAGACCAAGCCCCCATCATCGCGCAACGTCTCGGCCGAAACCTTCTACGTCTGCCGTGGCTACAAGGCTCCCAAGAACCTTGATCCCCGTTTCCTCGACCCCCAGTACGCTTTTGCCGAAGTCAAGGATGCTGTCCCCAACAACGAGGCCAAGGTCTTCAATCCTGAAGTCAAGAAGAGAAAGAGAGAGGGTTATGACGAGGGTGACTGGACCCAATACCACGAAGTCCCCGTCAGCGAGTTCATTCAGACAACCGATCCTATCGCTATTCTTGGTGGCATGAACAAGCTTACCTTCAACCAAGCCGGAAACGGTGACATTGCTCTGGCTACCATCGACAAGCTCCCTGAGACGACCGAAGAAGTTCGAATCTGCTGTAACGATCTCAAAGTTCTCGGAAAGAAGGAATTCCGCCTGCTCTTGAAATGGCGTCTCCAAGTCCGCGAACGCTTCGGATTCACCACAAAGTCCACCGATCACAAGAAGGCCACTGAGGCCGAGAAGGAGGCCAAAGCAGCGGAAGATGACGAGGAAGCCGCTGAAGTCGAAAGCATGGACGAGGAGATGAAGCTACAGGAAGAGTTGCAAAAGATGAAGGACATGCAGAGCAAGGACAAGAGAAAGCTGCGTCGTAAGGAGAACGAAAAGAAGCAGAAAGAGATTGTCCGTCTACAGATGAACATGACCACACCCATGGAAATCGGTATGGAACAGGCTGGTCCTAATGGCGAAGACGCCATGTTCCAGCTCAAGGCTGTTGACAAGGCTGGTCTTACCGGAAAGCTGCAAAAGGGCAAGATGCAAGTCGTGCCTGTGACCGAAAAGAAGGATGACGAGTTCGACCTCGAATACACCGATGACGAGCTGGGCGATGGCCTCGAAGGCGAACTCGACGTGATGTACAACCAATACCAGGAGAAGCGCGAAGCAAGAGACGCCAAAATCCGCGCCAAGAAGGCTAGAAAGGAGCGCAACGAAGATGGCGAGTTTGAGGGCTTCTCAAATGATGAGGAGGCTGACAGCGATGATGACGCCCCTGCTATCGAATACGACAGCGACTCTGACGAAGACGAGGAACCTGGGCAACTTATTACTGACCTCGACAACTCTGCCGCCCCTGCGAACGGTCTTACAAAACGTGCCGCCAACTTCTTCGACCAGGATCTCTTCAAGGACATTGACGGACTTGACGGACTAGAAGACGAAGAACCAGTCAAGGATCTCGACAGCGGCATCGAAATGGACTCTTCCTCCGCCTCACCACCCCTCAAGGCCGAGAAGCCTGCAGCCAAACCCGCAAAGATCGAGAAACCTGTCAAGGAAAAGAAAGAGAAGGTCAAGAAGTCAAAGGTCCCCACACCCGCCGAACTCGCCGCCGAAGAAGCAGCATACGAGACAGATGACTCCTCAGATGGCGGCTTCGAAATCGTCAAAAACACACAATCCCAATGGGACAAGGACGAAGACACCATTCCCCTCAAGAACGGACGTCCCAACATCGACATCATTACCGCTGAAGCAATGACACTCGCCCATCAACTCGCTACAGGCCAAAAGACAAAACACGACCTCTTAGACGACAATTTCAACAAGTACTCATTGCGCGACGTCGACGGCCTACCCGAATGGTTCCTCGACGACGAAGGCAAAAACTCCAAACCCCACCGCCCAATCACCAAAGAAGCCGCCGCCGCAATCAAAGAAAAGATGCGTGCCTTCAACGCCCGCCCCATCAAAAAGGTCCGCGAAGCAAAGGCCAGAAAGCAACTCCACGCAGCTCAGAAACTCGAGAAACTCAAGAGGAAATCTGCACTGCTGGCCGAGAGCGAGGATGTGTCTGAAAAGGACAAGGCAAACAACATCTCTAAGATTATGGCTAGAGCTGGCAAGGCGAAGAAGAGAAAGCCTGTGCAAGTTGTTGTTGCGGGTAAGGGTAAGCATCGCGGTGCTGGTAGACCTGGTGGTGTCAAGGGTAAATACAAGATGGTGGATGCACGTCTCAAGAAGGATGTTAGAGCTGAGAAGAGACTGAAGAAGAAGATGGGCAAGAAGTAGAAGGGCAAAGGATCTAGGAAAGCGATATGGTCTAGGTGTTTTTAGGCATTGTAGATATATTGGGCAACTATGGAGTTTTGTGTTTTCTTGCTCAGTCGTTCTTTCCTTTCAAAACATTCTGAGTTTGATGTGTCTTGTACTATCTTCGAATTTATTGACCCAACATTCATCCATCAACATTGTTGGAACAGTCATACTGTACCACTATTGTTCGTCATTGCTGCCGACATTCATCTTCATGTTCATTACAGAGAATCCATACTTCAAAGGACCTAAGATCGTATGTCTCTTCAGATGACATTGCCTCTACCCTGTCATCAGCCAATAGGATGAACTCGACGCCGACAGTCTTGATGAAGCATTGTGATATTCATATCGGAAACCAAAGCTCGAGTAATGTGAAAAACACTTCGACTCCTTTGGGTGTCTCATCTCCGTAGTCTGCTGCCTCGGATGGTACATGACTGATGTTACCCAGTATTTTGGGACACAACTCATGCTTGAAAAGCAAGTCTAGGCCGGGACCAGAATGATCTTTCCGCATGAGCCATTCCTTTACAGACGTAATTCCGATCATCTCCCAATGAGATTCAGCGTGCGCGAAGGGCCATCGAAAGTCACAGTGGTATTGAGTTCGAAGTTGTGTCCATGGAGAGCGGTCGTCAAGCTCGATACTTCTGAAGAGCCAAGGGGTGTATTCGTGTCTCCGCGTTGTGTGGAATGGACATCGCGTGGTGGAAGTCGATGCTGTGTACTCATAGCAGAGAGCTTGCTTAAGTCGCTTGACTGGACATGTTTTTCGACCTTCGGAGTCCTAGCTCGTCCTCTCCACAGCCTACAAGGACCTTCGGTCTGGGCTTCAAGTCGTCCATCACTTCCAACCAACCTTGGTACTTCTCGCGCATTGTTTGCCAGGTCTCCTCCCACCAAACCCTTCTCTCTTCTTGCCATGCCTTTTCACGGTCTTTTACACTTTCCATACCCGCAACGCGACATGAGTCAAGCACTCTGTCAGTTCCTCGTTGACGGCCCTCCCAGTCAAGCTCCTTGCTCTTCTCAAACTCTGCCCAAGAAGCTCGTTCGTCGCCAACGACGACATTCATAAGCATCACATCTTCGTCTTTCGGGNNCGCAATAGTCCAAGACTCTCCCATAGGTGAGAAAAGCGGAGGACCCTTTGTCGGCCGCTTGAGCTTCACTCGCAGGACCATGACACCAGTTCGTATCCGTTCGGCGTTGGCAACCATGATCAGCCAGTCCATGAGTTTTGCGAGTAGATCTTCATCGGGTTCTTCAATTGCGAGGCCCATTCTCCGGACGAGATGAACCCTGTCTCCAATGCCCTTGATGAACAGACTCACAAACTTGCAGGCTGAGGCGGTCAGGCTGGTCACAAGTATATCTTGCACAAACTCGTTGTTGCTCAAAAACACATCGAAGCCTTCATTGGAGATTTGATGGCAGGTGTTTAGTAACGGGTGGTCGCGTGCTGTTATGGCCAGAACATCCGGGTATCTCATTTTCTGTGCAGCTGGCGAGGGTCGTAGACAAAAGTCGTGAATGTAGTATGCTGGTCCACAGCGTGCGAGCTTGTGACGAGTTGGACCAAGGCCGAGGAAAACATAGCTGTATATATGGTCTCGTATCTCCACGGGCAGAGAGAGAAAGAGTGAGCTGTTCATGTTTGATGCGCTGTAGGAATGGGTGTCAGGAGTAGCAAAAAGGCTGAGACACGATGTTGATGGAGTACAGCTGCTCATATATCAGCTTTAATCGATTGACTTCCTTCCTACCGAGAACTCAAATCATCTTATCGACGGTCAGGCGCCTTCTAACACTTGTCTTACATTGACGGATGGAGCAATTCATCGACGGCTGTCAGATAGAGACAAGTCCAACGGTCCGATATCGATACATGGGGAATGGTCGCACGCAAAGAACACAGCTTGGCCAACACTTTGGGCGAGGGATTGTTAAACGTTCGGCCAATCCCAGACGGTGTGACCAGCAGACAACGGCAAAGTCGAAAACGAACATCAAAAAGCACTATTTGATAGCGAATGATAGGCTGAGAAAAATGCTGGAAAAGCGCTTGACGAAAGTATAACGCTTATACGTAGCGATGAGCAAGGCCATGATGTCGGCCACTCACAAGAGAGCAAAACAAAAGCTGTTCTGAGCTAGGAAAGAGAGTGTTCTCATGACGCGAAGTCAAAAGACGGAGTTCTTTCCTCGGTTCGGCTGTGCTGAGATATTCTGTACGGTCTGCCAAATTCGTCACTCAACGCGTCAACCTGACAAACGCGTCTTCTTCCAGATCTTGTGTCGTTTCGCCGCCGCCGAGTATCTTCTGCTTGCATCAGCTATACCAAACAACTAAACCACTTTCTTCTACACCGTCAGAATCACTGAAGACCTCTCTCTCCGATACCTTGACAAATCTTATCCGAACTCAACAGACCGCACACATCAATCACAATGGCTGAACAAACCCCTCGCATCAACGCCTCATACCTAGAGAACTTCACCCACCGCACAGTCCGCATCTTGGGCAAGGTCACACAACTCAGAGGCGAAGAAGCCACCATCGATGCTGGCGGTCAGATCAACGTGCATCTCAACAGAGTACGTCCTCGCTTTCTTCTCCATCTCCTCTAACCTCTTGGCAATATCGATCACCTGTTTTGTTCTCCAAGAATATATTTCCCGCTTTGTGGTTGTTGTATAGTTTAGCATTCTCTTCAGCTGCGCTCGTTGGACTTGAAGGCTTGTGCTGACTGAAGATAGGAAGCACACTTGACTGTCGACCACGCTGTCGAGATCATCGGCAAGGTACAAGCAGACTTGAGTGTTCGCGTCCTGACCAGCACAGACTTTGGCGAAAGCATCGGTATGTATACCTCTCTCATTTCTTCTAGCTCTTCTGCTCTCTGAGGTCATTCAGACCAAAGACCATGTTTCTTGTGCTCATCAAACACATTCCACTTTCAAACATCCCCTTCCTCTTACATTTATCTTCTCAAAGCCCTTTATTTCAACACAAAGATCATCACGATCGACAACTTCTACATGAAGCTTCCCTCTCTTGATGCATGATGCACTCACTTCTTCATCAACATACCCATCCTCGCTTACTACAGAATAAGCGAAAGGGTTTTGGCAGAGTACATTCAAGCTAACCGACCCTTCCCCGCAGACTTTTCCCTCGCAGATGCAGTGGTCGACGCAACACACCGCCATAATGAGATCTTCTACTCGAAAGAGTAATGCCGTTTGAACCACACAATAAATACTCTTTTCCCCTTCTCGTCCGAGCATGAGAGAATCACACGGAACGTTTCGAACGATGATGGCTGGAGCTGGCAAGACAACCCTGATACAAAAAAAGAGGCTGGTTATGTAAAGGTGCAAAGCTCGACTTTTCTGCACACAAGAGGAAACCCGAGTTTTTCGTAAGGGATGGCAGAAGATAGTACTCTTAGATCATGGATCCAAAAGAGGCTGTAACGTAGCGCATATTGATATAGCTCTGTGACGGTATGAGCATTCCCATACTCGATGAATGATGAGAACGAAATTTTAACATCCAACACTGGCTACCGTGCACTGTCCTCTTCATGAACTCCGTATGCACACACAAAACTATTACAAGGTCACAATGCACGCCAGCAACCTAGAGGACACTATTCTGATTTTGTGATTTATCTGACAATGGCATAGTCCTTCTGTCCTCACTTGAAACCCCATGTTGAAGAAGATAGCAACAGTTTTGGTTCTTTGATCACGCCTCGAAGCCTCTTATACGCCAGAAGCCTTGATATGCTAGACCAAAGTGACTATATCCCAATATCTTCAGCCACCAGTTCTAACTTTTCCGTAGCGGCTTGAGATGACTACTACATCGTAGTTTCTGTCGTTTCTGAAGCATTCATATTGTTATCGTTTTCCTGGTTCCTAGAAAGGTCGAGCTCCACCAACCAGGGTGATTGCTGCGTTTCGGTCTCTGCTCCCTCAATAGCAGCATTGACAAAGAGCGTGTGCATGCCTCTCTGCAGAGTTGGAGCAGTATAACAATAGCCAGTCTGCACTAACTTTCTCAATTTTTCCTCCTTGAGCTTCTTTCCTGCTGGCGAGTCAAATTTACCAGGTCTCAGGGTGACCAGGCTCTCGATGAGCTCCGAGTTATCGTTGTCCATGTCCGTAAAGTGTGATGGAAGGTCACTGCACTCGGTGTCTTGCCAGGTAACCTTTTTTGCACCCCAGGCTTCGTGTATATGTCCAAAGCAATGCATAAGTGGACGAGCTTTGGCTATTGCGCCAAAGAGATCGCTACATCCAACGCGTTGTTTGTTGTGTTTATAGTCAAGTATTCCCTTTGGAGGACCGTGGGTAATCACAATATCGATGTCCTTGCCAATCTTCCAATCATGACCTTCAGTAGGATCGTAACAGAAACCCCAGCTACCAGCTTTCGAGGGGATATATGGACTTGCATAAATTCTCAACAAAGCACCATTGCTGAGCTTGATTTCGTGAGTGCCCTCATCCAAGAATATAATCCCAGCATCGCGTTGAGCGTCCAGTAATGATCTAGCTTCGCCGAAATCGCCGTACGCTTGCTTTACTGCTTTATCTTTATGAGGTGGCTGTAGATTTGCCTCGATCAGCTTCTGCGCAAAGACTGGCGTGTCGAGTGTAAAGTCATGGTTACCGGCAATCACGAGCCTTAGCGGCGCAACGAGGGATTTGAGTAGAGATATGGCTTGTTTGAATTCGTCGAGATTGGATTCTTGGGTGAAATCGCCGCAGTGAATGATGAGGTCCACAGACTCGCGGTGGCCGCTAGCAAGGTTGACGCCATGAGTGTCTGAGATGACGAGGATGCGAGAGGGTAGTTGAGAATCCATGATGGCTTTTTTGTGGAGTGGATCAGACGGACAGGGATGAGAGGAAGATAGATGTAAGAGAGAAGAAGACAGCAGACAGGCAAGTTTCTTGTATTTGATCCATCCTCACTAGAAACGAATTAGCCACGTGTTTGAGCAACTATGAGTACATTCTGTTTCTGATTGGCTCACCTTGCCGCACTCATTGTTCCACATGCTTGTGTTTGCGCCTGGCTAGAGACGAGAACGATTCAGAGGTAGAAACTGGGAATGAGGCTGCGTGGTTGTAACTATGAGATATGTGGACAACCTGTCTAGTTCTCTATTATAAATTCCACAGAGGTCTCGGGTCATGACGTGTACGCGCCAGTTCTAGGCGGAATATCCTCTCGTTCGAGTCCTCATGCCATTACTCCTCTAGTTCGAGTGTAATTCTATTGACCGCATCTTTTCGAGGTGTGGCCTCCTTGAGTGTCTCTGTCCGGAGCGCGACATTTTCGACGACCTCTGTGGACACGTTCGTCGATTGAGGTGCAACTTCTGTGGTTTTTGGCCTTGATGCGAGAGACTTCGAACCTCGCTCTAATTCGTCTTGTTTGGCGATCTCTGACGGTCCAGCCTTTGGTTCATCAGTTGCCTTGGTCGACTTCAATATAACTTCCTTGACTGCTGCTGGCGGGGCGCGTGGAGCAGCTATTGCACCCACGCTTCCCCAGTCAACATTGACCGATTTAGGCACAACCGCCTTGGTCACAGCAGTCTTCCTGGGAGTAGCTTGTGTGACTGGGTCTTTGTACTATGGATTCTCCATGTATATCCTCCGCCCTTCGCCACCTTGAGCCAGTTGGTTCCAGCAGACGTTGACTCTTTGGCCTTGATTGACCAGCTGAAGTACTTTTTGTGCGTTCTCGAGCTCTTTCGGAAGGTTTGCTCGCATTGCCCGGTTGACAACAAGATTATGCGTGGACTCGGGGCCAGGGGGAATATCCGATGCTCGTAACACCAACTCGAGAGCAATGTCGGCATGATTTGCGGCACTCTGTCGATTGGGTTCTGTGAGCGCGAAATACTCATGCATGAACAGTCGTAATTTGAAATCCGAGTGACGACTTGAAAGCAAAACACAAGACGCGTGATGTAGCTCCGCGTCAGTCTTTCCTTGGACCATGTTCTTGACGACGTCCTCGACAGAAGACAGTTGTCCAACCAACTTCAAAAGCAAATCTTATGCTTCTTGCTCCGATATCTGCTTAGTTGCCAATCTAGGGTCTGACAAAAGTAAATCCCGGTACAATTCGGCGTCTTTGTCGATAACGTATTGTAAGAGGAGACGTTTCTTCCTATATTCATGCCATCCTGTGTGAGATATTACGCGTAAGCATGCGTGAGTGCATCCAACCCTGTCGATGGGCTGGGTTTGAGTCTCTCCCCATGACACATGGCGATCATGTGTGGACCGTAATAGGTGCTGTTCGACAGGCTTACTGCAGAATGCTTTCGAGACGCCAGAGGTAGGGCGCTTTCTCTCGGCAGACGAGACGAGCAAAGGCAGGCTCGGGGGTAAGGGCGCGCCAGCAAATCCTTGTGTGTGTTCATTTCCGCACCCATCGTGGCTTTTCGTACCTAGTATTACACGTGTCCGGCACAACAGCCTCAGTTGTGTGTTGCAAACCGTATCGAGCCAGGCGCGGAGTTTATGGGTCGAGAGTCCACCGAGGAAAGTCTCCCTTCGACTGAACAGATACGAATATTGGACAAGAGGGTGCATCGTATGGTGCGAAGGCTCGGGTTTCAGGCAGATATTGGAATACCGTCGAGATAGCGGTCTGAGTCGGGCGCGCAGAGTCCCAAAGCAGTTGCTGAACATCTTCGCTGGGAGAGTAGGACGACAAGCTGAAGAACAATTCTGCTGAAGGTGGATTTCTGTGGCCGTGACTCAGTATCGATGACTGGCATCGTGCGCCGTGTTGAGGCCTTTTGAGTTTGTTGCATATTCAAGTCGCAATTGCGTGGGTAGTCCGCATTGTGCCAGACTTTGCACTCGACCAAAACCAGCATGTCTCAGATGCGGTTCATGCTCTATCAGAAATCCAGGCATAGTTCGCGAATGACTTATCATAGCTCGAACTTGTCCAGTCTCCAAATATCGAATTGTTGGACGTCCTCAAGAGTTGCCAGTGTGACGAGATTCAACCATTCGAGGTTGCCTTCTTCATCCGGCATCTGTATTGCCTTCTCGAGTTTGAAGATAACGTCACCAATGCCACAGTATCTAACATTGACATTCAAACATCTCCAGTACAATGGCTCGGTCCGGGTTCCGTCAATAAGTCCAGCAATTTCGGTCTCTGTAAGTAGTCCAGCACTATTCGCGTTCGATAAGATTCTGACAGCGCGTAATTTGACAAAGAACGGTGCGAGTAGAGTCATCACTTCACCAGCATCCTTGTCCAGTGCAAATCCGACTTCTTCAAGATTAGGACATTTGCTGACAAGATCACCAATTTGAGTTCCCGAAAGTGGCCATTGGTCAGGCAGAAGCAATTTTGTCAGACTTTGACCGTGATTCGTGGTTAAGGCTCGAAGATACGCTTTGCAAACGGTGGAAGCTTGCTTCTCTTCGAAGGTAGTGGGAGTAGGTGTTGATGTAGAGGTAGCAGGCGTCGTACCTGTGGTGAAAGGCGAGTTGACATCCCACTTCGTATCGCCGTCGTATATGTTATTCCTTATCACGTACAGCTCCTGCAGACCAGAGAACATAGACAGAATCTTGGCATGTTCGATGGCGGGCTCGCTGATACGGTGCGTTTTGTAATTCTTGAACAAATCAGGACCCGGGATGTTTTTCCACGTTTCGTCTACCCAGATAGAACTGGGACGTCCGTAAACTCCTCCAAAGACATCGAGGAAGTCTGCACTCTCAACGCAGCCGGGTTCGAAGATCTCTTTCAAGTCGCCAGTATTCGGGCCGTAGAAATTCTGGAGACCAATGTGTTTGATTTTCAACTTGTACTTTGCCTCCAAGCACTGGCCAAAGATACTCCTGAAGCTGATACTGGGTTCCGCCTCTTTCCGCATACGAGGACTCCAGTGGATGCGCAAGTCTTTCAGCTGTTTGGCGTGGAAGATCAGACCAGAGATGTCGTCTGGATAACAAAGAGGATCGATATCGCTTACGCGTAAACGACGCAGGTTCGGCATGGGCGGTATAACAACTATCGGGCGAGGCGATCGTACTTGAGGAAAGCGTAGGGTTAGCGAGGTAAGGGTCGGTCGAGCAGCCAGTCCTTGGTAGATGGACTTGGTCGGCTTGGAGTCGAGGTCCCATGTAAGGGATTTGAGGTGTGTCATCCTGTCCATGGCGGCACGAAGAGCAATGCCGAGCATGATTGTGCTATCCGGTATCTTCCCNCTGCTATATTCATCGATGCCTGGTTCCGACCAAGCTCCTGTCACCGTGAACTCTTTTACCAACGGAGCCGAGTTGCCCGAGGCGAGACCACTGAGGCCCATAACGAAGGGGCTGCCACTTCCATATCCTTCTGGTCTTCCATCAACATAGCGCGTTTCGGGGTAGGAGCGGAGGGTGACACGTTGGTACAGTACTGGTAGCGTCATGTAGTACATTAATCGACAGGTTCGCGTCATGCGCGCGATGTCGCCAACATCTTCAACCNNTACCAGCCAGCGTTGTTAGTCTGGATTGGATGTACTCGTGTCGGACATACGGCTTACATAAGATACTATGTGAGCAATCAAGCTGAGCGGGAGTGTCTGCCCTTTGGTGCTAGCACCGCTGGGCGCATTCAATGGCACTGGAGAGGCATACAGTACATGAGGAGGAATCTCCTGGCTCATGTCTAGCCCTCTAGTCGCCCTCATCTCAACAATAGAATTGTGCGCGCAAGGCTGACATGACAGAGACGAAGGACTGCTCGTTTTTACATACAATCATAAACTCTGCCAAGCACGCATCATCGTCGAGCTCACCGGAGCTTAGATGATAGGGCTTAAACAAAACGTCCGACTTTTTTCTCTTCGGATGAACATGGCTCCGAGGATTGCGCCTTTGACTTGCAGAATCGTCTTGTTTTGGTATGCGGTGATTCCCCTTGATGAAAAAACCTTGTCCAGTCCCTGTTCCTTCCGGTATAAGGAGCATCCGGGCATGTTTATGACAAGTTTCTAGCGGCCTCGGTCGTATTTCCAGGGTCCTTGTCCGACATCACAAATTGCGGGCTAATCAGACGCCGACACCGAGGCAGAAGCCCGTCACCAGTGCTGCCGTGACCGCCGACCTGATTCACCAAGTAGCTGCCTATCCGCCGTGCAATGTAGATACAAAGACGATCTGGTCTCTTGGTTGAAGCTCATATTGGTCCTCACCCTCGAGTTCCCAATCTGCGTCATTGATCAAGACGAGAATACCTGGACGNACTTGGCACAAGTATTAGTCAGTCTGACATAAGGAGTTTGTTTCCGAGATCAGAACATACACAGATCCGTCCAGAAGGAAGAGTTCTCTTTTCTGGTCCGTCATGAGGTTTTCGCATAGATGTTTGATGAGGAAGGCGATGTTGGCTGGTTTTCCATCTTGATCTTGTGCTGGCAACGAAACTTTGTGGTTTCTTTGGTTGGAGAAAAGCAGTTCCAGCCCGCCANNCTGTGGTCGTGTCAATTATAAGGTCGAGTGTAAATAGTCGAGTGTGCAGTACGTGAACTCAACATCAATCTTGATTGTCTCTGTCATGTCGAATAAGTCTTGTATGTGAGGGCTGTTGACCAATACTAGAAAAGGTGCTGCGAGATCAAGGTGGCAGTCGCGCGTCGAAGCAAGCGAAACTTTTGCGACTTCCGTTGAAACAAAAAATAATGCTTGTCATCACCAACAACAACATCAACCACGCTCTCTTTATCATACACGTTTTATACGGTCGGAATTATCGAGGACGGCCATTTTCCAAATAGTTGCAGAGATCTCATACTCAGCGAGAAACTCAACTGTGGTACAACATATCCGGAACAATGGCTGCCGCCCATCTAGAGTACATCGCCGCAGGAGGCAACAGACACCCATGCGCCGCAGATTGGACAGAGGAATTGCTTGCATATGGAAGTGGTCATAACATCGCCATCTGGAGACCTGAAATCAACAGCCACCAGGGCGTTGAGACGCTACTTGCAGCCCATACCGACATTGTTAATGCGGTCAAGTTGTCCAGAGAGCCAACATCAGGAAAGCGAGTTTTGATCAGTGGCTCAGCTGACAAGACCATCTGTATCTGGATCGAGAAGACCGATGGGAAATTTGAGTTGGTCAAGCACTTGACAGAACATACTGCTTCTGTCAATGTCGTTGGTGTTTTGCCCGCGGCTGGAGTATTTGCTACTGGAGCCGCTGATGCAACATTAAAGATCTGGAAGTTGCGTGTGACTGAGACAGAGGTCGAAGTCGATATTATCCAAAGTATCACACTTTCGCCTCGCTACTTCCCTCTAGCGATCGCACTGGCCAAACTTCAGAGTGGTCAACTCGTGATTGCAGTAGGTGGCACCATGGCGAACATCCAGGTTTACATGCAAAACAATGATACTTTCTCACTCGCGGCCAAGCTCACTGGACATGAAGCCTGGGTGCGAGCATTGGACTTTACTCGCGAAAGCTCCAAGCCCGACAGCGACTTTNTGCTCGCCTCCGCAAGTCAAGACAAGTATATTCGTCTCTGGCGCTTCCATGCTGGCGAAGAGCTCCCTGAAGTAGCAGCTGCAGCAAGCGACCCAGCCATGACTGTGTTTGGCCGCTCGCTGTCCAACAAAGCCCATTGGATTGGAGAGGGAGACTCGAAACACTCTATTACGTTTGAAGCTCTGTTGATTGGACATGAGGATTGGATCTACACGGCTCGCTGGTTTACAAAATCTGCACAAGACGCAGCGCCACAACTTCTTACTGCATCAGCAGATAACTCCCTCGCTATGTGGGAGCGTGACGCCGATGGTTTCTGGACCTGCGCGACTAGACTGGGAGAGATCAGTGCACAGAAGGGATCGACCACTGCAACGGGAAGTACAGGTGGTTTCTGGATCGGTCTGTGGTCTCCCTCTGGCAACACAGTGGTCAGTCTGGGAAGAACAGGAAGTTGGCGCTCCTGGTCTTACGATACTGTTGAAGACCGTTGGTTGCGCGAGCTTGGGATTTCCGGCCATGTGCGTGCGGTCAAGGACATTGCATGGTCAAACGATGGCACTCAACTCATGTCCACCAGTTCAGACCAGACAACTCGCCTCTTTGCTCAATGGAAGCGCGACGACGCAACCACATGGCACGAAATGGCACGTCCCCAGATCCACGGCTACGATCTAAACTGTCTATCTGCAATCGGCGCAACCCAATTCATCTCAGGAGCAGATGAAAAACTACTCCGCGTGTTCAACAAGCCCAAGGCAGTGGCCCACCTCCTCGCCAAACTCGGCGGTACCGCTGAAGACGCAGCAAACGCAGACCTCCCCGACGCAGCAAACATACCCGTCCTCGGTCTCAGCAACAAAGCCATCAACGCTCTAACCCCCGAAGAGGAAGCCACCGCCGAACCCTCCGAAGAAACTACCATCACAAAATCCACATTGGATCTCTCACACCCGCCATTTGAAGACCATCTCGCCCGCCACACTCTCTTTCCAGAACTCGAGAAACTGTACGGGCACGGATATGAGATTTCCTGTGTGGCTGCTAGCAACGATGGCACTTTGGTCGCTACAGCTTGCCGTGCCAGTTCTATCGATCATGCGGTGATTAGACTCTACGAAACCAAAGAGTGGAGAGAAGTTAAACCGCCATTGAGTGCTCACTCTCTAACCGTTACCTCCCTCGCTTTCTCTGCAGACGACAAGTATCTCCTGAGTGTTGGTCGCGATCGTCAATGGGCACTGTTCTCCCGCGCTGAAGCCAACACCTACTCACTTGCAACCTCAAACCCCAAAGGCCACAGCAGAATGATTTTATCTTGTTCATGGGCTGGAGCTTCTGCGTTTCACGTCTTTGCCACCGGTGGCAGAGACAAAAATGTAAAGATTTGGGCTGTGGATGCTTCCTCTGAGGGCTTAACCGCAGACCTCAAACTCGCTATCCCTACTTCTGCACCCGCTACTTCTGTTGCTTTTTACACTGGCAATGGTGCAGCTTCTGCTACCGTTATCTTGGCTGCGGGCACTGAAGATGGTAGTGTTACTGTCTTTGTTATCAGCATGGACGATTGGTCAGTCAAGCACACTTGCAAAATTGAGGAGCATATGCAACCATCCGCTGCCATCAATGCGCTGAGATGGCGACCGCAAGTGCAAGGAGAGCAGACAAAAGCACAACTGGCTGTCGCGAGTGAAGATCTCAGTGTTAGATTATTTGGGTTCGAGAACTTGATTGATTAAGAAGAAAGATATTTGCCAAAAATGTAGAATGAAATCGTCCATCACTTCTTTCCAACGTAGCCTGCTCAAGAAAAAGCTTATTAGCTAGTGGGCCTCCAAGCCAAAGAACCTCGAAATCATTTTCTTCACAGGTGCAAATTCATATCTACTGCATCGAAAAGCACATGCTTCGCTGTCATGTGAAATCGCGTGGCATGTAACGATCAAAAGACTCTGTAATCGAACAATCACTTGATTGGTTGGAGAAAGCTATTTTGAAAAGAACACTAAGAAGAGTCATCTCGAAACGAAAGTTAATAGTACAAGAACGTTGTTTTTGGGTAATAATGCAGTTAAGAAGAGGGGGTATCAAGAGCAGAAGAGTAAGCTAAAGGAAAACACAAGAAGGAAAAGGAAAGAAAAGAAGAAGGATGAGCAAAGACCGTCAGAGCATCCCATAACATACAAGTCGTGCCTTCATAACCATGCGTAAAAGTCATTCGTAAACATTGCATAGTAACCTCGTCGCAGAACATAGGCTGTAGAGAGCGGCGAGGAGAGAGTAGAACAGATATGCCTAGGTCTGTGTGTTGTTCACGTGTTCCCAATCTGAGTCTGCTGCCACATCGACAAGGCCGGTGAACCACTTGCAGTCCATGACATCGGCTATGGTCCATCTCAGGTCAGGATCGGTGTTCAAGCAACCGTAAAGCAGGTCACAGATGTCCTCGGAGTCGACCTGGCCGGCGAGAGATGACATGACTAGATCCTTGTTCCAGTCACCACCTTCGATAAGCTCGACCAGTTTGAATTGAATGGTATGCTGGAATGGACGCTTGCCCGTGACCATGGTGTAAACACAAACGCCGAACGCCCAGATATCTGCCGAGTAGTCCTTGCGTGTGGAGCCGCCAAGTAGTTCAGGAGCCAGATATTCGAGAGTTCCAGCAGGTTCTTTGTTGTCGTCAGAGTCGAGTGATCGGATGCTGTCAGTCATGCCAGATGCATCGCCATCGACAAAACTAGCCAGACCAAAGTCGCATAGCTTGAGATTGCCACAATCGTCTTGGGGTGTTATCTGGATGAGGCAGTTCTCGAGCTTGACATCTCGATGAACCAGTCTAACGTCGGCGTGCATGTATCTCAGTGCCGCAGCAAGTTGATGGGAGTACGTCTTTGCAAGGTCCGGTTTCAAGCCCATCTGGCCATTGTTGCGAAGCTCGCTGATGAGATCGTATAGAGAGCCGCTCTCGACCAGATCCATGATGCAGAAGGTCGCAAAGTCGGTGATGAAGCTCGTGTGGAGTTGCAAGATATTAGGATGGTTCAGATAGCGCCAGATACCAATCTCGTATTCGACAGCTTGTTGAGCCTTGTCATTCTCAGCCTCACTGACATTGGCGACAGTCCTGCGCACAATCTTGACGGCACGCTTCGTTCTGCAACCGTTGTCGTCCATACCAATGACCTCCTTGACGACACTGAAACCTCCTGAACCAATCTGACGACCGACGACATATTCATTGTTGATACCGATGGACTGTCCCTCGTCATCCGGCTTGGGCTCGGCGGACTCAGAGTTGCTACCCCAGCCACTGAGAAAGCGAGCAGCTGGCGACATGCCAGTGGATGAGCCAGACATTCTGCTGGATCTGCGACTGGTGTTACGCAAGCTCGCCGTGCGCGACAATGTGGTCTTACGTGACATCATCGGCCAGGGCTCGCTGCCCATACTAGGACTAACAGCAGGAGAAGGACTCATAACGGCAGAGCCATTGAAGTACGAGCCTGCAGGTGTATCGGGACTTCTCAGTTGCTCACTCAGCAACGACCCTGTGGAGGCCGACGTCAATGAAGGCAGTTGTGTGGCATCGTGCGAGTCGATGGTCTCGAGGCGTGGTGCAGCCTCACTCCTCCTCGTGCGTCGTCTAACAGGTTCTCCAGTGAAAGGGTTAATTCTGACTGAATCTTCGGGCGCAGCCGGAGCAGAGGCAGTATCGTCCGACATGACCGAGTCGCGAGTGCTGCGCCGACGCGGTTGAGGTGGCCTGGAGGACAAGGGCTGGTCGAGCGAGTGCAGGCGACCGTCGTCGAGAGTCGCAAACTCTTTGAAGCTCACGGATGAGCCTCTGGTACGGGTCGAGGGTTGGCTATTATTTGCATCGGGAGCGGCCGGATTGTTGAGCAGCTCGGACTCTGAAAATTGAGAAGAGGCGACATGGTCAGCGTCCGAGGAAGCGGCGAAGGGAAAGTCTTGAGACGAGTTCGCATGCTTGGTGTCGAGGCGGAGTTTTCGAAATTCGTGGGAAGGAGCAGGTGTGGCCATTGCCTTGTGGAAGGCAACCAACGTAGGGGACTTTTTGCGCCGACTCGGGAAGCTACAGCTTTTGAATATCTAGATCCTGATCTTGATTTGTCTTTTGACGCAGGAACGGTTTCGCGTGTGGATGGTGGTAGACAGACACAGACAGCAGTCAGGTCAGGCTACAAAGTCAGAAGATATTTACACGGGGCATTCCCAGCGACGTCGGCCGGTAAGGGTAAAAAGAGATGGCTAGAAGATGAAATGGTTTGAAGGATTAGAGTTACGGCTGATGCGGGAGTCATGTTCTCCCCGCATTCTTGTTACGTATGAGCAGAACTGGCATTCTGATTGGCTCGACCGAGGAGCGTCATCGAGCGCGACTGTTGTTGGAGAGGCTGATCCATGTCGGACGTTTGTGTTGTTTCAAGGAAGAGCGACGTCAAGACGGTGTAGCAAAAGAGAAACAAGTCATGTGTCAGGTGTGATGGGCGGTCGTTGGAGTCGGTCAGCAGCCAAGATGGAAGTCGGTCAGCAGCCAAGATGGAAGTCGGTAAGCAGCCAAGCATACGAGCGACTCGAGCGAGATGAAGCCTGCCAACGGTGGTGTAAACAACAGATGATGAGATTAGGAAAGGATGCGATGCTGCACGAAGACAGGGACAGGGGAAGCTCTTAAGAGTCCAATGATAAGGTGGCTATCAGTGTAGGGGTATCGTACATGCCAGATTGGGCAGTCAAGGGTCTGGAAGTTGAGACGTCCGAGCTCAGTCGGCTTGCTTGTGCTTGTGCTTGTGCTTGGTGCCTCTGCATCACATCGTTGTTCGCATGTCACCGGTCCCATCCAGCAGCTGTCCATTCTCAATCCACCAGATAATCAGATCCATCCTGTTGTCGTATCGCACATCCCACGTCTTGACTGTTGTCCTCGAACCAGCCGCATGTTATAGCGTTACGCGCCCCAGCAACCCCTTCAAACGAGCAGTCTCGTCGCCGTCGCCGTCCCCGTCCGCGTAGCAGAAGGGCCATGGCCGCCCTCAAGAACTTTTGCGCAAACGTCTTCTACTGCTGTACCAGCCGTAACACGGTCGACTACGAGAATGTCCTGGCAGACAGCGAGCGCGAGGCAGTCACCGACTTGCTGAACTTCCTCGAGAACAGGCAGGAGACCGACTTCTTCACCGGCGGTCCTCTCAATGCCCTCAGCACTCTGGTCTACTCACACAACATCGACCTGCAACGAAGCGCCAGCTTGACTTTTGCCGAGATCACCGAGCGAGGTGCGTTGGACTTCATGAGCTCCTCCATCGTCATGCATACTAACGCTACCTGTCGCANNGATGTGCGCGCTGTGGATAAGAACACGCTCGAGCCCATCCTCTTCCTTCTCGAGAGCAGCGACATTGAGGTTCAAAGAGCTGCTAGTGCCGCCTTGGGAAACCTCGCCGTAGATGGTATCCAAACCACATCCATGCACTCTCTTGCCAGGACTAACACAGACTCTCAGNCACACAACAAGATCCTGATCGTCCAACTAGGAGGCCTCCAACCGCTGATTAGACAAATGAACTCGAGCAACGTCGAAGTCCAGTGCAATGCTGTCGGTTGCATCACAAACCTAGCTACCCACGAAGACAACAAGGCAAAGATTGCTCGTTCTGGTGCTCTGGCTCCCTTGACGAGGCTAGCAAAGTCCAAGGACATGCGTGTCCAACGGAATGCCACTGGCGCCCTGCTGAACATGACCCACTCAGGTACGATCCATGCATGAACGATCCAGGACACAGTCTAACTCTCTATAGACGACAACAGACAACAGCTCGTCAACGCTGGCGCAATCCCCGTCCTCGTCCACCTCCTGACCTCGCCTGATACCGATGTCCAATACTACTGCACAACCGCTCTCAGCAACATCGCCGTTGATGCCTCGAACCGCAAGCGCCTCGCACAGACAGAAACCCGTCTTGTTCAGTCATTGGTCAACCTCATGGATGGCCATGCTCCAAAGGTGCAATGTCAAGCCGCTCTTGCGCTGCGCAACCTCGCCTCGGATGAGAAATACCAGCTCGAGATCGTGCGCAATGGTGGTCTCGGTCCTCTTCTCCGTCTCCTCCAGTCGGCTTTCCTCCCCCTCATCCTTTCCGCCGTCGCCTGTATCCGTAACATCTCGATTCACCCCATGAACGAGTCTCCCATCATCGATGCCGGCTTCCTCAAGCCGCTGGTACATCTTCTTGGAAGCACCGACAATGAAGAGATTCAATGTCACGCCATTTCCACCTTGCGCAACCTTGCCGCATCGTCAGACCGCAACAAGCAACTCGTCCTAGAAGCCGGTGCTGTCCAAAAGTGCAAGGAGCTTGTCTTGGAAGTTCCGGTTAACGTCCAGAGCGAGATGACTGCTGCTATTGCTGTTCTCGCTTTGAGCGACGAGCTGAAGCCTCATCTGCTGAGTCTTGGTGTATTTGACGTTTTGATCCNNCCCCTGACCGAGAGCGAGAGTATCGAGGTCCAGGGCAACAGTGCTGCTGCTCTGGGCAACCTGTCAAGCAAAGGTAAGAGTTCAGAGAATTCAGCACCTCAATCGCCTGCTGACGCCTACTCAGTCGGAGACTACTCCATCTTCATGACCAACTGGAACTCTCCTTCTGGAGGTATTCACGGCTACCTGTCTCGTTTCCTCGCATCTGGAGATCCAACCTTCCAACACATCGCTATTTGGACTCTGCTACAACTTCTTGAGAGCAACGACACTCGTCTCGTCAGCACCATTAACTCTGCCGAGGATGTCATGCAGATGGTCCAAGACATTTCGGAGAGACAGGTCGAGAGTGACGCCGAGGATGGCAGCGAAGATGGCGAAGCCGAGGTGGTCGGACTCGCTCGCCGTTGTCTTGAGATTTCCAGCGGTGACGGCAACAAGAAAGCCCTTTCTGAGGGATGATGCTTCTTGACTGCAACGACAAGATGACTCGCACACATGCATGGGCGTCAGGGTTTTTCTTTTTTTCTTTTCCTTGTCCATTTTTGATATACCAATTCGCACTCGCGCGCCGGCTTGAGTCGACAAACAAGTATGATATCCTGGAGCAAAGCATTCGGATGGGCCTCCTCTTTTCCTTCTCCTTTTTCGCCCTCTTCTTCTTCACATAGCTTTAGTAATGATTAGCGTAGTCTCCCTTTTCGTATTGGAATCAATGGAACACAAACATGAATAGATTGTACATTCTTCTTTGGGTGTTTGGAACTGATTAGTGTGGACGGTGAAAACAGTCAATCTCCTCATGTGCGGCATGGCTGTTCCACAGTCACAGCACGACACGACTATTGTGAGCACTCTGTTGACCAGACACCTGGCTCTGAATATGTCTAGCCCTTAATATGTTCATTTGAAGAGCGAAAAGTCGTGTTTTAAGTCCGATAATGGTCATTTTTGTCTGTCGAGAGTGATACCCTGTCCAGAGCTGATGAGGTCATCCGAACAAAGGCCGGCGCAACTTTCGTGCAACCAGAATTGTTCACGTCTTGCAATAAACAACCACGACATCTGAACATCATCACACCCATCACAATGGCAATCCCCAATTTCACACTGCCTGGCGACTCACTCGCACCCACCTCAACACACACGCCCAGCACGGGCTCGCACGTCTTCAGCTCTACAATCCACGCCAGTCTGGCAGGCCCCGTCACCAGCGCCGCACCCTCTAAANAGACGCCTTCGCCCACCATCAGCGTATCTTCGACATCGACCTCGTACACTGCTGCCCTCCCCTCCGTCAACGATATCATCCTCGGCCGTATCACACGCACAAACCCCCGCCAAGCCACCCTCGACATCCTCGCCCTGGGCCCCACCGGCACCCAAGTGCTCCGCGAACCCTTCTCGGCCATCATACGCCAACAAGACATTCGCGCCACAGAAATCGACAAGGTCAAGATGAGCGAAAGTTTCAGGGTTGGCGATATCGTGAGGGGAGTGGTTATTAGTTTGGGAGACGAGAGGAGTTATTTTGCGAGCACGGCGAAGAATGAGTTTGGAGTTGTGTTGGCGGTTAGCGAGNGGGGAGAGCAGATGGTGCCGGTTAGTTGGAGGGAGATGAGGGAGGTGAATGGGNGAAAGACTGAGTTGAGGAAGGTTGCTAAGCCTGTTTGAGCGTGCGAGGGATTGGAAAGTCCTCGTATACATCAAGAGACGGCCAATTCTTTTGCTGGAGAAAAGACAATGGCTTTGACGAGGCCTAGCTCGAGTCCGAGCAGTACCCAAGGACATCAAGTCGAGCACAACAGCCACAGATGCTCGGGGTTAGCACAGCCTACAACCGCAAGTCGTCCACAGTCAAGGGCTGGCTCCATAGTCAAAGAGACTGAGGAGCAGCGAGTCTGCAGCAGAGGACTACCGCAACCGAAGGACATCGAGTCAGCCAACGACAGGCTGAACTTCAAATCTTCAGAGAGATCACCCTTTTGATGGTTGGGTGTTACATGATCAGGCACAGCAGATCCACGCGTCTTTCCACAAAGTCGACCAATCGAACCTTACTTTACTCATCACTTTACTGCGTATCGATGAAAGACAGTGACATCTAATCTCTTCATACACCTCTGGTAAGCATGAACCAAAGAACCTCTGAACCCGCATACTCCTAGCCCAAAACCACCTCTATACTTCTCACTTGCTCTCTCCAATAGCAGCCTCAGCACCAACACTCTGAGCCCTCTTCAATTGCCCCACTCCTGCATCCTTGCCCTCCAGCTCCCTATTCGCCTTGCTCGACCCCTCAAGCCCATCCAACAGCGCTTTATTCGTCCCTGGAATCTTCATCTCAAAAGTTTCTCTTATAACCGCGTACTCATAGTATCCGAGCCGTGCTATAGGTTCTGTTTTGGCAATGTCTATTTTGCCGTTTGTGAGTACGGTGTCGGTGATGTGGACGGCGAGGACGCGGCCGAAGATTATGTCGACCTTTGATTGTGTTAGTGTCAGCGAAGACGAAAGATAGGCAGAGGGCAGGGGTAAGGGTAAACGAACAGTACCCATAGGCGGGTTCCCAGGTAACTCAATCACCCTATCAAAAGCACATTCAAATCTCACAGGGCTTTGCTTTACCAACGCCACTGGAATCTTTTTCGCTTCCTCTTTCTCCAACTTTGCATGCGTAAATTCATCTTCGGAGGGATCTAATTGTTGAGCTGTGATGTTTACTTCTTCGCGAAGAGCATAAGTGGCTAGGTTCCAGGCGAAGAAACCTGGTGAGTAGGTTGTTAGTGTTATTCTCTCTTTGCTTTGGTGCCTTTGCATGGGATGAAGGAGGAAGATTTACATACCAGTGCTTTCTGCGTTTTCAACAGTGTCTTTGCGTTTGCCGTCTGGGGTACGGTTGGAAGAGAACATCACGTAAGGGGGATCAAAAGTGAGGTTTGTGAATTGGGAGTAGGGGGCTAGGTTGTCGGTTCCTCGGGGCGAGCGGGTGGATATCCAGCCGATTGGGCGGGGCACTACGCATGCCTTGGTTCTTGTTAGAGGGAGGTTTTCTTTTGACCACGGGGTTAAGGCAGGGATGAAGTGAATGGGGATGATGGGAAAGAGTGGAAGGAGGAGAGAAATGGTGTGTTGTAACTGTGTATATGGAAATGTGATACAAATAGTGGCAGTCCCATACAGTCCTTTCGATTATCGAGATATATTCGCGCAATATTGTAGTCATGATCAAAGTGGAAATGCAGCACCTATAGAGAAAAGAAATCTGCTTACTTTGAAAGGATCGTAGGGCAACCCGTGATCAGAACCAGTTTCGTAGAAAACCATGTTTGTGGTCTCAGGGAGCAACAAGAGAATAGTGCTGTGTCGGATGGTCTGCGTAAGCGTAGTTCAGTAGTATACCTGAACTTTGTTGTAGTTGTTATAGAGCATTGCGAGGTCGGAGGGGGAGGTCGTCATGAGATAAGCCGAGTTGCCGAAGCATACCGAAGCATTAACCGAGAATGGTCAAAATTATCTCGCTACAATCGTCCGTTTGACAAATGGGAGAAAATTAAACGTAGGACAAGGTAAGAGGTACTTCTCGGTTCTTTTGGTGTTACAGACGTTTAGTCTAGAACTAAGATCCGTAGTCATAATTGAGATGTCTTGTATAGCTGCGTAGCTTTCTTCCGTGTCTGTCCTCTAACAAGAAACAGGTATTTTGTCACCTCGGAGCAACACTCGAGTGACTGATATTTGGAAGTTGGTGATATATCTTAACCTCTCAGGAATAAAGCAACAAAGCATGAAACGGGAGGTCTCAGATGTCAGACTGCAACCCCATTGTTTGGGTTTTGTTTTGTCTCTCCAACCTTGAGACTCTTTTCCCCAGGGTTTCGACTCGAGAATGGAACAAACATGTGTTGGGACCGACAACATGTTGTTATACTGTTCAGAGATACAAGCGTATCCATTTACAGGCAAAGCTGGTCCACAGAAGCACTCATAACTGAGTACCATTTCTTGTCCTGTTCGTTCTTCTCATCCAAAATCACCAAGTAAGTCTTCCATCCAATCCATCAGCCCTCGATTTGCGAGAACATGGGCAATCGCAGAGGTAAAAATCCAAGGGCAAAGCAAGAGCAAAGGCAAATGCTCAAGGACAGCAAAGCTGGTCGACTAATTCGGTCTATCTATCTCTGTTGGTACAGATCTCATTCCTACTCGACCAAACTCGATACGAAGCAGCAAATCGAGGATGCTGTATTGCGAGACGCGCCTGCTGGCACAACTGAGGCTAAGATCAGGTGAGCTTGGTAGATTTCGTGAATGTTCCGCATATGGAGCTAACAAGAATGGGAGAAATGGTTGGCATGAGAGCTGGTCTGACGGTAGGAACCATGCAATTGTGGATTATGTTGCATATGGAGAAGAGCATCCTGAGCATCATGTATGGCCTTGAGATGTTTGTTGACCAGAAATCTCTTGTGTTTTGTGCTTGAGTTGTGAGATAGGAGACAGAAGGTCCCTGTGTTCATGCATGATGTAATGAGATACGGAAAGTGATGGCTGTTCAAGCATATAATCTTGCACAAAGCATGACCTCGAGGTCTGAGTCTCTTTCTATGCGCAGCACACCCATCTAGAGACGTTCCAGCGACTTCTTATACGCTTTCTCATACTGGTTCTCACCAAGACCTACTCTTATCATGCCTTCCTGGAAAGTCGTGGCCACATGGGTTCCTCCTGGTCCGATGATGCGACTATGGTGTGTTGCTCGTCCTCCACCTGCTCGTGTCGTCCATACTTCTTGACAAAACCAATGTTTGCCCGACTGATCCTGCAGCATGATATGCGAAGCAGGACTATGGAAAACGACCGTGTGGCTCAAACTTGCCATGTGTGTAAACTTGTCGCTAATCCCAAAATGGCGTCCTACTATGAAGAGCGAATTGCGATCGGATGCATATAGATGCGCGCAAGCATGAATGTTCGGATTCGGTGGTAGGTCGCCGATTGCGCGGTAGAAGAAGAGTTGGCGACGGTCGAATGGTGAAAGTGAAGTGTTATAGGGTGTCATGTCCACCTTCCGAGACTCAAGCCCAGGGAATGCGTCGTTCCTGCCTGTGAGTTTCCTACGAGAATTGTACNNTTGGACGAAATGAGTTGGTGAATCACTGATCAATGAGTGAACAGAACCTACCCAAGGCACGTCCATGCCCGAAACTTCCTCCCAGTCTTCTGGCTTCTTGCCAAAGAGAACGATGCCATACTTTTGATCTAGTTCAATCTTCTCTTGGACATCGAAGTGACTTTCCTCGGGCAATTTGAATGAACAGGTGCAGGTAAAGCATATTCCATCGCCTTCGGCTTGGGTGACGTTTACCAAGCGAGTACAATACGACCGGCCGTTCCGGATGGTCTCAACTCGGTAGATGAACGGAATCGAAGAGTCACCAGCGAGGACGAAGAAACCGGTAACATTCNNTGGGCATTGAAGTCAGAATGATGTTCAAATTACTTCGCCTCAACGACGCTTGGTATCTTGAGTACTGACATGTATTACAAAGCCGGCCTCGACCGTGTTCGCCGCTGCCCAGACGGCTTGGGCATAGACATGGCCACCGTACGCTCTGCCAGAGCCATTGGGGGAGAACGGTAGTGCACTGCTGCGGTAGGTGGTTTCGTCCACCTTTTCCAGTTTGATCAATTGTTCGAATGGTATGTAGCCATTGCCATGGCGAGGGGATTTCATGTCAAACAACTTGAGCAGGAAACCGGAGGATCAGGACACGAGATCATGGATCAGTTGCTTGGCGAACGGAATTGGCGTTATGTAGAAGCGAGAGAACGCATGTGATGATGGAGAAGATCTGGAGGTGAAGCACATTGAGCCGAGGTGGAGTTGGAAGTGGGGGATCACCATGTGGAGAGACTCGGTGGCATCTCGGTCGATTTTCCCCAGCAGCTGGGTCTGACAATTCACAGGGGCAGGAAGAGACTGGCCGAACATGGCACCAGTGTTCGAAGAGGATTCACATTATAAAAAGTGCAATGAAGGTCGGCAAGAAGAACCGACGCCAGAAGATTGGCTCTGCTGAATCTACAGACGAGGAAGAGCAAGTCATGACTGTAAGCACAACAGCAGAACGAGATGAGGTGAGTTGTGAGATCAAAATCTCCCTGATCTGTGGGATTTGAGTTTCCTCTGAGTTCTTCAGAGCCGCTCGGCCACGTGCTTCAGTGACGCCGTTGAACAAAGGGGCTGGTCAAATAATTTGTCGAGAACTTTTCCTTGAACAAAGAAGGACGTCGTCAGACTTCTGGCTTGAGGGTCACGAGACGAGCCCTTTGAGATGTCATGTATACGTGACTCGTATGCGACTATGCAGGAGTGGGACAGAACGTCTGAAGAGGCGTTGACCGCTTACCTCATCGGGAATTGCCTGTATAAGAATAATCACCGTTATCTTTGAGCGCATCAGTTCGTGTTTGTATATCGACCAGGATATGAGGAACAATGTGGTGACCTTGTCGTAATAGTCTTATATGAGATGCGACAGTAAGAGCTATGCATCCACATCTAGCCTGAAATTCGTATAGCAAAATACGATTCTAGTGTATATGACGGTCAACGACTGGTCCAGTACCTCACCGCCTTGAGCCCAGAATCGTGAGATGGTATGCCGATAGAGCTTGCCGACTCGGCATGCCGAACAAGATTGCAGAGTCGGATGTGAAATCGGTTTCCATGGTTCAGTCAAACAATAAGGCCGACATACCACCGTGGCTGCCATCCACAGAAGTCCCGGGGCCCCGATATCTCCACTCAAGCTCTCCACAATGGGGCCATCAATCGTTATGAGAGCTGTAAGCGTCTTGGTATTTTCACTTTTTCGCATGGTATGATTTGCTCCAACTTCTTGGCCTGGCTGACAACGCGGTGGCGGAGCGGAACCAACTGCAGGGCGTTACCCAATCTGAGAATGAATTAGGGCGTTGGCCGGAAAGTGATTCAGCAGCTGATCCGTGCCGCACATCAAGAGGACTGTGAATCAGAGTGCATTGCACGTTGATCGACGTGCTGTGATGGACTGGAGTGCTTGAAGATCTTTAAAACGTTCCTGGGGAAGCGTTCGAGTCGTTCTCCAACTTCCAATATAAGAGTTCTCGCAGAGGAAACGATCGACTATAATGGACTGTACGGAGTATTCCATCTCGCAATCTGGAGACATCGAGAGAGGGTTCAGCACGGCCCGCATCGCCCATGAACAGGTAGTTCAGGTCGTGGGCCTTCGTGTCAGCTGGTGCCTATCGAGATGTGATTGCAATTGCCACATTGCTTTGCCGTTCGGGCAGCGCCACGGCGGCGAGAGCCAAGAAGAAGAATGCATCCTGGATGAACTTGGAGTGGATCTCGCATGCTGATACCATGCGGCAAAGAGTGACAAGTGTTGCAAAGCATGTCACGCCGAGATGGATGTGCTGTAAAGGCGTCGGCCGAACGAGGTCGTGATCGAGTACGACATGCTTAGCCGCGCTTACAGAGATTTTCCAGAATCCTTGAAGTCGTTATTGGCGGCTAACGCCCGGGTACGTGACTACTCTGTTGAGACATGTTTAGCGAGTGCAACTTCGCAACGTGCGAGGACAGAGGCACGGGGTGGCGTAAAATTAGCCCTGTGCCTGAGCTGGGGGATGCACGGGGACGAACTCAGATTGTCGGCACTGGCCGAGGGTTTTGAGGTGTGACCAGGCGAGGACCATGGCTGAGATTTTCCTTCTGCTTTTCAACGACACTCGCTGTTCGCAAATTCGAGAANNAGAGCTGGACATGATGCCTCGACTCCACGAGGATGCAATGGATGCAACATTGCGATTGATCATCTCCGAGCCGCGAATCCACGGCCTGGCAAGTATTCGCGCATCCAAGACAGCTCGTCTGAGNCCAAAAATGCCATAAGTGGTGGTCCAAGAAATACCAAGGAGCGTTCGCGACATCTGGGGCTCTGGGCAAAACGCGCCGGTGTTGGCGACACGCCCCATGCACGAGACAATTCGCATCGCATCAAAGCAAGGTCGACCTAGAACCGATCTGGGATCCCGCGTGACTGATGATTCGCTTGAGGACAATGGAGAGGACACTAGTGTCGTTGATATTCTGTGGGAAGTGTGGGGATACATGGAATGAATAGTTCACCTGGACAACTGCCCAGCATTGCACCTGCTCCCACCGTCTGTTGTATATAGAGTCGTTGTTTCCTCACCTCGTGCTCATCTTTTCTTCTCCCCCATCAGTCAACAAGCGTTTGTCTTTCTTTGATCCTCCAAGGTCCTCTCCCACTTTCATTGCATCACAAAGAAACACTCTCACTCTATCGCAATGGCTCCTGTCACCGTGGAGCGCATTGAGGCGCCTGTCACCGTCAGGGCTTACCTGATGTGTGCCTTCGCTGCCTTTGCTGGTATTCTGTTCGGCTACGATTCTGGTTACATCAACGGAGTCATGGGTACTCAAGTCTTCAAANAAGAATTCGGGTCCTTCACTGGTGTCACTGATTCGACTGCCAATGGCTACAGCATTGCTAGTGGCACCCAATCGCTAATTGTTTCGATTCTCTCTGCCGGTACCTTCTTCGGTGCTCTCTTCTCTGGTGCTCTCGCAGATTGGATTGGTCGCAGAACCACCATTATCGCCGGATGTGGTGTCTTTACCGTCGGTGTCATCCTCCAGGTCGCTTCCACTTCTGTCCCTCTCATCGTCGTTGGTCGTTTGATCGCTGGTGTGGGAGTCGGTTTTGTCTCGGCCATCAACATTCTGGTAAGGTTTCGACTACCTTGAGCCACCACCATGAACCAAAGCTAACAATGAGCGCAGTACATGTCTGAGGTTGCTCCTCGTAAGGTCCGCGGTGCCATTGTCTCATGCTACCAATTCGCTATCACCATCGGTCTCATGCTCGCTTCGATCGTCACCTACGCCTGCCGCAACTACGAAAACACTGGCGCCTACAGAATCCCTATTGCTATTCAGTTTGCCTGGGCTCTGATCCTCGCCACTGGTCTCTTCCTCCTCCCCGAGTCTCCTCGTTACTACGTCAAGAAGCAGCAGCTTGATAGAGCCGCCAAGGCTCTCGGCCGTGTTCGTGGCCAGCCTTCTGACAGCGCCTACATTGTCGATGAGCTCGCCGAGATCCAGGCCAACTTCGAGTACGAGATGTCGGTCGGCCAAGTCAGCTGGTTGGGCATGTTCACCGGTGGCATCTCCAACCGCAACTCCAACATTCGCAAGGTCTTCATCGGTGTCGTCCTTCAAATGATGCAGCAGTGGACTGGTGTCAACTTCATTTTCTACTTCTCGACCTCATTCTTCACCTCGATCGGTATCGAGAACGCCTTCCTCATCTCCATGATCACCACCATTGTCAACGTCTGCTCCACCCCTCTGTCTTTCTGGACCATCGAGCGCTTCGGTCGTCGCCCTCTCCTGATCTACGGTGCCATCGGCATGTGTGTCTGCGAGTGGATTGTTGGTATCACTGGTACCGCTGATGCAGGCTCTCGTGCATCTCAGGTCGTTCTCATCCTGTTCACCTGCATCTACATCTGCTTCTTCGCTCAGACCTGGGGTCCTACCGCTTGGGTCTCGATCGGAGAGATCTTCCCTCTTCCCATCCGTTCCAAGGGTGTTGCCATGTCCACTGCCTCCAACTGGTTCTGGAACTGCATCATTGCCGTCATCACTCCTTATCTTGTTGGAGAAGATGAGGCCAACCTGGGTCCAAAGGTCTTCTTCCTTTGGGGTTCCACCTGCGGCATCTGCATTCTCTTCGCATACTTCTTCGTGCCCGAGACCAAGGGACTTTCTCTCGAGCAAGTAGACAAGATGATGTCCGAGGTCCCCGCTAGACAATCGGCTGGCTGGGTTCCCCATGACACATTTGCTCAGGAGATGGGCAAGGACTCTTCTGCCATCGAAGAGGTCGTCCACGAGTCCAAGGTCTAAGAAGTCTTCTCTTGAGTACCTATGATTGTCATTGTGTTTCTTGTCCCTATATTGTCTTGTAAGCTTTGTGAAGCATTCCACAATAAGTGTTTTCAATCGAAGCATTATTATACCTTGATACAACTTGCACTCTCTGTGATATTTTCTGATGGCGTCCGCGGATACATCTGATTGCACCGCGAGGGCGGATGATTGATCCATGTGCACCTGGCTATGATGCATCGTCTGGAAAATATCATCTAGGATTCCAATGGAATCCGAACGGATGGGACTGGGGCAATATCGCATGGGGTGCAGCAAAATCAGTGGATCTGGTCCATTGGGAAGTCTCGGAATATCCGTCCATTGTCCCATCCGCCACAGAAGACCATGCTGGAGTATTTACTGGTGCAATCTCATCAGCAAGTCTGCCGAGAGAAGGCTCTCGAGACCACTTGACTTGCTTTCATACCTCGGCGCAAGGATCGAGTATCCATTATACTTGGCCATATAAGCGAGGCTCTGAGGTCCTTCATTCAGCAACTTCGGTGGATGGTGGGCTTTCATGACAACGGCATCCGCGGAATCCCATCTTGCCTGGACCGCCTGATCATCTCTCAGTCACAGGTTGGCGGGATCCGTATGTTTTTCGTTGGCCACGGTTTGACATTATAAGAGGAATCGAATCTGGTCCGGGGCTGTGTGGGATTATCTCTGGAGGTATACGCGATGTCACACCAACCATCATCCTGTACAAAGTTGATGCAGCGGATCCGAGT